ATGATGACTTAAGGGTAGTAATAGGCATCATGTAACGTTACCTTGATTTACAAAATCCTGAAAATAATTCTAAGCTCTTTAGTGAAAACTAACCACTTCTTTCAAGCAATTTCATTTTTTGTGATTAAGATATTAAATCCTAGGTACATGTTTGAGCCAATACTGTTACATATTTTGTTTTACCCTGAGCAATATTCACCGCTGTGACTTAAACTTGCAGTAAAAATATAGCTACATGAATGAACGTTGCTTAATGAGACTTCGATTACTAAACTGCTTTTGTTGCTGTTTTCAGTAGCGAATGGGGAAGATTTCCCCCAGTTTTATTTATTCGCTGTTTTTTTTTTGGTGAAACTAGTAAAATGGGGCAATTTGAACTTGTGTGCCTTTAATAATTTGATGATATAATACAAGAAATTCGTGCTGTAAACAGGGTCGTACGGCCCGGGGCGATAGGGGATTATATCCACCCGGCCCTGTTTAGGGGATGGGCCACTTGATATCCCCCTCCCCCATCTTTTGTGCTGAAAGAAAAACATATGGTTTGAGGGGGGGAGGTCTATGAGCCGAGTGCGAACGATGATCTGTGTGGCCCTTCAAATCTTGAGACAGGGGTGTGCAAAATTATGACAAAAACAACATCTCTTTTAAAATCAAATTCTGAACGCTTTCTCGTTTCCAGAAACGTAATTCCAGCTACTTTTCTACACCAAATATGTACATTAGTCCAGTATCGAAAGAACCATTCTTGATAAGAATCGGTTGTAGTTGTGGAAAAGCAAGCTCTGAATAAAGACAACAGAACTCCAGGACACTCAATTATCTATGTTAAATTGACCTTCAACGTTTAATAAGCCGTATTAATTGGCCAAACCTAGCTTACTTCTGAGCTATACCCTTTATAACGTTCTTGGTTTTTTTTAAGATCGTAAAAACGCAATCACATGGTCAATTTTGTTTGACACCAACAGCTTTTTGACGACCTTCATCAAAAAGTCAGTAACATTTTTTTTTTTTTTTTTTTTTTTTGCGGTGGTGAAACAACATGGCGGCATATGCAGCATGCAGACTGGTTCCAGCTGCTACAAACCCAGATCCAATCATTCTGCAACGTCCTGTTATGTGTTCTTTTAGGATTTTACGTGCCTATATCTATTCCCATGCCGTTCTCCGCACGGGGGTACGGGTACTTTCAGGTGGAGCTGGCCCTACGAGAGACCTTTTATGCTTATAGTTTAAATATTTTAGAATATCGGCAATTAAGGCAAACAAAGCAATTAAGAAATTAAAAACAGCAATGGCAACAACTGCACCTGCGGATAGCTTAGAATTATCGGTGGACCCGGCCTCTGTAGGTGCACCTGACACCGCCAAGATCTCAGTCGAAAACACAAGTGCAATGGAAATGACCAGCAAGGAAATACGACTCTCCAGTGGACGCTTCATGCTGCAAAATGCAAAACAGGAGAATTATCAGATTGCTGGCCTTAATGCAAAACAAACCCAAACCATTAGACCTTATTCGTCGCAGATATCTCAGAGGTTGTTAATTGTTATTTAAATGTATATTTTTAACGGTTCACTCGTGCCCAAGGGCGTAAATCCGGGAGGAAAGATACCCCCCCCCTTTCTTTTTGAGATTTTAAGTTTTTTTGTAACTTTCCAACAGCCCAAAGTTAATGTATTAAAGAGCGCTGAAAATGGAAAAGTAACAGTAACAAACCTGCTTATGCAAGCTTAAGCGTGAGCTGACCTTGCAATAAGATGCACATTTGTATAAAATGCATAACTCAAAGTTATTAATATGTTCTGGGTCAGCGGGAAGTTAAAATGTTCTCACCTGGACTACAAAGTGTTGAGACTATAGAGCCGTAGAAAGGTTTCGTCCTGATATCGGGCGTTGTTGAAATCGTACAGTGGTGAACGTGCTCCTTTATAGGGTTAGAAAGTATAGATTAAGATATTAGCCACTAAGTCAATCGTGGTTTTTAAGCTTTCTACATGTCACTTGGTGGTCGGTCGGTTGGCCTGTCTGTCCCTAAAAATTGACCAAAAGTATGGTATTCCATATCGATTTCATGCAAGACTCTCATGCAAGACGGCCAGAGCTTATTGTGCACTTGCACTTGTTGTATTGGTGGTCAGTGCTAAATCAAGAGGGATACTGTGAGGCCCAACCGATTGAAAATGTAGGCTGTTTTATTGAGATGAATGTCCTGAAATTGACAGGTCCGTCCCTGGTCCTGTAATTTCTCCAGTGCCTCTTGATTAGCTTCTTGATCAAATGTTTGATACTGAAAAATGGGTTACCGTAATCTGCTCAGCTCCTCGAGAAATCACGACCACAGTTTCTCATCAACTCAAGTTTTCATCTGCAAAAAAGGCACTGCCGCCTTCTATTACATAGCTATGTTTAGTTATGTGAAGTCCCAGGTAAGTCCCAAATAAATCCTTTTTGTGTGATGTTTTTTATGGTTTATGATTTCAAAGGTACCTGTGCGCGATAAAACGTTTGGAACTGAGGGGTGGCACTGGTAATATATTGAAAGTTGTATAATAGTCATTATCATGCAAATATATAACCCCATTCCCGTAGTTGAGGGATTTCCCCACCTAACCCAAACAGTTTACGGTTGTAACCATAGCAACCAGCATCCACAATTCAAATGCCCCGAGGAGTCGCCGATTCTGCCAGCTTACCCTTTCAAATTCAAAGTTGAAGGATTTCAAAGCTTTTTTTAAACTCATTTTGACAGGTAAGAACTTTCAAAAGGGACGCCATTTGATTTATGTAGGCCTAATCATACAAACACATTTCCACTTGCAAGTAAGTGGCACCCACAGTTTGCACGAATTTAGAAATGGTGTTGCACACGGCATCGAATCCTCAACTTTGTCGAATGCAGTGATCGGGCGAAGTAAGAAGCCGCGACCGAATAGCTTGGCTACGGCTAGACATAATACGGGGGTATAATTATAAAGTGACTGTAGCCGCTTCCATAGGCGCGTGTGTATTTTCATGCTTTTGCAAGTAATTTCTACATGGCCTTATTTGAAATAAAAGTCTAAAACCCTTGCATTTAATGTAACTTCTGAGCGCATGTCTGTGTCCCTCTGAGGTACGGATGAGTTCAAACTTTGTAGTTTCATTGTCAACGAATCTAACTAACAAACAAATGTCCTCGCAGTGACGGATAAATTAACCCGTGCATTGGTTCTGTTCCAATTTCTGTGTATAGCCATCCCATCCCAAAACGTCCATATTTAAAATTGACGTTCGCATGTAACATTTAAAGGGATTGTACAACATTGGTTTTTCCTGCAATTTTCAGAAATAAGTGCATTTGGAGGATTTACATGTTTTAGCAAATACTGTTAAACTGACTCGTTTCACGTTTTTGGCTTGTAGATGCTGGAAAAACCAAGAAAACCAATTATATTCTTGTAGTCTGGTTCCCTGACCCCACTTAAGATGAAATGGAGCAATTTATAGACTTTGGGGAATTGTATGGCCAGAGTATCAATTTAGCTGGCTTGTACCCGTTCACAGGTGTGTAATCAATTGCAAAGAAAATGTGGAATAAGAAATATGGAGTAGTTTTTGAAAATAGCCAGTTTTCTCCAGCGCTGGTCGGCCGACCAGCGTTGAAAAATAGAATTTTTCTTGAAAATTTCAGCACACCAGGAGCCACAATTTTACAGGATGCTTTAGACTGTCATTCCCGCGTGATGCCAACTTTCAGCAATCGGTTCTCCTCTGTATACTGCTTGATATCTCCTGGAATATGAGTGGTTTATAAGTGTTGACATGCACTGTTTGATGCGAGCCAAATAACGTGGGAAAAGTAGCTGAAATGTTTGGGTTGCCAGGCCGTTGCTAACAGGGCACATGGTCTATTTTGGTCGGGTGCGTTGGTCGCTTTGGAAATTGTTCATAATGCGGGATCCAGTCTAGGGCCGAAATACAATGGAATAGGCTTGTAAACACATCCCCTTTTTTCTCCATCTTGGCCGGGTTCCAATTTCATTGAGCTTGAATATCAGCGCAAATAATATAGTTGACTTTACCTTAATTTTAAGAGACTTATCGACATGGAAAGGTACGGCGTCCCTAAAGGGACATTCAATATTTTTTTATCTCGAGCGCACCATATTATGTCTCGTGCGCACGAGAAAAAAAAAATTGAACGTCCCTTTTAGGGGCTCCGTAGAAAGGTGCTCCATCTGAGAAGAAAACAGGTAGGCATATTGAAGGTTGAACGTTGGACAATTCTTCATTCCAACGGATATAAGAATCTTGGTTGCTGTTCATGTTCTTTGAATGAATGCTTACTGAACCTGACTGTAGGCTACATGTTTATACAACGAAACATGCATTTTGACACACACAAAACAGTTATCGGTCACATGTAGCTAGCTATGGATAAAGTCTCCAGCAGTTAGGTTTATTTGAAATTAATCGTTATAATCATTATATTTTTAATTAGAAACTTTACATACTGTTGTTATACACAAGCAGTTTTTTTTGCAGTAGCCTGCTGGGCCAACGCAGTTTTTATACATCTCTAGCAGGAAACTGGATTTTAGGCCTATCGAGTGGATACAGTTTTGTTTTAAAAAAAAGAGTTTTATACAGTTTTTTAATGATTGACTGTTAAGTCAATCATCACTGCAGATTTTTTGTTTTTTTGGTAAACTGCACAAAATTGTAGAAATTAAATTGGCATAAATTTAAGCCGTGGTCAACAACAGAAAGCGTTATTTTTATTAAGTCTTCGGTAGCTGTGATTGTTTATGTTGTATGTTTAACGACCCGTTGATTTGTTTGGATCATAGAGCTATATTAAATTAATTTAATATTGCTCTATGGTTTGGAAACAAACACGTATCCCAGTTATTATTTACGTTGGTCTTCCATAGCTTGCAAAAAAAAAGTGTAGAGCGCCACCGAGCGAGCGACCCGTGAAGACATAAACAGCGCCCTCTTTGGTTTTCTTTGTCACGACATATCCACGACTCCACGAGAACAGCCGATCAAGAAGTTGTATTTTCTTCAAGCTCAACTGAAGCTAGCAGTTGGCATTATTTGCAAAGATGGGTCGTCGGTCAATAAATACCACAAAAAGTGGAAAGTATATGAATCCTACTGATCAAGCACGTAAGTGTGATGATAACTTTATACTGTTGAAAAACATACTCTGCAGGCCAGGCACTTCATTTGCGACGACAATTATGTTCATTGACGTTGCACTAGTTTCGTGAGAAAAAAAAAGTGCATTCTGACGCCACTTTTTCAGGGGCCTACTAAACTGCGTCATCAAGCTTCAACAAACGTCAATTTTGTATATGCTTTTGAACATTAAATTTAAAGGTAGCTTAATTATATAGAGAAAAAGCAATAAAAGAAGATAGTGGATATTTTGCCGGAGGTAATGACGGCAAACTAACGATTACTAAAGGTTTGCCGGCGGCAATCCATATCAACAGAGGGCGCTGTACTCTTTGAAATAGAGCTGAATTATAAGATGTATTAAATTCCCACCAAAAGTTGTGTAGCACGTTTGGTGTAGTGGTTAAGCAAATGCTCTAGTAAGCGGGATGACTCGCGTTCGAATCCGACCGCACCACATTTTTAAGTTTTTTTTTCTCATCCCCAAATAAATAAGAATATTCTTCTTTTATTATGTTAACATGTCTCAAACATTTTTTGCAGAGTATTACATTTTCTTTTTCAGATTTGTAGGTCTGGAGGATTTTTTTAAAAAGGGAAATAAAGTCCGAAATTATAAAATGGTCTGAATCCCATCTTGTGAATACGAGGTAACAACGATAATTTTGGCATGGAGCCAGACTAAAACTTGTCACCGGAAAAAGTTTTAAGTAAAAAAAAACAGTAACTGCGCATGTTCAGTGCATATCTGGCAAACTAACGTTTACTAAAGGTTTGCCGTCTCCGGCAAAATATACACTGCCATAAAAGAACATCTTCTACAATATCAATTAGTAGAAATTATTTAAAAACTTGTTTTTTGAACGTGAAATGTACGACAAGTTTTCTGATTAGTGATGGCCGCCATCTTGTTTGGATAGCGCTGTTCACTTCGCGCATGTGTAGTATCGCTCCGTACACTTCACGCATGCGTAGTACGGCTAGCTTCACGTAAACAAAATGGCAGCCAACACAAACTCGACAGAGTCGTGCGTTGAAAAAAAAAACTTTTGAAATAATTTTAACTTTAACTGATATATGTAGAAGATGTTCTGTATTGCTTTTTCTACCATATAAAGCTACTTTTAATGTTCAAAAGCATATACAAAATTTGTTGATACTTGTTGACGACCCTTGACGCTTGTTGACGCTTGTTGACGCAGTTAAGTAGGACCACTTTTTCACTCTATATTATCTCAGTAAAGGTCAGTCATCATAAAAATGTGGGGAAAAAACATGAATCTGGGACTGGGAAACATTTTCAAGTTTTGTTAGAAAAGAGAAATACAATTTTTGAAATGCATACAACTCTCCATAGGCCGAGGCCCTACTGACTTTGTACACAACCAAATAAAGTGGCTACATTCTGTCCATATTTTCATTCAAATTTGGATTCTGTCAGATTCTGCAATGCTAAGAAAATATGATTCAAAGCAGAGACGTTTTTGTACCTGAAACATGTGAGATGTGTATGTTTCATCGATCATGCAGAATGTTTTATTTTAGGCAGTGTATATTTTGCCGGAGACGGCAAACCTTTAGTAAACGTTAGTTTGCCGGATATGCACTGAACATGCGCAGTTACTGTTTTTTTGTACTTGAACATTTTCCGGTGACAAGTTTTAGTCTGGCTCCATGCCAAAATTATCGTTGTTACCTCGTATTCACAAGATGGGATTCAGACCATTTTATAATTTCGGACCTTATTTCCCTTTTAAAAAAAATCCTCCAGAGCCACAAATCTGAAAAAGAAAATGTAATACTCTGCAAAAAACGTTTGAGACATGTTAAAATAATAAAAGAAGAATATTCTTATTTATTTGGGGATGAGAAAAAAAAACTTTAAAATGTGATGCAGTCCGAATCGAACGCGAGTCATCCCGCTTACTAGAGCCTTTGCTTAACCACTACACCAAACGTGCTACACAACTTTTGGTGGGAATCTAATACATCTTTTAATTCAGCCCTATTTTAAAGAGTACAGCGCCCTCTGTTGATATGGATTGCCACCAGCAAACCTTTAGTAATCGTTAGTTTGCCGTCATTACCTCCGGCAAAATATCCACTTTCTTTATTTTACATACAATTTGGAGTGCTGATTATGACTGGCATGCAAAAAACTCACACCTCCAATTCTTTGTCCTCATTCATGCTTTAGGGCCTATGTCGTTTTTTAATATAAATGGCAGATAACAATCAAACAATAAAATGAGCCGTAAAAAAAGTAAAAAGCTACATTTTTAATCACAATTTATAAAGGTGTCATCAAGAAAGATTTTGGGGGAAACCTATTGTTGTTATGTATAATTGTGAGGTGATATTTCAGTAGATTATTTATTTCTTTGCTATTTTTCTTAGGTAAAGAGGCAAGGAAAAGGGAGCTGAAAAAGGTACGTTGCCATTTTTATTATGGAAAAATAGTCCAAGCCTTCTCAACACTCGGTGATTACATAGAGAGAGTTGGGGAAAACTACTGGGGTGAACACATCACCTGGTCACCTGACTCTCACGCACAGAAGAAGGTTCTTGCGGACTCCAACGGCTTCACCTAAACCATAGACCCGGCTTCTGAGTTTTCTTCGTGGGTGTGCAGTGTACGAAACAAGCATTTCCGATGCCCAGTTTTGATCTTGCAGCACTGCGACTCCTTCTGGTTTGGACGTCATCAGGAACATCTTCATCCTTGTAATCCCGGTGCAGACGTCCAAGTCGAGGTGAAGAGGGATCTGAAGATGATGGCAAGGGCCAACATCTTCCGTTCCGCTGGTACCATTGTCGAGGGGGTGCTCACAGATGTTGCGGCTGCTGATGTCCCCACTTGTCCCAAGCCATGCAACCTCGTCCGCATTTACAACTGGGCTCGCCAAAGCCAGCGTCCACCAGACCCACCGACCTGGGCTTTGACATCGTCTCCTCAAGTGTGCCGGATGGCTTCCTCCAGGCTGACGTCCGGATGGGAAACTCTCGGCACATCTTGATCTATACCGAAAACCAGCTTGCAGTCTTGGACGGAGCTAAGACATGGTACTTGGCCGGCACCTTCAAGATTATCAAGCGTCCCTTCCAGCAGTTGTTAAGCGTTCATGCATTTGTTAAGGGGGACAGCAGAAACAAGTTCATTTTAGCGTTTGTCATGATGTCTAGTCGCACCAAACGCGACTACAAGAAGGTCTTGAAGCGCCTGAAGAAGAAGCTACCATCCAGCGGTTCTAAGATGGAAGAGATGGTTGTCCACTTCGAATCTGGGATGTGGTCAGCCATCTGGCGTGTCTTTCCTGAGAAGCATGTGAGAGGGTGCCTGTTCCATTGGAATCAAGCAGTTTGGCGCCATTGTCAAAAAATTGGTCTCATCATCCCGTTCAACACCGATGTCTCCGTCAGGCAGTACGTTGATGGCCTTGCTGTTCTTGCCTCACGAACACATCCCGGGGCATTTTACAAGTTGCAGGAAGGAGCAAACTCACCACCCTTGATCCAGCTGTGCGACTACATCGAAACAACATGGATCATCAGCACCACGTGGGCACCCCCCAGCTGGACCATTTTCCTTCACCAACATAGACACCATGGGTTTGTGCACATAAGCTCACGCGTACTTCGCACCGTATGCAAAGTTCGCATGAAGCAGCGCACGAATACTGTGTGTCCCACCACCAGAGTTTTTGAAAGTGGTAAAAACAAACGCCCTGCAATGTTTGTGCACGGAATCAGTATTGAATTGAACTTTGATGGTTTGCTTTATATCAACAGAACAAGAAGCAGCGCATGATGGTTCGCAGTGCTGTACTGAAGACCAAAGACCCCAAGAGCATCTTCTATGATATGGAAGCTCTGGACGAACTTGGTATGGACAGTGGCATTGGCAGGATTTTTGCTTTCAGTAGGAGGTTGGGGGAGGGGGGAGAATCAACATTTTATGGTGGAGGGATCTTGAACCCCGAAAGAGTCCTGAAGCCCTTGTTTCACTAGAGCCTCTCAACCTGGGTGGAACTCACCCCTGGGCGAACCCTGTGCCGCCCCGGGTCGAGTTTTTGATTTTCAACTCTGCGTTCAATCCGCATTGTTTCACACTTGTTTAATACAAATCAAGCTGATCATGCTCAGTTACTACTGTTTTGAACCCTGGCAAGAATTTCAACATAGGTTGAAAATCTCAACCCTGGTCTGGAGCAGGGTTGAGTTCAAACCCTGGGTGAAATCAATCTCTGGGTTGACGCAGGGTTAAAATTCTTCAAGTGTGAAATGATGCATGTTTCAACCCTGCGTCAACCCTGAGATTTGTCTAGTGTGAAAAGGGCTTTAGGGGGTTCGGGTTAAAAAAGTGTTGGGGGGAAGAAGGAACAAGACCTCCTTTACTTTTGTCATTTTTCATATTTTATAAATCTGCAGGGTGTAGGGAATTAGCATCAAGCTAAAAAATAGTTGTCTACATTTCTCTTCTGGTCGAGTTACTTTTTTTTAAATGAGTTTTGTTGAAAATCCTTCATTTTTTGAAAAATTCATTTTTAGAGCTGAACCCGGAGACAGTGACGGAATTAAACGAGAAGGTCATTAAAGACAAAAGGAAGAAACTCAAGGAGACCTTGGAGAGGGTTCTCAAGCTTTATGTGAGTACTATTCTTATTAATAGAATTTGTCTCTTTTCTTTTTGTACGAGTTTACTTAAAATTATCCTTGAGAGTTTATGACACCCGAACCACACATAATGCTCGCCCCAGTAGATTAAGGCTCCTAGTGGGTGGTCAATATTCAGAGCAGTATGTAAAACCCTTCAAAAACCCTGCAGGTCAGTTTCAAGCGATGGCTTATAAAGGGTACAAGAATTGAGTCACACAGGGAGTTGGTGCAGACAAACCAGCACTGTGCAGAGCAGTGAAGCATGACCGAATGTGCCTGCTTGCCCTGAGTCAATTTTCATGTACAATTTCATTTTGATTTAATCCTAACTGCCCCAAATCCTTCAAAATCCTTTTTGCCAAAGTGGAGGAATTTGGAGGATTGAGGTTACATGGCAAAAGTGCATAATACTGATTTCGTAGGATGCACTTTGTCAAGGTCTTGGGCCGGACCTTGTGTTGTTTTGCTCAGCTATGCATACAATAATATAGGCCTGGATTATGCTTGAAATCCTCTGTACTGCTCCAGGATGTCACTGGCCAAGCCTCAACATACTGACAGTCCCTGCCACAGGATTTTGCAGGATTCAGGCAGTGGTCACCCCTCCTTGGACCATATTTAAGAAACAATGGAGGAATTTGCAGGATTGAGGCTATTTTTTTCCATGAGGCCAATTGGAGGATTTTGCAGGATTGAGGCTACATCTTTGCAAAAAGGCCTAGGGAAATACGGTTAAAGTAGACCCGGGCAGTTTCCCATATATGATCCTGATATGATTTACATGATCCTAAATTAAAGAAACTGCTGTCAACACTTGTTTGTTGATACCTTCCACAGAGGCGGGAGGACCCTGACATGTACGTGGAGTTCAAGGCCATGGAGGTGGACTACGAAAAGAAGAGAGCCGAAAAACTGAGGAAATTTGGTGAGATGGCGATAAGTGCTCATCAGTAGAGGGCAGTTCCACAAAATTAGAAACCTCAATGCCAAAAATTGCAAAACGGTCCAAATGCCACAAAATGAAATGTGTCTTATTCTGAGTCTTATTATCTGTATTTTATATTGAGATATAGTTTATTTCAAACAATGTTCAACAGTTCCGTTGTTACTTTCAACTTAAAAATTAATTACTGATTGCATAAAAAATCAAATTCGTCTGAGTACGTTTGACACCATTGAATTTCGAGTTGATTCTACTACAGCAAAAATTTGGATGAATATTTCTTTTTTTATTCATGGTAGCAAGTAAGTGCTATGTTTAATCAGAACTAAAATCCACACTAATGCAAAGATTAATACTGTAGTTGTGGATTAAGACAATTTTTTTAAACTATTTTAGACAATTTCAGCAATATTTTTGTCTTTTGTATGCACAGAGGCCATTCGAGATGCCAGACAAGTCAACGTGGAGTCCATCCCACTCCCAGAAACTCCAGACGGTAAGATAATACTTTGTAAAACACACTCTTGTTTTACTTTACTCTCGGGGACAATGCTTTGTGTTCCCTTTGTCCCTGTAATATAACACTCTCCCATAGACTAAGCACGCAAACTTACTACAGAGGACCGTTTCCAACAAAAGACCCAACTCCCGAGGACTGAAAGGATCTGTTGTTTCCCTTTGTGTGTCGGTCCTGGGGGTATGTAGAGCACTTACATATACATACCAAATGAGGCCACACTTTATGGATGTGTTTCATTAGCTCACCCAGGTCGACTCGGGTAAAGGCAGCCAGGCAAAAGCCATGACAGCCGAGCTAATCAAACGCTCAAACATGGGCCATCATGATCCTCACGTGATGTCCCTAGCAACGGCTGTAGCCGCCATTGACAAAAATGCCCTTTTTTGGACCGAGTTTTCTTTTTGAGATCAACGGCTTTTCCGTAAATTGCAAAAAGTAGCAACGTCGATCTGGAAATATAATCTCGAAAGTCGCACTGAGATCAATAACTAAATTAGGTTTAGACTTCAAATAAATTTGTGGTGTTTTGGGGTCCACTTGATATTTTCCGCTGTCCGACTGCCATATTTGTCCGTTTCTTGTAATGAACAAGGTATGCGTGTGATGTATTTCCACCAGTGACCCCGCTCCTCCGCACCCCCCACCCCCCCCCCCCCCCCTGTATCCACCACTGACCCCTGCCCAGTTCCTAATTTCTGCGGTGTCACAAACGATTCCTTGTTGATCGTTGATTATTGACTGTTGAAACAAATCAAGAATATTGTTTACAACTCCTTTTTTTTCCAGTTCCATCGCTCATCCCACTGCCTCAAGATATCCCTCTGCCAGGCGCCCAGCCCCCCTCCATACTCAAAAGAACGTCATCCTATGGGTAAGAAAACACTGAAACCTCTCATGCATGTTCCATGGATATTATCAAGACATATGTGACCTGTTCTGTCAAAATCAGACTTTTCTGGGCATAAGGTCAAAAATGAGGTTTTTGCATATTGTTAAAAAATGTTCTTTTTCCTTTTAATAGGTGGTTTAATTTTTGAAATTGGTCATTCCTGGGCAGAGTTATGCTATTTTGAAGTTCATTGTGTCGAGAGGTAGAAAACGGAGAAAATGGCCACGAACGTCACAAAACAGTAATTTCTTTAACTGATTTTAACAAATCATCAAAAATACTATATTTAGAGTTCAAATTAGGGTTTCAAACTTTTATAGTATATTTTAGACATGTTCAGGATTACAAATATGCAAAAATTTGAAAAAAATCACCCCCACAGCGTTTTTTTGCCCTATCTCAATTTCAACCTCTGCCCAGAGGCGTCTGCTTTTGACAGAACAGGTCACAAATAGGATCAGTTGCTGTTCATTCCACATGAAATGTCCTCCCAATGACTGGGTATAGTTTGCAGGATTCAGTGACTACTGGGCCTTTTCAAAAACACTCCAGAGCTGTAATGTTGAACAAAATGGATCGGAACGCTCTGATAAGTTGGATGGGCAGTCTGTTCATACACCATGAAGACTATTAGCAAGTATATCAAGTTACAATCAGCGACCATGAAGCAAATTAGGGGATGTTCCAGTTGTTTTCTTTAGCATGTGTCACAAGAAATGGAATGCTCAATTTTATTTTAAGGTTTATTTCAAATATCTGGTTTTCAAAATCGAAACCATATATTATAATTCAAACCAAATTTTTAAAAATCTGAATAAAAGTCCCACCACTTTTTAATTCCTTTTAAAGGGTTGGAAAACAGCTGATGCTCAACCATAATTTCACTCCTGCACCTGTCAAACCAATTAACAGGTGAATTTGTTTTTTTGTTGGCTACTCCTTTTCAGCATGCCATTGCCCCCACCCGGTCCCCCACCGGGTCCCCCTCCCAGCCTCTTTCCGGGGCTTCCGCCGGGCAAGAAGCCCCCAGGTCCCCCACCAGGTCTGCCACCGTATGCGACCACTCCCTACGCACCCAGATCTCCCCCAAGGGTCTCCTTCACGGGTGTGGCGCCGGAAGAGGAAGGTGAAGCCTACAATCCAGATGAGGGTGAGGGGAAAGTTCTTGGTCTTTACTTTACATTATAAAAGTCGTTTGAAAATGAGGTGTTCGAAATTAGGTGGAGTGCCGTGGCCTAGTGGCCTGGAGCATTGAATTTGTGGTCTGCGGGTAATTCTGCAGATTGCGGGTTCGAGTCCTGCTCTGGGTTTTGGCGCCTGTGCTCCTGAGCAAGGCACTTTATCACTCATTGCTTTTCTCTCCTCAGGAGTAAATGGGTACCTGTGAGAACAGAGTTGGTTACTGTGAGAGGTTTATTACGGCCAAGAGCACTGAAACGGCTGCCTTCCGGCCGCGTATGCTCTCTAGGGAGTTGACAAGGTTTCAGGAGTGTTTGCCCCTTGAACAGGGGTAGTAAGAATTTCAAAGTGCTTTGATAACCGTTTTAAAAGCGCAATATACATGCCTGTTGTTATTATTTAAAAGAGACCCACTCACTCCTCTTTCTGTACTTCCACAGACGTGTCAGACATGGAAGACGAGGAGAACATGGACGACGGGTCTTCATCCTCATCGTCATCGGAAACCGAGGACGAAGGTGACGAGGACAACACAGACAAAGAGGACGATGACGACGAACAGGAGATGGATGCTGAAAACTTGGAGCAAACAGACAGAGAAGGTGGGAGCCATTGTTGTTGTACCCCTAATCCTTTTCTTAAGTAGAAATGCCAAGAAAAGGCAGGAAGCACCTGTGGTCCAAATGGACCAAGCGGTTAAGAGCACCGGACTCAAGCTGTGGTGTTTCTGATCAGCAGAGTGTGGGTTCGAGTCCCGGTGTTTGACACTTGTGTCCTTAAGTAAGGCACTTAACCATTATTGCTTTGTCCTTCGGATGGGACGTCGGTCCCATGCGTTGTATAATGCACGTAAGAGAACCCATCAAGAACCCAACACCTATCGCTAAGAGAAGGGGCGCGCCCCTGTGTTTCTGACCGTGCATTTATCTTCATACATATGAGGCTGGACTTTCAAGGAAGGAAGATAGGACACTTGACAAAGGAAGTGAGACTCACTAGTAAAGTGATTCTAAGAAAGTGATATGAGATCGAGCTTGTTGATGAAGCTCTTGGAAGACTGTGGTCTGTAGAATGGTGGGAAGCACGATTGTGGTAGAGAGTTCCACAATTTGGATGTGCGGACAATGAAGGATGATGAGTGAGATACAGTATGGGACCTAGGTATTGAGACTCTGAAAACCCCGTGAAAATCTTATTCGACAAACTTTTCAAGAACTTTCATTTGTCATCATTTATTAAAAAACTCGGAGACTAAATTAAGTCAAACAAGGCCCATTCTAACTGCCACTGATGCGTAACTGAATTGCCTTGAGCATGGCAGTAGGTCAGCAATTGCATTGCACTTGCTCTAAAAGTGGAGTTTAAATGCGATTAAAGTAGCTTGCCCTACTTCTATGGGCTTTATTCATGAGTTGGCCATATTAAATTTAAAGCGAAGTAAAATCCTCATTTTTTGGAACTTGTGAAGAGAAATGAAAGCAATGACATAAGGTTAATTACAAATTAATACCAGTCTGCTCTGATGAATAATTTAAAATTTGTGATTAAACACACCCTGATGTTTTAAGCCACATTTTAAAAAAATGACAGTGAGGCTAGAATGCACAAAATAGTCTGGCACCATCCCATTCAACAGTTCACAATTTATAAAATACATTCAGGGAACAATACCGAAATGGCGTCCTCATGACTAGGGTCCATAAGTTGGGCGAGTCATTCATGATTGAAAATACTGACAGCATAGACAAATGTCAGGTGTGTCAGAAAATAAGAAAAGGAGCAGCACCAACTCCTGCAATTTTTTTTCAAATTTGTCCAACTCGGTTTCCTTGCTTAATCATTCCAGGACTAGCCATGGGACGCTCCAAGATGAAAAAAGAAGGCCGACTGCCGCCCGGAATGTCTGCACTGCAAGCCGCTATGCTGAGAATGGCAGGCCAGGAGGTTCCGATGGTTGAAGAAGATGATGCAGAGGAAGAAGAAGAGGAAGATCATGAAGAGGAAGAGAATAAGAAACTAGAGAAAGAGGAAGATAAGCCGAGGAGCATGATGGCACCCATGGGTTTGATGCCACCCCGCGCCCCTCAAGGTGAACCTCAAGGCCCCCCAGCAGTCAACCCCCCAGGTGCGCCCCCAGGCCCCCCTCCCGGCCCGCCAGCTCGCCCTCCACCTGGGCCCCCGCCAGGGTTCCCGATGCCCAACTTTGCTCGGGTGCCCCCACCCCGGGGCCTGCCGCCTCGAATGCTTCCCCCAGGCCCGCCGCCCGGTCGACCACGCGCCCCTCCTCCGGGGCCACCTCCAGGTGTACCCCCATTGATGCGTGCGGGTCTGCCCCCTCACCGGCTCCCCCCACCGCCAGGGATGGGGCCCCCTCTGCGGATGATGCCGCCCAGGCTGCGTCCCCCTGTGCCAGGAATGCCGCAACCGCAGCAGCATGAGAACCCTAATGTCCTCAGTGCCCCGCCCAGCATCCACAAACTCCCCGTGAAACCGGACGACCGTCTGATCGAAAAGAAATCCTCAGCGACCATCGAGGCCAAACCCCAGATCCGCAACCTTCAGGCGGACGTGACGCGATTCATGCCCACGTCCCTGCGCGTCAAGCGTGACAAGGGTAGGGCTAAAGGACTGAAAACTGGTCCAGGTGCAGAAGAGGACATGATCAAGTCAGTGCCAGTGCCTAAGGCTCAGCCAACCGTTCCTACGGCAACCAAGGACGATGCCTACGATCAGTTCATGAAAGAGATGTCAGGATTGATGTCAGTCCCACAGGGTGAGGAGACGTGAGTTATACTGTAATCACTCTTGTATAATTCCATCTGTCAGTTTTTACTTCATTTTTATTAAAATCTTGGACAGCTAGATTTGGGAAAACTGACTGTTGCTGAATGTCAACAAGTCAATTTTTGTCGGAGTAGAAATATCTTTGGGAAACAATGTCGAATACCCTGAAGTGTTGACGAAATCTGACCTCTTCGCAAGCACTTCCCTGCAACTATTGCATATATGCATAGCCTGCCATTGTTTAGAGTAATCAAGTTATAATTTATACTTCAGATTTGTATCAGGTCTGCATTCCATACAAAGAGAAGATGGACTGCTTCCACATACCGGTGTATTCTCGACCTGAATATAGACAATTGGTGACTGAAATTCATTATTTCGTCATGTCCGTGCAACAAGGTCATATCTCCTAAAATGGGCCATACGTGAAACGGGAGTTTCAGAATGTCAAAAGGTCGTATCTCACTTAAAATAACCTGGATGTTACAGAAAGTCAATGGACGTCGAGATACGACCTTGTTGCACGGAGCGTATTCGTGCGAGATACGACTTTGTTGCAGAATGGAGTTACGACCTTGTTGCACTGACGCGACGGTTTGACCCCGATTTAAAAGTCATTGCTTTGATTCTTGTCTGTGTCTGTCAAGCTTCTGTTAACAAAAGCAATTCAATAAAGTGCATTGTTTACTGAATCCGGCGACCAGAATTAGAAACTTTTTCTGCGGTGGATTCACTCTCACACGAATACTGCACGCGTTCTTGAAGATGATTGGTTGAAGGAGCCCAAAGTATGTGCGCACTACCGTTTGCGCGACCCTAGTGCCACCTTAGAAAATGGCTGCAGCCTGATTGGTCTATATGAGAAATTTAGAAGTATTGAAAGTTTTGCATTATTTTTCCAAATTTCTTACCAGTATAATTATTTTTTTCCTTTGAAGGTTTGGTCTTGGTGTAATTTACAGTGCCAATAAATCAGATACCAGTCAATTTGGGATCAACCTAAATGTTGTGACAACCTTTAGAAGTGATCCCCGTTTGCTATTTCCCGGGTTCACTGCATAAATGTTGCTAGCATCGTGACTTTGGGTGTGATCCCTGGCTACATGGCATGTCTGGATTTATGGCTTCTGACTAGCGCCGCTTGAACAAAGACATTGACAAAATGAGGGACCGACAACATACTGTAGGGCTGGATAGCTCAGATGGTAGAGCACCGGAACGGCAATCCGGAGGTCCCAGGTTCTAACCCAGCTCCAGGCAGTTTCTTTGTTCAACTTCTAAAATTAAGCTGTAGAAGTGTTCAAGTCTGTTTCATATTTCCCTCATGAGTGAATATCTGTTTAAAACGACTGACCACTTTTTTTGTCAGATAATTTTACAAACTGTTCACAACTTTTTTTGTTAACCCTTGAAATTGACAAATTTTGTTGCATTTTTTTTTTCTGTGTCAGAAACATCGAGAGGCAGTTAGTGAACCCTTTCCCAACTGTGTTTTTTATTCGACAATGTCCAGCATGGAATGGAAAATGAAATGATAATTGTTATTCTCCCATGACGGCCATTCACCTCTTTGCTAATTGGTTGTAATGTACATGTTACCACTATTTGGAAAGTGTACATAGGGTTTTAGATACTGTCAATAAATTGCCTGGTAGTACATAATGAATAAATTGATTCTGTTCAATACTTAAAAGTGCTTTCTGTTTGGAGAGGTCCATATTTTGTTGCCAATTTGTCAATATTCTGTAAGGTGAGTTATTGTCACTGTACGGTCATTATGTGCACTCCGCATTCCATGCAGCATTGGGGTTTTTTTATAAAAAAGTTCAGTGAAATTTTGAAACCTTGGCTTCGTTCTGGTGTACTGTGAAATTTGGACTGTAGTGAAATACAAACTCATTGGTTGTATTGCGCTTGCATGTGTGGACATATTAGGAAAGTGCGAGGGCACATGTGAGGATTAGAGTCCGTATAAAGAGACCAAATTTCGTAGGATCCGAGTTTTATATGACACCGGCTTCAAATATATACTTCAGCTCAATGGACCGATCCAGTAAGCCCCGCCCACTGCACACTGGGCAAATTAACACGTGCTCCTCTCCAATGCCACACTGCATTTTCCTGCCGCGGGCATCATGCGCGCGTGCACGCATGTCGGACTTTTGTGCACGCACGTCGGACATAAATAACAGCTGTGATTGGTCAGAACACCATGGGGCGGTGCTTACTGGATCGGTCCATTGGTCAAACCTCTACCTCAGGAACATCAACTCTACCAAGTTTAAAGTATTTCCATTTGGTTTTATACACTATCCCAACCTTCCAAAATCCTCTTTGCATAAGTGGAAGATTTCAAAGAAATCACGCTGTTTGGCAATAATGTGACAGTTGATTTTGGAGGATGCGTTATGTCAAGGTCTAGGCTGTACCTTGTGTTGTTTATGCTTGGCCATGTGTCAATTTAATCCAGTAGGGATATACTCAAATCATCCGGACTGCTTCTGAAAATCATCCGCCCTGCAGTCAATGTAATTTTCAGGGATTGTTGGAGGATTTTGCAGGATTAAGGCAGTAGTCACCCCTCCAATGAACAAGTGCAAGAAATAACATGATTTGGGAGGATTGAGGCTGTATCCATGTTTTTCGTGGAGCTAAGTTGGAGGATTTTGCAGGATTGAGGTTGCATCCTAGCAAAAAAACCTAGGGGTTAAAAACTTCTTAAATTCTGTGAAGCTGCAGATAAATCTGAAGATGAAGCCGTGGTTTCAAAAAAGAAAAATTCCCCTCTTTCTTTTTAAACGTCATTCAGTGAACCACAATATTTTTTTTGTGCCCACAAACTTCGTAAAAACGGATGTTATTACGGTGCCTGGGTGTAAACACGATGTAATCACGTTTAATATGATTGCTATGCATTTACAGTTGGGCAGTAATGTTCCTTTGAGGATGGCAAGTCAAGCGCAGTGTTGGCTTGCGTCACTCGCCCTTTATCTCCTAAATTCCTTGGCATCAGTACCCATTCTCACAGGACAAAAGCCCTGTTACAGTAAAAACGCAAAGTGACACACAATCAATATTTTCACAAACAGCTGTAAGCGGAATAATGCAAGTTGATTTCTATTCAACTCTACCTAAACATTAAAGGGAATGCGTGGCGATGGTTGGAAAAACATAAGAAACATTATAAAGAAACTTGAATATAAACTCAATTTGGAGCAATTTCATGTATTTCTTGGCAAACAAACCTTGATTTCAATCGGGTTTATCAGAACAGGTTACTGTACATGCATGTATTCAAAACTATGCGATTTGTTCTGAGCTGTTACTGAACTTGCTGTGCACACACTTTCTCTTTTGCGATACCATATTTGCTGCTTATGCCTACTATGCATGCAATTGGATTATTTACCGCTTCTTCATCTATTCAAAACTGTTTTGGTCCCAACAAATCTTGTAAACAGGTCCTGCGTTTTTGTGAACAACAACCGCTTGAAATTTGTAACAAAACCCAACTGGAAATAAGTTTTTAGACCTTAAGTTTCTTTTCTTGCGGAAGCACACAGTTTTGCAAAGAGAAATTTTCTTCCGAAACGTGATCAAGAAAAAGCATAGAAAAAAGCTTAGAAAGTATCGAGTGATGTCTTGCCTGCCTTTTGTTGTTTAGAGTCACAAGTGGGCGCTTCAAGTTTTCCAGCATCTTGACGTATGGCAAAAAAAAAAAGTCTCCGGTTTCTGGCATGCGCGCGCGTCGCCGTAGCCACGCGCGTCGGCAAAATGAAAAGGTTTTTTTTCAATGAAAGATGATGTCTCAAAACCGCCAAATTCACTGGTTTGACTGGAATCCTGCTGCTGCACAATTTTAACGTGTTTCTAGATGGGGTTATGATCGAGAATAAGCTTTATGTGGCTTCTCTGGACTCCCATGTATTGCACTAAGTCTAGTCGGGCACCATTTGCAGTCATCAGCCGATATTTGAGGCAAAAAAAATCAGGTAAAAAAAAAAAAAAAAGCCGCGTCGCCGCACCACTTTTTGGGCTTTTTTTGGCCTATACGGACCGCGGTAAAGTTATGTTTCGAGTCAGTACATGCCCGCACTCCACACCCCCCTTTAATATTTCAAAGGCGTCAGAGACCCACATTCAATACAAACGTCACATCTTGGAGGCTATGCATCAAACAGATTGTGAATTATTAATGCTAAGCGGGAGATGAAACCCGGTTTTTGCATTTAGCGGATCGGATCAAGCGAAGGTTGCGTATAGTGCACGTTTGCAAGATAGTGTTTTCATCCGAGTACATGTACACAGATAGTGGATGGTGTACACATTTCACAAGAACTCTTAATTTAAGAGATACTTGTTCATCAACAAAAAATCTTCATTTTCAAAGCAGAGCTTGTTAAATGTTATCAATACATTGCGTGTACTCTTTTGAGGTACGATAGTTAAAAACCAGGCCAGTCGTGTTTGTTTTGCTGCGTACGAAACTTTCTTGAACCAAAGAACGTCCTTGCTCGAGGCACAACAGAAATCCCTTTGTAAACTTCTTTTGTTCGTGTCACTTGGCTGGCCTGCCTGAACCAAAAATGACATGACACTTCACAGTTTCAATTTCTGTCCCATTTTCTCTTTCTTTTACCTTGGAAGTAAAAGATAGTTTCGGGGAATTTGATTTCTGAAAAGCAAGTGACGATTTGTTTTTGAATGAGAACCGCTAGTACAGTTACATGTATAACCATTTTATCTTCCAACAAACTTGAATCCTCGATCCTGATTGGTCAATCCATAGAAGCAGCTATGTGATATTGTGCAAATATAACATGGTTTGAGGGTGGATAGTCGATATTAGTTTCCCTTTTTCGTATACATTGTACATCTGGTCTTGTGTTGTTCATGTGACCATCATATCCCCTCCTTTAGCCTCGGTACAATACCTTTACGATCGATAGTCCTCTTTTGTGTTCTGATGCACAAGTAGGCATATTTACGCTTCGCTGAATAGAAAGGAAAAAAGGAAATTGGTCACGAAGATGTTGCTACTTTTGAACGTCCGTAATTCTTAATATTGAAGCAACGGGTGCTACACTCATAGCACTGCATGTATACGGTCTAATTATGAGGCTCGTGGCTCCAGCCATAGTTTGTACAGTGAACACACCACACGGCTTGAGCAAAGACCAGCCTCAGTTGCAGGCCGGGTAAAATATTTGATCAGGCTCCACTCCTATTGTGCCTGTGTTTGCCCGCCCTGGCAAAAACACGTCATCACCTTATTAGCAAACCCTTACCGGTCCAGTATCTGTTTGAATTTAAGCTTTCTTCTTTTGTGCGCAACGAGAGCATGAAAATGTAGAATAAATAGGGTTTTTTTTCTATTTATAAATTCAGAAGCTGGGCATCTTTATTTGTCATAGCTGCCGTTGTTATTGACTCGCAAGATACAATGTTTGTGCTTTAAGTCTTGTTAAGATGCTTGTGCGTTGTCGGTCATTGGATGTGCCTATAATCTCATTAACCAGGTGTCAAGAAATGGAGGGAGAAAAAAAATAATCTTCACCTGAATTCATTTTGTTGTTGATATTAGGGAAAACTTTATAGTGGAAATGTAGTTTATGCTAAATTTGGGGTCCGCGCATAAGTCCGACGCCTCATAGGTCCGACGCCTCATAAGTCCGACAAAATCTCATCCACCAACCAAATAAAGGCCGATAAGTCCGAAGCCTCTTAGGTCCGATGCCCCATAGGTCCAACGCCTTATAAGTCCGACGCCTCATAGGGCCGACGCCTCATACTCCGACGCCTCATAAGTCCGAAACATCGTTTGTCCGTTGTCGGAATTATGAGGCGTCGGACTTATGAGGCGTCGGAGCTATGACGCCGAATCCCTAAGTCCAATGCCTCAAAAATCCAATGCCTCAAAAATCCGACGCCTCATAATTCCGAAATGTTCGGACTTATGATGAGGCGTCGGACTTACGAGGCGTCGGACCTACGATTCGGCCCTCTACAGTTTAGTGTCAAAATGGCACGTCAATATGCTTTTTCAAACTAAGCATCTTTAGGTGAAAAAAAATTTTTCTAGACATCTCGTATTATAGCTCTCACTCAGATTATGTTAATCGCAGTATACTGCATTCTATAGGCAACTTTCGTGTTATTCGTAAAACGCATACGCTTTGTTTTGTGGAATTCCAGTCCCGTGAATTTGAGCATATTTTAAAAGGCATCCAGAACGCGCTCATTGATATTTAGATGCTTAGGTTTGATGGATACATTGCAGCACCAATGGCAATTCCTTTAACACTGTAAAATGCCAATGTGTAGGTAGCCATACACTACAGGTAAACCTACTTGGTTAAACAGCGTGGATGATTTTTGGACAAGTTGTGTTCAACATTGCTTGGCTCTGGAAATTTATATTCATTCATCTCGGAAAATCGGTAGTATCGGTGGTGGTCCACTGCGTCTATGGATCTGAAGAGACCTCGGGTTTATAGAAGTGACATTAATCATCAAATAGCATGCAATGTTAGGAATATGACTATATGGACCAAAAGGTAAATTGACGTGCATTCCCTTCGAATTGTTGCTTTTATTACCATAACAATTTCGGCATTTCTGTATAAAGCTGTAACGGACCCAACGCTTCCCTTTTTTGAAATGTGAAACTTGCTGGCGAGAAATTTAATTCTCCGTGATTACCGATGTATTGAACGCGGTTTATATCGTACCAAAAGATGAGCACGTGCTGGATGCTATGCATGCACTACATGGTCACCTAAACCCTGGCAACGAAACCGGAACTTTCGACCAATAGGAACGGAGTTCTTCTTTCCCAACTTTTGGCAGCATGTGCTTTCGTCTGGTTCCCAGAATCAACTCGCTGGCGTTCTTGCATTGAATATATGGGAAGAATTGAACAGACGACCCACGTACACAGGCGTTTCAAAAAGCAGACGTTTTGGCTGGACCTGGCGGGAATACAATTCAAACCGTGGTGTGAGTTGTTTTGCTAGTGTTCGTCAGTGTCAGCCCATGTTCTCCAAAGACAAGACTAGAGCTGCCAAAACAGGTAAGTTTATAAAATCCAAATAATGTAGTTAAGTTATGTAAGGCTAACATATAAGAATGGCTTTCAAGGTTCTAAAAAATCGAAAACGTTTCTAGTTCAAAGTCGTAGAATGTATTTCTTTGGTATCATTCATAGTGATCTACATGTACACAGAGTCCACGATGCTGGCAATAACGCATGTGGAAAATGCTGCTGATGCTTGACCCTTGATTTCACCCCCGCGTTTTTCACCTCCGCGTTTTTCACCTCACGTGTTAATTAATGTCATAATAAATAGTGGGGAAATTAACCGGAAGTACTGCTATTTACTCTTTCACCGAAATGGCATTAACACTGAAGTGTTTGCTTCGGGAATTCTCCCCTCGAGAGCCGACGACATGAACTATCTGTGAAAACAAAAAGCGCTGTGCGCGAGTTCAGTGTTTTCATTTAGCTCTTAGGCCTAATTGTGTACTCACTAAGGCCAAGCGCAATTAAACCAAATTCCAATCAGGTAATTGAGATAGTTAATGAGATTTTAATTAACAGTGCGCAGAGAACCCCAAATGATTGAGACTGTACGGTTGGGAACTGATAAACATGGGTAGGGCATGTTGTATATTGTTTGAAATGGCTGTCTATATTGTTACTGATTGTTTCACTTTTCAAGTAGGTAGGGCCTAATGTCGTGACAGTTTGAACAAGAAAAGTTCAAGAATCCTTGAAAAATAATTAAAATTTACCTTGGTATGCGATATCCCAGCTTAAAAACAATACAGGTACAGTTTAATCAGTAAAAGCTACCTTAAGTTTGTACTTGTGCATAACTGGAAATGCTTTATATTTCTAGAAAACAGAAAAAAACAAACACAATATTTTGGATCTCAAGATCAATTCCAAATTCGCTGGGTCATATTTTGAATGACAATTGAAATCCCAAATTCAGCATTTAGGACATCATCTCATTCAGTCGGTTGTCACCCATTCAGGGATTCGCAAAATTACAAACCCACTAAAAATTAGAACGAATGAGGGCGGATTCACGGAAATTTCCGAAAATGTGTCACTTGACCCATCTTTGGAAATGACCTCCTTTTGTTGTTTTCTTCAAAATGACAGCATGCCAGAAAGAATAGTTTCACAGGGAGTTTAGTGTCATCTTTAAACAACGTAAGCTTTTTCACAATAATTTGGCCGGCTACCTTTTGGATAGCTGCAACAGTGACAGTCTACGCCACCTTAAGCAGGTGTAACAAAAATACACTTCTTGACTTGTACCCTCCGCACCCACCCCCCCCCCCCCAAAAAAAATAATAATAGATAAAATCCCACCGGTGTAAATGAAGTAACAAAATAACGGCAATTATAAATTGACAACTGGCCACAAGGTAGAATAGTATTTCTATTGCATTTTTTATTTCTTTACAAGCCAAACTGAAGGCATTAAAAATAAAATAGAGCGACTTCACATCTGTAAATTCAATATGAACAAAAATACTTGGACGGAATCATTGTGATTGCTAATTCAGTGCACATGTGCTAGTCAGAGTTCTGTTGATTCTAAATGTCACACATCAAATAGGGCAGGTTTTGGACAAATATTGAAATATCCAAATTGTGTATTACGTTTCAAATATTAATTAATTAAGTGCATTGTTTGAAATTTTATTTAAATGTCTGTAAGTACCCCTTCAACAGAAAATGACTGTTTTTTTTTGGTTTGGGCGAGCGTAGCAAACGAACCAGTGGTTTGAAAATGTTATTGCATGACAAAGTAAAAAGAAACACATTAACAGCAGATACACCAGCAATTTGAAAAATCAAATCATAATTGCATTGAATACAGTATGGACATGGACATCCTAGGGGTGTGCATAAACAGGTAGTACGAGAATCGAGTACCCAATTTTAAAAAAATAAAAGGTATCTGTTAAAGAAACCAAGGCTAAAATTAAAATCTTGGAAATTGCTGTACAGATTGTCCATAAAGCTTGGCACGCTACCACCACATCGGTGCGTGATACAGCAAGATAAAGGTGTGTACAGTGAGCTCAATAGGTCTGCATGTATCTTTAATGTGCATTTTCGCAAGCGTCTTAAACGTGAATCTGTTTTGTTTTTCCGTTTAGCTCGGTATTCATTTTGAAAATTCTCCACAAATGACATTTGAAATGTTTCCTTTTCATTGTCAGAGAAGTTACTAAGTAGCATGTCAAGTTGGTTACGGGTACTTGTTTCCATATTCTGGAACCGTACTCGGGGTAACTCGGGTACCCGGTTCTGACGCCCACCCCTAGGACATGATGAATGACTCTGACTGTGAGATTAAAAATACATTATGAACCACGAGTAACATTATCACATTATTTCACACAGAAGATGACAAGTAGGTGAATACAAAAATTAAAATCACACATAGCGAACACGATTAGGTCTAAGCTGCACCAAAAGCAAACTGTAATATAACTATATAGATTCTCTGAAGTGATTTGTTTTATCTTGCGCCAGGCAAGACAAATTATTTACAATTATTTGAAATGCAAAATACACCGCAAACGGCAAGAGCCAGCTCTTGAATTTAATTTAAATTACAATTTTAACCATCCATGATCCTTGGGGAGTCCTTCATTTTTGCATTTGTTAATTTTTCTTCAATTTGGGCATCGCGATTCAGTGAAGTTTCCATTTTATTAGGAAAATGTTTGGATATCAGAAGGGCTCAAAAACTGGTCTGAATTTAATTGGTAGCATTAACAAGGTATCTGTCCATTTTAAGGATAATGATTTTCTGTGAAACTTACATGTTCTGAAGTTCAACACAGCTCATGAGCAAGGTATGAACACCAAAAAAATATATATTTAAAGCTGAAACCCGACTGACACAATTGCAGATTTTACTCCGAAATCTAAAATGAATTTTCTATCATGATTTGACAAAAGTCATTGCTAAGGCACATTATGGGAGCCACATGCATTCAATTGTTATATGAATACCATGATTGTCTTTTACTGCACAATATAAAATTCTAATGGAACAATACTCATGATTTGGGCCATTTTGCACAATGCTGCTTACCAGATGACACCAAATGGTGGGCAGATTTTGTTTTTGCATTGGATCTTACTTCTGTCATGTGATGGCTAATCTTATTAAATATTTCCAAGTGTAGGATTAAATATGGCACATTGTGCCCTTTTGGTATGCACACAATATAGAATATTTATAATTATTGGCTGTAATGGTTCATGGTGATGGTACAGGTTGAAGTGATAGGTCCCAAGGCATATCATCTCCAGAAACGCTCCGGAGGCCTAGCAAGTCCTCCACATCAAACGAGGCAGGACCACCCGCTTCAGCCCAAGGGTGCGACTGCTGGTCGTTAATGGAGCTGACCGGTGACGGAGGCAAGTCAATCCCACTCAACAGCATCTCGGCCTCCTCGGAGGTAAAGTCTAGATCATGCAAGTGCTCATCGAACCAGGCCGGTCGCGGTATATGCACTCCGCTGATGGACAAGTCCAAAAAGTCCCCAAAGTCCTGGGGTGCCTCGTTCGACGGCGGCGGACTGATTTGTAGAAACGGGGACGAGCACCTGTCTTGCTCGGCTTCGTCCAAGATGTCTTCCGTCTTGACCTTGATGCCTTCAACGTCAATCTCCGACTGAAAGATGGAATTCCAGCCAATGTCGCCTCTGAGGACAGCACTGGGCAGATTGTCATCCGAGTCGGATAAGTCAGCACTGCCCAAACTGTTCAGCTGGAACGGCCTGAACTTCGGCTGGTCGTGGTCTGGGGCTTTCCGCTTGGGCGCCGACTGTTTCCGACTGTGGTGCTTGTCATGACACTCATACCCATCGTCGATCGGCTCAATCTTGATCCGTTTGATGTTCTCAGGGAAGAAGTCTCTGGTCGAGCTGCACCGTCGCTTCTTGAAGATGCCATTCTCCAGGAGATCGGCGTGGGCGGGGTCAATCTGCCAGAATCCCCCCTTGCCTGGCTCATCCTTCCTCCGTGGAACCTTCATGAAGCACTTGTTGAGAGAGAGATTGTGGCGGATGGAATTCTGCAGCAAATGGGGGAAAAAACCAAAAAAACTTTTTTAATTTAAGGTCTGTTTAGCTTATTTTAAAAGCAGGTTTTTTCATTATTTCGTTCAGTTTTCAGGTGTACAAACCATGCCCAACTAACATTGGTAAATGTACGTCAATTCAATATCACTTTTTGTTTGTTAAGCTATTACGGTTTACATATGTATGTCAACAGTGAGATAAATTATATTTGTTCACCTTGCTCTGTATATCAGCTACATGTACATGTAGTTTTCATGAGTGCATGTAGATTCCTAACAAAACTCCAATACACGACAGCTGAATTGTTTGTTTGGAGTTGCAGGTGTGTATGGGATGTGTCAATGTAGATCTTTACATAACGAAACTGTGTACAGCTGATTAAATGGCAAATTTAGAAAAAAAAATACACTCTCATTAAGGACTGAAAATAAACTTGATGAAAGTAAAGACAAATTTTGTCTGCACTTTTCTTCATAAATATCCGTTATTAAAAATGTAAGTATCCTTTTTGACTTTGGAAAAAAAAAATTGTCCCCTTCTTAATTGCAGGTTCAATGCATTCAGAGTGTTTATTATGTCGCTATGGCAACAGTTAAAGAGCCAGTGACAGGCTTGAGTTATAAAACAAGGTTGTGGGGTCGTCCAGGTCACACCGCAAAACCTCAGCAGCTATGCCTAACCTCTGCTCCCCTACATGCTTGACAGGGCCCTGTCTACGTGACAAAACACCCAAAGCTCTACCCCTACCCCCTAGGGCGTCTAATACCATAATGGGCTGCCCCTCTGCCAAACTATACAAAACACCTGTTTTGACCCTATAGAGAATGGGATAATGGGAACAATTTCGGCCAAAGATCTGGGAGAGTGATTCATTCTTGCCTGGATTTTTAATACTTCAAAGATGTTCACGGCTTAATGGTTTTTACCGCTGACAGGCATACGCGCATTGTATTGTATGACAACATCATCCAGGTTATGTATAATTTCATGGATGGTTGCAATTTGAACCCCGCAGAGATCTATCAAACGTTCAAGTGGAGGTAAACAAGTACATTGTAATCAAGTTTTGGGCAGAGTTTCAGATTTCTTTCTTCAGAACTGCAATATAAATTCATGACTCAAGACTCAAAAGTGATGGAGCTCTATCACTTTTCCATAACAAATTTAACGAATGAACAAGTACATCGTATTCATTTGGTAATCAACTAGACATTGAAAAGAGATCTTCTATGGATAGATTTCACACCTGATACAATTATGTTTTGCAGTTTTCAACAGCTGCAAGTGCTTGACATACTATATTCTTCTATTACTTCACTAAATGAAGTAACGACAATATGCTGCTTTAGAAATCCTGTAAAGGTATATTGAAAGGAAAATATTGGAATTCTAACACTCTTATAAAAAAATTAAGGATAAAACTCGAGTTTCAAACTTTCAAACAGATTTTTCTGCGTCATAACTTCCCAAGTTAGTCAGCACTTTTTGGTATTGACAAACATGTTCATACATGAAAACATGTACAGTAACACATGTATACAGAAAGAACGCTATTCAGTCAGTAGGGGATTTAAATCCCCTACCTGCGTAATTTGCATGTGAACAGAGCCAGGATCCCCCAGTGGACAGGCCAAACATGCAAACAGCCCACAGATCAATACCACCAGCTGATTTCAATGGGTCCAAGGTGCAAGGTATTGTGGGCCGCGAGTGTCTCTACACAACCCTGATGCCACCGATACACTGAACGTCCATTCATAATTCAGTACTGTACACAAGCCATGGATTAATTATATCAGGCAGGAAAGTAGGGTCCTAGGATGCTCAGATTAAAAAAATATACTTTCAGCAGATGAATTGGCCAGTGCTGTTTGGGTCAGGTGAAAAGGAAATTGCAAATAAATTGAATTCCCTTCAGAGACAGCGTGAAAAATAGGAAGCATCAATTACCTGGAATAAATAATGCAAAGTGCAGATGAAAAACAAATGGAGAAATACCATTGACAGTTCGCGACTTTGCATTTCGAATGAAGTGATTTTGAAGCACTTTAAATATAGCAACTGCAAATTGTGCAAATTGATAGTTTAAACTGAAACTTTAAACTGATTCGCCAATTTGATTATAAAATCCCATCACTTTTTAAAAAAAAATTGGAGATTTTTACAAGTCACGAGCAAAAACCTGCCTATAAGAAATGATCAAACTGTATGCAATTGCCAAGGGAATTTAATCACAAGAAGAGCTGAATACACACAAAAATATCGCAGCACTGCATTTGCTTTATGGGCATTTGCTTTGACAAGAGCACTTTTAAAAACCACCGCAGTCCCTGCTTCAATTTTGCTTCATAAATCTTCCACAGGTTTCTAAAACCCCATGTACTAGTAATGCCAGTGATAAATGGATTAGGCTAAGTGCAAAATCAAACAGCCTCTGCTTTATGAAATATTGAAAAAATGCCAATTACCAAGCAATTTGTCTCCCCAGAGTATCTGCGTTATATTTTGTTTCTCCCTTTGCCATTTCCATCCTAATTTGTGTGTTAAGGTCCAATAGTCCACACTCGGTATTTGATATTCAAATGAGTCCCATTTTCCTTTTGACAAATAACCAGCACTGGAAATTAGATTTTGAACTGATGATATTTCACTAAATTGGGTATTTTATCAAGTTGAATTCGCTCACTGTCTCTAAATTAAGGGCATGGTAAAAAGTTGTTAATATTAAACTGGGAGTGCCATCAGACATATTTTCTTGCTCCATATTGAAAAAGTAAAGTTAAAAAGCTTAAAAATAGCCAAACCTTTAACTAGATTGCCTCATAAAATTGTCAACCAATATTTATTAAACCAGTTTCCAATTTAAAGACTGGTTTTAATAGGACACTATTGGAAAAACTTTCACCATGTACGTGTAGAACTAATAGAAAAATGAGTAAACTTCTCATAACGTTTTTCTTTTTAATATGTATCAGAAAAAAACCACTACATTTGGCAACAAATTGCGTGGGGATGATTATCAGTCTGTTATCAATGATTAGGCAAAAATCTAATATGATTGTATGAGGGTAGGGCGCTTAGCTGGTCAGCTGTGTTGACATTAGATTTCCCATCTGATTACAAAAATCAAAATGCCAAGGTCTCCAACAGACAGGAAACTGATTCTTAATTGAAATAATGTCTGTAAATTTTCTATAAAATGCAGGACATTCGACGAAAATGTCTGACCATTTTGTGGCCAGTTGATTAAGGTGCACTTGTCCCAACATGTCAAAACAATGTAGTTAGTATACACTTTAAGTACATGACCATGGAGCTTAATTGAGTTTGATGTGAAAAGGGCCAGGGAGGGGGGTGGGTCTACATGCTTTTTAAGTTGGTTAGTTATGCTTGTTTGAAAGTACTGTGGCTGATGTGTTGCCAACTAAATGTTGAGTTACAGATTTCCTAAACATGACAAATAAAGTGGTATCAATATTTACCTGCCAACTTGGATCCGCCGTCTGGTAGTACTTGAAGTTTTCCGTGATCCACTTGTAGATGGCCGACAGTGTGATCTTGTTCTTCTTGGAAGCCTTCATGGCCATCCAAATCAGAGTGGCATAGGAGTAGGGCGGCTTGACGTACTGGTTCGTCTTGTAGTCAATCTGATCTATGCTGGTGGTGGTGGTCATTGGGTGGTGGTGTCCGATGCGGGATATTGCCTTGGCTTCTTCTTGCGTGGTCTTAAGTCGGGGGATTCCGCCGTTGGGACCCTTAGCCTGGATGGTGATGGTGGTGTTGAGGCGCTGGCAGGCCGAGCCCAGCGGGGAGGGGCTGCTGGGCGGGGTGGGCTGCTGGATGCGCATGATCCGCAGGTTCTGCAGCCAATTCAGGCTGGTCAGGCTGTCGTCCAGGTTACATTCTGTGGAGCCATTGCTTGAAGTGTCGCTGTGCAGCTGGGGTGAAGGCGGGTTGCGGGACAGCCAGTTCTGCCGGAAACGGGTGGCCGCATCGTTGGTGCTCATGATGGGCACTGTTATCACTTTAGTGGCCATTTTTTTAGGCACAATGTGTACTCCAATAGACAGGTTTCTGTAAAAAAAAAAATTGGAAAGTTCAGCATGATTAATGGAATAACATGTGAAATATTTAAGTTTTAATCTAAAACACATGCACTTAATTTTTCACGCAATTTCTGACATCAGTTCTATCTTCTGCTCAATGTAGAACTAAGAAGGGTCAATTATAGTTTTTGATGTAGTGAATATATAAAGTTGAAATCAGTGACTTGATACTTGTGAACTGCCATGACTGTTGAGGGAAAAAAAGGTAGTACTGCTAAATGTTAATGAGTCCTGTTAAATGTAGGCCTACTCCTGTCTCATGTATCCAAAAATAGTCGAGAATCTGCCCCGGGGGAACAGGAAGAATACCCCTGAAGTTGTAATCGCATATGCAAACTTAACGGTAGGACGCACAAGGGCACTTATCTCGCTGCATGTAAACAAAACGAACCGGTTGTAAGCCATTCAGCAAACATACCGGTACACCCACAACTATTATGCAGAAACTTCCAGACGAACCTGTTTCTCGCATGTACAAAGCGGCCTGATACAAAGTGTGTTCTTATTCCTTCATGCTATAACAGAACAGCTTCAAAATGTTCGACTCGGACTAGTACTTCACATTGACACTTGACAGCTAAATTAGCTAAAATTAATTATCAAACAGAGCACACAAAAAACTTTTGTGCACGTGTTCACGTATTCTATTCAAAGTTGACAATTTCATGTTGAGATCATTGTAATTACCACATAGTCCAAGTTTTTGCAATAAAATGTACATGTAGATCTTAGTTGGTTAAACTGTAATGTAAAACTGCATTCCTACCTGTTGATTGAAAACAACCAATGTGATGGTCAGCTTTTCAAACACAAGATAATGTATCTAACTAGTCCGGCGCGTGGTGCAGTCTTCACCAGACGGACCGGTGAAATGACCCGGGACACACCGGCAGCCAACCTGCTGTGGATGCGCTGACCTTTTTCCGTCTGGACTTCGTGAAACAAGATCTTCAACAACATGCACCCATAATACAGAATTTAGAAATCCAACCCCCGTGATTTGATGCACGATTACTTCCCTAATATCTTTTTAATCCGATAGCTGCCTTAGGAAACTGAGCGTGGGTACGCGAGATCTTTCTCCTACAGCTGTCAGCCGTGATTCTAAACCATAACACATGTGCGTGCTGAATATACTGCAGCATGAATGGGGATGGCCCGACATAGCAACAAGGAAACCGACATCAACAACGGTGAACGCGCTGCCATTGGGTTGCTCGTCGCTATCCGATCGATGACCTTTGGCCACTGTGGCCAATGGCTGCACGCGCGCTGCGCCAGCTAATGAATAATAACACAATTCGTGAATAATAACAATGTATCATGAATAATTAACATAGTTGGGAATAATATCTTGCATAATAATCAGTACACTCTGGCGCAGGTGCATGTGGTGCGATGCTACGTTTTGACACAGGTGTTTCTTTTTCCGATTGATCTACAAAAGATTTCTTACGTGCTTCCTCAGAAATAAGTAATTTGATGATTCAATGAAATACACTTGTATAGAAACATTTATTAAACGGAACTTATTAAATAATATAGAACATTTTTATAAATTGAAGGTTTGCTAATTTTAATACGCCATTTTGAAAGAATTGAAATTAAACTTTGGTGATGTACATGTCTATGCTTATCTGACGGAATTTTGCATAAGTTTGCATTTATACCTTCTTTTTTTTTTGGTTATTTCTTTCGACCGAATTTATGCTTTGTCTTTTTCATACTCAAAAGTGCAACAAAACTGTTTGTTGCCGTGACTAATAAACATGCCACCGCTGTTTACTTTTCCCAAAAATTATGGCGTAATTTGACGAGGGCAAAGGTACGTCTCGCCCCTCGCCCGCAATATCCTTGTTTCAAAGATCAGTTGAGAATATTGCGGATGACAAATGTGCATGAGTGACATCATAAAATAAATGTCACATTTTGAGTGCGGTGAGATTATACAAGAGATTGAATATTAACAACGGAAAAACATACAACACATTTTCTTCTTTTATCAGATTTCCATTCGGTGTTGATCATGGATTAGTGAAGTGTCTTAGTGACCCCTTCCATCCACGACTTAAATTCTGAATTTAAATTCTCAAACTTTTTCTCACTTGGACAGCCCAACGGTTTTTGTCTGTGGTGATGTAAATTATTCTTTCTGCATAATACTTTGCAGATACGTATGAGTTTGCATGAAATTTCCCAATTTTCAATAACGTTTATGCCATTTAAAATTGTGAAATTGAATTGGAATTGAACATTTAATTTAAACCGTCAAAATGCTGGGCTTTCAATTTTTCCCCAAATACTTTTCAAACACTTGTTACAAACATTGAAGAAGCTAGCGTTTTGAACACACGTGGTTTATACCGGCATAATATTATCTCGAGACTGAATGTACTACGTGCGTAACTGCGCCAAAAGCCTTTTTGTGTGCCGTCCATTAAATGAGTTCATCAAACCGTAACAAGACTAGAGACCAATTGTGAGTTAACCCACCGGGGGGCGCCCGAGCCAATTTATGCACTTTTACTCAGATTCAGTGACCATGATTCAAGCGTGGACATTGTGTGTTTCGTGGAATTTGGAGGAACACAGTGACTGCACGTTTTCAAAAGCACCATTTGTTTACACGTCCGCAAGGATCCCCCCCTCCCGAGCGCAAATTCCTTAAATTAACGGTTCAGTAGACTGTATAGAAATAATAACAGTTGTTCATAATTGTATATTGCTTGAAATTTGATGCTTTCCCCCTATTAACCCATTTCCTTCTTACCGAGAAACTAGTTGCACAATCACAAGCAATAACCGAATCAACGGTGCGTATGTACATACGGGAGTAGTTGGACATTAAATTATTTAGCTGCATAGAGCACTTGGATACGGGCCTATAATAACATCTCAGCTAGCTACTGATGTCTGTTATCTTGCTCAAAGTGGACAGGTATGAGTATATCAGCCCCCCCCCCCCAACACACACCTGTCACTTTTAGACAATGTTTTGACCCACCTTTTAACCTCCAATATTGGATCCCCGCAACACAGAATTTTAAGTTCAGAAAGTGGGGGCACAGTATCCTTAAAATGTACATTTACGTACTGTGTCCCAATTATCAGAAAAGTTTCTTCGCCTTCGTTATTAATTCAGGTATAAGCAGTTGTCAGTCTCACAGACTTGCATTATGAATCTGTACACACTTCAGACAGGGCTATGGGAACATCAGTCACCACTGATGACGCACATGCATCGACGGGAGTCTTTTTCATACTTAAAAAACCGCATTTGCTTTTGTCCCGGAAAGTTAGTTGAGAATTGAAGACCCTCCCTCCTCATCCAATCAAACGCTACACAAAAGCCACTCAATAATCCTTTGAGAGGATTAAGATCTCAATAATCTAATCCAATGCGGGATTCCTGAAAAGGTCCGGCCGCTTTACAACAGAGGTCAAAGTACGAAGTTCATCTTTGTATGGGCTTTACAACAGAGGTCAAAGTACGAAGTCCATCTTGTAACAACTTGATTGGGCCAATAATCCTCTGTACTACTGACGACACACTTTGTGTGCTCTCCTATGTGGCTCCATAGGAAAGTGCACATGTAAACAAGTGTGACGTCATTAGTACAGAGGCTTATTGAGGTCTTGATGGTGATAAAAGCTGGGGTTACTTTTAAACCAAACATCTATTTATTTAATTATATTATTATTATCAAAGTCTTCATCAGTGTGTACAGACGATAGAAGTGGTCTGGCTGATTCATAGAAAAGAAGAAAACCAAAAAAATTCAAACAATAATGTCAACTCCAGGGCGCCGGGAATATAAATCAAACCAGTGTAACGCGTACGACAGATTTGATGTTCAGAATTATAGTAAATTTGAAAAGTTTTGTTTATTATTCAGAAAAAAATATTCACAAATGACAACACCACCATAAAAGATCAACGGTCTCCATACACTATGCATCCCTTATTATTCGGGCTGGGAAGCTTCTTTTTTTTTTGAGGCGAACTTTCAAATAATAAAGTAGGAAGTTAACAATTGCAATCCCGTTAATTTTACCTAAGGCCAAAAAAAAAAGTCTCCGGTTTCTGGTATGGAGCTTGCCCCAAAAGTGGTGCGGCGACGCGGCTTTTTTTTTTTTTACCTGGTTTTTTTTTTTTGGGGGGGGGGCTTCAAATGTCGGCTGATGACTGCAAATGGTGCCCGACTAAACTTAGTGCAAATATATGGGAGTCCAGAGAGGCCACATAAATCTTATTCTCGATCATAACCCCATCTAAAAACACGTTAAAATTGTGCAGCAGCAGAATTCCAGTCAAACCAGTAAGTTTGGCGGTTTTGAAACATCATCTTGTATTGAAAAAAAACTTTTTCATTTTGCCGACGCGCATGGCTACGGCGACGCGCGCGCATACCAGAAACCGGAGACTTTTTTTTTGGCCTAAACGCTATTATGTTATATTGTTATATCATATTTATGTAGCAGCACTGCAAGTTTCGTGGTAACTATCATTTGTGGCTATAACTTCATTAAGGAAGAGTATACTCTTCCTAAAGTATACTCCTCTATATACACATGTTGACTTCAAATAGTACCGGCATTCTGTGTAAGCATCATTCGCTACTGTCTCTCTCAGCAATCAAAAAGTTTTTCTCATTGTCATCTGGGGACTCGTCCTCATCTTCATCACTCGCTGACGCCGAGGATGCTTGATCCAGCAATGGTTGGTCTTCTCCATCCTCCTCCTCCAACACGAGACTGAGTTGCCTTCTCGCATTGTCTTCATCCTGCATTTCGTCCTCTTCAGACCCCTCATCATTCATTTCACCGAAACCAGCAATGGCATCCTCGGCAACTGCCTCGGAGAGTTTGGTCACAGCGCCACCTATCGACCCGCGGTGGTTGAACAAGCGACCAGCGTCGTGGCCTGCTTGCGCCATGCTTTGGCGCCTCCGGTCTTGTGTTGAGAGAACCTCGGTCGCTGAACTCTTGGAAGCACCATAGTCACTCAAAATTTCCCGGGAAATGCTCTGTCGCCAGTTTTCCCGGACCGCGTCCATGTCGACTTCCACTGTTTCTTCTGACGGAAGCAGTCTCGGGGGAGCTGGCGGAGGTTCCGAGTCATTCGATGTTGAGGAAGACCCTCGCTGTGATAACCTGAGGCTCCCCAAAGACGATTTGCTTTGCCTCCTTCGGTCCCTGATGGTATCTATGTTTACGTATAACGGTTCTTCTTTTTCCCAATCCCCTCGTCTTTCCTGGTCATCTAATTCTATTAGGTCCACCTGTCTTTTATCTTCCGGAATCACCAGGGAACTCACCGAGTCCCCGTTCACCGGCCGCGGTTCCGGTGATTCTCCCCCGTGTGAGGAGCTCGAGGTTGAGGACTCTGGTTTTCCCGTAACGATCTCGTGGGACAGGCGCCTCAGGTTGATCTCTCTGTCGCTAAGCGACTCGCTGGGTTTCCGCTGCAGAAGACTTCCGTACGTCCCTGCAGATTGGTTCACATTGTTGTGTATCTGGGACGATTTCAAAGATACCTCAGGACCCTCCTCTGACCGTTCGGAATGTTTGGTGCTGGATTCCGCGGTCATCTCGAGTGCTTCATTTGGCGTCACCGTAATCACTGTTGTACCCTTCTCTTGTTTTTTATTAGTTGCATTGTCTGCATTCTCACGGCTGTCCAAGTCAACTTCTACGTTACCCTTGGTTTTCGTTTTCTTCTTCCATTTCATTTTGCCTTTGGCCTCTTTGGCCTTCGTCTTCAGCTGCTCCAGCAATGTAACCTTCTCTGGGGTTTTACCCGTCTTGTGTTGTGCTGCGTTTTCAGGCTTCTCTGTTGCATTTTCTACCTTCTTACTATCCAAGGTACTTTCTTCGTCGTCGTTGTTCTTTGTCTCCTTTCGTTTAATTTTCTTTAATTTCTCTGGGCTTTTACCAGGCTTCTCAGTTGCATTTTCTGCATTCTCACGGCTATCCAAGCCACTTTCTACGTCACCCTTGTTTTTCTTTGTCTTCTTCCGTTTCATTTTGCCCTTGACCTCTTTGGCCTTCGTCTTCAGCTGCTCCAGTGTTTTCTTCTTCTTGAGCGCCTGGTCGAATTTGATCTTCTCTTCGCGGGCCGAGAAGTCCTTGTCGAAGGTGGCGTTGACCTGGAGCATGGTGGCGCGATCTGGCACGTCGGGGTCCCGCAGCCACGCCCACTCGTCCAGGCCGAAGTAGAAGACCGTAGACTGGTGCATCATGTCCAAGAAGAAAAACCTGCATTGACCAAGAAAAGATGGAAACAAGTTACGAGAATACTTTTTACAAATTGTGTGAGAGTTTTGTACCATGGGTTTGTCGTATTATTGATAGCTGTATCCCCTGCTTGTAGACGGCCGTGGAGTGCTTTAGCAGGTGCCGTATAGTCTCATTCTCTAACACTATTATTATTATTAACGATAAGTTTTAAGAGTTTTTGTCCTTTATAAAAATGTAGACAAATCACTAAGGGCTAGTTGGTTGTAACTAATAATCTTCTTAAATACCAGTATACATCTAGTCAGGTTTACTGATTAAAAAATCTAATGTGGTCAAAAAGTCAAAACAATTGGCACCTGTTTTCATTGGCGACTATATATCTCTTATTCTCCATTCGGTTCACGCGAGGTATATGAACTACTCAGTATCTTTCTTTCCATATAAAGTCTTTCCAAATTAAGCCAAAAACCGGGTTCTGTCTTATTCCGTAATTGATTAAAAAGGAATAAAACTTGTGTAAAATGCTGACCTCCGCCTGCATACTCTGAAGCACGACAGAGCAATGATGCCAATGATAAATCCAACGATGAGGGCGACATTTCCTATCACCATAAGCTCGACGTTGGACTCGAGATGAAATTCAAACTCTGCAAGTGCACAAAGTAACAAGCAATGGATACAAAACAAAACAACAAATGTTGATGCGAAGTCAGTTTTACTCACATCTTTGAACGATGGTTTTCGCTCATTGACAGACAACCTGCTGGGACCAAAGCACCGGGCCCTTTACTTCAAAATTTGTATATTCTAGGTCACTTCAGTCAGTAAGCAGTTCGAAGCAGCCGTAGCTATGCTGGCTTGGCATATGGCTCGCAACCTAGGTTAATAATATTCTTCTGAATGGTGATTGTTTGAAGAGTTTTGTATGCGCGTGCTACATCTGTATGAATTATACTATAGTCTGGTGCCTTTCTGTTGGATGCTTATTACTACTCACCTTTAGGTTCATAAATCGAGACACCAAATGCATGCGTGATGACGGCCTTGCCGCGGTACCAGACCATGCATGCGTACGGCCCCTCGTTGTCCGACTGCAGAATGTGCAGATTCAAGATTGACTTATGCGGGGAAAAGACACTCTGCAAGCAGACACAAATATTCGTCGTTAAAAAAACTGTATGTCTTACCGTTTTCTAGCTTCATTTACAATACATGTAAACACTGCGATTCCCCAAACTTCAAAAGCTTTGAACATAACGTATTTTCAAAGTCACCCGTTTGGGGTTCGTATTGGAACAAAACTAAAAGTGTTTGTCCACTTAAGGGGGATTTTTTGGTACAATTCTCTTTCTTGTTTTTTTATGTACCGGTTTGAATATGCTAACGTGGGTGGATTCCTCCAATATTTTGTCGCCATAGAGCCACGTCACCATGGGCTTCTCCTTGCGAATGTTGGCATAGTTACAATGAAGCGCCACACTGCTGTGGAGTGGTCTCCTGACTTCCCGGTAGTGAGCTGTCATAATAATATTAATAAAACGGCACAAACAATTTCGATGAATTTTCCAGTTGCTATTTTTTTCCAATGCCAATTAAACACTGATTGTTGATGTTTAGGCCTATGGGGTCATTCAGATTTCAGAGGGGTATTCTATAGATCGCTTTTATGCTGGGGGCATTTGGGGTTCTGATTTTTCTATAAGTGGGCACTCTTAGACTCAACGCAAACGAATGTGCCTCTCTCTTGTTACCAAGCAAGCTCTGTTCTTCAGCTTATACAACCCTTGGATGACATTTCTGGCCTGTGAACGAACACTTTCGTTTCTTTTCTTCGTGTCTTTCTTAATTTTTTTTTAATATATGCCTGTCCTGGGTAACGAAAGTAGGCCCTGGGGCAAGAGTAGGCCAACGGATCGGAACAACCAATAATCATAGTTTGGTATACTTGCTATATGTCGGATACCTGAAATCGTGGTGGATGCAGAGTCCAGGTACATGTCCTCCATATTGAGTGCCGTCTCCGTCAGCAGGTACTGGTACCGGTTGACGGTCACCTCGTAGACCGCACCAACCAGGCCCCGGTCCCAGCCCGTCGTCATGCGGGCCACCGTCCTATCCGGGCCGGGCACTCCACCGATGTGGACTCGAGGAGCAGGCGCGAAATCGGTTCCCTCGACGGCGAGTTGGATGGCCGGACCGCCGTTCACGCGCATCTCGGCCTCGCGACCTCGGAGCGTCAACTCGACTATAGCCCATTTTGATAACTGGTATGATATTAAAAAAGATTGCATAAAAGAGACAAGAGTGGCGAAGATCGGTATACATCCCTTGTGTGAGTAGCAGTTTTTCATCTTTTTATTTCTTATGAGCAAACTTTTTTCAGCGAATGCAGCTTTGTTTTCTTAATCAGGACTAGGTTGCTCTGCTGTCCGATCCTCTCAAGTTGACCTCAGTTCAAAATCGTGCCATCGCGACTTAGTTCATGACTACATTTACAGAAGGGACGATAAGAACTTACGGCTATATCAACACTCTTGGCGGTCGCGATGCTGTCCCCGAAACTGACGAACAGAGCGACGCGAGAGTCCATCATCGTCAGCGCCACGAACGAGCCCGGAACCAGACCCATGACGTACGAGACGATGCCGTCGGGACCGTCGGGTCGTAAGGTGAGTTTGAGGGAGAACTGCTCGTCGGTTGTGTTCGGACACGGTAGAAAGGTGTACTCGCGGCCGGTGAATACCGTAACTTGCGCATTGATGTCTGTAGTATTTGAAATGAGAGGGGAAATAGATACGAAAATCTGCTGTAAACTGCTTACTGAATTGAGTGACATGAAATACGAATGGTACATGTTTGATGGCCTGGTGTTCCGAGGCTGGCAGAATTTTTTTCAAAGGCGTCAGTGGTTCAGCCTGCTATGGGATCGAGTGCCAAGCCCTTCAACTTCAAAGAGTTGTCAAAGCATGCCGTAGGAGTTCAAATTACGAAAAAGTAAAACTCCTGAAGAGAAATTAGGTACATCTATTTCAATTTGCATTGCCGTTATGATATAAATGGAACTACACTTTTGAAACGACGTTATCGACACACTGACTAGTGTCTCACAGGAAAATGTAATCGCTTCATAAACTTTTTTCCGCGATTGAACGCAAGAACATTCCCACCTGCCAGTCGAGTTCCAACGTCGAAGCTGACGAAAGGTAGGCCCACCCCTGTCCACTCCGGCCTGATATCATGGAGCGTGTACTCCTTGTAGTTCACTCGTAGAGCGGATATAGCGCCAACAAAACCTGAACAAGCCGACAAACAACAAAAAGTTAAGAACTCCAATATAAACAATATAAATTATATGGGAAATCAATATGTGGTGACGAAGAAAAATGTTAGACTAGTCTTACTTTCGAGAGTCAGTTTGCATGTTCCTGTATGCATTCTATGGAAGAGCCAACTGTTGGGTGTAACTTTTAGGAGGCATTTTTTTTTGAAGTAACAGACCACAGACTTCGGCCTCCTGAATGTATATTCCTATTACCTTTTGTTTAGTAGTGGCTTAGTGGAAGACCTCACTGTGCTCGTCTTTACCTCTGTGAGTGTGACACAGGTTGAAGTCCCATCCATATACATACATGGGGATTGCCTTTTACAATACCTACCGTGAATCTTTTGATTTTCCGGGAGTTTACTATCGGTTCTTCCCACTTCTAGAAATGGATATTTCTTCAATGTCTTCTCCGGGCTTCTTCCTGAACCTTTGATTCCATTTCCAGAAAAAAAATGGAACAAACATAGTAGAGACGTTAACCCACTCACCGACATACTCGCGTGCAGGTCCGGGGAAGAGATAAGGCAGAGCACCGCCAATGTACATGGACTGATCCCAGTCCAAGTGAGCTGGGAGCGGGAGGGTGAAGTTGCTAAAGACCGGAGCACCGTCATTCAACCTCACGCTGGTGTGCCCTCCACTGATGGTCACTTCGACTCTGTTCCACTTATTCAGATGCTGAATAATGGGAAGGACAATGAATCAGTTGGAATGTTGATAAATACATAGATTGTTTATTCTCATCTTTACCTGTTGATAAATTTCCGGTCAGATATTCCGTGATAAGCCCCTTGTGATTTGCAGCGTATTGCTTTTGTGCGAGGACCACTCCCTATAGCGTTGGTGAACTCCTAAAATCGGCAAAGGGTACTTTCGGTTATTGTTATTGTATGAGCAATCGTTGTTCTTTTGTGCGAATGATAGAGCTAGGTTTTGTTTGGAAAACTTTTCTTTGCCAATGGATGTCGAATTGAAAGTGATTTTTTTTCTGTCACTGGATCATCGTGTTAATGATGTGCTTTGACGAGCAGCTAGTCATCTGTCTTCTTAAGAGCATTACTTACTATTCCATTAGAGCTCACAACTACACTCTCGGCCTGTCCTAGCTTAGCGTAGACTCGGACGTGACCGTTGGCCACGCCCACCGTAACCATCTGCTCTGAGTGGACGACGTCATCGTGACGTAAGGCCAGCAGGCTGCTGGGGTTGCTGGGCATAAAGCGCATGTAGAAGAGGAGGAGTTTGGAGGGCGCGGCGGCGCGGTGGTACATCATGAAGGCACTGCCGTCGAACGTCCGGAGAATTTCGTCAGGGACTGCGAGTGTGAAGATGAAACGTTTAATTGTTCGTTTCAGCTAATTTGTATTTTTCTCGTTTGATTACAACCCGTGCAACCTCCCAGTCTAACTGCTCTTGACTCTTTCATCTTGTTCTTTCTTTCGCATTCCTAGCACCTGAAATTGGAACCGGCTGCCATCTGATATCTACTGTGCAGCAGCTGAACTCAGATCGAACGTCTGATATTCAGTAACTATGGTAGGAACAGTAAATGAAAGCGTCTATAGGGTTTCAACATCTCGGATTCATCTCGGCCTCGTCTTCAGGTTCCTTACTTTTTCGAAAATAATTTCAGGCACCTGACATGGTACAAACAGGTTTAGGGGCGGTGGACCCATTCACAATTTAAAGAATAATATGATGCCAAATGTTAGAGAATGTTAATTTGGTTCGAGAATTACAAGTTCTCAACTCAGTCTGGAGCGGGAGATGAACCGCATTTGGAGACACAAAGCGAGTTTTAAAAAGTGGACTCTTCATACCTGGGCATGGTTGTTGGTAGCAGGGCACAATCTCTGTGCCATACCCACCGCACACCTCCCCTTCGCCTGCCGGGGCTGGGTCCGTGCATGTCCGGTCTCGCTTCACCACGCCGTCGCCGCAGCTCCGGCTGCAACTGGCCCAGTCGCCCCAACTCGCCCAATTACCATCGACTAAACAAGGCAAATGCAAAGCAAGTATAGGATTTAAAACCTTGCATGGACGAATTGCTACTAGAATGAGGTTTGACGATAACATGAATGTAGACATAAAGTGCTTCTTAGAGGAAACGATGGTTCTGGAAGAACCGATGGTTAGAATGTTTCCTTGACGTTTGTGATAAAGCACTCTGAAACACAATTTGCACACTTGTGCTCTAATTAAACTTGTAGGACACCTTTATCGGGTAGTAACTATATTTGCCAGAAATGACTTGTTTGCGCTTATGGTTGGAAACAAATTCATGTGCGGGAAAGTTATGATTTGAACTTTGACAATAGTTGAAGGTGAAGGTCTAAAAAAAAACACGGATCCTTTCTTCAGCCTAGACGTGGTTTCATTGCAATGATAAACATCTCGTAATCAACAGCATCTTCCATTCTTTTCGATTGAAGCCTGCGTTTAAGTGGAACCAACTTATACCTGGACAAGGCAGATAATTGCACACGTTGATCTGTTGATATTCTCCAGCGCATCTCGAAAACGGCACTTGCCGGGGCTCCTGCCCGTTCCCGTAGCTCACCAAGCACCCCCGTGTCCGAGTGGAAGTTCCTCCCGCGCACGTTACAGTGCATTGGGACCACTCACCCCACGACTCCCAAGTGGGGGTGTCCGCTGTGCAATGAGGGATAATCAGCATTATGCATTTCCACGTGTTGTTGATCAAAATGGATACAAGGATGAGTTTGTATTTTACCGACAGATTATTAAGTCATCTTCTGTTTTGCTTCAGAAAATGTATGTTCAATTTGACTACTATCGTATACAGAGTAGATTCTGAGGAAAAACTCAGCGCATTGGTTGTGTCACGTTGGCCCTGTTCACATTTGTTTCGAATCAGCAATGGTGTTAACATGCCAGAAAAGAAGCTTTCAAATAACGCTTGATGACGTATGACCAGCAAAATGTCTGAGATTGGTATCAGATGTACGCATTCTCCGCTGGAGGGCGCTGTAGGCCCTACCCCATCTTTTGCTGATTTACTTGATTGGTTTCGAGATCTTTTGACACTGAAAAGATGTTACAAGCTACCAGTACTATAAACAGAGATTTTGGCGCCGTTCGTGTATACGTGTTTAAAGGGGATACATCCGCGAAGCAAAAGAACTGGATCAATTTCACCGTCAGATAGAGAAAGAGTGGAAACCCTGCGTGGTCTTACCCGGGCATTCAGAGAGGAGGCATTTCTTCTTCTCGTCGGCGTCTCCTTCGCAACTCAGGCCACCAAATTCGGGCCTCGGGTTGCTGCACTGGCGGTACCGCTCCGTATCTCCCTCACCGCATGTGACCGTGCACACCGACCACTCAGTCCACGGAGTCCAATCACCATCAGCTGTACGTTTGTCATACATGATAATAATATGCAGATGATATAATTCCAAATCATCAGAACGAAGGTGTATGGATAATAGAGACAAGGTGATACAGTAGTCTTTTGGTCTTAGTTTATGTACTTCATTGTGAGAAGGAGGCTAACATACAGGCTTTTACTTATTAACTTCCCTACCCCATCATTATATTGTTTGATATGCTGTATTGACATACGATATGAAATTAGCAGCCAAATTAGCATTATTCAAGAATATTTTCGGAAGATATGATTTAATGGCATTCTATTTTTGCGATAAAAAACTACAAATTGCACTTCCATATTGGAGCACTTGTCCGATTCCAAAAATTAAAGCCGTTATACTTAAACGACAAAGTGGAAACCACCAACAGAGGGCTGGATAGCTCAGTTGATAGAGCACGGGAACGGCAATTTGGAGGTTGCAGGTTCAAAACCCGCTCCATTTTACCTTTGCAGGGCAAGTCATCATTGCATAGCTGCAGATCGTAGAGTTCGCCTCGGCACGGGTGACCCTGCTCCAAGCACGTCCGATGGCGGATTGTCATACCACTGTCGCAAGGGGCGCTGCACTCCGACCAGTGAGACCACTCCTCGTACACTAAAACAATACGAGGGTGAGACGAGTCACGAATCCGGGCACGTGATTAAAGTACACTCACGAGGCCATCTCCATGGAGAATTCATTATGTAGGATATTTTCTACAAAACAACTCTACCCCCTGACAATAGCTGGCACAGTGCTTTCGCCATTGAGAGGGGGCCTTCGTGATAGAATTTGTAGTGTGCATGAATTGGTCTATGCGTTTCAGTTAAAAACTTCGATGTCAACTTGACAAATATTTTCTGTGAGATATAGTTCATTGCTTTTGTGTGGTACCTTAATGTCGCCCGAGACTATAGTGCAGCCTGGACCCCGAATGTCGCCCCAACCTTGTACGTAAATAACTTGCCCGAGTTGTTTACTCACTTGTTACATCTTCGGGTATTCCTTCGCAATACGGTGCGTGCTGGCTGCACTCCTCCTCCGTAAACGACTCCCCTTCGCAGTCGTTTCCCTCCCCCTGGGGGCGTGGCTTGTTGCATGCCCGCTCCTTGACCCGCCGCCCCTTGCTGCAGATGGCCGAGCACACTGTCCAAGCACTCCACTCGCTCCAACCTCCCACTTCTGCATATTGTTTTCAAAAAGATTGAACAGATCTACTTTTATCATCAAATAAAAGAAATACGGAAACTGACTAGCTTCACTTTGAATCTAGATTCAATTTGAATCTTCAACAGTTAAACAAAGTAAGTGATTGAATCGGGATTAGAACCTACGACTGTACCGCTGTAAGGCCACCGACATAGGGCCTAGCAACCTTACCGGGACAGAGTCCACCCGAGCAAGGTATCTCCCTGGTGAGCAGCGCGGCGACTTGCCCTTTGCCGACGTCGCACACGTCGCTGCCGTGGCACCGTCTGGTGGAGGTTTTCACCCCATCGTTGCAGGTGGTTGAACACGCTGACCACATGGACCACGGAGTCAGCAAAACACCAACTGCATCAAAAAACAACATACAAACGGCCATAGAATCAAAATCAATGCTTGTGAGACTTTTTTTAAATTAAATTTCAGAAAAAGCTTAACGCGTTTTGCAAAAAAAAAAAAACCGCTTCTGAAACCCCAATAAAAAGTGAAACTCTGGTTTTAATGTAGTTCATAGAAATAAACAAAATACTTAACTTAACATGCAAAATGAAAAACAAGCTCTATAGATTGTAGACAAAGATGAAACTTTGACTTATTCAAATGAGAAGTTAACATTTTAATAATGATGAGTATTAAATGTAATGACCAATTGTCTAATTTTGGTCATAAAAAAAGCAAAATTGGCGCTGAAATCATAGGGGATTTCGAGACATGCTTAAAAACAGACTAAAGAGTAGTTGACTGTATCGTATACACATTTTCATGGTCGCCACTCCCATTAAAACTCAACATCGAAGAAGATTTTTCGACTCACCCGCCTCAACGCAAGAATCGTCAAAGCACATGCCTTCCTCATACTCCGTCCCGTCACAGTACCGGCCGCCGTGCCGGGGCTGCGGGCTGGCGCACCGCCGGGACCGGTAGGCCTTGCCGGTCCCGCAGCGCGAGGAGCAGCTACTCCACATGCTCCACTCCGACCAACCACCGTCCACTGTATATTTCCAACACATGAGGATTATAATCCCCCAGATTATTACTCAATACACCTAACCATGCAAAAATATTTCAAATAGGGTCATTGTCTTTACGGAAACAAGTGTGTGACGAAGCACATTTATTTGAAAGTGTAAATAAATATCTTACCGGGGCATCCTTCAAAGTGTTTGTAGCAAATCAAATTAGTCCAGTAGACATCCTAAGGAGAGGAAAACGTGGTATAGTTGTTAAGATGTGAAATTTAATTTGGTAATAATTCAAGGATCAAACCGACAAAAAAAATGCTTTTGCATCTACATAAGAAAGTAGGCCCAACTTTAACTAAGCACTGTTTCTGTCACAAATAGAGCTTTTTGTTGTGTAAAATTTGACTTTCACAAAGACACAAACAACAAAAGGAAAGCCTTAAAGCTTTGGCTCCCTCGAAATTTGCTTAATAAAGTCAACACCCTACAGAGGATGTGATTGTAATACATTTTGTGTGTTTAAAGCAATCGGGATTTAAAATCCATCATGCCGACAAGAGATTGCCATACGTACAGCGAGATTTCGCGGGGTGACCATCTCCGTCACTTGCTGATAGCTGCAGCGCCCGTCCATACATGCTGATTGCAGCTCTGCGTTACCCTTGTTAAACGGCTCCATCGCCAGCAGAGCTTTATGCTGGACAGATTCCCCGGGAGATCCTTTTGTAACAGTCGAATCATTGTCTTAGAAAAAAAATGAGGGATTAAAGTTTATTAGGCCTACTCATGCTTTGCCGAAATTAAATGAATCTCTCCCCGTGTGGAAGAAACTGCTTATTGAAAAGAAAAGAAAAACCTTAGAACACTGTGCACTCCATATTTTGATTTGCTCAAAATATGGTCTAAAATTAATTGTATTATTTTCAACGAGCAAAGGTTGAACGGTGTCATCATACAGTGAGGAAATACGGAGCGGATGGGTCCTTATATTCATAATTAAAAGTTTGTGTACTGTTTGTTCCCGGTTTCATAAACTTTGACCATTGGAAAGTTACAAGAAAAACTCAAAATCGGCACTTTTTGTTTCTAAAACTAGAAAACTAACAAAAGCAATGGCTGTTTCACCTTAAAAAGAGCACATAAAAATCTTTTCAATTTTATTACCAGGCGGAGGGCAGGCCATTTTGACCCTACAACTTGTCACGCTAGAGTTCTGTCCGTGGCATTCGTTGCCGCCGTTTTTAGGCTGGGGCCAGTCGCAGGCCCGATATCTCAGCTTGGTTCCGTCCCCGCAGGTCGTGTCGCAGTCTCCCCACTCACTCCACGAACTCCAGCCACCGTCGACTATAGTATGATGCCATAAATACAACATTAACAGGGGCATTATAGCCTAAATACCAGTAGATGGCGCACTTGCAAGTTTTTGCATTTCAATATGCAAATTTATGTCTGGTACAGCACCCCGTGTTACTCTTTTTTGTAGCACGATACATGTATGTGACAGAGGGAACCACCCCCATCTTTTGTGTGTTTATCATTGTGTTACCAGAATCTCAGGAATTATTTTGAGATATCTGGGGGATGTGTTAGGTAACAATAGTCTATGGTATAGGAGATTTGGGGGTACCCCTCTGTCACATATCGTGCTGGGTATACTTTTTGACCGTGCTGTCTCAGTTCCATAATTTAGCACCAAAGGTCCTCTTGAGCTGTGTATCATGAGCTGACAAGTCTTGATTGAATGTCACTTTTAGCACCAGCAACTGCTTTCGACATTAACTTAAATAACAAAAAGTAAAGCCCAACATTTGGAATGCTTATAGTAGGTTTGAACGACAATCTCTGAGGAGAGAAGTGGTTTTAAGAAAACCCAAGGTGCGTGTAATTAATCGACCATTTTATCAGTATGCCCTGACCTTCATCAGGAGAATGTTTCAACGCCAGAGACGTACAGTATTGCTGTATTGACTTAGATTTATCATGCACTGATGCTTGATTCTAGGATCAATCTTAACTCCCACCTGGACATTGGCTCGGGTCCTCGTTCCAGGTGCAGTCGTACGTGTGCCAGAACCGCTTCCTTACAGCGGTATCAGCGTGGGAACTCTGCCAGGCGTAGCTGGCCACCTCGGCCTCGCTACACCGGTACTCTCCCAGGCAGGCGCCGGCGAACGAAACCTTCGCCTCCGGCCTCAAGAGATGGAGGGCGGCCGACATCTCGGGGGAGAGGTGGGTAGAGGGAGTGCCTGTCATGATCGTAGAAAAAATAGCTATTGGCAGTTTGTGTCAAAAGTTTTGAACGGTTAGGGTAAAGTAAAGAATGGTTTCTCTCACTTAACGATGGATTTCCATCTTTGAGTGCCAATCAACCTAGGCAGATACTCACCAAAGATGAGACGTACAGTGCATAAGATGATGATAGGTGAAAGTAGTTCCGACGGTATCTGACAGAAATTGAATGGAAAAAGGACCGTTAGGCTACAATAGTTTCTTAACACTTGTTAGCCTACTAAACGTACATTAGGCATAGGCTACGCTTGAACTAAGAAGTAGGCCTAACTTATAAATACAGCGCCAACAATTGGCTCCCCTACCTCCGTCTCTCCAGTCAAGGGCGGATCCAGGGGGGGCCAAAGGGGGCCATGGCCCCCCCCAAAACGAAACCAATTTTTTTTTTTTTTATGTGACATCGCAATAAAGGCAGGCAATGAGTACACCACCATCTTTTCCTCAAAAAAAAATTGGTTAAAGTGGTCAGAAATTGCCTCAGATCGCACCACAGAGCATCTAGAATCCAAAAAATTTTCGGGGCCCTTAAGCGGGCCCCGAACCCCACGCCGTAATTTTTTTGACCCACTTTTTTGGGGGGACCAAATTTTTTTGGGCCCCTCCCAAAATTGTGTTCTGGATCCGCCCTTGTCTCCAGTAAGAGCATTTACGTTTGGCACATTCCAAGCAGAAAAAGGCCTAGGCCTAACCTTTATTAAAATAGCACACCAAAGTAAAAACGTTGAGGCCCCAAAGCAATTTGTTCCCAATCGATTGCCCCGACAGCAAAAGTTTCGAAAATAGAAACAAACGGAACTCGGTGGACATTTGTTTTAAAAGCTTACCATTCTGAAGGTGTCACGTTGAAGTCGAACCGGCAACTTTTGGTGGTAGGCCTTTTGGGCGTAAAACACAACATCACATTGATTGTTGTCTCCAAACTATCCGTGTCATTGGCATTACCAACGGTCGCTGTTTATAAATCGCTTCATTGTTTCATGAGAATTCCGGTCAAATAAAAGCCTATACGAACTCACACGTACATTGATAAAACGTGTTTGGATGATTTTAAACGGATTACATTTGAACTTAATGAAAACATACAAAGAAACCACCTTTAAATAATGAATTCCACTGCTTAGTTGAAGGGAATCGTTCCTGCGTGTTTTTGAAAAGGGTCTACCTGTGCGTTGACGCGTATTCAGTTTATTTCGTTTAAACGCGCGCGTCTAAAGGACGATTCCAAAATCACCACTGACACTTTCGTCGTCATTGCTAAGCGTACGTACGTACGAACGTACACAACGCGCGCAGTAAGTTACGCGCGACATGTAAAAGGCGCAAAGTTGTCCGGTACATGTCTTTGGTCCGGTATCATCCACCGCTGTATAAGTATGAAAACTTATACGTTTCAGGGCGGCAGTCCGAACGGAGGGTTGGAGGGAAGAACCTTCAATTTCAGGGGGCCTTTACGGCAATCTGCCGAAATTGCTGTATTCTTAAACTTTTTCCTACAACCAACTTTGGGCAGTTTGCTAAATCCAATCGTCTTCAAACTTGTATCGTCTATCGATCCGTGGTGAAGATGTTCCCCAAATAATGACGTCATGGCGCAATGGTTTCGGTAGCATGGGATTGTGTTTTGATTAATAACCGTCAAATACTTTTGTTGAAAATAAAATCCAAAATCCTGAACCAGCAAAAAAGTTTATTTTTAATTGCAACTTTCTGTTTTATTAACAAATATAAGTTTCTGTTTTATTGTATCCACTTACCAAACTTTACGCACAAATATAAAATTGTACATCACAAAAAATTACAATGTAGCTTACAGCCATATTAAAAAGGGAATTTTATTTTTAACAATTGTTGGATCATTATACTCTTCATCGGCTCATTATACTCTTCGTACAAGACTGCGAGGTAGTTTCTAAAAAAAAACCTTTGATGTAGTTAGGAATTACCCGTCACTTTCAAGGTCAAAAAATATATACCATGGTGAAGCCACGAAATAGAGAAGATAGCATTGTCTTTTTTTTTTATTTCAGCCAGGGTAACCCTCATGTATTTACAATGTATAGACGTCATGGACATATTGCGCACATCCATTCGTCTGAACCCGACACGCCCTTGCAAAGTTGCGATTCCACAAGGTCATCTCGAAGGAAGTGATGAACAAATTACCTGAAGAGACGAGGGCGAAAGACGTAAAAAAATAAAATAAAAAAAAACAGACTTCATCAACTACGACAGATTAGGCCTACCCATCCAGCGATCATGATCACTTGGAGTACACTGGTCGACTGACAAAGACGCATTTTCTTTTATATTGAACCTACCAGAGAAACTGTTCTCCCAACGAGGAGAGCTCTCGATAGCCAGCTCTATCTTTGACCATTTAGGCTTTGTAATTGTATGTGACGTCTGTATATCGCTAGAAGTCTTTGAAAACTTAATACGTTTCAGGAAGGCAGTCAACTTAAGGGAAGGACCCTCGATTTGGGGAGTTTTACGACATTCAGCCGAAATGTGTTATATTCGTTGATCTTTTTTTCTACAAGCCATTTTTGAGAGCTTTCTAAAAACTTATATAAGTCATGTACCGCCTAGTCGTGGTGAAGATGTCCCTGAACAATGACGCCATGGCCTAGAAAAGTTTCGGTAACGTGTTTTGATTTATAGGCCTAATCGTCACACGGTTTTTGTTTTAAAAAAAATATAATCCGAACTGCCGAACCAGCTTACCTAAACATATTACGCCGACGAATATCAAAACAAAAAAAACAAGTAATTTTCATTTGCAATTTGTGTTCTGTTTTATTGTATCAACAGTTTACCAAAATATACCGACATGAAAATAAAATTTAACGCATCACAAAAATGATAATGTAGCTCACAGCCTTACAGAGGTCATGTTATTGGCAATCGAAAAAAAATAATAATTTGGACAACAATGCATTTATGTTGGATCAATGGTTCATTATACTTGAACAAGACTATGAGGTAGTTTTAAAGTACTTTTGAAATAGTAAGGAATAATCGTTAATTAAAAGCTATATGATTACGTCTTCTTGCTTTTAGCTACGGATAACCGTTTTCTATTTACATGTACTTCTGTTTAGGTGCGGTATACATAGGCTTACTGCAAACAACCCAGCATTACATACAGTATTATAAAAGGTTGACTTCACTTTCTACAAAACGTGAATATTGCCAACCATTACATGGCACGTCATAGACATATTGCGTCTACCAATTGTCATTACCATCCAACTTTTTGGATTGTATGGTGACCCTATTTCAGAATACAGAAAATACAAAAAGAAAACTTTTTATTATGCGGATAAAGAAAAATATAACAAGAATAAAAAAAAAATCTGTATAGTTATATAAAAAATGTGAGACGAGACAACTTATTGTTGCCTCTTTAAATCAGTAGATTAATGTATAAACAACTGATGAATCAAACTAAAAATCCAAAAGCTGAAGATTTATTTTCTTTCATGATTTGTCATTTGTTGACAACCGAATCAAAAGAAACTGTTGTGCATAGCATAGAAAGTAAGGCTGAACACTCCCAACAAAAAGTTTACCTATACCTAAGTACTACCTCCTTAACAACAAAACACTCCATTTTCCCCCATAAAGAATGTCATGATATGACGAACTCCAAACACCTAGAACATTTGTACAAAAATATAGGGAAGTAGCACAGAAAGTTGCGTGACATTTGACAAACGCCTTTTGGAACATCCAATCATGCTTTTCATAGAAATTTATTTTAAAAATGACCCCAAATAAGTTTGGCTAAAGGTGGGGACATACAAGAAGAACAACACTCTAAATCAAGTATCAAATGAACAAAAAGTATGAAATGTTTCGCTTAGGAATGACAAAGTGATGACCAACAAATCGTCACAAGAAAACACATGACTCCTTTGCCACATTCCCATTTACACCTTTTTAACTTCCAAAATGAGTACATAATCATAAAAAAAGGAGTATAGGTGGGATGAAAAATGACTTTTTAAGCCCCAATAATATAACTCCATTAATATCCATTAAAATCAAACATTAACTCCAAGAGTCAATTCTTTTACATTTTCTCCAATACCATATAAAAAATGTAAGAAAGAATCATATCAGTGGTCTGTATCAGTGTGTTCTCACTAGTTTCCATTGTATTCTTTAGCGTATTTATTTTTAGGGGGCTCATTTTGCAGATCGATGCACTTGGGTCCGTGGATGACACCTTCGGGGAAGCATCGCCAGGGATCGTTGGTTGCGTGGCGCCAGTCACAGACTGCCGTCTGCATGGCTTCCAAGGTGGACTTGTGGGCAGCATCATACGCCAGGTTGACCTTCTCCAAGGGGTCATTGGTAACGTCGTACAGCTCCCATTCAGGTCGATAGTAGTACTGGTCCAGGGTCTTATACCACTTGGTGGGCTTGCCAGCTGCCGTGTTGTTCAGGATGTCGATGAAAGTCGGGCACGCGGCCAGGTCTTGCGCGATGGGGTACGGGGCCCGGTAGTTCATATTGTGGATCAGTCGGTACTGCCGGTCCCGCATGACCCGCATGGGGTAGTACATGGTCACCTCGTGGAAGTTGTGGCTCGAGAAGATGTGATCCCAGCCAGTTGGCTCGGCTGAAGTGATGGGAAGCATGGACTTGCCCGTTAGGGTGACTTTCTTGCCCTCGAGGACATAGTCCGGGTAGGATACCCCGAACCAGTCCAGAACTGTGGGCACAATGTCAGTAGTGCTGGTTATGGCCTCGCTGTATTGGCCCCAGCGTTGCTTGACGTAAGGGTTGGAGACCATCATGGGCTCCCCCATGCCTGGCTCGTACAGGTTGGTCTTGGCGTTGGGGAAGGGGATGCCGTTATCGGCCGTGTAGATGATGAGGGTGTCGTTGAGGTGGCCGAAAGCTTGCAACTCCTTCAAAAGCATGCCGACACCTGTGCATTCAAAGATAATATAGAGAGTCACAAACACTGGTTAGAAATAAAGCAGAAACTACCTTTACATGCATTAACAATGGCTTGGAAGAAAGGCTTGCCAAAGGGTAAAATGTGAGTTTAAATTCCGACACGCACCCAATTCAAACTTCAAAGTAATTCCATGGAATGTTGACTGTATGCATCAATAATTTGAAGATCTGACATTAAAAGCAAATACCATGCAGCTAAGCTGCATGACATTTGGGTTACTAAACGTTACGAAAATGGACCAGGAACACGGAAAATGGGCCACGAAGATGGCTTGATGGATGAATTTGTGGAGTTTTTGAGCCAGTTTTAGAAAACTCAGTGCTCCACAATTACAGTTAAATGGATGTATACCAAGCAGTGACGGATGCATTTGTGGATGTTGTTTGGGAGGAACAAAGTCAGAACAAATGCAATACCTGCATCCATCCTGCTGATTGAGGTATACTGTGCCGCAATATCCGTTCTTGTCGCCAGGGTATCTGGCAGATACGGAGGCACAATCACATCAGATGGTTCATATTGAGCCGGCTTCCAATCCGTGATGTCCCCCATCCCCGGCTGGCCGTTGCCAAAGCGTTCCGCAAATTGCCCATATTTTGGTATGTCAGTCGGGCCTGCCCGATGAGGGTCTTTAAACCCAATGTAGAGCAGAAAAGGCCTGATAAAAAAAAGCATTTAGAGGGAATCGTAAGTATAAGAGAAGGGCTAGATACCTTGGTCCATGCGACTGATGGAAGTGTACTGTGCGGCGATATCCATGCGTGTCGCTGGTGTGTCAGGTAGGTACGGAGGCACAACGACCTCCTCTGGTTTATAGAACAAAGGATGCCAGTCAGGGATGACACCCATGCCTGGAGCACCGGTGCCCCATTTGTCACAGAACAGTCCCAGCTTCCCGCCACAGCGGTGGGGGTCATTGAAGCCTACATAGAGCATGAAGGGCCTGGTGGAGGAATGGGACACATTTTAACCAGTGGTGCTTTGCAGGCTCAGACTCTGGAGTTAACAGACTGATCCACTTAGCCCTGCCCCACGACTCGCTGTTCTGCTCTAAGTTGTCAAAGCAGATATCTATAGGAGCAGAATTTTTGCACAGGTCATGTTGACTGCGTGGTTACTTTCCTCGCCTTCCACCGGGTTCGGTGGATTGGGTTTTCAGTCCCTTCCTGGTTCCGTGGGTGTCCCCCAGAATATTCTCCTGGGGTTTTCCCCCCACCTCTAAAACTGTAATTTCTTCTCACTGTCTTCTCTCTATACCAGATTCTTCAGGATTTCGTGCAACAGTGTCTGGGACACTTTTGAAGAATCCTTGGTTTCATTGCCAGAAATTAAATTAAATTAAAACTGTGGTCAAAATAGCACATGGTAGGAAGCGATTGTACTTTTACAGTAAATGCAAAATATTAAAGACTACAAGCAGATATAAAAGCAGACTTCACCAAGCCCTCACGTTAGGAGTCCTCTCGATGATAATCCATGGAAGCCACTGCTAGAATTAGCCCTACTGCTCACACAACAGAGCACCCAGAAAATTGCTGACCGAAATGCAACTGGCCTATTGGGATATTTTCCTTCCAATTTTTTTTGAATTATCACTGAGATGACTCCAGATTACAACAGTTCCTTAGGGCCTGTCTCTATTCACATCAGGGACAAGTTCCGAACAAGTTCAAGACATTGTATCGGGTATAAGTTGCAGGATTCTGAACAACTTCCCCGCAATCTTCCCGCAATGAAGTTATCAGTATTGGTGAGTCAAGCAGTTGCTGATTATAATTTCCCCAGCACATTTCTGGGACAAAGATGTTCTTCGGGACAAAGTGAATGATTCTAGCCGCAACTTGTCTGGAACTCGTCCCGTATGTGAATCGAGACGGGCCATTTACTTGGTTGTGTTTGTGCTCAAAAAGGTCTGCACAAACTCCTTCATACGAGTGATGTTGCGGGCACACTGCAGCATGGGGTTGTTGAACTCTGTCTCTTCGTAGTCAAACTTGTAGACTTCGGCAGGAGCCACATGCTTCTTGCCTATGATCGCTGTAAAAAAACAGAAGACAGTGGAAAGATTTCGACATAATGGCAATTGCTCCTACATGCATGTAGGTACTATATTCATCTGCTTGCGGTATGTCTTCAACCTTAATTTCATTGTACCAAAACACAAACAAAGTGCTCAATTTCAGAAATGTAATCTCTTGCCACTTTGGGCATTCATGGAAATTGAATTACTTGGTAAAAAAAAAGGGTAAAGATCCCATAGCCATTACTGGCCGTAGGGGCAGTGGGATGTTAGAGGTCCACTGTGTCTTGGGCGCGGCATTAGTCCGAAAATTTGGGACTCTCAATACTGTGTATGAGAGTCCCAAAACTTAAGGTATCCATATCATGCAAAAGTTTGTGCTGCATAATAAAACCAGTGTGAATCAAATTTGCAAGCTTCTTACTCACTACAGTTTCCTCAATAATCCCCAAAACTTCTGCCTCGCAAAGTTGCTGTTGTGAGCATTGCATCACCAAAAATTCAGCTTTTAATTCTAATTTTGCAGAGAGTTAGCGAAATCCAAACGTGAGACATCACATTGATGTGTACTGCAATGCATTGTGCAAAAAAACTCCCTAGCTAGAACATTTTCATCTTGTAGATAAAGCAGCGCCCTCTTGTTGATCTGAGTGAATGTAGAATATTTCATTTTTTAACAGAGGGCGCTGTGTTCATTTGGCTATCAATTAAAAAACAAGTAAGCTGCAGGGCACTTCCTACACCTACCCAGAATACATTGGGAATCACACACCCATTTCCAGAGCATGGAGATTGACATGGATGGTTTTTGAACTGCCAAAAACTTGCCTTAAAATTGGATTTAAGGTCTCAAATTTCGCAGATGACATGCTTGCAACTTTATCATTTTCATGTATGTGTTCTGTGGGCATTAATTAGCCTAATGGTGAGTAAAAAAACGTCAGTAGTAATTTTGCACGTTTTTATGCACTCACGGTCCCAGTCTGGCGCGGCATATGAGTGGCGGGGCCCAGTCCTCTCCTCTCCCCATCTTACCTTCCCTGAACGAATCAGGTACCCATTTTACTGTTGGGCCGTCACAGAGTGTTTTCCAGTTTTTGGTCCGAATGGGATTCGAACCGCCAACCTTCCACTCCGTAGCTCCACGCTCTAACTGCTCGGCTACGAGGCCCCTCTAATTACTTGGATTCATGCCAATTATTAAATGTAGTTTCACACTTCTGACCAGCAAATAAAAAAAAATGAATCATGCCAGCCAACCCCATACAAACCTGTCTTTATTCCTGCCGGTTTCAGTATGACCGGCAGGGTCTGAACAGCGTCAAAAGAGCGGAAGTGATGGACCGTGTGCTCCAGGCCGTACATGCCATTCTGGTGCTGGGGCAGGCCCGTCAGGATGGCCGACCGGCTAGGCGAGCAGCTACTGACCGAGGTGTAGGCGTGGCGGATGACGACGCTGCTCTGCGCCAACTGGTCGATGTTGGGCGTCTTGCAGACGCTGTTGTTGTAGACTTGGGTCTCGAAGCCTGCATCATCAGCTACAAAAAAGCATTAACCCAAGTTAACAGGTTGGTTTTAGGCCAAGTAAAAAAATGAACAAGTTTCTCGTCCCCGCCTGCTTCCTTTTTTTTCAGCCCACTTCCCTTTTATAAAAAAAAATACATTTTTACTACATTTTTACTACGGAACTGGAAGTTCAAAATATGGCAGAAAAAGTGACAGCTCCCGCTTTGAACACAAAAGTATCAGCAAAAGAATCGAGAAAATTGGAAGAATCCATCTTGGAAAATCCGTGATCTTGGGAAAAAAAGGGCCCACCTCCTCCCTTTAAAAAAAAAAGCCTGGACAAGGAACTATTTTGTTACTATTTTTTATTTGGCCTTATTCAAGTCAATCACAGGTCAAGCCCTTGAAACACTTCGCTGTATCATGGAGTGTCCGTGACAGTCTGTGTATTTTCATTGGAGGTAGGAAAAGAACTCCTCAAAAAAGAATCAAACCTGCTGTACACTCAGTCACTCACCTATGATAACCAGAGCATTCTTCTTAGGGGGACTTGCCGATACGTGCGCAAGTAACAGACAAACTACACCAAGTACTAACATTGCCATTTTGCTTCTTCTGCTATGCTTTTTGCCCAAACCTGTACCTGTGCATGTCAGGTCAAGGCCACTTTGAGTTTGAGCTTTGTCCGGTTTTATCACGCGACCTTCTTCACAAAATATATAATGAGCTTTCCAAAACATTGACCTGCACTAGTCGACAAAGAGCCAAAAAATATGTACTTTGTCAACAAAGTGATTTAAAACTTTTCAGAATACATGAAAGCACTGCCATGGATTGAGGGACTTAAATTAACAGAAATGTCCATATCGATTTAAGCAGCTGAGGGAAATAAACTGAGGTTTCGCAAGTTAAATGTATGAGTGCCGATTAAGGACCCGAGCGGGACTGAAACAAGTTTAGGAATCTTCAAAAACATGGCGGCGTCCACGGTCGTGTCTGATGTGATGGGAAAAGTCACTTTTCTGCATAAGGTACTGGCCCATTCGGTTCATTATTTCCGTAATAAAAACAGAGAGAATGAAAATAGCCTTTTTTCTCTCAGTGTACACAGTGGCAATCTTGACAACTCAAGATTCATTGCCAAAAACTACTTTAAAAAGTAACGTTAAAATAAAACTAACTGTATTTGGGACATTAGAAAATAATGTGAGGGCGCTGTTCATGCGGTGACCCTTTTTTCTGAATAGAAATTTGTGTGTGATTTATTTATAAACTTTTGAATTTTTTTGCACATTCATAGTTTCATACTGTTTATATTCCAATATCGGGTTTTTTTTTAAATCATGATTGCTGTCTGTGTTGGCTATACTAGGCCTAGGCTATTTATTTAAAATAAGCATGAATATTAAACTTAAAGACACAGATTTTGAGGAAATTTGAGTTTTCCTGCTTTTACTTTTTAGAAATTTTCAATCATATTTTGTAAAGAATGTAGTATAGCTTGGTGTCATGGGTTTTCGAGTGGATAACATGATAATCAATACATGAGGGAAACAGAAACTAAATGATTTTTTTTAAAACCGTTTGTTTGAACTATGAAAGATAGAAATTTTCAAGTTGATGATTATATTACTAAGGGATCACTAGGTGGCCTGGAGGCCCCTACTTAATTTTTTCCATGACTCCCACAGACTTCATCCTTTTCCCTTTGATTATTGAAGTTTTAAAAATGAGGGAATTACTGTGAGCCTTTCAAAGCTTGTTAATGATATGTACTTCTTTGTTGCAGTTTCCCACGATAATAAAGGCAACATCAGATGACGACACACCTACGCCTGGCTACCTTTATCAAGAAATAGCAGGTGATTTTTTAAGTTCAGACTGTTGAACATCACCCGTAGCTGTTGGCTTTGTTCGTACATCGAAACCCAGTAAAAAAATGCCAAACATTTGTCATTAGCATGTTATCTTATTTATTATAATTTTTCCTGGCAGTGGAAAGAATTCCTGAAAGTCCACAATGTAGTTCACAAGCCTGAAGAAACCTGTTTTGGGAGAAATCAGTGACCATACCAGGGCGGATCCAGGACTTTTTGCAGGGGGGGGGGTTCATTGGCAAAAATTTGAAATGTACACAGGGTTTTTTTCTCCAGACACTTGGCCTACGAAAATCAATAATGTGCACATTATTACCAGTATAAAGTGTCAGAGCAGGGGGGGGGGAGGGGTTTTGCATTTTCTTTCATGAATTTCTATGGAAATATTTTTTTTTGACAGAGTTGGGGGGAATTTGCCCCCCCCCCCCCCCCGGATCCGCGTCTGCCATTTTTTCATATTTGTGTGACCAAAAAACCAAAAAAATATTTAGAAAAAGCCGACAGAATCAGGCAGGCTGGCAGGGACTGAAAAACTAATCCGTATTGCGGCCTGAGTGGGTTTCGAACCTAGGTCACAGAAAAGGAAGGCTAGGAAAGTACCGCTTCCATTGCTGATCTTGCATAGGTTGGGTCTAGAATAGTCTATGGTACCTCTATCAGAATCCAGCTGTTCCGCCCAACTATGGCGTCATCCCAAATATAGTTGGGAAAATGCCCAACTACAGTTAGGATCATCCCAGCTATAGTTGAGGCAATCCCAACAATAGTCCGGACTGTCTCAACTGTAGTTGGGACCATTGCCTCAGTTGGGACGTAACAGCCTTAACAGGGTTGAAACATTCTACTAAATTGAGCGTTTTGTTTTGGTTGTCCATTGCAAACAGATCTTACCTATGTCTCCAGCAGTTACTGCAAGTCGTTACTGGACGTTCTTGTGGACAGACTGGACAAGTCATCTCACCACATTAAGTTCAAGGTAAATATTCACAGCAGGAATATAACACCAGCTTATTCATTGGATGCCATTATACTGAAAACCACTGAAAGCCCGGTTCATACTCGGCGCGAAAGCGAACGCGAATTTGTGACGTCATGGCAAGTATTCGCGCTGCGAATTCGTAAAAGTTGAACATATTTCAACTCAAGCGAATTTCGCAGCGAATGCTTCGTGACGTCGTATTCGCTTCGCATTCGCATTCGCGTGAAGTATGAACCAGGCTTTAGGCTAAAATGTTTGTAAAACCCCTTCTGTGACCTCATGTAATTATTCTTACCATTGCACTCATAAGCATTCATTATTTGTATAAAATGACAGATATTCCTAACATGCTAACCCTCTTTTGTTTTATGCTTACAGGTGTTACGAGTGATGAAATTTGTTGTGGAGAATGGCAGTGAGGAGTTTCACCATAGTCTGTTGAGGCGGTCCACGGGAATTCAACTTGCTACTAGTGAGTGTACTACTATTGCTAGAATCATTTTTTCAACAGAATCTTTCAGTATTTAAGTTGTCATTCATTAAAAAGTATGTCTCACATAAATGACAGTGGTTCACTGATCAGACATTGGACCAGTTTCCCAAACTGTGATCGTTTTTTTTTTTTTTTTTTTTTTTTAAGTTTTCTCTGTTTTGAACTTTTTAAAGTGAACACTCAAAGAACTGCTGCATAATGTTCCTACTTCTTGTTTTTTTTCGTTTTTTTTCACCCCAACAGAATTTAGCGGACCACCAGACCCCCTGCATGGCAATGCTCCATACGTTGCAGTCAGAACCGCAGCAAAGGTGAGAACAAAAAGTGTATGACTGTATCGTTGGTTTCTCCTTTTTTCCCCATAAATTCCTTGAACAACAATCCCTGAATAATAAGGAAAACGGAATGTGCAGAATACGTCACTATTTATTGCTGATAATGGAATTAAGGAATCCTCGAGGAGTGCCCATGGCACTGGAGATCGGAAGCCTAAAGCAAATTGTGGAGAGAAGAAAGATCACGCGCCGATGAGGCCCATTAGGCCGGCATTTATCTCTAGTTTCCTTGGCATGAAAAGACTGAGAATATTTCTATTCCCCCTGGATGGAAGGCCAGACCACGGCAGGTTGCCAAATGCCGGTTCCGATTTGTCCTCCTGGGTGGAGAGAGGCAAGTGGGGCGAAGTGGTTTGCCCAAGGACACAACATATGACCAGCAGTTGGATTCGAACCCCTGACCCTCTGATCATGAGTCACGAACCCTAACCACTAGGCCACACTCCCCAACAACGTGGAAGCATTTTCCATTGCATCCCCCTACAACTCAGTGAATCATCCTCAGCTCAGTACTCTCTCTTCCTTATCAGGAGCTCTCTGAAGTATTATTTGACACGGAGAGATCCAAGAACAAAGAGCCGAGCCACAACAAAGAGGCGACAGTGGGCAGAGGACTGGGGACAAGTCGAAGCGGAGGCAGCATGGAAGGATTTGGCAACACCGGGGTACCCGTACATAAACAGAGTAAGTCCAGAAGCATTGTCATTTTTGCCAGCTGATTTAGGAGAGTGTTTGTTTTTTTCAAGGGTTCTTTTGGATATTTTCAGCTTGGATGTAGTCGAGTCCGTCACAAGTCCGGTCGAAAGTAAATCACAAGTCCACTCACAAATAACAGTGGATTAGCAGAAAAAATAGGAATGCCTTTGTCAAAGCTTATTTGAATAGCTTGTGAGTTGAATTGAGACTGGAGGACTTGTGATAGACATGCAGGGACTTGTGACGGAATTGACTACATCCCTGGAGAGAATCACTAACTGGTTAGAAAATTTGATCACAGTGAACAAATTCTTTAAAAAAAAATTTTGTTTTGAAATTTGCTACGCTTTTTGTATTTTTGTGTAGGAAAAAAAATTATCCGACAATTTTTTCAAGCAAAAAGTTTTAAAAGCCACACATTTTTTTAAAATTTCAATAAAACAGTAACAACAGTTATATTGTCTGAAATTGTAAAGAAATTCATAAGTATTACAACAACTGAATATTTTGTCATCTTTTCTCATTCTTCTCTCACTTGCCTGAGCGTTTTGCCCTATTATTATCATTGCCTGCAAGTGCTGACCAGAATGGAGGATGAGCGTATAAGATAGCTCCAGAATGAAACTGAAAGTTAGTGTTCACTCGTACTTATAAACGTGATTATTACACAACTGTTCAATCAGAATAGTTGCTTGCATGTGTCGAAAATGTTGACCCCACAAAACTGATTAGAAAAATCCTCATGACTTTCAACCACAGAATCTTTGGGGGACACCATTAAAGAGGGTTTCCGCCAGCTCACGGACTCCTTCCGGGAATCGCCGGCAACGTCGACGCAAAGCGGTCCGCAGAGTGACTACCGCCCTCTAGGAGACTTAGAGTCCGACCGCGGTTCATCGTCTTCGTTCTCGTTCCTGTCCAGAAGGCAAAGGACCTCCTCGGGGGCGGAGTCTGCGGCTAGACAGGGGGAGTACAAACCCGTGGTTGTTGATGATCGTGAAGGGGAATCGCCGAGGGTCCAAAGCTGCCAGCCCAGCAATCGAGATGTCAGGAGGGTCACTTCCGGTAAAAAAACCCAAAATCTGACATTTTCAAAGTTGAACAATATTTTTGCATTTTTGGGACAAAAGCTCAACGTTTTTAAAAATAGCATAAAGGGTTTTGGAATTATGGCTAATTAATTATTCATGTTTACAAATGGTAATTCTGCTCTGTGTACAAGATGTATATGGGAAAATTCAGTCTTCACGGTGCATAACGTCGGAAAAATGTTCGCTACGCGGCAACCCCTGGTCCAATTTTTATGTTTTTGGTATCAAAAGATGCACAAGGCTCGAGGCTAAAAAGTCATAACAGCTCGGGTCGCGAAAAAATTTTTTTAAGGCTATCGCGGAGAAAGTTGAGGGGGGGGGGCGGATTTCGCCCCCCAGCCCTTTTAGGGTTAACAAAGGTGCTCTCCTCCAAGTACCTCCCATTGTTGTGATTAATACAGTTAATTATATTTCACCCCTGCCTTCTTATAGCGCACAAGCAAGGCAAGCCAGGAGGGGGCTGGGAAGACAGTTCCGGAGGGCGTGGCAGCAATGCATCCAACAGCGATGGACAGCACAGTGGTGGCAGCACCGATCTCTCAGAGAGGTTAAACTTAAAATACATGTGTATCTAAAACGTATGATAATATAACAGTTTTCAGATGGGTTTAAAAACATTTGTTTGAATTGAAGGTACCCATTATTTAGATGTGAATTTTTTTTTTATATTTTAGGTCATGGAGAAATTTGCTTAAGGGAAAACTCACCCTAAAAATGATTATTGGAGTATGTTTTTGTATTTTTTTAATTGTAGATTGGAATCAGTGTCCGTGGAGGATGTCTCCATGGAAACCAAGTTGGTGGAGGACTTTGCGACCGCCTCCGATTGCAAACCGACTCCGTCAAGGGACGCACTGGCTCAGTTTGTCAAACGGTGAGCTTAGTGTCGAAAGATGAGTTTTTGGAAAGAAAAATAACTTTTGTAAGGGCCCTTCTCAATTCATATCCAGGACAAGTTCCGGACAAGTCGCGGGTAGAATCATTCACTTTGTCCGGAAGAAGCTCTGCATTTGTCCCGGACATGTTCAGGGGAAATTTCATCAGCAACTGCTTGACTCACCAATACTGATCACTTCATCGCGGGAAGATTGCAGGGAAGTTGTTCAGAATCCTGCCGCGATACAGTGTCCGCAACTTGTACGGAATTCGTCCCAGATATGAATTGAGACGGGCCCCAGTTTGCATTGTAGCATTGCAGTTTGCATTTGGTGGCCTACACCTTAACGCATAATCAAGTTCCATCTATTTTTTGTTGACATAAGAATGCAACGTGAACTTTGATTTTCTGTATTCGCTGTTGCAGTTGTTCAACTCTTAATTGTGAGAAGGTGACAGAATTATTAGGTTTGGAGCTACAGTCTTCTTCGGTTCCTGTTCAGATGGTATGTTTTGCATCTCCTTTTTTTTGGTTCATATTCTCCATCCATCGACCATTGTGTGTCCCATTTGTATGATGGTAGAGTGGCCTGCCAAGGGGAAATATTGTGTGTGGGAAGATCACCGAAAATGATGACAGAAAACCAATTTTTAGTCAATTAAATGTAATATACCACTTTTGCAAACATCAAAAAAAAATGCTGCCAAATTATTATGAAATACCTTACTTGATTGCAAGTGAATAACAGTTTCAAGCATGTGAAATCATTGCACCTGGTGTGCTGTCATTTTCAAGGAAAGTGGAATTTTTGTATCAATTTCTAACGATGGTCGGCCGACTCACCCTAAGACTGAAGTATAAATTTGCTATAAGACTGGCATGTTAGCCAACACCAATTTTTTATCAGGAAATGCCAAGAAATACCTCAAACGTTTTTAATTGTAATGCGATTGCTAACAATTATTTTTCAAAATGCTGACTGTTTAAAGTAATTCTGATTGCTCGAAAGAATCAAAATCCATTCAAATAAAACCTGGTGTGCTGTCATTTTCAAGGAAAGTGGAATTTTGTATCAATTTCTAACGATGGTCGGCCGACTCACCCTAAGACTGAAGTATAAATTTGCTATAAGACTGGCATGTTAGCCAACACCAATTTTTTATCAGGAAATGCCAAGAAATACCTCAAACGTTTTTAATTGTAATGCGATTGCTAACAATTATTTTTCAAAATGCTGACTGTTTAAAGTAATTCTGATTGCTCGAAAGAATCAAAATCCATTCAAATAAAACTAAGATCATAAAAGTTTGCCAGTAATCAGATCCAGTTTCCTTCCTTTTTGAATATTTTTTTTGCAGAGATGCTTGTGTGCCCTGGAAGCCATGATGCGAGAAGACATAGCCTCACCTGAGCATCTGCTTGGTTTCATCCCAAATGCTCTGAAGAAATTGCAGGTTGAAACCACAGACAGGTTGCTACAGGCCAAAGCATCGAAGGTAGGTTATGCGTCTGGGTCTGTCACGTGTCATCACAACTTCGTCACAAGTCCTCACAAGTCCATCACATGTCCATCGCAAGTCCATCACAGGTCCTAACAAGTTAATCACAAGTCAATCACAAGTCCATCATAAGTCCTCACAAGCTAGTCCATCACAAGTCCATCACTAGTCCTTACAGGTCCATCACAAGTCCTCACAAGTCCTCACAAGATCCTCACAAGTTCATCACAAGTCCTCGCAATTCCATCACAAGCCCATCACTGTTCCATCAAAAGTCCATCACAAGTCCTCACATGTCCTCACAAGATCCTCACAAGTTCATCACAAGTCCTCGCAATTCCATCACAAGTCCATCACATGACTTCACAAGTTCATCACAAGTCCATCACATGTCCTCACAAGTTAATCACAAGTCAATCACAAGTCCATCCCAGGTCCATCGCAAGTCCTCACAAGTCCACCATAAGTCCTCCCAAGCTAGTCCATCACAAGTCCATCACTAGTCCTTACAGGTCCATCACAAGTCCTCACAAGTCCTCGCAAGTCCATCATAAGTCCATCCCAGGTCCACCGCAAGTCCTCACAAGTCCATCATAAGTCTTCACAAGCTAGTCCATCACAAGTCCATCACTAGTCCTTACAGGTCCATCACAAGTCCTCACAAGATCCTCACAAGTCCATCACAAGTCCTCGCAATTCGATCACAAGTCCATCACAGTTCCATCAAAAGTCCTCACAAGTCCATCACAAGTCCCCACAGGTCCATCACAAGTTCATGACCAGTCCAAAGACATTTCTTTGTTATATTTCATCGTTACTTGTGACTGGACTTGTGAATGACTAGTGAATGACTTGAATTACTCTGCGCCAGAATCAAAATCTTTGGATTGACTCCATGGAAGTAGGAATCATGAATCTTTTCCTTTTTTCAAACCCTCTGTTATACTTAATCCAAGTTTCCTAAAAGTTAATTACAGGCGGTGCCCAACATTTAAGAAGAGAGTCTTTCGCTATCAGGAGTTTAACGATCTGCTAATGCTAGGAAATAAAAGACTCAGGAGAACTTTTAACAGCTTGTGATACATCACATTACTTTTTCTTAGTGGGAACAAGTTCTTTTGTATATTCAGATCAACTGACGAGTCAGTTCCCTTTATTTCTATTCGTAGATTTTAAGGCAGTTGGAGAGAACACATGAAGAGGCCACCGCATCCAAGATTTCCAAGGCTGCAGATGACTCAACAAGCAATAAGAATAAAGATCCCATTTTCGGTATACTACAAACGGACAACTCAAATAACCCACAGACGACAGGAACGAAAGGTCCACAAAGTTCCATTTCAAATACCAAGGATTCTGGACATGTGCCATCTCACAAAGATGATGTGTTGCTGTTTAATTCAGTGGATACCACCCCCAGTGTTTCCAAAAGTTCAGGGTCACTGTTTGCTGGCATGGAGGTGGGGTCAGCGCCAAAACTGGAAGAGCCTGAATCGCAACCCATCTATCAACTGGACAGGATATCAAAACATGAAACACATGAAGTTAGAAATAACAAGAGTGGGGTCATAGGCAAAGGAGATGCCCAACTTTTTGATGGCTTGCTAGACTTGTCGTCCACAGACCAGCCCACCCTGGCTCCTGACTTGGATGCCAACACACAGAGGTACTTCAACAAGAACTCTTCTTCTCTTTCTAAGGAGAGCTCCGATTCTCTCCTTCAATTTGATGATACCGAGACTCAAAAGCTGAAAAGTCCCAATACGGAAGAAGCAGATCATTCCAGTAACGGTAGAGCTTTGATAACAGAAAGCAGACATGTCACGATTGAAACAAGGGTGTTGAGTCCTAAGCTTGAAGGCACACAGTCGTCGACAAAGCCGAGCAAACCAGACGCCATCATGTCGCGTAGTGCCAACTTCCAGGATCTCATTGCCACAACAGGAATTGCCGTGAACGGAGGAAACGCCAAGAAAGCCGGGCCCGGTCCTGTTGGGAAATCGTCCGCCAATGAGCCCACCCAAACCAGCATTGTGCAAACACAGACGGCCGCTCCGAATCTGAACCGGGACCAGATTTCCACCTTGTACCCCCAGCTGGCCGGGGTGGCACTCAGCGGCTCGTCGGCCGTGCCTCTGAAACTCAGCCAGAGGCCGCCGGAGGGAAACTTTGCTTTCGTTTCTCCGAGGGAGGAAGGGAAGGAGAACTCTCACAGACCCGGCAGCTTTGATTTTGTCAAGGATGCTATGTTGGCCAGCAAGAAGTGATGTGGTATTAGTGTACACGTCAGTCTTGCCAATTAATTTCAGGCTTTCAAGTATTTCTTCTTTTCCTACTTTTTCCTAGTTTTTTTTCACCTTGCTCATTCTTTTCCTAGTTTTTTTTCTTGAACTTCCTACTTTTTTGTCTCACAACTCCGAAAAATGAAATTTCATTGAATATTTTTCATAAGTGTTACACAGTCATATGTAAATCACACAATGAAGGGCTTGGGCGCAGGAGTACTGCAACTGTACGTCCAAGAGCTTAATTGAGGATGGAGCACACGTGTTGTGAGTACAGAACATGCCAAATGAGACTTATGATGCTGTGCATGGGTAGAGTATCAACGAAAACTACTCCTGAAAGCATGCAAAAGTCCTGCTTTTATCCTATTTTGTCCACCAAAGTCCTACTTTTGACCGTTTTTTTGGGTTATCCCTTGGGCAAGGCACTTTGTCACTCTTTGCTTCTCTCCACCCAGGAGTAAATGGGTACCTGTGAGGGCAGAGATGGTTATGTGATTGATTTAGTTTGCTTGCGCCTAACAGGCAGCATCGAGCTGTATACTCCCCAGGGAGCTGAGATGGTATTTGGAATGCTTAATTGGCCCAATGATCAGGGGTAATAATAATACTGTAAGCGCTGTAATTTAGTTTACTAATAAGGGCGTTCTTAAATGCCAATTATTATTATTATTTGATCCTACTGTTCTCCTACCTTTTCACCTGGGTCTGCTTCAAAGCCTGTTCTTTTAAAATCCTCATTTTGTTTTTGATTGCATGGAAAAAAAAATTTTGATTTTTTTTTTTAAACCAAGTCTTTCGTTGATGGTGTTGCAGTTGTTGGCGACACAAAACCTGCTTTCAAGCAGTGTCGTGGGATATTGTCCACGACCATTTGTAGGCATTTTCCAATGGATACAAAGTTAAAATGCATTTATATGTACATAGAAATATGTTTTTATATGTGCATTCAATTATTGATATGTACATTCAAAGTTTGCATTTAATGTTTCAATCCAGATAGATGTACATGTATATTTTTAACCCAACATAGGAAGACGCTGCTCGAAATGAAAGCCAGCATGCAAACAAATTCTTCAATTCCAAACAAAATAATTTATTACAATTCTTTCATGCTTGTCTGAACATTGTTGGAAACATCGTATTTGTCAAACAAAAACTTGGTATGGACATTGAACATAGTTTTACCAAGATATTGCAAACTTGGCAAACAAAATGGTTATCATAGGCTTGAATAAGATCCTGTCATAGTGGCGTTGTGTGTGCTCAAAATGCGGTTAACTTCAAAGACTTCATTGTACCAAACAGAAGCTAAACAATGTATATTCAATGACATGAATAACCTGAAATATTAATTTGTACCCAGTTTTATCTAATACAAAGTTTACAGCTAACCAAAGTTGATGAAAATACCTGTTGTGGTTGTTATTTTTTTGTTCATCACGTGCATTAATTCCTATGAGGGAGACTACCCTGTGTCTGACAAGATGACATGAGAAACTTTTAATAAGTTGTGAAACTGTTTATTGAATATAATGGATCGTTTTATTTCCAGATGAATGGAGTGAGTGTCAATCTAGAAATGTGATGATAATTGATAGAAATTTAACACAAAACTGTAAATTTTCCACTGTCTACAATTTTGTTTCTGTTCGTTTATAATTTTCAATTTTTCATGCAGATCGCTGACCATCACAAAATCTAGGCCAAAATTGCTAAAATGTTTCTGTGATAATTTCTTTCAAAGCTGAACTTTCCTGGAACTAGTAACAAACCTCGGTGCTCTCTAAGAATTAAAAAAAAAATCAGAATTTCAAACAGAATCTGTATGAACACTAATGCAAACCAAACTTAAAGATAATTTTTTTCAGAATTCTCAAATCTTTAGATCTTTGCTTCAAGATGTGTTCAGAAGACGCACATGTTGATCCACAGCACTTCATTCACACACTGCATAGAGGTCACCGGTGAATCGGCTACCAGTGATGCTTCCTGAGACGATGGTGCTCTGATAAAAAAAAAATTAAAAATTAAAAAACATTTAAAAATCTGTAACATCAAGAATTACAAAGCAATTACTATCACATCCATTCAAAAACAAAGTTGATCTGCCATTCTTGCAAACTCGGAGGCAATTTGAAGACATTGTTAGTTTGCTTTTAGAAAATTGAGTCATTGTTTCGTGATACGACAATCTGAAATTTCAATGCTAGGAATGACTGAAACGGGCAACAGGCTGTACACAGTGGTCAAGACGCAAACAGTGTGCAAGCTGTATCATTCTGATCTCTTCGTAAACACAGCATGTGCAACTACGATAGCAATGGAGCGTGCAAGTTGACCTGAAAAACCTGCACGATTTTACGGGAATATGTATCGGAGCACCATGTATTGGATCTACATGTATGTGTGCAAATGTCCCATTTTTGTTGCATTTATTTTGTCAAGATCCTAAAAATGAAACAAGCTTCACAGAAGTGAAGTTTGATTAGAATTCTACCCAGCCGTGTTACGGCACGGAGGGATTACGTGCCCTCCCTGCCGTCAAAGGTGACACCCACCCTGAAGAAATATCATTCCAGTAGGGTTCCCACCTACATATATTCATAGGAAATGTGTTCACGAGACACCACACTTAAAAATCTGAAGGCTCACTGCCTCGCGTGGTCACGGAGTGATGTAGTTCAAGGTGAGGTAGAATCATGGTTCAGGTACATGTATTTCATTTTGTCTGAGCAGTTTGCCTAATCTGAATGCCGCGGAGGAAGGACCAGTGCATCTCCATACTTACTCTCGCCTTTGAATCGCCAAATGTAGCTGACAAAGATGCAAGCGAACACAAAGTGGCTAACTGGGGCCACGCCCGTCTTCCTCACGTTGACATACTTGTTGAAGTACCGGTCTTTGCCTGTAAATAAAAGGGTGGTAGTCAGAGGGGGAAAAAACTGTGAGCTTCTTTATTTCACAATATGTCCAACCATTTGCACAGCTCTGCAAGTAGAGATGTAGAATAAAACATGACCAATCTGGTGGAGTTTTTTCATCACTGGCTTTCTCCGCAACTTAGTTGCAGGAAAAGCCTTTGTTTTTGTTCTGATTTTTTTTTTTTTTTTTTTGCTTTTCTGCAAAATTGCGGAAAAGCCTTTATATTTGTTATACTTTTTCTTTCTTTTTCTTCTAGGTCTTCTATCCCGAATCCCATACACTTTGTACACATTTTGTTCTTCCCACCACTTTGGGCATTTAACAAACGTAAGCTCTAGTTTTTTCTCTTGTTTTTCATCTTTCTGTCATGGGGACGAATCCCACCCTACTAAAAAAGATATCACAGGTTACAAAGTTACAAGCCACAATGTTAAGTGATTTGCTACTGACTGGTTGTTGCCAGCTTATTCTTGCTTATACTATAGACATGTAGGGATATGCTCTATGAAAATGAACTATAAAGGTCCAGCCCATTAAACCTTGGCTGGACTAGACTGGAACTTCTCCCCATTGGTGTGATCTCTGTTCTTCCTCATACAATACAAGCAACTACTTTTTCACAAAAGTCGCCTCTGTTCATACAAAGGAATATTTTCTGTTGCACTACTGCTTGGCCTGGACTTCACAAAATAGTCAGCACAGGTTCAAAAATAGTGCGTAAATTAGAACACATTACATCACCAGTTGTTATCAGTCTTTCAAAACTGCCTAACCCTTTATCTTATTTTGCCACAGTTATGAAAATGCATGGGTTCCATTGAATGCAAAAGTTGATGAAGTAATGTGCAATGTCGCCCTGACAAATAAATTCAACAGCAGGATTTTTTGCACTGTTTGGAATTTAACAAAACTACTTTTTTTCAAAAACAAAATCTTTGATAAGAATGCCAAAAAAATTGACAAGTTTTCACAAAATCACATGTAATTCCACTGTTTTTCACCAGTGCCTAACAAGCTGACTTCAGTCTAAACTCTAGCAGAAGGATGAAGTATGTTTAACCCTAACTCCCTAGGCCTTTTTGCTAGGATGTAGCCTCAATCCTGCAAAATCCTCAAATTGGCCTCATGGAAAAATAGCATATAGCCTCAATCCTGCAAATTCCTCCATTATTTCTTGAATATGGTCCGTGGAAGGGTGACCACCGCCTGAATCCTGCAAAATCCTGCGGCAGTGACTGTCAATATGTTGAGGCTTGGCCAGTGACATCCTGGAGCAGTGCGGAGAATTTCAAGCATAATCCAGGCCTATATTTATGCATGGCTGAGCAAAAACAACACAAGGTTCGGCCCAAGACCTTGACAAAGTGCACCCTACAAAATTAGCAACGCACTTTTGCCATGTAACCTCAACCCTCCAAATTCCTCCACTTTGGCAAAGAGGATTTTGAAGGATTCAGGGCGGTGAGGGTTAAAGAGGAGTGATTGAGTATACATGTATACCTCGGATTATGGCGCGTCCAATGGAGGCTGGAGAGAAGTTACATGAAGCCAGCCAGCGTGGCAGCTGGCCAACTTTAACATCACTCAGTCTCAACTCAGCTACAGCTGTAATGAAAACAATTCAGAAAGAAAATGTGATGTCATCTTTGACGTATTCATCATGTGCATGCAACTGTATAAAACTAGCCATAAAAAAATAGGACATTCCAAGACTTCAGGAGACTTTGTACAGTGTTTTCCAATTTTTCTGCTGAAAGTGAAAGTTGAATGTCTATACTAGATTTTAAATTATACATGTATATGAGCCAATCAGAGATAGCCTGCCATGAAAAAAAACGTATATAAGGCTGAGTAAAAAAAAAAAGTTTCTTGTCCCGGCTTTTTGAAAAAACGAACGAGGTGGCCCTCTTTTTTTCAAGATGGCTAATTTTCGCAGATGGATTATTCCTAGCCCGACTGCGTCTGGCCGTACAGTACTATCGCAAGCTCTGTAGTACGGCCAGACGCTGAATGCTTCCCAAAAGACTGAATTTTTTTGGCCGCTGATGTAGCGATTTTGCTACATCTTTTGATCGAGTTTATCTTTTCATCCAGGACAAAAATTTCCACAGTTAAGGTTCTTAGTCGTAGAGCAACTCATACCTTTTCGAAAAAAACGTTCTTTGGTCTCAATATTTTCATCCATCTGGCCAAAAGACGACTTTCAGTCATCATCTTCCACAAATATCGTCCCGAAAATGCTCCCCCATGCGATTTCAAAATGGCGGCCGCGCTATAACTCATGAATATGCATGAAAAGTCTGTGACGTATGACCTCGAGTTTTTGGACGTGCGTGCGGCGGCGCCGTACGTACATGTACGTACATGTACATTACTTGTAGAAAACAGCCCAGTATGCGTGTATATGCACACGTACGTCCGCGCGGCGGTGTGCATGCACGTACTGGGCTGTTGCCTACAAGTAATGTACATGTACATATGTACGTACGGCGCCGCCGCACGCACGTCCAAAAAACACGAGGTCATACGTCACAGACTTTCATGCATATTCATGAGTTACGGCGCGGCCGCCATTTTGAAATCGCATGGGGGAGCATTTTCGGGACGATATTTGTGGAAGATGATTACTGAAAGTCGTCTTTTGGCCAGATGGATGAAAATATTGAGACCAAAGAACGTTTTTTCGAAAAGGTATGAGTTGCTCTACGACTAAGAACCTTAACTGTGGAAATTTTTGTCCTGGATGAAAAGATAATCTCGATCAAAAGATGTAGCAAAATCGCTACATCAGCGGCCAAAAAAATTCAGTCTTTTTGGAAGCATTCAGCGTCTGGCCGTACTACAGAGCTTGCGATAGTACTGTACGGCCAGACGCAGTCGGGCTAGATTATTCCATTATCTTGCCTCTTTGTTGGAAATTAGAAACTGGTTTATTTTTTACTCGGCCTAAAGTTAATGTCAAACTAAATCAGAAAATATCCACTTGCATGACTCGACTTGAGAATGAGAGTTGAGTCGCACTCACATTCAATTCATTGACATTGATTGTGGGCTGATGAGCCAAAGACTAGGCAAAGTCAATGTAAATTTCAAAACATGTTCAATTCTGTTTTGTGCATGGTTGGTCTCGTTCTGAGTTAGGCCAAGACAGGGTGAATTTGAGTTTACTCAAAATCAACAGAATTGATTTGGGACCGAGTTGACCATGTACACTTTAGATGTGACCAACACCCCGACGTCTCCATTAATTCACCATAGCAAATATTACATCTCATTTGGGGGTATCTGGCTAATTTGCGATGGCCCTCGGAAAAATCTCAAGTTTCAAAGGGTATTAAATCGCACTAATACAATTAACAAAATCAATTGTCTTCCATCACTTCAATTAATTCAGTGTTAAGTATCATTTAAATTTAGTTTCATATGCGATTATCTACTAAAAGACAGGTTTTGGGAGGGTTTTTCACACCTACAACTGTGAAACTTACCGGTCTTGTCCGCCATGATGGAATCGAAGCGTATGAATATTAAGTTCTACTTAACAATCAAATAAAATATTCTTTTGCGATTAACGGAGTATTAATCACATGTGTTATTTGCAAATTATTGAATTTCAATATTTTTTAAAGTAAAAGTTCCATAGAATTATCATTTAATATGAATTAAATGTGTACTATTTTTTTTAGCACACGAATACTCTGCGGGAAAAAAATCAAACAGCGCCATCTATTAATTTCTTCACGCAGTTATTGCGCCCTCTGTTGGTGTACGTACGTGTGTGAATGTGACTTGTTCATTTATTAACGTGTAGAATGGTCTGTGCTACGAGAATGACGTATTATGCGGTTCAACTACACGTTGACAATCTACAAGTAGTAGACGTCTGCAACAAAAGTGAGAAATCCCCTTTCGCAAAACAGGACAGAAAATATCATGTTTCCTGCAAAGTTTCTGCATTATTGTCCGATGCAAGAATTTCTGTAAATGAGCCAACGGTCGTCCAGCCGTAACCTAGGACGTCTGGACAAAAGAGGTCAAGGTTCCAGCGGCTCTGACAACAAAACAGCAGGGAGGTCCGACCGTGGTTCGAGCGCGGTCGACGGCTCCCAAAATGGCCGTCCGCCCGCTCGTACTCGCAGGCGGGATTATGAGGATGGACGACCCGGGAAGCACTCACAAAAAACCGATGGCAAACAGACCAACTCAAAGAGTAACTCTGGTAATTATTTATGCTTAAATTCGGGTTATTTTAATTGTAATTTGTTGGTTTGTAGCCTATATAAATTGTTATGATTTTCATATTTTTGTTAAAATGAAAATTATAATTACAACACCAATTCTGTTATGTTTTCAATTAAGTTTTGGCATTCTCAAACACTGTAGTGAGAGTCTAACATTTGTGGACTTAAAGTACTACAGCTTCCAGATGTTTGAAATAGAGACTAGGGTTTCAGATGTTTGAATGCAGTATTTTAATGCTACTTTTATTCACCTAGGAGTATGTAGAACCTTGATGATAACTGAAGGAAGTCATACATTCTGAGAAACGAGCATGCAGTAACTAACAACACACGTTTGTTCTGTTCCCATTTGAAATCTTTACTTTCCTTATTTATAGGCAGGAGGCTATTTTCCGACAACTCACAGCTTTCAAGTTTGGTCAGCAGGGCACTGCATGATGATGACCGAGACCGACGGATCACTGCGCTGAGGAACCTCAAAGAATACATACTGAGAAACGATCATGCTAAGGTCAGCACAGAGCCTTGTCAGTTTAAAATCACTAAAGAGAAAATGTTCAGTAGATGTCTCTCATAGGACAATTTCTTCGTAGGAAAATTAGTACTGCGTAATCATTGCCCTCAGGTGTGTGTGCAGGCAATGGACAAGCATTACATTCATTGTGTGGACTTCCGAACAAAAGATGTCCACATAAACCAGGTAGCAGCGACGTTGTGCGGACTTGCCCACGTCCACACAAGGTTTTCCCCTCTCTGGAAAACAGGTTTAGAGGCATTTTTGGTTTAGGTTTGTGCATGGCAAAATGAAGTGAAAAACACTAAAGGGGATCATAGAAAAAAATTTGGGTTGAAAGAGTTTTCACAGTTTAAGAAAAATGAGTTTTTTTCACTGGTTTTTCTTAACTACACGAAAACAAAGGAATGTCCACACTAGATATGTAAAGCAAACATGTATGTGCGCGCAGTGTGCATGCAGTGTGCAAAATTTCTTTGAAATGCGGCGCATGTCACAAAACTTTGAACGCCCAAAATGCCGATGCACGTGACAATCTGTAGGAAGTGACGTCATTTGAAAGAGACCTGTTGTTAAATTTAAGTGATTGACAGAATTTGAATTTGCACAGAAATATGTCATGCCTGTCTAGCTTACCCATCAAATTACATAAATTCTGTTGTAACATGTCCCCATTTGTTTCTTTGACATGTATGTATTGAGTGGGTTATTCTGTGGTATTCATTGCTCATGTACAGGAGGTGCAAAGACAAGCAGACAACCTTTTACTGGTTCTTTATGATGCCATCAACGAAAGGTGCGTCACGTCATGAAGTTTTTGCTTTTGATTTCGTCATCAAATTCTTGTCATTTTGTTGCCATTGTTTATAAGATTATAAATCACATCTGTATTCTGATGCCTCATTTGTTGAATATATTTTCTTGAATAATTGTCTTTTTTGTTCTCTCAAGGATCAACAACGACATCCGCTTGGAGATTGTATTCTGCATTGCTTCAGTGGGCACTCAAATGGGACTAGACCTAAGAAGGTAGACTGTCATTAATTGTTCTTAGATTGTGTTCTAATTCTTTTTAATTTAAAAATGGAACAAAGGAGTGTCATGGCCTAGCGGTTAAGAGCACCGAACTCATGCTCTGGTGTTTCAGAGGCAACAGTGGCGTGGGTTCGAGCCCGGGCCCGGACACTTGTGCCCTTAAGCAAGGCACTTAACCATTATTGCTTCATCTTCCGGATGGGACGTTAAGCCGGAGGTCCCGTGTGTTGTATAAGGACTAACGCACATAAAAGAACCCAGTAATACTTATCACTAAGAGAAGATGTTTGCCCCGGTGTTTCTGGCCTCCTAGTTATACTCCCTTGTGGAAGTCCTTAGGAGAAGAACCAACCAAGTAACCAAGTACCAAAGGAATTGATTGGAGCAGGGTTTGAACCTGCGAACTCTGGATTGCTGCACCAACTGAGCTGTCCAGCCCTATGTTGACGGTTCCCCATTTCTATCATGTCTTTGTTTAAGGGGCGCTAGTCAGACGCCACAAACCAGTATATGCCGTGTAGCCAGGGATCACGCCCAAAGTCACGATGCTAGCAACATTAGCAATGCTGCAAACGGGGATCACTCAGAGAGGAAAGGGCTTTTTGCTACAAATTTATGCAAAGCAGTGTATATGAGATAATTTTTATACAATGCCATGTATATTTTTTGTAGACTAGACACGTGGCCATTTTGGACCAATGAAATGACAGTATCCAAGAAACGATATAAAAAAATTACACAGTGCCCGAGTAATATAAAAATTGTGCCATTTCAGTGTCTTTACCAAATATCAGGAACATCCTGGTTTTTCTATGAGGTGTCAAGTTTTCAAAAATCATTTCGTGGACTTTTTAATGTTCATTAAGTGGTATGTTGTTTTGTACAAATGTTTGTTTTGATTATATTCAGGTTTTTTCAATGGCTCTGTGGTAAGATTCAAGCTGCATCATCTGATGAGATCAAATCCCTTCTCTTGTTGGCGATAGTACAGGTACATTTTCAGACGATGTCATTAAGAATAATTTAACGTTTATTAATCTTTTCACATTGTTAAAACTAGAAATCATAAATTGCTCGTTGATATTTTAAAAATTATGTACTTGAAAACTGTCAGTATACTTGAACCTTGATTTATAGTCTATCAGCCATCCATTAATTCCTTCCCCCTACGGGTCAGGTGCAATGAATTGGGTAAGGTGATTTCTAAACAAAACCTAAAAACAAAAATTAGGCGCACTAATTGCTGGCGTGAGTTGTCCAAATAATGTGATCATCTTTGACTTATCTTTCTCAAAGGTTTTGAAGAACGACGAGAAACAGCAATGCAAGAACCTCATACCATTCATCATGACCAACATACAGACAACACTAGAGAATGCAGATACCCCAGGTAACAAATAAATTCAAATATTTTTACCCTCCTTATTCAGAATAGAAGCATTCTTGTAAATTTATCATGTCTATTTCGTGAAGTAAAATGTCTCCCATCTATATTTGTTTTATACCCAGAGCTGTTGGTTTCATCCGTGAATGCCATTCATTATATATGCCAGCGCAATCCAGGTTCATTCAACGATCACTTCAAGGTAAGGAGAAATGGTTTCAAACTGGTTTTTTTTTTAAAGGGAAGAAACAACATTTGTAAACATCAAAAACCAAAAGGATCAAATTATCACGAAATTCTTTACTGGACTGTTAGGGAATGACAGTCTAAAGCATCCTGTAACATCATGGCTTCTGGTGTGCTGACATTTTAAAGTTAAGTGGTATTTCGTATCAATTTCCAACTCTGGTCGGCCAACCAGCGTTGGGGAAAACTGGCTTTTTATGCCCCGCGGCGAAGCCGAAGGGGCATACTGTTTCCGCCTTGTCCTTCCGTGGGTGGGTGGGTGGGTGGGTGGGTGGGTGGGTGGGTGGGTGTGTGTGTGGGTGGGTGGGTGTGTGGGTGTGTGTGTCCGGACAAATCTTGTCAGCGCGATAACTTGAGAAATACTTAACATATGAACTTCAAATTTGGTTTGTGGATTGTTCTTGGTAATCCTAAGAAGCCTTTCGCATTTGGGGCCAAAAGGCCAAAGGTCAAGTTCACAGTGGCTAAAACAATAGAAATCTTGTCAGCGCGATAACTTGAGAAATACTTTACATGTGAACTTCAAATTTGGTTTGTGGATTGTTTTTGACAATCCTAAGAAGCCTTTCGCATTTGGGGCCAAAAGGCCAAAGGTCAAGTTCACAGTGGCTAAAACAATAGAAATCTTGTCAGCGCGATAACTTGAGAAATACTTTACATGTGAACTTCAAATTTGGTTTGTGGATTGTTTTTGGCAATCCTAAGAAGCCTTTTGCATTTGGGGCCAAAAGGCCAAAGGTCAAGTTCACAGTGGCTAAAACAATAGAAATCTTGTCAGCGCAATAACTTGAGAAATACTTTACATGTGAACTTCAAATTTGGTTTGTGGATTGTTCTTGGCAATCCTAAGAAGCCTATTGCATTTGGGGTCAAAAGGTCAAGTGTCAAGTTCACAGTGGCTAAAACAATAGAAATCTTGTCAGCGCGATTACTTGAGAAATACTTAACATATGAACTTCAAATTTGGTTTGTGGATTGTTCTTGGTAATCCTAAGAAGCCTATTGAATTTGGGGCCAAAAGGTCAAGGGTCAAGTTCACAGTGGCTAAAACAATAGAAATCTTTTTTTTTATTCTGAGATTATAGGGATTAGGGATTAATTCATATAAAACCTACAGAAGACACTAATGCTGTCAATGAATGTTCCATGTGACCAAGGTACATGTAAGTTGATGTTAAAAGAGTGGTGTTATGTCATGGGAACAGTCACGGTTGCGGGGCATTTGTGTTTGTAAACACACCTGACTTGTTTTCCTTCAAAAACTGCTCCTGGTTTTTCATATTTAGTTATTTCTCATCTGCTTTGCATTTGATTACACACCTGTGAAGGGGTACAAGCCTGCTAGACTGATTCTGTGACCTTACAATTCTGCAACATCTATAAATTGCTTTGTTTCATCTTAAGTGGGATCGGGGAACCAGACTACAAGAACATGATTGGTTTTCTTGGTTTTTCCAGCATCTACGAACCCAAAACGTGAAACAAGTCAGTGTAACAATATTTGCTATAGCATACTATTCCTCCAAATCCATTTATTTTTGAAAATTACAGCAAAAGCAAATGTTGTACATTCCCTTTAAGTGACTGAATCATGCACAAATCTGTACAAAAAGCTACGGACTTTGTGCAGTAACAGTCGATGGTCTACCCATGAGACCAGGTGTGTAGGATATGGTCAGGCGCACACTGTTTGCACAAGAGCGTTTAGTTACACACAAGTTATTTTCACTTTCACTTTTCACTTTCAATTGCACAAAGTATGTACATTTTACGTCAGATCGTTTTGTATTTGTTGTCGTTTCATGAAATGGACAGATTTAAGAGCTATTAATTTACAGCGGACAAGTATTAATTTATAGCTGTTCAATGTTTTGTGTCCTTTGGTGCTGGAAAAACGTGAAAAAAAAATGCTGTTTATTTTCCGCTGTCAAAATGCAGCTCGCAGAATCTGTCTCGCATAGAACCCATAGATCATAGGGAGTTTCCCAAGTGCTGGCTCTGTTGTGGGAAAGTAATACAAATTCATACATAAATCTAGTATACCCGAGCATACGCATGAAGTCATCAGCTGGCTTGCAGCCATTTAACGGATGTAGTATAAACATTTGAGAAAACTGTTTATGCTCACGTCAGTTCTGATACAAAAGTACTCTTTCCTTGAGAATGACAGCATACCAGGCTCAAAAATTTCACAGGATGTTTCATACTATTATTTACTTACAGTCAAGTGGGCTATTTCATAATAATTTTGCAGTTTATTTTTGAGTATTTAATAATAATGCTGGAGTCTTATATAGTGCACTTATCTACCAACAATTAGGAACTCAAGGTGCTGGAAATTATGTTTACTTGCAGGTAAATGAAGTTTATGAGAAATATGAGACCCATTATGTAGCACCTTTTATAAAGGGTATACAAGGTGCTGCGGCGCATATTGCAGCCACTGCCAGAAACACCGGGGCAAACCCCTTCTCTTAGCGATAAGTGTTACTGGGTTCTTTAACGTGTATTACATAACACACGGGACCTACGGCTTTACGTCCCATCCGAAGGACGAAGCAATAATGGTAAAGTGCCTTGCTCAAGAGCGCAAGCACCATGTTCCCACAGTCAGGATTCGAACCCATGCACCATGGCACACGAGTCAAACACCGTAACCATTGGACCACAGAACCCCGCATTTGTACATGATGCTTTTGAGTCTGTGGAGACTGTAGTTAGTTACATATTACAAACTGGTGATTTCTGGAATTATGTTGCAGGACACAGTAGATATTCTGGTTGGTTGGTACATCGACACATCACAGAAGCCTGCTCTCATCAAATACTGCTCCGGTAAGCAAATTAGTATCTTCTCTTTACCTTTTTGTGCAAGTACAAATCGCATTAGCCCAAACCCTGCCAAACGCAACACAGTGCATCAGGTGTAGAAGTCTGTGGGACCTTGCTGCATTGAGCCATCAACACCAGTGCATAAATGGCCAATCCTGAAACAATGAGAGCTAGTCCCATTGAATGCCACAGTTGTATCATGCTTCGTAGTTGGTGACCACTCCGATGAGGCAGTTTGGCCTTGAGACTTTCTTGATGGATGGATGGATGAAGGACCTTGCTACAATGGGCAGGCTTGTCATTTTGACAAGTCTTGTACGTTGCTGCGTTGAGCAGGCTTTGAAATGTTTAGTTAGGGTTAAGCTGACTTTGTCAGTGCCTTATTGTTTAGAAGCATTTTGGCTTTAACTTTATTTTGCATTCATACTGACCCTGACCCAAGAGCAAATTTTATCAAAAAAGTTGCATCAACATTTTGTCAGTATCAGGACCCAGACTGAAGCAACAGACTTGGTTTTGGAGACACTCGTGTTTCAGGCTTGACGGCTGAGTTCAATTGGTGTAAGAATATTAGAAGTGGTGGCTAGTTTCTAAAATAAAAAATAGGGCCAGTGTTTTTTTTTCCTACTTTATCAGCATCATGGAAAGCCCCACAATAACCAGATTGATTTTTTTTCTCCAGGATACTATTTTGGCCTTAATACTGTAAGTGAATGTACTGAAAGTTTTTTTTTAAATTTTTTGTACAGATACCCTGATTAGTTTCCACAGCTACTGGCTGGCTGATATCAACTTCTCCGTCACCCTACTCGGACAATTCCTTGAAGACATGGAAGCTTACTCAGAGGTGAGAACAAAATAGATGTTGTTTTTCTTGTGTCTTGGATATGGTTACTACATTGGTCCTGAACGGTCATACGTCTAATTTGTAAACAAATAAAAATTGTTGAAATGAATTTGACATCATTACATCACTCAGGTCAGTTTAAGGTGAAGGGATATACATGGTTAAAGTAACTGTGTCACACAGCACTGTGGATAGCTGTGAAGCATGACTGAATATACCTGCTTGCCCTGACCTTAAACACACAAAGAACTGCGCAGGGATTTGAAGTGTTATCCATACTCCACAGAAGATTACCTCAAAGGAATTTGAAGTGTGGATGATAATGCTATGAGCAAAAGTGGTTTTGCAAAACTTGAAGGGTTGTGAAGTGCAGAAGACAAGGAGGGTTAGGGCTTGCCAAAGTTTTCAACCAACCAGCTCCGAAGTCTTCATTCCCCTAAATATTCCCCACTGTTATGGAATCCCTGTCTTGCGTTGACCAGGACCTGAGCCACTGCTGTAGTGGGGCATCGGGGGCTTCTGGTGACGGCAACAAGGCGGACAGTGAGGAGCCACAGACGCCTGAGGTCTGCAGAAGTAAGATCCTCGCACTCATCAAGTAAGTCAGTCAGCGTATTGGCTGGATGTGAATCATATGAGGCTCTTGCATCTAAGAACATGTGGAGAATCGAGTGGGCTGGGGAAAAAAAAACAATGACCATATTCCATCTTACTACTATATCACTCAAATGAAAGGTTTTGTTGTCCCTTTCATTTGATACCACGTTTAAGGTTGTGATGCTTGTAGTTTGGAAGATTTCATAAATTGTCCACTTTTCAGTTGTGTCCACTTTTTCATGGACTTGCCCTGCCTTCTTTTTCCCATTCTCATCTGTACCTATGAAGTGTTTTTAATTTCCAACAACTATATCTCAAAAAGCATTAAAATTCTTCTCTTGAAAATTATATACAAAAATAAGTAGCATTCACGTTGTAAGATTTTGACGTCAAAATTTTCCACCATCTTCCCTTTTTTAAGATGTAGATCTCCAAAACAACCCCCTATATTTTCATCAATGTTTTATTTTGTACGAAACGATCCACACCTAAAGTCAACATTTCCTGTTTTGTTTCTAGTGTCTTTGCCACGGTTGTAAAGTGTCTTGGGGACGGTTTCAGCCCCAGGCCTGGCTCACCAATCACGACTGGTTATCTCTCCGAGGTAAGATAGGAACTCTGCCGTTACAACCTTCGGAAATCCTGTATGAATTGTAGTAGCCTTATCAGTGACAGTAATGTTTCGTCCCCTGTTACTTGTAACAGGACTTGTTAAAGGCCCTTTTTTATTCAGACCCAAATGTACCGATTCCTTTATCCCAAATCCCATGGACTTTGTCCACGATTTTTCTGGAGACCACTTTTGTCATTTGTAAGCCTTGTATCCAAACTTGCAATAAGGGAAGACCATCACCGAAAGACCATCCGCGAAACATTATGTCATGATGACGTCATCATAGGTCACGTGACGTCATCTTATAGGTGCATATTTAAAAGTCCTATATTTAGAGAACTACAAGTCCGATTGGGTTGTAACTTTGTATGTATGTAGACAGAGACGTGTTATAGGCAAAAATGGAGGTGACGTCATAATGACTTCATCACGGGTCATGTGACGCCATCTTTAAGGTGATAAATAAAGTCTTATATAGAACTACAAGACTTGCCATAAACAGCTAAGAAGTCATAGAACTTTGGTTGTACATGAAATTGATTCAGACTGCACATAGACTCATGAAAAATCAAAATGCGGGAAAGCCCTACGTTCTGTTCATCGAACAGGCATAGACCTCTAGTTTTTCATTTTTCTTGTATTTACAATAATTTTTGTACTCCCAGGTTTTCAAAGGCATCACCAAGTGCGTCCACACAGTCCAGAAAGAGAGCCGTGGCGACGGCACCGATGAGACCATCATCCTAGCAGCTAATGAGTGCCTGTCGGTGCTGTGTGACAGCATCCGTTCCTCCCTGGTCCAATGCCAGCATGAGATGGTCACGTTTGCCCTAGCTCAGCTTGACATAGCCCTGCAGGTGGACTTCCCCCGTACCCCAGTCGTCCTGTCCCCTCTCTGCTTGCTGTACAGGGTAAGTCAAAATTGATTTTTTTTTTTAAAAACCAGCACCAGTGTCGCGGTCGAGCCCTTTTCAGAGTCTGACAGATATACTGATGCAGAAGGAAAGAATTAAACCTGAGAATCTACACTGTTATCCAAGTCTTTGTTTCAAAATTGAAAAAAGGTTTTGTCTCTCCGATAGGTGTTGAAGTACCAGAACACTGGCTTGCCCTCAGACACGGCAGAGAAGCTCTTCGGACCAGGGTCAAAGTTCAAGAAACTACGCTTCCATAACAACCAAGAGGTATTTAAAGCAATAGTTCCTCAGTCGTCATTTGGCATTTGCGAAACCACGGTTATCTCTCTGGGCTCGGCTTCATCTCTGGTGCCAAAATCATCTGAAAGACTTGAATATTCACACCAAAATGGAAAACTTATTAGCTTTGGCGTCAGGATTTGAAGTTCCCGAAGAAGAACACTTGACCAGTACTAAGCCAAAGTTCTGCAAGTCAGGTGCCAAAATGTCTCCCGTTCAGAGCCACAGCTAAAAAAATGAAGCCTAGGTTTGTAAACTGGCTAACATAGTACAAAAATAAAAATTAAGTGACTTCCACAGGTTGTCTGCGATTGATTTGCCTGTCAGGAAGATGTTCTGTCATGGTGCAGAAGTTTCTACTCTGCGACTGTTGATTTTTTTTTTTGAGCAGCAACTGAGGCTGATTGTCTTACTATTATCGCAGTTACACTCAGGTCGCTGAAAAACTCGGCAACTGAAATGTTCCGACGGCCGTGGCTCAGGCGTAGCTTGATCCTAAGTCAGTTGCCACCTGTTCTGTGTCATCACAAGGTCGACCCAAGTGCTGCTTAAAAGTATGTTTCTGAAGTTTTTCCTGTATTTCTATAGGTATTAGCCCTGCTACTGAAAGTGTACCAGAAGCTTTTGTGCATCAAAGACGTTCCCATGCTGGAAGCCATTTACAGGTAAAGATTTTTAAACAGCATCATTTTAAAAGCGTACAGGAATATTTGCATTTCTCCCAAAAGTAACCTACCGAATTGTTATCAAAAAGCTTACTTGGATTAAAGATCGTACTGGTATTTCACACCCCGTGAAATTATTCCGTCTGGCTTGCTGTCATTTAGAAGAAATCAAGAAATGTAGGTGATTTCCAACGATCAGTCAATTGACTGGTTTTTTTTATTTCCTCTATAAACGAAACCATGTTTTGTGATCGAAAGGTTGTGTGCCCTCACACATACCCATTTACTCCTGGGTTGGGAGAAGCAATGAGTGACAAAGTGCCTTGCCCAAGGGCACACGCACCACAACCCCAGGCTGGACTCGAACCCACAACCTCCAGAATTACCCGCAGACCACGAATTCAATGCTCCAGATCACGAGGCCACGGCACTCCAGCCAATGATTAATGGCTATGGGCCTAAGACAAACACTCTGAGAACTTTCATTCTGCTAATTTTGTTTGTTATATTTTTGCCCAGTCTTCTCCTCGCTGATCTAGAGATTGCCTACCAAACCCTCCTGGCCTTCACCGGCTCAGACACCCAGTTCCAACTCGTCCCAGACAACCCCATCAAGGGGGACCAGCAGCCCCCCACGGTGCAGGAGGCTGAGGTCATGGTGGTCTTTGACCTGAGCACACTGTCTGAAATAGGAAGCACCAAGAGCTCTATCATTGTGGTAGGTATCTAAATTCATATAGGATCATTTGCATTTATCCCGTAAGAAACCAACCGAATTATTATCAAAAAAAGCTTACTTGGATTAAAGATCGTTCTGGCACTAAACACCCCATGAAATTATTCCGTCTGGCTTGCTGTCATTTAGAAGAAATCAAGAAATGTAGGTGATTTCCAACGATCAGTCAATTGACAGAGTTTTGGAAATACTGAGTGCTGTGGATGAAATCGTGTTTTGTGATGAAAAGGCTGTGCATAGTTTTTCACGGTCTTTTCTCAAAAAGTGTAATATCCACTGAGCTGAAACTTCAACAGGTGATGTTTTGAACTTTCTTCTTTAAATTTGAGTAGTTTTCTTTTTGGAAACAAACAATATATATGACAAGCATATGATGCTAATGCCTTTAACACATTTTGCCTCATATATCTTTTTTGGGGTTTATTGAAATGATTTTTCAGATGTGGGCTTTGTCACCCAGCCTGTTTGAGCTTCTCACCAAGCACCTGAGCGCCGCTCACTGGCTGATCGCTGAGTGCTTCCCAGCTACTCACTACGCTCTGCTCAACACGCTGTGTGCTCACAGTGAGAGGTCAGTGAAGAATAAACGATAAATTTATCGTGTACTCAATGCCTTTGGGAAAGATTCCACTGGGGGCGAAACATCAAATCCTGCTGACTTTTAACCCTAACTCCCTAGGTCTTTTTGCTTGGATGTAGCCTCAATCCTGCAAAATCCTCCAATTGGCCTCATGGAAAAAAAGCATATAGCCTCAATCCTGCAAAATCCTCTAATTGGCCTCATGGAAAAATAGCATATAGCCTCAATCCTGCAAATTCCGCCATTGTTTCTTGAATATGGTCCGTGGAGGGGTGACCACTGCCTGAATCCTGCAAAATCCTGCGGCAGTGACTGTCAATATGTTGCGGCTTGGCCAGTGACATCCTGGAGCAGTACGGACGATTTCAAGCATAATCCAGGCCTATATTTATGCATAGCTAAGCAAAAACAACACAAGGTCCGGCCCAAAACCTTGACAAAGTGCATCCTACGAAATCAGTAACGCACTTTTGCCATGTAACCTCAATCCTCCAAATTCTTCCACTTTGGCAAAGAAGATTTTGGTAAATTAATTTGCTGCAACTATGCTCAAACATCACTTGGAATAAAGACATTTATGAGTCAATACATGTTTTATGTTTTTTGTATTTATCTGACTCCCTTTTTTGATTGGTCCCCTTCTTCAGCAATGCACATTTCATCTCCAGCAGCTTCGGTCTATCCTCCACCAACCTCGGCTCAGGCTCATCTAAGACAAGCAGCTACTTCCGTACCATCCTGAACCTACTCGGCACCGTGCTGCCCCATCCGGCTGTGGCCAACGATAGCAGGTAAATGACTGTTCATAAACTTAAACAAAATTTTGATCCACTACTACTACCGTTTCGTAAGCTAGTCACCAGAGACCTGAATTCATACACGAATATGACTACAGTCTAAATCTCCCCTGGGCTTCTGAAATTTTTGGGGGCATGTAATTTTAGCCTGGTTTCATTTCATGTTTGTAGGCGTAACAAAAAATTGGGGGGGGGGGGGCTATAGGCCTATACAATGAAAGTGGTTTAACCCTAACCCCTGGGCCTTTTTGCTCGGATGCATCCTCAGTCCTTCAAAATCATTCTCAGCCTCCACGTAAAAATTTGGATTCAGCCTCAATCCTCCAAAATCATCCATTATATCCTGAAATTGTTCAGAGGGGTGACCACTGCCTCAATCCTGCAAAATCCTCCAACAATCACTGTTGATACGTTAAGGCAGGACGGATGATTTCAAGTATAATCTAGGCCTAAAGTTATGCACGGCAAAGCATAAACAACACAAGGTGCAGCCTGCACCTTCACCTTCACACAATGGCATCCTCCAAAATCAACTGTCAGATTTTTCCCTGCAAAGAGGATTTTTGGGAGTTAGGGTTAATACAGCAAAGCATATGATAATACATCCTTTCCACAACTTGTCCAATAATTTAGACGGATGGTTAACTTGAGAGATATCTATGTGTTTGTCACAACCCACAGACGCCTATGTCTGCAGTGGTTCTACAGCATTCTGCAGCATCTGCAGCAAGGAGACTATAAGATCCTGTATGTCACCGCCCCATTCAACCTGGCTATACAAGCACTCCTGCCACTGGGTAAGTATGGAGCTATTCCATGCAAACTCTACAAGAAGTCTTCCAAAATGCTAAGGTTTTAGCTGAGTCTCTTTTGCCAACATTCATTTAAAGTTTATTTCCTGGATTTCAGAGCTTTTAACTTGTGATTTGACTTGTGATTGACTTGTGATTGACTTGTGATTGACTTGTGATTGACTTGTGATGGACTTGTGATGGACTTGTGATTGACTTGTAATGGACTTGTGATTGACTTGTGATTGACTTGTGATTGACTTGTGATTGACTTGTGATTGACTTGTGATGGACTTGTGATGGACATGTGATTGACTTGTGTTTGACTTGTGTTTGACTTGTGATGGACTTGTGATGGACTTGTGATTGACTTGTGATGACTTAGTACAACTCTGCCAAAAGAACCAAATGCCACCAAAGTTGAAATAATGTATATTGTAGATGTTTGTGCTGAAAACTTGAACAAGAAGGTGCAAAATTCATTGCAACACCCTTTTTATGACACTGACGGCAACATCTCAATTCAACTGAGTAAACTTTTTACCTGATAATTTTTTTCCATTGGACTTTTGACAGCCCACAGTAAAGAGCTGAACGTCTGCTTGGGAGCGTGCCAGTGTCTTCAGCTGGTGCTCAGCTGCGGGGAACCGGGCACAGACTTTCTGCTAGGGTAAGAAACATACTTTCAGAATGATTGAAATGTAGTCAAGTGAATCATAAGGAAACTTAACTTGGTGTGTTATCATAATTGAAATGTTGAACAAAGGAAATTGCCTTGAGCAGGGTTTGAACCTGCGACCTCCACTTTGCCTTTCCTGTGCTCTACCAACTGAGCTATCCAGTTGACAGTTCCCCATTTTGTCAATGTCTTTGTTTAAAGGGGGCTATATGAAGCCAAAAGCCCAGGTATGCCATGTAACCAGGGATCACTCCCAAAGTTACACCGCTAACAAAGCTGTTTCCTCTCCGAGCGCTCCCCGTTTGCTATTTCCCAGGTTTGCAGCATTGCTAATGTTGCTAGCATCGTGACTTTGGGCGCGATCCCTGGCAGCATGGCATATACGGGTTAATGGCTTCTGACTTCCAACTTTACGAAAACAACCTTATATTTTAGTATACTTATATTTCATGGCAGGTGTCTTGAGATGTGCAAAGTGAAGTTATTGAGCACCAGTGAGATAGTCAAGAAGGCCTACACATCCCTGCTGGCCATGCTACCTGCTGACATCCTACTCAGGTGGGTAGAAAAATCAGTTAAAGGCATATAGGATCAATTGTATTATCCAAGGTAGCCTAGAAAATTATTATCAAAAACCTTAGGCCTGTTTGAGACACATTGCTACTGCTGTGCCAAACTTAAGCAGTTCATGCCAGTATTATTTTGACATTTTGACATAACCCACGCGCAGGATTGTTTTCACTTACCTCGATGCCAGATGGGTTCAGGCCGTCATCTGTGGGTAGCACACCCTGATATTTCCGGCCTCGCTCGCTGTGTGCAGATCGCTGACACATATTTCTGGCCTCGCTCATTGCGTGTTTATCCGTCATCCGTTCCGAATACCGCAACACCTTTTCGTGTATACACGTCATCTGACGTGAACTTGTTAATTTACTTGAGTTCAAACCTTAATGCATCTGGGGTAATGGGAACTTTCAGTGCGATCAAACTATTCGCACCAATTTCACTCCTGAGATACGGACTGTTTTGTGAGCATGCGCATTCCTGAAATGCTTGCCCCAAAAGAGTATCCACTAAGCTGCAAGTTAAACAAGTAAGATTTTGAGCGATTTTGTTGCTTCAAACGAAACAAATGCCCCAAAAAACAAATGTTCCCATTACCTTTAAACAAAACAAGCTGAAAGCCTACCAAGTCAGCTTGTTAGTCTTTTGTGAAGTGAACTCTCCAAAATATACCTTCTTTTGTCCAGGAGTGAGACCTCCCCTCTGACGCAAGCCAAGCGTCTTGGTGAGCGCAAGCAGGCAACAGTCACCTTCTCTGAGGAGGATCCCCAGGGTCTGCAGGCCTTCCGTCTGGCCAGGCGAAGCCACATCGGCAGGACTCCCATGGGCACGTTTCATTCCCAGGATTTCAGGGTTGTCATGGCCTTCATACTGCTGGGAGAGACACCAAGGTAATTAAAGATGTGTTCCCTGTGCTTTTTTTCCGAGTTTCACCTCAAAAAATAGATTTGTTTTTTCAATTGCTGTTTTCCTAGCAAATATTAAAGTTATTCACTTCTGAATGAGATATCAATGGAAAAAGTCCACCGAAGCTTAGTTATTGAATTACCGGGGGTATTTCTGCACAAAATTCAACTTATTAGCTGCCAGACTAGAATTCTTGCAGGGCGGGTTCATTTGTACGCAAAATGAAAGCCCTTTTTCAGAGGGTTGCAGACGCCGAAAATCGTAATAATATACTTTTTCGTAAAACAAAACAAACATATTGAGATTTTTGAGCTTACCAGCTGGGCCGGATTTCATGGCACTGCAAAGCACATGTTTTCTGCTATGTCTATTTCATGGAGACCGTAAGCTTGGCAAAAGGCACGCTTACCTCAGAGGAGAAAGTTGCTTAAATCAGTGACTCGAATTTAATCCTAAAAGACACTTCTGCTATTTGGTTTGGCACGAGTCTGGAATGCCAGTATAAAATTTGTTGTCCTGTGACTATTTCCCGTGTCATTCAGCGATCCTGATTGGTTGGAGAAACTATATCACAGCTGCCAGAGGCCTGACAAGGGTAGTAGCAGCCACACGGAGATCAGGCTGCCTGAATTTGTAAGTACTGTACACAAATTAAAATAGAAAATCAAATCTTGGGAAACAATGAATCTGTGAGATCAATTTCTGTAAATCAAACTTTGAGTTGCAGGTTTTCAATTATTCCTACTTTTCCTACTTTTTCCTAATTTTTGTTTATCCTGTTCCTACTTTTCCAACTTTTATCTTGAAATTCCCACAAATCCGAAAAATGAAATCTCATTGAATATTTTTTCATAACAGTGTTACACACTGTCATATGTAAATCACACAATGAAGGGCTTGGGCGCAGGAGTACTGCAACTGTACTTCCAAGAGCTTAGTTGAGGATGGAGCACAAGTGTTGTGAGTACAGAACATGCCAAATGAGGCTTATGATGCTGTGGACATGGGCGAGGATTAACGAAAACTACTCCTGAAAGCCCGCAAAAGTCCTACTGTTATCCTGATTTTGTCTTCCATGGTCCTACTTTTGTCCTGTTTTGGGGGTTTTAATTGTGATCCTACTGTTCTCCTACTTTTTCACCTGGGTCTGCTTGAAAGCCTGGAGTTGTTTTTGCAGGATCCAGTAAAGCAAGGGCTAGCCCATCTAATGTTGACCCATGTTGTGTTTTTGGTCTTTTCAGATTGATGGTAACATCGCCCTGCAGTGGTTCTGGGCTAGCTGGGAGGCAGCCCAATACTGTGTCCTGGCCAAGCTGAGAACTCCCCTGGGTAAACCACAGGAAACCTTCAGAGCCATCGAAGGTAGGCAGAACTGAAATTGTACAATTGTTCATGGTTGTGATTTGTCAGGATAAGATTAGAACCTAATTGGGTTTTTTTTATTTCACAGCTACCTTACTGGAATTTGGTCGAGAGTTAAAATCCCCAGCAGAAGGGAATTCAAAATCAGATTGCAAAGGTAAGAGAAGCATGTTTGTGTTTTTGGTCAGATGATTCTATTTTATTTATTTATTTATTTATTGATTTTGGGAAGCAAAAGGTAATTTTATATTTTATGTGTTTGTGTGTGTGTGTGTGTGGGGGGGGGGGGGGGGGGGGGGGGGGGGGGGGGGGGGGGGGGACTGTCGACAACTTTATGTAATAGTGTTTTGTATATTCACATGAATTCCCAGTCACCAACCAGTACATTTTAATGGAATTTCAAAAGGAACAAACACACAATATGTGAAGTTTTTTTAACTCATTAATACATCTATATCATTTCTTCATAACTGTCATTGCTTTGTGGACTCTATTGTGTTTTTTTTGTTTACTATACTTTTCTCCAATATCTTCTTTACTTACTTCAAGTCTTGAGCCCCGCCTACCACCTGCACCAGCTCAGGCCAGTCCTGCTGCTGCAGTTCTTGGAGCACCTGGAGAAACTGATGTACAACGCGTATGAAGGATGCGCCATTGCCATGCCCTCGACACCAAAGGTATGTTACACTGCTGGGGGAATATGCCATGAGTTTTTGAACACCTGAGGGGTGCACGACACCTGAGGCAAATTTTGTTGTATTTGTTATACAATGTATTGGATACTTTGCAATTTTTAAGTTAGATGTGTACTTGTAATTCAAACAGGTAGTGGTATCATTATGTGAAGAAATCTTCTGTGGAATGCTTGCGGCAATTCCTTTAAGAAGTACACTATCATTTTCCAGCCTTGGGCCATTAAATGTAATGTACAGCATTTGTGTTTGCCGTATTTTTTTTGGACATGTCTTTTGGGGTTAGTTTTTTAGAGCAACACTGACCTGTTTAAAGTTTTGTGGTCATGGATACTGGAAAAATCACGGGGAAAAAATGTTGTTCTTGTAGTCTGGTTCCCTGACCCAACTTCAGACAAAACAGAGCAATTCGTAGACGTCAGGAAATTGTCAGGTAAGGGAACCAGACTACCTGGCTTGCACACGTTCATGGATGTGTAACCGATTGCAAACAAACTAAATTTGATGAATTGAGAGCAGTATTTGGAAAAACAAGTCAGGTTTTTCCTACGATGGTAAGCCGGCCATCGTTGGAAATTGATACAAAAAATCCACTTTTCTTGAAAGTGACAGCACACCAGGTGCCATGATTTCACAGGATGCTTGAGACTATTATTCACTTACAGTCAAGTAAGGTATTTCATAATAATTTGGTAGTTTCGTTATGTGATGTTTGCAGATTTTGTACATTAGCTGTAATATGTCAAATTCCTAAAGCGCTGCCAATGCCAAGTTGTACAGAAAATCAGAGTTAATTGTCACATATAGTTCTAATATCACCTTACAAAAATTGAATTACTCAATTTACCAGATGAGTCATATAAATGATTATCTTGGAAAAGTTTAAGGTAAAATTCCCCATATAAGATGATTGCATCTCAGTCAGTGATATATGGTCATTCGCTTGAATGAACAGCCCTGCTCAGCCAAGCAGTGGCTGATGAAGTTTTCCTGTAATAATCGCTGAAGTACTTCAGCATTTCTATATAAAGACAACATGAACACAATCAGGGAACATTTTTTTTCTGCACATTTTCTGGAATTATTAACCCCAACTCCCTAGCATAACTTACTAGGAACCATACCCATCCAGGCAAATTCCAACACCCACATGGGAAATTGTACACACACACTGTTGAACTCAGTTTCTGGTGGTATGCCAAACCCAGTGTAAAAGACCATCAGTTTAGGGGTACTGTACCTATCCCAACAGATTTCAACAACACCTGCTGTTGGGCTTTGATGGGTTGAGTTCGGTTAGGGTTAATGAGTAGTAGTGAGTAATCATTATTAAAGGTGTCAAATCTTCCATTCCAATTTTGGACTTGGTTTTTAAATGAACTATTCTCTTGCGAGCAATCCCTCTGTCTTATGTTTACTTATTTGACAGGAGATTAGTTTTATTTTCTTTGTTTTACACGTGATTTTTTTCCCCTTCCAGGCTGTGAGGACTTTTTTCCGCACCAACCGCGCCACCTGCCAGGACTGGCTACGCAACATCCGCTGCCTGGCTGTAGCCGCTGCAGTCAACTGCGGCCAGCATGCCGTCGCGCTCCGGCACGGACTGATCATGCTCAACGACCTGATTGCCAAGAACAACACCACCGTGAGTATCTAGCAGTTAAACCAAATTTATTTTATTTATTTATTTTTTTATTTATCAGGGAATTCACCAATAGAACACAAGAAAATTGAAACAAAGTTCACGTTTTCAGAATATTTAAAAGAGAAGGTTTTGGTGTCTCACTGGCACCTTTGCAGCAAAGATATTGAAATGTTGGTAAAACACTGGAGTCGTATTCTAGAGGTCACAGGTTTGAATCTCACCTCAGTTAATTTTTTTTGTACAATGAAAAAGTATTAAAAGTACATTTAGCCAAGTTCCCGTTAGGGTTTATTTGACGGTGGTTCTATCTAAACACCCTCCCCCCCCCCCCCCCTTTGAGACAGTGACAAGCTGTTTTAATTTTGGGACGCCGTAAATTTAATATTGAGTTTTGCCTTGCACCAACATAATTTCATAAGCACCTAATGCACCTTATAGTTAGCGCAAGTAGGACTCGAACCCATGACCTCCTGCTTACTAGCGCAGACAACTAGTGCAGAAAACACTGCTTGAAGGAATTGCAACAATGCAGCGGAAAAAACGATACTGAAATGTTTTGTCGAATGTCCCAAAAAAAATTGCAACTCAAAAAGAGGTGTTCACTTTGTGCTTATTTGGAATCATTTTCCTCTTTCTATTTGCAGGGTCATTTGTTTGAGGATGCTTCCCTGCGTGTGGTCACCTGCCTGATCCAGCTCCGAAGCCCCCACGCCATCACGGGGCTCTGTGGCTGGATCCTGGAGCAATCAGGCAGATCTCTAGGGTGGATGACGGCCTGCCTGCCCGCTGCCGATGCTAGGTAGGAGTTACTGCAAAGACGTCATCCATGATTGTGTGGGCAAGAAGCTCAACATACCATGACATGAACACTCCTCTTAAGACCAACCCGACCAACCATATAGGCCATTCGGGTTAGGAAACACCATTTTGGGAAGCCTGCCCTGGGGGATTAAGATATTTATGGGCACTGATCCTATAATTTGTTCCATAAAGGAGCAAAGGTCACTCTGCCTGGGAGATATCAAGCATAATACTTTGTTGCTAAATTCAATCTGTCCACCGACAAAAGTATTATCATAATGATTTACCTGAAATGTTGACTTGTTTTATATTTTGAACTGAAAATCGGTGAATAAATGGCCTAGAACGATCTGTTAGTGTGAAAATTGGATAATGCATGGGAAAATAACTTTGAATCTGGCCCTCCACTTATCACATTGCTCAGGCTTACAACTATTCCTTCTTTTTTCCTATTGTTTTTTACCTTGCTCCAACTTTTTCTTGAAATTTCTACCTTTTCATACTTTTTTGTTCCACAACTCTGAAAATTAAATCTCATGGAATATTTTTCATAACAGTTTAACACACTGTCATACCTATATGTAAATCACACAATGAAGGGCTTGGGTGCAGGAGTACTGCACCTGTACTTCCAAGAGCTTAGTTGAGGATGGAGCACAAGTGGTGTGAGTACAGAACATGCCAAATGAGGCTTATGATGCTGTGGACATGGGCGAGTATCGACGAAAACTACTCCTGAAAGCCTGCAAAAGTCCTACTTTTCCTAATTTTGTCCTCTAAAGTCCTTTTTTTCCCCTACTGTTCTACTTTTTCACCTGGGTCTGCTTGGAAGCCTGCAATACACCAATTTTTCTTACTGTTGTTTTACAGGTACGAGGCGTGCACCACTGAAACTCTCCTGGCCATCAAGAAGTACCTCCAACTGGACAGCATCCCTGGCTATCCAAGCCTCCCCAAGTCGGCATCCTCGGCCGAGCTAGGCCAAAGGGCAGCAAAGGTCAGCGAAGGTCAGCCGCCTCCGACAAAGGTCCTGACCCGGAACTCGGAGACGGTACAGCAAGCAGTGATCCAGAGCCCTCGGGTGCTGGAGTTCCTTCTGAACCAGGTAGGCAGGAGCTGAAGCACCCTTAGCCTTTTTGAGATGTGGAAGACACAATGGGAGTGCGTTGTATTTAGCCAAGAGCAAGTTCAGATGCTGACCTTTTAAAGTAGACTAGTCAATTTGCGATTTAAATTGCACTCCAACTTGTCTAGTAATTGACTAGTCAAATCTAGTTAGTGCGTAGTAACAGCAGGCCTTCACATTGCTAACGAAACAAACTTTGGCTCGTCATGCCTATTTTCTATTATTTTCTCTTCTTTACTTTAGTGCAATATGTAACTAATTATCTTATTGCAAAGATGTATTATTATTGAACACTGTTGAACAAAACCTACAATTTTTGTTAATGTTAACTGTGATATCAAAAGTTTGCAAAATTTTCCCCAGTTTACCTTTCCACCATCTGAAATTGTGACGTAAATCGCAAATTGACTAGAGAAACAGTGTTTCAGGGCTAGGTTGACCCAGTGGGACTAGCTAGTCAAACCACGCAGCGTTTGAGTGACATCCATATCAACTATAGTTAAGTCTAGTCGACTCTAGTTACCCAACCGAACTTGCTCCAAATGTATATGTACCCAAACCAAATAGCGCCCTCTGCCTGTGTCCACCTTTCTCAAAAAAGGCGAGTGGTCTGTACACGTTTGTCCAGTGGTTACAGAGTCTGCCTAATGTAGTATGTGAGGTTGAGCTCTGACAGGTTCTTGGTGTTTGTGTTCTTGGGCAAGGCACTTTACTACAATCGCCTCTCTCGACCCATGAGTATTAATGGGTGCCTGTGAGCTGTATAGGAATTATCACTCGGCCTGATGAACAGATTTAAAAAACTATGATTTTTAGAAATTTGAATAAGTACTACATAAAAATCATGTAATATTTTTTAATTGGTCTTTATACTTGCAGGAGATATTCATTATTGCTTAATGGCCGATCAGTTTCTTTTATGACTTCCAGAAGTGGTATCCACAAAGTTAGACTTGTGTTGCCTGAAATAGCCTCTCTTCTTAATGTGAATTGCTAGCCAAGCATCATGGTACAGATTTTCATATCGTGATGCTACACCACGGCATTCCTGGGATTATTGCATATCACAGTCTATCACTACACCCCTAATCCAGCACAGTACTCAATTGTATACGGCGCAATTACAATTTGACCTTTCATACACTTTCAGGTCACCAAGTCCTACGTGGCAGTGTCCAACTGGAGCTCAGCCTTAAAGTGGCAGGAGAGCCTGATCGAACTGCGCTCCATGGTGCCTGAGGCATTGCAGAAGCATGTGGTCCTTGGGTGTGACATCAATGTCATCAAGTAAGAGAGTGCTCCTTTAAAGACCAACTCAAACAAGAGAAGAAAATAACAACTGTTGTGGTTGTCATGTTGAACTGATTAACATATGGAGTAACTTAGGTCAAACCAAATAGATTTCAGTTTCAAACAGGTCGGGGATTGTGGCCTAGTGGTTAGGGTTCGTGACTCATGATCAGAGGGTCAGGGGTTCGAATCCAGCATCCTGGCCATATGTTGTGTCCTTTGGCAAGCCACTTCACCCCCACTTGCCTCCCTCCACCCAGGAGTATAAATGGGTACCAGCATTAGCTGGGGAGTAACCTGCGATGGACTGGCATCCCATCCAGGGGGAATAGAAATATTCTCAGGCATTTCATGCTACTGAAACTGGAGATCAACTCCAGCCTGAAGGGCCATATTGGCTTGTGATATCAACTAGATGAGTAAACTTATGGTCGTTGATATCCACACAATTTGTTTCAATACCAAAATAGAATTTTTTTTAAGAATATAAGTATATGGAAATTTATTCACAATTATTGTAATTCTTTTCATCCTCCTAGAGCACTCAGCCATTTTGACGACAGGGACTTCCCCGCTGTCACGAACCACCTGGACCTCGTCCCCGGTCTGTCCCCGGACCCAAAGGCCTCCGATGACTTCCTCATGGCTCCGGATAGCATCCAGAGCCCGGAAGCCGTGCTACTGAGAGCCGGGCTGGAACTGGTCCGGGCCCTGACTTGCTATCACACCACTGGATGCGTCCGTGCGCCGGTCTCTGTAATGAGCAAGGACATGACTTGTCTGCACCCAGAACTGTAAGAGAATTTACAAGTTACATCTGCTCACTAATTTTTAAAAAAAAACACATCAAAATTCACTCTTGCATTTGAAAGATTTTGCCTCATTTTGCCACTGTTGATTTTCCTGAGACTTAACATTTTTAAGTATAAAGGGTATGCCGCTGGCCTTATCGCTCATCAGTGAAATTAAAACCACCAAATATTGAAATTTACATCTTTCAGTTTAAACAAAAATCATTATTTGGTACCTGTTGCTACTTCAGATTGAGACTTCTACGCTAGGAGGTCATGGGTTCAGGTCCCACCAGAGCAAATTTCAAAAATTTCCCAAAATTTCTAAAATTCCTTTTTAGTAAAGTAAAGTGCTTGTAAAATTGCATCTGCGAGAATCAAAAACCCAAAATTGAAATGTGCCTAATAAATATGAGCACTTTCATCATCCGAATCTAGTGTAGAGAGGTTTCATGATTGGGAACACTAACTGTATTTTTCTGTGTTAACTTGTGGTTGTAAAATTATAGTGAAGAACAAAAATGACATCTCTTTATCAAAATTTACATTTCTTTCCCAAAATTCTTACATCATACTGGTCAATTCAAGACTGCTTTTGAAGGGGGAGTGTGGCTTAGTGGTTAGGGTTCGTGACTCGTGATCAGAGGTTCAGGGGTTCGAATCCAGCTGATGGTCATATGTTTTGCTCATGGGCAAGCCACTTTGCCCCCACTTGCCTCCCTCCACCCAGGAGTATAAATGGGTACCGCCATTAGCTGGGGAGTAACCTGCGATGGACTGGCATCCCATCCAGGGGGAAATATTCTCAGTCGTTTCTTGCCAAGAAAACCGGAGAGATTAACGCCAGCCTGATGACCATATTGGCTCGTGACAGACTTTACTTTCTTTTGATTGGAATTACTCAGACAATGTTTTCTTCTTTGGTTTTCCAGGGCCGTGGTGTGCAAGATGCTAGAGCACACCCACGAGATCTCCCGGAGCAGCCTGGCTCTTGCCTGGCAGGACTGGCCCTCCCACCCACCTGCCAAGTTTGCCATGCTCATGCAGCAAGCTGGGGCCGTCATGAACACCATACAGGGATACACGCAGGTAAAATACGGGCAGGATACAGATTCCTAACGAGCAGCAAGTCAGGAGTTCCCAGCCATTCTGGAAGTCAGGGGAAACTGTGAAAATGAGTTTCGATTTTTCCAGTCAGGAAAAACTGAGGGAATTTGACAGTGACCCAGAAAGGAAAGGTTTTTGCCAGTTTTGGCGTACGTGCGTCTTGTGCCATGTGTCCACGTTGTGTCCATTGACTGACTCGCTATGGTGGCTTTTTATAAAGTGTTTATGTAGTGTGAATATTACACACCTCTCCAGGCAGCAAAAATTGGCTGTGCTACACCACCTCTTGACTTCAGCAACCTCATTAAAGTGAAAACATTTCTCATGGAATTTTTCGAAATTTGCTATTGACTAAGCACATTTGATATTTGTTTAGCAAAAGCAAGGTTATTAGTGAAATGTGTATGTGTTTCCTTTCTGTAGGATTGCCTGATACCAGTCTCCGAGGTGCTGAGATTTGAGCCGGCCCAGCATGACATCAGCACTGTGGGTCAAGTGTCAAAGGTCACGACCTACCAGCATGACCTCTGCCTGGAAAACCCCAGCTGCGCTGGTACGTGGTGAAATTGATCTTATTTCATTGATATTGATTTCCTCAATGCTGTTATTTTTAATAATTAGCCAAATCCATCTTAAGAATAGTTTGATTTCAACTTCAACAATTATCTCGATTCCCATATGCCAGGCATGGTTGCTGATCTCGCTGCCCACTTGACGAAAGTCCAGCTAGCCACGGCCCACCTTGCCCGCAAGCAAGGCAACCACAAGCACGCCCAGCACCACCTCCTGCAACACCTGGACCTACTCTCCCCAGCCAAGGATGATGATGCCACGCAAACGTCCTCCTTAAACCTAGAGATCCACAACAGCAGCAAGAAGTCGGCCCAGCCTCTCCTGACGGCGCTAGCCGCGCTGAACAGTGGTGGTGACACTGGATCATCATCGTTAGAGATGCTCCGCGTCGTCCGGGAGAGCTCCAAGCTCCTGCAGGCCATGGGCTACCACTTGGAAGCCTGGGAGTGCCTGTCTCGCAGCAGCGTCCAACACTCCACGGGGATGGTCAGCGCCGTGTCCGTCCAAGACCCGGCCGCGCAAGCCCTCAACGCCCGATCCCTGCTCAGCCTGGTCAAGTGGTTCACCGCGGACTACCGCAACGCTGTTCCTCATCTGAAGATGGCCGTGGGGTCGGGCGGGATGACTGCCGAGACTTTGTCCACGCTCGCCAAGAATGTCTCGGTACTGCTGGAAACCGAACACGCGGGGGCTGGGGAAGGTCTCGGACTGGGAGCAGGAGACAATACAGATACATCCAGACAGGAAGGTATATTGGATGTTGTTTGGAATAAACAGGTATTTGGATTACCCTTGATGAGTGGGGAGGGAATACGAACTGCAAAATGGAAAATTTTCTGAAAAATTTATCGCAAACTTTTTGCCTTTATTAATTTTTTTTTTTTAATTGGTTGAAAGGTGTCCGTACCAGTTCTGAAGTGGCACTTTCAATTCTTTAAACCAAAAACTGGAACAAATTTGTTGAATAAATTCATTTGTAAGATTATTTATTATTACCGTTTTGTTTCTGGTAACAAACCAAGGATTCCTCATATTGCCCACTACATGTCTACCTTGCAAGCCTTCAAAGGTCCTGTGTAGAGAAGAACTGTCGGTGAAAAAAAGAAATTGAAGAGGTGGTGGGATAATCAGAAACTTTTTCTCAGGAAAACCCACAAAAATCAGGTGGAAATCATGTTAAAAAAGGGGGTAAGCAAGAAAAAAAATGCTGCATCAACCCTAAGGGGATCAGGTTGACGTAGCGGTACTTTCCTCGCCTTCCACCGCTGTGACCCGGGTTCGAATCCCGCCTGGGCCAATATGTGGATTGGGTTTTCGGTCCCTGCCTGATTCCGTGGGTTTTCCCTAGAATATCATTCTGGGGTTTTCCTCCTTCAACATCTTCTACCAAGGGACCCCACTGAAATTAAGTCTACGAAATAAGAAATAAGACTTTCTTAGGCTATCCCGGTCAATTGACAAATAATCAAAAATAAATAAATATATTAGACTCTGATTTTTATTATTTTTTTTCTTGGTCGCTTGTAGTTGTAGGCAGCAGTCCAGCCATCAGTGAAACAGACGCCGTCTGCGGTCGTCTGCTGCACCTGGGCACCATGCTAGCGCCCTCGCTCAGCAAGGCCTGGTCAGCTCTGGCCTCCTGGTGCTACCGCTGGGGACGTAAAGCTGTCGATGTCGCCAGGTAAACAAAAATTAAATTCATCTTCAATTTCAAATTAGGTTTTCCCCTCACTAATACAGGGTGAGATTTGTCAAGAAGTTTCCTGATTTTCAGGATTTTTCCTGATTTCAGCATTTTTGGTCAAGTTTTTTCGTGATGTCAGGACTTTTAAAGATCCGTTTGAAATCACAAGGCTTTACTGCATTAAAGGTGGGTTTTTTACCTATAAAATGTTTATATAGAACAAAGTAAATGGATATTTTAAAGGGTTCCTCTATGCAAATACAAATGTATACCATACATCCTATGTTGCTCTGGGGACCTCGGTAACCCTCAGACCCTCTGCTGGTTATTTGATGGATTTTTCATTTTCCCCCCAACCACACCCCAGCTAATATCAGTGAATGGCAAAACCAAATATTAAAACTTATGTCTCCCTGATGCTAACTTCCATCATACACGACATTTAGAAGAATTTGAGAAATGTAGATGATTTCCAACGATCAGTCAATATACTGATTTTTGGGAATAAAGGGTGCTATTGAAGAAATTGTGTTTTGTTAGTCAAGGTTTTTTACTTTTGTTCTTGAAAAGTGTTATATCCACTTAGCTGAAACTTCAACAGGTTAGGCTTTGAACATTCTTCTTTGGATTTTGAGTGATGTTATTATTGGAAACAAACAAAATGCACGATAAAGCAAATGATCCTAAATGCCTTTAACCAAGGGTCTCACACCCCGATTTGATGCTCTTCATTGTAGTTCTGAGGGCGGAGTCCAGTTGACTTCCGAGGAGAAGGCGGAGGTCTTGACCTCGTTGTCAGCGGAGATCACCAACAGCGAGACGGATAGCATCCTGTCCATCCTGAGCCAGGCTCACTGTAGCGCCACCAGCGTACAGGAAGAAGATATCCTGGAGCACATGCAGGTAGGATATCATTCAGTCAGTTTCCCTAAGGGCCCGCCTCGATTCATATCTGGGACGAGTTCCGGGCAAGTTGCGAGTAGAATCATTCACTTTGTCTGGAAGAGGCTCTGCATTTGCCCTGGACATGTTCCGGTGAAGTTTTCATTAGCAAGTGCTTGACTCGCCAATACTGATGACTTCATTGCAGGAAGATTAAACTCTTTAAACGTAATTTGACTTTCCTTGCAGTCTGCTTACCACGACGGTACCGAGACCACCCGACGGCAGCTCCTGAGCGCCTGCCCCTCCCTCCATGCTGCTGACCCTAACGTGATGAGCAATCTTCTGGAGGTGTGGAATGGTGTCTGTCGACGGATCTTCAGCCACTACCGACTGGCGGCCAGGAGCTACTTCACATTCCTCAAAATTGCTGGAGAGGTGAGGTCGAGGCACTGAAAAGATAACGTAACTATAAGAAAGCATGGCACGCCTCACAGCAAAACCTTTAAAACCTAATGACCTGAGCCCATTTTATTATTAAAATAGCCAATATAAACTATAAAAGACAATGTTTTTTATCCTGCCATACATTTCAACAAGCTCGATCGGATCTTGGAAGCTGTGGGCCAACAAATTCATCTTCATGCTTGAGTCACGTGATTGTGCCATGTAATTTCTGGAAGGAGTAGCGTTTTGAGTGAAAAAGAAATCAGATTTTTGACCCCAGTGACCCCATGATGACCTTTGACCCTAGTTTGGTCATGTGACATGTTGGGGCTGGGCTACTGATACTTTTGACAAAGTTTGGTTGCAATCGGTCAAAATATGTAGGAGCAATAGACAATGTCAACGTTTGTTACTAACTAACTAACTAACTAATAGAGAGACATGATGATTTGTTGAGCGGTTATACCGCAGCTAAAATCACTTAAAATCAACATTTTAAAATCACTTTGACCCACAAGTGATTTTGTAGTACATTGGCTACAAGTTGAACAATTTTCCCGATTTGACCATAACCTAGCCGTCCAAGAAGTTATTGGTCAGCCACCACATCGACAGCACCGCCCTGGACAGCCTGAGAGACTTCGGGGAGACTGAAGCCGACTCGGCCGAGGCCCAAGCCACCCACGAGGACGGTAACATCACCGCCACCCTGCGTCTGCTGAGGCTGCTGGTCAAGTATGCTGGGGAGCTGAGGGACGTGCTGGAGGACGGGCTGGCCCACACGCCCACCGGGCCCTGGAAGAGTAAGGGATTCCTTTCTTTATCCTGCAGCAGTGTCGTAGTAGAGTCTGCAAATATACTGAATATAAAATGGTGAAGTAGGAATGTAGCCCAAGCACTATGGCTGTTATGACAGAGTACTTGACTTCTTTCAGTGAGTGAGAATATGAGTATATGGATGCACAGCTCACACAGACATGAAAGAAATGTACAAGTATTTGCAGAAGAACTTCTCAGACATTTTGTAGAAAAGCTTGTTTTCCAAATATCCGATTCATAATGCCTACGTACAATGAATAAAAAGACCAATGCACCTAATCTACTTATTCATTATTTTAGATGCGGAAAGTGACTGAAATTATTATATATTTTTTTAGAAATTGACAAGAATAAATAGCAAAAAAATTTTAAAACTATCGCAAATGAGGCCCTCCCCTTTAAATTTCACACCAAATACAAACTTATCTGAATATGGGAAAGCTGTACAAAATAGCAATGAAAAATTCATTACCTTGACTTATTTTCACAGGTATTATTCCACAATTGTTCTCCCGTCTGAGCCATCCCGAGGCCTACGTTCGTCAGTCCATTTCGGATCTCCTGTGCCGTGTCGCCCAGGACTCTCCGCATCTGATTGTCTACCAGGCCATAGTGGGCTGCCCCTCCACCACCGCCGAAGACAAGAAGAGTAAAGATGGTAGGTTGGGCAAAATATTCCTTGTAGATTGCTGGATTGCTTGCTTTATTGCTTGCTTTGATTGTAAATTGCGTGTAGATGATTTCAGATTACCATAGCTCCATAGACATGTGTACATTTTGCTGCTGTGTTTATCCCAACGTAAAGACCATCAAATCTTGAGCCAGTTTGGAGTACCTGGCTTATAAGAGCTGTAAAACCTCTTTTTAAGGGTAAAAAGACTGTTTTGGGGTTACTTTGAACACAACAAATTTACCATTTTAATCCTAGTTTTCTCTTTTCCCCCCGCACCGATCCTCCAATGAGGAATGATCTTCAAGTTCCTTAAAGAGTCCAAATCCTTATTTTAAGTTTTTTGAACCAAGTTTTAAGATTATTTAAACTAGGCTGGTGCCAATTTTCTCCATTATCTTTTCCCTTTTTTCTCCGTCGTAGTTGTTCAACAAGGAGTAATCTCCAAGCTCCTCAAGAGCCCCAACAAGGATGTCACCGCGGAAGATGAAGATTCCCAAGAGGATGCTAACCTAAAGGATGCAGACCAAGACTCCACCCAGGAGGACAACCCAGAGGATGAGGAGCATAACCGCTCCCTGAGCCTCCTGGAGGACTGCCTGACGGCCATCGTGGCCACGCTGAGCAAGCACAGCCCTGAGCTGGTGGGCCAGGTGGAGGTGCTGGTGCAGGAGCTGCGGCGGATTACTGTGCTGTGGGAGGAGCTGTGGCTGGGCACGCTGAATCAACTACACGTGGATGTCACTAGGTGAGTGTGGGTACAGTCAAAGGATCAGGAGATTCCCTTTCTTGAGCAAGAGGATCTTGTTCTTGCTCTTAGTATTAAGTTGGAGGTTTTTGCTCTTGAAGGTGAGGTTCTTGGTCTGTAGGTCTATGGTCCTGATCTCAAGCTGGAGGTCTGTAGCTGGAGGTGATAGTCTTGAGTAGGAGGTTCTAGGGTTTGAGCTGCAGGTTTTTTGTCTTGACCTGAAGGTTCAAGGTCTTAAGCCAGAGGTTCTTGGTGTTAAGCTGGAGGTTCTTGGCTTTGAGATAGAGGTTCTTTGCCTTGAGCTGGAGCTTGTTGGTCTTGAGCTGGAGGTCTAGGTAGTGAGCTGGAAGCTCTTGATCATGAGCTATGGGGTTTTGGTCTTGAGGTGAGGTTCTTGTTCTTAAGATGGAGGTTTTGGTGTGAAGCTGGATGGTTTTGGTCTTCTGCAGAGGTTGTTTTACCTTGAGTTTGATGTCATGGCTCTTTAGCTTTGTCTTCAAATTGATGATGCTCAAGAATTTAAACTCTGCTTTACCATCCATGTCATCAAAGAGAGAGCCTTCCAGGAAGACTACACAGTGGCTTTGGAGAAGGCCATCAACTAACTTAAGAAACTTGAATTTGTTTAAGTAGAAAGTTGGAAGTACCAAACTTCTGTTTTCTTTCTGCAGGCGGCTGCACCAGTTGGAAGAGGAAGTGAAGAGAGTCCAGCGGAATGACGGACTGTCGGCGGCTGAGAAGAAACTCATCATAGCTGAGAAGCACAACGCCATCATGAAACCGGTCAGTCATTAAGTGTATTTTAACATTTGTTCTACGTTCTCATGCAAAATATTAGAATTGTCATAGTGTTTTAACAGCTATAATAAGGATAAGAGAATACTCTGCAAAAATGTACTTGTTGAGTCAGGCCAGGCAGCAGATACAATGAATGAGAGAGTCTTCTGGGAGGCCAGTCAGAAAGCCATAAAGAAGGTCACCAATTCACTTAACTTATGGGATATTCAACTAAAAGGCAACGGTGCGTTAACCAGAGTTTTTCTTCCCTTAGGTTGTCTACTCTCTGGATCAGGTGCACTCTATCACCAGCCAAGCAGCAGAGACGCCCAATGAGAGAGCCTTCCAGGAAGCCTACCAGGAAACCATTGAGAAGGCCCTCAACTCACTCAAGAATCCAGAGACACCCAACAAACCCCAGTCCAGCTGGACACTTTTTAAACAGGTAAACATAGCACTAGTTTGACCTCTCTAATGCTACTCTGATATTAAAAAACTCTATGAAAACCGTTTCATATTTGTCCATAAGCCCTGCCCATTGCTCGTGGGCAACAGAACAAGCATCTCCGATGCTAGACTCTATATTCCAGCACAGATGTTGGACTTTTTTTTCTGACGCTTGGTTGTACTGTGATAGGGGATGGGGCTTGACAGATCATCTTCTATGATTGCATGTTTTTCTTTCTGAACTTCATTTTGGATTTTGCTTTTTTCAGCTTCATTCAGCGCTGCAGCAGAGAGCTACCAGGAAAGCCACCTTCATGCTACAGATGAGGGACATCAGCCCCAAGCTGTCTGCAATGGAGAACACCACCATCCCACTCCCGGGGCTGGTCTGCCATCACAGCCAGGTAAGCATTGGTCTGGGTGTGTATCTGGGTGTTTGTCCACCTGTCTGTCACCCATATACTACAGGGTGAGTCCAAAAAAGCGAAACCCAAATGTCGGGACTATTGTTTTAGTGAAGTTCTGCATGTAGCACTTTCAAAATCTAGGATATGAAAGCCCCATTAATAAGCTTTCTTTTAGTACAAGAATCATTCAAATCACTCATGTACTTTTCAAGTTACGGAATTTTAAACACAACAACCGTTTTGAAGTTCTGTCCACGGATCACAAAAAGGTAAGTGTTCTTTCAGCAAAACGAAAACAATTCACATACGGATGTGTGTGAATTGTTTACGTTTTGCTGAAAGAACGCACACCGTTTTTGTGATCCGTGGACAGAACTTTAAAATGGTTGTTGTGATTAAAATTCAGTAACTTGAAAAGTACATGAGTGATTTGAATGATTCTTGTACTAAAAGAAAGCTTATTAATGGGGCTTTTCTATCCTAGATTTTGAAAGTGCCAGATGCACAATTTCAATAAAACAATAGTCCCGACATTTGGGTTTCGCTTTTTATGACTCCCCCTGTATTATGTGAGAGATATCTATCCCAGACTGGAGAATACCACAAACCTATCACTTGAGCTGATCAGCCTTCACAGCCGTGAGCATATGCCTGGGTGTGTATCTGGGTGTTTGTCCACCCATATGTCACCTATATACTGCTATGTGACAGATATCAGTCCCAGACTGGAGAATACCGCCAACCAATAATGGCAGCTAGGCTTCCATGACAGCCAGGTAAGCATGTGCCTGGGTGTGTATCTGGGTGTTTGTCCACCCATCCGTCACCCAGAGTCTTTTACATGAAAGCCCTCAGCCCAGGTTTACCATATGCCAAGAGTTAAAAAAAAAAATTGAAAAAAATCTCTCCATTTTTCCAAAAGGTTGTAACAATCTCCTCCTTCGACAACTCCGTCAACATCCTGCCGACCAAGACAAAACCCAAGAAGCTCGTCTTCCATGGAGCTGACGGCAAGAGGTACACCTATCTCTTCAAGGGCCTGGAGGACTTGCACCTTGATGAGAGGATCATGCAGTTCTTGTCCATTGTCAACACCATGTTTGCTCGCAACAAGAGGTGAGTTTACACGTTCTAACGATCGTTGGGTTTCACATCTCACTGTTGTAATTCTGTAAGCATTGTATCAGTATTGCCATGCCCATACAATTCGGGCGATTCACAATGCAGTGGGCCACCAAGAGTTTGCCATGGAGAGTCAACTTTTCTAGCTAACGGTCAACAAAGCATTGCCCATTTGAATGAGTGTCAGTAGACAATTTGAGCTAATTTGTTATAGATTTGGGCATAGCGTTCTGCCGTCTTATCAACAATTACCCTATTGATACAAAGAAAAGAAGAGGGCGAACATATACTCAAATCATATGCTTATGAAACTGCTGACCGTAAAAGCGAACAATTTCAAATGTCCCGCGCTGCGAATTTGTCGACCGTCTCCCACAATGCACTGGGAAAAATGAACTCTCTGTTGCAAACTCTTGGTGGCGCACTGCATTGTGAATCGCCAAATTGCGGGAATTTTTGCGGTCTCTTCCGGCTTTCCTTCGCCATAAACAGGGGCGAGATTTGTCAGGATTTTTGTCACAATTTTTTATGACTTCAGGATTTTTTAAAGAATACCTTTGAAAGCTGGAATCCAGAAGTTTGATCCTGAAGGTGTTTTTATCTTTAAACATTTATATAGAACACAAGAACTTTATATTTAAGGGACGCCTTCGGGCAAGTTTATGCAAACATCTACCATAGGCCCTCAGTAACCTCTGCCTATTATTTCGTGGATTTTTCATTTTCTCCCAATCTCACCTTTGTAGTAAATACCAAAAAAGTCAATATATTTTGTGTAAATTGTGGATTTTTTGTCAATTTGAACTTCACAGGGATGTATGAATGCGTAGAAAATTGGATACCGCAAAATATGTGTTGCAAAATTTTGTTTAGCTGTGCCCAACTTTTGCTAATTTGCTGAATGATTACTTACTGTTCAAATGCACCTTCACATTCATCCTGCGAATAAACCAAATGCCTTAACGCACTTTTAGTTCGTCAAATGTATATTTTGTACATTTTTTTTGCTTGATAGGCAAGAGGCATCCCTATACCACGCCTGTCACTATTCCGTGACACCCCTTGGCCCGCGCTCGGGTCTGATCCAGTGGGTTGATGGAGCCACTGCGCTGTTTGGACTCTACAAACGCTGGCAGCAACGTGAAGCTATCGCTGCTGCAGCAGCTAAGGTAACATTTCATCGTTGATTTAGGGCCGTCTCAATTCATATCTTTGGCTTGGATTATTATCAGTGTCAAAGCCCCTGACCAGTTTATACCAAACGTTTATAACTGTTCTTTCACAGTGTTATTCCCATATTTAGTTCGTTAAATTTTTGTTTCCGTGCAACAGAGTGGCAACTCCTCCACTGGCCAGCCTCAAGTACCAAGACCCAGCGAGGTTTACTACAAGAAGATGAAACCAGCCCTTGAGGAAATGGTAAAAAGAAGTTTCTAATATCAAATCATTATTATTATTATTATTTATTGCCGGTAATGAAACCAAGGATTCCTCAAAAGCACCTAGGCACTGTAGCTCGCAAGCCTGAAGAAACCTGTAGAGAAGCCAATGAGAAGAAATTACAGTTTTAGAGGTGGGAGGAAAACCCCAGAAGAATATTCTGGGGAAAACCCACGGAATCAGGCAGGGACTGAAAACCCAATCCAGGTATTGGCCCAGGCGGGATTCGAACCCGGGTCACAGCAGTGGGAGGCGAGGAAAGTACCGCTACGCCAACCTGACTCCCCGAAATCATGAAAAGCTTTTGATTCTAGCAACTTAAAAAAAAATTTAAATTCATGATTCTGAACCAGTTGAATTCATGGTGACAAGATAGTATTTGTTTTAAAGTTGAGCTAAGAAATTGACTGGATCGGGTTAGAACCTGCCACCTCCGGGTTACCGTTCCGGTGCTCTGCCAACTGAGCTACCCTGAAAAAAAAATTATTTGCTCTAATATCTTACAGCTGACCAAGGAATCATGTTTTTCTCCGTTCCTCACTTATCTCAGGGTCTATCGGATCAGACCGCTCGCAAAGACTGGCCAATCAGCATCATGTATAGTGTCATGCAGGAACTCATCAAAGACACGCCCAGTGATCTCCTGGCAAAGTAAGTTCAAAACAAAAATCTTGTTGCTTGAGTATAATTCTGTGCTTTACTGTTGAGGTTAAATTTTGCTCACAAGGATCATTGGCATTATCCCAAATGTAGACGACCGAATTATTATCAACAAGCATTACTTGGATTAACCCTAACCGCCCTGAATCCTTCAAAATCCTTTTTGCCAAAACGGAAGAAATTTGGAGGATTGAGGTTACATGGCAAAAGTGTGTTACTGATTTCGTTTTGTCAAGGTCTTGGGCCGGACCTTGTGTTATTCTTGCTGAGCCATGCATAAATATAGGCCTGGATTATGCTTGAAATCCTCTACTACTCCAGGATGCCACTGGCCAAGCCTCAACATATTGACAGTCATTGCCGCAGGATTTTGCAGGATTCGGGCAGTGGTCACCCCTCCATGGACCATATTCAAGAAATAATGGATGAATTTGCAGGATTGAGGCTATACGCTATTTTTCCATGAGGCCAATTGGAGGATTTTGCAGGATTGAGGCTTCATCCTAGCAAAAAGGCCTAGGGAGTTAGGGGTAAAGATCCTTGCCGTGGTCGGCTGGCCGGTTCGAGTGTCAAGTAACAGTGGGTACCGCAACCAAACTTTTCAAAAGTAGAAAGTTACCTATTATTTTATCCCCCTCCCTTGTCCTCTATCAGGGAGCTGTGGTGTTCAAGCGGCAGTTCCTCTGAGTGGTGGCACATCACCCAGGCTTACTCCCGCTCCACCGCCGTCATGTCGGTCATCGGTTACATCATCGGCCTCGGCGACCGTCACCTTGACAACGTCCTGGTGAACTTCCTCACTGGCGATGTAAGAGATTTATGTTTTCATTCATTTCTTTCTGTTAAATGAGATCAAGGGTTCCTCAATGATGCACACGCACTGTCAGTGTCCATGGAGTATTGATAAATAGTAAAGTGGCATTACGCTGAAGGCAAAACTTCACAGGAAGTACTCTTACATGAACACACAGCATGCTCTTTCAAGATTTAAAATTCATGTTGATGCCTTTGTGTGAACAGAACAGAGAAAAGTTACCAGCAGAAAAAAAAAATCATGCAATGTGTGCTACCTGTGACTGGCACTCAGTCAAGTTTTGCTTAGCACAGGAATCTACCAAGCATGGAAAATATTTGGGGTTTTTTCAAAAAATATTGTGCCATATGTATAGCATTTGACTGGTTCCCAGCAACTTTTTTTGCTAAGCAGATGAGCTTGCTGATCAATGTTTTTTCTGCTGAGGGTCCGTCTCAATTCATATCCGGGTCAAGTTCCTGACAAGTTGCGGGTAGAATCATTCACTTTGTCTGCATTTTGTCTCAAACATGTTCCGGGGAAATGTTCATCAGCAACTGCTTGACTCACCAATACTGATAACTTCATTGCGGGAAGATTGCGGGGAAGTTGTTCAGAATCCGGTAACTTAAACCTGATGCAATGTCTGGAACTTGTCTCGAACTTGTCCCAGCTACAAGAGCAATGAGCAATTTGGTTAATAAATTTGTCTTGCTGAATTGTGACTTTCTGACCAGGTGGTGCACATCGACTACAACGTGTGCTTTGAGAAAGGCAAGAACCTTCGTGTGCCAGAGAGAGTACCGTTCAGGATGACACAGAACATACAGTCGGCTCTCGGCGTGACCGGGGTGGAGGTAAGATAATCATCAGATTTTGAACCTACCTAGACAAAAAAATCCAGTTATGGTCCATCTTTAAATCCCTACCAATTTGCCTGTATTCAGTTGGTTGAGTTATTATTATTTTCACTTGGAAACAGGGAACTTTCCGGCAATCAGCTGAGGAGGTTTTGAAGATAATGCGCAAGGGACGGGAGACCCTCCTGACGCTCCTAGAGGCTTTCGTCTACGACCCTCTAGTGGACTGGACCACGGCCAACGAGGGCGGCTTTGCCAGCGCAGTCTACGGCGGGGGTCAGATGAACCCCGTGGTGGCCGACGGCGGCCAGAGCAAGCGGGAGATGGAGCGCGACATCACGCGGAGCTTGTTCTCCTCCCGCGTGGCCGAGATGAAAGGACCCTGGTTCAAGAACAGGTGAGGTAGCAGTTTAGTCAACTGACCCCCGTTCCCAAACTGGCATCCCAAGAGGCTTTGAATAAAAAATCACTTTAGGCCCAAAAAAAAAAGTCTCCGGTTTCTGGTATGGAGCTTGCCCAAAAATGGTGCTTTTTTTTTTTTTTACCTGATTTTTTTGCTTCAAATGTCGGCTGATGACTGCAAATGGTGCCCGACTAAACTTAGTGCAAATATATGAGAGTCCAGAAAGGCCACATAAAGCTTATTCTCGACCATAACCCAATCTAAAAACACGTTAAAATTGTGCAGCAGCAGGATTCCAGTCAAACCAGTGAGTTTGGCGGTTTTGAGACATCATCTTTCATTAAAAAAAAACTTTTTCATTTTGCCGACGCGCATGGCTACGGCGACGCGCGCGCATACCAGAAACCGGAGACTTTTTTTTTTTGGCCTTATAGAGCAGGGGTGAGATTTGTCAGGATGTTTCCAGACTTCAGAATTTTTTGGCCTGGAGTTTTCCTGGTTTCAAGATTTTTAAAGAATCCTTTGGAAATCTTGAATTCCTGAGGTTTTGCCGTAAAGATTATGTCCTCATTGTGAAGTTTTGTGACAATAACCCAAGTAATAATTATGCATAATTGTATCCGTCTTGCATAATGGTGTGTCATTGTATCCTACTCCCCCAGGGATGACATGCTAGACGCCCTGTCCAATCTGGAGGACCAGTTGACCACCTACCTGGACGCCGTGCAAGAGAGCAAACTGTTGGAGGGCAGTACCGATCAGTACACCCAGCACACCCGAGTCCTGCAGGCTGCACTGAATGATAAGAACCACACACTGCATACACTGCACACGAGGTGAGAACAAATAAATACATCTCTTTTGCTGTGGTACATTTGTAAAGTTGAACAAAGAAATTGACTGGAGTAGGGATTGAACCCGCGACCTCCGGATAACCGTTCCGGTGCTCTTACCAACTGAGCTATCCAGCCCTATGTTGGTGGTTCCCCAATTAGTCGATATCTTTGGGGTTTTTTTTATTGCAATCGATAAGATGTTGGACATTTTGTCTTAACTCTTGTCTTAACTCGGCACTGTCAGTGTTAATGAAATCATGTCGGTGAAGGGATAAAACCTAATATTGGCAGATTGGCACAAAAATGTTATCATGTAAAGTAAGAAGAAGCTGTTTGAGATTTTGAACAAACATCAACGAATTCATTTGTCACTGTTTTTAAGGTACGGGAGTGCGACCAGTGAAAGATGGTAATAATAATAATGTAGATTTATATAACTCACTTATCCGGAAATCCGATCAAGGCGCCTACACACAAAAATAGTCATGCTCCAGTCTTAGTGAAATAACTATCGAAGTAGATGAGATTTCAGTTCTCTTTTGAAGATGTCCAGGGATGTTGTTTGACGGAGTGTGGCAGGGAGTTTATTCCCAATGGCAGGTGCTGCATTGGTGCAGGCACGCTGACCATAGCGGATAGTCCTAGTTCTTGGTTCAGCGAGTAAGTACGAGCCGGATGATCTGAAAACCCGACCTGTTTGTTTGAGGGAGATAAGCTCACGGAGGTACTGAGGAGCACGACCATGCAGGATCTGAAACACAAAGAAGCAGATCTTGAAACTGATCCTCTTGGATACCGGATGCCAATGTAGTTCTCTAAGAACAGATGAAATGTGGTCAATTTTCCACATCCGACAATGACCCAAGCTGCATTATTCAGGACACATTGCAAACGAGATATAAGATGTAGCTGGAAAGTTGTATAAGCAAACAACTTTTTGCGAATGCTCAAAAATGTTGCGTTTCTTGTTATTCTTGGTTTGCAGGTATGGGGAGTGCCACCAGGGGGACACCACCCGGACCGCCAGCCAGCAGGCTATACAGGACAAGCTAAGGGAGCTAGATCATTGGCACATCCAACACAAGCTGGCCCTGGAGACCGCTAGAGGGAACCACCTGACGGCCATCAGCCAGGAGACCGACAAAGATCTGGAACTTGGTAAGCAGGAGAATTTCTGGACTCAGCACTTGCAGGGGCCATGGACTCCATGGACAGTTTCACGAATACCGCCCTCTTGTGCTAATCTGTGGGGCGTTTAAGTTGAATATGCCTCCTTTCATGCTGAGGATACAGAGTGTGATGGGACGTATTTTCAGTGAAATGCCCCAAAGATTACCACGTGATCGCTGAGATGGCGGTATCCATGAAACGGTCTGCACACAAGTGCTCAAAGTACTCCTTCACTTGGTAAAATATCGGCAGGAGGAACTCCTATGCATGCATTGTTGCCATGCCTAGCTCTCACATTGATAAGATACGATACTTTGAATAAAAATCTGCATTATGAAGACTTCGCTTGATTGACTACTTAAAACTGCCCGAGTTGGGCCACCTTCTTCCTTGATTTTGACGAGCCTTGACTGAATGATTAGAGTTCTTTTATTTGCCAGGCCCAGCCCCCTATGCACCTTGTGTGAAGTTCCTGACCACAGCTGGACAGACGCAGATTATTGGACAGGTAAGCACTGCAACGTTGGCAATGATATAATTTTATCAGCTGTTATATAGCCTCATTGGCAGTGATATAATGCTAATATAGCCTCATTGGCCGTGACATATAAACTAATATAGCCTCATTGGCAGTAATATAATGCTAATATAGCCTCATTGGCAGTGACAAAGTGCTAATATAGCCTCATTGGCCGTGACATATAATCTAATATAGCCTCATTGGCAGTGACATAATGCTAATATAGCCTCATTGGCCGTGACATATAAATTAATATAGCCTCATTGACAGTGACATATGAACTATTGTAGCCTCAATACTCAAATAATATAGAATCTCATTATTATTACATCTTTGAAATAAATAGTTTTGTCATCAAAATAATTTATTGTTACTTGCCTATGTAGTTTCTGAGCCAAAGGCATTTTTTGGAAATATTTTGCCCAATGCAAAGTCATTTATCCATCAGCACTGTAATTGCCCCTATGTTTGTTTTGACTGTGTACCTACAGTGTGAGCACCTCGAGACTGAACTGACAGGCCTGCTGCAGCAGCGACGCATCATGCTGCGTGGGTGTGTGGAGGTCCTGCAGACATACTGCAACATGGCTAGACAGGTAAGCAGTAGTTGTACAAACTCGCAAAGTTCATCATATATCTGTCTCAAGTCAATCATGTTCATCACATGTCAATCATGTTCATCACATGTCAATCACATGCCCATCATAGGTCAGTCACATGTCCATCACAATTTGCTATACGCCTATAACAAGCACATCACATGTCCATCACATGGCAATCACATGCCCATCACAATTTTGCCACGTCTATCACAAGTACGTCTCATGTTAAATTCAAGTTAATCACATATCTATTACAAGCCAATCTCATGTCCATCACAAGTCTGCCACACATTTAACACAACGTCACATGCCCACCACATGTCAATCACATGTCCGTTACAAGTCAATTGCCAATCTCAGGTGCAAGTCAATCTGAGGGCAATCCCAAGTCTTTCTGGAGTACATTGGTTCATTATTTGTTTTTAATCTTGATTTTGGTGCATTTGTTCATGTGCCTTGTTGATTCATTCAACCATTTTGTTGTTTTGGTTAGGGTATTGCTTCAACCATTTCAAAATTGGAGGCATTAATGATTTCTTTTTTGTTAATGGCGTTTTCAGTTCCCAGCCAACTTTGCCGAGATGAATCGGGCCTACGTGTGGCAGACTTGGCTTCAGGAGCTGGTGTGTGATCTCACATCGACCAAGTAAGTACATACAGACGAATCACTGTACACTCACGGGGCCCCCTTCAATGGAGAAACCATTGTGCACGCTATTGTACAAAGCAACTGCCCCTGACGGCTTATATGAACAATAGCTAGCACAATGCTTGCGCCATCGAAGGGGGCCTTCGTGATAGAATTAATAGCATGCCTGGATTGGTCTGTACAGGAAACTCAAGTTCACAGAGCTCCTGTAGTTGACGCCAAAAGACAGGCAAACTTTATGCATTCATTTTCCATTGGGGTAATTCTATAAATTCAGGGTCAAAGCATGTCATTTTTTCCTGTCATTTTTACTTTCTAATGTGCCATTCAAGTATAATTAAGAATGACTTCAAACAGTTTTGTCTTTGTTGGGTAGGTAGTTTGCTATTCATAATCACTCTTGGAGGACGACTGCATTAAGGAGTGCATCAGAATTATACAATCATAGATGTCAGATGTAACAGGGACAGAACAAAACAGTGGACCCCCAAATTTAAGACTCTGGAATCATTCCGAACAACTGCAACAGCTGATCTTTCTACGTAATCGCTCTTTTTTGTTTCAAATATCAAACTATTATACTCGTTTCAAATCTTCAGAATAATTTGGGTTGGCACAACACTGGAAGGCCAGTCTTAAACAGGTATTCCCTCTCATTTTTCCCAGGTGCAAAGCCCTCCAAGCCCGCTTCAAGGCCAAGTACAGCTCCCCAACGCCAGCCCGCTTCCAGCAAGTCCTGGCCACGGAGCAAGCCCTGAACGGCCTGATGACTGAAGCCAACACTAAACTAGTCAAGACCATGGAGGCCATGCCGCAGACCGACCTGGCGCAGGCTGAGGGGGCTCTGCAGCAGACGCACTCACAGATACACAGCTTCGTGACGGGTAAGGCTGCAACCGATTTATTAGGCTACATGGCCGACTTTCCATTGAGAATCTTTTTTGAACTGTGTTGAATGTCTTCCAAAATTTAATTTGCAACCCGCAGAGAACGGGGATGCAGGCATGCTGACGTTAGCTGCAGTCCTGATGAATGCTCTGTGCTCCTTCAGTCAGAGGTCCCGCATCATGGAAGGAGCTGTTGCAGGTATTGACTTCACGTTTATGAAAATGTACCTTTTTTTTGTTTTGACTTTGATTTATTAGAAATTGAAATATTCGAATGTAAATATACAGATAAAAATATTCAAATTATATATTATATATTTTATGAAGATATTAATTGTCAAAACTTCAAAAATCCATTAAAAAAAAATGATGATATCATAATCTTATTTTTCATCTTAACACTTCCCTGTCTATGCACATGCCAAGTATCAACCCGATTAGACCTGTAGTTCCGTAGATACAGGGCAAAAACAATGCACCTTTAATGTGACGTAACATGACACCTGATGATGTCATCATGACGACAATGTTTTGCACACATCTGTAGATCGGATTTATAACAGTGTAATAGTGTTTAGGTAAAAAGGAAAACCTGTACAAATCGTATGGGAAAAGTCTGAAGAAGAAGAAGACGAAAAAGCAAACTTAACAAAAACAAAGGCTGTTCCGGCAATAACCAAAAAAGTCAATAAGTGGCAAAAATGTTATTCAATGCACATTTGCATGTGACAGGTTCTTTTGGTTTTAGCTTTAATAGACCTTAAATATTGCAAATTTACACTTTTTGCGTGAAATTGGTCCCTGATTTCTCTGACATGTTATGCATCGGTCAACAGGTGCAGGGGACCTGTTGGTGGACTTTGCTTCCCGTAACGGCAACTGGTTCCTGGAGGAGCTGTGCAGCATGATAGCCAACCTGGACATCATTGTGGACCTAGTCAGCGGCTGCCAGTGGGTAAGTACAGGGTTCCCAAACCGCTCTGGAAATCAGGGGAAACCTTGATAATGAGTTTCCATTTTCCAGTCAGGGGAAACTCAGGGAATTTGAGAGTGACACAGAAGAGAAAGGTTTTATGCCAGTTTGGCGTAAGTGCGTCTTGTGCCAATCTGTCCATGTTGTGTCAATTGACTGACTGAAAGGATGGCTATAAGGGGAGAAGGGAGGCCATCTCTTGTCAACAAGTTGCCTGTGTATTATCAGTATTACCAGCGACTGTGGTCAAGTGAACAGGGGCAATAATTGTGAAGTGCTTCAAGAAATATGTGCACATCGGAAAATAAATGCCACTTAATTATTTTATTACTAGAAAATGTAAAATCCTTACCTAAGTCAGTTTTAAAAGGTTAAATTTTCACAACCTTGACACTTTCGTTTTAGCCTCAGGGATTTGACGCCGGCCCTATCCTGGCCTCCCTCGAGTGCTTCAAGCTGATCCGCTTGGTCTACGAGGCCCTACAGGACATGCACGGCCAGTTCCGCAAGACCGTCCTGCCCCAAACTCTGGCCGCTTTGCAGTCCGGCGACGCCTCGGTGGACGGGGTGATCACCGAGCTCAACAGGATGTGTGACGGGCCGTCGCTGCTGCCCAGGGTGCTGCAACAGATTGAGCAGGACCTGACCAGCGTGACTCTGGGAATGAAGGTTAGCGTGAAGACTGGCTTGAGCCTAAGTATTCATATTTTGAGTTGGGGCGAGGACCGTAAGTCAGTTATTGGTCGTATTTTGACGTACCTTAAGCATGCGCACTAATAGCAACTTGAGAACGCCTCTAGTCAAACGATGGTCAAAACGTCATCACAGAACTTCTCAGTCCTGGCTCCCTGCTATGATTTATGACATGCATGGCTATTGGTAACCAGTTAACGCCTCCAGCGAAACGATGGTCAAAACATCATCACGAAAGTGCTTTATCCTGGCGCAAAGTGCACTTCGCAATAATTTTTACTTAAAAGGGATGTCTTATAGTTTTTATACATTTCAGAGGAATGGATATATGCTACAAATATGCTCCAGTTTAAAAATCATTTCTTGAACCGTTTAAGGAACAGTACATGGTATTGTCTGGCCTACTCACCAGAGATAATTGGTGGGAGACACAGTGCATATGCCATTGGTTCCAAACACAGCATTCAAGCATCTGTCATATCTGGCTCTGTGTTACTATCACAGGAGCCCATTGAGGGAGGCACAAAATTTTTCCTCAAGATTCTGTGGTATTTTCCATCTTTCAGGGCGATCTGATCTCTACCAGTGTCGTGGAAGTCATGCGCACCAAATTCAACTCCCTCCTGCAAGTCAGCAGCGCGTCTGACCCTCCCAGCACGGCCCAGCTTCCCCCCACCCAGGGGCAGATCCTCCTGGCCCTGCTCAGCGCCCCCTTCGCCAAGGTGGAGGCAAGCATCGGGGAGTTTGTCAGCAAGATGGAGCAGTTATCGGTCCCGGCCCAGTGGCGGAAGGTGGACGTTATACAGGAGGCTAAAAGCATGCAGGTAAAGGCAGACGTTTAGGAAACTTGTAAAATTTAGACTCAAAGAAGTGAAGATTATAAGATTGCACTAAATTGGTTTTGGGGGCTGAACTCTTACAGATTGGAAGATTATATGGAGTACCGAAGAGAATACGTTACGGGCACAAAATGTGTAAAAGACATTAGTGATTCAGCCCGAGAACCAACACGAGCGCGTACTCCATTCGTTTGCACTACATTTTCTGGTTCTAAATGACGTCACACTTCGGTACTCCATATTGCTGTGCAATTCCGCCCCTAGAGACAGCAAATAGATATATTGGCTCTATTCGTTCAATTCCTGGAATTTATAGCTATCATGGAAAGATGGAAAAGTCATGGAATTATTTTACAAGGAGCCAGGAAAAGGTGATATTCCAAGAAAAAATTCATGGAATGGTCATGGAATCCTGCACAACTCATACGTGATGATGTGTAATATTTGGCTGTGGCATTCTTCCAGTTTGCATTCCAGTTTACTATCCGTTTCGTTAGTAAAAACATCATACGTGCGCGTGCAACACTGATTACGAGCTCCCGTTGGATAAACGCTCGAGGTGCGTTAACTTACAGTTCCATTTGTGCTACGCTACACCATGTGGTTGAATTGAGATGACGTCACACGAACAAACCCGATGCTTCCTCTTTATGCATGTATGCTCTGTGCTTGTTGCTGGTTCAGTGCGCCATTGTGATGCTTTTGTGGTCTGGAAGGCTGAAAGGGAGTAGTTTCCCTTGCCTCCATAATATCAATAGACTCCTAAGATGTCAATATACAGCGTGGGAATCGGTCATGGAAAGCTCTCATTTTGCCCTGGAAAAATTATGGATTTTAGTTTTAAGATTTGTCGGGGAACCCCCGTTATGCTGTGCCTCTGTTTTGGTTTGCAGTCCACCGTGCTAAACAACAACACCCATCAGCTACTGAGGGACTGGGCATTCATCAAACAACTGGAAGCACTGCAGGAATTCATCACGCTCTGCCAGCAATACGCAAAGGTCACCAACGGTATGTACACTCACTCAATCCAATTCCAAAATCTGACAGAAATTATATTTTATTTTAAAGTTGAACGAAAGTAATGAAGTGGAGCGGGGTTTGAACCTGCGACCTCCAGATTGCCGTTCCGGTGCTCTACCAACTGAGCTATCCAGCCCTATGTTGGCAGTTCCCCAATTTGTCAATGTCTTTGTTCAAGGGGCGCTAGTTATAAGCCATAAACCCATATATGCCATGTAGCCAGAGACCACGCCCAAAGACACAACGCTAGCAACATTAACAATGCTGCAAATCTGGGAAAGCTTTTTTTTTTCAAAATTTGCAAATAAAGTTCAAAACAGATAAGATTTGAAGGTTTGCATGGTGAAGGTAGCAATAACATAAAGAAACTCAATGTTTCGGACAGTATGCGCTGGCTGTGATGGGCAGAGCATACTGTCCCAAACGTTGAGTTTTCCCTGGTTCTTTTCAGAACCTCACAAACTCACAAAAAAAATTGGTCACACGGTGCTACCGTAAATCTTTCTCTTACTTAAACTTCAAAAACCTTCTCGGTTTTCCTTTCCTGATTTAATTACAAAAATAATTCACAACGCTGCCAGAAAGGCACTGCGGTTGCAAGTTTGTGTTGAGAACCAGGCCTATCAAACAACAGGGATGCTAGAATCATTGGTGTGCATAGAAGTCTGTCATAGTGTGTACGATTATGTATTTCCTTGCTTCAGGTTGTCTAGAGAATGTCTCGGAGTTACAGGCAGCCCTGGTGTCAGAGGCTCAGTTCATCAAACCCATCAAGAAGTTCATGGCCGGTTTGATCAGGAAGCAGGTGAGATAATAATAAAAGTTATGTTGTGCTTGTACAACATTTTACATCAAAGGTCTCAAAGCGCTTTACAATTATTACCCTGTTGATCAGTCCATGAGACCATATTTTTTTCTGCAGCAGCTCGAGATCAGCGCAATCTGGTCTTAGCCTTCACAGGTACCCATTTACACTCCTGGTTGGAAAGAGGCAATTGTTGTAAAGTGTCTTGCCCAAGAACACAAGCAAAATGTTCCCGTCAGATTTTGAACCCACAAGATTCCAGTTTACAATATTTTGTTTGTTTTTGTGTTTTGTTTTTGCACCCAACACATTATTTCTCCCTTTTCAAAAAATGAGTAATAAATTTGTCAAAACCTAGTACTGATATATGCAAAACAAAAATTTTATTCACTAATCATTTTTTTCACCCATACTACAGACCATCGGCATCCTATCCAAGACCATCGGCATCTGTACCTGCACTCTAGCCCACCAGCTGGGCCTGGACACCCTCGCGGAGATCAACGTGCTAGACGTCGGAGCCAACTCCAAGGCCTCCTTGGAGGACATGTGCAAGAAAGCCCTAGACCTAGCCGTAACGAGCGGCTTGGTCCAGTCTCACCTGTACCGCGTGGTCAACAACTACACCAAGACGTATGACGCGGGATGGAGAGCCCTAGCCCAAGCTCAGTAAGTGTGAAATATAACGAGTGTACAAACACATCTACTTTAACCAATCAGTTCCTGTACCCCCTCGCCCCCCCCCTTCCCCTCCCCACCCCCTCCAGGCCCCTCCCCCCCCCCCAACATCCTGCTTAGTACTCCCTATGCAGTCTCACACTACTCTGTACGGTTTTATGAAAACTCATGTGACATGACGATGTCATCATGACATCATTTCCATGTTCACCTACAGCATGTTCCTGTCTATGTACATACAAAGTTTCAACCCAATTGGACCTGTAGTTCTAGAGATATAAGGTTTCAAATTATGCAACTTTTATATGATGTAACATGACATGTGAGGACGTCATCATGAAGAAAATCTTTTGGACCATCTTCGAGTGGTTGTTTACGTATGTGCCAAGTTTAAAGTCGATCAAACTTAACGATAGCACTAAAGTGTATGGGTAGAATAAACCTTTGTATAAATCCTATGGAGAGAGTCTGAAAAAAAAGGGAAAAAATCTTAGCGAAAACAAGAGCTGTTTCGGCTGAGTTGCTGAAACAGCTATTAAGAGAAATAAGAATTTCATTGAATAGCTTGTAATTTGTGATGGACTTGCGATTGACTCCACTGTGCCTGTGCCTGTATCTGTATATGAGCAATAATCTTGTTTGTGTCGTCTATTCTGTGCTACAGGCAGCAAGTCAATGCAGTGACGGCAAGCCAGGAGAGTACCCAGCATGCCCAGCTGCAGCTGGTGCGCTTCCAGTGGCTGCATGAGGATATCTTACAAGAAGCCGGGGTGCAACGCCAGAACGTGCCATTCCTTCCCCCATCAAGGTACAAACTCCAGGATTATCTCAAATCCAAAATTATTTCTATAGTTTTGTAGAAATTTGCATAGAAATATTTGCCTAGCACAGAAAATATTTACCTAGCACAGAAAATATTGGCCTAGCACAGAAAATATTGGCCTAGCACAGAAAATATTTGCCTAGCACAGAAAATATTTGCCTTGCACAGAAAATATTTGCCTAGCACAGAAAATATTTACCAGCCATTGAAACATTTGCTTAGCACAGAAAAATATTTTCTTAGCATAGAAAATATTTGCTAAGCACAGAAAATATTTGCTTAGCACAGAAAATATTTGCTTAACACAATAAATATTTGCTTAGTACTGAACACATTTGCCCAGAACTGAAAATATTTGCCCAGAAATGAAAATTTCTCCTTTTTTATTTCATTGAAGGTCAAGCGTCATGTCCGACCTGCGTAAGCGGACTCAGCACCTGCTGTCCCTAGAGGGGGCTATTACAGCCCTCCAGGAGCGCGCCACCGCTCAGCAGAACAGCGTCGGCCAGCGTTTGAAGTGGGCGGCGGGTGCCAACCCTACCGGCCTCCACAATGTCTTGCATGAGTTTGAGAAGGCTGTGAGAGACAGAGCTGCCGGCTATGCTGTAAGGGTTCATAGTCATAGTCATAGGTTTTTTTGGCCTTGGCTCTGGCTATGACTTTAGGGATTTAGGGATTTGGGGGGGGGGGCACTGACTCAGTATTCAGGAACTTGAAGGCCTATAATAAAAGTCAAACCATACAGTATTTCCATCCGGTTAGCCGTAGGATTGTTTTGAAACGCTTCGCTTTGTGTCCAGTTTCAACGTAAGGTGATTTTACATCCTGACTTGAGGGCCACAGGCTCAAATTGTGTTCATGTCCTTTTAAGTCAGTAACATCAAATGTTCTAATATGCCCGATTTGTTGTCAGGATTTTTTCCTGATGTCAAGAGGATTTTTTGTAGAATCCTTTTTGAAATCTGGAATTCCTGATATTTTACCACAAAGATTTGTTTAAATTTATTTTATAATTTGCAGGGGTGACATCTGTCAGGATTTTTCCTAAATTCAGAATTTTTTGTGAGGACTTTTCCTGAATTAAGGATTTTTATGTGAGGAATTTTTTTGAATTAAGGATTTTTTTGTGAGGATTTTTCCTGAATTCAGGATTTTTTCCAGGATTTTTCCTGGTTTCAGAATTTTTTTGTGAGGATTTTTTTTTCGGGATTTTTCCTGATTTCAGGATTTTTTTTAGGAATCCCATTTGGAATCTGGAATACCTGGGATTTTACCGTAAAGGTGGGTTTTTTTACCAAAAAGGCTTATTTTCGGGTTGCCTTTAAGCAAATACAAATATTCACAGACCCTATGTTGCTCTGGGGCCCTCGACGACCCTTAAACCCTCTGCTGATTATTTGATGGATTTTTTATTTTCCCTTTAGGTAAAAGTTGACATGTTTGTCCATTTAGTTTGCTTGTAAACTGTTCTTGAACAGGAGGATCAGCTCATAACCATTTCAATATTCTTAATGAGTTTCGATGTCCTTTTAAATTCTGTTCAAAGATGGAAAACAAGCGATCGGCAGAGGTGTCGGCCCTGAGTAATGCCATCCTACACTTTGAAGCACTGCGCACCAGGACCAGCGAAGCTATCAATGCGGAGTCTAGCTTCCTAGCTCTACTCACAAGGTAACTATTAGTTTCCAGGTTTTAGATTCAACTTGTTTTCCCCCTTCTTAAGTGCTTGTACACCATTTACAAAAATGCAAGCAAAAAAAATGTATTTTTGCCAATTCAAGGAACAACACAATAAATTTGAAGCAGGTTATTTAAGAAAAATACTGTCAAAATTTCAGCCCATTAGATATACTTTTTGAGAAAACTTTGAAAGTGCATCTTCTTTTTTCTCAGCGCGAAGCATAGATTTCCGTTGAGATGAGTTTCATGATTGACTTGTGATTGGACTTGAAACAAGACTTGTGACTTTAGTTGAAATTTCCCTTGAGATTGTCTTGTGACGTTAAAGGTGCATAGGATCATTTGCTTTATGTGCATTTTTTTTTTATTTGAAGCAACAAACTTGATCAGAATCTTAATAAGGGTGTCAAACAACTAAACATGTTTGACATTTAGCTCGGTGGATACTATACATTTTGAGAATGCCGAGAAAGTGAATGCTCAATTTTTGGGGTCCCGTAACTAGATTCTGGTGCTAAAGTATGTAAAAACGTATGTCTGCAGGCACATTTTCTTAAACTACCTCCAATGATTATTTTTAAAGAAGGATACCATTTCAGCTGGAATAATTTCACAGGGTCTTTGGTACCAGTCCTATCTTCACTGTGAGCGTGGATTTTCTTGTTAAATCGGTAGGTACATTTCTGGGTAATTGCAAATATTCCTACGTGATTGTCTTATCGTCATCCAGGTGCCAGGAGAGCTGCAAGAAGGTCGAGCAGTGCACGGCCTCCATCACGGACATGGAGCAGGACCTGATTGACCTCCAGCCCCCGGCGCCAGACCAGCCCATCGGACGCAAGTGGATCCGCAGTCTGATGGATCTACTGGTGCAGCGGAATGAGGAGAAGGAGAGCGCGATGGATGAACAGGAAGTCATGGTGCGCAGTGGCAGGGTGAGTCAGGGAACCAGACCTCGTTCTTAGAAGGGTCATGGTGCACAGTGGGTGATGAGTCAGGGCACCAGACCCAGTCTTTAACAGGAAGTCATGGTGCGCAGTGGCAGGGTGAGTCAGGGAACCAGACCTCGTTCTTAGAAGGGTCATGGTGCACAGTGGGTGATGAGTCAGGGCACCAGACCCAGTTCTTAATAGGATCATGGTGCGCAGTGGGAGGGTGAGTCAGGGAACCAGATCTCGTTCTTAGAAGGGTCATGGTGCACAGTGGGTGATGAGTCAGGGCACCAGACCCAGTTCTTAACAGGATCATGGTGCGCAGTGGGTGGATGAGTCGGGAAACCAGACCTGGTTTTAAACAGGGTCATCCTAGTATGGCAGATGATGAGTCAGGGAACCAGATCAGGGTATGATGCACAGTAGGATGGTGAGTCGGGAAACCAGACCTAGTTCTTAACTGTCGAGTCCATCACAAGTCCATCAAAAGTTATGATGGATTCGTGACCTGACTTTCTTGGCACACTCCACTTTAATACTTTCTCCGCAAAACAATGAGGTAATGACAGCACATTTCTCGACCCCATTTTAGGACGCCCTGCATGGCCAGATCAACGTGGTCAAGAACACTCTTGCCACCCACTACAAGCTGATGTCGGAGGTCAAGACCCATCTCAAGACGCTGGCCAGAGGAGAGGAGGACGAAGCAGAGGACGGCATCATCATCAGTGGCGAGGGGGGAGTGGTCAAGACGTTCATGATGGAGTACAAGAGCTACTCGGAGGAGTTCACCTCCATGCTCAAGACTCTGCTAGTTGGTCAGTTTTGGGAATGTTGCACAGTAGAGAGGGGGGGGGGGGCATTCTATACACATGGTTCCATGGTCGTACTTGGCTTTCTGACAGTTTTGGACGTTGTAGTGGTCAGACAGACTGCAAGCCGCCATAATACATAATACATGATAATACATGCCCTGCGCGAGGCCGGGTAGACTCAATAAGATTTTACAACACCAACATGTGGTTCTTGTTAGGCCAAAAAAAAAATAAGTCGGTCTCTGGTCAGCGCGCGCGTCGATTTTAATCATGCGCGTCGATCTTTTTTTTTTCCAAAATGTTCCGCGGTAGCTCCAACAGCGCCCTCTATTTCCGCACCTCCTCAATTTTTTTTACCAAAGAGCACCAAGGAATTGGAAATTGCACCAAGGCAAATGATCGAAAGCACCAAGGCAAAATATGGAGGACACCAATGTGCATGAGGACACCAAAAAAGCAAAATAGTACCCACCTTGTCTGTACAATCCAAGCTTGAAGAAAAAAAAAAAAAGCCACGTGGCCGCGTCAATTCCGGAACTTTGGTCTGACCAGAGACCGAATAGTTTTTTTTTTTGTGGCCTTAAGCCCGGTTCATACTTCACGCGAAAGCATGTGCGAAGCGAAATTCATGTCGTCAACAATGGTAGACGCGCTTCGAATGTATTGTTGACGTCACGAATTTCGCTTCGCTTTCGCTTTTGCGTGAAGTATGAACCGGGCTTTAGATGGGCTAGAGTTTGGTTAGTTCAATAGTTCAACCCAGGTTAAAGGGGCACTCATCACATTGTTTGGCTTTTTTTTATTGAGAAACATGTGAAAGATGAAATTGTTGGACCATATGCGATCAAACTGCACATTCAGTATGAATATCAACGTTTCCAATGAACTCAGTGCGGAAATATTTGTAGGGAAGATCAGCCCAAACCATCCAATCTGTATTTCTGATATAACCAGCTTTGAATACAGTGGAACGTCGCTATACCGAACACTGCTATACCGAACATTCGGCTATACCGAACATCATCCTTGGCTCCCGTTTTTGGTGTACAAAACCAACCGAACATTGTTGTTAAAAACTGTAAACAGAAGAGCGACAAGTGGCTATTATTCCCCCAAGGAATAGAAGGAGAAGGCCACCCATTGCTGTAGGTAGTAAGCTCAAAAACTGTGTAATTACATAATTCAATAGTCGGCACGTGGTCAAAGTCATCTTTCAGTAACTACCAGGGCGTGCAGGGTGAAGTTATGAAGGGCGCTATTTATTGAAAAGTGAGTTACCGGAGCACCGGCAGCTTAAAATCGCTATACCGACTGATCGCTATTACAAAAAGATTCTGTGGATCGCTTGATTTTCATTATAACGGCGTTCCACTGTAATTACTTGATTGGTTGGACCCACTTGGGTATTTTTCAATGTTTGGAGCTTGTCTTTGAAATACCTTAAAATGCTTAGGGCTGTAAATTCTCACTGGACTGCTGGACCAAGTCAAGTGACTGGTGGTCTAGTTTCTTCTTTTTTGTTAATAAACTGATCACTTTTTATTGTTTCTTATCTCAGGTTCCTCGGAAGATGACAACGACAGTATCTTGAAGCTGTCGGAGGTCATTCCCAAGATGGCTGCCCTGGCAGACCAAACCAAACGGTAACCGCTCCATGCCAGACATGGGTCTTTAGTAGTAAAATTATTCAATGTAATGTGATCAATAAAAGTCGGTAGAATTCACACAGTGAAACTGGATTTTTGCCATTTTTTTCAGACTGAACCGGTGGACTAATTAATGTTTCTGTGAATGAACAAGACTTCTCTCTTGTGTTTGCTTGTTTGTTTGTTTGTTTTTTGGGTGTTTGTTTCTTTGTGTTTTGCAGGGCCCATCATTTTAAACAAACTTCAAATCCTTAATTCAAGTTTTGTTGCACCAATATAATTGGTAATCTTTTATCAGACCTCAAAAGTTACGCATGAATGTTCATGTATTTTAGTTGACTTGAAACTCTTTTCCACTTCAGGTGATAATTTAATTTTTTTTTTTTTGGCACTTTGTAAAATTTACTCCATGTCTTGTAAAATTTGTGAAGTACTTGCTCTATAGTCCAGTGGATTTTTACCTGTTGGTCAAAATTGGTTTGTTTTTGATAATGAAAGCTCATTAATAAATTCATCAAAAATTCAGCTTTGATTGTGTCGTTGTTTGTTCCTATCGGATAGGTTGTGCAATCAACTGGTCGGTTTAGCTGCTCCACTGGTACCCAAGCCTGTGCCACCGGACAACAGCCAAGGTGAGCTTTGTGGAATATGTTGTTTGAAAAAAAATAACCGCTACATTGTCACAGCAAATGGATTAACCCTAACCCTGCCAGACGCAACACAATGCATCAGGTGTAAAAAGTCTGGTGCATTTTGATGTGTTTAGCAGTGCATAAACGGCCAGTTCTAAAATGATGAGAGCTACAATCCCGGCCAAAACGGTTGGGACACACTCCCCTGCTTCCCTGGTCAATGTTGTGCTCTCCAGCTGATGGAGCACACACCGCGCAATGAGAGACAACATTGAACGGGGGGTTGGGGGCCCAGCGAGATTTGGCCAGGATTGTAGTCCCGTTGAACAATGCCACAGTTGTATCCTGCTGCATTCATTAACCACAGACTCTGAGGCAGTTTGGCCTCGAGACTTTTAACCTGATGGATCTTGCTGCACTGAGCGGGCTTGTCATTTTGATAAGTGTTGCATGCCGCTGCGTTTAGCAGGGTGTCGGGTGTTAGAGTGAAGGTGTCCAAATTTAGCACCTGCTTATTTTTATACCTATTTTATATGAAGAATAAAAACCTTGATAAACTCAACAATACTTCTTGTTTTGGAACAACACAGCTTTTCTCTGTAGTACCATGCCCTGCAACAATTTAAAAAAAACAACCACCACACTGTCTTTCCAAAAACTGCGGTGTCACACTGATCGCGTGTATGCTCCAACTGTCGGATAAAACAAGACTTTAAACTCAACAGATTTTCTTGGGGTTTTTTTAATGTCATAGCAGCCAGCGAAGACGTTGAGGATGACCTTCAGCAGATGAAGGGCAGCAAGGCTGGTTCCCCCGTCAGGGTGTCTGGTCTGCTGGGCAGGGCAGCCGAGGGGACTCCAGCGACACCTCCGACATCAACAAAGGCTGCCTGTAAGTCTTGATAAATACTGCACCAACACCCCTTCTCAGGGGACACACGGGAGGCTACAGCTAGATTTGTTTTGTAATTGATCATGCTTTATGCAAATGCCAGTGCAAAGCAAATTTGAAGTCACGAAAAATTCACTGCGGAATAGAAATGTAATTTTTGAAAGTTGACTGGAGCGGAGCTTGAACCTGTGACCTCCGGATGACTGGTCTGATGCTCTACTGACTGAGCTATCCAGCCCTATGTTAGCAGTACCCCACTGTAAAAATAATGTGTTCACCGTTTACAAATTTGCTGCGCAAAAAACTTGGCATGACCTCGGAAATATCCGTTCCCATTTGCTTTCGTGCTGAGTACAAACTGGCCTTTCAATAGATGCTCTGTTTCTTCTAAATGACACATTGGATGAACTTGAAACTTGAAACATACATCGACCCCGATCTCAAGCAGCTTAAGGAAATTAATTAACCATATTTACTCTTTTATGTAACCAATTTGATTCTTATGGTTATCTTTTCTGATTTGGCATGGAGTGAAGTTACTTGACCTTTAAAGGTCAAAGTTAGATCAATTCAAATTGAAAACCAAAGCTTAATTCAATTATTTATTCCCTGCCAAACTGGGGAGGCAGAGAAACTGTAGTATTTAATTGTTTTATCATGCATTTGTCCAATTTTCATGCACTGTTTATTGTATGCAAGGCCTCATCAATGGAGACCAGTTTTTTAGCATTTGGGCATACCCTGTGCAGAACCATGTGATAAAATGGTACATTAAATACATTTTTAACTTTCTTTTAACTCCTTTTCGTAGTCGCCGCTCAGCAACCGAAAGGCTCCCCGGCCGTCATGCGCGATCCCCGCACCGGTAAGGTCATCCAGGTGCGCAACACCCACGCCATCAACGTCTGGCGTCGCGTCAAGGGCAAGCTGGACGGTCGAGACCCTGAACCCTCCAAGAGACTCAGCATACCAGAACAGGTGGGTGCTTGGATCAAATACGGTACTCTGCCTTGAGGTGGGACATGGCGTTATTTCACACTTGTGAGGGGTAGTACCAAGTTAATCATTGTTATTATTTATTTCTGGTAATGAAACCAAGGATTCCTCAAAAGCGCCCTAGGCACTGTAATAATAATAATAATAATATTAATAATGTGGTGCTTTTATAGCGCTTGATACCAAAGGTGTCGAAGCGCTTTACAATTATTACCCCTGTTCATAAGGCCACGAGACCACTTCTGCAGCAGCTCAATATCATCGTTAGTGGCCTGTACCTTCGCAGGTACCAATTCACTCCTGGGTGGAGAGAAGCAATGCATGACAAAGTGCCTTGGACAACGGCACACGCACCATGACCCCGGCTGGACTTGAACCCACAACCTGCAGCTTTACCCACAGACCACGAATCAGTGCCCTTAACCACGAGGCCACAGCACTACACTGTAGCTCGCAAGCCTAAAGAAACCTGTAGAGTGGAGACAATGAGAAGAAATTACACTTTTAGAGGTGGGAGGAAAACCTCAGAAGAATTTTCTGGGTGAAAACCCATGCAATCAGGTAGGTACTGAAAACCCAATCCACATGTGGACCAGGGCAGGAATCGAACCCTGGCCATAGAGACAGAAGGCGAGGAAAGAACCACTGCGCCAACCTGACTCTCCCCGTGCATGTTGAAGATGCCATGCATCCTTTTGTGATACATGATCCTTAGTCCATGTCCAAATGCTCGTAGTAAACGTTACCCCGATTCTCCGCAGGTTGACTTTGTGATCAAAGAGGCGACCAGCCTGGACAACCTGGCGACTCTCTACGAGGGCTGGACGGCCTGGGTCTGAACGCAGAACAACGCAGGAACCAGACGCAGGGAATGAAAAAAAAACAAGTATAACTGGAGACAGTAGAGTCTTCCCAGAGCAAAGAAACCAGGTGTTCCGGACTGGTCCAAACTAGTTCCAACCGGTTCCAGCTGGTTCAAGCCTCATTATCTCAAGCAAGCAAGACCACACCTGGCTAGCTTGTAACCGCACAGGCCGGTGTTAAGTGTTCAACACCTAGACCTTGAGATATCAAACAAATTGTGGAGTCCCCCTTTTAAAGGTCCATTTTTGGCTATCGAATCAATCGATTTGCATGAAACGCAACCCAGATAGCCACTTTAAAGGGTGAGCGATGATACCATCCACGTTTTTGTCGCACAAAAACCCGGCTGCTATATTTTTGTTTTACCGATAAACAAAAATGGGGCAGCGTTTAGGCCCAACTGTGTATACAGTGTCATCAGCACAGGGCCGCGGGGGGAAAGCGTCGGCATTATATCTAGTCCGAAGGGTGTAGAAATGGAAGACGGATGTTTACACTTTTGAAAGTTGAAAGTCTTTTTTTTTTGGAAAGCAGCAGACATACCGATAGTCTGTTTAGAGTTTTGCAAGATTCACAAGTTAAGCGTTTCACCAGTTTTAATCCAGGTTAACATGCAGGGTAATCAGTTTATGTGAAGCTTATCCAGATTACCGTCTTCGTTAAATCAGTTTAATGCAACCGATGATAATAATATACCAGTTAATGAAATGGAAGCTCATTTGCAAAGGTTTTCGGTTAAGAAATTGCCATCAACTTGCACTCTACATCGCAATTGAGTCCTCTTCAACTTGGTTTTTAGTTCAGTCAACTAGGTTGAATGTGGACAGAACTATTTTGGAGTGTTTTCAATTGTTTCCATTTTCGAATTTCCTGCGATCAGATCAGTCAATGAAAAAATTCAGTACCAAAGATAGAACCATAACTGTAAACCTAGATTCAACAGATTAGTTAAACTAGTTCCCAGTTTCTCTAGCGATATCTGCCTGACTAGTGACGAAGAAAAGACCATCAGCGTTTTGTGCGCAGCACATTGATGTTAAGAGGCATCTGGCCAAGTCAGGGTAAACTTCACTAAAAAGAGACAATATGTGGAAATCTTCAGACACTGATAGGAATTGCCAGTCTGATCACCAACTCATCTTAGTAGAATAGGTACAATAGTATACAAATATTGAGTGGCTCAGAGTGGAATGGGAGGAATATTATCGCAAGGTAAAATCTAGACTTTTCCATTTCACGAGGCAAAGCCGCGTGAACTGGCAAAGTCCAAATTTTACTGAGCGATAATGTTCGTCCAATTTCACAATTTAAAGCCACTCAATATTTGTGTTTTATATAACTGATATGTAGATCCTTGTCATTTGATTTATTTTTAAATAAATTTTAAATTTTGTACTACACCACGATATAAAGCATTCAATAATTGTTTTATAACGTACACCTCATTCGCAGATTCTGCTTGGTTTTATTATTCTTAAAAATTATTTAAATCTAAAAACAGTTCAAACGAACTTCTATTTCAATACAAAATTGGTGGGAAATATATTTCTCTCTTCCAAACCACCCCTTCATGAAATGTTTGAACCCAACTCTGTAGCGCTGGCTCATAGGAACAATACGCACTACGCGCAATGCTCAACGCGCACACAGCATGCATATTTGCTCACAAATACCGCGCAATGGAACAAGGATGATCCTACCTGTTGAAAAAAAAAACCAATCACCATGGGTGTATGGGACTTTTTTGAGCCCCGGCGTGAATGGGAGCAATAATGAATGTCACGTGATGTGAGTTCCACCAATCAAATGACAAGGATCTATATGCCCGTTATATAATGCTAGCTGAAGTGTTTCGCAGACAGTCGATATCGCAGCCTGGTCACAATCCAGAATTTCTTCACCCAGACTTCTCGGACAGTCCGCAGACTGCCTGTGGAATTCTACACTTTCTGCAACTTTAGCCTGCCCTTAACAAACTAGTTCTGGTGAAGAATGCTTGACTTTGTGAATCTTAAACCTCCAACAATCATCAGAGGAGTGAAAAGAGGCCGAATGTTTTTTTTTCAAAAGTGTTTTTTGTTTATAAATAGACTTACTGCATGTTACAAAGCACTGCACAGTTATTGTTCTTTTTGTAGATTGTAGATTACACCGTGACTACATGTTATACTCGGATGAATCAGATAAGCTAAGTTAAAAACTGTTTCTCAATGACAGGAATTTCTTTTAAGGTCAAAACGAGCAATTTTGTTTTCACACTTATATGCACTGTGCATGGCTGTTGGGGGCGCTGCAGTTTTAGACCGACAACAGAGCCATAGGCCATGTTTGAATTTACAGGCTGCGGCTGTTGCTATGGTAATTGTCATGGCGGCCATTTTTGAAATCATGTCTGGATGTTCTGATTCTCTATGGAGCCATGTTGTGTCCAAGTATGAGTTGCCATTTAGTCACAACCCTATCAGTGACACTCCCAGTCATTGTGGCATTTATATGACTGGTCCACATGTCGTCCCATCCATTTACATACAAGAACAAATGGATACCAGGGAAGGTAAATGGGTTTTTTTTGGCGTACACAATGTAATGGCAGCATATGTTAAAACTGCATTCAATTTGCCTACTAGATGCTCAGTGTGCACAGACTTGATACAAAGTATTGCAACAGCAATAGATGCAGAACATCAGCTCTCAAATGCAGAAACTTTGAAGATGTACTCAGCTAAGAGTATTTTTGTTATAACCCGCACGATATATTTCATGTGATTATACCCATAGTAAATGTAATTATTGCATGCGTAGAATGTTGTTAGTATAGCACCAAACACAATTTGTTGTTAATTAGTGATGCACAGCTGTATATGTTTAATATAAAAAGGCCTGTTCTAATTGTTGGAATAATCATTCTCACTCGCTACAGGCTGCGTGTACTGTCTGCTAACTGTAGCATAACATTCTTCGCTGACGGTTAAAATTGACAGCATCGAAGAGCATAACTCCCAAAGCCAGATTCATGTGGTGGTAACTGTGGTTACAACTTTGGCAAGGCAAAGCAAAAAGATCCATTTTTTGGACATCTTTGGCCAAGTTCGGGCAAGGACCATTAGTCGACTAGTGGTTGATTTGTGACGTACCTTACGCCTGCGCACTAATAGCAACGTGCGAACGTCTCTAGTCAAACGCTGGTCAAAATGTCATCGCAAAATTTCTGGATCCTGGCTCTCTGCTAGCGTTATGAATGCGCACGGCTATTGGTTACCAGCTATGCAACCAGCCCCATTAGGTTGGTTCCAAATAGTCAACTAGCATAGTCAACCACCGTCGACTAGACAGAGTTCGGGCAAGCGTTAGTCGAACTATGGTTAACCATTGGTCAACTATAGTCCTTGCGTGGACTTGGCCTTTGAAAGATTTGGAAGAATTTAGGGTTAGTTTTGCCAAAGTTACAAAGTTCCCAGAAAATGTCATTCAAAATAAGAAAAAAAGCCTACTTATTCAAGGGAAGATCACAAATACTCGGCAGATTGTAGTCAACCAATCACAAGTTGCGAGTCTTATCACATGCCAGGTCACAGGTCACAGGTCATAGAGGACGAACGGTGACAAAATAATGAGGAGTTGTCTACAACCCCCTCCCCCCCCCCCCCCACACACCCGTAAACATTGGGAAGATGGCTGCAGTTTCCCACTACATCTAAATTTCTTCTGGAGAAATTTGTTTCGGATGCTTGTTCCAACTAGACATGCCTTTAGAATTGTTACTATTGTTGCTTCTTACGGGATAGTAGCTTTAATAAGGGGTCGTTATCGGTGAGCTTTCTTTGCACATAAATTAACCAGCACCATAACAGATTACACTTCAAAACATTTTGTGAATACAATCTCATTACATTTGTAAATTTCCATTTTCAGACTCAGTACCCAGGCGAAATTATCAACACTGATAATAAACACACTGAGATTACTATGTTGTTCTCGTTATTTTGGGGTTTTTTTTTTCAATTCAGTTTTTTTGTAGGTCACATTAGTTTGATTAAATATCATTCTTGTAAGCTTGTGAATGTCGTTAGTTTTATTGTTAAAATTTCAATTGTACAAGTTCAAACATTGTATGCATGTTATAGACTGACTTGAAGATCACAAGTGGACATCATTACTGTGGTTACATTGTATGCGTGATATATACTAACTTGGAGGCCACAATTCAAGTAAACACCATTACTGGGGTTTAACCAGGAACACGTTCATGTAGCATGCCTTCTTGAATGTGAGGCCTTTTGCATTTTAGCAAGTTGTCAATACTTCATTGAGTGTGCATGCAGACCAGTAAATAAATTCCCATAGGCAACATCATAAATACCCAAAAAAACTTGGGGAAAAATATTTAGAACTCTCACCGGTGAACAAGACACACATCAAATTAAAGCTTGATTTGACCTCTTTCACTTTCTGGGTGATTTTTCCCTCCAAAGATGACCACCCCTAAAAAAGCAGTCTTGAAACCCATCGCCATTTTTAAAAATGACCCCTCAACTCCATTGCAAAATAGAGCGACTTTTGGGTCCAATTTTGTTCCAAATTTCACAGAAATACAAGTTTGAAGATCCGTACAGACAGGCATGACATTCTTCAGACTTTTGTCTGAAATCAGACTTTTTGAATCTGAGAGAAAGACAGTAGTAGTATAGAAAGATGTGCATTTTTCAGACATTTTGTCAATTTTCAGATGTTTTTTTCAATTGACAATTTCATCCTTGTACATAGCTGGGACCCTCTATTGCCACAAACCCTCAAGTGCAGCCCAAAACTCACCATTTACAGAAAAATTTACAGATTACAAATCATTTTTTGGCAAGCGTAGGCAAAGGTTTCTCTCAAATGACGTCATTTCCTACAGACCAGCCACGTGAATTGGCATTTTGAGCGTCAACTTGCATAACGCCCATCGGCTGCATCGTATTTCGAACACATTTCGAGCAACAAACGCGTGCGTTTGGAACATTTCAACACTGCGCAAGGCGTGCTTGATTGTGTAAAATGCGCAGTTGCAGTTCTCCTACAGCGATTGCCGTCTTTGAGAGAGACCTACTTTGGACTTACTGGTCTGCACCCTTTAGTGTGTGAATACAGCCTGTATGTGAGCAATGGTTCTATCTTGGTAGGGACTTATTTGGTCAATATACTCTGTATAATCCTGGTTTAACGAACAACACCATCAGCCAGTGGCTCATGTGTTTTTCTGGAAGAAAGGGGATACACATTGTACAGGGAAAATACAAGGGAAAAAACTAGTTTTCAAAGATTTGCATTTCAATCATCTTATTGTCTAGGTAGTAATTAATTTTGTCTGATTGTTATTTAGTAGTTTGTAATGTGTAACACAGTCTGTTCTGCACTAGTAAAAAAGAAATAAGTTTAATAAATGCATATTCAAGTTCTATCACAGTTTGTTTACAATGTTGGTTAATCCTTGATTCAAATTTTCGGTTTGTTATTCTTTTATATTCTTATATTCTACACTTTTTCTCTATAAATCATTGTTGCTTGCTCTGTCAAGCCATTTCTTTCGAAACTGTTATCTTTTATTGTTAAAATTGTTTTTTTTTTCCTTCTTTTTTTGTCTCCTTTTTTTTGCTTTATTGTGTCTTTATGAGTTTGTTTTTTGTTTCTTTTCTTTTGTTTTCGTTTCATATTGACTTTTTGTGTCCCTGTACAATGTTCTGTTATTACAAATTGGCTTTATTGTATCTGTAATGGGATTTCCTTTTTCTTTTATATCATATTGAAATTATTGTGTATATGTGCTTAAATTTTCCCCATTTTTTCCCCCATGTGTAAGTATATAGGAGCTTTTTCTGGGGGCATGTCTTTAGCAGAAATCATCTAGCCCTAACCATGAAAATCCCTGTACACACCTACCATGCATTACAATCAATTGACAATTTGGGTAAACTTTTTTGCGCCTCCCATGCCAAACACAACATCCTATAATTCCTTTTCCTCTTTTGATGCCACCCATGTGTACTGTACACCTCTGATGGGGTCACTCGCTACACCCCAGTGCACCCGCATAATACCCCTCCCAAACGGGTACACAATGGGTGGCCTGAGTATTAAAAGGGTGTTGTCATCATGTACCCCTCCATGTTGGCTAACCATTTTTTAGGGTATACCGCTCCATTCACAGGTGTACAAGTGTTGTCAATTAATATGAAGCATAGTGTCTATAACATAACTGTTTGTGTTATGTTCTGTGAAACATCAGTGTAGAAAAGTTGTCATCAAAAATTTGTCATTGTGAAGAAATCAAGTTGATACAAGTTCAACTTTTGAAGTCAACGGATGAAATTTACAGTGTGGAGGTTTTACATGTACATGTAACTTGTTTGACTACTGAGTACTGGCAGGCTTTTGTGAGTCATGTTTGGAACGCACCAGTGTGCATGTTTCCGGTGTTAAAGTAAAAAGTGAAGAAAAATGTACAACTGTTGAGATTCTACTGTTAAAGAGGGATCACGAAGAGGACTTTTCAGCACAGGAGAGGAGTTTAACAGCAAAGGACATCGAAAGTTCAGCTGAGGAAGAAAGTCTACCCTGGTGTTGCGTCGAGTTTGGAATTTAGCTTCATCTTCAAGTCTGAAAACTTTTCAGCACAGGAGAGGAGTTTAAAAGGAAAGGACATCGAAAGTTCAGCTGAGGAAGAAAGTCTACCCTGGTGTTGTGTCGAGTTTGGAATTATAGCTTCGTCTGCAAGTCTGGAAAAGTTCATTGTGGACAAGTTTTGGCAACATGTCAAGTCTGTGGAATATTGATTGTGTTCAGTTGGTACAGACAACAGTTATTGCATTCTTACTTCTTGCGGTTAGTTCACACGGGCAAAACTCCACGACATCGGTAAGTTTTGCTTTCTTATTTTATATTGCGAATCTGCCCTGTATTGGGTGGTAATTAATTTTCATCATTTTTCTTTTTGTGGATTTTGAAAAATGTGTTAATTGAGCAAATTTTGGAAAGCAATTTTTGAAACTTTTGAAAGCAAAAGAGTGAACTTTCCGTTATTGTCAAAGTTTTGGAAACTTCAGCAAAATGTTTTCTCTTTTTGCTGACACAGTAAAGATTCCCATATCTGGTGTCACTTGTCACCCTGTGCACAAACCCTTTAAGACTGAAGTGTTTTCTCAGTACATAGTTCAATATTTTCCCTGTTAATTTTGAATTTTAAAGACATATCACTTTCTGATGGCTGATAGGTCACTGAATGGAAAAATTAGTGACGGCCAGAAATGGGAATCTTTCCCGATGTGTTTTGTGCCCTGTTCTTTGGCAATGGATTGAGTGAAAAGAATGTGTCCTGACATCACTTCTTTGGTTGTAAAAACCTATGGAGAGTTCAGTGCATTTTCATAGTATTTTCTAACAAAATTGGAAATGTTTCTCAGTCCCAGATTCATGTCTTTTCAACATTTTTGCAATGACCGACCTTCATTTGGATGATATATGTTGAAAAAAAGTGACATCAGGATGCCAATTTCTTCCCTAATTGAATTTTTTGAAATAATCTGTATTTATGATTTCAACGTGAACAGTTGTGCAAAAAAAATCTACTGATGAATTGCTATGGAATTAGGATATTGTGTAAAACAACATTTTTTATGAGCGATCAGAAAAAGTTTAAAATCAGAACAATTTGTACTGAACACAAACTAACCATTCCTAGCTAGCACATTACTGTCTTCAGAAACTGTCAGCAATACAGTCTTTTTTTTTTTTTAATTCTGTCAAAAAAGCAATACAGTCATTTTATTTTTTTTTTCTGTCAAAAGATTCACTCATTTTTTTTCTTTGCGTATGAATTGTTGTACTTATCAATCATTTCTAAATTCCACATTTAACTTCAGACTTTCATTTCATGAGTTAAAGAAATGTATAATATAATTTTATAAAACAAATCTTATTTATCAAAAAATCTTCAACATGTTTAGGGTTGTGGTGTTTTCTATATATTTCAAGTGAAAAAAATGTGTAAATCTTGTAACCTTGGCCTTCTGTGGGTTTCATACCATAATCGCCAAATGAAAATAACTTTCCCATACCTTAATAACTGTTCTGCATGAATGACAAATGCGTCACAGTATTTTGTTTGAGGAAGTACGTCACACACAAAACCGCAGTTTTTTTCTTTTCAATCAAGGTCGATCATATATTGTACGCCCATACTTTACTGAGCCCACCCACCTATATTTGTTGTGTGTTCATGGTGTGTGCAAATGTATATTGATGTAAGAGATCGTTTCTTTAAAAAAAAAATGGTTTTGTGGAGGAAAAAAACCCCAGTATTTTACCTTTCAAAGTCATGTGCTTTTAAATTTAGTGGAATCTGTGGACAAATGGTGGAATATAATAGAGAAATAATTCTAGTTTTGCTGTAGTTTGCTTAGTGTTGTCACTGATGAAAAAATTCGATCAAAAACTTGGGAATTGGAGTGAAGCCATAGTGCAGGTTTTGTTTTAAATTATTTTATTTGCTGTTCCTATCCACATTTTCAGGAAATAAAGTTTTTGTACATTTTGAGGCAAAAAAATTGTTTTCAATTCAGTTGTAGCATGCATGCTGACTCATCTGTAGGACAATTTTTGGCCTTTTTCAAATAATTGAAAATAGTATCCATTAACATTGGGGTATATAATACTGACCCTCTTTAAAAAGTGTTGTACAGTGAAATCTCGGTAAGTCAAACCTCAAAAGAACAGGTTCAAAATTTGACTTAAGCAGAGTTTTGAGTTAAGCAGGGTTGTATATCATTGTTATACCACTGAAGGCAATGGATTCTTTGTTTGACTTTATTGTTTTGAGTTATCAGGGTTTGAGTTATCAAGATTTCACTGTATTTTATGTAATGAACTTGACAACTCAAGATAAAAAAGATGTTGACTAGGGAATTTGTGTTCTTTAACAGGGAAACACAGTCGTCAAGAGTGCATGTGCCGCCAGCAACGAGCAGTCCACGACAATCCAAAAGACGGACGTCAAGTACAAGAACAGATTTCTTCTGACAGCGTCGCTCAGCAACGTCCAGTTTGATGCAAGACTCGCCGACCCAGACAGTGCATTGTTCAAGAGCACAGCCTCGGCTTTTGAAACTGAGGTAAAATTTGTTAATTTTTCTATTATTGTTGAGTGTTCTCTGCTTTGAATGCTGTGACTTTAACAACATGTTCTTCAAGGGGGATGTGGCCTTGTGGTTAGGGTTTGTGACTCATGATCAGAGGGTCAGGGGTTCGAATCCAATTGCTGGCCATATGTTGTGTCTTGGGCAAGCCACTTCACCTCCACTTGCCTCTCTCCACCCAGGAGTATAAATGGGTACCGGCATTAGCTGGGGAGTAATCTTTGATGGACTAGCATCCCATCCAGGGGATTAGAAATATTCTCAGTCGTTTCATGCCAAGGAAACCGGAAGTGAACGTTGGCTTTACATGTACTTTCGCTAATTCTTATGAACTGAGAAAATGTGTCTGATAAATTGGAACTTTTTGCGTTGATTTTTATTAACAGTTCTATGAGATGATTAACTTATACAAGTACTGGATTGGCATAGTACCGGGCCTTTTTTTTTTTAGTTTTGTTGGTTTTTATGTAAACAAAAATTAAAATTTTGAGTAAAAAACAATTTGTTCAGGACCCGGCACCTTTTTAAAGGTTACATGTATATACAACATTTGCTTTTGCTATGATTTTCAGAAATGGATGGATTTGGGGGTTAGTATTTTATAGCAATCATTGTTACACTGACCTGTTAAAAGTTTTGTGTTGATAGATGCTGGAAAAACCAAGAAAACATTTATAGACTTTGGGGAATTGTCAGGTCAGGGAACCAGACTAGCTGGCTTGCACTTCTTCACAGATGTGTAACTGATTGCAAACAAAATGTGAACTAACCAAATTTGGTAAATTGGGGGCAGTATATGAAAAAAGTCCTTTTTTCCAACGATGGAGTTGACCATCATTTGAAATTGATACAAAAATCAACTCTGTATTTCCAAAAATCAGTCATTTGACTAATCGTTGGTCAAATCACCCACATTTCTTGATTTCCTTCAAATGACAGCAAGCCAGACGGAATAAATTCACAGGGTGTTTAGTACCAGTATGATCTTTAAGCCAAGTAAGCTTTTAGACATAAGTTTCTTTTGGGATAAAATGTAAATTATCCTATTATGTCTTTAATGAAAACAACTTTTATTTTTCACCTCAATCCTTACAGATAAAAAGCTTGCTGAGGCCCCTCATCCAGAACCCCCCACCTTCAACGGTCCCAGTTGCCCTGGACGTTGACGTGATTCTCTTCCAGGAACGGACCAACGGGCTGACCCTGGAGTGCGTGCTCAGCCTGGACACGGACCAGAAGACTGCCGCGTTCCTCCAAACGCAGCTTCGGACGGTCGCAAGCCGCTCCGTCAACTATCCCAACTTTGTCTCTAGTGTCTCAGCCTCAGGTGAAAAAATAAATAATGACCATAATTCACTTTGTGCATGAAATCATCATCCGCAGTGTCACCAAACCGAAGTTTCTGAAGAGTGATTTGGTCGATTAAATGAAATTCAAATATAGTTAATTAAAAGTTGAATACATACTGTATATCAGGTGTCGTTTTGAGGGGGGGGGGTTACAATTGCAGGACAGTTTCATACATCACGTAGATATCTCCCAACCCTGATATGCCTTTTTTTTTCTTTCTGATTTTTGTGTCCCACACAGTGACCTACTGTTTGCGACAGGTGATCCAGACTCAAGAGGGAGCCCTAACGTGGCCCGTCACGCGGGTGGGCCAAGGAACGGGAACTGAGGAATTATGCCCCGTCGGCACGAGATACGGTAAGATATCAACCGTCCTCGACCCATTCACTCCCGTAAGATCCAAAAATGTAATATCAGAAATGATCCAGTTGCGTTCCTCGTGCTATATTCGAGTTCAATAATGAAAAATCAATTCCTTTTCTAAATTGCTATTTTTCTAGCTTTACAAAAGTTCATCACTTTTGATTGAGGCAAAAGACCAAGAAAGTCAGCCAGTGTTTAGCTGTCGAATTATGACTTTACAATTTTGAATTCTTCGCTGCCAGACAATAATTCCATTCTTTTTTTCAGATAAATCATTTTAGCTTTTTGCCTGAGAAAATAATTTTACTTTCAAAAACCTAATATCAAAGTTTTCAGACATAAACTGCTCCTGTCCCAGACTGTTTGAATACCTAGTACCCAATTAACAGTACAAGAAGTGTGCATTCTTGTTCTTCATTTGAATTCAATATTTGGGCACTATTTTATAATTTCTGACAATATTTGTTGTCTTAATATGTGAAGTCACGCACATGCAAAGACCGTGGAAACATAAACCCGTTTTCTATATTCAACAGGTCTTTTTATGTTCCCGCAATACTCATTATTTGGGTGTTACAATTTAGATCACAATAATCAGGTATCGATTTTATGTCAAAACATGAGTTTGGTTTTTGTGATGTAAGCATAAAGTCTCTTGCATTTACATTCTTCAAACCAATGGGGTCGAGGCTGGCATTTATTACATATCACTGTAGCTAAAGAACCGTGGCCCTTTTACATCTTTGGTAGAGCATATGTTGCAATGCATTGGGGAAGTCCCTGTTACTCCCCCACGTTAAGAACTACACTGAGCTATTGTTAACAAGCTACCGGTGAGATTTTGTATGGTACACTAGGTGCATTCGAATAGCTCACCTGGATTGACCCGGGTAAAGGCAGACAGGTTTCACGACAGCCCGGCTAATGGAACGCTCAACCACGGGCCATCATATCCTCACATGATGTCCGTTGCCATGGCCGTAGGCATTGACAAAACGCCCGAATCGGATTGAGTCTTACTTTCAGATTTTTCTGCCTTTCAGTCAGTTGCAAAAAGTTACAACGTCAGGCTAGGATTATAGCCTCTAACGAGATCAAAAACAATTATGTTTAGGCTTCATATATAGTTGATTGTTGGGTCCACTTGATCTTTTCCACTGTCCGGCTGACATATTTGTCAGTTTCATGGAATGAACTTGCACATGCGTGTGATGACTGAGAATATTTCTGTTACCCCTGGATGGGATGCTAGGTTACTCCCCAGCTAATGCCGCTACCCAATTATTCTCCTGGCTGGAGAGGAGAAGTGGGGTGAAGTGGCTTGCCCAAGGACACAACATATGACCAGCAGCTGGATTCGAACCCCTGACCCTCTGATCATGAGTCACGAACCATAACCACTAGGCCACACTCCCCAAACTTCTTACTCCAAATAATTAGTCTTTCAAAGGACAAGAGTAATAAGACTGATGTGATCACTATACCATGTGATCCCTTCAGCGGCCACAAGACTGATCACAAAGGAGTACATCTTTGTTATTCTCATGGCCCCTTTGAGGGACATGATACATGTACATGTAGCTGGTACTTTTCAGTTTGCCTCTGTGAACATGAAGATCAACAATTTGGGGTGTTGTTTGTTTTTTTGTAACAGTCGGTGAGAGGTCCCTCGGTCACCGGTCATGCGGCTGGTCCCCTGAATCAGCCGGCCACGCTACATGGGAGCCGTACGTCTGCATCGACTGCGGCCAGATCATCAATGTAGATGACGCCCTGGAAGCCATATATAACGAGGTGGGCGTCTCAAATTGAAATTTATTTTTCATGATAAGCAAATTGAGCAAGTATTAAAAATGCCACGTACGTCCCACATCATGGTCGTAAGTTGTTTTGCTACAATGTGTGTTGTACCTCCGCTTCACTCGGCAAGACCATGGTGATCTTGACAAGAAAACTTGGTCTTCGCTGCTCCCATACGTTTACTACAGTGGAAGCGATGGCCAAAACGGTGTGGGTACATATTAAAAAGTTGACATAATTTATGCAACTTTATAACTTTGTGAGACTAAACAAGTAAGAGTTGTTTTAAAAGATGTTCTGAAAAAAACTTTATATGTGACCACGCAGGATCGCAAACTTACAATTCCAGCTTCACGGACACTACATATCAGACATTTTTGTTGTACTTTAAGAGCTCAGTGATTAAACCTGAAAATGTATTTTCCTAATCGTATACATCCATCACCTAGTAATAGTCAGGGAGATTACAGGCTAGGAGTTTTGGATCATTTCTCTGAATCATTAATTAGATATGGTTAACTTGCTCTGTCACAACATTACATTTTCTTCCATTATTTAAAATTGGAAATCGCACATCTCAAATTGTGAAACTCTCTGCCACAATTATGCTTCCCACCATCTGACAACCCACAGTCTTTCAAGAGTTTTATGAACAAACGGAAATATAAATTAATAAAACTACCATAAAAAAACAGTATTTAACAGATATAGACCCGACAGTTGTACGGGATAGCCACACCAGGCGTTTGTACAGTAACTTACAGATACAGATACAAATAGTTGTCAGTGTGTGTGATACAATGCTACTTTCTTTTGGTCAGAGTTTCAGAAGCCGATGCAAGCACATAGAAAATACAGGCGGCAGAAATTCCCCCAGAATTGTGTTCTTGCCTTCTCATCAACCTTTGTTGAGTAACTCCAGCTCCAATGCTCTTCAAGAATTCAACATGAACATCATTAACTTACCCATCACTGAGTTATCGTTTATCATACAAAAATGTAGTTGTTTTGTCCTCTCCATTTGAACAGATCAGACAGAATAGTTCAGTTGTTATGGACGGTGTGAGGCGGGCTGCTGCGCTGCTGAACGAGGTGACAGGTATCACGGAGATAGGCTTCAACTGGGTGGCATTGATCCTGGAGTTTGTGGCCGGTCTGAACCCCATCAGCACAGAGGTGAGTCAGGCCTTCGTGCGCCAACAAAAGAGGGCGCATTTTTACTACTGTTGAGAGTCCCGTGGACGGAACTCACAGCGTGTGCGTACTTTACCATACTGGTGCGCGTGCGAAGTACCCACGACTAAGCGTCCTCACGTGAGTGTCAGGCGTGGTCGGCACGCGAATACGTTCGAATTTAACTTGCGATGGTTTCCCCAGACCAATCCCTGACCCCAATAACTTTGGATCATTCGAAATGCGCAGTGGATGGACTGGGAACCAGTCTAGGTCTCCCCCAACTCTCCTTTTCTGGCCGTTGGAGGAGTGCTTGTACACGGAGCACATTTGCATTTATTCCCGAAAGTAACCTACCAAATTATTATCAAAAACTTACTTGGATTAAAGATTGTTTACTGCTACTAAACAACCCATCAAATCATTCCATCTGGCTTGCTGTCATTTAGAAGAAATCAAGAATTGTAGGTGATTTCCAACGATCAGTCAATTGACTGATTTTTGGAAATAAAGAGTGCTTTAGACAAAATTGCGTTAAGTAATGAAAATATTGTGCATTGTTTTTCACTGGTTTTTTTTTGACAAGTGTAATATCCACTGAGCTGAGACTTCAACAGATAGGCTGTTGATCATTCTTCTGTGGATTTTGAGTTGTGTTATTATTGGAAACAAACAAAATGCATGAAAAGCAAACTATCCTTTGCATTTAAGACGTTGTATAATTTGGACCGTTGTAGTATGTATTGATTCATTTCTGTTTTGCAAATTCCTTTGTTTTCTCAGCTTCTAGATGCCGTAATCCAACTACTGAGCAACCTCCTGAGGCAAGACACGCAAACCTTCCTTCTCGCCGAGCAGAATTCCCGTAGCTCTACTCGCGCGGTCCAATCACTAGCAACAATCATGGAGATCACGACAATGCCGAGCTCCGTGTACGAGTACATATCCGTGCATTCCAACGTTGCGGCGGCTCTGCTTGACGTGCCCCATTCCCGCATCCAGAACGAATGGATAAGTTTCGGCTCGGCCGTCAGTGCGACGTCGGACTCACCGCTGTCCGAGGGCAGTGTTGGGATATTTACAGGTCAGACGTTGACCCTGCTGCCTAACACCGAGGCGTACGTGCACGTCAAAGTTGACGGACCGGTGTCTACAGGTAAATGCTCGGTTTTTTCTTGGTGTTACTAATTGTTACTAGAATGTGATTTGGGGATCACATCAAGAGTGCGTTCGAGCGTGCTACTCGTGTTAACACGAGTATACTCCTGAGCGCCCGAACGGCAGGAGTACGCCCCACGGGTTTGCAAGAGTATGCTCTCTGTCATACAGGGAGTACACTCATGCACCGAGAGTAATGCCACCAACATTTTCCTGCACTCGGGAGTTGCAAGAGTAACACGCTCGAACGCAACCCAAGCGACCAAGAGTGTGAAGAAGTTTTGGTAAAAAAAAGGGCCAGATGTGAGAGAGTTGTCTCATTTGTCTTTTGTCGAGAGATACTTAGACGTAATTTACATATGACCATTAAATATTGTGTTTGGAACGGAGTGATCAAAGCAATTATCAACTTACAATGTTTGACATGTTTGTTGTTTTAAAGAAGGTACATGTAAAACCTAGCCTCAGAACAATGATACTCATCTTTAAAAAGAACTAAAAATGTAAATTTTCATGCTGTAAGTTTGGTTTTTGTCCACCATGTGTCATTTTTTAATGAGAGTTTCGATTTGTCAGGATGTGTGGCGTAGTGGTTAGGGTTTGTGACTCATGATCAGAGGGTCAGGGGTTCGAATCCAGCTGCTGGCCATATGTTGTGTCCTTGGGCAAGCCACTTTACCCCCACTTGCCTCTCACCACCCAGGAGTATAAATGGGTACCGGCATTAGCTGGGGAGTAACCTGCGATGGACTAGCATCCCATCCAGGGGGAATAGAAGTATTCTCAGTCGTTTCATGCCAAGTAAACCAGAGAAATGCCGGCCTGATGGGCCGTATTTGGCTCGTGACAGACTTACTTTTTTTTATCTTGTCAGAGGATTAACTTCTTAGTGCTTGATGTCATCCAGTACGAAGTACTTAAATGCTTCTCTTTTTTCTTCATATTTCAGGAACACTGATGGTCCGGACGATGTTTGTGGTGTACCACAATGCAAAGCTCTTCCAGTCTCTCAATCAGCCATCATCGATGACATCATCGATGACATCATCGATTGCGGGTCGTGTAGTGTCAGCTGACATCGGAGCCACACAAAACCCAGAGCTGTCAATCATTACAAGATTCAAACCGGTAAGAGTTACCCATTGGTAGAATGGACTGATCCATTTAGGCTCCGCCCACTATTCACATGGGCGGCAATTAGACATGCGTCTGTCCAATGCCACACTACGTATTCTGGGCCTGCGCATCATTGCGTTACTGAAGACACATGATCATAACGTGAGCTTTACATAGCAGTGGACATCTGCACGGGACTTTTCAGTGATGTAAAACTAACAATCTAATTCTTCCGCGACCCAGTTTTTCCCTGTAAAACTTACCACTGCGGACCGTAAAAGTTACAATCGACGGTCGACTCTGGACAATTTGGGCGGGTTAATCGGATGTCCCCACTGAACTTAACTTGGCTAAGTAGACAACAGTCTTGGTAAAGTTAACAACAGCCTCCGGTAGTTTAACCAAAATGAGTCCAATGTGAACACAGCTTTTATGGGAACTGTTTTAAAAAAATGTTTTTTTTGTTATAGACATGATAAATTGATCTAAGCCATTAAAACATAAATGATTTTGAAGTATAAGTGTGTTTTAGTACCTAATTCTCAAGACCTAGGACAGAAATTGAATTATTCTTTAATATGCCCCCGCCCACAAAAATTGACAATTTTGCTTTTGTTATGCTAAGGTCGGAAAGAAACATTTCCTAGCGCTGTAGCCACATGCACTGTAATTTTTTTAAACTCTGTAAGTCAGTAATTTATTTCTTCTTCAGAGTCTGTGCCATGTATTCCATCTTTAGCCATTATATTTTATTTTTTTTTTTTATTGGCCGCAGTTGGAATCTGGAGTAACCAATGCCGAGTGCCGTTCCTGGGACCCGAGTCTGAATAACGGGCACGGTGATTGGTCCACGCCAGCCTGTACACGGGATGACGGCACAGATGACACTAGCGGCAGGGTCAAATGCCAGTGCGACCAACTGGCTGCATTCACCATTTTTGCCGTGAGTCATTTTTTTCCCCCTCATTTTCCCAAGTAATCTCTGTCCTGTAGTAAACAAAGTTGTTAAAGTGATAATCTTTATACAATACAGCTAGTGCGAAGCCAATTAGATTTGTCTCAAAGAGGCTGTGCAACTTTGACCCCGACTTAATTCCTACGTCAATGTGATGTATGGGGCAAAGTCAGATGCGATCAAGGTACACGAGTCGTTTGTCCACCCTGGTCCAAAAATGTTTTATTACATATTTCAAAAGAGCACAATCTCAGCATTACTGCTGTGAAAACCACATGCAGATATGATCTTTAGTTAAACAATTATGGAAGTCGGAACACCAAGAGATGTGATGAAGTGATGTGATGAAGTGGCCCTATTTTGGCCTGTATCTCCACATGAAAATTCCCGACAAACAACTCGTTTAGCTTGATCGCATCACATATTGTTTTTTGTGAATCTCTATCCTTAAATCTCCTTTGCCGTTCTTTTTATTTTAGCAAAGAGCCACTTGAACAAAACAGTTCTAATGTCCAAGAGATATTTATTCTTTTTGACCTGCACTAATGTCCAAGAGTATTTTATTTTTGTTTGGATTTTGTAGAAGCCTAGTGTCGGCAACCCAGATGACGTTACCGGCGTCAGTGCATTTGTGCGTGTGGCTGCCGTCCTGTGCATGCTGTGCCTACTAGCTGCTGTAATCCTCTACCTTGTTGTCAAGTAAGTCTGAATAAAAATATTGTACGTTTCGTATTAGGCCAGGCTTTTTGAAAAAAGGAATTGAGGCCGTTTTTTTTTTCTTCTAAAATGGCAGATTTTCCAAGAAGGCAGATGGATTCTTCCACTTTCTCAAGTCTATCGCTGAAACTTTCATGTCGAAAGGAGCCATCACCCTTTCTGCGAGATTTCGAACTTGAATACATAGCTACAGTTTTGCTAGAAAAAAAAATTAAAGAGAAAATAATATTGCACCATTAATATTATCTTGCGTCATCCTTTCACAGGGAGCTTCGTACCCGGCGGGAGTTTCAGATCCTCTGCTATTTCTTCTTCACCCTCGCTGCGTTCCATCTCATCCTGACTGCTGGCATCGACCAATCAGGGCTCGGCTGTATCGTAGTCGGAGCGCTCCTCCATTACTGTGTCTTGGCTGCCATTGGCTGGATGGGCGTGGCCTGGGTCCACCTGTACGATCTGTCACGACGGAGACCGTGGTCGGTGACGTGGTTCATGGTCAAAGTTTCGGGGCCGGTTTGGGGTAAGTTAGGCTCTGATAAAGGATGTTTGTTTTGGACATGCACTAGCTCTATTCAGTACAACTTGTCTGACAAAGAACAGTCAAAAACCAATTAATAAATATATATTGCTTGTGAGTTTTGGAATATTTTCAAATTACCTCTTAAAGTCAGATAACCAATCTACCATACACACTTTATTTCATTCAAATCGATGCATTGGAACAAACGCTATGCTTCATCGAACTCAAGGGATGAAAATCATCTTGGGCCGCTTTCCTTGAAAGTGAAAAAGCGCAGTTAGAGAAACACACAAAGGATGGGTCAAAAGTGTTAGTGCAGCTTGTCAGTTTATCATTTGGACAAAGGTTTTTTTTGGAAGATCAGAGGATATAAATTATAAAATTGGCTCAAGTGGTTTTTCAAGTCCCGCATTGTGATTGATGTATTTTTGAACAAAACATCCCAATGAAACCAACTAAAAAGCATCTGGAAGACCAATTATTCTACTCTGCAGTACATTAGCCACGATTTTGAATACTACCCCCCCCCCCCTCCCCACCCCCCTTTTTCTAAAAACATGAGCAGGAAACTTTTCTAATTTTTTTTTTTTTTCTGTTTTTTTTTTCAGGGATTCCCTTTTTGTTTGTGATCATCACTGTCGTCGTGGACCCAAATCATTACATCACACCAACTCAAAGGTTAGGAAAGATCTAATCTGCATTTGTCAGCAACTTTTAAAATGTTGATTTTTAGACATGTTGGACACCGTAAAATACTAAGCCTGATAAAAACGTTTGTAAAATATGACACCAAAAAGAAAATTTGTCATTCACCATCACATTTTTGGGAACTGTGGAGAAATTTTAATGTTCATGTATTACAAGTACTGGTTGAAAGCCTGGGAGAAACAACCTTGTCTGCACTAGTATTTTAATAAAACCTGTTGAATATTCCTTTCTTTTTTTATTGCCAGATGTTTTCTGTCATCGGATCCCATCTACAACATCATCGTGGCCCTCATCCTTCCCACAATCCTCATCGTAGTCCTCATCTTCTTGGCCTTCAGTTTCACCGCCCGCAACGTCATCCTGGACACTGAGACCAAACTGGAGGAGGACCCAGAGGGTATCGTCAACCAGGACGACCCCTCTTTAAAAGGCTCCAAAATCTGGAAGCTTTGGCACAAGTACGTCCTGTACTTAGCCTTGACTGTGCTGAGCATCCTAATTTTCGTTTTCGCTGTACTAATGGCGAACAGCACCCAGGGTGGCGCGCAGTACATCTTCGGTGTGTTGGCGATCTTCGAGGGCGTCCTGATCATCGCGGCGTTTTGCGTCTACCACCGCGACGTCCGGGAGACCATGCTGATCAAGCTCGGTTACGTCAACGGTCCGGAGAGCAAGAAGTTCCAGCCGTACTGGTCCACGTCCAATTGGCAGAAGAAGAACCAACGCAGCGTGCTGCCGGAGGCGGTGGGGAACGGGGTGGGGAAAGCGGAGGGGGACAAGGGGAAGAAACTGTACCTGGACAACACGCAGGGGTCCGGCGCCCAAACCAACCAGGGGTTTGACCCGACCACCGTGCCGTTGTCGACCATCGAGATGCAGAGGATGGGGCAGAACGGGGTGAACAGTCATGCCAGCAATGGAATCGTCGTGGAAGCGGACTACCACGGGCCACCTGACATGGCAGAAGATGAGCTCTAAACGTCTCTGAAGGCCAGACTTCATTTGGCTGGAGATTCGTTTCTAGACCGAGAACCATAAGCCGCTCAGTACACAGATCAGGTTACTTGGACTTCATGTGTTTACAGTTTGATGTCCTGTTGCAAAATTTCACCTCATATGGACTCTCTCTTGATCCTCTTGATTGCCTTCATATGCATAAGTACGCCCTCAAGAGTTGGGGGGGGGGAGACAGGAGGAACATTCAAATGCATTGCTCATCGTGCCTGACTCTCCCATGAAGATTCTACGGTTTGTGTACATTCAGATTAAAATTAATCGTATGTACTTCGCGCCATATGTACACAAAACGTTCGCGCATGTGATGTGTCTCTTCCGCTGGGGTTCTCAATGTGGTGACTGTGGAGCGCCCTCAACTGTGCTTGCACAGAGTCCATTGAGGCAACATTTTCAGCGACAATTAATACAGACCCTTCTGCATTGCGTTTACTCTGTTTGAGAGAAAGCAATATCATTGATTCAGTAAAAGACACATAAATGTTACTAGTTAAATTGTTGTATACCTATTATTATTATGATTTTTTTTTTTAAAGATGAAAGCATGTTAAATGATGTCTTGTGTAACAACTGAAATATACGAACTGTCTGCAAACAATTGTTTTTTTAATAAGCCAGTTGGGTATCTCAATAAAGTAGTCCAGGTCAAAGGTCAGTCGGGCTAGAATTGTGTTTGGTGATCATACGTATGTGCATGGTTGTTCACTGTTTTCTTGAAAAGCGTAACATCCACCGAACTGAAACTTCACAGGTTAAGATTTGAATATTCTTCTGTGGATTCTGAGTGGTGTTACTATTTGAAATGAACAAAATGTGTCAAAAGCAAACGACCCTATATGCCTTTAAATTAGGGGTAATGACAACATTGATTTTTTAAAGAAAATAACTTCCACCAAAAGTTTAAATGCTTGGTGGATTTTATGATTTATAGCATTCATCTTGACTCTAAATTTAGCAGAAACTACACATCCGTGTATTTTGAATGGTAAGCTGGCAAAGTGTACTGTAAATTATACTTAATACTTTTGTAAAACTAAAGGAAAAACCAATATTTATTCGGTGGTCTATATTCTGTTTTAGTGGTGGGGTTATATTCTTATAATGATATAAGTAGCTATATGTATTTTATTATGAATTTTGCCACAAGGCAAAGGCCCACTTGAGGTAGCGGCTTAAAACAGTATGCAATAAGAAAGAATGACATGAATTTCACTTTAAAAAAGTATTAAAAAGTCATGTTTTGAGGCACGACAAAGAAGAAAATGTGAAGGCCTACATGTACATTTCCTGTATATAAAAATTATATCAGACTTAATGTAGCATCAGTAGTACGGTTGTTTTTGGAAAGGATATACATATGTAAATTTACCAAAAGCAGTAGAAAATGTTTTGCCGTAAATTAAATTGCATTATTTAGGCCAAAAAAAATATTCGGTCTCTGGTCAGACCAAAGTTCCGGAATTGACGCGGCCATGCGGCTTTTTTTTTCTTTTCTTCAAGCTTGGATTGTACAGACAAAGTGGGGTACTATTTTGCTTTTTTGGTGTCATGTTCATTGGTGTCCTCCATAATTTGCCTTGGTGCTTTCGATCATTTGCCTTGGTGCAATTTCCCATTCCTTGGTGCTCTTTGGTAAAAAAAAAAATGAGGAGGTGCGGAAATAGAGGGCGCTGTTGGAGCTACCGCGGAACATTTTGGAGAAAAAAAAATCGACGTGCATGATTAAAATCGACGCGCGCGCTGACCAGAGACCGACTTATTTTTGTTTTTGGCCTTAACAGTCACTTGAAAGTATACATCTCATAATTAAAACAGTCGTTTTATTTTCCTGAAATACATTTACTTGAAATCAACACATTTGCTTGTTTCTTCTTGTATTCTGGTGTGTTGCTGAGGTGACAGGAAATATTAAAGGAAGCATAGCAAGATATATTGAGTATTCAAATCAACGCAAAGATTATTTCTTGAGTTATCTAGACAACGAGTACGTCGGTTTTGTTCCGTTAAAGTTGACTTTAATTCGGATTGTAGTTTTTGCGCCGATCACACTTTAGTTTGGTCAAATTAAATTCTTCTTTTTTTTTACATTTTCTTTTAAAATGTAATAGTGTCAGAAGTTTTTGTTGAAGTCTCAAAAGTTTCTTCCAATAGCAGGAGCTGCATCATTCCGGAAGCGGTCCTTTGTCACTCCGCACGCGTTATGTAATCGTCTTCTCAGCAAGCAGCAGGCAGCTTTGTCGATAGCATTTGCATAGCCATAGTTGTTTCTCAATTAGGTGTCGGCAACACATTTGGTGAATAGAAATTCAGGTGTTTATACACAAAAGTTATTGGTAAGGAGTTGCGCCAGACGGAAGGAAAGATGGAGTTGGAGACGGACCAGATCAGATCTTGGTATCTGTTGCTGAATTTGTTGCAAGACGTACAAACACCTTGAAGGTTGTCAACGTAAATTCTACCTCCATGGTCAGGGTCGGGTGCCCATCAGCGACTTAACTCTTGATTTTTGAAGCTAAGTCTTGGATGTTGATGGTGTCGATGCCCAGAGCCATTTGAAAGTCTGGTGGAAGACAAATGTGCGTGTTTTTGGTGCGGTGTATATTTGGGTCTGTGATCGGATGAACCTCAGCCACGAGCGTAGTAAAACTACAGCAGGCCTTTCTACAGCGAACCTTCTGATAAAAAGCCTCATCGAGAAATTTTCACGCAAGTACATTCAATCAGTGCCTGATTTGTAAAGAGCATTCGGTGCTCAAGAAACCACACCGAGGAACGAATTTCGGCAGTTTGAGGATCACAATGGTAAGTGTAATAATTTCAAACGTATTTTTAAGATAGCTTTGAAGGAAAGATTCCCATATCTGGCCATCACTAATTTCCCTTTTCAGTGACCTAGGCCCTATCAGCCATCAGAAAGTGATAATATGTCATAAAAACGCAAAATTAGCTAGGAAAATTTCGAAGTATTTACTGAGAAACACTTATGTTCAGACCAGTCTGGCATAGGGTTTGTGCACAGGATGACAAGTGATGGCCAGAATCTGATATGGAATCTTACTAATAATAGATTGGTATCAATTCGAAGGCAACTTTAATTGATCAAAATAATTAAACTCGTTGTGGAAACAATAACTCCAGAAATACCTGTTGCGTTGAAGTAAAACGTTGATGTTTGGTTGGTCCTGATGTCTTAAACAAACCTACATATTTTTATCAGGAAATATAAACGGATTAATTTAATATAACCCCCTAAAATAGAGCGTGGTCAGCGCGAATAATGCGATCCGAATTAAAGTCAACTTTAAATAATGGAACGAAAACAAATACTCGTTTCCCAGACAATTACTCTAGAAATACCACATCGAAATGAAATTCCATCTGGTAATTTGACATGATATATAACACAAGCCTGTCGAATGTGTAGAAAAAATTGTCAAACAATATCAATAATTCCAGCAAGTGTATCAAGTGCGAAAAATGCAATCCCAATTGAAGTCAACTTTTATTGCTCAAAATAATTACACTTGTGGCGGACATAATAACACAAGCAATATCAGTTGTGTTGAAAAGAAACTTTGCGGTTTGGCTGCGGTTCCTTTATCAGGAAATATAAATACATTGATTGTATACACCCCCAAATATAGAGTGTCACGTGGTCGGCGCGTAAGTAAACTTTAATGGAACAAAAACAACTTCCTTATTGCCTTATTGTCACCAAAAAGAGTGCTTCATTTTGGTTCAATTAAAATAGAATAAGATTCGGAATGAATTTTTCGTGATTAAAACGCTTATTCCCTTCAAATCATATTAAATTTATTTTTCCACGGCTCACGTCAATTTTCAAGATTCTTGTGGAAAATATCATGGGTAATTACTGGACGCAATTTCAATCCAATCCAATATTTTGTTCTTGAGTTATCGTCTCCACAAAGAGTGTCAAAAGAGACTAAAATTCGGCATGAACTTTTCGTGATAAAAACGCTTTTAAGCCTATTTTCTTTAAATCATATTAAATGTATTCTTCCACGGTTCACGCCAATTTTCAAACGGGTTGTGTCAAATCTTATGGTTAATAATCCTTGGCAATTTCAATCCAATGCAATATGTTGTTCTTGAGTTATCGTCTCCACAAAGAGTGTTGTATTTTTGTTTAATGGGCAGATTGTGATCCGCAAGTCTTTACGGTGCTGACCAGGGGTGGTGTAGGGCGCCCTCTTAAGGAAAAAAATCATAGAGGATAGCAAAAAGTACGGAGCGTCCTGGCACATGCGCTGTTGGCCGTTGGTTATTGTCGTTGTGTGTATTTATTTTCTTCCACGGTTCCAGTCGATTTCCACTTTTTCTGTCGTTACATCACGACTTATTATCGAACGAAGTTTCGTTTCAGTACAAGTTGTTTTTCTGGAGTTACTGTCTCTAAAAGGGTGCTTCATTTTTTTTCAATTAAAATAGACTCAGATTCGGAATGAATTTTTCGTAATTAAAACACTTCTTTCCTTTAATCATATTAAATGTATTCTTCCACGGTTCACGTCAATTTTCTAACGGGTTGTGTCAAATGTTATGGTTAATAATCGTTCGCAATTTCAAACCAATGCAATATGTTGTTCTTGAGTTATTGAGTTGACCGTAACACTGTATTGTTACGGTCGATATAGCTTCATTGTTTGACGGTTTCTTATGAAATTAAATCTCCTAATGTTAAACATAATGACAAACTACAAGACGAAAATTTAATTTTAATACATCTTGTATTTCTGGAGTTGTTGCCCCCCAAACGAGTTTGGTGGTAGATAATTATCGAGACCACTATTTATGTGGCGCGCCCTCTGCTGAAAGAATATTAGAGTGCGAGACCAGCCGATGCTGCCTTATTGAACAAAATTAACGACTCGTTTTCCGATGAATAACTCAAGAAATACAAGCTGTATTAAACTGAAATTTCGTGCACTGATTTTCCACAATGTGTGTCAGAGGTGTATTGAATATCATGAGAACCAGTGCAATAACAAAAATAATATGATCGTAACAATGTAATGTTTTACACGCGAAAAATCCACATTGACTTTCATTCGGATTGCATTTGTCGCGCTTAAAACACTGTATTGTTACGATCAATATAGCTTCATTGTTTGACGGTTTCTTATGAAATTAAATCTCCTAATGTTAAACATAATGACAAATTACTACTCGAAAATTCAATTTAATACATCTTGTATTTCTGGAGTTGTTGCCCCCCAAACGAGTTTGGTGGTAGATAATTATCGAGACCACTATTTATGTGGCGCGCCCTCTACTGAAAGAATATTAAAGTGTGAGACCAGCCGATGCTGCACTATTGAACAAAATTAACAACTCGTTTTCCGATGAACAACTCAAGAAATACAACATGAATTAAAGTGAAATTTGGTGCACTGATTTTCCACAATGTATGTCAGAGGTGTATTGAATATCATGAGAACCAGTGCAACAACAAAAATAATATGATCGTAACAATGTAATGTTTTACACGCGAAAAATCCACATTGACTTTCATTCGGATTGCATTTGTCGCGCTTAAAACACTGTATTGTTACGGTCCATATAGCTTCATTGTTTGACGGTTTCTTATGAAATTAAATCTCCTAATGTTAAACATAATGACAAATCACTACTCGAAAATTCAATTTAATACATCTTGTATTTCTGGAGTTGTTGCCCCCCTAATCGGGTTTGATGGTAGATAATTATCGAGACCACTATTGATGTGGCGCGCCCTCTACTGAAAGAATATTAAAGTGTGAGACCAGCCGATGCTGCAGTATTGAACAAAATTAACGACTCGTTTTCCGATGAATAACTCAAGAAATACAAGATGTATTAAACTGAAATTCCGTGCACTGATTTTCCACAATGTGCATCAGAGGTGTATTGAATATCATGAGAACCAGTGCAACAACAAAAATAATATGATCGTAACAATGTACATGTATAAGCACCGTCAGTGATAACTCTGTGTTCAGTTTCATATAAGCTGGTGAGGTTGAAAGAATTAAAAAATTCAAATGTTTTGCAGGAAACACTGTGTTTTATCGTTCTTTGCCAAACTTGTCTCTCCTATAGTTTTCAATTTCTTGATCCTACCATTGAGGAATAAATCATATTTTAAAAAGGATATAAATTAGGCCTATACCTGAATAGTTTGTTGGTGTTTATATTTTAAAGATATTGATTCCGAGAACAAAACTTCTATTTTGTTAAAAGATAATTTCAGTAAGTTTATGTTTTACTTTTAGAAAGGTAAACAAATTGAAGAAAATAAAATGATAAGGGTGGGAATCGAACCCGGGTCGTCTGATTGGTAATCCTACGCCGGACCACAAAAGCACGCATGTGTTCATTTTTTTTTAGGCTGTTGTGTTTAATTATAACTGTAAGATAGGCTTATCGTGGCTTTTCACGTTGACGCCCATGCACGCTTAGACGTAACACACAGTCTGATGATGCAAATCACTCGTTTGATTTTGGGTAAAGCTGTTTGAGTTTATCTTAATTTGATTGGAAAAGGGTAAAAGGATGTAAACTGAACTTAAATCGTGAAATTCCATGAAATAAAGCAGACACAATCCGTGGTTTCAGTACAGAACACACGTGTTCAACGGATGCAGGGAAGGCCATTTCTTTTGTTAATTTCCTTTGTTGAATCTGGCGTTAACAATAAAATGTTTCCATTGAGGCGAAAGGATTAAACGCCGCGATCTTTTTTCACCCTTGAGTGCCTCTGAATGGGGAATATTGAAGCGGAAAATCACGAAATACAGCACTTAGGCAACATTTTATCCCACATAATGATACTTTTTGAAGAGGAAATTGCATACTGAAAACAACTATAGTTTCAAAATTCAAAAATTCGCCGTATTTAAAAAGTCGAGGTAAATTTTTCTGAAAAATTTGGCCCAAACTTTCCTCTTTCCAACGTAGGTGGCGCTATGTACAATTCATTCTCGCACTGTATCCAGTGCGCTAAGTTGGTTAGCGCATTAGCTATAGCGTGTGCGTTCGGCAATCATGGGAGGGGAGTGGTCGTGTTGGTGGTGGGGCTGGCTTGATTTTTGTATACATTTATGATTTTAAATCATAAATGTATACAAATCGCTTATTTAAAGCCCCTGTTCAAACATATTTCCCCTAGGACTCCCAATAAATTTTGCGTGTTTCCCTCCCGCATCCGAGCCGGCACTCGCGACGCGGCCCACGGGCTGTCTTTATAAAATAAATTAATTCAGTTCAAATCTTTTTCATTAATGCAGTAAGCCTCATACCTATTTTGTTACAATAACATGATGTTTTCCTTTCTATTCCCACCCCTGAAAAAAAATCCCCGCCTCCCCCTAGCTGCCTCTTGCTTCATGCTTACGCCATTATTATGTATAAGCCTTTGTTTACACGCCTGTTTTGTTCCGTTAAAGTTGACTTTTATTCGAATTGCATTTTTGTCGCCGACTTTACTCTTTAGTTTCAGTTGTCGATTCAACTTATTCTTAAGATTTCTTTATAAAATATGATGCTCGGATAAGATCGGGCGGCTAGCACGCACTGAGAAATAAAATCATATATAGCGCCATGGCGCTAACCAACAGCACGTGAGAATGAAATAGCGCCACCAACGTTGGAAAGAGGAAAGTTTGGGCCAAATTTTTCCAAAAAATTTACCTCGACTTTTTAAATACGGCGAATTTTTGCATTTTGAAACTACAGTTGTTTTCAGTATGTAATTTCCTCTTCAAAAAGTATCATTATGTGGGATAAAACGCTGCCTAAGTGCTGTATTTCGTGATTTTCCGCTTCAATATTCCCCATTCAGAGGCACTCAAGCGTGAAAAAAGATCGCGGCGTTTAATCCTTTCGCCTCAATGGAAACATTTTATTGTTAACGCCAGATTCAACAAAGGAAATTAACAAAGAAAATAGACTCACTTGCATCCGTTCAACACGTGTTCGTTCACAGCTGCCATGCTTATACGTGGTACACCACAGAAGTACAACGCTCTAGCTGCTTGTAGACAAGGCTACGTTTCGAACTGCATGCCGACGCCTGGGGTGTTTTTCAAATCTCGGCATCACTACCAGCGGAGGCCAATTAATAGTGGGACTGTGGCTATTGATGAAGGAGTGCTTCTGGGATTAAATCGTATATATTCTCATAGGGCGGTTGAGTTATCCTGACTCTTGGTCTTTATTTTGAATAAATCTCTATAATAAATAGAACCTATACTGCAGGACACCCCCCCCCAAAAAAAAAAACACCCCACACCCCCAACAAACAAAAACAAACAAAACATTAACAAACAGGAATATTGTTCAATTATTATCTATTTGATGATTTAATCTTCTTTTATTCAAAGAGCTATGCACAATTTACAAAAACCATTAAAATTGCATGATAAAGGGTTGCATTTTAAGACTGACAACTGAGAACACCTATATGCAATACACTGCCACCTCTAATGTGTAATAAAAATATTAACTATAAACAACATTGCGCTACAATTCTTAAATTGATTCAGGTTTTAAAGCAATGATACACTGCTGATAACCTAGGGCTTTATAAAAGCAAGTATTATTTTATCTTTCAGAAAGACAAAGTGTTGGCCATTCAAACATATAATTCTGATGGATAGTATCTCGGAAGAATTTAATAAAAAGTTTAAGTTACCGTCAACCAAATTTTCTTATAAAGATCTCCCAAAAATTGAAGCACACATAAGGCCTGTCTCAATTAATATCTGGCACGAATCCTGGGCATGTTGCGGACATTGTATCGGGTATAAGTTGCAGGATTCGGAACAACTTCCCGCAATCTTCCCGCAATGAAGTTATCAGTATTGGTGAGTCAAGCAGTTGCTGAAGAAAATTTCATCAGAACATGTCCGGGCCAAATGCAGAGCTTTTTCTGGACAAGGTGAATGATACTACCCGCAACTTGTCCGGAACTCGTTCCGATATGAATTAAGGCAGGCTCTAATAAGTATTAATACAATGTATTAGTATTATAATTGCTTGTCTTTAGACTGATTAACTTTTGTGATTACTTGATAACAAATTTTATATTCAACCCCAACACCTTGCGATAAAAAGTAAATAAACACATGAGCATAAAATTGCACATGATGATTAGTTAAGTCTGGTAGACCTGCTCATGGCCTTAGCATAAATGCAGATACTCATCAAGTTACCAGACTAGTTCTTTCAGCTGCTATTGTTCACTATCAAATTGAACACTTCGCTTAAATGTAATAATTTATCGGAACACAATTTGCTTCAACTAAAACAAAACCTTAACATTTCACCATATTTACCGTTTAAAACTGATTAAAAAGCTATCATACAGCCACTTCTGTGATGAAGGTTCTACTCTAAACCGGGCCAACACGTGGACAAAGTCTTGCACTCCATACCTGATGTTGTAGGTTTCCCATAGTAAGTTTCCCATAGTAAGTTTCCCATAGTATCTTGGGTTTTCCCTCAGTTTTTTTTGGCCAAAATCTGTATCAGGTCTGGAAGTTGCGGTTCGTCTTAACTTTTGGTGTCAACTTGGAATAAGGTCAACTTTACTAATTCGATAGCGCTGAATCTGAAACTGGTTGTTCACACTGGCTCAAATTGCACATTAATCTTATGACAACATTTTTTTCAAATTATTTTGCCCAGTTTTGGTCAAAAATAGTATTTTTGCTATAACTTTTACGTTTGAAGTTCAAATGCTTTCCAACTTGACACAGATAAATAGGAAGTCAGCACGAATATTATAAGTAATTATTTAACACTTAGCTTACATTTTTGAATTCTTTTTTTTAGAATCAATCCTTACATGAGCATGATGACATTTCAACGTGGCGCTATTTAGTAAGGATTTATATTAAATGCACAGCCAGTGAACAGTCTCGGGTGTTTAGTATTGAAATATTTAGATAATTTGATTCACTAGACTCTTGATTCAATCCAAACGACAGGCAGTCAACTGCAAATTCACAAAAGGAAATTGCAAAAATCAGAAGACTTTGTACGGTGTTTTTTCAATTTTGAGTGGCAGAAATGGGATTAAAACGAGGAAATCAGCGGATCCGAGGCAGAGTTGCATGGTTGATAACAACTGCAGCAATCCAAATTTTGACAATGTTGTTGCTTATACCACTTGACCCTTTAGTCACTGTAGTGTCCCAAAAAGCTTGAGCACTCTATTTTTTAAATATTTTTTAGTGAATAAACACATTATAATACATTGTACATACAGGTGCTGATGTGTTAAAACATTTATATTGACATGCACTTCATTAACCAGTTCGCGCCAGGATTATTTTTGCCGAAAATTTTGATTTTGGAAAAAGGCAAGACACACAGCAGCCAACGTTCGATATATACAGCTAAACTCCACAAACACTGATTCAAAATCATTTCAATGGTATAAATTGTACTGTATTTCTTACCGCAACCTCATATTTTTTTCAACACTCCAGGGTGTTCCCATGGACCGTACGTTGTACAACAGGCAGTGCACAGCGGCCAAGTTCAAGTACAACACACGGTCCGCATCCACAGGCTTCTCGGACTTTGTGTGTTTGAAAAACAACTTGGGGATTAGCATGTTAAGATGTCATCCGGAGACGAATCAAGGTATGCTTGAAGTTTTAAACCGTCAGCCGTGCCTGTGTATAGACACAGCCAGATCGTGTTAACACGTCATCCAACGCGAACTGGTTTAAATCTCTGGCATAATTTTGTCAACCCCCCCTCTATTCAAAGACCTCCTCCACTGTATCCTGTCTGCCCTGCTCTCTCGCCTCTGTCTTGTGCCTCTGTAGTTCCTCCGATTTCCTCCTCTCTACGTCTTCCGATCGGCGCCTCTCCAGCAGTTGGATCATGCGCAGTTCTTTCTCCTGCTTCTTCTTATTGCGCTGTTGGAAGCGAATCCTGATTTTTGGTAAAATTTAGGGATAAAAAAAAATGTTGTGTTATAGTGAATTAATATTCAAACAATAAAACGGGATGAAAAACAGTTTTTAAATATGTTTGGTAGAACAAAAACGTTGGAGAAAGGCTGAACAGGACTTACAGATTAAGGTCGCCTGAAACCAAAAAATCAACCACCCCTTCAAATGTTGACATTGGCACCACAAAATGACGATTTTTGACTTCAATTTCATGGTAACACCCATTAGGCCAAAAAAAAAAAAAAATAGTCGGTCTCTGGTCAACGCGCGCGTCGATTTTAATCATGCGCGTCAACCTTTTTTTTTCCTTCAAATTTACCACGGAAGCTTTAACAGCGCCCTCTATTGCCGCACCTCCTCAAATGTTTGTACCAAGGAGCACCTAGGAATTGGGAAATTGCACAAAGGCAAATAATGGAGGGCACCAAGGCAAATTACGGAAGACACCAATGTATATGAGGACACAATAAAGCAAAATAGCACCAACCTTGTCTGTACAATTCAAGCTAGAAAAAAAAAAATAGCGCGTCGCTGCATCAATTCCGGAACTCCGGTCTGACCAGAGACCGACTATGTTTTAGGGGGAGGGGGACCTTATGTTCCACAACATATTATTGACAGGAACAACAAATGAGAATTTTGCACACTTAGCATATTAATAACCAGGCACACATCTTTTCCTCTGATCCGCTGATTTCCTCATGTTTTACTTCTCATGAATGCTGTGACAAATTGAAAAATACTGTACAAAGACTTGTGTGATTTGGAGTTTCCTCGTTTTTTTCTAAATTCCCAGTTGCATGCCTGAATAACGAAAGACAAACCAACCTGTTTTCGATGATGCGAGCAACAATTTTAGCTGTTGACAAGTCACTTTTGGAGTCTATTAACTTCAGTGTTCCACGTTTCTTTGGCTCCTATAAAGAAGGCAAACATTTGGTTGTCAGATAAGTTTCAATTAACAGATATTTAATTCGTAATTTCACTAAAATGTTGACGTTAAATGTCACGTCTTGTCAAATATTCACGTTAAACATCAATTTTTCCCTGCAGTTAGATACCCAGTGTTTTTCTAACACTGGATTTTATTCTCCCAACCAACTTTCAATTTTAATAAAAAAAATACTTCATTTTGGTTTTTGCCGTCTGCAACTCTCTGAAAAATGATTTTCATTTTGTGCACAAATGAACCCGCCCTGCGAGAGTGGAACCATTGTCTGACAGCCAATAATTCAAATTTTGTGAAGAAATAATTCAATAACAAAACGTCGATGGATTTATTCGTTCGATTTCTTATTTACAAGTGAATAATTAACTTTAGTTTTACCGAGAAAACAGCAAATAAAAAACCAAATCTGTGTTTTGCGGTGAAACTCAGTGGAAAACATCTTTAATTTTACCTCATATGGATCAACGCCATCAGCCACGGGTTGTATGTGCGTCATGCCCTGAACGACCACGTTGACCTTGAAATGATCCAGGAGATCACCGGTAATCTCTGGCGGGGCACCGATGACAACCTCATCAACATACTGTGAAAACAAATTTTGAAAATCGTAAAGTATTTATCAAAACACTTATTCTCACTGCAATAGGTTAGTTCCAGCATTTCACACGTTCAGTCAAATGCGTACGGTTGGGTAAGCTCATACAGCTATATTAAATTACTAGAGCACTAACTTGATGTACAAAGTAATGCCTGCTGGGCGCATCCATGTTTGTGCACAAACCTACGGGAAAACTCGAAATTTGTACGGCTTTTGTATGGCTATTTGCATATCTGTGTTTGTATTCCATACCGGTGCGTCATCGAAGCCGATACGCCCAAAACCGAAACGCACGATCAGCAAATGAGCGTTTCATTTTGCTCTACGCAAACAGCGCAACGTGTGCGTGTCCCTCCGCTGCAGATGCTTTTCGCCGTGACGTTTTTTTACGGCCGTCATGACGCGCTTAAGTTGTTTGCGTATCTTCTACTTGTGCGTTGCATTTAGAGTACACTTTTAAAATTCAATCCATCTTGATTGTGTTTTACAAACACGCACATTAATTCAAAATTTCTGCGCCCAGAGCGGCTTCAAAGCGTCACCACGCGCAAGAATGAGGAGTTAGCGCTCTAGTAATTTAATATAGCTCTATGGGTACGCTATATGTATCTATTATTTTCCCATGATAGAGCCGGCACTTGGCCACACCCTCTGACCTATGGGTTCTATGCAGGACACATTCCTAGAGCTGTACTTCGACGGTTGAAAATGAACATCATTTTCGTGTGCATTTTGCCAGCATCAATGGACACAAAACATTGAACAGCTCAGTGGAATGATGTCTGCCATAAATAAACAGCCCTTAAATCGGTCGATTTCATGAAATTATGACAATGCAAATGATCCTTTTTCCTTTAAAGATAATGAAATTTTTTAGAAAAGTTACCCTGCATGCTAGTACACTGAGCGTTCTCTCATGTAGGTTCATGATAGGGTAGTTGCCTCCATCATATCGATTCACCTCCTGCAGACACACACAGAAACAAAAACAAGTTTCAAAGAACCTGAGAGTCATCAAGTTACATACCTACTCATAAGAGCCAATTAACCCTAACTCCCTAGTGTCTTTTACTAAAAAATTGACCGAGTCCATCAAAATCCATCAATCACTGTGCTTCCAATACAAATATGCACATGACATTATGGAATCCATTACTGACGCACTGGTTGACATTCATGGACTTAATACTTAATAAACATGGTTTTATATGACAATAGCAGTACAGGAAGCTAGGCAAAATCAATCGGATACCCCTAGCACTGCTTCAGGCCATTAGGCCCAAGTCCATCATACTCCATCAATATTTAGTCACACCAGGCCTTCTGAACCAAGTCCCCCAAAATGGAGGATGAATTTTGATGGAGTTGGTGTGGTTAGGGTTAAGGATACTTTGATCACACTATATGCACCATTTCTTTGCTCTGCTTATGTCAAGTGAAGCATTTTCAGCTCTGCACCAATCCGGTCACGATATTAATTCTATCACGAAGGCCCCCCTTCAATGGCGCAAGCATTGTGCTAGCTATTGTTCAGATAATCTGTCACAGGGCATGTAGCTTTGTACTATAGTGTGTACAATCATTTCTCCATTGAAGGGGGCCTCGTGAGTGTACAGTGATCACGTGACCGGATTCCTCCATACTGGTAGCTAGGATCACACAGACTTTATTTCAAATATGCGAAATATCCATTTAAACAAAAGTGAAAAAGTTGCACGGTTATCAAACATTATAGAGCATGCACAGTCTAACAGCTGTTTCTAATTTCATTTTTCACTTGATTGTATTCTTATATTGTGTTCAACTGTATAATAGCTGTAAACTGACTTTGGGATTCCAAAAGGTAACAAAAGGCATTTATCGCATTTCAGAAAAAAATTTATTAAAGATGCAGACTCCACGCTCTTCACAAATTGGATATTTTTCTCCGAACGACTTTTTAATTTTATGTTTTGTTTTAACAAAAAAATTGAGTTATTCCGATTTTTAGTCCGGCGGGCGACTAAAACCGGCTAATTACCAACTTGCTCTCAAGTCTATCTCTCACCTTGTCTGTATGCAGGCCGACTATCAGGAAGTCTCCCATTTTCCTAGCCTCCCGCAAGAACGCCGCATGGCCCGCGTCTGAACAGTCCAAGGTCAAGGAATTTATCAAAGTTAACAAATATTGAGGGCTTCTCATCTTTACTTACAGCAAAATTTGAATTGCCCACAAATGTATTTATTTAGCCTGTTTCACGTGATTCTCGAGTCAAAGGATACGGAAGAGGTCGAAGGCACCAGGACAGTAGACAATGGTGTCTCCTGGGGCGGGCTCCTTACCCCCGGCAAACTGGATGATCTTACGCGTGGTGGGGAGGAATTGAGACACGCCCGTGTAGGGACTGCTCATGCTCGAACACTAGAACGAAAACAAAAAAGTTTGAAATATTCAATGTCAAGTTGAACTGTGATACAAAGATAAAAAATAACACTTGTCATATTTTTAATGTCCAGGTCTCTTCTCTGTATTAACAGCTGGGCGACTTCACACAAAAGTGGACATAGCTGAAAAGTGGAAAGTTTGTTAAATCTTCGAAACTACAAGCATCACTATCTCAAATGTGGTATCAAATACAAGGGTGAACAAGACCTGTTATTTGAGTAGTGTTCAAGCCACTGCATGTGATGGAATATGATCAATTGTATCTTTTTTGTGTCAAAAGGGGGGGGGGGCCTGGCTAAAATTCTGGATTTTAGGTGGTCATTTTGGCATCTTGTTTTCTCATGCAAAATACGAATGTTATTGTGAATTTTGGGAGTTTTTTTAAGGCAGAGAAAAAGGTTCATATTCTATGCCCAAAGAATTTATTGGTTTGATCATTAGTGACTTATATGTTATAACTTGTACTAAACATGGGCGGATAAATACAAGTAACCGTAACACGAGTTACACGATACATCGCTCCAGAGATTTCATGATTTAGTAATTTTCAATAGTTGTTACGGTAGCATATGCGACCTACACCCTGTACACACGTGACCTTAATGATGTAAGGGCACTGAAAAGATTCTTCCAACAGTGCACGGTATGAGGATACATTCAAATGCAAGGTATTTACATTTTTTCTGTGTCCTATTTTTGTAACACAAGTTACAGATAACAACACACTACCAAACCAATAGAAGTTTGTTCAAACACTTGAGTACCTTGTTCACACATTCAAGCCGAGTGTGAGGGGCCAGTCAACGTAACTGTAGCATTGATACAAAGTATGAACAAACTATGATGCTTAACTTTCATCCCCCACCACCACAACGAAAAACAAAAAAAACACAACTTACACTTTTTTGCTTTAGTTTTCCCAAAGAAATTTCACTCCCTAGAGCTACAGAGCACTGCAAGATGTTGATCTACAATTGTACCGTTTACAAAAAAATGAGTAAAAATTATGAACTATCAAATTTGTGTACTGGTGTATCTGGAGTAAAAATAGGATCACTAAGCATATAACATGAAGAGCATTTTTCTTTGCAGAAAATCTGAAAATCTAGCTGAACTGAACAAAATTCTTTCAATGCAGAACTGTTAGGTGGCACTGGAAATAAGTTTCTGTGGGCTTAGAGAAAAATATCTGCATGTCATTGTTTTGATTTCCAAAGTACTAGTAGTTATCTAACGTATCATATCTCTTCTTCTCTAATGTAAAGTTTATGTTATCACCTCGTATCATTCAACCTGAAGTTAAACAAACTTTGTAAACTTTGTAAAAAAAAAAAGCTGCCCTTTTCCCCCAAGAAATGTCCCCCAAGAAAACAAAATGGCCAAAAAATCAAAATGTAACTTTCTGCCCCTTTTTGGAGCGCAACAATATTAATATGGTTGTTTTGAAATCTATGGGGTTAAAAGGATCTTTTTGATGACACTTGTACATATCTTCTTGACGACTATTTTGAAGGCAATTAAGTCAACATGAAGATTTATTGGGTATTTACTAGTTAGTTATTATATGCAAACATTTCCCACGTTTGATGAAGGTACAGATGGCTGATAAATTCTGTCATCTCATTTTTTTTAAAAGTTCATAGTCCAAGTTGCATGTTTACAGAAACTAAAATAGATTAAGGGTTGTAAAGGTTCTAAAAAAATACAAATGCAGTGACTTTTGTAAACAGATATTAAGATCGTATGGGTTAAAGTGATGTATTATTCTAGCAATGAAGTCAAATCCAGAAGAGGGCATTTTTTGTGGGTAGCGAAAAAAGTCCTCAGTTTAAAAAAGTTATGAAAATACAAACATACTTCAAACCCTAAATGTTTTATGTATTTAATATTTGTTTCAAACTATTTTTCTTACTTCACATTTTGTGAACCTTTACAAGGTTTCCAGGCACTTTATGAAAACAAAATTCCCCAAGTTTTCCCTGATATTTCCCTGAGAAATTTCTCAAAATTCCAAGAGAAAACCGCCAAACTCACTGGTTTGACTGGAATCCTGCTGCTGCACAATTTTAACGTGTTTTTAGATGGGGTTACGATCGAGTATAAGCTTTATGTGGCCTCTCTGGGCTCCCATACATTTTGCACTAAATTTAGTCGGGCACCATTTGCAGTCATCAGCCGACATTTGAGGGAAAAAAAGTCACACAAAAAAAAGCCGCGTTGCTGCACCACTTTTGGGGCAAGCTCCATACCAGAAACCGGAGATTTTTAATTTTTTTTGGCCTAAGGAATGCTTTGAATAATTTTGATTTGGATTGATTGATTTATTTATAATTTTTTTTTAGCACAACTTACGCTAGGATTATCGCCACTACTACGTGACGGAACGTCATGACCTATCATATGATGTGTTTTCGTCATAAGCAGCATTCTGGGGGGAAAAAACAGTTATTTTTCTTGGTAAATAAAAGATAACAAGCTTAGCCTTTTCTTGGGATACAAAAAAGAATATTCTAACAGAAGGATTTTAAACAATAAAAACAAGCAAAGTTAAAAAAAAAATATATAAAAATTGAAAAGTCGAAATGTTCATTATATGAACTGACAATGAAGGTGGTTTCGAAATAGGCTGCCTACGGGCAAATTTTTTGACGAGCATTGACCTGTTGCAAGAACAATTTTGCTTCAAACAACAAAATCACAAAATGCAAAGATCCTACATACGTTTAAGATCAACAAGTTTGCATAATTAATCAATCCTGGGAATTCATTATTTTAAGAGTGTACATCAAAACAATTAACAATTTCATAATTTCATGAAATTCCAAAATATTTCCAAGCAGTGCTGATCTTGGTAATAACCCCTTCTAGTAAGTATCCAACGCTGTGCAAATTAGTAAACAAACATTAGTTAATAATTAAAAATAAAATCACTTACCTGCCAACAAGGTCTGTGGTTGAGACTCCAGCTGTTCTTTGACATTCCCTGGAGACAAAAAAATAATGTAATAATTAATTTGTCTTAAAAAAATCATTCATTTGTTAAAAAAGCTGTGTCCTCTCTGAGTGATACCCATTTGCTATTTTTGCAGCTAGTGTTGCTAGCATCGTGACTTCGGGCGTGATCCCTGGCTACATGGCATATACAGGTTAATGGCTTTTGACTAGCGCCCCTTGAACAAAGACACTGACACAAACATTTTTTTTGACGGAACTCGGGGTGGAGCAAGCTTATTTGAGACATACGCAACTGTTTACAAAAGAAATTTTTGTGAATGCTAATGAGTTCCAGTTATTTTCCATAAGGCCAATTAAAAAAAAAAGTTTTTCGCCCAGACTTTTTTTCTTTAAGGAAGGAGGCGGCCTTTTTTGTTTTCAAGATGACATTTTGCAAGATGGCGGATAAGTCTTCCATTTTGTGAACTCTTTTGCTTAACTTTCTATCAGATTTTGAACTTGCAAACATTGCTACAATTTTGCAAGAAATACTGTGCAAATGTATGATTAACAAAAAAGAAAGAAGGTGGACGGAAAAGGAAGCAGGCGGGGACGAGAAAGTAGTTTTTTGTTTTACTTGGCCTCATTCATAAAACTCCATTCAACATTGCTGGTGGTGATATCACTGCACAATGTACGTACTTGTATCTTCCTGCGGCTTTCACTTTGCGATACGTGTCGTTTCCATCTACATCTAGCGTAATGTCATCTGCAACAAAGACGTTCAAAAAGTTGTCCAATTACTCAAAATCTAAAATTCTTGCCCACTTCAGTGTAAAAAAAAACAAGCCACGTCACACATATCAGCAGTCAGCGATTGCTAAACGTTACTTACTTCCATGAACGCAGAAGTCGCAGTTGTACTTGTCCAGCGTTTCGATTTCAGTAACATAGGGGGCGCCCTCTATGACCTCGTCCACCCATTTGATTGCGCGCACCATGGCGTAGCGTTCCTTCTCGTTGATGACCGGTGGACCTTTATGCTCCATAATTTCAGCTAATAACAAAAAGTGAAAAAACCCAGTTTTTTAGCAATGTCATCTAGTATTAATCCATGTTAATAAAAAATAATTTCACTGTCTACAAGTTATTCTGGTATGAGCAATTTTGACCCAACAGCACAACTCAAAACTTAATCAAAAAGAGCATGCAAATCAAAACTTTGGACTAAATTTAAAAATTGTAAAACGTAATAGAATTGATATTATTCCCGAATTGGTCTATACAGGCTGCAAGATATGCAAACAAAGTTGCGAAGTTATTTAAGTATAACTTTATTCGTACCGTCTGAGTGAACACCGACGATAAGATAGTCTCCCATTTGTTTGGCCTGGCGGAGGGAGTTGGCGTGCCCGAAATGAACAAGATCATAGCTGGAAAAGAACCAAAAAAAGGAAAATTATGGGTACTGGTTAGGAAAACAAGTAAAGAATATTTTTTAAACTCCTAGATTTTTGCACTTCACAACCGTGCAAGTTTTGCAAAACCATTTTGTTTGCTATTAGAGTTAGCGACCACATTTCAAATTCCTTTTGAGGTAATCTTTTGTGGAACATGGATAATACGTCAAATCCCTGCACAATTCTTTTGTGTGGTTAAGCTCAGGGCAAGCGCAGGCAGATTCGGTCATGCTTCACTGCTCGCCACAGTGCTGTTATTTGTTCAGGACATGACTGTCTGTGCGACACATACTTCATATCCTTTCACCTGAAACTGCCCTGCAGGTTTTACATATTGCTCTGAATAGTGAATTCCCACTGTGAGGGCCCCTTTGTGATATCAATGTAAATTTGTCCTCCATAACCATACCCTTTTTTATGGCGCACTGGGCTGAATCTGGCGAATTCTAAAACCTGCTCGATGCCAGAGAATCTAACAATAAGGTATTTTGTTCGTTGGAACCCCCCCCCCCCTAAAAAAAAAAATACTGATGCTGTGGTTCGTTTAACCAAACCATTTGTCAACGTTTGGCTATGCGTAGTTAGTTAAAAAGTTTTTTTCGTTTTGTAAAATGTTTTATTTGTAATTTCAGTTGTTTTCTCGTCTGATGAAAAAAGACCTTCAATACAAAGATGAAGTCTGCAGTATTTATTTTCATAAACACTGATATTTTCAGCATGCAATGTGCTGTATATGAAGCATCCAAAAAGAATAAAAATAAAAATTGTTGGCAATGTTCCAACATATGCAACTTTTTTTGGTAAGGCTGTTGCTATCTATAGAGTATGCGTCACTTGTTAACCAAATGGTAATAATGGTTCTCAGACTTTACTTTCCTTTAATTAACAAATCCTCCAGAGCCATAAATCAGAAAAGAAATATTACTTCTACTTCCAAAGAAAAAAAAAAGATTTCATTTAAAACAATGAAAGTAAGAAAACACATATTTTGGGAAATTAAAAAAATATAAGATGTTTTCGGGATCCAAACTCTGCATCTTTGGCAGTCAAAATGCATGTTTATCCTATTAGGCTAACAATGTTAATTCACGATGTTAATATTTTGCAATTCTGTGAATAAATAAAGCCGTTGAAAAAAATGTTACACCTCCTGTAAAAATAGTCATTTCAATTTTTTTATTGGGGGGGGGGGTTATACTCATACTCAAACATTCAGTTAACCTACCATCCATCACACCAGACCCTCACGATCTTCCGTTGTCGTTTACCGGCTGACGTTTGATCATCTTCATCGTAGGTTGAACGCTTCATCATTGGGACATTGCCGTTGTCTGCCATGGTAGCAGTTGTCTTACCAAGTCACCACAAAATTACTTTTTTTTATTTTTGGTATTAACTCTGAAATGAAGCGAAGCACAGATCCAACTCATCAGTATGGCATAGACATTTTAGTTCCTACTTTAAAGTTAAAGTTTGCGAAGTGGCTATCGTTACGGCAGCCGTTGTTTAGCGCCCTCTACGATACTTTTTTGATACGCACGCAGGTATATAATTATTTGTTTGCCCACGTTTTAGCGAGCAGTGCGACAGCTCAGTCGATAGAGGGTAGGATTTTGCACCGCGAGGTTGCGGGTTCGCATCTCAGTTTAGCACTCGAATGTTTTTCCTTTTCTAACCTGAGGCTTTGGAGGATTTTTTTAAAAGGGAAATAAAGTCCGAATTTCATAACGTTCAAATTCACTTTTTTTCTGTCTAATTTTACATTTTCCTCTCAATTTTGTCTCATGTTTTTATAACAGTTGCAGTACTACCGTCATGATAGAAAATGGGAAATGCGTTACGGCTGCCGTAACGATAGCCACTGCGTAAAGTTTGACTAAGACCTAAGTTGAAGACATGTCAGTGCCAGTAATGGAATTCTTTCCTGTAACTAAGTGTAAAGGAAAGTGTTTTAGACATTACATTACTGACATTGTGTCACAGTTACTGACTCTGTCACAATGTCAGATTAGCAGAATACCCCCCCCCCCCCCCCAGCCAGCTCCATCCCATCACAGCTCATCGCAATGCGTGATGAACATTGACGTATTCAAGCATTGCCATGCCAGCTGGAGTACCCCGCCCACCAATACTTACTGCGAAAGATCGATGGATGCAACTGCATGTATGTACCAGCACTAGGTATTTCCAAAACACTGGAAATGTATCAAAAACACTATGCAATTTGCAAACTTCTCCGTTTACGTTTGCGGTCGTCGTGTAAACAAAAATAATGAGCAATCATTGACCGATCACGCCCATCATTCATGCCAGCCTCGACTCCAGGGGCGCGTGCTCGTTCCTTACACTAACATGATGGGAAACAACATGGCGCTGCAAGATCGTACCCACGGGGCACGAGGTTGCATTCATGCATCGTACGATACTTGTCTGGTGCCTGAAACCCCCGACTCATAAGCTGGCACTTGCAAGCTGTCCAGCATCCCGACTATCCATTAAAGAGGAAAGGCGCCCTCCATTGACGGTCTCACACGGTAAAAAATGGCAGACGACCGGAGTGGCGCATCTTTTAAAGTGGTAAGAAATGTTGCAATCCAAGATTAGTTTTATGTGATGTATTAGACGTGCTCTAGTGTCATTCGATGTAGCGTTCCGGTTTAATCTTTGGGCATCCTCACCATTCTTTCTTTATAAATGATTTATTTTTAGGTGGAATAATTTTATCAACAACATTCAATCAATGACGCCCTCTGCTGGCGGTCAATTTATACGTGAAAATGGGAGGGGTGGAGTGGGGGGGGGGGGCCTGAAAAGTTTTGAATATGAAGAATGCCCTGTAAAATTTGGTGTCGGAAGTACTGTCGCTTGCTTCTGACATGTGACATGCATTGCAATTCACCAATCATGTTTTTTAAGAAGTGGGCCAGTAACTATTAAAGGTATTTCGTGATAATTTGATAATTTCATTTTGTAATGTTTGCAAATGTTGCATCTTCCCTTTAAGCCAAAATTAATTTTGTTGATGTCAACTAGCGTTTAATAAAACTTAAGGAAAGCCAGTGCAACACCGCAACTTAAATCAGCCATTCAGAGAAAGCCTCCATGAAAACAATATTTGGGCCTACTTCATAGGCGTAGCCAGCTATGGAGGGGGGGGGGGTAGTCAACCCCCCCCCCCCCCCCCCCACCCACCACCACCATTTGATTTTGCAGAGGCATAGTGTCCGCAGAAAAAGTGTCTACATTTCAGCACAGATGTTCAAGTGCTCTTTGCAGGAAGTTTTGACCTTGCTACGCCCCTGCACTTCCAAAGGAAACTTACACCGGCCAAATATAGCAATATTTTGTTAACCTTACTAATACTAAGCCCTGAACTTAACCAGAATACTTGAATTGCAGTCAATAATGATATTCTTGTGCCCTCTCAAATGGAGAACAGTCTAACTGAAGGATATTCATTGCTTTGGTCAAGATTTGTCTTTAATCCAATTTCCCCCATTACTGTCTGTAATAGGAAACAGTCCAAAAGTTGCTGCAGAGTACCTTTCAAGACGACAAGACAAAAAGTAAGTACAGAACTTAAGCCTAGAACCACAGTTCTGTTACATCCCAATTAGATCATCAGTTCCGACATGGTAGCATTTATTAAGTAACTGCCTTTTTTATCTTCTTTAAACAGTCAGCAAAGATGCGGTACGGTTGATGGTTGAGATGCTGAGAGTCTTCGCAGCAGGTAAAAAAAAAATTCTCCAACATCTGTTCACCTGAGCTGACTGCAGACTGATACAGGGTTCCGAGCCTCTCTGGACACTGTCTCCCGATAGGGGGCGCTGTTCAAAGCGGACGATCGTGGGCACTATTAGACTATAGGTAGCGCTCTTCATCCTGGAGCATTTGCTGACGAATGAAAGACACACGATTTTGCCGACAGCAAGATGAGTTTGCTGACAAAATGAATAGTGTGGGTGTCACCCCCTACCCCCCACTGTCCCCCACTCACCCCCCCCCAACCTCTGAGAGAATCTTGTAGATTTGAATCTGATTCAAATGATAAATTCTGACAGATATTAAAGCAGATTGATCTTGACTTTACCGTTGACTTGTGTAGGACCTTTTACAATTTAAAGCCTTGTTCATAGGAAATAAAAATTAAAACAATATTTGTAATTCTTTTCAGAGGGAGCTGCAAGGGCAGCCCAGCAGGCCAAGTCAGAGTCTGGCACTGTGGTGGAACCAAGACATTTTGAAAAGGTGTTGCCCCAGTTGGTAAGTACTTTGTATTATTTCATCATTATTCGTGATCACAGTTTTACTTTTTTTGTTCAGAAATAAGATAGACAAGTTATACAGCTCAAGGCTCACGATATCCATCAGATTTCTCAAACTAGTCCAGTAAATTAACTTTTAAAGGGACATAGGAACGTTGGTTATTACCCAAAAAATGGACCTTCCGATTGAGAAAATTGAAGATGGGGATGGCACCAAATACCCTGCGGAGTTATTCCGCCTGAAATGGTGTCGTTCAGAAGAAAACAAAGAATTGCTGACAGGCATGAGATTTTTCTGAGAGAAAGACACTACATGTATTAGTATAGAAAGGTAGCATCTTTCAGATTTCTTTAATTTGCAGACTTTTTTAAATTGACAATGTCGTCCCAGAATTGAAGGTGGTTTTAAAAAAGTGTACCTGCTGACACACTTTTTTACATGGTTCATTTTTCTCCCAGTTGCATCTCTGAATTGTGTATTTTTAGTGAAAAAAAGTCCTATCTGGAAGTTTGGAGACTCAACATTTTTTTCTTTTTTTTCCTCCTTTTCCTTTTAGCTTCTGGATTTTTGAGCAATGATCTCCACTCTTAACCAGAGGATTCTCCACGGACTGCACTGAAACCTTGGCAATAAAAAATGTCTGTGTGTATGATACAATTAATTTTCCAACCAGAGTTTTACCTTTGACATTTGAAAGTCGTTAGATGGTTCAGAATTTGCAGTTGGATTATGTAATCATACCTATAGCTATTTTTTTTAAAAGCTACAATAGATCCGAGGATGGTTTTGAGCTAGGCCTTAAAGACATATAGGAACATTTGCATTTATCCCAAAAGTAGCCCACCAAATTATTTTTCGAAAAAAGCTTACTTGGACTAAAGATTGTACTGGTCCTAAACACCCTGTGAAATATTACGTCTAGCTTGCTGTCATTTAGAAGAAGAAATCAAGAAATGTAGGTGATTTCCAAATAGTAGTCAATTGACTGATTTTTTGAAACAAAAGAGTGCTATGGACAAAATTGTGTTTCATGATCAAAAGTGTGTGTCCGTTTTATACTGCTTTCTCAAAAGTTATAACATCCACTGAGCTGAAACTTTAACAGATTAGGTTTGGAACATTCTTGTTTGGATTTTGAGTGGTGTTATTATTGAGAAGGAACAAAATGCATGAAAACAAATTATCCTACATGCTTTAAAATATGTGATAATATGCAAAATAAAAGTTAAACAGTTAGTCATCTTTTGAAGACATTTGTAGCCTTTCTTGATATGCCGTTCATTCGCAAGTCCAGTCACAAGCTATTCAAATGTACTTCGAAAAAAAAATGTTTCATATGCAAATCCTCCCCTTTCACTTGTTACTTTCTTGTGATTTTATTTGTAGATGTAATTTGTGATTTAACTTGAATGATGGACTTTATTTCGTCTTTGTTACTCATTACCTATTTGAAATGTTAGTATTGTCCAGAAATGTATTTGTGCATTTAGTGAACCCGGAGTATTTTTCTCCAATCAACCAGTTTAATGTCAAAATAATTTAGTAAATTCTTTTGTTTGCTGAAAAGTTATTTCCAAACTGGAGTGTGTCCATGTATATGCTATGTGGAACATTTATGAATAAAAAAAACTCAAACTGAGCTATGTTTCTGTCATCGTTTGTTTGTTAAAAATGCATGTATTTGTGTCATTTTTGAGTTGTCAACTTGTATTTACTCAGGCGCGGATCCAGGAAGGGGGGGGGGGGGATAAGTTGCATGGCCCCCCCCCAAAAAAAAAAAAATCCTATATCTGCCCCTACTGTTAGTTTTGTGAAAACATGGAGGTTTTCCTTTCTCCGTGATTATGGTTGAAATAATTATGTGCTGGTTTGTACACTCAGTCTTGCTTGAAAAGTGAACCTTCATTTTTATTTGTGTTGCCTTTTTTGTTTGGCAACAGTGGGAAGTCAATAAGAACTGGGGCACTTTATCTGCACTTACCTGGGAAAAAACGAACAATCAGGCTCTCAACCCATTTATGAACAATTTATGAAGAAAAATGTTCAGCTTTCATGAACTTTGCATCACAGAACTAATAAAACAGTTTTGTATTTTTGTAAACAATTCAACAAAAGCAAAGTTCGTGCAGTTTATGTGCAGCGCTACTCTACTCGCTCGTCCCCACTACAGTATCCGACCTAAAAACCGCCGGTCTCTTTCGCAAAATTTTTGAGAAGGAAATGCAGATTTTACAAAGTATTGTGGGCAGCACAAGCCATGCATTGCACACGCAGAATTTTTACACCTGGTCAAATCTATCCAATGAGAAATTACTGAAATTAGAGCTTACCCGCACACCTGGACGACCCCAGTACTTATTTCCCCTACAGCATTAAATCGTGTACCCTGCGATTACCCAACATACGAGGTTGACACTCGTGCACACACCGGACTGGTTCCCATCAGCCGGGAAGTGGCATTATAACGACGCTAGTAATGGTTACCAGCTCCGAAACTACACACCAAAACATCGTGTGGCGATCAACGGAAAACGCAAGTTTTTGATCAGGAACTCCCCCAAGTTTCCTGAAAAATCCCGTCGAATCGAGCACCACAAATTAGGCTGTAAGTGACGCATATCAGTTCCCGAGCTATGGATCGAAATCCAGCCAGTATGATGGACGTTTTGAGTGATGTAACAGACGTTGAAGACAGCGATCTGTGCGATTGGCAGTTGCCGCTGGCGTACATGAAGAAACGCCATACTGAACGCATTGAAGGCAGCAAGACTGAAACACAGACATGGCGCATGAAGGAACGGGTTGGTATCCTGGCAGTATAAACTATATTTAGTCTGTAATTAAACTTTTATTCGGGGGGGGGGAGGTGTGTTCATTACTAAAGTAATTTATGAGAGTAGGCTTTTTTGTGATGATCCGTGGATCAGCGCGATTGACAATGATTGAGCAAGAATGCACCAAAACAAATTGTTGTAAGTTGTAGTGTGCTACTGTACTGATGACCTATCAAATAGTATTGTTATGGAGGAATAAAAACATCATCTTGACTCTGGCCTGATGAGTAAAGGAGTTTTTGGCTAATCAATAGAGCTTATGTGTAGCTAGCCCCACTAGTGTGGCCGTCGGTATGCTGCGCTGAACCCAAGGCCACACACCGTGGTCTGCGCACTACTGAGGACGTTTTCATAATTTCAACAGCGAATTTCTTACATATGGTTGTATTCTACGATGTCCCAACTTTCACTTCTGGGATGCTTGGGTGTAATGATGTTCAATTTTCCAAGATATTCTTGAATCTTTCTGGAGCCCATATGCACTCGTGAAACGTCTGGTGATGGCAGCCATTTTGAATGTGACAAGAGATGACCTCAAGCTGTGACGTCGCGTTTATGCAAATTGCTTGTCGAGCGAGGGCGCGAGTTGCAAATGCGACGGCTGTTTCCTGTACCATGCATTTATCGTCTGGGGGCCACGTGCACTGATCTCTATTCAGGATCTACGGCACAGGAAACAGCCGTCGCATTTGCAACTCGCGCCCTCGCTCGACAAGCAATTTGCATAAACGCGACGTCACAGCTTGAGGTCATCTCTTGTCACATTCAAAATGGCTGCCATCACCAGACGTTTCACGAGTGCATATGGGCTCCAGAAAGATTCAAGAATATCTTGGAAAATTGAACATCATTACACCCAAGCATCCCAGAAGTGAAAGTTGGGACATCGTAGAATACAACCATATGTAAGAAATTCGCTGTTGAAATTATGAAAACGTCCTCAGTAGTGCGCAGACCACGGTGTGTGGCCTTGGGTTCAGCGCAGCATACCGACGGCCACACTAGTGGGGCTAATGTGTAGCCACCATCTTACATGTCTTAGAGGGCATCTGTTGTCATTTTAAATTAAATATAAATCAGTAACAATGATAGGATACACAAAAGGTTCATTGCCCTCTAATATGGCTGCTAATGCATAACCATGATAACCATATAAACTAAGGTCTTAGTAAGTATAGGTGGATGCAACTTTGCGTGATCTTGGGTGAATGCGAGGTGAAAACAAATGCTTGAATGCATCGCTTTTCTCAATGATAGTGCGTCCATCTCGGAATGTTTTCACTGCGCTAGCCGGAAGTGACGCGCAAGTTGCGTCCTCCTATAAAGTATAAGTATAAACCTTTGGACTTTGCAATGCATCCAGGGTATGGATGACAAAGAGGCAATGCAGTTTATGCACAAACCTATGGGATAGGAACCAGTCAAAATAAAGTATTTTTGTCTTGATTATTTTTCCAGGATAATATGTACAGTGTGTAAGTGATCATCAATTAACTTTTAAATGCATAGAAATAGAATATAATAAACTTATTTGAAAATAAAATTAAGTTTTTATACTTTAGAAATAAAAATAAGAATAATTTTTCAAAATTGGTTTTTTTCACCGGGTACCAGTCATCAGGCTCAGTGGAACAATTCTGATTGGTCAGTGTTGGAGGTGTGAGCTTGACATCATGTTTCTGAGTGGTCAATATTACTATTAGCAGGGTCACGATATTAATTAATTAAAAAGGATTCCCCAACCTTTTCTTCATTCTAAAGTAATAGACCTAGGCTTTAAATAATCTTTATTAAACTTAGTACATTTTAAATTAATAATGCAACAATATATGAAAAAATAATCACTAAATTCTTGATATGTAAATTGTAATGAGAAGGAATCAGATGAAAGTTGTAATGTGGTACTTGGCGCCATAGGTGTGTGCACAAATTGCCTGGTTTGTTAGTCGTCCAGACCCAAGATGCATTGCGAAGATTAAAAAGGTTTATTGTCAGGGCAGAGTCTGCACCATCTGCCAATCATACAGCACAGAACTTGCGCCATTGTCAATAAACAGTGTCCAATATTCATGATTAGCTAGATCATGCAGCGTCAGAAAATCCATGTGCAGTATAGTACTTGTCATACATGAAACACTGGCCCAGACGACAGACGCTGTCAGTGATGCAGACCTTGTCATTTCCTCCTACGGTACATGTACCTTCAACCCACGCAGACTGTTGATGTCAACCGTTCACGCAGACTGTTGATGTCAACCGTTGATGTGCAGTTGGTAGGGATATATTTGTAGCTGCAGTAACAACATCCTTCCTGGCTTGACTGTCAGTTCAGAGTGTTGTATTCGCCTTGAAATTGATGAGTGCGTGTAAGGCTGGAAATACATGTACCAACTAGTCTAGTCCTTGTCAACAACAGTTTTTTTCACACATCTGTAAAGTCTGTCACAAGCCAGTAAGCCACATCAGGCCAGCATTTATCACCATTTTCCTTGGCATGAAATGATTGAGAATATTCCCCCCTGGATGGGATGCCAGTCCATCGCAGGTTACTCCCCAGCTAATGCCGGTATCCATTTATACTCCTGGGTGGAGGAAGGCAAGTGGGGGTAAAGTGGCTTGCTCAAGGACACAACACATGGATTCGAACCCCTGACCCTCTGAACCTGAGTCGAGAACCCTAACCACTAGGCCACACTCCCACATCTGGTCATTACTAAACATATCAAATGCTCCATAATACATGAAAATGTATAAATGGATAAGAATTCCCATTCGCCTGATTTTTATTTTCAATTATTGAAGTGTTCTTGCACTTTGTTTGCACTGTTTACTTTTAACTTTTTTTTCATATTTGAAAAAGACACGATATCTCATGCATGTAATTTTTGTATTGCATTCTTCTAAGATTTCAAAGACCTATATCAAAACTTGGAAAAATCACTTATAATTAACAAATACTATAATTGATATTAAATTGAGGCAGGAACCAGCCTACCCCACAAGAACTGATTTATTGTCTGACAGCCAATAATTCGAAATTGTAAGGTAATAATTCAATAACAAAACATGGGCCCATTTTTCTTGGCTGATGCCTCATCTTTTGTATTGCTAGAAAAATAGCCATTAGCAAAGGAGTATATTTTTGGGGATGAAACTCAAAAATAGTTCAAAAATAGTATCTGGAACGCACCTTTAATGGCAGGCTAACTATCTTTGGTATGCATGTTTCTTCACTCAATGTTTGCTTTCTTTGTTATTCCACTCGTATCTGTGCACAGATGAAAACTGTCAGCGTTGCCCTGGTAATGTGTCTCAATGTCGGCGTAGATCCACCAGATGTAGTCAAGACATCACCGTGTGCGAAGATGGAATGCTGGATAGGTAAGCAGAGAAACATGCACGTCTAACTGTCATGGGGCTTCTAAGAACAGAATTTTGCTAAGGGCAATAGATCTAAGGGCCATCTCAGAAATTTGGTTATGTTAAATCAGTAACAATGAATGAATACACAAAAGGCTCACAAACTTTTAACCTTTTTTGTAAAGGCAAAAAAAATGATGTATGAAACATTTCATTGATCAATTTGACTTTCAGATCCGCTGTCTACAAGCCCACAGAAGGCTCTTGAAGCCATCGGCAATAACCTGCAGAAACAGTACGAACGCTGGCAACCACGGGTAAGCAAGATTCTTTTTAAAAGCTCAAGCTGTGAAGCAGAAAATTGTTACTGTACTGATGATATTTTTGAGTGCTGACTGATGTCAATTGTTGTAATATCGTCGCAGTTACACTCAGGTTGCAAAAATTAGCGACTACGATATGTTCCAACGGTCGTAGCTCAGGTGCAGCTTGATCCTGAAAAGTAAAATCTGACTTTTCTGGTCGCCACAAGATCGACCTAAGAGCGGCTGAAGTCTGACAGTGCCAAATATTTCCTGTGATTGTTCCCTTCCAGGCCCGATACAAACTCTGCCTGGATCCCACCGTGGAGGAAGTCAAGAAACTGTGTACGTCCCTCCGACGCAACGCCAAAGAAGAGCGGGTTCTCTTCCACTACAACGGCCATGGGGTGCCCAGGCCTACCACCAACGGAGAAATATGGGTCTTTAACAAGGTAAGTGCTAGCTTGAGACAGTGTTGTAGTTGAGTACATTTCCATGAGTACAAGTGTGAGTATGAGTACTTTGTCATGAGTACGAGTACTTGTCATGAGTACAACTGTGAGTACGAGTACTTTGTCAAGAGTACAACTGTGAGTATGAGTACTTTGTCATAAGTACAAGTGTTAGTATGAGTACTTTGTCATGAGTATGATTATGAGTATGAGTACTTTGGTCATGAGTACAAGTGTTAGTATGAGTACTTTGTCATGAGTATGATTATGAGTATGAGTACTTTGGTCATGAGTACAAGTGTTAGTATGAGTACTTTGTCATGAGTATAATTATGAGTATGAGTACTTTGGTCATGAGTACAAGTGTTAGTATGAGTACTTTGTCATGAGTACGAGTACTTTGTCATAAGAACAAGTGGAGTGCGAGTACTTTGTCATGAGTACGAGTACAAGTACTACATGTAGGCAATTTTTTATACCAAAAAAATTGGGTAAAGTGTAGTTTAGGACACCGCTATTTTTTTACAAGTTCCATTCAAAAATGACTTTTGCAAGTGACTTTCAATTCCAAAAATGACTTTTGTAGCCTCAAGCAGTGTTTTTTATTTAGATTTAACTCTCGGTTTTTACAATTTTGATCAGTACTTTGGAAGAAATTGCAACTTTCTTACCTGTTTTAGCAGTAAGAGATGTGCGGGTGAGAGCACAGTCTTTTCATTCTACGAGGTTCTAAATTACAGAAAAATGTATTCAAGCACTATTGCAAGTACAAGTACTAGTACTTTTTCCAAGTACGATCAAATTTCAACGGGTAAACGTGTTCTCAAGGCCTTTTTTTCTGTCAAAGTAGGCATTAAACAAACGCAGAAACCTCCAGAACAGGACAAGTATAAGTACATTTTCATGAATACGAAGCGTACAAATACCAGCAATCGACTTTGAGTACAATTATGAGTACAAGTACTACGACATTGGTTGGGGATTTGTATTTATACCAGTCATGCAGTTGATAATATTCAAAAGACCACAAACATCTCTCTTAAATGCCAAGTGCAGTGGGAATGATGCCAAAATTAACTCAAAACTCTGCTTTAAAAGTCACATTTTTAACCTGTTCCCTTGAGGTTTGACTTATCGAGATTTCACTGTACTTTAATGCACTCATGGCTTCCTGTGCAAAATGGCGCTCGATGTTTGTAAACAAAAGACAAGGTCTGTGGTTATGAGAACAGAATGACATTGATAGATGTCCTTCATTGCACACACACAAAAACCAGCCATATTTCCTGTTTGATAGGAATACAATGTACAAGCAGGTCTTTCCTTGAAACAGACTTGCATGTTCCTAATCAATAAATGGGGGATTTTGTACTTACATGTATGGTGTTGTACAATGAATCGTTGTCATAGAACAAGTTCAGGCTTGTCCAAGTATTGTACATGTTTAGGCTTGCACAATTAAGTACATTTATTGTACATATTCATTGGCTCTAAAAAAAAAAATTATGTGGAGTTTTGTGTATTGAAAAAAACCCAATCAATACATATTTGCACAGCGTTACAACTTTCATACATGTATGTGTAATGTGAGACAAAAAGTTGAGCTTTATAATGAAAAAGTTTAGGCACCAAAAACCCACAAAGTTTTTCAATGTTGCCATACACACATTTCTGTCTGTTTTTTTGTCTATGACTGTTAAAAAGAAAATAAAAATCTTAAAGACACAAACTTTCATGTGGCCTTCAAAAAAATCCTGACAATATTGTGAGGTATATTCATGATATGCAACAAACGACAGAATGAATGCTGTGTCATTTTCACACTAGAGAAAAATCATTTTACAGGACCAAAATAACTGCATGATTTTATAAATGGCATACATGTAAAACATCATTTGCTTTTTGTTCGTTTCCATAAATAACACAACTCAAATTCCAAAGAAGAATGTCCAAAACCTAACCTGTTTTGTCAATAGCACTCTTCATTCCAAAAATCAGTCATTTGACTGATCATTGGAAATCACCTGCATTTCTTGATTTCTTCTAAATGACAGCAAGCCAGTGGGAATAATTTCACAGGGTGTTAAGTAACAGTACAATAATCCAAGTAAGGTTTTAGATAACAATTTGGCTGGTTACTTTTGGGATAAATGATCGTGGGTACCTTTAAATTGGGAAAAAGAGTAGAGACAAAAGGTTTTATCACCACGTCAGATTTTTCTTAATAGTCATTATCCAAAAACAAAAGTAAAACATTAAAAAAGAAACACTGAGTTCCATCTTGCAGTTAGCAATTTCAGGAGTTGAACTGAAAGAGGAAGTGGAAATAGCTTTGATTTTTTTTTATCTCACCAGGAAAAAAGAAAGAAATGAAACTTCTCTCTAAAGTAGAGATAACACCTTTTACCTCAACTAGCGCATGGCAGTACCAGCCTTTGTGTGGTACCTGTTGATCTTGAAAGAGTTTGAAAAGAAAACAATGATTCTGGGGCTGCGCTTCCTTTTGAAATTTGTCTGCAAATTAACTTGCTTCGAGTGTTGTTATGTATGTATGTTGCTAAGATCCAAAATTTTATACATAACAAGTAATAAAAGATTACTGAAAATTATGTAGCAGAGGCAAATATGATATTGTTCAGAATCTATGTTAATTTACTCTAAATGCATAATATAGGATCATTTGCATTTACCCTAAAGGTTACATGCCAAATTATTCTCAACAAGCTTACTTGGATCAAAGATTGTACTGGTACTAAACACCCCGTGAAATTATTCCGTCTGGCTTGCTGTCCAACAATCAGTAAATTGACAGACTTTAGGATTTTTTGCTATACACATGATACATGTACTGTATATCGACAGAATTGTGTTTCTTGAGCAAAAGGTTGCTCATGGTTTTCATTGTTTTATATGAAACTTTACCAATGCTACTTTTTTAATAAAGGAATAAATAAAAATAAAAATAAACAGTAATTGTTTTTCTAACAAAAAACCTATATATGAATGTGAAAATAGCATAATGTTTTTTTTTTTCACTTGCCCAACACTTTTAGAAATGCTTGTAAATTTTTGCATGGTTTTTATGACATGCTAGTTTTTAACCATATTCCATCTTACTGGCACACGCCATTGAACTGAAAGGGCTCATAGTTCCCTTTAATTTGATGCCACATTTTCCCACTTTTTAGCCATGTCCACATTTGCATATAGTGTACATGTATCAAACCGAACCAAAGTTCAGTTCGTCACAAAGGACGCGATACACAATCGCATGACAGCTGGCAATAAAAATATATGGTGGCTTTAAAGTCAGTCATGCCAGTTACAAATAGCTTATTTTTGGTCGTAAATTTGTTAGTCGTTTCTGTTGTCAACATTTCAAATGGTAAATATTTTATAATACTCAGCACAAAGTCCAGTGTATCAAGGTTTTTTCTTTGAATAAAGTGGAACAAATTTTCAAAGTGAAACAGCAATATTAAACAAATTTAAGATTGCAGATGTGATCACTATTGGGTTTTCAAAGTGAAACGGCAATATAAAAATTTCAGATTGCAGATGTGATCACTATTGGGTAAATAAGGGTTAATTTATCTCGGATCTGTTGGGTAGCCTTCAATAGTGCTGCTGGTTGCTTTGGGCCAAACAGGAAATAATCGACAAACCTTTGCACTCTGAATTGGGGCTGTTCTGAATATAGGCCTACCAAATATTCGAAAATTCGATCAATTACCAAATATTCGAATAGCTTTTGGCCAGTTCGAGTATTTGAACTATAAAAAGGTACGTACATACACACATGTGACTGTGATGTTATTTTATTGTATAGTTTGGTGCTTTATTGTCAGATGCCACTTTATTTTTGTCAACGGTAACTTTATTGATAACGACAGTTTGTTGCTCCATCCTTACCAGGTTAAATCCCTTGACAGATAAAACATACTTAGGCCTTCTGCGAAACACTCCAGCGACCCGAAATATTGACGCACTGCACAAATTTTAAGTGGCACACTATGCATACAGCTTTTGCCCAGAGCGACACGCTGTTGCAGCTGGTAAATTATGTAAAACTTGATCAGCAAGTTTTAAATAATGCAGTTTCGAATGATTGCATACTAATTTATTCTCTTCTAAAAAAAGAAGTTACCCAACAGGAAACAGTGATGCAACATCGGCAGAAATATCAGAATGGTTTCCTTCCTCAAATAAAATTACATGTATGTAGTGCATTAAATACATCTAAACATTCCTTTTTGTTGTGCTCTATATGTTGTTTTGTATAAATACACCTACATGTACATGTATCGTGGCAGCATGACAATCAAAAAGTTAACCTGTCAAGGATGTTCAAAGAATATGTGCACGTACGTGTACATTTGTACATGGTGTACAATAGACTGGATTTCTGTATTTGAGTTAGTGAGATGTACATATACATGTCTTGTACATTCACATGAAATTTTCACTTTTCAGTTTGTTCCTTCCTAAAATCCAGATAATGCTCAGTGGGAAAGCAAAAAAATACACAAATTTGTGACGAATGTCAAGTTTTTGCACTGTTGAACACGTTTCAACTCCGGCAAATTTTGGAGTATTAAAATATTTCAATATATGGCATTTGCCTTGACCTCAAGTACCGTACGTGGCAATTTTAGGAAGTCTAGGATTACTCACTTGTTTCATTTTATTGTCTCAATGTGTGTTCCAGTACACGAATTTCCATGAGTGTGAGTATGAGTACTTTGCCATGAGTACGAGTACTTTCTCATGAGTACGAGTTTGAGTACAAGGCCATTTTTTTCCCCATGAGTACAAGTACGGTACAAGTACTAACAAAGTTTACTCAAGTACGGGTACAAGTACTAAGTACGAGTATTTTCCACAAGCAGGAGCCAATTTAAAGCTAGAGTTCATCATTTGCAGCTATCCGAAAAGTAACTGGCATAATTATTGTTGAAAAACAAACTTGGTTGAAAGATAGTAAGGGAACTAAACTCCCTGTGAAATTATTCTTTCTGGGAAGCTGTCATTTTGAAGTAATCAAGGAAAGAAGGCCTTTCCAACGGTGATTCTTAAGAAGCACCGTAGCAAAATTTAAATTAGTTGTTCGTTTTGTTATTCAGCGCAGCGCGCACAAGTATTGGAACGACGCACACGCGTGCGCGGTTGTTGTAATTCGTCGGATCAGTGCGCGACGTCGCGTATAGCTACAATTCAAAACAATTCAAAACATGATTCGGTAACTTTTGATTTGAAATTGAGATCTTAGAATGCTGTTTTTCTTGGAATGTACAGCTGAAGCTTAGCTGAAACTTCATCAGGTTAGTTGCTCAGTATCCTTCATTAGATTTTGAACTCTTTTATTGCTTCAAACGAACAAAATGCACAAATTACAAATGATGGACTGTAGCTTTAAATGGGTACACGTGTTCTCAAGGGCTTTTTGCTGTCACAATAGGCATTAAACAATTGCAGTAACCTCCCGAACAGAAGAAAACTGGTTCTTTTCCTGCATGTTCCTCTGAATCTTTTTTAAATTGTAGCAGAAGAATGAGGATGAGTACTTTGTCATGTGTACAAGTACGAGTACAGTAATTTTTTTTTCTTGCGAGTTAAAGCATGAGTACAAGCATGCGTATGAGTATGAGTAGAAGTCTATTTGGCTAATCTGTGGAGACCTTGTTTCGCTTTTCAGACCTACACACAATACATCCCCTTGTCAGTCTACGACCTTCAGTCCTGGATGGGCAGCCCTTCCATATTTGTCTACGATTGCTCCAATGCTGGCCTCATCCTGGAGTCCTTCGAGCAGTTTGCCGTTCAGAAGGAGCAAGAGAGAGAGGTAAAGGTAAAAGCCATCTTTATTATTTTTTTTATTTATTGTTATATTTTTTGTAGAACTTTGTTAAAGGTAATATACAACATTTGCAAACATCAAAAAACAAGACTACCAAATTATCATGAAATACCTTACTTGACTGTAAGTGAATAATAGTCTCAAGCATCCTGTGAAATCATGGCACCTGGTGTGCTGTCATTTTCAAGAAAAGAGGATTTTTTGTGACAATTGCAAACGATGGTCGGCTGACCATCATTGGGAAAAAAATTTTTTTCTCAAATACTGCCCCCAATTTACCAAATTTAGTTAGTCCATATTTGGTTTGCAATCTGTTATACATATGTGAACAGGTGCAAGCCAGCTAGTCTGGTTCCCTGACCTGACAATTTCCTGAAGTCTATAAATTGCTCCGTTTCGTCTGAAGTAGGGTCATGGAACCAGACTACAAAAATAGGGTTAGGGTTAGGGTTAGGGGTTTTTTTTCTGAGGGATTTTTTTCCCCTAGCTTCGATGAACATAAAACTTTGAACAGGCCAGTGCAACAATATTTGCTATAAAAGGCTAACTCCCAAATCCATCCATTTCTGAAAATTACAGCAAAACCAAATGTTGTATATTACCTTTTAAAGGCATTTAGGATCATTTGCATTTATCCCAAAAGTAACCTTCCGAATTATTATCAAAAACCTTCTTGAAATGTGTAATATCCACTGAGTTGAAACTTCAACAGGTTATGTTATGAACATTCTTTGTTGGATTTTGAGTGGTGTCATTATTGCCAATGAACAAAATGCTTGAAAAGCATATGATCCTGCTTTTAAAGTCTCCTTTTTGAATATGTCATTTCAGCTGGCCAGCATCAACAGCCACTCCCTGTCCAACTCCCAGGCCCCTGTCCCCGCACCAGCCAAGAACTGCATCCAGCTAGCATCTTGCGGTCCCAACGAGCAGCTGCCCATGAATCCGGAGCTTCCAGCGGACCTCTTCACGGCCTGTTTGTCTACGCCGATTAAAATAGCTCTCAGATGGTAACTCTTACTTTCTTTTTGCTTCTCTTCAAGATAGAGCTGTTGCGTTTCCTTTGGGGTTCCTGCTTCTGTTTTATAGAGATGTACATAAGTAGACCTCTTGTGCATTGATTGTTACTGAATTTAAACAAGAAGCAACTCCATAAAGATGGCCGCCGGATGAAAAGGCTCTATAATGACATGGAAGATTTAGAAAATATGGCGATTTTTTTCTGCAAATTGTTTCCTTATCATCTCCTCATTTCTGGTAACTTATAAAAATGAGCATGTCTTTTCTTTGGGGTTTTGCACCATGAAAACTATATTTTCAAGTTATGAGCTTTCCAGTGAGACATTGTGTTAAAACATTGGTCGACTTTATTTAAAGATTCGGTAAATTTCCAAGTTTGAAAATTGTTATATATTCGGGTGCCACAAGTTGACGTCAGTTTAATTTGTTGTCATTTTCATTTATAGGTTTTGTTTACAGAAGAGCAGTGAATTGGTGCCGGGCGTTACAGCAGAACTTGTAGACAAGTAAGTCATTCCACACAATTCTTTTATGTTGCCTTCCACAATTGCGTTTATGAGAATTGGCACACTGGCAAATTTCAGCTGCTGGAGTAAATTAATAGCCTGATACATTATCCCTCCTCCAAATTCCGTCAAGAATTGAGCTCCTATGAGCTCCGTGCGCTACCAAAAGAGGGCGCCCTTTTACCTAACAACAACGTCCCATGGGCGGGACATTTCGCTGGTTGACGCGCACCGTTCCTTGTGTGTGACGCACGTACACCAGGGGATTTGTTCTATGTACACGCAGTGGCCGCGCTTCGCGGCAAATGAATTGCAGTCAGGCAAGATGGCGTCGGTTGGTCACCCCCAACTGTACTTCCTTTGCCGGTGAGGGGGTGCTTGTGAATGGAGCGGATAGATGGCCGCCACAAAATTATAACTGGCTAGACAACTCTCTTAAAACCTCTCGTTGAAAACACTAATTAATGAGTATTAGCTAAAAATGTTTTAGTCTTTGTTCAGAGGGTGGTAGTCAGAAGCCATAAACCCATAAAGATATTGACAGATTGGGGAACTGCCAACAAAGGGCTGGATAGCTCAGTTGGTGGAGCACTGGAACGGCAATCCGGAGGTCTCAGGTTCAAACCCACTCCAGTCTTTTTCTTTGTTCAACTTTGAAATCTTACTTTAAAGTCTGCAACAGAACATTGCAATGTCAACGGCAGAGACCAATGTTTTGTTTGTCCTCGTGTTGTAGACTACCGGGTAGATTGAATGACAGGAGGACGCCCTTAGGAGAGCTGAACTGGATCTTCACTGCTGTCACGGATACCATAGCATGGAATGTGCTACCTAGAGGTGAGGTTTGCCCATTGGAAGAAGGAGTTTTCTTTGATATGTGAGCTGCATGTATGTATAGCTCTCACCAGAAATTCAGACGAGTTCTCTCAAGTCATCGCAAATCAGTCACAAGTCCTCCAGCGTGAAGACAAGTAACAGGCTTTTCAAGTGACTGTGGCAAAGGCTTTCCTTTATCGTGGAGTGCCATGGCCTAGTGGGGGGAGTGCCACGGCCTAGTTGTCTGGGGCATTTAATTTGTGGTCTGTGAGTAGTTTTGTGGGTTGTGGGTTCGAGTCCAGCCTGGGGTTGTGGTACGTGTGCCCTTGGGCAAGGCACTTTGCCACTCATTGCTTCTCTCCACCCAGGAGTAAATGGGTACCTGTGAGGGCAAAGGTGGTTATTGTAGTTGATTTCAGCTGCTTTGCGCCGAAATGGCAGCATCGAGCTGTATACTCCCAGGGAGCTGAGATTGTCTTTGGAATGTTTCATTGGCCCAATGAGCAGGGTAATAATTACGTAGCGCCTTGAGCACCACTAATGGTGGATACGTGCGCTTCATATATTTATACCCATTATTATTATGATAATTCCTCCTCTGTTACTTGTGGTCTTACTTGTTATGTGACTTGTGATATGTGGCCGAAGTTGTCGTGTTTAATACTCGGAGGTGAACTTGGTGCGGTCATAGTACGCATTTCACAAGCACTGCAGCGGCCCAACGTGAACACAGTGTTTAGCTTTTTTACTTTGTCTTTGACTTCAGAGTTATTCCAGAGGTTATTCAGACAGGATCTTCTAGTCGCGAGTCTTTACAGGAATTTCCTTCTAGCAGAGAGGATCATGAGGTCGTTCAACTGCACGCCCATGTCTAGTCCTAGGCTACCGCCCACCTACCAACACACTATGTGGTGAGGAACATTGAATATTTTATTTTACAGAAATATGACTTGTTAACAAACTAAAAAAATTAAAATGACTTGATAATATGTCTGTTAATTCTTTTTATTTAAGGTTGTTCTTGGTAAAAAAGTGAAGGATTTGTCAAGAATGCAAATGTCACTTTTAAATTCTGTGGCTATAAAATATAACCATGAATTCTCTATCAGAAGGAAAAATGGTCACAACCTGTGCGTTGTACGGTTGTCATAATTGTGTCGACCCATCACTTGGTGTTGGCTCTGTGTTTTTTCTCAAAACTTTTGCCATCAGTCACAGCTTTGAAAGGCTTGCCTACTACCTACTGTGTGCAGTGCTATACAAACTTTGCCTACTACAATGGCGACGCTGACTTTCCGGTACCCAGATGTAGGCCAGGTCACGTTGGTCAGTGAGAGAGACCTATAGACCCTTATCATGCTGCAACCATTTCAGTCATGTTCCCTGTATCCAATAACAGTACTGATTGATAATGTTTTTTGTGCAAAAAGGAACCAGACTATTTTTTTTTCCAGCCTCGCTTTGGTAACGTTGATTTGAATGGGAAAAATCAAGATGGCCGCAACATGATAATGGTTTGTAGCCTTAGGCTTCAATATATGTGATGCAATCAAGCTAAATGAGTCATTTGTCGACCCTGGTTACCTTTTTTTTTATTACAGTTGTGAAAAGAGCACATTCTCAGCATTACTGATGTGAAAACTGCATGCTGATGCCATCTTTAGTTAAAAAATTATGGAAGTCAGAACACTAAGAGATGTGATGTAGTGATGTGATGAAGTGGCCCTATTTTGGCCTGGACTCCAAATGAAAGTTCCCGACAAACGACTCATTTAGCTTGATGGCATCACATATGAGAAATATCTAGGGAAATGCTGCCAACACACTTAGCCGCAGCCATGAGTGCCCATTTTGGACACGGCTTGATTTCCAGTATATATTCACTGTGTTGTCACTGCAGGCAAGCCTGGGACCTAGCCTTAGACGTCTGCCTAGCCCAGCTGCCGGGCCTCTTACAGGGGGAGGAGTACGTTCACAGTCCCTTCTTTGCTGAGCAACTCACAGCTTTTCAGGTCTGGCTGACCATGGGTTCGGAGAGGAGGAACCCACCTGAACAACTCCCTATCGTACTGCAGGTCAGGTTTAATATTCTCAAAGGTTTCATCGAAGGGCATTTTTTTTCAATTTTCACTGAAGCTGAGGGTCTCAGTGCTGTATTTTGTTAAGAGGATTTATTTTTAAAAAAATCCTCAGTTCATACAATGGCTTAGCACTGAGAGCATTGGTTTCAGTGCTAAGTTGTAATATGTCTATTCAAATACCTCAGTGCCAAAACTCAAAAAATCCAAATGCCACAAATGAAGCATGAATATCATTTTGAAGCTTATTATCTGTATTTGATTTTAATATAGTTTATTTCTAACACTGTTCAACAGTTCAGCTGTAACTGAAAAAAAATACCAAAAGTACACTAAAAAAATCAATTTGTCTGAGTACGTCCGACAACATAGTGTGTTGAGCCGATTTGTACTACGGAAAGAACATTAGATGAATATTTCTGTTTTAAAACATTGTTGTAATTAACTGATATGCTTTACCAGAATTAAATCCACTTTACATTTATAATGTTATTATGCACACTGTTCGAATTGTCCAAAATGTATGTCTGACACCGCGGAACTGACCAGAAATCAAAATGAGATAAATTCTTTACCGAAAAATATCTTTCAGGAAAAAAAATGTGTGTTTTTTGTGTGTAGTAAGTGAATTTCTTGTCGTTTCACCATTACAGGTTCTCCTAAGTCAAGTCCACAGGTTACGAGCACTCGACCTCCTAGGACGATTCCTGGACTTGGGTCCCTGGGCTGTCAGCTTGGTTAGTCGGTGTTTAACCTTCAAGACATATAGGATCATTTGCTTTTTATGCATTTTGTTTGCTTCCAGTAATACCACCGTTCAAAACTCCAAAGAAGAATGTTCTAAACCTAACCTGTTGAAGTCTCAGCTCAGTGGATATTACACTTTTTGAGAAAACGGTGAAAAACCATGAATACCTTTAACCATGAATACCTTTTCATCACGAAACACGATTTCTTTATTTAAAAAATCAGTCAATTGGGTGATTGTTGGATATCACCTACATTTCTTGATTGCTTCTAAATGACAGCAAGCAAGATGGATTTAAAAGGTTTCAAGCAAAGATCCCTTTGTGCTGCTCCAGTTTAATCTCATGTTTTGTTTTTTTAAGCTGAAAGCGTTTTTTGTTTGTTTTAAACACTTGAAACTTTATAAATATATGTTATTGCTAAATTCATGTCAGGACAAAGAAGCACAAATTGCGGTACTGATATGTTTGTGTTGTAATTGATAATTTTGGAAATAAAGTTTTGAAAGTTTATTTGCTATGCTTTTTTAAAATTTATTTATTACTTCTTTTTTAATCATATTTGTATCCTTTTTTTGTCTGCCCGCAGGCCTTGTCGGTCGGAATCTTCCCCTATGTCCTCAAACTTCTTCAGAGTTCGGCCAGGGAGCTCAGACCACTTCTTGTCTTCATATGGGCCAAGATACTTGCTGTCGACAGGGTGAGAGGGATGTGGCCATTAGCTGTGGCCGCGGTTGCGGCTGCGGTAGTGCTGTTTCATTTGAAAGACAACAAATTCAAAATTGGAACATTCCTTGGCTTGATGATGCTTTTTGAGTGAAGGGTGCTTTTTAAATGAGTGATTGTGGATTACTGTGGTCCAACGGTTACGTTGTTCGACTCATGCGTCGTGGTACGTGGGTTCGAACCCTGACGGAGAAAATGGTGCTTGTGTTCTTGGGCAAGACACTTTACTACAATTGCCTCTCTCCACCCAGGAGTATAAATGGGTGCATGTGAAGGTAGAGACCAGAATGCGCTGATCTCGAACTGCTGCCGACAAAAAAAATGGTCTCATGGCCTGATGAACAGGGGTAATAATTGTGAAGCGCTTTGAGACCTTTGATATGAAGCACTATATAAGCACCACATTATAATTATTACAAATTACAGGGTTGTTAGATTTGCCCATATGCTAACACACATGCACAGTGATGCAAGTAAAATCTATAAAAAGACCCTGCTTTTCTTGTCAACAGTTGACTGATGTTGTGAAAAGTATGGCAGGTTTTTACAGTGTAGAAATTGCAAATTTAATGTGAATGTTTTTTTTTCAGTCCTGCAAAGCAGACTTGGTGAAAGACAACGGTCATAAGTATTTTCTGTCTGTGCTTGCAGATCCATATATGCCGGTGAGTTTGGACAAAGGCTTCAAAACATAGGAAAGTTAGGGAAGAGATTAAAACTATTTTTTTTAGTTATTTTTTTTTTTAAATTCTGAGGATCTTGTTTTAGAAACTGTTTGGAAATCTTGAGGAAGTTAGAGAACATTTCTGGAAAGTTTTTTTTGCTAAAAATGCAGACAAATTTTGTCGTGCAAAAATCATGGAATTCATTTCCGTGGAAACTAGTGAATTAAAATGGCAAAAAAATAACAAAAGCTAGTCTCTGTAATTTGTTGGTCTTATTATTTTCTTTATTATGTGTAGGCCGAGCACAGAACAATGGCTGCCTTTGTGTTGGCTATGATTGTCGAGGACTACGCCAACGGACAAGTGAGTTGGATTTTTGAATAACAATAGAAATAAGAGGGATCCTGCAATTAAACCTCTTTGTGGGAAGTCAATATTCAGTAATATGTAAAACCCAAACAAGTGTGTATTTGCCTGTAGTCAGGGACCCCTATTGCCCCTCTGTTTTTGTACTTGAACTTTTTAGGACGACCTCCAATATGTTTTGTACGCGAATCCAAATTTGGGACCTCTCGGAATCAGGGACCCGATTGTCCTCTATTGTTCAACGTGCCTTATTGAATGCAGAAACAAACTCTTTAAAAACCCTGCAGATCAGTTTCAGGTGAAGGGATATGGAGTGTTAACTAATGATGTCATACAGAGAGTCACTGAACAAAAACAGCACTGTGGAGAGCAGTGAAGCGTGACCGAATCTGCCTGCTTGCCCTGAGCTTAACCACTCCAAAGAATTGTGCAGGGATTTGAAGTGTTATCCATACTGATTTTGATGAAATTTGTGCCAGAATATTTGCAAACACTGGTCTAATAACTCACGTAAGAGACAGCCCAAAAACCTTGCAGTGATGATAGCAGCAAACCGGCGAATGGATATAAATCTAATCTTGTTCAATCCCAGGAAGCGGCGTTGCAAGGCAACGTCATCGCCATCTGTCTAGAACAGCTGAACGACACCCACGCCTTGCTGCGCCAGTGGCTGGCCCTGTGCCTAGCCAGGGTCTGGACGATGTTTGAAGCGGCCCGGTGGTGCGGCGTCAGGGACAGCGCCCACGAGAAGCTGTACAGGCTACTCAGTGATCCACTACCAGAGGTATTGACATGCATGTGGATTTCTTTGTCAAACCAATTTTTATTTATTTCTCAAAAACAAAGTGAGTGAGAATGGAATGAAAGTTGTCATCTTGAGGCGAAATGTGACATAAAGGATATTGAGAACATGACATTTGCAGGATGCTTTGCTGATTATCACGGGAAAAATATGATCATTCCTAATATTTTTTTCAGGACATGTTTATCATGTTAAATTTCTATAAACATCTTTATCCATAAATCCAAAATATATCTGCATTGAAATGATGAATCCTGTGTAATATGAGATAACTTAAGCACAAAATATAAAACGTCAACCAATAATTAGCCCAGTCGGAGTACAGAGCAAATCTGACGTCTTGAAAACATTTATGAATAAAAACAATTTGCAGTGCTGTTATGAAATTTGCTTTGCATTCAGGTTAAAACTTTTGACAAGGTCATTGTGACTTGAGCTGGTATTCAAAAGTGTTGTGATTACCCTCCTCCATTATGATTCAGTGATCCGTGTTCGGAGAATAATGGCAGATTTATGTCAAAGCAATATCCATTCTTTGCATGACATTTGTCCGTTCTACCAGGTCCGAGCATCGGCAGTGATAGCGCTGGGAACGTTCATCGGGAACGGGACAGAGAGGACAGACCATGCCATCAACATTGATCACAACGTGGGCATGACGCTCATCAACGTGGTGCAGGACGGAAGTCCCATTGTCAGAGAGGTATGAATATTCATCCTATACTTTTGTTTATATGAATATTTATTGGATGAAGTTTGGATGACACTCTTGGTGCAAGATAGACGTGAATATTTATGATCTGATGACTCCTCAAATGAATATTTATGATCTGATGATCCTCCTCAAAATGGTGAATAACAGAAACCCTATAGTAAGAGAGGTATGAATATTCATTGTGCTTTCCCCCCCCCCCATGTATTATTAAATTGTGATGATGTGGGGATGATGTTCATGTGGTGCATCACTGTAGTCCTACTTTTAGGTATGAGTATTCTCACTTCAACTTGTCTGCATGAGTATTTATGATTTACAAGAGTTCACCATGGTATCAACTACCACATGTAAGATTATGGGCCTTGTAGACTATGTTTGTTTTCAGGGTTTTTTTTTTTCGCAAGACGGCGGATGCTGTTTTTCTCAAAAAAAAATTCTAAGACTAGCTTTTAACCTAAAAATGGCTACTCATTCATGTTGGAAACATGAAGAAAAAAAATTATTAAGAAAAAAAGTATTAAGAAACAAGATATTTCTGATGGTGAAATTATTAGAAAATATGGCAGATTTTGCGATTAAAATGGATGCGCCAGGAAAAAAGAATGTGGGCAAGGACAAGAAACTGGTAAATTTCTATTTGGCCGAATAAAAACACTTCATTATTTCCCATCCCCGCAGCAACTGGTGGTGGCACTCTTCCAGCTCATCAAGCAGTTTGAGTCGCAGTTTGCCTCCATCGCCCGGCAGATCCTTGAAGAGGACCAGCGGAGCGATGAGAACCAGACGCCGGTGGGCGCCGGTGTAACCACTGGTGGGTGGCTGCTTGTGCACGACCCCCTGGGAGCCAATGGTATTGTCCCGTCACACCTTGCATTTGTCTTTGTTGAATATCGTGCACTGTTTGTGTATGTGTGTTTGAAGTTGTTGTCAGACTGTCAGTTTTTTAGAGTTTTCATTTCTAGAGTTGTGTTCTGTTTGTTGAAATTTGTTGTGGAGTTGCATATTGTGTTGTTTGATGTAGTTTTTTTTGTAATTAAAATTGCTCCTTACGCACTTGTACTGTTTTCTTCAGAGAGGAAATGTTCATGTCTTGTTCCCTGACTCGTTTCTGTAGTTATTAATGTGTATTTAGGCAGTAGTGGCAGCAGTGAAAAAATTTGGTCTTGCTCCCTGACTCTGGTCATGACTTTCGATTGCACTCTGGTGGTTTGCCTCGGGTATCAAGCAAAATGCGGTTTAGTGTGCTTTTTTGTGTGAGCATTGCGCATTCATGTTTTAGTGTTGTGTCCACATTGTTTAAAGCAGTGTGTTTTTGTTTGAGAAATCAGAATGTTGCGCTATAAGGGCGGCCTCAGGTTGATCTGCCATTTGCTTGCGCCGTGACAGAAGTGTCGCCATCAAACAGAAAATTCATGCTCAGGTCACAAAACTGAGAAGTCATGTGATTTTGGTGGAACAAATGACATCTCGACACAAAATAATCGCAACCATGCTCACGTCACCCACAATGCAATGGCGATTCCCCGGCATAGACGTAATCATGCGACGTCTTCAAAATGGCGGTGTGCGTGTTAATAACTATCAAACGATCTTCAACGGCCACGTCGGTTCTTTCCGCCATTTTTGCCGCAAGTCGATTGATGAATCATTTGATCCGGATGTCCGCACAACGTCGTTACTCCACACAGGTCAACTGCGATTGGTTCCCACCTGTCAGGAACATGTTTCGTCGCGGCGCAGAAGTTAGAGAAACCAAAACATTTAAGAACAAGATATAGCTGGTGTATCTTATTTCTGTAGTTGTGTGCAAGCATTTCTATGAAATTGGGCTCAGCGTTGTCATGGCTACAGTATATGTTTTTGTAAAGTCTTGTGTTGTTGCTTTTTCTATGAAATTGGGCTCAGCGTTGTCGTGGCTACAGTATGTTTTTGTAAAGTCTTGTGTTGTTGCTTTTGTGTATTTGTCTGTGCCTCCATCCAAATGCTGTTGCACAACCCCAGCCCCCCTCCCCCACCTACCCTTGTCCTGCCCCTCCCCCTTCCCTTCAATTTTCCAAATTCTGTATTCCTTAGCAGGGTTCCCAGCTACTCTGGAAATCAGGGATAACCTTGAAAACGAGTTTCAATATTTTTATTTCCAGTCGGGGAAAATGCAGGGAATTGGGGAAAAACTCCAGAAATCAGGAAAATATGACATCTCGGGCAATATGACAGTGACCCAGAAGGGAAAGGTTTTTGCCAGTTTGGCGTATGTGCGTCTTGTGCCATGTGTCCACGTTGTGTCCACTGACGGACTGGCTATGGTGGCTTCTCAGTATTTATGCAGTGTGAATATTACACACCTCTCCGGACAATAACAACTGGCTGTGCCACACCGCCTCTTGACTTCCCAGCAACCTCGTTAAAGTGAAAATATTTCTCATGGAATTTTTGGAAATTTCTCAGGGAAATATCAGGGAAACCTCAGGGATTTTCATTTTCATAAAGTGCTGGGAACCCTGCTAGTTTCATGTGTGTCATGTTGCATCCTCGTCATTTTGTTGTTGGGACCTACTGTTGGCTCAAATATGTTTTTGCCTGCCTTTCCCCCTCCCATTAAAAAAAAAACGCTTTTAAGGGGCACATTGTTTTTTATTTTAAACATGCAGTTTCACAGAAAAAAATGTTTTACAAAAATGAAAATTTGTGTATGATTTAAAAAAAAACCTCATAAAACATCACTCTTGATTTGCTGTGATCATTTCTAAACACATGTATGGATTAATCTACTGAATATTCATATTATTCATGCGTGCGATAATTATTGGTGAGAGTTTCTGTTTCTGTAATTTGTTTATTTTAAGTTGTGTTTTTTTTTCAGCAAGCATGCAAATCATCACTCGCTTATTTTTATCGAAAAGCCAATAATGTAATTGGTTCCGTGAATGAATTAAAAAAAAAAAAATTATTTTAATTTTTTTTTATAATTTTTTTTTTTTTCAGAATCGTGAATATTCTTTCCCAAATATCTTCAGCATATAGCCTTTCATAAAGAATCGCTCAATGCTCTTGTTGTTGTCAAGCGCATGTCCAAATCATGAAATTTCATCTGCAAAAACAACTCAAAACAAAAAGTGATTCACGTGTTGATTTCATGTGGTGCAACGTGTTCACTTTGGTGTTGGTGTTAATAGTAATTGCAGTGTCGTAAGTCTTGCACCCAGACTCATTCCCCTATTGTTACACACCATGTAGTCCCACAGGGTCAGGGTTCAACGAATCGGAGAATGTCCTTACAACAGGCCCCCTCCTCCGCCTCCAACTCCGCCTCCTTGCGACGGACCAATCAGCATCTACCTCACTCCACTAGTGCTGGCAACCTTCTGTCGTATGGTAGATATACACACACTGCCTTCAATCTTCACTCTAGTCTGGCTCCGGCAATCTCATGCTGTGATAGGGGGAAAAAAGGCTTTGTGCAAAACCAGGGGCATTTTAAGGCATATTGTTTTATCCCAAAAGTAACCTATCGAATTATTATCAAAAAGCTTACTTGTATTAAAGATTGTACTGGTACTAAACGCCTAGTGAAATTATTCCGTCTGGCTTGCTGTCATTTAGAAGAAATCAAGAAATGTAGATGATTTCCAATGATCAGTCAATTGACTGATTTTTGGAAATGAGGCGTGCAATGATCGAAATCGTGTTTCATCATCAAAAGGTTGCGAATGGTTTTTCACTGTTTTTTTTTCTCTCAAAAAGTGTAATATACACTGAGCTGAAACTCAACAAGTTAGGTTTTGAATATTCTTCTTTGGATTTTGAGTAGTGTTACTATAAATGGAAATGAATATAAAGTCATCTGTTAACTGGTTCCCATATCTGAGCTTCAGGATTGCACATTGCCTTTTTATGTACACGCTGACTGCATACCAGCGATTAATACAAAAGATGTCTAGGGCCTGCTGTTTCTTTCGGCATGCATTTTTAAAGAACCGTTTTTTTCTTGGTTTTTCTGCTGAAAGTCTGTTGACCTTTATTCTTATCCTTGGTTTTTCGGTTTCAATTCCCTTTTGATAATTTTGCTCTCTTGCCGTGCTTTCCAGTGTTTTTTAAGACTTGTCTTAGTGCGATCTTCAAACATCAAGCAGTTGTCTTCAAGCCGTTACAATAAGAAACTGCTCATTTTAATAATATAGACCATGTTTCCCACAGTTTTTATGAAAAAGCATGTGGTGGTCCAAAATGTGAGAAACTGGCACGACGTCTAAACAGTAGTTTCCATAGCAACGTATTAAGCTGGTTTGCCATCTTGCAACCACATTATAGAGCAAGTTCGCGTGAGGACCATTAGTCGACTAGTGGTTGATTCGTGGCGTAACTTGCGCCTATGCACTTACAGCAACGTGCGAACGCCTCCAGTCAAACGATGGTCAAAACATCATCACAAAACTCCTTGGTCCTGGCTCCCTGCTGTGCATTATGATGCATCAAGCTATTGGTTACCAGTGATGCAACATTGCCCTGGGGTCTGGTTTTAACTAGTCGACTAGAGTAGTCTAACCATTCTGCGTTCGAGCGAAGTTAGTCCTTGTCCAAACTTGCCCGTACATTTTGCAGAGGGATTTTGCGTCATTCGGCCATCTTTCTATCAGTTTCATTGCTTTCGCTTGCTTGAGACTCTTGCATAATTCGCTTTATGCTTTCAGCACTTTTGCAACATCTATTTTTTTCGTCCGTTCTTTTCCTGGGTAGATTTTACTTCTGCTGTTTGGCATGTTGTACATAAATGGAGGTAGAGGCCAACAATTTTAAGGTTACTGAGATTTTGGTCGACGACTGTTAAAGGCAGAGTGGACCATTTGCAGCTGTCCAAAAACTGACCAAATTATTTTTCAAAAGCATACTTGGTTTAAAGATAGTAATGAAGCTAAACTCCCTGTGAGATTATTCCTTCTGGCATGCTGTCATGATGAAGAAAACAATAAAAGGTCATTTCCAAAGATGTGTCAAGTAGCACATTTTTGGAAATTTCCATTTGTAGTTGGTTTGTAATTGAACGAATCCATGACCAGGATGTCAATAACGATGTCTGCAAATTTTAAAATTTTAAAATTTTAAATTGGAAAGATGTTCACTGTCTTATTGACAGTGTTAACTGGTTCACACAAATTTTCTTAAAAAGATTCTTGCCTATTCTGACCTTATCCTTTGTTAACATTGTCTTCTTTTTTTATGTCTTTGTGATTTCTTCTTTCTTGTGAAGGTCAGTGTCTTCACACTGTTTACTGCATGGTTGTTGCATGATCTTAGTATTTTGAACACATTTTGATCTTGTATGCATTAAACTAACCAATTCTTGCTTCCTACATGTGTATTAATCTTAACTATCATTGGTATTTGTGGAATTTCGTAACATCTTCCAGTAATTACTAACATTTTGACAGGTTTGTACATTGGAGTAAGGTTTTAGACCTAAACCTGGCAGCGGTCCAGAACTTGAGTTTAGTGCCGCATGTATTAACCTTTGGCAATTATCTTAACATTCTTTGCGCCTATTTAATACTGGTTGCGTACGCCATCTTGAACTAGTTTCCAGTCTCACCATACAGTTACTCAGCAAAATCAGTACAGCACCTTACTGTTGAATGGAATAGACTTAAAGTAGAAATAAACATTCCAGTTAAAAATAATTTATATCAACAGTCATATCAATGATACATCATAAAAACCAGATAGTTTTTCAAAACATATTTTGTTCATTTTTATGAAAGAAAAAAAATATGGTGCTGCACGGATTTTGCACGAATGGACAAAAATGCGACAAACTTGAGACAATATTAAAATGTACATTTTGAAATGTGCCAAATTAGGTCAACAGATGTCGAGGTCACCGAGCACGGGCAGTACCAACGCAGTCACCAACGGCGCTACAACGTCGTCGGGGAGTGGGGACGCCTACGCCGTCAACGGGCCGGTCCTGTTTGACAAAGTCCGTCGTCTGTCCCCGGGCGTCAACAACATCTTCTCATCCAGCTACAACAACGTGTATGCTCAGATCTGGAAGACCATGTTGGTCTTGGCGTCGGACTCCCTACCTGCAGTCAAAAGGCTGGCACAACAGCTGGTCAACCAGATCAATCTCAAGGTAACGGAAACTTGAGTTTTTTAACTGTTTGAACTATTATGTCAAGTTCCTGGGCTGCATAAAAAAAAAAGGGAACAAATCTGTGTTAACAGGAACGGAGTGTCCATCTCTCTTTCGTTAGCGATTGGGCCAGACTCATGCTGCTGTTGGGGGATCGCCACATCACCTCCACAGCGAGTCTGTTACCTTCCCAGCATTGAATAATGCCAGTACCCATTTAACACCTGGGTTGAGAGGGGTCATTGAGGCAAAGCGCCTTACTCAAGGGCGCAACACGCATGGCCACGGCGGGGCTCGAACCCACAATCTCATGATCATGAATCCTGTGCTCCACCGCTAGACCACATTGTATTGCATTGTATTGCATTGTATTGCATTGTATTACATTGTATTGCATTGTATTACATTGTATTGCATTGTATTGCGTTGTGTTACATTGTATTAGGTTGTATTGCATAGTTTACTATACTTACTAGTTAACTGCACTGCACCAGTCTGGATTGCACCAGGGGTGAGATTTGTCAGGATTTTTCCTGATTTCAGGATTTTTTGTGTGGATTTTTCCTGGTTTGAGAATTTTTAGAGAATCTCTTTTGAAATCTTAAATTCCTCAGGGTTTACCTGACAAGAGATTTGGATGTGGCTGAAGTATAATTCCAAGGAGAATTGAGGAGAGGATGGAATTACCAGCTTTTGATGAATCATGCATGTATACCTTGCTTATTACAGGCGACAGTCATGGCCAAGCCCCAGCATGTGCTACATGACAACAGAAGGGCCTCATCCTCGGCACCCAACAGCCCCTCTACCAGAAACCACAGCGCCTCTCCACAAAACCTAAGGTACGCCATCTTCAAATCCCTGCAAATCACTGTTTGACGAATGCCACAGTTTTGTTGAAAGCCACTTTACATGCGTAATTTGAGAGCTGCTGTGAGGAAAACTAGCTCATATTTCTTCTTTAAAATCTGTCTAATATCAGCCATTCTGCTACATGGAAAAAAATATGTTGTTAGGTATATAATGTTCTTCATATAGACCATTATCATGTTGCGGCCATCTTGATTTTTTTTTTTCCCATTCAAATCAACGTAACTAAAGCAAGGCTGGAAGGAAAAATAGTCTGGTTCCTTTTTATACAAAAAACATCATTCAGTACTGTTATTGGATACGGGGAACATGACTAAAATGGTGGCAGCTCGATAAAGGTCTATTATTTTAACAACTTGTTTTGCCAATTTTTGACAAGTGCAGGCATATGCAAATCCAGATCAATAGCCCGAATGTAAAACTTGATCAGCGCATTTCGAATATTCGATCAAGTCCAAATTGGAAAAATTTGAATGTTAAATTATTCGAAAAAATCCTCTTGTTTTCTCAGTGATTCGCCACCTCCCTCCACGCTCAACATCCCCAACGAGATCTTCAAACCGGTGCCCATCCGGGCCGGTGAGCAGCCGCCCCCAGCGAGGCCGCCCAACCCCGCCCCCATCGGCTCGCAGTTCCCCCACTCTCAGCAGTTCACGCGGGTGCGCAAGCTGTTCGACAAGGGACCCAGCATTGTGAGTAGTTGTCGTCATGGGGAGGGGGAGGGGGCCAAATTTGCGTTGCTGCTAAGAAGCAAATACTGCATAGCTAGTGGTGGGAGAAATCAGAGATTTTGAAATCCAGTTATTCTATTTTTTTTCAAACCGATTTCACTGGTTATCCGATTTCACCTGAGCAGTGTTGTCGAGACCATCACAAGACCAGACAAGACCAGACACAAGTAACAGGGCACGAACAATGACAGAGGAATGCCTTTGTTGCAGTTCATTTGAATAGCTTGTGACTTGAATTGAGACTGGAGGTCTTGTGTTGGACTTGTGATGGTCTTGCAGGGTCTCGACTACAACACTGGCACGGAATGCCGTCCGCGTTGATTTGGTATAGCTTGCAGGATTCAGTGACTCGACTGGGCCTTTACAAAATACACTCCCGAGCTGTAGTATTTAAATAATGGGTGGGAAGGCAACTTTAACGACTTGAGAATTAACCAACATTTTTTAATCAATTTGCAGACGTATGAAGAGTTGGAGGCTGTTACGGTGAACACAAAAGACCTGAACCTCTCCACTAACTTCACCAACTGGTGCTGCAAGTACTTCGCCCAGTCCGTCATGAGGGTAAGCCAACTTAAATGAAGTTCAGGCAGGTTCGTTTTCAGCTTGAAAGAACTTGCATTGCAATCCCGCCAAAAAAATTAACAATTTCAAGGCTCGCGAAAGTTATTGAAATCGCCATCTACTGTCCGTGCACGTAGTCCATATGCCATTAATTTATTCTTTTCTTTGCTCGTGAAATATTTATAGGCACCTGAGGAGATGGATCCGTACAGCACACTACATCAGGAGAGAGAGTGGAGGTTCCTACGCAACGCAGTATCACGGAAAGAAGCGAGGGAACAGCTACAACGAGCTGGTATGTCGGCTTTGGACAACTCCAGACCAAAAGAATCGATTATGGCTTCGTAATCAAAATTAGAACTTTACTTTTTTGTGTGGAATTGACTGTGTTGAGATTTGATTCTTGGAATACTTCAAAATAAAGTAACGATCGATTTTCAAAATTGAAGTTAGAATTTTTCTCTAATTTGGGGTGAATATGACTTCCTAAAGACTCAGTTGGAACTCATCCTGAATATTTTTTTTGTGGTGAATGACCCTGTTTTGGAGAGGGAGTCAAGTTTAAAATAACCTGGCAAATCTGAAAAACCTGTTTGGTCTCATTATGCTTGGTACATCAACGTTCTACTTTACTTCTCAAAAAGCTGACATTGTTTTTCATACTTTTTGTTGAATGATCTGAAAGTAATGGTTATTTTTTTTTATATCAATTTTCTAGCGACGAGTCGCCTAGACGACCAGATCTTCATCAATAGGAATCAAGGTATCCCCGTAGCCCTGCGCTTCCAGCATTTCAGTCCTCACATCGTTGTGGCCGACAAAGAAGGTGTATGGTAAGACTTTTCCCTGTGTTCAATTTTTTTGAATTCAGTCATTTTAATTGTCTTTTTTTTAAACCAAGTATAGAGAGTGCAAATCTCGTGAGTCCATGTCCACTTTTTATGTGAACGTCTTGGTACCAAACACTGTCTAGTCACAGACTCCCACATTTGAATTTACCCAATTGTGATCTGCATGATCTATTGAAGGGAAGTTGAGGTCATCAATTTTAATTTTGAAAATAGTCGTCAATTTGCAATATTTTAAATGTGTTGTAAATTGTAATACTTTTTTTCGTTTAAAATACCCATTTATTGCCCTTGATTGGATGGGCCATGTAAGGACACAAAATAATGCAAAAATAGGATGTTACACACGTTGTAGGTCTATCCTATACATGGTGCCCGGATGTGCAGTATTCTCATAAAATCTTGCAGGTTTTTGAAGTCAACTTGCACGCTCTATTGGATAATAATTTATGCTGTGTGAAAAAAACATGAAAGAAGAGATTCAAAACATGTTTTCCTGAATCTTTTCAGTGTGTGGAACTGGGAGAACGGAGAAAAGCTGAACTACTTCTCGCATCTGAACCACAAAGACACCAAGATCACGTCAATGGACATCATGAACGCACATGACATATCCCTACTAATGACTGGATGCGGTGAGTTCACGTCAAAAAATGAAAAAACAAAATCATGAAGGGGAGAGATTCATCAGGATTTCTTTCCTGATTTCAGTGATTTCAGGATTTTTGGTCAGGATTTTTCCTGGTTTCAGGATGTTTAAGGAATCCCTTTCGAATTCTGGATTTCCTTACATCAAAAGCACTTTTAGCTATAAAAGTTTATATAAAACAACAGGAATGGGTATTTTAGGGGTGACCTCAGGCAAATTTACATAAATACCATAGACTTTACATTACTCTTGGGCCCTCGGCGGCCCTTAAACCTTCTGCTTATCATTTAAATCAAGATTCATCTGATGCTAGACTATAATCCTGCTGAGGTAGATATTAATACTCGTCAACTCACATGCAATACTCTTGCTCTCAGGTTTATAATACATGTATTGCTAACACTAGTATATTTATTTGTTCTCTCAGACGACGGAGCTGTTCAGATATGGCGTAATTACTTACCAGACTCCAACGCACCTGTAGAGCTTGTTACCTCATGGCATGCTCTCTCCGACATGCTGCCCTCGGTCAAAGGTAGGCAGAGCCATCAGTTTCATTTGTAAAAATGATTATTGTACTCTCACACAATGAGAGGGAATGTGGCCTATCGGTTAGAGGTAGTGACTCGTGTTCAGAGGGTCAGGGATTCAAGTCCAGCTGCTGACCATATGTTGTGTCCTTGGGCAAGCCACTTCACCCCACTTTCTTCTCAAACCAGTATATAAGTAAATAAATTTATATAAATTGTGCTGTGTGCTGTTAATCGTGCCGACCCAGCTCACAATGTACTAGTGCATTGCGCTGTACGATATTTGCCAACTAAAATGGCGACGCTGACTTACCGGTACCCTGATATAGGTCAGGTCATGAGAGAGCCCTATTCTACAACACCATTTGTGTATTTTTCAGGAGCTGGTCTGGTCCTAGATTGGGAGCAGGAATCAGGGATGCTGCTAGCGTCGGGGGACGTACGAACCATCAGAGTCTGGGACACTCAGAGGGAACTTAAACTACAGGTAACTCGTCTGGAACACTACGGAAAATATTCCTCAGCTTTTTATTTTTTAAACCTAGCCAAGTGACCAGATGTATTTGTAAAACATGTTTTATAAAAGTTGAAAAAAAAAGGAAGTTGATTGGAGCAAGGTTTGAACCTGCGACCTCCGGATTGCCGTTCCGGTGCTCTACCAACATAGGTCTGGATAGCTCAGTTGGTAGAGCACCGGAACGGAAAATCTGGAGGTCACAAGTTCAAAATCCGCTCCAGTCAATTTAAAAGTACAGAGTATGTTTGATACTCGTTTTGAGGACTGGATTTCAAATTGAAAAACAAAAAAACAAAACTTCTCTTGAAATTATACAAAAGCTTGTCAATTCATATCAGTGTTATTTACCCTGGTTATGTATTTGATTTGATAGGATATACCAACCGGAGCAGATAGCTGCGTAACTAGCCTGGCCTGTGACTCAGTAGGCAGGTCGCTATTGATAGCTGGTTGTGGGGATGGCAGTGTCAGGCTATATGACAGGAGGCTGGCTCCAACAGAAAGGTAGGATCTGAAGTATATACCGATGCATTTTGGGGAGTGTGGCCTAGTGGTTAGGTTTGAGACTCATAATCATGAGTGTCAGGGGTTCGAATCCAGCCGCTGGCCATAGGTTGTGTCCTAGGTTGTGGCCTGATGGGCCACATTGGCTCATGACAATCGTTTATTCATGTATTTGGCTCAGGGATGCATATTCATAAGCAAAATAATAACCGCCAACATTACATTGAGAACTAAAAATGTGAATTGTGTTTCTATGTATACATGTTTATCTGTGTAGACATCTTTGTCTATATCTGCATGATTTTGCAATTTGTGCTCTGTTCATACACATTCAGCATTTGGCTCTTAATTAATTTTGTGTTCCAGTTTTCACTGTTCTTTTGGTGAAAATCTTGGCTAAAATTTACAGAGGAATCACGCAAATGTTTCATTGTTCAAATACTCCACAAGTAGATTAGTTTGAAATGTTTGACCAATGATTTAAAATATATCGCATACACAGTATAAGCATCGGAATTTATATAAAAAGAAGAGTGGCTTTTGTTTGACAATTCCTGAAAAGATCATAAATAACAGATTCATATTTTTTATGATTTGTTTTTTTCAGCCGAGTGATGACGTTAAGAGAGCACAACAGTTGGGTGGTCAACGTCCATCTTCAGAAAGGGGCCGGAGATGGCAAGATCATCAGTGCAAGGTAATTGACCATGATGGTTTTATTTCTAGTGTGCATTCTGCATTTGCAAACATTGGGTGGCGTGGTGCGTAAAGCACTCGCCTCTCACTGCTGTGGCCCGGGTTCGATTCCCGGCTTGGGTCATATGTGCGTAGAGTTGTCCATTGATTCTCTCCTGTGCCATGAAGGTTTTTCTCCAGGCTCTCCGGTTTTTCTCCCTCCGTAAAAATCATCATTTATTAAAATGTTGCACAACCTCTGATTTTTTTGTACAGATGCGGTTGAATTTTTTTTATTAGTAAGCAATTTAAGTCTTTAAGTTTAAATTTTTTAAAACAGTGTGAATGGGGACGTACGTTTCTGGGATCCACGCTTCACGGAATCGGTCAAACTCATCCAGACCAATTTCAACACGCTAACTACCATGGCCGTCCACCAGCAGGCTAATATATTTGCATGGTAAGTTTGAAGAAAAGTTTAAGTTAGCTTTAAGAAAATTGTACGTAAATGTCAACCAAAAAAAATTATAAGGGAGGTCGTGGGTTCGAGTCCCACCCGAGTGTTGAGTATTCAGTGTTTATACGTCGGTGAAGGGCAAAACCTAACTTGAAAAAAATATTATCACATCAGTTATGTCCTCAGAATTATAGTTTCCCCTACAGTGAAATATGTAAAGATTGTATCGTGGTCTTTGTTCCAACCGTTTTAAAGAAAATGTCTCAATTTTGAGTCAAGATGGATAACTTGATAAGGCAATAAAACAGCCTTTATTAAAATTTTGGTGTTCGACTTTCATGAGCTATGGAGGAGATGAGGTTTTTCTTTGCAGTAGCTGATCACTCTAAAATATTATTGTCCGTTACACTGAACTGACAGATTCCCTCATATTGTCTTATTCTCATATTCATATTCTCAATTTTCATTTTGACAGCGGTTCAGCCAATCAGCTCATCAGTGTCTTCAACATGTCCGGGGACACGCTCAGTAACATCAAGTACTACGAAGGGTTCATAGGTCAACGGATTGGTCCGGTCAGCTGCCTTGCGTTCCATCCACTCAAGGTTAGTCAACGTTATCTTAAAGTCCAGTATTGTGTTTATGATATTTAGTGCGCCACCAAGAGTTTGCCAAGGAGAGTTCATTTTCCAAGTGCATTGTGGGAGATGGTTGACAAATTCGCAGCGCGGCACATTTGAAATTGTTCGTTTTTACGGTCAGTTGTTTCGTCAGCATATGATTCAAGTATCTGTTTGATTCAAGTATCTGCCCTCTTCTTTTCGTTTTATCAACATTATGGTGTTGTAAGGCGGCAGAACACTATGCCCCAGTAGTCTATAACCAATTAGCTCAAGCTGTCTACCGACACTCATTCAAACGGGCAATGTTTTGTCGACCGTAAACTTGGAAAGTGGACTCTGCATGGCAAACTCTTGGTGGCGTACTGATTGTGAATCGCCCAAATTCTTTGTAATCGTTACTAAATTTTGAGATTGTTCTCTTTACAGGTTTATTTAGCATCAGGAAGCAGGGATTCCTTCCTCTCCATCTACTCCACGGAGAAGAAAACCAGATGATAGTCCGTAATAAACAGCTATTCAAGCATTTTACTTCGTACACCACCATTTCAGGATTTTTACTTTAAAAGACATACGGTCTAAAATCAAGTGACAACTGAAGAGCTCTTCCAATGAACTATGACAAGCAGGCCAGATGACCCAATAGGCACAGTAGGCACTGTGCCAAGGGCCGACGAAAATTCTGGGGCCAACAAAAAATGTGAGGGCCTACGAAAATACCGCAGTGTGCCAACAGGCTTATAGAGCTACCAGTTTGGCTGGTGTTGCTTACTAAAGCTTAGCATTAACATGAATTTGGTGCTAGTGCAGAGTAGGGCCTATAAACACTGGTGTCTAGGGCCTACGGAACGCTTAATCCGGCCCTGGTGATGAGGCATTCCTTTGTCAGTGTTCGTCCCCTATTTCTTGGGATCTGACTTGTGATTGACTTGAGGATTTTGATTCCACTGCGATGCCATACACAGGCATGCAACTGGGAATTTAGAAAAAATGAGAAAACTCCAAACCACACAAGACCTTGAACAGTATTTTCCATTTGTAATGGCATTCACGAGAAGTAAAAAACGAGGAAATCAGCAGATCCGAGGACAAGTTGCATGCCTGCATACAGAGTGATTGACTATTTGAATGTGTGCATTATTCCAAATGTACGTAACTTGTTATCCATTATACCATTTTTAGAAGAGGAAGAAAGTTGATTGACCTCCATTGATTTCAGGTTTATGACACTGCTTCCAAAGTGTTATGGAAAAATGAAGAAATGAAATATGTATCATAATCGACCCAGGCCCCTGGCTCATACAAAAAACCCAACCAAATTTGCCATTTTTTTCTCCTGTTTTGGCATGACCCTTGCCAAAAGTATTGCACAGGAATTGGAAAACAAATTCGACAAATGAATGAATTTTTTTTTTTTTAAGTTGAACATTTGACTGGAGCGGGGCTTGAACCTGCAACCTCCGGATTGCCGTTCCAGTGCTCTGCCCACTGAGCTATCCAGCTCTATGTTGGCAGTTCCCCATTTTTTCAATATTTTTGTTTAACAGGCACTAGACATTGGGGAACTACCAACATGGGGCTAAATAGCACAATAAAGTAGACCACTGGAACGGCAATCCGGTGGTTACAGGTTCAAGCCCCTGCTCCGCTCAATTTCTTTGTTCATCTTTTGAAAAAAAAAATATATAATGCACCTAGCCAGTTTACATCGGTGTATTCAAACACTTTTAAATGCACCGACAAGTTCTGAATTTTGGTCACTTTTATTAGGTTGTAGTGATGCCTTGAAAAGGCAGACAAATTGTAATTGTCTGCTTTGGACAGTTAAGCGCAACTTTTTTTTAAGCCAGTAAAGGATTTTAGATGATATTTCATACTCTTTGAGACACGACAGATTGAAGGGACACTTTGAAATTTGTAATTTTGTTAAAAAAATATATCGATTTTTGGTTAAATCAACCAATCAAACGAAGATGTGATCGAATGCTTCATATTCTTTTCAATGACCATTTAAGATGCGCATTTGAACCCAGTAAATGATTATTATTTTGCTAAGTTTCAAAACCACAATACTGTCTTTTTTTGTAAAGTGAACATAAATATTATGTAAATAGGACACTGTACATGAAACATAGTATAAAACATGTCCATAGATAAATCTTTATTGCCAACTTATTAAAATGTACCCAAAAAATAAACAAAAGCAGAAAAACTTTTTTGAAAAACTCAGAAAATGGCGGGACTCTTGTACATGTACTTCCGATATCCAAGGATTGTTTTAACTTAAAGACCGCTTTATAAGAAAAGGGAGTTGATAATTATATCCAAGTTTATATATTCGAGAAAATTATGAATATATGCAACTTAATAAACTGAATCAGTTTCCTGAAAATTTAATAAATTATTGTTTTAATATAAAAATGTAGTTTGGCATTTTGTTGAGGTGTGCTTATTCCTTTTCACATTGGCAATTGCATCCCTCAAGCCACGCCCATTGACGCTCGACCAATCACAGCCTATATTGATGTCCGACATGCTCACTCAAAAGTCTGACATGCGTGCACACCCATATGACGTGAGCACACACGCATATGACGCGCGCAGCTGGAACATGCACTTGTGGGATCGAAGAGGCGCACGTATTGTTTCCAATGCCCCACTTGCGCACTGGTAGGGGCTTATATGGAGTCTATTCTCTTTGTAACTTTGGCACCTGCATCCTTTGCTAATGGGAGATCATGTTGCTGTCTCTAAGCCCCCATTACATATTTCCATGGATGTTGAATCGCAAACCTTGTTCTCCAACTAGTTTTAGGGGTGCTCAAGTTCTGCCATTTGGAAGACTGCCACCTAGCGGATGGACTAAATATCTCTTGAATCCTCGTCCCAGAAGGAAGATCTCTGACGATTCTTTGCGACTGGCGTCCGGCCTCACCACTTTTACACCGCGAAATTCCGCCGCCAGTTTCTCCTTCAGTCGTCCGGTCTCGTGGCCGTCCCACAACTTGCAGAGGAAATGACCGTCCTCGCGCAAGATGTCCCGCGCAAACCCGAGCGCGGACTTGCACAGCCCGATGATGTTCTCGTGATCCATCTCGTGCATGCCGGTAGAGTTGGGCGCCATGTCGCTGAGCACGCTGTTCACAAGTTGCCCGTTGAGAAGTAACAGGATTCGTGACTGCGTCGCGGGGTGAGTGAAGTCCGATTCGGTGAGCAGGACGGCACCCTCTATTGGTTCAAAGTGTAGGAGGTCAACACTGATGACCTTTCCCATGGGCTTGTTTGGGTCTGGGATGGGGAAATTGAGCGGTAAACGAGTTAATACATTTGAGTTGCAACTACTGTGCAAATACGTTAATATTCTCACACAAGAGAAAAGGAAGAATCCATCCGCCATTTTGGAAAAATCCACCATTTTGAACAGCTCCTTTTTAAAAAAAATACAGACAAGATTTTTTTTTTAACTTGGCCTGACTGACACCAACCTGTTCCTTGTGCATTGACCTTTTCCACGGCAACCTGAGACCATGACCCTGGAGCAGCCCCACAATCCACCACTACATGCCCTGGTCTCAGCAGCCGAAACCTGGCATCGATTTCCAGGAGTTTGAAGGCGCTGCGAGCCCGATAGTTTTCAACCTGCAAACAGATGGAAATTGAAAGATTAAAGTTATAACATGCTCTGTTGAGATCAGTAGTTTACAAAGAAATATATTTTCCTGGCGAAGGCAGGTATATTTTACAAGACTTCAGGCCAAATTAAAAAACAAAAATTCTCGACGTCGCCCACTTCCTTTCTCCCGCCTGCCTCCGCTTTCCTTTTTTTTCTTCGTTTAATTCATAATTTTGCAATATATGTTGCAAATATATTGTAAACATATTGTCGTTTCATTTGTTTCCGATAAATAGCTTTGTAGAATGGGTTACCATCCTTTGGACACAACTTTGTAACGGCAAAAACTCAAGAAAATTGAAGAATCCATCCAACATCTTGGAAAATCTGCCTCCTTCATTTTTGTCGAAAGGCCAGGACGATCCAAGAAAGTATTATTTTTTTTCTTCAAAATTTAGCCTGAAAAGTCTAGTTTTGTCTTCTTCCAAAGTATGAGTTGGGGACACAACTACAACTTGGGAGTTGGGGTGGGGTGGGGTGGAGTGGGTTGGGGGTGGGGGTCTCAAGGGGTGGGTGCATGGGGATGAGTACACTGCTGCAGCATTCCTGGAATTGGGCCCAGGTTGGCCTTACCTTCGCTTGTTTCACGTAAGGATCATTGAACTGTCGACTGAGCCACTGCTGAGAACTTGGACTCTTTCCTTTCAATTTATTACTTGGCTTCTTGTTCCTCCACAGAACTCCTGATGTGTGGAAGCACTTCCTCCCCCATACCAAGAATGGATTCATCTCAGGAGAACGTTGATTGGTTTAAAGTCGTAATTGGACTGATCTATGTTTGATCATGGGTTACCATGTGGGTTTCTTGAAGTTTAAATATTTTTCATAAAACACATTCCAAATATGGAGGGTACGTGTTATTGCTCAACCAGAAAGCCTTCGTTAGGTTTTTACAATTTTGTAAGCTTTCAGAAAATTCCTTTGAAAGGACGAAATTTACATTTGATTTTTCATGACACACGAACTACACTTGCACTGTAGCAGCAAACGTTTCATGTGTAACACGTGCGTTTATTTACAGAAAATCCGCTATTGATTGGTAACCAGTAATTATGTATAATTTTCACTGAAAGTTCGGGAACCAGCTACCTGACCGACAGAATGACGTAATGATTAGTCTGGCTCCTCAACGTTCGAACAGGCGAATCAAGCATTTGTCGTAGGGGATACCAGATACCAGTCCACATAAATAAATCACAATGTTTGGACGAACGTCCGTCCGTTCTCTATTGAGATTTCTAAATGTCTCCCAAAAACAACTTACGAAAAATGCTCACTGCCGACGCTTTTGTTCTTCAGGTGAGTTGACGAATGCATTTTTCTGTGCCAATTATTATTGTGCAGTTACTTATTTCTTTGTGCATTAAAAATGTGTGACTTTGATGATGCTGTTTCCATCGACAGTGCACGGTGAATACGTTAGCGTGTATTTCCGACATTTATTTCTTGGTCACGTGAGGGCGCTTTTTGCAAGAGGCGATTGGATTAAAGTTTTCTTGAGTTACTTTCTTACGTAATATGGGGCTGCCAGTGTCGTTCATTTTTGTTCTAGGCTTATTCTTAATATTTTGTTTTGAAGCCAATATTTTTTTGAAGGCAAAATTTACGCTGTTGCTGTGTTAACTGGAGAAATAGTATTTTCTATTTTGGAAGTTTTCTAGTCTGTGCAACTTGGACCCTTCTGTATTGCCTTTTTTTTTCATTCAAATGTGGTCTGCCGGTAAATTGGACCCTACTTATTGCCTTTTTTTAACATGTTTAACATTCGACATGTGTCCGAATGTTAAAAAGAAGGCTAAATAAGTAGGGTCCAACTCCAAGTTACTCAGACTAGAAGTTTTCAACCCTCTGAAAATTTAAATGTTTTGAGTGGTTTTTGCACTAATATTGCACCACAAAAAAGATAAGTTTTATGCCTTAATTGCCGAAATAATTATCTGGCTGCAAATAATTCTAAATTTGTATGGAAATTATGCCATTAATTAGGGGCCCATGTGGGCCAAGTTTTTTTGTATCATGTCTCATTCAAAAGTGAATAACCTTTGCATTGCTAGGAAAAGAGCAATTTCAAAACAATCAATTGTTTTTGGGGTGAGACTTGAACATAGTGTAAGGAGAGCAACAACATAAACAAAGAATGCCAATTTCAAAACTAGGCCTACTCCTTTCTAATTTTAATTAAAGCTGTTGGTGTTTTTTCAAGTTTATAATATTTTCTCTCTCTACATGTATGTGTCCTGCCCTCCAATCCAGCAAGCTATAATCCAGATGAAGTCAGCGCAGGGAAGCCAAGTAGCCCCACTGGCATCTCAACAGCAGAACTGGCTGAGCAGAAGCAGGCAGAGCTCATCAGTGGTTTCAGGAATGTCATGAGGACTGTTCCATCTCCAGGTGGCTTGGTTTGCAATAATATTAATACCCCTAAAATTTAAGGGACTATACAACATTTGCAAACATTAAAAAACAAAACTACCAAAATATCACAAAGTAGTACTAGACTGTTTGTAAAATGATAGTCTAACACATCCTGTAAAATCATGGCACCTGGTGTGCTGACACTTTCAAGAGAAGTGGTATTTTTGTATCAATTTTCAACGATGGTAAAATAATGCGTTGAGTCTTCGCTTCATGCTGCAATTCAGTGTAATATTTCTATACTTATTTTCAGTTCATATAATTCACCCTCATTACTACCCACAATTATTTCTACACTAATCAGAGCCCTCTCATCCTCATTATACTACCCCTTGCCATTGCCACCCTACAATGTACACCAAGCAGTCTGGCCCTAATTAGTCACTCTGTCAAAAAAATCAAAGAGAAAACAGGCGAGACGCGTGGTTCGAGAACCACCTTGTTTCAAGAAGCATTGACAAGAACATGAAGAAACTATGTTTGAATCGGCCTACTGCAGTGGAAGGCAAGAAAAGGATGGCTTTGCAACCCGCCCTAAACCCTGTTTTAATGATTGAACTAAGTTTGTACAATTTTGTTTTTTTTTCTTTTCTCAGTGGTTGTAGTAACGGCAGCCCAGTATGTTGACTCAGAGTGTTGCATCAAGCGTGGCGTTACCTGTAGCTCCTTCGCCAGTGTCTCCATGCAGCCACCTGTTATATCATTCTGCATCACCAGACCAAGGTGAGCTAAGACATTCTTACCCCGCGTCCAAACCTATTGGCTGCGGCCAGCATTAACATACACTTCTATGGGAAGTGGCTGCAATCGCTAGCCTTATTAATTCTGTCCGCAGCCGTAACTTACGGACGCTACCTTATCCTTGCAACATATATGTGGGGTTGTTATAATTATTCAATCTTTTTGCATGTTTTAAGTGTCCTCTTTCCCCCTTCCACTTGATTTTTCGGGGGGAATGGGGTTGGGGGCAGAGAGATGTACCTTTTGTTTTGCCAGTTGTTAGATTAACGAAGCAGTAGACCACATAAACGAATGAATTTCAGTTTATTAAGGACTAAACTTTTGTATTACATCTAGCAAAATTAGTGGTAATGAAAATAATTTAGGCCATGAAGCTGGTAGCCCATCTTTAATCCTCTGCAACCATTTGCACCACATGGCTGAAAAAAGGGACACAAACCCCAAATAAAGCCTAAGAGAGTTAAATTTACGGTCTTTACTCCATGCGTCTGGTTGGGATTTATTTTAAGAAATTGTTTTTATTTTGCTTTTTTCCCCCAGTCGAATGCATTCCCTCCTAAAGGACACGAGGCACTTTGCTGTCAATGTACTCGCTGGAGATCAGGTGTGTGTGTAGAATTCTCTGCAAATTTCAATTTCTGCCATAAATGTTGCTAATGACATTTGCATCTTATCAGAGGAAGAACATGTACAGTTACTTTTGCGCAGTTCCAGATGCATAAATGTGTTTGTGTAAAACTGAACATAAAAAATATACAGCGCCCGGTTTTTAGGACCATCTCACAGCCGGTTGGGAGGGGGATTATGCCCCCCCCCCCTTCAGAACTTGGTCATAGAGAGATGTAATGAAATTATATTTGGCACGCATACTTGTGCATATAGATCTGAACTGATTCAAAGAATTTGATTTTCATAAGACCAAGTGTTTTTTAATTGCAAGTAATAGCACACTGTGACCACAGCAATCTGTAGTATCAATGTATTGTTTATGGGTAAATGCAATTTCCATGGTGCACACCCTCAAATATTGTTTCGCAGCGCGGTGACCCCGGAGGTCAGTTTCCATATTAAAATTTGGTATCAAAACGTACGCCAGACTTGAAACTAGAAAGGCATGAAAGCTCACGGCCAGAAATGCACGTCTGGCGAAAAATATTGCTAAAAAATTAGGAATCTGCCCCCCCCCCCAACCCTTTTAGGATTAAGTGAAAGACAGTAAATACGGTTCCTTGGTGATACAACATTATCTAGAAATTTTCTTATATTACCGACGAGATCTTTAGTACAAATCACAGCACTCCATGCAGACAATTTACACAAAGAGGTAAACCATTTTTTTTTTCGTTTGTGATGTTTTGTTGATAGGTTCATTATGGGGTCCATTTCTCCAAGCCAGCCAGGAATGGTGAAGACCAGTTCAGTGCGGTGCCTCACAAACTGGGCTTCTCAGTGAGTACTCAAGTTGTATCTCTTTAATGTCAGTATTGTGCTGAAACCATCAAAATCTGTACCCAAGTGTTTTATTTGATGAATCCAGGAATGTACAGCTTCACTACTATTACATTATTTGGGGCTAGATATCTCATTCATATAATAATATCAGAGAGCCTGTCACGTGGGTGGTCTTAAACTGCTGTTTGTACACTGGTCAGCGATGTTTAAGACCAGCAGTATTTTTATATATTTTTTCAAAATCAACTTACATCTTTTTGAGGGCATTACTGTCTGACTTTTGAATGGTTTCCTTTGTTTGTTAGGGCGTACCGCTCATTGAGGGTACAGCAGCCGTGCTGCAGTGCCAGGCCCACGATACCCACCTGATAGGTGATCATCATGTGTGGTACGGGGAGGTGCTGGAAACCAGTATGGACACGGGTACCGATGGACGACAGCCGCTGCTATACTTTGCCAGGTAAGTTGCGTGATCATTGTTGGTGCCGTTTTAGCAAGATCTTGCTGGGATCGTAAAATAGGGCACAATCTGTAAATATAAGGCCAATCTAGCCGGTTGACTGACAAGTTTTTTTTATATGTCTCATGACAGAAGCATTGATCAGTATATGTTTTCTTAATTACTCGAAAGTTGTTTTCGCAGTTTTATATATTTTTTGATACCATTTTGTTCCAAAAACGTAGCCATTTAATACAAAATTACATTCAATTAATACAGGATTTTAAAGTGCCCCTGTCAAAATTCTGAATATTTTTTTAAAATATGCACACTGTATGGAGCTTAGTATTTTTTAATGCATTATGCATAACAAAAATTAAAACTTTCAATGCCTGAAAGAAAAATTCCTCCATTCTCATTTTGTGAGATTGAGACACAAATGGACGAGAATCCCCTTCAGGGGAGATGGAAATATTCACCATGACATCATGTCAAGGAAACCAGGGATAAACCACTGGCCTTAGACGATTTTTTTACTGTTTCATTTTATAAATTTTTTGTTACAGCTCGTTCCGGTCGGTTGGCGACGAAGCTTTCATGCAAGCATTTGAAGACACCACGTTACTCTTTGATGACTGGTCGCACGAGGCGCACCTACGCATGGCCTGGAATTACATCAGGATACATGGCAAAGAGAACGCTATACCTGTAATAAGGTACAGAATTGGTTCAATTCTTTGCCAATACCCAATGTCATTGATCAGATTATCGTGAGCAGAGCATCACTGCGACTGCCAATGTGGATCTGATCCTATTACACAGATATATTTGTTACAAATATCCTGCATATCGAAAAAAGATTTCTAAACATATTTAAATTTTCACATTATGATAATATTTTTATTTTCTTCCCAGGAATGGCATCAAGAAGTACAACACACAACACAAAGACAAGGTTTGCGCTAATAACCTCTTTCTGGGAAATTTGCCCTTTTCACGCTCCGCCATAGGCATGCAGAGCCTTGATCTGGCAACTTTACACAATAAAAATAGCGTGCTTAGTGATCTGAACCCCGACACGGGAATCACTGAACCGGCTATATTTATTGTGTAAAGTTGCCAGATCAAGGCTCTGCATGCCTATGGCGGAAGTGTGAAAAGAGCAAATAGGGGGGACAAATTCACAAAAATATTGTGTTGTTTAATGGCAGACTCTTTGATGTTGAGATAAAATACCATTCAGTTATCAAGAAGTAATTTTAGCTCCACACTTCCATATGCATCAAACTCAACCAGAACCTTGATTTGGTTGTTGAGTTACAACATATTGTGTCTATATTTCATTAATTGTTTCTAAAATGAGTAAATAGCAGGTTCCAATTTCTTCATTTATTGGTCATCCTTCAAATTCACTTGGGTTGCTGTGCTTTCATATTTTCAATGCAACAAAGAATAAGAAAATTACAAATTATTAAAATTCAAGATTTAAAGGCATATAGGATCATTTGCTTTTCATGTATTTTCTTTGTTTCCAATAATTACACCAAATCTGAAGAAGAATGTTCAAAACCTAACTTGTTAAAGCTTCAGCTCAGTGGATATTACACTTGTCGAGAAAACAATGAAAAACAACGCACAACCGTTTTGATCATGAAACTTGGTAGCACTATTTCCAAAAAACAATCCATGGACTGATGGTAGGAAATCACCTACATTTCTTGATTTCTTAAAGACAGCAAGTCAGACGGAGTAATTTCACGGGGTTTTAGTACCATTGCAATTAGTATTTTAAAGATGCGAGTTTCCTCATTTGTTGTTTCTTCCAAGTTGCATGCCTGTCTTTAATCCAAGTAAATTTTTTGATAATAATTTGGTAGGTTACTTTTTGGATAAATGATCCTATATGCCTTTGAGGTTTTCTTGATTTTTTTGTACCTCGTTTTGTCATTTTGTAGGTGAAACGAGGCTACCATGAAACGGTGACCATGTTCTTTACCCATGTCATAGCCGATGCCATAAATCAGGTACGAGATTTTCACATGCATTTTTGGGGCTCGATGCACTTTTAAATTTGCAGGAGTTCAAAGTTAATTTCCTGGACAATTCTTTTCCTGTACCTCAAATTCTGGTCATGAAAAGTTTTAGGTGATGTCGCATCTGGTTGACTCGGTTTGTGTTACCAATTTGTTTAATTCTTTAACCCATTATTAGTCAACCCCTCAACTTGCTTGCCCGTAAGGGTGCAAAATTTATACACCCAAGTTATGACTGGGTGGCACTTTCAAACGTTCTGAATTTTCGTTAATACCATGAAGACTTCAATGGATTTGCGTTAGTGTTTTGTCTCTTTCTTGTATTAGTGTGAGAATGTAGACATGACGTTTGAGGAGTTTTTGAGTCAGAACAGCCATCTGACGGACTCCAATCTCATCTCTCAGTACTACTCAAAGCAACTCATCAGCTCACCAGCAGCAAGACTCAGGTCAGTACAAGCTGGTTACTCAGTGCAGCTCAAGAGAAAACTATTTGGAGTTTGCTATTTTCACACCATTTTGTCACAATGCATAGTGTGTCAGTGCAGGCATGTATGTGTCACTTTGTGGTCCTATGTGAACCAGTGATCAAGGACAGGTAAATGTTCATAAATCGTTATCTGATCCGTTTTCTAATTTTACGTTTAGTGCTCCACTGTTTGTTTTATAGTGGGTCCAAACCTACTTGGGTAGTATCAAAAACGAAGACCCCTAAAACGAAGACCGGAGACCCATTCCAAAACTAAGACCCACTCGAAAACGGGTCTTCGTTTTTGAGTGGGTCTTTGTTTTGGAATTGGTCTTAGGTCTTCGTTTTAGGGGCTTCATTTTCGATACTACCTGCCTATGTGTAGTAATGTTGTGAAGCAGTTGCACTCTTAACTTGGAAGCTTTAGTACTACATCTGTGAATTTGATTTTCTTTACCAGGTTTGAGCCTCCAGATCTTCAGGACCTACCAGGATTCAGCAGATGACCCCGAACGTACAATGTACCTCCCCATCCCGTAAAAAATGTGAAAAGTCAAGGTACAAATTAGATATTTCTTGACAAGGTGCAATGTAAATTCCTTCCCAATGTTATTTGTCAAAAAGGGTATGTACCTTACAGAGGACCAAATGAATTTCCCAGTGGTCAAAGCAAGTTAATGAAGTTGAAAAACGAAATGAAAACTCTGGCCAGTTGAATTTAATACATCATTGAAATTTAATGTATACACTTGTAGTTGGTACTTTCATCCATACTTGTTGGCATAAATGTAATGAGAACAGCTCATGGTGCTCGGCCCAAAAGCAGAGGTTTCAATAGGAAAAGTGTGAACACTGTCTATGTGTCAAGTGCTGTTCAGAATTGCAATTTAAAGACATGTTTAGAGAACTTTGTCTCAAGGATGCAGCGCTTGAAAGTTTAGCAAGCTGAATATCAATTATAGTACCAATCTGTTTAGCTTTGTCCCATGATGTGAGTGGGACATAATGTGCTGTATAGATCAAAAATGTATTAAAAAAAATTAAATGCTTACAATGACACTGCCTACAATTTACACATACGTGATTTTAGGTTTTTATAAATAAACGCAAAGTTGTGCGACTTATTACTTATTGCCTTTTGCGTATTTATAAAAAGGTACATCTCGGATATGTAAATTGGCCTTACTTGTGTTCATGCATTGTACGCGAATGTGCTAATGGATACTGCTATTAAACATACAATGTTATGTGAAAAATGTAGGAAAAAATACAATACTTTTTGTATTTGATCCAGTAATGAGATTATTCATATAAAATATATAACAAATTAAGACAGGGTATGACAGTATTAAGACATTGCAACCGCAGGTTCTCGTTAACTGTTTCCGATAACTTATAACACATTACATGTATAAAGCTTTGCTAAGTTTGCTTTGCTGAAATTAAAAACAAAAAGCACTTTCTTTGCAAAATGTAGCCTGTTTATGTTAACAGCCATTATAGAATTCTACAAATGCCATGAAGAAATACATACGTTTTGATCAATTTTGGTAAGACGTTTAACCAAAATTGAATATTAGTGTACACATTTTGATTATGTGAAAGATCGCACAATTTGTGTCTGTTGTACACAACCGCTTCTTAACCTAAAGTACAAGACGACCAAATTTCTGATTAATTTTAAATGTAATATGTGTGTTGTATTTTAAACTGAAATAAAGTGTATTTAAGAAGCCATTTATGGTCTTACAAAGTTGTGTTGACTAGCACGGTTGAAATGGAATTGTACTTCTGCAATTCCCAAGAAGTCATACATGTACCTTGTACGCAACCAATCTCCCTTATAAAAGGTGTGCTATGGCTGGAGTCTTTTCCAATGTTACTGTTCAGGAATCACACGCAATATTGGCATGTGAGATAATCTTACCAGTCACACATCTAGGTTTCCTTTAAAAGGCATCACACCAATGGTGTCTTCTGCCAACGTGGGCTAAAGCTTTGCTGTTTGATGCCAGCTCAACCATAACTTTCCAAAACTACTTGGCACAGTCAAACTTGACATCTAAAGGCATTCACACACATACTTCCCAAACTAGAAGCAAACTACCAAAAAGAACTTTCAGCACCACGGAGCCAACTATCCGGTTTTCTAAACAGTACCAAAATATCTTGTCTTCGGTGCAGAGTATTGCCATCATAACGGTTCCATGAACTCGTAGGTGTGCTTTGTTGCCTGGATGAGCATGGGGGATACAGCATGCTTGAAGCCACTGCTCACCTCTGTCTGGCACAGCAGCTTCCGAGCTAAACATTTTCTTTGATTCTCGTCCTGAAATTGTAAAACAGTATAAAAAACTCCTACTCAATAGACCATATCATGCATGTTTAATAAGTTGCACATTGAAGTCTCATGGAACCAACTTTCCAACAAACAAGTGAACCACTCTTCTACACTACATCAGCTGTATTAAGTGCTGTTGAACAAATACACATGGAGGATAGGAGGAAAAAGGCATGAAAAATACACCAAGGAGCTACATCAAAGGTGATGTGGTCTATTGGACTTGTGATAACATATGAAAAATGTTTGTTCTGTACTTCATGCAAACAGTAGGGTCCATTGCAAGTCCAGTCACAAGAAAATTACTAGTCCAGTCACAAATCTAGTCACAAGTCCAGTCACAAGTAAATCACAAGTCCAGTCATAAGTAAGTAACAAGTAAATCAAAAGTCCAGTTACAAGTCCAGTCACAAGTCCAGCGACAAGTCCAGTCACAAGTCCAGTCACAAGTCCAGTCACAAGTAAATCACAAATCCAGTCACAATTCCAGTCACAAGTCCAGTCACAAGTCCAGTCACAAGTCCAGTCACAATTCCAGTCACAAGTCCAGTCACAAGTCCAGTCACAAGTCCAGTTACAAGTCCAGATACAAGTCCAGTCACAAGTCCAGTCACAAGTCCAGCCACAAGTCATCACAAGTCCATTGTAAGTCCATCACAAGTCCAGTCACAAGCAAAAGTTGATGAACAATAACAAAGGAATGCCTGTGTCAAAGCTCATTTGAATAGTTTGTGAGTTGAATTGGGACTGGAGGACTTGTGATGGACTTGCAGGGACTTGTGATGAACCCGGACCAGGTCTGTGGCCCCTCAAAGTACCTGCAGACTTCCACACAGCATGGGCGAGTCATGAGCATCGCACAGCCCTGTGATGTTACTCATATCGGTACAGTGTAAGCTCTCGCTGGTTGCATTCAGGACCACGAAGCAAGCCCTGCCCAGGAAGTAGCTCACATCTAGCTCCTTGGCTGAGGCAACCGTTTTACTGATGCTGAAAAAAAAAAAACATGTAGAAATTCAAATGCTAAATAGAAATTGTTCAACATTTGTTCTTATCAGTGTGGTAGCTACATGTACATATTTCGTGTTAAATACAGTTTTTTTAATAGGGCCAATGAAGTGAACATAGACATGGACTGTTTACACTGGGCTTGATAGCTCAGTTGAAAAGGGGACTCCGTTGTCGAGCAGTATGACATTAGCGCTAGTAAACAGAAAGTTGTGGGTTCGAATCCCACCCGAGTAGTTTGTGATTTTATTTCTCGCCATCACTTTGGGCAACTCGGTGTTTATAAAAAATGTCAGTGCAAGGCAGAACCATAATTATATTGATTGTGCAGATTACTTTTCAATTTTGGAGAATTAGGCAACTCGGCCATTTCTGTACAATTATTCTAGCTCCACTTGAACATTTCTGGACATGGCACAGTGCACAAAAATGTCATACATACCTCATGTTGTTGTTAGCATCCAGCAGGAAGACCACAAAGTCAATCCGTGGCCGGCTCTCGCTGTTTTCAGCGGGCAGCGGCAGATGGGTGGCAGTCCGGCTACAGAGCCAAAAACAAAAACTTTATAACTTGATTCCAAATGTAATACATTAGTTTTAAAAAAATCATATAACTTTTTAACTGGTGTTTGTTGTCTTTGCAGCTAAAGTACCGAAGTGTGACGTCATTTTAACACCACTAGAAACCACACAAATTTTATCCGGAATCCAAACGTCACACAACTGTGAAAACTTTCCGAAACCTTCCTCAAAAACAAAACATACAAAAACTCCTATCAAGAAAAAAAAAGTATTGTGGGAGTGTTTTCCAGCAGATTTTCAGTAGTTTCTGAGTGTTTCCCGGTGTTTTATGACTTCCCTAATTTGCGAGTGGCATTACTAGGTTGACCTCTTATTATCATGTGACCATTGTGTTTTGCGTGATTGTTCAAATAAAAGCACACTAGTACTTACACTTGCAGTGAGTATGACGTGTTGAGTTCTAGGAGTGCCCCAGCCAGTCTGTGTTTACCTATGCCCTGCATTCCCACCAGCTTAAATGGGAACAAGAAGATAATGTAAACAGATTTTATTTTAAAAAGTCCAAGTAAAATCTCAATAGGTTTTAATATTCATTGTTTTACTACAAAATAATCAAAATAACAGTTGACATAGTAATAAAGCAGGTACATTACTGCAAGTAAAAACATGACAAATATTAGTGCCATAGTGGAGGAATTTGAAACCAAAAAAAATATATATTAATTAATTTCATGATTTTTCTTTCAACATTTTGGAAAGAATATCCACATGCCACTTCTTTGGTTGTGTACAAAGTCTATGGAGAGTCAATTGCATTTTCAAAATAATTTCTAACAAAATTGGAAATGTTTCTCACACAGTCCCAGTTTCATGTCTTTTCAACATTTTTGCAATGACTGGCCTTCATTGAGATAATATATGATAAAAAAGTGGCGTCAGGATGCAACATTCTTACCAAAATGTAAATCTATCATGATCAATATAGCCAAAAGAAAAACCATCTCCACTGAAAAAAACATTCTCAAGTCCAACATGTCCAATGCCGGCAATGTTATGTAAATTCTTGCAAAGTGTGTTTATGTTCAAAGAGTCTAAATTTTGTGCTAGACACGTTATTAATCACGGAGCACAAAAAGAAATATTACAAGAATTGTTGCTGTGTTCAATTCTGGTAGCTTGCTGTGCGAAGTAAATGCCATGATTTATCGATGAACGGACAAATAAAACTCATAAAAATCGAGCAGACGACAAACTGCACCGGCTGTTTCCATTCGAAATGTACGCCTTTTCTGTGCGAGTCTTGTCCCTTATTTCTTACGTGGTATTTACGCACAGCCATAAAAGGTGCCAGTCTGTGAGAGAAACGCTGTACCATCTGCCGATACGGACCGATTGCGAATAAACTGTTTTGAAAATCATTTGAAATGTTATGATTTCCTCAAGAAAATACAATAATACGAGTCTTATCTTGAAATAAAAATATTTCCTCATTTATTTGTTGTAAACAAAAGAGCATTTGGAAAGTTTTCCGAATATGTATCGTATTATTTTTAATTGGGTAGCGCTAAGTTCTAGCATGGGTCATACGGTGAAAACTTCAAAGCGTGATTGTTTCTCGATGTGGCGAAACACCTTGTACATTTCATGCCTTTGTAAATTGAGCATGTTGAGAGAAAACACACAGGAGTTAAAAGCGTAAAACAGCGGACATTTTTTGTGGTAAGTGATCCTCAAAACAAAATATGTCGTTCAGTTTCATGTCTTTTGTTGGCCTAAAAGTTTTTCGTGGTGTGTTGCACATGTTGCGCAAGTTAGGGCCTACCGGTAGAGGGCGTGCTTCAAAATAAAGATCTTTTCGTGTTGTTTTTGTATGTGTTGGGAAAATGTGCCTGTCTGTATAATTATAAATTGCTTTGGTAGTTTTGCACACAAAAAGAATGTTGCAAGCTGAAGCATTTTTTTTCTTTGTAAATTGTATATTGTTGATGTACCCTAACGTGGCGCGGCCCCTAACGTGGCGCACTTTGATTTTTTGCCTGTAGCGCCTAGCTAGAGCAAAAGTTTTAACTGAAATTTCACAGAAAGTGAAATTTCATCAAGTTATAAACACTCCCGTTCATAAATCGCGAATTTATTTACCCGCTACAAAGTTAAAAGAAAAACTTATTTTGGCGTGATTTTCCGATTTTATTTTCAAGTGCAAAGTGAACCCTTTGAAAATGCCCCGAAAAATAAGAAAATAATTTTGTGACAAACATCTGGCTGGGTATGTAAGTAGAGATAAGAATGATTTATCAGAATTTATCAAGTTTTCAGAAATTCTTAAATGTTAATTTGGAATTTTCCGAGATTTATTTAAGTGCGCCACGTTAGGGAACACTCCGCCAAATTGTGCCCAATTTCCGGACGCCACCGTTTTTTAATTTCGGCTTAAATTTTATGAAACCAAAATTGTTCACAAAGGTTAAACAGCAAGCATTAATAAGGTAAAAGTACCAGTATTTCACTGCATAAATTTGAGGTTTGTCAACAAAGAGGTTTGGCAACACTACACGAGGAAATTTGGGTAAGCTTCGAAGTGCGCCACGTTAGGGAACACGACTATATTATTATTTATCAGGAAAAACTGTTGCAACCTGACGCCACTTTTGGAAAAAATGTCACAACCTGTCGCCACTTCAGCGGTTGTTTACAATTACAAAGTCTAAGGAGAGTCAAGTATTTCCTAACAAAATTGGAAAAGTTTCTCAGTCCCAGATTATTCATGACTCATGTCATCATTTTTGCAATGACTGACCTTCATTGAGATGGTTGATATTTGAATGTCATTCATTGCAAACATGATGATTAGACATGAATCTGAGACTGAGCAACATTTCTATAATTGGCCCCATAAATGTGGCCCATTTATTGGACAACATCCGTTTATTTACGGAGGTAGCCTAGTAAATTGGCCACATTTTGGGGGCTAGGTAAGCACAGGAGTTTTCGATCGGGGAGCAAATTCGACCGCCTGTTACTAACCGCTCCATAAAATCCGTGCGATGATCTTCAGTTCCGGCCTTGATTGTTGTTTGTTGAGATGTCAGAACAGCTCCGTGAAATTGTCGTAATTGATTCCAATTTTGAAGGTGTTGCAGAGGTCACGTTATGGGATCAAGCAAGAACTATCGTATCGGGTTGAATTCCATACACAGATCCAACTTATCTGTCGCCATACACATGAATTTTCACCTCACCTTGTGATTTCATTGAAGACAAATCCAAGAGGCTGTGGCAATGTGAGTACATTTCAGTAAGGGCTGATTGTGTAATTTAGAGGTTTAATTCTTATTTTTCCTGAAAATATTTATTTTTAAGATGTAAAAGAGGTACAATGTACAAAGTGGTGAAAACGAAGAACTTTTTGTTAAAAACCAACCAATAGACCTATAACTCGCCCTAGGCCTAGCTACCGGTAGGCATTAATTTTTTTTTCGTTTTTAAGTATTTTATTTATATTACACTTCTTTACTCGGGGTACGTCAAACAGTTTAAAACTGGTTTCCATTGGGGCCCTACATTCAATACAAATGACTACACTGTACACACACGTGTAATTCATTACAAATACAATACAAAACACTGGAATGTAATAAAATATATAAGCACAAGGATTAATACATTATTACTCAGATAACTATTATAGATATTTTGCAACTATTACAACTATTACCATTTTTATGATATTGAGAAAGAAATATTGCTGTATGATTGCTGATTACGAGAGGGGCGAAAAACCCGCAATAAACCCTTTTGAGAGAAAACACTGGAAATTCCCATCCAGCTCCTTATTATTATGGCAACCAAGTCTACCAGCAGCATACATGGCTTTAGTTTACATTACATATTTTACATGAATTTTTAAAAATGGCAATGGCGATTTTATGTTTAAAAAAATATTTAACGTGTAAAATGTTTAAAAGAAATATTTCATAATGAACAAAATACAACTAAATTGCTAAGCCTACAACAGTCCTTTCTTTTAAGCGATGCCAATAACATGCGTTTCCTTTAAAACAGCCAGTGTTTATGCATACAATTATTTGTTAAGAATGGATTTCTGTTCATGCTGTCCATTTCATTTATCTGTCATCTGCTTATACTCAAATATCGATTGTATTTTTCAGATATATACATTCACAATGAGTCGAAGAGGCCATTATAAGACGTACATCCAAGAAAACTTAGAAAAAGCCGTGGAGAAAATAAAGTTAGGAGAGATTTCTGTTGGAAAAGCCAGCCTTGCCTATGGAATCCCCAAGACTACGCTCCTTGACAAGATGCACGGCCGCACCCCCCTTCAAACACGTCAAGGCCCAAATCCCATTCTGACAGACGAGGAGGAGTTGGGGCTTGTGACGTGGATCGCCCAAAAGCCCAAGATGAGCTACGGTCGCATGAAGCAGGAGCTGGCTTTGATGGTCAAGAAAATCCTTGACGAGAATGGCAGGCCGAATCCATTCAAGAAGAATACTCCGGGAAGATGTTGGATGAGGGGTTTCTTGAGGCGACATCCGGAGATTTCGACAAGAGTGCCGCAGCCGGTAGCACCAAGAGGCAAGCAGGGACGCCAGGGACAAGAACCCCCCGCAGTAAGCCCCTCTCAAAGTGGTGCCAAGAATGCGCTGGAAGCTCTCGAATCTGTGATTTCCTCCGAGAAGTTGCAGTTGTTTCAAAGGTGGCGGCAGGAGGAATATGATATGGGCAGGGATGACCTGTACCAGGCGTGGTCTGCGCTCAAACGAAAGGCAGCATTGACACAGCTCGACGAGAGAGAATATATGCCGGGGTCGTCTGGGGACAGAACCACGACTGAGAAGTCAGCTCATCACGCGGAGGATTCCAACAGACCGGGCCCTTCTGGCTACAAGCCAGCCAGAAGCACAAAGTCAGCACAGCCGACTGACGCCGACAGACCAGGCCCTTCTGGGCCCAAGCCAGCAACTTCAAAGGCTTTGTCTCCCTCCTGGGTCTCTGACAAACGCCTTCAATATCCAGAGGCATCCAGAGTCGGAAAGTCAAAAGAAAAGACAAACCGAAAAGACTCCGGAGAAACATTCACATCACATCTCATAGAAAAGGAGCAAAAGAAGAAGAATGAAGAAGAGCGCCGACAGAAACGTCAAGAGGAGCGAGAGAGGAAAAAGATGGAGGCCGAAGCCAAGAAGCGGAAAGCAAGCAAGTCCAAAGGCAAGTCTAAACGCACAACCGCTCATCCTAAACACACAACCGGAGATTCCGATGGAGACATCGAAATGGTTGAGGAGAACCAATGCGGCTCGTGCCATTGTCAGTACGACGACAATCCAGAGAACTGGATCGGTTGCGGGAACTGCAAACGGTGGTACCACAGATCCCAACGATGCTCTGGACTTGAAGGAGTGCAAGACATGAGTGATGACGACATCTGCAAGCTTGAGTGGTTGTGTAACATGTGTCTTTAGGCAATTTGCTCTGCAGTACCATACAGCGCATCCCAAAATGCCCACAACGTTTTTTGTGAGGTTATAACATTGACGCGGAAACAAGTACCACCATTATTTCTGACACCATTTTAAAGCGTGGAATCTGAACTTTATCCCTGGCGAGTTTTGTGTGATATTTAAAAGAGTTTTCAAATTATTTGTGTTCAAAAAAAGGTATGTTGAAAACAGACGCAACCGATTTTTCAAGGAAAATTGATAATACAGTACATGCAAACTTGAGTCACACTTTGAGCACTTTTTGAATAGGTGCATGCAGACATGTACATGTACGTGAAATTTGATATTTCAAAAGAGACTCAGAATAAACTTGAAACGAAGAACGACCTTGTGAATTTATTTAAGGGGTTGCTCTACGTGGATCGAAAAGAATAGGAAACATGGAAAGTAAAACGCAATGAGATCGTCACATCATAAACATGATGAACCATTCCACATTAGACAAAAAAGCCCATGAATAATTTTCCTAGAAATCGCCGTCGGTTGAGTTTGTTTTTGACGTGCCTTTATTTTAAAACGAGTAATTTCAACACCCTTTTGAATATCAAACCAATATTTACCAGGGCTAAAGGTAGATTCCAAGCTTTAAAATGATATAAAAATGGTGGCAGTCCGTGTTTTCGCGGCAACACTAGAGCCTCGCAAAAAAATGTAGCGGGTATTTTGGGACAAAACAAAAATAAATCCAATTGCTTCTTGTTTTGATTTTAGGGTTTTCTTTTTTAAGACGTAGGCCATGCATGGTTAGAGTTTTAAGAATAGGGTCGGCTTGAAAAATTGCACCGAATCTTTCAGGGATTATTTTTTTGTAGGTTTGCCGATTTGATGGAAAACAAACAAAGCAAAATAAAAACGAACGGAAGACAGTTCATAGCTTTATGTGAACAAAGTGATATGTGGATAGGACTGCTAGTGCTAAGCTTTGTGTTGTTTATTTTTTCAGAGAATTTTGAGCCAATGTTGTTTAGATATTTGAATTGTTCACATGTTGGCAATGGCTGTTGAATAATACAAATATGAGAATAAAATTTCATTTGAAAAGAGTTTTTCAAGCCCTTTCTTTATGTTATACCATATGTGCTACATTGTACTTTGTTACCAATATTCACAATGTAATTGTTAAAAGTATTAGCAATAACTCTGTCATTATGCCCATTATGTACAAAGTAAAGCTGACTGGTATGGTATTAGACTTTGTTTTAGTCGACAAAGAGTTAATAACATTCCAAGTACCTTTAATGTTGTTGTTTTTTGCTGACAAAATTTGGTATTCAAAAAATATTGCTTGGCAGATTTGATTAAAACAGTAAGAGTATTTCTATATTTGGCATACACACTTTTGTTGCGTACAGTGGAATTCTTCAAGTATTTATGATACAAGTGATTTTTCCTTTAAATGGAATTGTAAAGGCCCTCAGTTAACCAAGGTGATTTAGTTTTATGAAAACAACATTTTGTCTGAACCTGAGGGAATTAGAAATCACATATAATTTCAGAACATGATCTAGAAACACAGAGTATGAACTATTTACATCATTGAATGAGTGAATAAAATTCCAGTCAGTGTCATACAAATCATAAATAAAACGTTGGATGTTTATATTTCTTGAAATCACGTTTCATAAAATTCAAATATCTTGTGTGCGAATATTATCATTATCGACAATCGCAAAAGCACTAAATTTGTTTGTGTCAGATTTTGCGCGTTCACGTCCATTTGCAGATCATGTAATTGGACAATATTTCACAAGCTGGGTTGACGCGATTCTAACGCAATTCTACCACGATTGGTCAATTTCTTTTCATTCACGGGCAAGACATGTCTATGTGTACAGCAAGCCTATAGAATTCTGCGCTATTCTACATGTGCGCCAGGCAGAGAACGTTACGTGGCCAGACCGCGACCGTAGCTATAATTCCTGATGTTGTTGTGTTGGTTCTTGTGTGTGAAATGTGCTCCAGTCCAGTACATTTTAAGATGTACTGGCCGTGCGATCCAGTGCATATTTTCGTGAATTTCAAATTTACTATAACAAGTTAACATGCCAAGGAGTTTATGTGTAGTTCAATTAATTTTTTCATTTAATAAAATTGAATTATTTTGTTGGTGTTCTCTTTTATCATTGATGTTTATTTTATTTGTGGTGTAAAGGCATTGGACAAAGAAGAGTGCCACTCCCAACTGCAATGCCAGCGAGAAATGTAAAAGACGAGCCAGTCAACCCCGTCATTGTCATGGCAACAGAACCCAACGTTAGCAACCCACCGCTCAGCTCTGACAAGCAGCTGAAAAGCATCAAACACATCCTGCAGGATTACAGGCAGGTAAAGTTGAAAATGTGTGAACTTCCAATCTTCAGCTAATCAGGTTTATATGTACATGTACATCATCCCAACGCAAATTTACATTATGAATAGTCTAATTGCAGTACCTGCTGCTGCGTATGTAGAAATGTACATCAGATTCGAACCAGCCAACCGATGCCTCAAGCTCGGTGGTCAAGTGGTAAGACGTCAGCACTAGAAAGCAGGAGGCCGTTGGTTAGAGTCCCACTAAGGAATTTTTGTCAACTTTCACTTAGGAGGTATAGTGTTCATGGAAGGGTTTTGGAGAGCAAAATGCCCTGAATACGCAGTACTGTGGCTTCATGGTCTGAGTGTTGAATTCGTGGTCTATGGGTAATACTGCAGGTTGTGGGTTCGAGTCCAGCCTGCGGCTGTGGTGCGTGTGCCCTTGGGCAAGGCACTTTGTCACTCATTGCTTCTCTCCACCCAGGAGTAAATGGGTACCAGTGAGGGCAGAGATAGCATTTGTGCTCGATTTGTGCCGCTTTGTGCAGAAATGGCTACATCGAGAAAATTATCTTTGGAATGTTTTGTTGGCCCAGTAAAGCAGGGTAATAATGATGTAGCTCCTTGAGTATCAATGTTGGTGGATATGTGGCTTTATAAGTACAATTAATTTTCATGCTGCCTTGATGAGATTTGACATCCCTGCCAAAGTTTTGTCACATTTAACGTTGCCCACTTCAATTTTTTGGCACTCACAATCCCCTACACAGTTGTACAGCATGCATCTGCATTCTACAGTGAACAGTAGGACTTTTTATGTGTATTTCATTTCAACGTTTGTTTGTTTTTTCTTCTGATTTTTGTGTATTTCACAGGGCTCGCGTGTTGAATATGCCCAGTTACTTCACAGTGTTTGCAACCCCAATCTTGATGTAAGTATGACCTGAAATTTTGAATCACGTTACTTAATTTGCGTAGGTTATACTTGATGACTGATATCTTGGAATAAAGGGTTTTCTGAGATTTTTACGATTTTGCTGTGACAAATATGATTTCAAAATTCTGCTGTGGTAGTCCTGTTTTAATAACACATACTGCTTGATGATAACGGGGCTTAATATTCTTGTCATATAAGTTAGCTTAAAAAGCATAAAAATAATTGCATATTTTTTTTTCTTCTGTTTAGCCTGCCACTCTACTCTCATGGATCAAAGAGTTCCAGAAATGTGCTTCATATCTTGGGCAGGAGTTTGAGCCATTAGTCAAAGCTCTCCTGGTAAGAACTGTAATTGTTATATCGTGTGCTTGGATACTGAAATTTCATTGGTCTAGGACGGCCACATGTCTGGACAATGGTGATATTGCACTGCATTTATTTCGCGTTCCATGCATGTGTGGAACCTACCAGTGCGCTAGCTTTGCGCAATGAGAACTGCAACGTCAAACGCTCAGTCTCATGTCCGGCAGGACATCAAAACTTTCAGTTATCAAAGGTTACACCGCAGTGATTCAATTTATTTCTCACACAGTAAGTTACAACCATGTATCTTTTTGAATTGTTGGCACGATATAACAAACCAATTGTTGACTACTGTGATGTGGGAAATGCTGTTTTTTAACCCCCTCGGGGTGCATAGCTATGCGCCCCGCGGGTTTTAAAAACGTCATATCCCACATCACAGTAGTCAACAATTGTTAAATAAAACACCTATTTACTGCTGGATTTGTAGGATTTAGGAAAGTAGAGTAAAATCACTTCAATTTCATAGACCCTTTACATTGCAGCCATGTTTGAATTTGTTATTTTTTCACAAGGATACGCATGACTAGAATTCTGGTGCCTTCATTGTTCCCTAGTAAAAACACCCAACAAGAACAAACCATAAACAAAAGGGTTTATATTTTATAATTTAACTGTCCTAGTCCTCCTGCACTTTACAACCCTTCAAGTTTTTGCAAAACCGCTTTTGCCCATAGAGTTAACACCTATACTTCAAATTCCTTTGAGGTAATCTTCTGTGGAGTATGGATAACACTTCAAATCCCTGCACAATTCTTTTGTGTGGTAGAGCTCAGGGCAAGCAGGCAGTTTCGGTGATGCTTCACTACTGTTTTTTTGTGCGCAGTGACTCTCTGTGTGACACAGTTACTTTAACACTTCATATCCCTTCACCTGAAACTGACCTGCAGGGTTTTAAAGGGTTTTACATGTTGCTGTGAATATTGACTTAACCCTAACCATCCAAAATCCTCTTTGCAAATTGGAGGAACTTGCAGGATTGAGGCTGCATAGCAAAAATGTGTTGCTGATTTCAGAGGATGGACTGTGTCAAGGTCTTGGGCCAGACCTTGTGTTGTTTATGCTCAACCGTGCATAAATTTATGCCTATATTATGCTGAAATCCTCCGCACTGCTCCAGGATGTCGCTACCGGTAGCTCTGCCCTCAAACATATTGACAGTGATTGCCGAAGGATTTTGCAGGATTGAGGCAGTGGTCACCCGTTAGATGTAGCTCTTATCCTTGTTTTTGTATTTGTTTGTTTTTTTCCCTTCAAAATAGCAAGTGAATTGGTGGGATAGAGGGCCCAAGATGCTGAAGGAGTACCGTCGCTTTGTGACACGGCTTATCACGGCCCACTCAGTGTACCTTGCCTCGGTCCTTGCCATGCTGGCCAAGAACCTGGTTCCGTCTGACCCCCCAGTTGGTAAGAAGCTGAGCCCCTAACAATATACACTACAGACTTTATTTCTCAAGACAAAGAAAACCTTATAATAACAGGGGGTGTTTAGTAACAGTACGATCTTTAATCCAAATTAGGTTTTTGTAATAATTCGCTAGGTTACTTTTGGGATAAATGCAAATGATCCTATATGCCTTTAAATTATTAAGTTTGAGTCACGATATCAGTGATCTTTAATCAGGACTACATTTGTTAACTTTGGACTTTTACAAAATGAAAATCTTGTCAGCACAGTGGTTTTTTTTCCTTGTTTCTTCAGCACTCGCACACCCAAACCCAGCTGCATTGATAAAAGAACACGAAGCCGTTGACAGGTCAAAGTTCACCTGGGTCCATGAGACGATAGGCCTGCTACTCACTGTTGCACCAGCGTAAGTCTGCTAACATCAAACCAAGACTTTAAGACATGAACATTGTTCATCAGTGTATGAAACTGATGCAAAGTGCAACAGAGTGCTAGGAAAGCTCGTTAGGTCTTCAAGAAGAAACAGAATGGGAGAAAAACTGTAGAGGAGGTGTCTCTGGACTACTCAACCACACGGAAAATGTTGTTTGTGTTCTTGGGCAAGACACTTTACTACAATTGACTCTTTCTCCAACCAGGAATGTGAATGGGTACCTGTGAGGGTAGAGACCAAATTGCACTGATCTTGGCTGCTGCAGAAAAATGGTCTCACGGCCTGATGAAAAGGGGTAATAATTGTGAAGCGCTTTGGTATAAAGTGCTACATAACCACCAAATTGTTTTTGTCGGATTTTGAAATAATGAAACGGGGTAAACTACAGGAAGCAAATGTGTTTAGCTCGTGTTTGTCTCTCTTTTGTTTTATTAGAACTCCCAAGTTCCTTCTACCAGTTCTTGCCGACTGTTTTCCGTGGATCAAGAGATCCTCATATATCATGGTAAGTCCTCAGAATATTTACGAAAGTCCTTTGCATCCTGTTAAAGTTCTACGTAGCAAATACAAAAGTGTGGCAAAACAAGAAATTGTATTTCGGATGTAAATTTTATTTTCGATTTTTTTTTTTGCCAGAATGGTTATGTGGAGAACCTGCTTAACATCACAGCGTACCTACCAGAGTTGAGAGTCAAAGTTCTTGAACTCATTCTTCATCGCATGACGGAACTTGATGTTAGTATACGTTGATATTTGTATGACACTAATTTTTTATATGCTCGAGGAAGAGCGTCAAAATACTGCAGATAAGTGAAATTTGGCATTTTGCTGAAATATACCATTATTTGGATTTTTGGCTATAGAGTTACCTCAGATTTGTCTTGTGACACAAATGGCTTTCATTTTCACAAATGGCCGCCATTTTCCAAAAATGCCGCCATTTTCAAAATTATGGCCGCCATTTTCCAAAAATGGCCCCCAGTTTCCAAAATGGCATCCATTTTCCAAAATGGCCACCATTTTCCAAAATGGCCGTCATCAGCTGCCAAAGTGCCCTTGATACAGTACATCAAGTCCATTGTTTTTTTTGTTTTTTTCTCCAGGTGAATTCTCCAAAGGAAGACATATGGGAAGCTGAGAGTACTGCGGAGAGCCCAGACAAGCCCAACGATGCAGAAGACATGCAATTCAAGATGGTAAGTTGAGAAAGATTTTATGTTTTGTCAAAAACTGTACCTCGAAATGCTGAATTGAACTCTTGGTTTTTTGTTTTTTTTTACTCAAAGAACGCTTCCTGAATAGTTAACCAGTTCCTGTGTGTCGTTAACCAGTGATGAATTCAATAATGATAGAATATTCAATACTTAAAGGGAATGTACATCATTGGCTTTTGTTGTAATTTTCAGAAATGAACTATTTGAGGGGTTAGTATAATAGATCAAATATTGTTTAACTGACATGTTTGAAGTTTCGTGTTCGAAAATGCTTGAAAAACCAAGAAAAACAAAAATGTTTAAGTAGTCTGGTTCCCTGACTCCACTAAAGATAAAATGGATCAATTTATAGATGTCGGAAAATTGTAAGGTAAGGGAACCAGTCTAGCTGACCTGCACCCGTTCATGAACATGTAACCAATAGCAAACAAAATGTGGACTGAAAAAATTGTAAATTTGGAGCAGTAGTTGAAAAATAGCTAGGTTTTTCCAACGGTGGTCGGCCGACCACCGTTGGAAATGTATACAAAAATACCATTTTCTTGATAATAACTTGACACCAGGTACCATAATTTTACAGGATGCTTTAGACTGTCATTTATCAACATCCTAGTAAGGTATTTCGTAAAATCTTGGTAGTTTTATTTTTTGATGTTTGCAAATGTTGTTTAGTCCCTTTAACCTGTTGAAGTTAAACGTCAGCAGTTATTACACTTTTTGAGAAAACACTGCAAAACCATGCACGACCTTTTGATCATGAAACACAATTTTGTCAATAACACTCTTTAAATCCTTTTAGTCAATTTACTGATTGTTGGAAATCTCTTACTTTTCTTGATTTCTTCTAAATGACAGCAAGCCAGATGGAATAATTTCACGGGGTGTTAAGTACCAGTATACGATCTTTACTCCAAGTGATAATAATTTGGTAGGTTACATTTGGGATAAATGCAAATGATCCTAGTCTTTAATCAGTGATGTTGATTGTTTGTGGTGCAGGATGGTGTGGAGGAAGGAGACACAGACTGTCTCAAGGATGCAGGCGATGAGAAGAAAGATGCAGTCCAACATGAGATGGCTGACAAGCTAGACATACTCATGACCACTATGATGACATACATCAGGGATGCGTGCTACAAGAATGGTGAGAAGAAACACAAAATGTGATCATTTTTTTTGTCAGTTACGTAAAAGCCAGCTCGGGCACAAATACAGGATTATCATCATAAACAGTTTGGATGCAAGGCACGATACACCAACGCCTTTACATGTACCCAGAGTTTAGCTGAGAAATGCATAAGGCTATCCCCTGTTTATGGTTAATCACAAAGTTGGAAAACCTTGTTCGTTTGTTATGAACATTTGTTACAATTTGTCTGTGAAAAGTCATGGGGTTTTGTCAAAACAGATTTTTAAAGAAGCTTCATCATTCACATTGCAAATCTGTATGTAGATTTCTGTTTTTCAGGTAGACACTAATATAATGTCATAACTAACTCTTAAATACCAGACTTGTGATTGAATAAATCACAAGTCAATCACAAGTCAATCACAAGTAACAGGAGATGACAAAGAACAAATGAATGTCTTTGTCATGGTTCATGTGACTAGCTTGTGATTTGACTTGAAACTGGAGGATTTGTGATTGACTTGTGATTGACTTGTGATTGACTTGTGATTGACTTGTGATGGACTTGTGATGATCTTGTAATGATCTAGTGATGATCTTGTGATTGACTTATGATGATCTTGTGATGATCTTGTGGTGATCTTGTGATGATCTTGTGGTGATCTTGTGGTGATCTTGTGGTGATCTTGTGATGATCTTGTGATTGACTTGTGATTGACCTGTGATGACTTGTGATTGACTTGTGATGACTTGTGCTTAACTTGATCCCAACTCTTCCAAACACTTATCCAATTTTCCATCCTCATAATTTGTTTTCCCTTACTCTCAGTAATATTCAAGTTATCTTTCTCCATCAGATGAGTTCCAGCTAGAGGAAGCCCGTCTCCTTCACAGACATCTCCTTCAAGTCTTTGATAAGGTCATCCTCCCCACCCATGCCTCCAGCCATGTCCAGTTCTTACTCTTCTACTTCTGCAGCTTCAGACAGGTATTCAGGCCATTCAGAAATGTCTGTGGATTTTCTCTGCTGACTGATTATATTTTTTTTTTCATGAAATGTTGAAATTGTGACTCGACTTTAGACTGAATTACTTGTGACTGACTAGTGACCTACTAAACAAATCTGATGTAAGACTCTCCCAGGAAGGACTTGAAAGATTTCTTTCCAGATTTTGGTTTTTGCCTTTTCAGAAATTGTCCAGAAAAAAAATTGTTTGCATGTTTATTTCGTTGTTCATTTATTTATTGAAATTATTATTTTTTTCTTTCTAAATGTACTCTTAACATTTGTAGCTGATTTTGATCTTTGGGTTTTTTGCTCTTTCAGGCCATCATCGATGCCTTTCTAGAATACCTATGGAAACGCTTCACCAATCCCAACACACCTGCCGTGCTCCGCCAGGCCACGGCGTCCTACATCGCAAGCTTTGTCTCCAGAGCAAACTTCCTCCCTGTCAGGTAATTTACGTCTGAATTAAGAAAAAATGTGAACTGTTTTATGGGGTTTATGCTAAAATAGGGGTTCAAGGCTCATTATGGATGTGTAGTTTAGACAGAATGCACAATATACCCCGTCAATATTTTAAGATTGGACTTGATTTAATTGTTGCCATACGCTGGACGCTCACACGAAGATGATACAGAGCTGCGCACATTCTGAATATTGTGCAGTATGCATACATCAGGCCGTGTACTTGCAGACCAGTGTACAGGCATTGCAGTCACTGTGTGGACCTCCGAACAAAGCCTGTCCTCACAGTGCAGGTAGCAGCGACGTTGTGTGGACTTGCCCACGTCCACACAAGGTTCCCCCTCTCTGAAAAACAGGTTTAGAGGCATCTTTTGGTTAGGTCTATCAGTCGCAAAATGAAGAGGAACACTCTAGGAATCATGATAAGAAATTTGAGTTGAAAGAGTGCTCACAGTGCGAGTAACCTAAGTTGTTTTGTAACAACATGAAGACAAAGGAATGTCCACACTAGGTGTGTAATGTCAGCATGTGTGCTCACACAGTGTGTAACCTGATGCAACTTTTTATGCAAAAGTTTGACTGCTGTAGTTGGGAAAGACTCCGGACTATAATTAATGGAAAATTAATTCATGAAGTTTGCCCGTCTGGATCCAAAATCACCCCAATACTATTTGGCAAGGCACGACTCAGGTCACCAGTCTAAAACGTAACACGTAATGTTACCATATCGCACGTCCTTTGATTCTTAATTTTTGCTTTTCCTGTTTCCTTTTGCAGTACTGTCACAGCATGTTTGGACCTGTTAGCTGCCTGGCTTCATTCCTACATTGACAACCAAGAGGTCAACAACAGACTGCGGCAAGACGTGTGTGTCCATGGGCCGTTCTACTCACTCTGTCAGGTCAGTGTCTTCTCACTTTATTGGCAGGGGATGTAGTGGTAAACTTTGCTTGCCTTCCACTGTTTTGGGGTTCGGGGTTCATAACTGCCACCGCATTCCAAGCTAGGACTCCAGAATTTCAGCATTCCCACCTCTACGCATCAATACTCACTGCTCCGGTTCACTATTTGTTGACTTTACTCAGTTTTTTCTCAGAACCGCACACACAAGTCACTAGAGATTTTGTCAGGTTGGTGTCTTCTCACTTATATGAAGGCAGTGTAATAGTATAGAATATAGGACGAACAAAATGAGAAGCATTTTTTTTGACATGGAACCATGTTCGTGTGCGTGCTGCATGCTTTCATGAAGCTGAGGTGTGTGCGCATTTTGGTAAACCCTATCAAAATGAACAGCCCTGGTAACCCTATCAAAACTGGACAGCCTTAATTTGAATTATTTTGACTTGTGCTTGAATTTGGTCAAGATGTGCATCACCCACATGTCTTGGTTATGTGTACGGCACAGATAGTAAACGGGAGCGAAAGTGTTGATAGCCACACAATGCCTGTCAGTGGTTGGCTATGTCTTTTTTTTCCCCAACAGATTTTGGCAATTTCGTTCCCCTATTGATTGAAGGAGCTCGTAGTGTGCATGTACTATCTGAGCGTCAGCCTGGTTCCGCCTCAAAAATAACTTGTAATTTTGTTTGCCGAATTAGTGCATACCTTCCTTGCCCACTCCAAGGCAGGACTCCAAAATTTCACAGCTGTGCATCTTTTCCTCGGATCAGCTGATTTCCTTGTTTTTCACTCCTCACTTATGCCAGTAAAAATACAAGACAGTGATACAGTCTTTTAAGCTGGAATTACCTCTTTTTGTTACTTCTCAGTTGCAAGCCTGATTTCAGTGTTCACACCTCTACGCTTCATTACTTACTGCTCTGGTTTACATATAACTCACTGTTGTGTTTACTCAGTTTCTTCTCAGAACCACAAACGAGTCACTAAAGAAATTTGTTGTCACATGATATTATTGCAATATTAGGAATTAGGTTGGTGCAGTGGTTCTTTCCTCGCCTTCCACCTCTATGGCCCAGGTTCAATTCCAAACCAAGTCCACATATGGATGGAGTTTGTAATTCCTGCTTGATTCAGAGGGTTCCCCAGAATGTGTCTGGGGTTTTCTTTCCACCTCTGCAACTCAACATGCATGCTTGCGAGCTACAATGCCTAGGGGGCTTTTGAGGAATCCTAGGTTTCATTACAGGAAATGAAATAATTATAATAAAAACTTCCCTTATAGATTTAGTCCATATATTCTACACTTTTTATCTTCCAGGCTGTGTTTTACATTTTCATCTTCCGCCATCGTCAGCTCCTAGCAGACAACAAGGGTCTGCACTACCTGATGGGGCTGAACCTGGAGCGTGTGGTCACCTGTAGATTAAACCCATTGAGGCTTTGCCTGCCGTCCATCGTCAACATGTTTGCCACATTGACCAGGTAAGATTCAGGAGGCAGGGAATTCCTATCTTACGACTCTACCTACCTCCATCATGCAAAGTATCTCTCCAACTCCCTCCCCAACTCCCTCCCCTCCCCCTCCACTCCCCCCCCCCCCCACCCACAAACCCCCATCTACAACCCCCCCCCCCCCCCACCCCAACCTCTTCCATCTCAAGCATTATCAGAAAAGGCCTTGGGTTTTTCATCTGCCGCATATTCTCGAGTAAGCCAGTTATATCCTTCTCGGTAAATCTGATACATTTTGCAATTTGTTTCGTTACTTGTGCTTGAATTTGGTCAAGATGTGCATCACCCACATATCTTGGTTATGTGTACGGCACAGACAGTAAACAGGAGCGAAAGACACCATAGCCACACAACACCTTTCAGTGGTTGGGCTGTCTTTCTCTTCCAACAATTTTTTTTTTTCACTTTAGTTCCCTTACTGCAATATTGTAGGTCATATCTAGCAGCCTCACATCATGCACCCAGAATGTTTCAAACAGTGTAAATATAGATCTATTGAAATTTTGGTTGGACATGTGTTTCCGAACAAACTTTGTACTGAAAAAGCATTCTAGCCAGCTCACAAACTTCACTTTAGTCAGACAGTTTTTGGTGTCTGATTGAATCCACTGTAAATATGTACAGATGACATGTACATGTATGTTTTGGAGGCCCACTGAATGTGGAGTTTTTGACACTGAAAGGGTAAAGAAGTACAGTAAGACGCTGCTGTAACGAACACCGTTATAAGGAACATATTAAATTTTATTATAATGCACAATTACTGTAACAAACAACCACTATAACGAACATTTTTGATGGACCCAATCATGTTCATTATAGTGGCGTTCTACTCTACATAGACCATGTCGACATGCAGCTTTCTCATGATTCCTCCTAAAAGTATACCATCTAACATTGACAAGTTTGATTAAAAAAAAGCCTCCAGCAGTATGAATTTATAAGGTATATATATATTTGTGCATTTTCAGGAAATACCAGATAGCATACTGTTACACCGTCATCGAGCGCAACAACCGGTCGCTGCATCAGGTGGCCAAGCTACACTCCAGTGACTCCACATCTAAACTCGCAGCGACAAACTTACTGGATTCCTTCTTCCCATTCGACCCTTACTTGCTGCCAAGGTGAGCTAGAAACCAAACTACAGCATTGAGCCAGTTGGAGTATGGTTAATAGATTATCTTGCTTCAACTCTTGCCATTCAAACACAGTTGGTATATAGTTGTCTGTTATAACACCTCACCCACAGATTCTGTATCTTGATTGGCCGAGAGCGAGTCACATGGCATTCGCTATTTTTGCTATCTTTCTGTGCACAGCCAAGAATACTATACCTTGTAGCAACCAAAGTACAGTACCCGTAGCAACAAAAGTACTATACCTGTAGCAACGAAAGTACTATACCATAGCAACCAAAGTACTATACCCATAGCAACCAAAGCACTATGCATACTGCTGTGCGCGTAAGCACTAACGCTACAGAGCTGGGTTCAAACATTTCGTCAAGGGGTAGTTTGCAATAGTGCAAGTAAATATTCAACTAATTTCTTATTCAAATAGAAGTCCATTTTAGTTCTATAAACAAGCAGAATCTGTGGGAGAGGTGTTATAAATCAAATATTGACTGCTTTGTCATGTGGTGTAGTAAAACTAGCCTCCCTCGGTGATCCATGGAGCATTCTATTTTCCCTTGGCTTCGCCTCGGGACAAATAGAATGCTTCATGGATCACCTCAGGAGGCTAGTTTTACTACACCACTCGAAGCAGTCAATATTTATATATTACGGGCCAATCTACATAGGTCAATTAATTTCATTTTTATTTCAATGCCAAATTAGTTTATTAAAATGTACCAGTATTTTGCAAGGAAAGTAAAGTATAAAAAATAAGCCTTGACCCAGAATTCGACAAAATAAGTCTCTGTCTTGAATTCCACATTTGTTTATTGATCTTTGTTTTGAATATTTTTAGGTCAGGGAAGTTTGTCCAGTCTTTGTACAGACAGTGGGAGGGATGTAAACCTGACGAAGACACTTCAAACACGGTAAGACATGACTTCAATAATAAATATAGGTGTATAATAGATGTTGCTGTAGGGTTTTTTACAATGCAGAAAGAAAAACGTATATTTTGTTTCGTGTTTTTTGCCATTCTTTTTGCAGAGGGAGGAGGAAGAGGATGAATTTGTGCAATATGAAGAGTGGGATAGGGACCTCCCCCTGGGAATTACACCTACAAATGCAGCCTGCATCTCCCCTGGATTCAGGAGCTAAGCTCCAAACTCGTTTCGGCACAATCATGTAAGATGCAGGGTTCGATTGGACTACTCAAGAATTTGTACCAATCTAATGGGGAAGATAACTGATGGTATTGTCTCGTCGGTTATTTTTATGTTTGAACTTTTTTCTTTTTATTTTCAATGTTTCTTGTAAAGAACCTCAAGTTTCCATGTCTGTGTTTCTTGGATGTCGTACCCTGAAAAATTAATTTCTGAATGGAATTGCTAAATATGTACCTTCAGTCCACAGAGTCAGTTATCTCCAGTTATTAGCAGGGTAACATAAGAACAAAACATGTTTTGAAGGGCACAGACATAACAACATAACTCTGATGATGGGTTTCAGTATATTTTATGTTTACAACCAAGTACCCCACCCCCTACTTTCTTTTATGTACTTATGTGAGTTTGGAAAGGAGTAAAACTACACAACTAGTCTTTTGAAAACACCAGAAAATACTGGAAAATTACCGTAGGCGTGATTCCTTGCTAGATAGCATATACAGGTTAATGGCTTCTGACTAGCGCCCCTTGAACAACGAAATCGACATAACGGGGAACTGCAAACATAGGATGTGATAGCTGAGTTGGTAGAGCACCGGAACTGTAGTTAAGAGGTCGCAGGTTCAAACCCTGTCCCAGTCAATTACTTTGTTCAATTTACAAACAAAAAAACCTGAAAAACTACCATAAGGAAAAAAGGAACAAATGCAAAAATTACAGCTTACTGTAAAGCAGCAAAAGAAATGTTAACAGCATTTGTCCCAAGAACAGTTTCAGTCAAAACTCCAAAGTTTTGTCTTTATTTTTAGCCTGATTTCTGAAAAAGGAATTACTGTTGTTTAAAAAAAAAGGTAACCATTGGAAATTCAAATGTTTTTTATTACATCAGTGTGTTTTAATTTGAAGAATCAAAATGGCCATTTTAATTCTAAATTAGCAAGTTAAATGCCTTGCTGTTTCACAAATTAATAAGTTTTCTGATATACTACATTGTGAGAAATGTAAGGGCTTATGTACCATGAGCCAAACTTATGTTGAAACATGGCATAAATAACAATTGCATAGCTGAAACAGAATTTCAATATTGTATTTTTGGCTTTAGAAATGTCAGTTGACATTAATAATGTAACAGTTTATCATAGTATTTGTACAAATGTTAATTGTATTTATTAGCATCTGTAATATGCAGGCATATGTACATATATATACAATGTATATGTAATTACAAGTGCATTTCATAATAAAACACATTGACGTCCATTCTTGGTTACAAATTGACTTTTCTCTAAACAGCACGGGCATTTCCTTGGAGGCAGGTGAAGCCTCAATCAATATTTAAAACATCAACATTTTGAAGATTTGGGCAAAAACAGTTGCTTAAAACAAAATGAACTGATTTCACCTCACATTTGCAATACAATTTTTCCTTATGAAACTAAGCATCTGTCCATAAATCAAGCAAGAATGTGTTCTCAGACCTCCTAGGCATCTTCCCCACAAGTGTTAAAACAATTTCATTGTTGAGACGAGAACTCAAGAACAACATATCGCATGGGATTGAAATTGCGTCCGATTATTGACCATAAAATGTGACACAACCCGTTTGAAAATTGACGTGAACCGAGGAAGAATACATTTAATATGATTTAAAGAAAATAGGCCTAAGCGTTTAATTCAATCACGAAAACTTCATTCCGAATTTTAGCCTCTTTTGACACTCTTTGTTTAGACGATAACTCAAGAACAACATATTGCATTGGTTTGAAATTGCGTAAGATTATTAACCATAACATTTGACACAACCCGTTTTAAAATTGGCGTGAACCGTGGAAGAATACATTTAATATGATTAAAGGAAAGAAGCGCTTAGAATTACGGGGGAAAAATCATTCCGAATCTGAATCTACGTCTATTTTAATTGAAAAAAAAATTAAGCACTCTTTTGGAGACAGTAGGCCTAACTCCAGAAAATCAATTTGTACTGAAACGAAACTTCGTTCGATAATAAGTCGTGATGTAATGACAGAAAAAGTGGAAATCGATTGCAACTGTGGAAGAAGAAAAAAATACACACAACGACAATAACCAACGGCCAACAGCGCATGTGCCAGGACGCTCCGTACATTTTGCTACCCTCTATGATTGTTTTCCTTAAGAGGGCGCCCTACACAACCACTGGTCAGCACTCACAATCTGCCCATTAAGCAAAAATACAACACTCTTTGTGGAGACTATAACTCAAGAACAACATATTGCATTGGATTGAAATTGCGAGGGATTATTAACCATAACATTTGACACAACCCGTTTGAAAATTGGCGTGAACCGTGGAAGAATACATTTAATATGATTTAAGGAAAATAGGCCTTAGCGCTTAATTTGAATCACGAACACTTCATTCCGAATGTTTAAGTCTCTTTTGACACTCGTTGTTCAGACGATAACTCAAAGACAACATATTGCATTGGTTTGAAATTGCGAACGGTTATTAACCATAACATTTGACACAACCCGTTTAAAAATTGGCGTGAACCGTGGAAGAATACATTTAATATGATTCATTAATCGGACGCAATTTCAAACCAATGCAATGTGTTGTTCTTGAGTTATCGTCTCCACAAAGAGTGTCAAAAGAGACTAAAATTACGAATGAACTGTTCGTGATCAAAACGCTTAGGCCTATTTTCTTTAAATCATTATAAATGTATTCTTCCTCGGTTCCCGTCAATTTTCAAACGGGTTGTGTCACATTTTATGGTCAATAATCGGACGCAATTTCAATCCCATTCGATATGTTGTTCTAGAGTTATCGTCTCAACAAAGGGTGTCAAAAGAGTAAAATTCGTCACAATTTTGGTCAAAAATGACGCCACTAGGATTCGAACCCGGAACCCCCAACTTTCGAGATCAAAAGTTCTACCACTCGGCCAACACGATTTTCTTAACATTTACGTTCGGAAGTAATATATAAAGATTATACTCGGATTTTTTGTCAAAAAAAAAAGATGAGAAAGTGTGGACGGCCAGGGTGGAAAGATACTTGGATTCTTATCATATAGTATTAACTAACGTGAACGCAATAATTAATGACTGTGTGAAAATAATAAAGACAATGGGGAATAATAAGGACGAATTAAGTTGCATAACTCTTTCGTCTTACCGCCTCTAGCGGTACGTCGCCTCTAGCGGTACCGTATACCGCTAGGGGCGACGTCGCCTCTAGCGGTAAGTCGCCTCTAGCGGTACGTCGCCTCTAGCGGTATGTCGCCCCTAGTGGTACCGTATACCGCTAGGGGCGACGTCGCCTCTAGCGGTAAGTCGCCTCTAGCGGTACGTCGCCTCTAGCGGTACGTCGCCTCTAGCGGTACCGTATACCGCTAGGGGCGACGTCGCCTCTAGCGGTACCGTATACCGCTAGGGGCGACGTCGCCCCTAGCGGTACGTCGCCTCTAGCGGTACGTCGCCTCTAGCGGTACCGTAAACCGCTAGGGGCGACGTCGCCTCTAGCGGTAAGTCGCCTCTAGCGGTATGTCGCCCCTAGCGGTACCGTATACCGCTAGGGGCGACGTCGCCTCTAGCGGTAAGTCGCCCCTAGCGGTACGTCGCCTCTAGCGGTATGTCGCCCCTAGCGGTACCGTATACCGCTAGGGGCGACGTCGCCCCTAGCGGTACGTCGCCTCTAGCGGTACTTCGCCTCTAGCGGTACCGTTTACCGCTAGGGGCGACGTCGCCTCTAGCGGTACGTCGCCTCTAGCGGTACGTCGCCTCTAGCGGTACCGTATACCGCTAGGGGCGACGTCGCCTCTAGCGGTAAGTCGCCTCTAGCGGTATGTCGCCCCAAGCGGTACCGTATACCGCTAGGGGCGACGTCGCCCCTAGCGGTACGTCGCCTCTAGCGGTACCGTATACCGCTAGGGGCGACGTCGCCTCTAGTGGTAAGTCGCCTCTAGCGGTACGTCGCCTCTAGCGGTACGTCGCCCCTAGCGGTAAGTCGCCTCTAGCGGTACGTCGCCTCTAGCGGTACCGTATACCGCTAGGGGCGACGTCGCCTCTAGCGGTAAGTCGCCTCTAGCGGTAAGTCGCCTCTAGCGGTACGTCGCCTCTAGCGGTATGTCGCCCCTAGCGGTACCGTATACCGCTAGGGGCGACGTCGCCCCTAGCGGTAAGTCGCCTCTAGCGGTACGTCGCCTCTAGCGGTACCGTATACCGCTAGGGGCGACGTCGCCTCTAGCGGTAAGTCGCCTCCAGCGGTACGTCGCCTCTAGCGGTATGTCGCCCCTACCGGTACCGTATACCGCTAGGGGCGACGTCGCCTCTAGCGGTACGTCGCCCCTAGCGGTACGTACCGCTAGGGGCGACGTCGCCCCTAGAGGTTACTACCTCTACGGGCGACTGCCAGCGGTCGCCCCTAGAGGAATTACTACCTCTAGGGGCGACGGCTAGCGGTCGCCCCTAAAGGTAGTACTGCTAGTGGCGACCATGTATAGCTGTCGCCCCTAGGGGAATCGTTATTTTTGACTGATTCTACCCCAAATTTTCGTCAAAATTTCATTTTGAAAAGCACATCTGTCCATGAATCGAATTGGAATGTGTTCTAGGGTCCTTTAGGCATCTTTCATGTAAGTTTGAAGCGATTTCATTTTTTGACAAAAATTGAAAAAAACACAAGGGGTAAGCCCTACCTTTTTGATGAAATTTGGCCAAAAATGACTTTTCTTCACAATATGCAGAAATTCTTCTTAAGGTAAGAGGAGCATCAATCAACATTCAAATACCTAATATATTGAAGATTTGGGCAAAAATGGTCGATTTTTTGAGGAAAAAATCATTATTTTTGACTGATTTCACCCCAAATATTCGTCCAAATTTCATTTTGAAAAGGACAACTGTTCATGAATCGAATTGGAATGTGTTCTATGGTCCTTTGGACATCTTTCCAGCAAGTTTGAAGCGATTTCACATTTTGGCCAAAATTGAAAAAAAAAAAAAGGGGTAAGCCTTACTTTTTTGATGAAAATTGGTCAAAAAAATGACTTTTCTTCAAACTGTGCAGGAATTTTTTTCAAGGCAAGAGGAGCATGAAACAACATTTAAACACCCAATATATTGAAGATTTGGCCAAAAATATTCGATTTTTAGAGAAAAAAAATTATTATTTTTGACTGATTCTACTTTAAATTTTCGTTGAAATTTCATTTTGAAAAGCACATCTGTCCATAAATCGAATTGGAATGTGTTCTATGGTCCTTTGGACATCTTTCCAGCAAGTTTGAAGCGATTTCATTTTTTGACCAAAATTGAAAAAAAAACACAAGGGGTAAGCCTTACTTTTTTGATGAAATTTGGCCAAAAATGACTTTTCTTCAAAATATGCAGAAATTCTTCTTAAGGCAAGAGGAGCATCAGTCAACATTCAAATGCCCAATAGAGGAAGTACCTCTAGGGGCGACTGCTAGCGGTCACCCCTAAAGGTACTTCCTCTAGGGGCGATCGCTAGTTGTCGCAAGAGGAGCATCAATCAATAAGCAAAAATCCAACATTTTGAAGATTTGGGGGACAAAATCATTTATATTTGGACAGACAACAAAAATGACATCTTGACTGATTTTATCTTTTCGAAATAAGTTTTTAAATATTTATTCCAAACGGTATTCCTCACAGGAAATGCTTGAAAACATCTACAATTTGGATTGTCTTGAATTACACTGCAATTTTAACAACATTAACAGGCCCAAATTTAAATTTTATGGGGAAGAATATCGCTCAGGAAATTTCATTTAAACTTCTTTGGTGAAAATAAAGGGACATTTCACACGGGATTTGGAAGACACACATGGCCAAGGTGGCAGCTAATTTACATATGTACAGTTTTTACAAGCATTCATTTATATACATACAACTTTAAAGGTAGCATTCAATATTTGCAAACATCAAAAACAAACCTTCCAAATTATTATGAAATACCTCACTAGACTAAAAGAAAAGTAGAATATTTATAACAATTCGCTCTTTTCACACTTCCGCCATGGGCATGCACAGCCTCGATCTGGCAACTTTTATACAATAAATAAAGCCGGTTCAGTGATTCCCGTGTCGGGGTTCAGAGCACTGAACCGGTTATTTTTATTGTGTAAAGTTGCCAGATCGATGCTCTGCATGCCCAATGGCGGAGCGTGAAAAGAGAGAATTACCAAATTTATGTAATAATTTGTATATAAACAACTGACTTTTTTTTTCAAATACTGCCTCCATTTTACCAAATTTAGTGAGTCCGCCTTTTGTTTGCAATCACTTACAATCCAGCTTGTCTGATAACCTGACCTGCAAGAAGAATGCAAGAACAACATTTATTTGCCTAAGTTTTTTTTCAGCATCTCTACGAATGCAAGACTTGAAACAGGTCAGTGTAACAATATACTAGCCCCCTAAGGCCAAAAAAAAAAAGTCTCCGGTTTCTGGTATGCGCGCGCGTCGCCGTAGCCATGCGCGTCGGCAAAATGAAAAAGTTTTTTTTCAATGAAAGATGACGTCTCAAAACCGCCAAACTCACTGGTTTGACTGGAATCCTGCTGCTGCACAATTTTAACGTGTTTTTAGATTGGGTTATGGTCGAGAATAAGCTTTATGTGGCCTCTCTGGACTCCCATATATTTGCACTAAGTTTAGTCGGGCACAATTTGCAGTCATCAGCCGACATTTGAAGCAAAAAAAATCAGGTAAAAAAAAAAAACGCGTCGCCGCACCACTTTTTGGGCAAGCTCCATACCAGAAACCGGAGACTTTTTTTGGGGGGGGGCCTAATCCATCCATGTCTGAAAATTACATCAAAGGCAAAAAAACTCAAGTTACAAACGGCCATTTCACACTGGTGTTCCTGAGATATACTGAACTGAATTATTTCAAATAATTTCAGTTAAGTGTTGGAAACATGAGTGAATGCACAGTACAATGAAAAAAATGATATACCGTACAAAACACATGATGATTACATCTCTGAGGCTGTTCCGTTTATACGGCTACCTCCCACACCAAGATCTGGTTGTGTGCCACAGTGAAGACCAGCTTGCCAGAGGGGTTGAAACGAATGAGCTGAACGGCGTCGTTATGGGCCACAAAATCCTGGAAGCTGCTCTCGTGGTAATCGACCAGTTTGATCAATCGTTCTACAAAACAATATCAAACCATATAACCGGTTGAATTATAAAGAGAGTGACAATCATTTGCACGTATCCTAAAAGTAAACCTTCTGAATTATCATCATAAAGCTTACTTGGATTAAAGATTGTACTGGTACTAAACAACCCGTGAAATTATTCTAGCTTGCTGTCATTCAGAAGAAATCAAGAGATGTAGTAGTTGATTTGCAACGATCAGACAATGTACTGATTTTTGGACATAAAGAGTTCTATTGTCAAAATTGTGTCTCTTGATCGAAAGGTTGTGCATGGTTTTTCACTGTTTTCTCGAAAAGTGTTATATCCACTGAGCTGAAACTTCACCATTTGAGTGGTGTTATGATTGGGAAGGAACAAATTGCCTGATAAGCAGATGATCCTATGTGCCTGTAACCAATGAATGAACAACAAATTCTATTTTTTTTTCAAATTCTGGTAAGATTCTAGGAGTTTATACCTCTGGTTCTTTTCAGAACCATTCTCTTAGTTGAGAAATTATGCACACATGGTGTTTCTGCAAACCTTTCGTTATTTAGTATCTCCACCATGCAAAGTCTCAAGTCTTACCTAAGATTCTCAATATGTCAGATCTATTTTTGGGAAGATGTTCAGGGAAACCGAATGAGCTTACCTGCTGTGCCTACTGCAATAAGATGTCCTCCTGGGCTGATATCCAGTGTGGTCGCCCAGTGAGTGAGTGCTGTGGTGCGAACAACCTATCAGCAAAACAACAGAAAAAGAGTACCTCAGTGAAAATTCTGGTCTTTGTGAGATGGGTAGGATTAGGGTGGTTTTGGGTGGGATGGTGTGGGATAGGGTGGGGTAGGGTGGGCTGGGGTAGGATGATTTGGGTTAGGGTGGGATGTGGTGGGATGAGTGGGCTTGGGTTGTGTTGGAGATGACATTACCTTTTTCTGTGCAATGCTGTAGAACTGGATCTGCTTCTGCATGCCATAGCCGGCATAGATGATGACGTCATGATCAGTGGGGGAGAAACGGGCCAGGCTAGGGGGGAGCAGCTGGTACTGACCCTGTCAAAAGTAAACAAAATGAACGAATAAAACTTAAAGCCTGAAATGTAAGTTACTATCAATCCAATAACTCTCTGACAAAGATTCTTAGCACAGTGATAGCCTTGAATAAAAAAGACCTCTTTTCAAAGCAAATTTTGGAGTACAATTTTACTAGTGTTTCATGTTCTAAATATGCAGAATTATTTAAATTCTGCAAAGTTAGATCATGAAATCTTAGGAATAATTTACAATAAAATTTGTTCCAGAGCAATTGCAACAGGCACTTTGCCCACTTACCATTGCTTTGTCACAATCTCAGACGGATGAAATGTGGATTTGTTTTTGTTTTGTTGGGGGAGGGTGTGGGGAGGGGGGGGGTGTAGGACTAAGTACTTTGAGTTCCTTTTTTATTGAGCCAAGTATAATCCAGCCTTGAAACTGTGTATTTATACAAAAACAAACGCAGCCAAAAATTTGTTGGGACATTGTTTAGTTTGACTTACGATATCCCCCTTTCTGATGACCGTTCCGTCCGGGGCGAAGGCCGGAGCGGGGAAGCTGAGCCAGTCCACCATCTCACACAGGTCCTTGGGCCAATCAGATGACCAGACACTGACCCGCCGGTCAGCACTAGCGGCCAGCCACAGGTGGGGGGACTTCAGGCCCAGACCCAGCTCTGCACCCTGGTCAAAAAAATATAGGCTTTACAGTGCACCTTCGAGACGTTTCTTGGATTTTTAGATCCACTGTATGAGAAAATTAATGTTGCGTTCCCTGTGCCCTCAACATCATTTTGCCATTAACAAATTTTCAAACCAAATAAAACCCCGGTTTCCGGTTATTTGGACATCTGCAAACCTCTAGAAACAAAGGTTTTTGTTCTGGGCACAAACAGATCCGCTACCTAAATAACTAAACATCATTGATAGTCATTGTGGGGCGGAAACCAGCCTAGCCTGCAAGACTGTGAATTATTGTCTGCCAGCCAATAATTCGAAACCAATTTTTCTGGACAATATCTACTTCAAAAGTGAATAGCTTTTGCACTGCTAAAAAAAATTGCAATTAAGAAAAGATATCTACAAATATTTCTGGATTAAACTGGAAAAAAACATGGGGACGGAATCTTTAAAATGTTAATCAATGTTGAAAAAGAACTTGTTGTTCCACATTTGACTTTGTACAACTTGATAACTTCAAAGAAAAAGAGAAAAAATTTGCACTTGGAGTCTCCATGGTACAGATTTTTGAAAACTTTTCCTCCTCTGTAAATTTTTAACGTCACCAAAGATAGTCTTCTGAAATAAATATTGGTTAAACAAAAAATTTAAATATTTAACCTACGTTAAAATATGTCCGTGAAGGGCAACACTGAAAATTGAACTGACATCACCCCGACGAAAATTCCATCTTACTAATAGTTTATGAATAATAATTAACCTTTCCTTTATCAACAGAGGAATTTAATAAATATCAAATCAAATTAATTTTTGAGATGAATTCATAGATCAACTTACCTGGTTGGTAGTGACGTGCAAGTCAGTGATTGGCGCCCCCTTGTGGTCACTGATGACTCTCATGGTCATGCCGGTGGTCGGAGAACTGACCGCTATGATTCCATCCGTGCCGCCAGACAAAACAACATGACCTGAAAACAGGAAAAATAAACAAAGTGGAACTGCAAAGTTAGACATGGTTCTCAACTTGGGTTTAATGACAATTAACACTTCTTGCAAGATATAAAAATTATGATACAAAGATGCAAATGAACTACAAGAGGAAGCTGACTTAAAGTTCATTATAATAATTTGACTAGCGCCCCTTGAACAAAGACATTGACAAAATGGGGAACCGCCAACATAGGGCTGGATAGCTCAGTTGGTAGAGCACCGGAACGGCAATCCGGAGGTCACAGGTTCAAACCCCGCTCCAGTCAACTTTGAAAATCATATACAGAAGTATGACTGACCATCTGAGGAGAAGCTGATGGCAGTGACAGCCACGCCGTGGGGCTGCATCTTGAGGACCATCTCCACCAGACCCAGGTCAAAGACACGCACTGTCCCGTCGCTGTAGCCTGCTACCACTCGCTGCAACGGCTGGCCTTCCTTCTCGGCTGGTACCAGCTGGCTGGAACCGGATGGGACCGGATTGGGGCTGAATGCCATGCAGTGACAGCTCTGCACAGTGTCAGAGAATGAATGAAAATGAGAAAGAGTTAAAGAAAGTTTCATGCATTTACACGCATACATATGCTCTCTGATCCGATATCTGCTACTCCATAATTTAAAGGCATATAGGATCATTTGCTGTTATCCTAAAAGGGACCTACCAAATTATTATAAAAAAGCTGACTTGGATTAAAGATTGTACTGGTACTAAACACCCCGTGAAATTATTCCGTCTGGCTTGTTGTCATTTGGAAGAAATCAAGAAATGTAGGTGATGATAAACGATCAGTAAATTGACTGATTTTTGGAATAAAGAGAAATCATGTTTCGTGATCAAAAGGTTGTGCGTGGTTTTTCACTTTTTTTTTTCTAAAAAAGTGTAACATCTACTGAGCTGAAACAGGTTAGGTTTTGAACATTCTCCTATAGATTTTAAGCGGTGTTATAATTGAAAACAAACAAAATGCTGTTAGAACTTCAAGTCCGGGTTAGGCTGATTGTGGTCAATGAAATACCTGATCCAGAACTTGGAATTGCAGAGTCTGTTCCATGTCAGGCAACGAGAAGAGACGCAGGCTGCCGTCGTGATCACAGGACGCAAAGTAATCGCTGTCGCTGAAAACAACCGAGTTCACCTACAGAAAAAAGAAAAGAATATAACTCTAAGACTGGACTATAAAAATGGCATTTTCAAAACGGACCAATTAAGATGATGCTTCCGCCATTACTGGGGGCCATCATGAGTGTACGGTGATTGGTTTATGTACCTTACTGACGTGGGAACTGACTATCCTGATGCTACTCCTCTCCACCCAGTTGATGTACCACAGGGTTCCAGACGTAGTGCCCACCACGCCGATGTCCATGGTGTCGTCAAACTCGGCCGCCGTGATGGCGCCATCTAGTGACATCTCGTCCTCCATGACCAGGCCCTGGCCAGCATGCCTGCCAAAAAAACGAGTGGTAGGGCAACTAGTGGAAATATACTTCACAATAGAAGAACACTTTACACCCAGTTCAGACTGGTTTCTGCCAAACCAAATTGTTCTTTTGTCTTTGAGAAAGGTCCTGCTAAGGATTGAAATGTTAGCCCTTTAATTTTGTTACATGAAAAAAGTGGACATCTGAAACAGCTAGGAATGACTTTGTCAAAAGATTGACTGTTGTAGTCCTACGGAATGAAATCAGAGTCCCATCAATGGAAAAATTCATAAATAAAGTTTGCTCCCTGAAAACAAAATCCGAGTCAGTCATTCTGATTCAGTGCAAATAGCAACACTCTGAATAAGGGTTAGTGGTTAAGAAGTTGCTGGCTTTGCACTATAAACCAAACATTCTAACAACTTTTGTTTGTTCGGGGGGTGGGGTGGATGCTAGGGATAAGGCAGATTTGTCTTTACCCGTTTGATACTCCTGCAGCCAGCCTGAGTTCCCCCACACCGTAGATGGACCACAGACGTAGGAGACGTGAGGCACCGCCGGTGATCAGACGACTGCTGCCAAACCGACTCACTATCAACCCTACAGGGAACAGACGGAAAGATTCATGATTTATCTACATGTACCAGGAGGTTTTGAAAGATTTTGCAGGATAAATTTTGAAAGATTTTGCAGGATCACTTGCAGGGTTGAGTTAAACCTAAAGTTAACAACGAAGGAAAATCACTCACTGTTAATACTCTTTATATTATTAACCAAAGTATGAAGGCCACAATTTACTTAAAGAGAGGTGAAGTTCCTTGTCCTTTTATAAAATCCACTACAAAGTTTAAAAGGATTTTGTCAGATTGAGCCGGTGTAGCATGAATTTAGGTTTTATGAAATACGGACTCATTGGTGGCATTGCTCATGCTCATGCATAGATAATTAGGAGAGGGACCGGTCATGTGAGAGGGTTTAACCAATAAAAGGGAAAAAGATTTTCATAGAGTCCGATTTTCATTTGACACCGGTATTTTTTACGTGTCACAGGGCTTGGTACCTATTTCTGCCGAGTCTGCGTCCCAATGCATGAAGCAAGAGTTATGTCTAGTGTCCCACGCTGACAGCACTCCAGTGTTGGTGCCGATGTACAGCACGCTGTCACCCCCGTACTGTAGGCTGGTGAAGGCAACATCACCCAGGATCTGCATGCAAGCAAAACAGCACATTTCAATCCAATTGTAAATTCCTACCCTACCAAAAGCTCAAATACTTAGACCACATCATCTTGTCTCTCAGGTTAAATCCTGATGTACCTCCTTATATTTCAAACGCAGTCCAGTTTAAGAATGATCCTATGTTCCACTGCTTTCCTCTCCGTCTTTGATTTGAATTCCTTCTGTTGTAATACAGCTGCTCTAAATTGGCTTAGTGTAAGGCCTGGGCCCAATCTTATAGATCTGCTTACCGTAACCTGAAAATCCCTGCTTACTGTAGCAGAAAATTCTGTGCTTACGGTAAACTCAAGTGATGCGTTACTGAGGAAGTTGGCTTCTGCGCATGCATACATGTACATCTCATAACTTAAGATTCTGTGCTTACAGGCTTAGCACAGAATTTTCCTGCTAGCGCGGTTAGCACAGAATGGTGACAGAAAGCGCAGAAGGCTGTGGTTAGCAGAGCCATGAAATTAGTCCCTGGTATGGGCTCCGTGCGCTGACGAAAGAGGGCGCCCTTTTACCTAGCAATGACATCCCATTGGCGGGACATTTCGCTGGTTGACGCGCACCGTTCCTTGTGTGTGACGCACGTACACCAGGGGATTTGTACTATGTACACGCAGTGGCTGCGCTTCGCAGCAAACGAATTGCAGTCAGGCAAGATGGCGTCGGTTGGTCACCCCCAACTGTACTTTCTTTGCCAGTGAGGGGGTACTTGTGAACGGAGCGGATGTTGAAATGTTTAGTAACAGGTTTCCGTGTTGATACTAGAGAAGAGTGACTGTACCATGTGCTTGGAGTCCATCAGGTCCTGCGGCACGTCAGCCTCGTGGACGTTGAGGCTGAACCGCCCCTGGGTCTCATCCAGAAGCCAGAAGAGTAAGGTGCCCGTCTCTCCTACTGAGGAGAACTCATTGGTGGTGTAGGGGTCCCAGGTTAGGGAGTGGACGGGCTGGGCTGTCTTGGAGGCTGCTAGGAGGCTGTAGTCATGGGTGCTCCAGACGACAATGGTGCAGTCACGGAAATCACCTGGGGAGGGACAGTGGGTAAACACCTGTGAAATTAGGGTTCCAAATACCCACTGGAGAGCTGGACCGAGTCCATTGAAGTACTGTTTCTTTATTTTAAGAAAAATCTTCACATTTGTTCTAATAGAACACCAATGTTGAAAAATAGCCTTGTTCAGCGGGAAATTAACTTCTGGAATAGTCTGAGTGCCCAGGTTCAAACATACTCAACTTAATCTATAGTTGCAAAAACACTAAATACTCAACATTGTTCAATTATGTATTTAAGCTGATTTGTACTACCGGTAAGTAGATTCATTTCTTGTCTTATCTACATGTACTTATAAAATTAACTTTTTGTACTATGTAACAAACAGCGTTGAATAAATGTCCATCAATTGAATTATCTTAAATTACTTTCACAGAGAGTTTGGGTTGTGGCCCCTTTTCTCTTACCAATGGAGACCAGGAACCGGTCGTCCCTAGAGTATGCCAGACAGACGATATCATGCTCGTGGTAGGACAGGATTTTCTTACACAGCGCCCCCTGGACATCCCACAGGCAGATCTGGCTAGCTGTCAGGCCGTTGGAGCCAGAGGCAGAGGCTAGGACCTGGCAGTCATGCTGGAGGGTCAGGGTAGAGATCTCCTCAACATGGCCTACACAGGGAAGACAAGTTTCTTTTTACTGAATAGGAACATCATCACATGGGCCTAAAATTAAATATTTTGTTAAGGGCCTGTCTCATTCATATCCGGGATGAGTTCCAGACAAGTTGCAGACATTGTATCGGGTATAAGTTTACAATCTTCCCGCAATCTTCCCGCAATGAAGTTGACAGTATTGGTGCGTCAGGCAGTTTCTAATAAAATTTTCCCCAGAACATGTCCAGGACAAATGCAGAGCTTATTCCGGACAAAGTGAATGATTCTACCCGCAACTTCTGTCCGGAACTCGTTCCGGATATGAATTGAGAGCTCTAGTAGAGCTAGGACTTCCCCGAGGAGATCTGCAGAGACAATTTTTCTGAGAAAGTCTGGGCTTTCAGTTTGAGGAAAACTGCAAACGGATTTGTATGTTTTGGTTTGAAGGACTAGAGAACCTGAAACTAAATTCTTAAATTATATTTTTAGTACAGTTTTTCAAAAATCTGACTTTGTTACAACTTGTACAAAAATCTCTGTTAAAATATTTAGATGTTTGTACATATTTCGCGTTTTTGGGAAATGTGCAGCTTTACAGTATTGGCAGGATTTGCAGCATTGTTTTCAAAAGCAAACTTTGAATCCTCGATCCTGATTTGGTCAATCTATGGCAACAACACGAAGGCAAATATTTCAATTCTTTACCCATAAGATGCTTCTGGTTCCCGGTGTGCAGGTCCTCGATGATGATAATACACCCGCTAGTGTAGGCAAACAGTCCGGTGTCAGGGTGCCAGACCAGGTTACTCCTACCGTTGCCGTTGAAGCCAAGGACCGACTTCAGTTTTAGACCGGCCTGGTTGGGAGGGGCTATGTACCGCCGCTGGAAGGATCAACAAGTTAGTCAACATATTTTGTTTTTATTGATTAAAAATTGATTAAAAATTGATTAAATTTTCCTACGGCATAAAACTGCTAAAATTATATCTCTTCTTCAAAAAAGGACTTAGTCCATCGCAAGTTACTCCCCAGCTAATGCCGGTACCCATTCATACTGGATGGAGGGAGGCAAGTGGGGGTGAAGTGGCTTGCCCAAGGACACGACATATTGCCAGGATGCTGGATTCGAACCCCTGACCCTCTGATCATGAGTCACAAATTCTAATCACTAGGCCACTTTACATGAAGACAAAATCTGTGGAAATTTTGAAATATTAAAGAAAAAAAAATCTCACTTGGGCCATCTGTGTGTGGTTCTCCCTGGCGACAAAATGACTGTAGCAGCTTGGTCTGATCTGCTTGGCTTTGTCCGTGGCAGGTTTGAGGACAGGCAGGGGTGGGGCTGTGGGGTCTGTCTCTGGGTCTGCTCTGCGGTGTCTCTGGGTGCGTGGACTTGTCCCAAGGGTTTCCGCTGGTGGGACTTCATCCTTGAAAAGGGAAAACAATACCCAAAGTCACTTTATTGTGAAACGTTTATCATTAAATGAAGTGGCAACAATTATCATGTTAAACAATTCTGCGGCAGTTATGAAAGCTTGAAGATTGCTTGAATGTAAAATGGCCAACGGATAACTGCAAGTACACAGTTAGCTATCTGCAACAGTTATCGAATATTCTGTTGTTGTCCGCGTATGTGTATGCTTAGTCACCAGACCATACAAACTGATGACCCAACCGCCGACTAAAATTGTGGGCATGAATTATGCCTGCTCGCAGCAGAAGCTGAAGTGCGAAGGACGCAGCTACGACATGTTCGAGCTGAAGGCATGTAAAGGCGCCTTAGGCTGCCGCCATACTACCCATGTCTGACCACAGAGCACAGCCAGATGAAAAGTGTTGATTTTTGCTGAGGGAGGAAAACTAGAGACACCGGAGTAAAACCCTCATGGCACAGGAGAGAATCAACGCACAACTCTACTCACTTATGACCCAAGCCCGGAATCGAACCCAGGCCACAGAGGTGAGAGGTGAGCGCTTTACGCACTGTGCCACCCACGCCATCCATGCTAACCATATCCCTTCGCTTGCAAAACTACTGTAACTTCTCTACTGTAAGTTCTGTGATGACACATTTATACTATCCTAAGCAGCACTCACCATTTCCGTAACGCTCAACTCCTCCGTGCTGGACCGACACTCCAGCTCCGGCCCCACCAGGACCTCCTCCGTCTCCTCTGCATCCTTGTTTGCTCTCTCCACCCCGCCTAGCAACGAGATGCCTTCCACCCCGCCTAGCAACGAGAAGCCTTCCTCTTCCTCTCCTTCTTCTCTGTCTTCTGTCGATACCTCACTGGCATCCAGGAGTCTGGTTGGAGAGCTTGGAATGGGGGCTTTGTCCCGCGGACGTAGACTTCCAGTCAAGTCGAGGCTTCTACGGACGGGGCTTTTGCGTGGTGGCTCTGATCTAGATTCTGTATTTTTAAATTTTTTTTAACAGGACAATTTTTGTTTCAGGAATTCGAGAAGCAAATTTCTTAAGAAATAGAATAAAGAGTGATATATTTATGATATACAGATTGTCAGAATAGATGCTGTCTGAAAAACCGAGTAGACGTTTGTGGGACGGATGAATTTTACAGGAAAGTTTTGTAATAGAGTCAGCCAACTAACTTAACTCTTACCCTACCAGATGCAACACAGTGCATCAGGTGTAAAAGTCTGAGGGACCTTGCTGCATTGAGCTATCATCACCAGTGCAGAAACCGGCCACTTCTGAAACAATGAGAGCCAGTCCCATTGAACAATGCCAGAGCAGTATCCTGCTGCAGCTGGTGACCGCAGACTCTAAGGCACTTTGGCCTTGAAACTTTTGACCTAATAGATCTTGCTACACTGGGCAGGCTTGTCATTTTGACAAGTGTGGCATGCTGCTGCCTTTGGCAAGGTTCCTAGCCAAAATACCCAAGGGGGTTAGGCTTAAAAGATTTCCAAGACATCTCAGGAAATGCTTGGAAATTCTGCTTCACAAAATAAACTTACCTGGTTTACTCAGGAAATGTTCAGTCTCTAAAGTAGTTCCTCTGTTGAAAAATAATGGGAGAAAAAAGATTGAAACCAAAAAATATTCCGTAAGTATCTGTGACACTTCGTCAGTCATTGCTTCTCCCCACCCAGGAGTAAATGGCTACTTGTGAGGGCAGAGATGATTATTGTGGTTAATTTTAGCTGCTTTGTGCAGAAATGGCAGCATCGAGCTGTTTACTCCCTAGGGAGCTGAGATAGCCTTTGGAAAGTTTCATGAGTCCGATGAGCAGGGATAATAATGATGTAGCAACTTGAGTGCCAATATGTGCAATTTGAAAAATAAAATAATTGAGATACGAGAGACATGGATATGATGCCTAAATGCTTACAGTGCAGGATGGTCTCGGTTTGTCCCATAGAAGTCCCACATGAAGATGGCTTCCCCTACGCTGAGTAGACCCAGGCTGTCTGGGGTGAACGCCACCTGCTGGATCTTCTCTGAGTGGCCAATGAACACCTGTTGAGAAACGAGTAGACCAATGACAAATCACAGAATGAACTTTGTGTATTACAGTTCCCATACAGAATGCATGTAAGGTACTGAAAGCAATTAGTACCAGTAGGAATGATATCACACCATTTAGAGTTATAGTCCATCATTTGCAGCTATCCGAAAAGTAACTGACGCAATTATTGTTGAAAAACAAACTTGGTTGAAAGATAGTAAGTGGACTAAACTCCCTGTGAAATTAATCTTTCTGGCAGCTGTCATATTGAAGTATTCAACAAAAGAAGGCCTTTTTAACGGTGCATCTTAAGATGCACTGTAGGAAATTTAAATTAGTAGTTTGTTTTGTTATTCGGCAAAACAAACTACTGCGCAAGCATTGGCACGACGCACACGCGTGCGCGGTGGCTATAATTCGTCGGATCAGTGCGCGACATCACGTATAGCTGCAATTCAAAACAATTCAAAACATGATTCAGTAACTTTTGATTTGAAATTGAGATCCTAGAATGCTGTTTTTCTCGGAATATACAGCTGAAGCTGAGCTGAAACTTCATCAGGTTAGTTGTTCAGTATCCTTCATTAGATTTTGAGCACTTTTGTTGCTTCAAACGAACTAAACGCACAAATTACAAATGATGGACTATGTCTTTAACTGTACGAAATGTCTTCTACTGACCTGGAAGTTGATGTCAAGTCTCATGTGGAAGTCCCATATCTTGATGACTTTGTCCCCTGCCGTGGCCAGATGGCGACAGTCTGAACAGACCTCCATGCTGGTCACTCCGGACCGATGAAGATTGGACACCTGGAAAAAGGAATGGACAATGTTACTGCCATGTGATAATTCAACCGGAGATGGAGTGTTGGAGGACTCTTTGTTGGAGGGATGGGGAAAAAAAAGGGATCTATCAACCTAGTTGATGAGCCTTCCAGTCCTTGAATTCTGCCACAAAAATGGCAGTTTGACATACTGAAGATGGAGTGTTGGAGGACTCTTTGTTGGAGGGATGGGGAGGAAGAAGGGGATCTATCAACCTAGTTGATGAGCCTTCCAGTCCTTGAATTCTGCCACAAAAATGGCAGTTTGACATACTGGTCAGGAGCTGCCTAGCCAGGTGTGGAGGTGAGGAAGTAGGTTCCAACCAACCTTGTTGATGAGCCTTCTGGTCCGTGAATCCAGCCTGAGCAGATGAGAGTTGGAGGTAGTGACTAGTAGCTGCTTGGCTCTGTGTGGTGCGTAGCAGACCATCGCTGCTGTATCTATCATGGGGAACTAGAAGCTGCTTGGCATTGTGTTTGGGAAGGGGGTAATGGGGGAATGGACCAACCTTGTTGATGAGCCTTCCGGTCCGTGAATCCAGCCTGAGCAGATGAGAGTTGGAGGTAGTCACTAGGAGCTGCTTGGCTCTTTGAGGGGCATAGCAGACCATCGCTGCTGTATCTATCATGGGAGACTCAGTGTCTGCTGATACGATGGATGCAATGTCGATACGCATCACCTGCGAAAAAAATATGACATGGAAAACGGTGTTGGCAAAAACTCCAGCAACCCTCTGATTTGAAGAACGACCAAAAAAAGGCAACAAAAAAAAAGGATAAGAAACTTGCCTCATCCAAAGATCTGGCATCCACAACCATGACAGTGAATTCTGACGGACCGACGAACGCAACATGCTTCCCGTCCTCGCTCAGGGCCAGGGCGCTGGGTCCGTACCTCTCTCCCCTGGCAACCATATTGCCCAGCAACCGCATCAGCGGGTAGGCTTCCTGAGAGGCATCGTAGAGGGCCAAGGAGCCCAGGGAGGCAGCAGACAGGAGGTAGTGGCCGTTGGGGGTGTAGGCCAGGCCGGTGATCTTGCCTCGGTGCTGCCTGTTGACAAGAGTAGTAATTTACTTCATCACACGTCCAATTACAAGTCACATCATAAGGTCATTTGGGACTTGTGATGTGACCTGATAAAAAGTCCGCTGTTGCCGAGACATAATATGTAATTTGCAATAAAATGTAAATTGCAAAAGATTTGGCAATTTGAATACTTAAGTATAAAGTTGTGAAGTTGAGTCCATAACAAAGCCTTCACATGTCATCTTGTCCCAAATCAAGTCACAACTACCCAAACGAACTACGAAAAAAAAATGCATTCCTTTCATCCTGTTACATGTGAAGGGACTTGTGAACAGACCTGTGATTTACTCGCGACCGGATTAATTCCTACACCTAAGCTTCGCCTACCTCATCTCAGATACTAGACTTGTGTTGGCGATACTGAAGACACGTACACATCCGTTGTCAAAGCCGCAAGCGAAGCACTGGAGGGAAGGGTGGAAGGTGACCACACAGGGACACTCCTGGGGGGAGCTGAAGTCATACGTCTGAGGGCCACACAAACAAAATAATTTTAAATAAAAATAACCAAAAAAAAATTCTTTTTTTTCATTTAAAAACTGCACATAGATTACCATTCCAAGAGACTAGCATACAACAATTTCAATATCTGTGGATAAGAATGTTTAATCTGATCTTTTGTTTCTTGACGTCTAATTTATGTTTTTCCGGTTTTTCAATTCAATAGGGCTTGTTCAATGACGGCCATCTCGTAGGAGAACTGCAAATGCGTATTTTATGCAATCAAGCTCGCATTGCGCAGTGTTGAAAATGTTCCAAACACGTGCGCTTGTTGCTCAAAATTGTTCGAAAAACGACGCAGCCGATGCGCGTTATGCAAGTTGACGCTCAAAATGCCGATGCACGTGAATGGTCTGTAGGAAATGATGTCATTTGAATGAGACCTATTAATTTCAAATTGGTTTATATCAAAAATCACGACTCCCATTCAAAGGCTGAATTGAACATAATTTATATTCAACACTTGAATCATGTACATTCTATGGAAAGATACTTTAATTTTATTCCCCAACATCGTTTGGCTTAATTATTAATTTCAATTTCAAATTTGCACTAGCAGCTGAAATCGAGTCCCTTATCCTCAAGTCACATATACCACAAGGCAACACTCCCTGTACAATCTTACTTAAGGTGGAAACACTTCTACTTTGGAGAAAAAAACAAACAAACAGAGTTATCAAGTTATAAACTGACCTGTTGCAAGGTATCCATGTTCCAGATCCTGATGGAGTGGTCGGCAGACACTGTGGCCAGCTGTCGCCTGGCAGGGTCCAGGCTTGCTGACAGGACGGTGCCGGTGTGGGATCGCATCAACGTGGCGTAGTTCCTGGTGGAGATGTCCAGCATGCCTAGATTGCCCGTGGTCGTACCGGCCAGGATGCGCAGGCCATCTGCCGTGATGCCCACGGCCGTGACTGGGCCCTCGTGCTCTGCGCGACGAATCAGAGATATAAACATGAGAGGTGTATGGAGCTCCGTGGTCCAATGGTTACGGTGTTCGACTCATGTAGGTGGGTGTTCGACTCTCTTTCAAAGCGATTGGGCCAGACTCGAGTCCATGAAATGCTGCTGTGGGGGGATCGAAACACCTCCTCCACAGCAAGTCTGTTACCTTCCCAGCATTGAATAATGCCGGTACCCATTTAACACCTGGGTTGAGAGGAGTAATTGAGGTAAAGCGCCTTACTCAAGGGCACAACACGCATGGCCACGGCGGGGCTCGAACCCACAATCTCACGATCATGAATCCTGTGCTCTACCGCTAGACCACACGTGGGTTTTTAACCCAGTACGTGGGTTTCAAACCCTGACGAGGAACATGGTGCTTGTGTTCTTGGGCAAGACACTTTACTACAATTAGCTCTCCCCACCCATGAGTATAAATGGGTACCTGTGAGGGTAGAGACCAGATTGCACAGATATTTAAATTGGAAGTCAAGGGTCTTACCAGCTTCTAGAAAGACGTTTTTGAAATCCAGCGGCCAGAGACGTAGGAATCCATCATCTGAGCCAGTCACGCAGAACGATTCATTGACGCACATGGCATTGATGGCAATGCCGGCCCCTACATTTGTGGACAAGGGAAAAACAAAAATATAGCTACAGAGTAAATATGACATATATGCTTAAAAAAAACTGTACTTTTCACCCTTAAAGATTCAGATCTGGAGGCACTGCAGAATACCCCCCTCCAATTTTTTTTTTAATATTTCCGCCATGATTTTTCTCAACTGAAAAGTGCTCATTCTTGCACCATAGTATAAATATCAAATGACGACAATTATGAAAGCTTTCATTCAACTGGACTGCACCTTTTCAGGTAAATAAAACTAGATAAACTCAGAATGAATACCAAATAACATCTATCACGGGACAGCCAAGATCCATTTCCCCCACTCCCACGCCCCCACCCCATCCCTTCAGCTGTAAGAATGCCAAAAAACAAACTTTTTCTTAAAAAAAACCAGCCGGTTAATGTAGTAAGTGATTAAAAAGACTGCATTTGAAAAGAAAGGTGCTGACCTGATTGCATTGTGTCCTTCTCTCTGACTTCCTTTCCCGTCGGTAGTAACCGCCGGATGTGTACGACGGACACACGGTTGTAGTCGATCTCAAAGATGTGGCCAGAACGTGTACAAGCATATCTATAATCACCATGGAGAAAAGAAAACGGGAAAGGCAAATAAATAAAACCTCTCAACTTGGAAAGTTGCTGCTTCTTACTTAAAGGGCCATCTTTTAATGCCACCCTTGAAAATGCACCTTTGTGTCCCTTCAACCTAATTTTCACTTTTCATTTTGCCATTTTCAAGGGTATTTTGGTGCCTTTTTGGTTTTTATGCTAATGTGAATTTCCATATTCATGAGCAAAAGTGTGATATCATATCAGGCAGAAACCTCAATGTTGCAATTAGTTTATGCACAAAAAGTTGCAATTTTTTTTGGATATTTCGCTGTCGTAAACTTTCTTTTCATTAGTGATTTGTTGTTGTGTCAGTAAGCCAATGAGAAAATTTTTCTCACAAATGTTTTCAATGAGCATTTTTTTGGGCTCACTATTTCAACAGAATATGAACAGTGTCTCCCTAAAATGACATCACGACAACAGCCCCCTCAGTTGTCCGGAAAAGCATAGAAAATGTAAAATGTTGAAAGAAGTGCACTTTTCAACAAAATTAACCAAAAAGGAATATCAATTAGTTTTCATACACTTAAGAGGATTAGAAAGTAGCACAAGATATGTTCCTCAGAAATATTCACTTCAAGAGCCCTTAAAGCTTCAAAAGCAACGTGGAACGTGCCTTGTGGAAACGAGCGATAGTCTAAAGGTGTTGACAACCGGAACAAGCTCCTCTGAGTTGGCATGCATGAAATCTAGTTAGTTTCTCTCAGTGGTTTACTTGATGATTTGTTACTTACACAAATTTGTCGGCGGGCTCTAAGCCCGGCTGGGTGGCCTCGAAGCAGATATCGGTGAATTCAGCGACGTGGAAGTCACCTAGGTTGACGGGGGCCGAGCGCAGGGAGTTGTTCCTCACACGCCATATGCGGACATTGTCTCGACCACATGATACCATCCTGTAAAATGAAATCAATTTTAAGATTTTTAAACTAACACTTGATCTTTTTGTTTTTTCCTTTTATCAGCACACAACTGAGGAGAAAAAAAGTAAAGATAAATTGTCTCTTTCAAAGATCTTTGATAAAGAGATTCATACTAAAGGGTCGATACTAAAGAGTCAACAACGAAATGCAACACACATTATCAGAAAAGTTGTAAAAATTGATGACGAAAATATTTCACGCGTATCTGCATGGGGAATACAAGCAGCTTTTTTTGCCGAGCTTAAATGCAGTCACAGTTACTTTGAGAAACTGGTGAACTCAAAAACCAGAATGTTGTGAGATATAGAGTTTGAGAGGGCCTATTTTTAGTCACAGAGTCTGAGAAAAAAATCGGGCCAAAGCTATGGACAGATTTTTTCCCCATTTTTTTTTCTATTGACAAACAATTTTTTTGATGGAATTAGGAACTTATAAGGTAACAAGGTGGTTAAATTAAATTAGTCGTGGTTAAATTTTTTCCCCATCAATTTCTGCAGCTTGGCATTCTTAAGACGTATTCACAGTTTTACTGAAAACCTGTAACTTTAAAATTTAAAGGTCTTGGACTTGCTTTTGGTTGTGGGGAGGCAAAAGAAACTGACCTTTGAGTCTGGGTCATCTTGAAAGATTGAGAACGTGGGGAAAAACTGTTCTGAGGACAACAAGGATGAGGTTGCCTAGGAAACCAAGTCTGAAATAGGCCAGAAATCTCACACTCATCACTTGATCTGTAGTATTAAACTTACTTTGTTTCGTCAAATGGTGCTACTCTCATCTGCACAATGTCTACGTCCGTGTGAGCCTTGGCTAGGATGGAGATATCTCCTCCCTTGCCAACTCGAGAGGTATCCCAAGCAACTACCATCTAGAAAACAAAACAACCATCTTAACATTTCTGATGGACTTTCTTTTTTGCTGTTTGCCAAGATATATTTGTAATAAGGTGCATAAAAATATCACTTTTTTTCTTTTAACTTACATTCTTTCCGTGGCCATCCTTTCCCACTCCACACAGCACAGATCCATTTTGGGAGAAACTGAGAATGCAAACAAAGTAAAACAGAAGTTAAACATTTGAGAAAATATTTGTCTTACTATTTGCAAAAAAAAGGAAAGAAGTGGTTTTCGCACTGCCATAAAAATGAGCCCCAGACCCACGTCATTCCCGAAGTCAAGTTTTGGGTTTCGGGTTAAAGGCATATAGGATCATTTGCATTTATCCCAAAAGAAACCTTCTGAATTATTTTCAACAAGCTTGCTTGGATTAAAGATTGTACTGAAACACTCCGTGAAATTTTTCCGTCTGGCTTGCTGTCATTTAGGAGAAATCAAGAAATGTAGGTGATTTCCAACGATCAGTCAATTGACTACTTTTGAAAATACTAAGAGCTACAGACGAAATCATGTTTCGTGATCAAAAGGTTGTATATGGTTTATCACTTTTTCTCCAAAAAGTGTTATATCCAAGGAGGTGAAATTCAACAGGTTAGGTTTTTAACAGTCTTCTTTCAATTTTTTGTGGTGATATTATTGGAAACAACTTGTCCTGCATCTATCACAATCTATCAAATCAAATGTGTGGTGTGGAGAGATTTGGCAAGCCTGAGTCCATCAAAATCTATCAATGATAAATATTTGGTTTGGTGTGATTTAGGAGGTTCAGGATTAGACTCACCTCAAGCAGGCTAAGTCTATCAAAATCTATTGAATTCAAGTGTTAGGTTTGGTGTGATTGAGGAGGTTTATGATAAGACTCACCTCAAGCAGTAGACAGACTGCACGTGGGTCCTGAACATGGCCAGGCACTCTCCCTTCTGGTACCTCCAGACTCGGACCACGGACTGCTGGCCGGTCTGGGCTGAGGCCAGCAACGTGGTGGTCCGGTTGAAGCTCAGACTAGACACCTTGTCGGTGTGTCCGATGAAGAAGCGCTGGTGGCCGGACTTGATGTCCATGGACACGATGACCGCGTGGCAGGGGTAGACGATATGGGTGCCGTTGGCTGTCCAGAGCGCCTGTGACAATTTATAATGAAACAACGAAAGGTTTACATGTCTCTTCTCCTTGTTTATTTAAAAATCAAAACTTGTATCGTCCTTGCAGGGGTGAAGTAATCTAAATACGGATATCTGTATTGCAATATTTGGCTCTGAATATACATAGCAAAAGCACCTGTCAAAATGACAAGCCTGCCCAGTGTAGCAAGATCCATCAGGCCAAAATTCTCAATGCTAAACTGCCTCAGAGTCTGTGGTCACCAACTACGCAGCATGATACAAATGTGGCATTGGTCAATGGGACTAGCTCTCGTTGTCTCAGTACCGGCCATGTATGCACTGGTGTTGGTAGCTGAATGCATCAAAGTGCACCAGACTTTTCCACCTGATGCACTGTGTTGCGCCTGGCAGGGCTAGGGTTAATGGAAGGTAGGAAAATGAAAAGAAAGTCCAACCTCTTTTGTGGTGCATCCACCGAAGCCGATGATCTTGCGGAGGGACAGGATAGGGTCTGGCTGCAAACTCTGGAGGAAAACAGAAAGAGGGACAAGGTTTTACAGCCCAAACCCTCACAGATCCGTTCAAATCCGCCAGTAAGTTTTAGTAGATTGTGGAGAAAGTGGAAAAGCAGAACCCAGACATTATTACTATTCATTAACCCTGATGAGATACCCTGTAAAACCTCATAAAACCTCGAGGTAACCCTCAAGTTTGAACTTACCGCCTGTTTAATTTCGCATTCTCCCCAAATTTGGCTCAGCACATCCATTGTGTTTCTGATAAATATTGTAAATTCTTGGAAAATATCCAGTCTGCCCATACTTTCTCCCTTTTTATTGTTCATATTTGATAACTGTTTCTCACCTTGTATTTCGGTTCTTGGCTGGTAGGCAGTGCTGAAGACGTCCTTGCAGTACCGACTTTACTCGACATTGTCTGTTTAAAAAAAATAGATTGACGGGTAGATGAAAGCTTCAACCACTTTGGTCAAGGTTTTACATTTGGAGGGTTGCCATAACTGTAATATATCCTATCTAATCCTGAGTGTCACTTCCAGGATTTGGAGCAATGCTCAGAGTTTGTGGGAATTATAAATTTGGGCTTGATCCCTATCAACATGCCACATAGCTCATCCGGTAGAACGCTATATGGTGAGGTGTTCCTGAAATTGTAGGCTGAAATCCCACCCCTGTCAGTTTCTTTGTTAAACCTTAATACAGACAAATACATTTCACTCTTACATTTTTGGGGTCCAATGCTCAGATCCACATTTATTTATTTATTTTTTTAAGAGAAAGCCTTTTCACATGTTAAAGTCAAGTCTGTCACAAGCCAATGTGGCCCATCAGGCCGGAGTTTATCTCTGGTTTCAGTGGCATGAAACGACAGAGAATATTTCTACTCCCCCTGGATGTGATGCTAGTCCATCGCAGGTTACTCCCCAGCTAATGCCGGTACCCATTTACACTCCTGGGTGGAGGGAGGCAAGTGGGGATGAAGTGGATTGCCCAAGGACACAATATATGACCAGCAGCTGGATTTGAACCCTGACCCTCTGACAATGAGTCAGGAACAATAAGGACTAACCACACCTCCCACCCTCTTCACATGGTACATCCGCCAAATTTTCCATGCTGTGCTCTCAAACTCGCAAAAGTCTCAAGCCGCATTTTTGCTAGAGCTTACCATTCCAGTGCGGCTGTCATGCCGATGGACAGTCACGTCGTCGTCATTGCGGGCAAAGACATGTACCTCACCAAGAGCTCCCTGCAGGACAGACACGTCGTGGTCCAAGCCTACCTGGGGTAGCTCCTTGGTGGGGGGTTTGGTCCGCTTCTTACCATGCTGTTGGATTAGGAGCAAATCATCACAAAGTGCTCAACCAAGAGGTTAAAACAGCGCGGCCAGTTATTGCATTGCATGCGTCATGGAAAAAAGTCACTATCCACCCCAGGACATGTACCTTAAGGTGTGGTCGGAGGGCAATGATTTGTATTGCTTGGATAGGCATGAGTTGAAACTAAATTGTAATTTATTGTAACTAAATTTAAACAATTGTAATAATAATAAAGAAGACCTCTGTGATACTGGCAACATAAAAAGTCAATAGCAAAATGGCATTTATTTTGTACTTGTTGACAGTGACTCGGACATTGGACACTGCTGAAGTTTGGCACTTACAAAGGCCTTAAAAGACAGCTTAACATTTCTTCTAATGATTTTAAGCGCACAGCTGCCTGTTTTGTACATTGAACTTTGGAAAGCATTTTTTGCCTAAATTATTGGCAAACTTTTTCTTCTTCTAGACATTAGCAAGGCTGTAAGTCTTTTAATTTGATTACATATTCTAAAACTCAATTCTTAATTTACCTTCTTTGGATTTGTCAACTTGTTGATATCAGAGAACTTGGAGTTCACATCTTTGCCAGCCTGAAAAAAAAGAAAAAAAATTCTGATCACTTTCTTAGTTTCTTGAATTTTAAAGTGAAATCCCACTCAGCCCTAAACAAACGCAAACACAAAATTGTAACACCACGGAAAAATGTTGCAGCGCAAATTCACAAAAGTTTCATTTAAACTTTAGAGAAATCTACTCTGAATGTTTCTTGACTTTTGAAAAAAGTCAGAATTCCGATCAAAATCAGAAAAGCTTGATCTCTGCCACCTACATGGATTGTTTTGGGGGCGACCCGCTCCGGACTCATCTTGCCTAGTTCCTGGCCTCCCTTGCTTGGCGTGGGACTGTGCATCTGGATTGAGTCAAAGGGAACCCGGCTAGCTGCTGCAGGAAATCTGGGGAAAACCAACAATTGACATTCTTTTCGATCACAAATATGTACAACATTCGCTTCTTTTCATCAAACACTTTTGAAGACATCGGTACGTGTGTATATGTTCACTCATCCTTATATTGTTGAACTCTACTGAACAAAACATGTCTTATTGGTATTTGATCAACCTTTATCTATTTTTTTTTTTTTTTTTTTTTTTTCGGGCAATGAAACCAAGGATTCCTCAAAAGCGCCCAAGGCACTGTAGCTCGCAAGCCTGAAGAAACCTGTGGAGAGAAGACAATGAAAAGAAATTACAGTTTTAGAGGTGGGAGGAAAAACCTAGAAGAATATTCTGGGGGAAACCCACGGAATTAGACAGGGACTGAAAACCCAATCCACATATTGGCCCGGGCGCGATTAGAAATCGTGCCCAAGCGGTGGAAGGCAAGGAAAGTACTGCTATGCCAACCTGACTCCCTTTGATATTATTGCCATGTATTTATTAAAAAGAAGAAAAAAGTGACCTCTACTTTTGTTCACTTATTCTACTTTAGTTATTTTGCAGTATGGAGAACACTTCAAATCCCTGCACAATTCTTTTAAGTGGGGTTAAGCTCAGGGCAAGCAGGCAGATTCAGTCACGCTTCACTGCTCTCCACAGTGCTGTTTTTGTGCAGTGACTCTCTGAGTGACACAGTTGAACACTTCATATCCCTTCACCTGAAACTGACCTGCAGTATTTAAGGGTTTTACATTTTGCTCTGAATATTGACTTCCCACTAGAAGGGTTAAGAGTTAACTTGAGATGGGCTCAACCCCAACTCAGCATCTCAACTCACCTGATAAAATCATACAGGTCGTGCCAGTGGCCGCCCTTGGGTACAGGGTAGGCCATCTCTCTGGGAAACGGGGCCACGCCCTTGGCGATCAGCCCCGCCTCCCGAGCCTGCCGCAGGCTGAGCCCCGCCTCGTACTGGGTGTCGCTGGTGAAGAGGTTCTTGACCAGGAGGTTGGCGCAGAGGCGGACCGACTTGAGGTGTGAGTACCTCCGGTTGAGGTACATGGAGAGGATGTACTGGAAGTCCAGGAGGAGGACGGTCCAACGGGTGGTGGCTGGGGCTGGGCCTTGGACATCTGGCAAACACAAAGCGTTTAGTAATTTTTTTAAATTTATTTTGGTTGATTTTAGCCATTTATCAGCCCAGAGCCTGAACTGCACAGTGACTAACAAAAAAATAACAAAAATATATTAAAAAGGACATAAGAAAAAAATACACTCAAAACAAAAATTTAAACCATAATTTGAAAAAAGACATTCACATATTAAAACCATTAAGAAGATTAAAAATATTACAAGAACCACTTGAGAAGTTTAAAATCAATTCAATGAACAGGACTTGATCTGAGCTTCATCATGTGTGAACGTTTTGATATATTAAATTTGCCCGATTTATAAGCATTTAAAGTGAAATTTGTACAAAGAGCAGTTCTTCTGACATACACGTGATCCGGACCTAAAGAGGACCTAGAGCATGCTAGTAATCAGTGTATCAATTTTTTAAACTCTCCTCTGACAATGTCTGAATTTGTTGGCTGCTTTGTTTAAGTGTTATGGTCGAGTGCCGAACTGGAGATATTATTGCATTTATGAATCCGTCACAACGAGGAGGCATTCTCAGAGGCAGAGACTAGATAAAGTCAAGTCTGTCACGGGCCAATATGGCCCATCAGGCAGACGTTTATCTCCGGTTTCCTTGGCACAAAACGACTGAGAATATTTCTATTCCCCCCTGGATGGGATGCCAGTCCATCAAAGGTTACTCCCCAGCTAATACCGGCACCCATTAACACTCCTAGGTGGAGAGAGGCAAGTGGGGGTGAAGTGGCTTGCCCAAAAACACAACATATGGCCAGCAGCTGGATTCGAACTCCTGACCCTCTGATCACGAGTTACGAACCTAACCACTAGGCAAAATTCCCCTTGTGTTTCATCGGTGTGAATCAATTTTGGTGAAACCAGAATTTACAAAGTGAACATATACTACCAGGAGGGACCATGGTGCCACGTACAGACATCAGACTGGATGACAATAATGCAAACTGAAAAACTTATTTGCCTCTGAACAAAATTTTGACTCAAATATTAAAATGTTCCTCCAATCTGGGTCAATATGATTCACCTTGTCTGGCAGTCCTCCTGGTCACTCCTTCCACCGAGCCCTTCCCCGGATGACAGATGAACGGGAACTGCAACCACGTGGACGTGGACTTGAACTCCTTGAAGAGGTTGGAGAAGGAGATGCGGACCACCAGGCCTTCCTCCGTGGCCACGTCCAGGTGCACCACGAAGTACTTGGTGGGGACGGGCTTGATGAGGAGGTACAGGTAGCGGCCCGTCAGGCCCAGGGACTGCGTGGAGGTACGGGGGAGCTGGATGTAGTTGCCGGCAGGGATGGCGCCTGTGATGCGGAAGACTGTGCCCTTGAGGGTTTTGTCCTGTGAGGAACAATATAAATAATAATAATAATAATAATAATTTGGAAGGCTAATCATCCTTACTCGCAGCTGGTATGCTGAATTGCGAAGGACGCGGCTACAACGTGGTCGGGCCGCTGGCACGTAAAGGCGCCTATGGCTGCCGGCCACATCAACCCATATATGACCACGGAGCACAGCCTGAGATCGAAAGTGTTCCTGAGGGAGGAAAACCGGAGGGCCCGGAGAAAAACCCTCGTGGCACAGGAGAGAACCAACGCACAACTCTACTCACATGTGATCCGCGGCCAGGATTCGAACCGTGGTCACCTTGGTGAGAGGTGAGCGCTTTACGCACAAGCCACCCATGCAATTAAAAGGGGGATATTGGTGAAACTTTGAAGTACTGGATTTCGAAAATTTGTAATAAAAAGCTGTACCCTCTCTGGGTGTGCAGCATTGCTGATGTTGCTAGCATCGTGACTTTAGGCGTGATGGAGGAATGGGTGTACAGCATCTGACTTGTACCCCTTGAACAAAGACATTGACAAAACATGGGGCTCTGATAGCTCAGTTGGTAGAGCACCGGAACGGCAATCCGGAGGTCGCAGGTTCAAACCCACTCCAGTCAATTTCTTTGTTCAACTTTAAAAATTATTGGCTGCCAAAAAATAATTTTTCCAACCGTAGTTTCCTGCGTATTCAACTGTGCCTTATTTTCAGTTGTCTGCTAGATCCAACGGAGTCCAACTTGGCGTTATAATGTAGTTCAGTTGCCTGCTGAATCCAACATATTGCCTCAGGATGTACACCAGGGGTTTACTGCTCAATCCAACAGGCTCCATCGGGTAAATGATATAGTGGGATCCTGTTGGATTCAGCAGGGTTACTTATTAGCTAATATAAACTTGCCATGATGGAGACCACCTCCCCTTCTTTTGTAGACTTCTTCCATTCTGAAACGTTCAGATGCTTGAAGATGTTGACATAGGGGTGTTGCCAAACTGTGAATGAAAAAACAGGAAGGAAAAAAAAATTAAAAATTTGGGCAGACATTGAACACTGAAAGAGTTTAACCCTGCTATTGTTTGATCAGTCACAGACAGTCAAAACTTTCGTCCACTTCGAAAGTATTTATTTCAAAAAGTCAACAACAGGTGTTAGCAAATAATCATATTTTGTTAATACGTTATTTTGTATTAAAACTATACCAATGTGTCTAAGGAAGCCAGCACGTCTTGAACGCGTCTTAAGTTTGGTGAAATCGATCCTAGGACAAGTCGTGAGAAAGACGAAGACGTATCTTAATAGAGTTTCGTGAAATTGGCCCTTAGGATTTTATCCAAATATCAAGAAATAAAATTCTCATTGCCAGGAGAGTGTTCAGGGGATGATGTTTCTATCTTTGGTTTAATTATTTTCCCGAAGGGAGTGGGCCGAATCCCGGATGTAGTGCTATACCGGGCCAACCCGTGGCCGGGACGAGGCAAGCCCCTATTCCACGGCCCAGATCCAAAAATCAGTTTAATATACTGGCTGCTCGATGAGCAGCGTTTCAGATATTAAGCTGAAAAGAACAGATACTACACATGATCTTAGCCAAAAGGCCGAGAAGCGATAACCAACAACGATTTCGCAGAGTACTTATACTCCTGTGTACCCCCGATTATGACTGTTCATCAAATTCACTTTTTATCCCGTCACTTTTGACTAAAAAAAGCTCTGAAATATTTACCATCATTAGACACATGATTAAAAATCACACAGCTCTCAATGTTCACTTTTCAAGAATATTACCCTTTTCCCAAGTCTTGGATGATTTTTGGTTAAAATTCAGCAAAACTGAATATTCAGTAAGTGGGAGGATTTACAGGTCACGGCACTTGCGCAGCAGTGCGGTAAGTATTGACTTCCCGAACAAAGGTCACTTGAAGCGTTAACAACAATGCCACAGGCAGTGCACAATACGTGTGCACTGCACGTGTGGACATAAAGCCTGGCTATATTACGTACATGTACATGTACAGTACTATACATACATGTACATGTACATGTACTGTACATGTACATGTACATGTATGTATAACACAGTGTGAACACAACACAGTGGCACACACACATGTAAATACATGCAAACCCTTTGCAATGAAGATGCAGATTATAGTACCAGTACATGTACATGTTATTGTAATGTATGTTCAACACCTTGTACATGTACATGTACATGTGTGAGAGATAGGGGCAATTATGTACCAAAAGTCCACACACAGTATCATAACCTCAAATGTGGTATGAAATTAAAGGGGACAACAAGACCTTTTAGTTGAGTGGTTTGCCAATGAGATGGAATATGGTCAAATGTATTTTTTATTATCAAAAAATTGTTGTTGTTTTTTGTTTACCGCTAGTTGTGTTTTTTTTGCAAAAAAAATATGGATTTAAGATAGTCATACATGCATGTTCAGCCTGTTGTCTTCACAACCAAAATAACTGAAAACAGCTGGAAAAGGTGTAAAAAAACTGAACTTTGGAAATCTCCTATACTTTTGTACACAGCAAATGAGGGGAAAAAAGCAGAAATCCAAAACAAAAAACCCTGAAATTAGCTTTAATAAAGCTGAGATTTCACACCCCTGGAAGTTTTACTCACTGTGAGGTTTTTTTATTAAGAGAGAAAGGCTCATATTCTATGCCAAAAAGGCATTTTTTGCTTCATAATCTAGGGTAATTTTTAAAAATATATTTTAACTTGTACTAAAGATGGGTGGACAAAACTGGGACATGAGTATGATTCATTTAAATTATTTTTAAAAGAATTTTACGGAAGCATATGACTTACACACTAATGATGGAAGGGCACTGAAATATTCTTACAACAGTGCACAGTTTGAGGAAACTTTCAAATACAATGTTTGTAATTTTTTTGCCATGTCCAGTTTTGTTGTTTACAACACAAGTTTTTGATCATACAAAAACGTATTGCCAAACCAAAAGAAATTGATTTTGTTGACCCCTTTTGGTAGCTTAGTCACTTCACTTCAAGGGATCTTCTGTGAGAAAAATACAATCTTCAATTAATGCTTTGACTTTATAGAATATCAGCGCAGAGTTGACAGGAGACAACCCTTTAAACCCTAACAGAACTCAACCCATCAAACCCCAACAGCATGTTTTGTTGGAATCTGTCTGGATGGGTACAGTACCCCTAAACTGTCAGTCTTTTACATTGGGTTGGCACACCTCCAGAATCAAAGTCAGAAATATGTGTGTGCAGTTTCCCATATGGTGTTGGAATTTGCCAGGATGGGTATGGTTCCTACTCGACATGCTAGGGAGTTAGGGTTAATTAAAGGGAATATACAACATTTGCGAACATCAAAAAACAAAACTACCAAATTATTATGAAATACCTTACTGGACTGTTAGTGAATGACAGTCTAAAGCATCCTGTAAAATCATGACACCTGGTGTGCTGACATTTTCAAGAAAAGTGGTATTTTTGTATCAACTTCCAATGCTGGTCGGCCGACCAGCATTGGAAAAATCGGAAAATTTTCAACTTCTGCCCCCAATTTACCAAATTTACCAAATTTATTCAGTCCAAATTTTGGTTGCAATTGGTTTAATAACATCTTTGAATAGCAATATATTAATATCGAAAGTGAATGTTATTGATGGAAAAACACAAACATACATATGTACATTCAATCTCTAATTTTGCTTTCAAGTTTCGAATGGCTTTCAATGTGATAGCCAAAAAAAACCAAATAAATAAATGCGATGTCATTTTGTCCCAAACCGATTCCTTCAAAAAGTACAGAAATGACATGCATTCTGAAACGCTTGACATAATTAATTGAATTGCATTTCAGAAAAGTTCCCTCAAAACACATTATTCATTTAATTTTTCTGCAGTCATGCTATTTTTTTTCTTTTTCAATTTTGATGTTTGAATATGATTTGCTGTATTAAAAAAAAAGCAAAACAAAATTAACCTTATGCCAATAATTATTTATAAGGTGCAAATTGTACATTGGAAAGTGATACCAGTACTTTTTTGATCTAAAGTAAATTTAGAGTCATCCAATAGGCAGTGTTTTAGATACACACGGCATATAGTTTTTTTTTTGTTTTTTTTCATACAGATTCTAAAATTGCATATTCTAAAACTGTCCTGTTCAATCTAATACCAAAAGCAAACGTGTCACTACAGCACATATGAAGTAACAAAAGTCTTTCTAATATACACCATTATGTACAACATTTGCTTTTGCTATAATTGTCAGAAATGGATGGATTTCGGGGTTAGTATTTTATGGCAAATATTGTTAATGAATGACTATATACATTGTTAAGTTCAAATAAACTTTGCAATGTGGGATTGTTTTTTTTTCCCTAAGATTAGCAAAAATATGCTGCTTAAGATTAGCGAAAGATCAACTTTCTGTTTTGCCGTGTAAACAACTCAGTGTTTGCAGTAATTAAACACAATTTAGTACAAATGCATCATGCGATGTTTTGAACAGTTTACTTCAGTAGAAATACAATGAAATGATTTCAAATACATTTGGTATTTTTTGATAATACGTCGAGGATATGTTTTGACGCACTAGCAATCCATTTGCGTTGGACAACGCGTGCGTGTTGCAAGCGTTACCTGCGTCAAATATGGTGACTCGAGGATATATCACAAGATCAGCCTTCAGAAAGCGATAACATAAACATGATTAACAATAAAGTGTCCATGATGTCCTAAAAGTCAAATTTAGCAGGGAATATAATGAAACATTTACTGAGAAACACTTAGAACTTTTCAGACCAGTGTCATAGGGTTTGTACACAGGTTGTCAAGCATGTCAAGTGATGTCCAGGTATAAAATTATTTCCCCTTCGACAATCAACAAACACAAGCCGACAAAATTAAATGATTAACATAAATAACAACATCATGACATCATGACAAAATTTGACAAAATTTGGCGATCGTGAAGTGTAGGGCCGGTAGGGCCGGCCCGGTTCCTAGTATAAGGGAACAAAATCCACTTTAAAATTATTGGACCTACCAAACTAGTTGGCGACATTCTCAATAAACAGGTATGTCATAGACAGAGGGCAGGGTTTTGACTTTTTTGAGGAAAATTTGGGGGTAAAATGACGATGACAGTGCGGCGACAACACGCGACCCACAGGCAAAAAGTGAAACCTCGCAGGAAAATCGTGATTTCTACCCCAATAATCTGTTCAAAATTGCAAAACAGGTGTTAATAGAATTAAGAAAAGTCTGGTTTTTGATTGTAAAGGTGATTTTTGAACAATAAAAAACATTTTTGACCCTAATGTTTATTTATATCAAAACAAAACATTAACAGGGGCCCTACACTTCACGATCGCCCAAAATTTGACAAGCAAAATGACAACCACTTTTTCGGTATTTTGCACACAAATACAAAGCACCTTCCACCCAAAAATTGAGCATATTCATATCCAAATATAAATACTCACGTCTCGACATAGTGTTCTTCGTGTCCTAGACCGATTTTTTCTTCAAAATCGTGTATTTCCCCCAAAGTTTTGGATGTCACTTTCGAAAAACACCGCCATGACAATATTCACACTGGACTGGTGCCTGTGAATTTTACCTTGCAAGCTGAATATCAGTGGTCGGATACTAGACAAGCGCCTGCGAAAAATGAAGTCGTACATTGTGCTCCACAAGAGGGCGCTGTTTTTAGCGCACTTCCGAATATTTATAATTTTTTTAAAAAATTCATTACTAATACTGACAATTGTGGAAATAAACTAAACGCCATACCCCAACCTCCTTCATGGAACCACCTATCCGAAAACAATCCAAAGGAAAAATTGATGAATCTAAAAACCCGAGAAATGTCTCAAATCTGAACTTCTGTTTAATTACGCCTGTCACTTTTCCGACAGGATTCAAGAGAGGGCGTTTATCAGATCAAATTTAACCCCCCATTTAGGGGAATGGAAAAGTCTTGCTGGTCACGGACACGCTCGCCCCGCCCATAAGTAGTAATTGGATACATGTAATACTGATTGGGAGAAATAATATGTCATTAAATTGTAAATGAATGGCAAGCAAAATAATTGTCCAATGTTAAGGCCTCAATTTGACCAACTGTGTTGCATTAATAGTTTGCTACTACACTGGTTCCACCGTTTGTGACAGTCGCTTCCGCGGGAATATTATCACCGCAGCTGGAATCGGACAATCAGATCGGACGTGGTGAGTTTCGTGAAATAACTTCTTAGTCGGAGAGATGCATTATTTATGGACAGAAATGAAATTCTGACAAGTATTTGGAGAATCGTTTGGAGAAATATTGACATCACAACACGGTAGAAATTTGCGCGGCAAAATCGGTTAAGGCAAGTTAAACAATCAATACTTAGCTAACAGGTTAGCTTCTTGATTTCCCCCCTCTTTTTTGCTCACAAAAAAGTGTTGGAATACAGTCGAAATGCTAGTCCAAACTTGAGACGAAATATTAATATATTTTTCCGAGTAAAACTGAATAACACTCATTCAAGTATGGACGACCCAGAAATCCCTCAGCACACTTTGAGCACGATCCAAAAGCCTAAAACTAGCAGCTACAGAACCCTTAGTTTGAGGAATATTAATAACTTTATATAAATAAACCGAGTCGACACCACACGCCAAGAATGTGTAAACGCTGCTCAGTCCACATTTTTTGTGTGTGTGGTCAATGCGCCTACTTCATGAATGGGAAACCGGCTATAGAATATGAGTGATGTGGTAGTATGAACTCGGGACCATCAATTTTTACCGTTTGGTAATTGGTCTTTTATATATACTGCAGAGTGACATTTTCGGCTAGAGTTGAAGTTCCAAAGTCATGATGTCCGAGAAAGAAATGGGTAAGTAATTTTTCAGTACAGGCCTCTATCCACGGAGTGCTTAGCAAAAAAGACAAGCTAGTCTGGTAAAGCAAATCACAGATTGAACAAAATTTCTATTTCCTTGATTCACAATGGCTATTCACAGGAAGTCTTACTTTGCAACTTTTCTACGTACACAATTGGCCGTATTTATAGCCTTTTTTTTAAATTGGCCTTATGGGGTAATCCTATACAATAGTACTACCCGGCTCGACAGTCGGTCAGTCAGTCAGTCAGTCACACTTTCAAAATTCCCGGTCAGATTGGACCCAGAATCCGGGTCATAATTGACCTGACACTTTTCTGGGTCAAAATGACACTTTTCCGGGTCAACTTTATTTTTTTTCCGGGTCAACTTTACATATTTTTTTCGGGACAAAATAACACTTTTCCGGGTGAAAATGACAATTTTCGAGTCAAAATGACATTTCTCTGGATCCTTTCCTGGTCATTATGACCCGGGAAAGTGTCAGGTCAAATATCCCATGATTCCGGGTCCAATTTGACCCGGACTTTTTAGAGTGCAGTCAGTCTGCAGTCAGTCAGTCAGTGTGACAAGCCCTCTGTGACCAGCGAAATTGATGCAGGGCCTACATTCAAAAAGGTCAGGCGGGAACCAGTCTCATGCAGTAATACAGTTTGAAGGACCTTATTTATTTATTTTTTACTATAATCCATAAATTGTTTTTGCTTTGTAAAACTTTCCTGCGTTCAGCAAATATTATATGCTTAGAGCGCAGCTCTAGCTCAGTGCGGAAATTATGGGCCAGTGGACAAGCATTACATTCACTGTGTGGACTTCCGAACAAAATAGGTCCACATAAACCAGGTAGCAGCGACGTTGTGTGGACTTGCCCACGTCCACACAAGGTTTCCCCGTCTCTGGAAAAACAGGTTTAGAGGCATTTTGGGGTTAGGTTTATATGTGGCAAAATGAAGAGAAACACTAAAGGGGATCATAGGGGAAAAAATGGGTTTTTGCGAAAAATGAGGGTTTTTTCACTGGTTTTTCATAACTACACGAAAACAAAGGAATGTCCGCACTAGGTATGTAAAACAAACATGTGTGTACAGAGGTGGGTTAGAAGGGGTGGGTCCAACTTAAGTTTCTTGGGGTGAGTGAGTGGAGAGTCGAGTGTTTTAAATGTGACTGAGATTGTAATTATAAGGTGTGGATTGGAATGGATTTTTGCGAGCAATCATCTTTACACTGAACGTGCTGTATGTGAAGATGTCTGGAACATTGAAATTGAATTTAAAGTGCCTTTCGCTAACTCAAATCTTTGCCGCGCCGAATCCTCAAAAATATTGGTTTTTTTAACAAGATTTTCCCCGTTGGAAGTTCAACACCTTTTGTATTAAAATCTCCCCATGGTTGGTATTCATTGAGATTTTTGAAAGAGTGCCGCAAATTCAGTGAGTATCTGAGTTTCGTTGCTTAAAAACAAGGAATGTACACAATACGAATTATTTTTTTCTCTCCAGGAATTAATGGCAATATTCCGTCTATTGGCGTAGTTCCGTAATTTATCCCGATAATGTTCTCAGTATTTTTTTTATCAGTAGCCTTTCCATTACAAGCGCTCTCAAACATACTGTAAAAAGGTTCTGTATTTTAGCATTCACCCCCAACTTTTTGTTTGTCTAACACCTTTGAAGGTAAAATAACATGCTGTTGCTTTTTTTGTTACTCATGGAAAACATGCGGGGGCAGCAAAGTTTCTGATATTCTAAAATGTAGACAAAGTGGTCGTCATGCATCCCTTCTGTTTTTATCACATACAATTTTTTACAGTGTAAATATAAGGTCTTTTTTACTTTTAGTTCGTACCATGATACAGACACCACGCTCTTTGTATAGGCTACTTTTGGATTCGGAGCTAGGGTCACATCAGGGGGCCAAGGAGGGCCGGGAAATTCTAAGGGCCCCATCTAATGTTTACTGTCCCCCAATGGAACCAGTGTTTAAAATGACAACTGCTGTAGTCCTTTTTTTGGAAGGTGTGGGGGAAGTTTAACAGTCCGTTCTAGCGTCCCCATAAAAAGTTCTTACGTGGCCATCTGTGCTAGGAAACGCTAAGGGCCCCATCTAATGTTTACAGTCCCCCAAAGGAACCAGTGTTTAAAATGACAACTGCTGTAGCCTAGTTCTTTTTTGGAAGGTGTGGGGGAAGTTTAACAGTCCGTTCTACCGTCCCCATAAAAAGTTCTTACTTAGCCATCTGTGCTAGGAAACGCCCCGTGTACTGACGTGGTCACGGTTTTTATAACGCGTCTATATTGCTTGTCAAACATGAGGCACACCACTTCAAACCAACAAACCCAATATTTTCAAATTGTTGACCCTTCACACCGGTAAAAAAAACTGGATCCTTCTCGAGAGTTTTATTTACCTCTGGATAAAAATTCAATATTCAAAATGTAAACATGACATTTGCTGTTTTATTGTTCACTCTGCGTGTATACGTGCGTAAGCATGCAGTTTTATATGTCCTCAGATATGCGGGTCATGTTTTTACAATGTGGTGTATGGTGCACCGGTGTTGGTAAAACGATAAATATTGCTGTATCGTGCCACCTTTATGTTGGTGTTTTATCAACTAAATCAGTGAAGATTTATGTCAGTCTAAAACAATTATGTATAATGGAAGTGCTACTGGCGTATACAGGGTGAGTCAAAAAAGGAAACCCAAATGGCAGGACCAATTATTTAATGAAGTTCTGCATGCAGCACTTTCAAAATCTAGGATATGAAAGCCCAATGAATAAGCTTTCGTTTAGTACAAGAAACATTCAAATCGCTCATGTACTTTTTAAGTTATGGAATTTTAAACACAAACACCGTTTTAAACTTATGTCCGATCCACGGATCACAGAGCATGGTTTTTTTCAGAAAAACGAAAACAATCCCAATGTGAATGGTTTTTGTTTTGCTGAGAGGCACTTACTTTTTTGTCCCCATATAACCCTCTATTTATAGAAACCGAAAGCATTGCAGAAACATTCGAGACGTAATAAACATGTTCCGGGCTAGCTCCGTTCTGTTCCAGAAATACAAATGTCTAGTTTCGTTGCTGGTTTTATTCTTCTTCTCAAAAGCTGATGAAAGGCTATCAGCTTTATAACTATAAATAATTAATCATTGTCATTGTGAGTAATGTATTTACATATAATGCATCAGCTTGGTTGCGCTGCACTCTCAAAACGTGTATACAAATTTGGTTGGTTAAAAAAGGTTGCATGTTACAATTTTAACCAACAATTTCTCCAGACCAATGTTGGGTACATTTAACCCATTGTTGGGTAAAATTGGTTCTTTTTTAACCAATGTTTTTAACCAACTGTTGTGTGGTTTACCTGGCAACCAACGGTTAATTCTTATGAGTAAATTTACCCGACGTTGGTTGAATTTGGTTAAATTTAATTGGGTAAAATGACTAATGTTTACCAACCGTTGGTTACCAGGTAAACCACACAATAGTTGGTTAAAAAAAAATGGTTAAAAACATGAACCAATTTTACCCAACGATGGGTAACATGTATTCAACATTGGTCAAATTGGATGTTCATATAATATTGTTGGTTAAACTTAACCACCCAGATTGATTATGCATGATTTGAGAGTGTACGTGTGCTGTGTGCTGCGAATGGCTTACAAATCTTCCAAGTATCAGTTACATTAAAGATCATGTTGGCTCGGCGAGAGACAATTTTGCTGTCTAAGTAAACTCCTTTAAAGCGTGCGTAATATTATTAGACACGCCTCAGTGATCATTATGTAAGCATACGCATTGAAATGCCATGCAACAAATTCTGATTAGTATACTGTCTAGTCCAAAATAAATTATGAAGATTTTGTTTTGAAGGCCAACCACCTCATCCCCAGGCGACATTAATAATCCCATTGAATCCAGCCGGCAGTTTGTGTTGATGAACGTGGCTATATCAAAGCTGCAATGTCTCGGGCACGAGGTTGAATGCGTAGGCGTGTTTATACATTTCTCCCATTTTTATACTCCACCTCATTGAGGCGCAGTAAAATATGACATGCCGCGCTATATCGTAGCTAGCTTACGCGGGCAGTTACTTTAATATTGACCGGAGTCCGCGATATCCGGAGATCGTTTTCCGATTCGCATACGAGATTTGGAGGGTTTTATTCCGGGTGTCCAAATGGAAGGCGGGGATTCAGGAGGAGACGCGGTTAAGCCACCGATGGACAGTCAGCAGGCTCCCCCGTACAGCACGGAGGTGGGTCCGCCCGCGCCAGCACCAGCCGGCTATCCACAGGCCGGCGCGGGTGGGTATCCACCGCAGCAGGGTGGCTATCCACAGCAGGGCTATCCACCACCACAGCAGGGTTATCCACCACCATCGGGGCAACGTGAGTTCACATGTCAGAGCAAAATATGACGAACATGTTCAGTTTCTTCAGCACTTTAATTAAAAAAAAAAACCCAAGTACTGCAGTTAAACTTGCTTGATACCCCTGGCATGCATTGGCGGTATTTATCCAGTCAGTTAGTAAAAAGCACACTTTGAAGTTCAGCTAACCAAAATCAACAATGGCCTCATTTGACCCCTAGATGACCTTTGACCTCAAATGTCTCAAGTCATCTGAAGTCCCCATAGCCAAAGATTATTGTCATCAAGTTTGGTTGAGATTGAAGTCTGGCTTTTCATATGACAGCATTAATCCGCAGTAACCCAACCGAAATGGAAAACACGGTGACACACAGTCGTGAATTTCTATACGCCCTAGGACAATGCTTTGTGTTTCCCTTTGTCCCTGTAATATAACGCTCACCCATGGACTAAGCACATAACCGTACCATCGAGGGCCGTTTTCAACAAAAGACCAATTAAATTAACGCTCGAGGACTGAAAGGATCTTTTGCTCTCCCTTTGTGTCTATCCTCTATCGTAAAGCCACACATGCATGTACACGGACACCCACGCTTGTTTATGGTGTAAATCGAGGGTTTTCTTTAGTTCCTCCTCCCTTTTTCACTCTTAACTTTTTCGCAACAGCTCTCATTGGTTTTGTACACGTTTTCAAACCGAGGAGTTCTCGATTCGGGTTCTGTCCTCGATTTATCGATGGTGTTGCACGTGTGTGTCCTCGATAAACACGCGTACGGACATATTGGAAAGTTGGCGGCAAATCTTTAACGGCTCATGCAAAGGCTAAAATCCTATAAAAGGGGAAGCGCTTGGTAGTGTTTTGATGGTCCTTCAAATGGAAGATATTTAATACGCCAATGCGTTGCTGGGTGCTTTTAATAGTGTTGCTAATTTGTACTGTCGATTGTGGTTGTAAGTTTGTACAAGTGAGTGGAAGGGAATAATTCACAAACACTTTTAAAAACAGAAAAGGTATTTTCTAAAATCTTCACGCTGTGCAGATATACTGTGTATAATAGTATCACTGACAAGTCCTGCATGATATCAGCAACGTGCGAAATATACATTTTGGCCCCAGTGGAGTTAGTCAATGAAGGATGCTTGACCCAACCGTTCGGCCATGACAATGATGACAAAAGTTGTTTATGCTTGTAGTTGCCAGGAGTTGTGGGCACTTTGGATATTTCAATAAAAGGCAATTGTTAATACCTTCCCCCCAAGAGTGTCCTTTTTTTCGTTTTAATGAAAGCTTTATTAACGTAATTATATGTCCTTCTGCAAAGGTCGGCCATGACAATGATGACAAAAGTTGTTTATGCTTGTAGTTGCCAGGAGTTGCGGACACTTTGGATATTTCGATAAAGGCAATTGTTAATACTTTCCCCCCAAGAGTGTCCTTTTTTCATTTTAATGAAAGCTTTATTGACGTAAATATATGTCCTTCGCTATAGGCTAGCATTTTATACTCAACCTTAACAAATAGCAGGGTTCATCCTCCGATTACACACATTCCTAACCTAGTGGGATTGGGACCTGCTTTCATTTATAAACTAGGCCATGCTTCACGCCAATTCCTGTGATTTTTTTTAATTAAAAAATTAGTCATGCTTTACCCTCTGCAAAAATTTTCCTCTAAAAACTAGACTGAAAAAACCAACCTCATTGTAACTCGCCCCAAACTTGTCAACTACCAATCATAAAGATGAATTTGGTCCTTTAGTCTTCTATATTTGCCATTCCCTGTATCAAACTAATAACACTGCAAATAACTAGTGCTACAGCGTTTGTGGAGTTACAATAATTTATTTAATTGGCCAGTTAAGTTGTGAATATTTTTATGTCAACAGAAAAAAAGAATCACGATATTCAGCCTTTCCAGCTAGTAGAACCACGTGTTTGTTCCGATACAACATAATGACGTCCATTTCCTGCGAAAGTCGTTATGTCGTTTACTAAATGACTTATACCTGATGTTTATAGAGTAAGAAGTTGCTTACCTGAAAATAAAACGGCTCCATATCAGTAAAGTAATTTGAATGACAGGTCGTTAACTCGGAATTTTGCGACATTACGCGAAGGTATCACTGAATGCACACCGGCTTCAAGAAGCGTATAAACCTGTCAAGAAATATGATGCATAATATGCAAAGGGTAAAAAAAATAATGAAACCACCATTTATGTTTGTAATAAGTCGTCATCCATTGACTGAAAATCCCTTGCATGTTAATTTACAGCACATTTGAAACAGTCGTGAGTATACCACACCACGACGCTATTAATTAAAGAACTGCTTCGATAGAGTCAATTTAAGGCCAATAAAGAGAACATTTCTGTAGCTTTGTTTTATGACAAGTTATAGCTTTAACTTAATTCATCAATTAGGGTAGCTGCATGCTTCCAAGTAGTTGTCAGATACTCGCCAGTGATGCTCTAATATCATAGCAACGAGTTTCCTTAATTTTCATCAAACGAACGTGCGGTAGGCTATAATTATAAAGAAATAATTACATGAAGAAAAAAAAGGTGCCAAAATATCAGTTTGTGATTTTTAATTCAAACATTATTGGTGGAACATTTTGTTCTACAGTCTACACCAAGAACAATGGGCAAATTGGGCATCAGCTAAACATAAGAGTGCTCATTTCATACACTTTCTGTAATACTCATTATGCTCATTACTCAGGAGTAATGTAAGGGTGATAGTCATAATAGACCATGTTACATTTTGTTTACAAATTGTGTTGTGGTCACGCGATGCCAATTTTCAGCAACCTTTTTGTCTTCTTCACTGCATGTGTAGCCTATATCTCTTGCAATGTGATCGGTGTAAAAAATGGCGACTGTAATTGTATAACGTGGGCAAAAGAACATGCAAAATAAGCTTTGGGTTGCCCATCGGTTGCCCCTTGGTATGAGGTCACATGAAACATTTTCTAGTTGAAATTTCTCAAGATATTAGGAATAAATAAGACTGGAAAATTGGACGGTGCTTCGTATCGTAGCTCAGGTTCATGACTCACGACGTGACGGATGCCGTTATTTTCTTTTCCGACGGATGAACGATTGATGAACAAGCGGGCACCGTGCCAATAAGGCCATGTGTTTGGATATGTCACCCCTGGCAACGCGTGACCTCGGCGGCGCGGCGGCGTAACCATGATATAACCTTTCCTCGTTACTTATTATGCTTACATGGGCAGGACTATAATTCGTCACCGACACCACGGAGTGACCTTAACCCCCGCGAAGTGGAAACTGTGTGTTTCGAGATACAAGCGATTTAAGTTGGCGTTGTTTTGAAACGGTGATCTGAACATCGTTTAAGCCTCAAAATTCTTTTTTTTTTTACATTGTCTGAAAGCTGAGATCTTGAATGCAACGTTAATGTGTGTGGTTTTTTTAAAACAAATTATATTAATGAGTTATCAAACTAATTAACCATAAGGTCACTTCGTGAAAACTCAAAATTCAGATTACGCTGTGTTCGAGTTTTCACGAAGTGACGCTAACCATGTGCATTAGCTAATGGGTTAGCTCTACTTCGTGATAACGCCAGAAGCGAGTCGCGCGTATCACGTGACATTTGTGTCACTTCGTGAAAACGCAAAACTCGTTTTTGACGCGTAGTGTGCAGGCACTTTACACGCGAAAGAATGGTATAGTACACTTCGTGAAAACGCATTTTCCGATTTTGATCCATTAAGTTGCAAACGTTCATTAATGTTAATTAATGTTTTGACAAAACTAATTAACTATGTGTTTAGAAACTTCTTAAGATGATAGATTATGTGTAATTCATCACAAATCAGGGGAAAAAATCGAAATCGTAAAATATCGATTTTTCGATGTTAGTGTCACTTCGTGGTGACGCGGTGACGATGACTTTTTTTCAAGTCAATGTTGTTCAACAATCTTGATGTTTGGGTAGATAAGCCGAGCCTATTGGGTTTTACCCGCGAGCCTAGCCGGGACGTTACCGTCGTTTGGTTGAATGATTAAGATGGGACAAGGAGACGTCTGTCTTGTTTAGTTGATGCGATATCGGCGTAAACCAAAATCACCATTATCTTCGGGCGAATGACGCCCGAAGAGGCAACAAGCGGGATGACAAAAACAGAGTGTTATTTTGGCTTTGGGTGTAGAAGGGTTACACATTTTTTTCAATGAAAACAAACTGCAGAAATTGAAATGTGTCTCGTTTGACAAGGACAAGTCATGCAACAAACAGATATACATGGAAAGACAAAACGAAAACGCTAAATTCCTCCAAATGTACCCTTACAGAGACGCGATGTCATCAAAATGTATGCCTTAGGGAGACAGTGCAGGTTAGGGAGACATTTTGAATGACTCCCCAATGTTTCAATTTTTATCGAAAATAGGCTAAATCCGTTCCTCGCGTGATGCAAAACCCAAATTTACAAAGTCTGATGATGAGAGTAGTAGAGGTTAAGTTAGGGTTTATAGGGCTCAGTTAAGTTAGGAATTTTGGTGCACATAGTCTGTGGGAAAGTGTCACTAAGGCACCACTTTAATTATTAGGATAATTATAATTATTAAGCTCGGTCAGTCGTTCAGTCAGTCTGTCTGTCTGTCTGTGACTCTGTCGTCAGTGAACATTATAGACTGGCCCTTCGGATTAAAACGATTTCAATGAGTGACTCTGCGCAGCTTAAACAGTCCTCGTTGTCCAAAATAATATATTTTGGAATGCAAATATGAAAATTAAAATTCACAGACATCCAAGGTCATTTTTTGGGGGGCTATAATTCGTCCTAACAAACTCAATTTGCTACGCGCCCCATGCCGTTTACACATGCTGGGTGTGGGACGCATCATCACGGGATGAGTTGATGCAACCAGTAATTGGGCTTTCCAAAGCCCCGGCTTCATTCCGGGTTCAGCTAATAATGAGATTTTCATGCCCCTAGACCTGGGACTCTGGCTCAGTATAATGGAGCCGAACCTGGAAAAAAAAAGCCGATCTTTTGGAAAATGGCTGCATTTAAGCTGATCTATATTTTCATCAGTCCTTTGAGAACGCGTCAATATTGCTGCAGGTGAACGCGATCAACCGGTACAAAATGTAGCGACGTGCTCCAAAAATCGATCAATTTTCATTGTCAACGTTAGTTTAATTTAAATCAATGCTTATCTTAATTTGCTGTGTTTCTTACATGACTGTGCAAGCGCGTACCTACGCGCGTTTTTTCCCACTTTAATTTTTTGTATCCCTTCACTTGAAACGAAATCCAGGGAAACACATCAGAACCAATGAAAGTGTACAGACATAAATCAACTTAAAGCTTGATTTACCATGTTTCAATTTATGTGAAATAAATTGTTCTTGCATATCTACAACCTGTAGGCCATTATGGTATCGCATGGCGGAATGACATTTAAAACAGTCCAGGGGCATAATGGCCGATTTAAAAACTGATCCCTCTTATCAACTGTAAATCAAAGAGATTTATTTTGTCTAATATCACCCCGATTTCTCAGAGGAATCAAATACCATAGATCTGTAATGAGAGATACAGATTTTAGCGTTCAAGTGCGTGGGCCAAATGCCCCCCCCCCCCAAAAAAATCCTCTGCACTATTTAGAGAGAAATTTTGGCCGTGCAAATCGTGAATCTGTCCGTTGTGCAGGCAATTTTGGGCTTGTATACAGGGTGAGTAAAAAAACGAAACCCATATTTCGGGACTACTGTTTTATTGAAGTTCTGCATGCAGCACTTTAAAAATCTAGAATATGAAAGCCCAATTCATAAGCTTTCTTTTAGTACAAGAATCATTCAAATCACTCATGTACTTTTCAAGTTACGGAATTTTAAACACAACCACCGTTTTAAGGTTCTGTCCACGGATTACAAAAAGGGTGTGCGTTCTTTCAGCAAAATGAAAACAATTCACACACATCCCTAGTGATACGTTTTCGTTTTGCTGACAGAACACTTGGAGTTTTTTTGCGATCCGTGGACAGAACCTTAAAACGGTGGTTGTGTTTAAAATTCCGTAACTTGAAAAGTACATAAGTGATTTGAATGATTCTTGTACTAAAAGAAAGCTTATGAATTGGGCTTTCATATGCTAGATTTTGAAAATTCTACATGCAGAACTTCTCTAAAACAAAGGTTTCAATATTTGGGTTTAGTTTTGTTTTACTCACCCTGTATGAAACCTTCTGCATGGATGCACAAGTTTCAACGATTATACAAGCTCGAGAACGGTTGGTGATTCATCACATTGTCTCCACACCATTGAAGTCAGGAGAAACTCTCCCCGGTTTCACCATCTTAAGACACAAATAGACCCTCTGGCATCTATTATTTAAGGCGAGAGCAGTGCAGCCATAAACTCATCTAGTAAGGGTCAGTGCAGGTAATGCAGCCTATAGACTGACGCAGGGAATTATCTTTCAATTTGCATCCATGCGTACGTGTATTTTCGAGGTCTCAAAAACTGTCAAATTCTATTTATGAAAAGGTGTTTAAAACTGCTGCAAACTGCTTACTGACTGGATTGACCTCAAATATTAATCAACACATACTTAGCTAGCCTTTTGTTTCGATCTTAAGCATGACCTTAAATTTCTCAATGACAGTGGTACAGAAACAAACATGTGGGGATCGACACACAAAGGAAGAAGGAAAACACAGAAGAGGGATTAAACAGGGGAAGCACCAAAGCAGAGTTTTTTGGTGGGTAACGATGAAAGGGAATGAAGGGAAGGGATGGGGGTAGGGGAAGGAACAAGGAGCTTGGTGGTGGGTGAGGATCACATGGGTTGAGAAGGGAGGGATGCTGTTATTCCCTCCCCCTTTATTTTGATTCTGCATTTATAAATAAATTTATTGTATTGTTTTCATCGTAAGGATTACTGTAAATTATACGAGGGCCAGGCGTTGCGATGATCCAAAGCCCAACCACGTACATTCTTTCTGAGAAGAACTTCTTTAAAAATGTATGTTTATAAATGGTCTCCCAAAACATCAACAGCTTTACGCACGTTCACAGAGTGAAGCTGACTAGCCGGTTGCGCATGGGTATACGATTCCAGCTGAAGCGATCAAAATTTGCGAAATGGCAGCAACAACCCCCCCCCCCGAAAAAAAAAAAATAAGGAAAGAACAAAATCCAGATCATCCGGCTTAAGGTGAGAGCGCGTCTCGATGTCCATTAAAAAAAACAATCAAAAACAAGTAGAGATCCATAATTAAACTACCTGTGGTTCCCTTAGGCTTTCCCTTGCTATACCTGAAAGATAAGTGCTCCCCTCTCGCTACAAACAATCATGGAGCAAGAAACAACCGCTTCGGGCGAACCAGACATGCAGTATTGACTTGCCATTACAATGCGCGGCCAACGCACACATACTGCGATGTTATAAGTGGATGAGATGTAGGCCGTCCGGAAACATGGTCTATCGATCTCTGTCTGTATACCGCGCGGTCCTTGAATCGCGCCCTGCAAATACTGGCCCTGACGCAGGAGGAACATGAATTATTTTCAGTTCGTTGCAATTACAGACGAGTGCGATAGGTTTGCAAAAAAAAAATGTCAGTGCAACATAGGTGGTATTTATTTTCACTGCACCGTAAATTATTGTTGTATGTTCGAGAAGTGATGTCATAAATCTGACGTCATGGCGTCTGGTTGTTTTTGCTAACGACCCTGATATCAATATCTGTGCTTTGGGAATGGAACTTTACCTTCAGATTAGATTGACCTTCATGAGCAGGTTTGTTATGTTTGCTAATTCCTAACTCGATAGCTCCTAGACATTACTCTACAATTGTAACCACTCTTAAACCTCACAGTATACCACTGTGAGGGATAGTCTGGTTCCCTGACCTGATAATTTCATTTTTTTTTTAAATGCAAGGAATCAATATTAATTATCAACTCATTTTAAGCATGGCAGATAAATAAAACCCATTTTACACGTGGAAATACCCGGGCGCTATCCGAGAGTATCGACGAAATGCATTCGGCAAACTTCGGACATTTTCGGAAACGGGAGGCATTGTTCCCGTTTTGTGATTTCTCTTTTTTTGGTAAAAACTTTTGTAAAGTGCGCTATTTTAAAAAATTAAAATGTTCCATTTCCCCCCGACAACAGGGGGCGCCGTTGCATTGATGTCACTTTACAGTGTTTCTATTTCAAGGGTACTTGAGTATAAATACTATCGAATACATAAGTGGCAGGGCTCTATTTTCCTCAATCCTATACGATCCTCCAATTGAAACTCTTGGATTATGAGAGGGTGACATAGAGTTAGGTTTGCAAAATGAGGTGGGTCGTGATTATAATGATGGTGATGATGGTTAGCAGAACAACAACAATGTTTGTGAGTGCAATGGTAAGAAAAAAAATTTATGAGGTGACAGATGGAATGTTCCATTTCTACAAAGCAATGTGAAATGGAACCTCCATTTACCGTGGAATGGAATTTTTACTTTGGCTGTGCGGCCGGTGTAGCATGAATTTAGGTTTTATGAAATACGGACTCATTTGTGGTATTGCGCATGCTCATGCATAGATAATTAGGAGAGGGACCGGTCACGTGAGAGGGTTTAACCAATAAAAGGGAAAGTCCGATTTTCATATGACACCGGCCCTTGGGTTGGGATGAATACTTCAATAACACGTGATCAACGATTCACCAATAAGATGACGGGGATCTATTCAGGTGTTGCATAATATTGAATATGAATTAATGTGATGGTCACGATGGTGAATGTGATAATAATAATGATGATGATGGTAATTTGTACGATATCAATATTCTAATTTTTGTATGCAAATGAAACCAAAAATTATCCAAAGGTGCATGCACGGGCACTAGTAGCTCAGAAGCCTGAATAAACTTAGAGAGAATATGCGATGAAGATTTTAGAGGTGGGGTATATACTCTGGAAATATTTCCCAGGGAAAAACAGTGAAGTTAAAAAAGGACTGAAATGAAAAGCCAAACGGCCTAGCGACCCGAGGGATTCGAACCCGAGTCATCGAGGTGGAAGGCGGCGAGTAAATTACCACTGCGCCAACCAAACTTCCTTACTTTCTAACAATCTGATCTTCTCAGGGTAAGTTGGTAGGCCTTCTAAATACAATGTTACTTATCATTGTTTGTTGTTTTGCTTGGCCCATTTTACAGCCGGGTACCCACCTCAGCAGCAGCAAGGCTACCCGCCCCAGCAGCAGGGCTACCCACCCCAGCAGCAACAGCCTCCGACCGTGGTGGCGATCCAGCAGCCGGCACCGGCCACGCAGGTGGTGGTCACCGGGGGCTGCCCCACCTGCCACGTGGGGATGATGACGGACAGCTACACCGCCTGTGGAATCATCCTAGCCATCTGCTTTTTCCCCTTGGGCGTCATCTGCTGCCTCATGATGAAGGAGAGGAAATGCACCAACTGCGGAGCTACGTTCGGCTAGAGACGTCGGGGAACCGCGCAGGCTGACACACACTTCTTTGGACATTTCTCAAACCTCGGCTTCAGTCGGGGCTGAAATCATAATTTACTCTGCGTGTGGGGGATTAATGTTTCAATCGAACTGATGTTTCAATCGAACGAAAAGAAAGACTTCAGCATTTGGTGTGGTATCAGCAGATTTGTTGTTTCTGTGGGAAAAAAATTGAGCCTTGGACCTTCGGCAATTGTAAGAATAATTATATTCTATGACAGATGGAATGTTCCATTCGCCTCAACATTCCATCTGTCAACTAATACAATTATTCTTACCATTGCACTCACAAACACTCATTATTTGTATACGAGCTACTGAACACGTAATAGGTATTCTTTCGCTTTTTTGTAAGTGTTTGACAAGACAATACTTTCTTAAGTACTGCTCTTATTGCTGAACTTGTTTTATGTTTATTTTTGAAAATCTTTGTTATAGTTGGCCCAGTTTCTAGGATCAAAAGATAATTCGAAAAACCTGAACAAGCCAACGCTTGTGCACATTACGGCACTTATAATTACATGTAGTAATATAACCGAAATATACACCATTAGGTAGACATTCCTATAGACTTGTGCACAACATTTTTGTCGACTTTCCTGACCCCTAACTCCAATTTTACCTTATCCTACACAGACGAATTTTTATATTTTTACTAATTGGACGACGAGCAATCGATTTGCCCACTTGCGACGGTGACATTTTGCCGCTGAATAGCAGCTGAGGTTTTAGGGAGACATTGAAATATCTCCCTAATTTCACGTCTGCCAAAGGTATACATAACGTTGACGCCAAAGCGTCTCCCAAATGATATGCTTTACGATATACTTATTATTCTGCCACTATGAAATTAGCTTCGGTGTCCATGACAATAAATGGACATTACCATGCACTCAGTGTGTGTTTAAGAGAATGGGTTTATTTGCACAGTTCAGTAATTAGCAATTAAAAGAGAGCTTAGAATTTATACAGTTTCAAAAACAAAACATTGCTTAAGGTGGTTTGGCTGAATGGTTTATACTGAACATAATCTTTGTAAAATAAAAAAAACCCTGTAAAAACACAGTAATTAGGCTGGAAATTACATTAATTATTAATGAAGTCGAAAACGTTAAATAAATATGTAAGAAATTAGCTTTTATTGTTACGTTGGATATTCAAAATAAGGTAGGATTATTCAACGTTATATAGAAATAAATTTCAACAAAAGTATATGTAAATTTGTGGCTTTGAGATTGATTCTAATTAATGGAGTAACTTGATGATGAGCCTAACACACATTTCTTCAGTTACTTGTGGACTAAATTGTCGACATCAACAATATTTTGATTGTGGTGTTGTTGCTCTATTGTCCACTAAGTGTGGATGTACATCGTGTTATCAAGTATTAGCTGTGAAGATTTTTTTCAATATCTATACTTATATTGTAGAGATGTAGTGGGATGTGAAGTACGTAAAACATATGCCAAAATTATGATGTATAATGAATGAAATCAATGAATAAAATCTGCTGAGATTAACTCCATAATAGTGTCCACATGTGCAGATATATAAAAAAAGACAAAACTACCAAATTATCATGAGGTATCTCATACTTGACTGTAAGTGAATAATAGTCTCCAGCATCCTGTGAAATCACGGCACATAGTATGCTGTCATTTTCAAGAAAAGTAAAATTTTTGTATCAATTTTCAACGCCGTGGTCAGCCGACTTTCGTTGGAAAGCTACCAAAATTTCAAAAAAAATCCAAACAAAATAAATTAAATAGGCCTACTTCACACATTTTTTTTTGCAAACAATCGGGAAAAGATGTTTATGAAAAGTTTGTAAATGGAGGCAAAATAAGTGCAGTTATGTTATAGACACGTGGTATTTATCACCAATCGCTATATACATCTCAAGTATGGTGTTCCATATGTGCCACCGGCGTCGCATTTTTGGGCTCAAGAGCTTTTCAGCCGCGTCTCTTATATACAATGTATTGGATTTTAACTTACATTTTCATATTTTTTTTCTCTTTTATATCTATACCTTTGTACGTACACCTACCTTAAAAATATAATATTTCTGAAGCTTTCGCGTGAAAGTGTTTACTCCTTTTACATGTTGTTACTCCTTGTTAATTACATCGGAGCTGGGCCCGTATGCTGGTTATAATTTAAAAGATTTGGCAAAATACGGAACTCAGTCGCTTTTCTGTTCAACTTACACCTAAAAAGGTACCATATTGTGTATATGTAGATCCAGACTTAGACCTCAAGTGCTGAAAAACATGCAAAACGAAATCAGGCCAACTTTATACTCACTCATTGGCTACAACATTCTTCAAAAGTGTTCATGAGGCAAAGACAAGGTCCTCAGTATTTCACCAACCAAGTTTGAAGACTCAGTTCAATTTTTAAAGGAGAATTTTCATCAATATTTTGCACATGACAGGGAAGTCAAGTGATTTCAAAATGAGGCTAAAAGACTAGACTGGTACATGTCCAACCATGGTCCAACTGTTTGTCATTAGTCTGGTGGCTAATTATGGAGAAATGTGTTGAAATAGAGTACCAGACATGGCAGATGTTTCTTTTGGCACAGTTGATTGATGCAGTACGTACTGTGAAGGGTGTTGGACTGGTTGTTTCAGATGCCAGTCTATCTTCTTGTATTGCATATGTAAAAGTTTTCAATACCTTAAATGTTGGGACTCTCATACCACTGCAGCATTTCGTGCGCACGGCTCATGCGCTTTATCCTCGGGTCACTATCTTTACAAAAGGTATCCAATCCCTTGTCTATACCTACGCATATTTTCCGAAACCTGCATCTACCATTTTAGGTTACTTTTTAGCTGACGCTTCCAGCAGCTTGAATTTCTTGAGAACGTTCGTCAGTGTCTCCTGCACCACGTCTTGGCTGACGTGGCTGTACATGCTCTGCGTGTCGCCCTCGGGGTTGGCTTGCAGCATCATGACCACGGGCTCGCGGAGTGACTGCTTGGTTCGAACTCGGGAAAAATCTGAACGAGGGAATTATAAGCGGTAAGAATCCTTATTGAGGACAGAGGCAAATAGGTGTTTCCAGACGAGACCAATCTAGCCTCGCCCACTGCGCACGTGGAAAGTTAACATACGCGTTCCTCTCTAATGCCACACTGCGTGTTTCAGCCATGCGCGCGTCACGCGCGCGTGCACGCATGTCGGACATTATTCACGGCTGTGATTGGTCAAAACATCACTGGGCAGGGCGGGGCTTAATGGATCTGTTTATTACGGAGTGGGGGTCATCCAAATATTTAACCAAGTCATCCAAATTTATTAAACTCGGCTTGGGTTAAAGTTTTGCATCAGATTATGGAGGAGTTTGGGTTTTGGTTGGATTTGGTTCGAGTTAAAGGTTGAGTATATGGTTCAACTTTGGGTTGAGATGTAGGTTTTGGCTTTCGTTTTGACCGTTTAAGTTTGATTTTCAATTGAAATCAAAGTAAGCCAATTAGTTGAAAATTCCAGTTGAAATCAGTTAAACTTAACTCGATGGTGCTAGTTGAACTAGAAATTGCCGACTGGAACTTGTCTAACTGGTTTTGAACTGTTATAACTGGTTTTAGTTTCGAACCTGTTAAACCATCAGATCAAAACCAGTTAAGCCATCAGATCAAAACTAGTTAAACCAGACCAAAACCATGAAACCAGATAAAAACCTGTCACCAATTTCCAGATGAACTGGCTTCAACTGAGTTTTTCACAGTCAGTCACACACGGTTCCACGACATTTTGACCATTTTTTTTACCCGGTATTCGAAGCCATTTGGTCATCTCCTCTCGGCAGGCTTCCATCAGTTTCTTCGGGTGAACCACTTCATCCACCAGCCTGATCTCTGATGCCTCTTTCACTTGGTACTCAAGGCCTGTGCACAACCAGAGATGTTTTTAAGATTACCTAGATTTAAAGAATTCTTCAAAATGAGAATAAGCTGGGGAATACTGTGGCAAAAATTTCATCGCGGTGGTTTTTGGGAGCAGTCAGACCAAGGTTTAAACTTAGATTGATCATAACCTATTTCGGTGTTTTTGGTGGGGTTTTGGGGGGTTTTTTTTGGGGGGGGGAGGCAAGTTGTCTCTTACCAAGTTGAAGACTCAGTTCTGCCTGTCTGGGCCCAACCAACCTCGCTAATGTCTCGTAAACCCAGATTGAGTTAACCAGACCCTGCAAAAGATATTATTCCAAAACACACCAACCGGTTTAGTAGATTCGGAATTGGGACACATTCCAAAATCGATATCACAGATTGTAACACTCCGAAGCATAGTTTATAAACATTTTACGGGCCATAGGACCTTTTGCAATTTCACGTTTTTCGCAAGAATATTTTTAAAATGCGATGATATCTTACTTTATGCTCAGCATTCAGAACTCTTCTGAAACTAAAGCTCGGTAGATACTAAACTTTCCATGTAAATAGTAAAAATCGGTTTTTACTTTCTTCATGCGAAAATGCTGCAATGTCGAGAAGTTTTGTGCAAAAAATGCAAAACTTACATTTCAAACGAAGTAACAGCGTGACAGATTATAGGCCGATTATTTATAAGTGATTTCAACTGTCTTCCACAAGGAAACCTAGCATTGTTCATCCGTTGAAGTATCGGGCATCGGAAAGGTTCAAATAGGCCTATGTTAATCAAAAAGTTCGAACATCAAAAGAGAATAGTTCTGAACTGAAGAAATACTTACAATGACATTTTCGGGGAGACCGATGGAGTAAGGTCCCTTGGCCATGATGCGATAGTCACAGCTGATGGCTAGCAGACATCCTCCTGCCACCGCGGTACCCTTGATTAAAATACGAATGTATCAGTGATTACTTAAAGGAATATATGGGATCATTTGCATTTATCCTAACAGTAACCTACCGAGTTATTATCAAAAAGCTTACTTGGATTAAAGATCGTACTGGTACTCAACACCTCGTGAAATTATTGTCTGGCTTGCTGTCATTTAGAAGAAACCATGATGATTTCCAACGATCAGGCAATTGACTGACTTTTGGGAAAGTAAAGAATGCTTTTGGACGACATCGTGTTTCTTGATCAAAAGGTTGTGCATGGTTTTGCACTATTTTCTCGAAAAGTGTAATATCCACAGAGCTGAAACTTCAACAGGTTAATTTCTTCCATTCTTCTTTTGATTTTGAGTGGTGCTATTATTGGAAACGAACAAAATGCATGAAAAACAAATAATCCTATATGTGCCTTTAATTTCTCGAAATATCATGATCAATTTCAATTTAAAGCTCATGATAACCTTTGCCAACGGTACCATTAATGACGGAAAAAGCTGCCCAAAACTGCTACAGACTGGACTAAACATTTTATAGGCCTAAATCATAAACTTTTGAAATTGCGGGCATGACGTACAGTCAAAACGTCATCAAGAGCCAAACAAAATGAACAAAATATTCTGAAGAATCCAAAAATATACGCACACTCTATCAATTAAGGACACAGTTTTACGAGTCTTGAGGATTAACTACCACTTTGTTACAGTCAGAGATCGAAGAGTGGAAGGCTATGGTTCACTGCATGCATGAAACAGACATTATTCCCTTATTCATAAATACCTAAGACAGTTTACGCATTCCTATTGGTCGAGAGCCCATCACGTGGCCAGTCTTAAACGGATGATAAAGACATGGCTAGCTGGTCTTAAACACTTTTCCAGTGTCACAATAAAATGTGGACTCCTAAAAATCCAGTGCCTCTTATCGTTTCATTGGTTGAACGTTCACAATCCTCACGTAGGCATGCGCAACACTACCAGGGAGTTAGAATTTTATAGTTCTAAATTCAAAACGCAACGCGCCAGGTGCGTTCTGCGCGACATCGCGTAGAACATGATACGCGCACGTCAATCTCCATAAAAGGGTTGTCTACATCTAAATCGCCAGCTGAACACTCCATTATTTTGCAGGAGGGATGTTTCAAAAAGCATAAAGTGAATTTGTTGAACAAAATCGGGATGTTTTGAACAAATTATATGATTTTTTTTTACCGAAAAGGTATTTATGAATGGGAATAAATATGTGCTCCGTCGGTATTTATCACTCTGTTTAAGACCACTTAGAGTCTGGGTGCTGATAATTACCCTCGCCTCCGGCTCGGGTAATTATCAGCACCCAGACTCTAAGTGGTATTAAACAGAGTGATAAAAACCTCCGGAGCACACATTTATTCCCTTAATTAATCATATTATGGGCCGTGAACTTGAGGGTTAGTAAAAAAAAAATATGGGTGGAAGCCGTGCACAGGACTGTGAGCTTGTAGTTCTGTGCAATTTGGATGAAATTGGAGCCCTAAAAGCGCTCTATTTTGCAATGGAGTGTAGGCGTTGTTTTGCAAAATGGCGATGGGCTTCAGGACCATTTTAAGATCATCTTCGGATGGAAATGCCTCCTAAAAGTCATCAGTTAACCCCCGAAAATTGAAAAGAAAATGAGAGATGATGAAATTAGCTTTAATTTGACGTGTGTCTGGAATAGCTTGGAGAGTTGTGAGTATTTTTCCAGAATTTTTGAAGTGGGGGCATTTATCATTGGGGTCTATGGCACTTTATTTACTGGTCTGCAACCATATACTTACATTGATTGCAGCAATAATGACGAGTCTTGAGAGGTATATCCGAACCCACAGGTCCTGAAGAGACTTCCAGAAATCCCGGAACTGGTCGAAGCTTTTTCTGTACATCTCCATCACATCCAGGCCGCTACAGAATACATGGGCAACTGACTGCAAGGATTGTATAAAGCGAGGGAGCACAAAAATAAATAAATAAAATTAAGTTTTGCCCTTCACTGACGTATAAACACTGTATACACATGTTACCTCCCGGGTGGGACTCGAACCTACGACCTCCTGCTTTCTAGTGCAGATGTCATACAAAACATGGTTTTAATGCTTGGATTTTCCTGTCACCGATGTGTAGTTTTTTCGAACCAGCAATTATCACCTATATATAGGTGATTCCAAACGATCAGTCAATTGACTGATTTTTTTGGAAATACAGAGCTATGGACGAAATCGTGTTTCTTGATCAAAAAGGTCGTGCATGTTTTTCCCCCCAATTTTCATGAAACGTGTATTATCCAACGAGTTGAAACTGCAACAATAGGTTTTGAACATTCTTCTTTGTATTTTGAGTGGTGTTATTATTAAAAACAAGCAAAATTCATGAAAAGCAAATGATCCTATATGTCTTTAACCGCCGGTAAAATGTAGACCAGTTTTGTCCTGTGGTTCTTTTCGCTCGCAGCAGTCTCCTCAAAAATTGCCGATAGGAAAATTACCTCGGGTAAAATTATACATTTGTCTGAAAATGCAATAGTTGTCACCAAAGATAACCCGTTCACTTACTGATGTTAGAATGACGCCTCTGTAGCTTTTATTCGCCTCGATGTCATCCATGATCCCGATTAACTCCCGTAGCAGCTTTCTGTTCAGGAGATTCGATGGACCGCGGTTCAGGCTGACAACTGCTACATCTACATTTTGTATAAGGACAAAAAAGTCAGTCGAAGAGCAAAACATTACACGTATATATCGGAACATTTGCTTTTCGTGCATTTTCTTCGTTTCCAATAATAACACTTTTCCAAATCCAAAGAAGAATTATGTTCAAAACCTATAACCTAAGCTGGAAGTTTCATCTCAGTGGATTACAGTTTTCGAGAAAACAGTAAAAAAAACACAAAAAAACATGCACAACATTTCCATCACAAAATTTCGTCTGGAGCACTGTGTATTTCCAAAAGTCAGTCAGTCAATTGACTGATTTTTGGAAATCACTTGGGCCTTCATTTCTTGATTTCTTAGTACCAGTACGATCTTTAATACAAGTAAGCTTTTTGATAATAATTCGAAAGGTAAGCTTTTGGATAAATGCAAAAAATCCTATATGCCCAGGTTGAGCGCGAACATAGGGCATAACTTTGTTAAAGTAAAGTTTGCAAAATTAAGTCTTGTTAATCAACTTCGAACTTCATCGGTTCATTTTTAGCGACTTCCCTTCTTCTATCTATTTTTACACCGTCGGAATAGCGAGAAACTTTTTAAACATACATTTAAAAGCAGATTCTCTAATGGTGGTAAAACAATACGAATAATAGGCTAGCTGGGGCGGATCCAGGAATTTTTGCAGGGGACGGTTTCATCAAAATCAATGCTGAAATGTAGACAGTATTTTCTCTGGACACTTGGCCTCCGTAAAATCATTTTTGGGAGGCGTCAGAAAAAAAGGGGGTTTCACATTACTTTTAATAGCTTCCATGCAACGTCACGATCTGTCATACAACTTAACATGTTGTGAGAGTTCGTTGCCACGTTAACTTATTATGCATGATGTGCGCAAGCATAGAGATAAAATGTTCTTCAAGAAATATTGAAAGATCCATCAAAAATGGAAGACCAATATAGCTTTCTTTGAAACCAGCGTACGTACCTTTCATAACTTTGTCCTTTTCAACTGTGACGAATTTTTGCGATCCGTTCGCAATTCCACTCGGTCCACCTACGATAAGAAACGTTACCGACAGTTATATGAGTAACAGTGATCATGATGTCCGTTTTGGTATTTGACAAAACTTAATGTTCAGGCCTACCTGAATGTTTTCGAACGTGGGCCTAAAAATAAAAAAATATTTTTTAGTGAAATGTGGTATCTCAATTAACACCGGCACTGAGAGCAAAATTCAGATCCCCGTTCTTTAAGTTTACTCAGCGGGGTACCAAGGAGAAAAAAAGAATCGATTTTTTTTGTTGCCAAACTGGCCCCTCCCCCGACTCCAAAAACAAACCGAACAGTTGAAAATACCACTGGCCATTTTCCACATGCTTCATCCACAGCCAACCCTCTATTGAACTACACGATCTACGTGCATGTTTATAATATTTTGAAATAGCTCAAAAATGTGTTCAATATGTCAAGGCCATTGTTATGTAAAGAAAGCACACACATCAAGGAAGTAAAATGGAACTGTCATGACTTTTTTTTACACGCATGCCATTAATAAAGCCATACACAGAAGTTATGACTTGTGTTTGTTTCCAATAATAACACGTAGGCCTACCGCTCAAAAATCAAAACAATTGTTCAAAACCTAACCTGATGAAGTTTAAAACCACGGCAACCTTTTGCTCACGAAACACGATTTCCACATAGCACAAAAATCTGTCAATTGACTGATCATTGGAAATCACATACATTTCTTGATTTTTTCTAAATGACAGCAAGCCAGACAGAATAATTTCACGGGGTGTTTTGTACCAGTACGATCTGTAATCCAAGTAAGCTTTCCATTAGGTAGGTTACTTTTGGGATAAATGCAAATGATATGCTTTTAACAAAAAGTAACACGTCAACTTGCAGAATTTATACTTGGAAGTGAACATTTATCAAAGTAATAATACGTAGTCATAAAAATGTCACTCACTCGTGTTGTCCATGATTTTACGTGCTGACGATCTCCACAAGATTCCGCTACTTAACAGGATCCAAACCTTTAGTTGCCGATATAGGAGGTCCCCCAATGAGATTGTCTTATTTTCAGCTAATATGGGAGGGGTCGTGAGTAATACAGGCGTTTCTATTAATACTATTTAGGCCTACACTTCGCAAATAAATATCTTCCCACGTTAATTCAGACAAGTACTGAAGGTATTGTGTTTTTAGTTCGGTATTTCCATGCATGGTTTGCGCTCCTTTCCTGTTTGGGTTTTAGAACCAAATCAGTGACCCGTGACACACCTACTACGTGTACTGAGGTTTGAGTAATTATAATAAAGGGGTTTTTTGTGCGTGTGCTCACGGTCATAGACAGACTTGTCAAAGTGGGTAGGTGAAATGGGTGTAGTGTCAGGGACGGGACAACCCGATTTGTTTGCATGTAGCAGTCGCAATGACATGCCACAGTGGCTGTTTGTGTCCTTGAGGAGGGCAATTTACCACAATTGGTTCTCTCCACAGATGCATGGCGAATAAACGGAGAGAGATCGCTATGAAGCACCTGCTTCACAATGTAAGCAAAAAAGCCAACATGAAATACAGATCAACTTACTGAATGCGAAAGTAAAAAGGTCAACTTATCAATAAAAAAACCCAACAGGACTCATGCTAACAACGGGCCGACAATGGGCTTGGCCCGAGATTTAACATAATGAAATTATAAACAAGGGTAGCATGAGAAAGGGAAAATCAAATGCATCATAATAAGGTTACGTCTGCACTAGAAAGCAGGAGGTTCAATGTGGGTTCCAGTCCCACCCGAGTGATTTTTTCCAACTTTCACTCGGGAGGTAACACACTGAGTATACAGTGTTTAAACGTCGTTGAAGGACAAAACCTAATATTGATTTACTTCACCCCGACGCAAAAAAATCCATTTTATGAATACATGAAGTTACTTTTAAACCCCCTCAACCACCATTAAAAGGTAATGAGCAGGAAATGTTCAGTAATCATAATTGTCTAACACACTTTTAATTCCGAAGATATTTGATGGCAAGTTTTAAAAAACTGTTATGCTTATAATAGCACTTTTCAACGCATCAACAATCTCAAACAAAGCGCTTTACAATAATTCCCCCGTTTATCAGGCCATCCTTTTTGCTAGGATGTAGCCTCAATCCTGCAAAATCCTCCAATTGGCCTCATGGAAAATATATAGCCTCAATCCTGCAAATTCCTCAATTATTTCATGAATGTGGTCTGTGGAGGGGTGACCACTGCCTGAATCCTGCAAAATCCTGCGGCAGTGACTGTCAATATGTTGAGGCTTGGCAAGTGACATCCTGGAGCAGTACGGAGGATTTCAAGCATAATCCAGGCCTATATTTATGCATGGCTGAGCAAAAACCAACACAAGGTCCGGCTCAAGACTTTGACAAAGTGCATCCTACGAAATCAGTAATGCACTTTTGCCATGTAACCTCAATCCACCAAATTCCTCCACTTTGGCAAAGAGGATTTTGAAGGATTCAGGGCAGTTAGGGTTAATGTCTGTTCCTCCGACTACCCATACCCTACCTCAAACATGCAATAATTGAAATTAAAGAAAAAAACAATTTCAAGCACTTTAATCAGTTGAATACAACTTAGAAAATCATATATTAGTCACCGATGAGATAATCATATTATCTCCCATTTAATTGAGTTGTTCATGATTGGAACGCCTCTCCTTTTAATACATAGCTTCAGAAATATAATCAAATATACAAAGCAGAATTAAATGTCTATAGATTTAATGAAACATGGTTCTAGTTGGATTCCAGTCGACAAGTCACATGTGTAACAAGTTCTTTAAACACTGAAAAATGCACTGGCCACACTTCACGTGACTTGAGATTGTGTGGTTGTTTTTCTGTTTGATAAACAATTCTAATAAGTCCATAAATTTATATTTCACTCGGAGTTATCTATTGCATATTATCCTCTCAGGAAGCACTGATCTTTGAAGATTGTGGAACTGCATGGGTGCAACATTTTTAACGAAGGGTCAAGACCAATTTTTAACAAGAAATTATCCCCCAAAAAAGTTGGGATAAGGGTGACTGCTCTATGTTCCCACACCCCTATGTTCTGACAACCCCAACATAAGATGGGGTAACTCCCGTTTAGGGTTAGGGTTAGGGATAGGAATATGAGCAGTCGGACCGTGTGTCGGAACAGGTGTGTAACCAGGATTAGATACACATCGTTCCAGGTGGGTCTTAACTCCCTCTGTTAAAACGAAAACTCACTTAAAAAATATATATATAGTCACAGTTTTGTAACCCCACTACTGCCATTTGTGGGTTTTTCCTTTGAGCAAAACATATATCCCACCACCAATATTATACAATAAAGATAGAATTATATTACATTCATTCAATTTCACCCATTTTCCTGATAAGCCAAAATTTTCCAGCTTCAAAACAGAAAAACAGGAGAGCCAAATCTGACAAAAGTTTAGCCAAGTGACTCTTGGCGACTAATTTCCCATTCCTTTAAATTTGACCAGTTGCACGCTTAGCAGATTTTTCAAACTGGTAAAGATCAAAGGGAATTAAGAGAGCGAATGAGGCAGGGGAAGAAACAAAGGAGTGTGGTGGTGGATGAAGATCAAAGGAGGGGTAAAGGGTCTTTAAGAGAGGGATGATGCAGGGGCAGGAACAAAGGAAAAACAGATCACAAATTTTTAAAGCACGAACAAAAACAGCCTTGTTACATTTTATATTACAGCCATATTTAAGCACCATCGATATATCGATATTACTCGATTATTTGATGTTATTTTGATATCGTCAAATCGATAGCATTTTTTAATCATGTCAAAATATCAAATTTCAAAACTGAGGAATGATATCGAATATATCACAAATGCGTCGATTATCGTCAAAATAAATCTCCCATTTGTGCTTTACTTTGTGTCTAACGTTTGCTGTGTAATGAAATAATACTCGGCGGCAACTTGTGCTTCAAAAATCAAAATAAAAACATCTTGAAAGGCCAAGCGGCGTCGCTTTGCGCTCTGCGTTCGCTGGAATTCAAGGTCTCCCCCAATGAAAAAGCTCACAATAAACCGCCTGTTCCGGAAAAACTCTCAGAGCTGAGATTTGTTTCAAAAAGTTTGAGCAATATGCTAAATTGGGATGAAAGATTGGGTTTTTTTTTTTTTATCAAAGTGTCATCTTTATGGTCTTTAACATTTGCATGGGATAATCGATAAATTGAATATTCTCGATACTGGATTTCCGATATATGGATTATTTTAAATTCGGATATCGATGGTGCTGAGCTATACTATTCGCCAATTTATTTATGCTTCAGCTTTTTGCTCTTCAGTTTAGACAGGTACCCCCCTATGACTTCTTGGGTGATAGGGTTGTTGATATTCTCAGCTTCAAAGGCAGCTTGTTCTTCGAGCCTAGCGCGTAGTTTATCCAACAGTGCGCCCCTTTGGATCTGCTTGGTTAGGGTCCTAGCACGATCTGCACGTGGGATAATAAAACCATCCAGATTTGACAGGATTCTCATCTTTTTGTTGTGCTGTGAAGCGTTATCAAAATGTGATCATGATCAAGATGTTGAGATCGACTGCTATTTTTCAATGTTTACATCACTGCTGATCTTGTTAGTATGTAGTCTCGGCCCAAGACGTCAGAATTCAAGAGCAATAGTTGCATTGTTGTAGCGCCCTTGCAAAACTGATTTTTTTTACTTTCTCTCACTAACGTCTTGGTCATTTTGCAGCAATGGGGGCGTGGCCATTTTATGTAAATTGGACCGTCTGTTTAAATTCGAACAAAACGGCAGTTCCAATTTGCTGCAGTAGTCGCGCCCTTACGCAGGGGTATCACTGCGTTTCATAACTAGCGATGATGCTTGACATCCGCACGTATAGCGCGAATGTTTACAACCTTCGAGCCAGCCATTGAACCTTTTCTCGATCGCTGATTGGTTCCCTAGGAGAGCCTAGGGAGACAATTAAGAAAAAGTTAAACCACTGATACGAAATGGCCAAGACGCTAGTGCTAGTAGGCGCGCTGGTCTAATTATTGTGCCAATAGAGGGCGCACTGTGCACATTTCACTATCGATCACTAGCGTTTTGGGCCAAGACTAGTTAGAGTGAGGATGGCCATCATCGAAGAAAGTTAGAAAGCTCTGGATGACATTGTAGGCAAGACCCACGGAATCAGGCAGGGACTGAAAACCCGATCCTCATGTTGGCCTGGACGGGACTCGAACCTGGGTCACAGCGGTGGAAGGTGGGAAGTACCGCCACACCAACCTGACGAAGATTGAAAGAGGGAAGATACAGGACCCTATGTGTACCCCCTAAACCGAATCAGTCCTCACTTGCTAAATTTAATATTTTCTTAATTTAGGGCATCAGGTTGGCGTAGCGGTACTTTCCTCGCCTTCCACCGCTGTGACCCGGGTTCGAATCCCGCCCGGGCCAATATGTGGATTGGGTTTTCAGTGACTACCTGATTCCATGGGTTTTGTCCAGAAAATCATTCTGGGGTTTTCTTCCCACCACTAAAACTGTAATTTCCTTCTACAACTTCTACCACAGAACCCAACTGAAAATAAGTCGGTTTCAAAACTTTTGCGGGCTATCCCGGCCAGTTGATAACTCAACTTGCCTGGTATTTTCAGCCAGTTCACCAGTTCTTCCCGAGCTTTGTTGAAGACATCTTCTGGCGGTACGACCTCATCCACCATGCCGAGTTTCAACGCTTCCTCTGGCGTATGTAGTGTGCCTGGGAGGAGAGGATTTCCGATTTTTAGAAAGAGTCTGTGAAATGTTCAATATACTGGGCCACTTTCATGATGTTGAGGGCTGGAGGCTACATGTTTTATTGAGGGGGACGGAGTCGGAAATTCTAACCCAAAATTCTAAGTCAGCCTCTGCACACACTTGGATCCTCAATGCTCAATAATATTCCACTAAATGTATCATTAAGGAGGCATGTTATCGTAATTTCTTTGAACGGTGGGAGACATCGGTCATTAGGGAGACATCTTCATGTCTCCCTAATGTCACAGCCCCCCTTTAGAGGCAAAATGTTACCGTCGCAATTATTTGTTGCTCGTAGTCTAATTAGTAAACATACCGAAATTCGTGGAAAAAGGACAAAGCTAATTTAAGTTTGAAAAATTTTGTGCACAAGTCTGTGGGGATGTCTCCCAAATGTCCAATCCAAGGTAATTATTATTATTATTAATATTACAATTTGTGTCATTTTTTGACAATGAGAATAATTTGGTTTTACCTTTTTGTACATCCATCTCTGCTTGTCTCTTTCCGCATAGGTTAGCCAGCATCTCCTGCAGCCAGTATGGCGCCACGACACCCTGGAAGGGTACGCAACAAAACAGAAGCAATTTGGAATGATCGAGATTCAAAAAGGGCATAGACAGTGTTGCAGTAGAGTACTTTTATCCGAGTACAAAGTACTGCCGAGTCAACCTCGTCCCCATTGCTAACTTTATTTCCAACCTCGTTTCCAATAGTAAGCCCTGGATAGGAAACTTTCTTCCTGTATCCTGATTCGATACCGTTATGGATTTATATCGTGTACTTGGTGTTGTTATTCACAAAGTGCAGTACGTGTTTTCGTGATTATTCGTCCATGCCTTCACGAAAATACTCATTTCCTTCCCAATGTGTTATATTAATATGAAAAGTGATACTACATGTTGTCTCGATTTATGTGCACAATGAATGGGACTGATGTTCCTCTTAATACAAAATTCTGATATAACACACAATTTGGCTAGGTCCGAACGAGTTTGTATTAACGAGACTCGACTGTACATGTAACAAAAAAGCCTTGCTCTCACCAGCATTGTTTCATTGAGTCCTATGATGAAGTCGCCCTGGGACATGATCCTGTAGTCACAAAAGCACGCCAACATACAGCCACCCGCGGGAGCATGGCCCTGGAAACAGACAACAATCAGATCTATCAACATTGAACATTTGTATTACACAAACATGCGGTTCTTGTCAGAGGGGCTGGTGTTTGGCTAGGACTTTCAGGGTCACTAGTTCACCACGATAATTGTCTATGTTTGAATGAAGAACTTGTGAAATATATGTTTTGACATAAATGTGTGGAAGTAATTAAACTATGGGCTCTGTGCGCCAACGAAAGAGGGCGCCCTTTTACCTAGCAACGACGTCCCATGGGTGGGACATGTAGCTGGTTGCACGCACCGTTCCTAGTGTGTGACGCACGTACACCAGGGGATTTAATGTACACCAGGGGATACAATGTACACGTAGTGGTGTGGCCGCGCGTTGCGGCAAAATTGCAGTCAGGCAAGATGGCGTCGGTCGGTCACCCCCAACTGTACTTCCTTGCCGGTGAGGGGGTACTTGTGAACGGAGCGGATTAAGCAAAGCAGACTTTATTTTAAAGCACAATCACACAGCAGGGGAACAAACAGAAACTTACATTAATGGCTGCAACCATTGCCAGATCTGTCCCATACAGTCGCAGAACGAGTTCATGGACTGTATCAAAAAAGGTTCGCGTGTAGTCGTCTGACTTCTGGTACAACTCATTGATGTCAAGACCGGCTGAGAAAATACCTGGCTGGGCCTGAGATATAAACCCCCCCCCCCCAAAAAAAAGGGAAAAGAAAGACAGCTTTTTCAAATTTCACTTAAATTTCAATACAAATTCATCCCATTTCTGGACAAAAGTAACCAGTAGTAAAGTCTGTCACGAGCCAATGTGGCCCATCAGGTCGGCGTTCATCACCGAACCCTTCAGTAGCATGAAACGAGTGAGAATATTTCTACACCACCTGGACAGGATGCTAGTCCATCGCAGGTTACTCCCCAGCTAATGCCGGTACCCATTTATACTCCTGGGTGGAGAGAGGCAAATGGAGTTAAAGCGGCTTGCCCAAGGACACAACGTATGGCCAGCAGCTGGATTCGAACCCCTGACCCTCTAATCATGAGTCACAAACCCTAACCACTCGGCCACACTCCCCAGCTTATATGTACGTACAATTTGGGGTCCATTTTAAAGATTTTGGGAAATTTGTGAACAGATTTTGATATGGGTTGAACAAGGAGGAAAGTAGCAAAAATACAGTGATCTCAGTTCCAAATTTTTACTTCGAAATTTATATGCAGATTTCTCCCTTCCATTGACTAACATTTGTTTCCGTTCCAATGAATACTAATTATTTGAAAATGCTCGGTCCTGATTGCAGATAATTTGAGGCTACGACTTACAGAAGTCAGAATGGCCCCTCGGTAGCTCTGGTTATTTTCAAGTTTTTCCAGCGTGATGATCAACTCTCTCATGAAGTCCCTGCACAGACTGTTGGCTTTCTTGTTCATCCTCACAATGGCAATGTCTGGTACAAACAATAAAGGAGGGAAACCGGTTACAAAAGTAGAGCCCTTATGACTTGATGACAATGACGCATCTCGAGTCCAAATAAACCACAAAGGGACTGGGCAAGTGCAACTATCCAGATTTCCAGTTTTCCAGTTTTATTGGAAAATTTGTAATAAAAAGACTGTATCCTCTCCGAGTGATCCCCGTTTGCTTTTTCCTGGATTTGCAGCATTGCAAATGTTGCTAGCATCGTGACTTTGGGTGTGATCCCTGGCTGCATGGCACATGGTTTACGGCTTCTGACTAGCGCCCCCTAAGGCCCCCCCCAAAAAGTCTCCGGTTTCTGGTATGGAGCTTGCCCAAAAAGTGGTGCGGCGACGCGGCTTTTTTTTTTTTTTTACCTTATTTGTTTGCTTCAAATGTCGGCTGATGACTGCAAATGGTGCCCGACTAAACTTAGTGCAAATATATGGGAGTCCAGAGAGGCCACATAAAGCTTATTCTCGACCATAACCCAATCTAAAAACACATTAAAATTGTGCAGCAGCAGGATTCCAGTCAAACCAGTGAGTTTGGCGGTTTTGAGACATCATCGTTCATTGTAAAAAAAACTTTTTCATTTTGCCGACGCGCATGGCTACGGCGACGCGCGCGCATACCAGAAACCGGAGACTTTTTTTTTTGGCCTAACCAAAGATATTGACAAAAATGGGGCTCCGCCAACATAGGACTGGATAGCTCAGAGGGTAGAGCACCAGAACGGCAATCCGGAGGTCGCAGGTTCAAACCCGGCCTGCTCCAATCAATTTCTTTGTTCAACTTTGAAAATGATTACAATGCACGTACTTAGGTTTCCCTTTGTTGTTAATTTGAAGAAAAATAATTTTTGAATTAAATGTAACAACAATAGTGAACATTTTTAGCAATAAACTACATTTCAATAAAAAAATAAACAGATAATAAGCTTCAAAATGATATGCATGTTTCCTTGTGGCACTTGGACTATTTTTGAAGAATTTTGGCAATGGGGTTTATAACTTTGTGGAAGTGTGATTTCTCCCCCCCCCCCCCACCCCACCCCCTATACCCCCTTTTCTTCATCAGTAAACATGTACCTTCATGGTCAGTGTCTCTCTCCACCTGGATGTATTTGCCAGGGTCAGCGTAGTAGCGTTTCTGTTGAGTTAACAAGAGAGGCGTGGCACCAGACCTCTTGTATACTTGTGATGCACTCCGAGATCTCGACAGCAGGCATGCTTGTATTACAAATGTAAATAAAAGATTTTAAGGCGGAAACAAAGTTTAGTTTTCAAAGAGTCAAATGAATTCAGGAGTAAATTGGGTATCTGTGAGGGCAGAGATGGTTATTGTGGTTGATTTTAGCTGCTTTGTGCCGAAATGGCAGCATCGAGCTGTATATACTCCCCAGGGAGCTGAGATGGTCTTCGGAATGTTTCATTGGCCCAATGAACAGGGTAATACTAATAATGGTGTAGCGCTTTGAGCACCAATACTGGTGGATACGATATAGGAGCATTAGTTGTACTTGTACCTGGTTGTCAATTGTCCCCCCCCCCCCCTGCATTTATAGGTCAATGGGAAAGAATTAATGTTGCATCTTGACGCCACTTGTTTTTTTATCACATATTATCTTAGATTCAATGAAGGTCAGTCATTGCAAAAATGTTAAAAAGAATTATTTATCTTGGACTGAGGAGCATTTCCAATTTTGTTAGAAAATTCCGAAAATATTTGGAAAATGCACTCAACTCTCCATACAATCATGGGATACAGACTTTGTACACAACCAAACTGTAGTGGCATGTACTGGACGCTACTATTTATTTTATTCCAAAATCGCTCAACTGAAATTTATGTTCACATAATACAAGCAAGAACTTTGGAAAGAGTCCCATATCTGGCAATCACTAATTTTTCCCTTCAGGGACCTAGTATATTATCACTAGTGTATCAGCCATCAGCAAGTGATATGTCCTAAAAAGTCAAATTTAGCAAGAAAAATATTGAAGTATTATTTACTGAGAAAACACATTTCCAGACCAGTCTCATACGGTTTGTGCACAGGGTGACAAGTGATGGCCAGATATATGGGATTCTTTCCGAACGTTTGATACAAATGAACAATGATGAAATTCATGTTATTTGTAAGACTAAAGACATTCACTTTTCGAAAAGGCCTAGGGCTTACCTCCACTTTTTCCGATTGCACGCAGTTTCTCCATCCTGCAACGTCACGGGCCCGGGCACGGCAAGACGACGTGAACTACCGGTGATTTACCGTCTGTCCAGCATCAGGGCCGTTCCCTTTTAGTACTAGACTAGTATGACAATACCTGGGCTAGCTACATGTCATGTTCACTGACACAAATCGTCCGCCAAACAAGTAAATTTACAAGTATCGATATATTTGTACTTTCTGCTGTTACTTTTGTTGTAGATTTTCATACATACCAAAGAGCAGGACGCCCTCCATAGTCACTAAATCATCATCACACTATCAGAAAAAAAAGTTTTCCTCGCTGTTTTTTTCATGGCACTAGCGCATAGGAGTAGTACCGATGATACTAATCACTGTGTTGCTAAAAATACAATGTAACCAACGCAAGATTCCCAGACTTAATAATAAAATTGCCGCTTTCTTAAATACGGTAATACTAATTACTTAATAGAAACGGTTTGCGGCTGTAGCATGAATTTAGGTTTTATGAAATACGGACTCATCGGTGTTATTGCGCATGCTCATACATAGATAATTAGTAGCGGGACCGGTCACGTGAGAGGGTTTAACCAATAAAAGGGAAAAAGAGTCTGATTTTCATACGAGTACGATTTTCATAATAATGACACCGCCACTGTCATGTTCAGAATTATGCTACATGCTATATTTATTGACACATATTAGCCTTATCGTCTTCGACTGTCCTTTTCACAAACGTTGCTGGCTATTTGTTACAAAATCTACATCTTGTGCCCTAATTTTGTAATTCAGTAAATATAAGCAATTTTAATCAGTTTTCGACCTCGTGGATAATCCCAATAAACCAAACAAGTTGCAGTTTCACGGACTCCTTATTAAGTTTAGTTATTAATTAATTAACCCTAAAAATATTCCGCCGCTACGCGCCGTGAAAACTGAATTTCCACATATACGTATTTTATACACAGACCAGAATTACCATTCATGCATAATTATGAATAATTAATTAGCCATAATTCCAAAACCCTTTGACCTATAGTCATAAAATTTCATGACTTATGTTTATGATAAGTTGTTCTATGCATGAACGAGTTAGTGGCCGAGATCTAAGGGCCCCGGGGGGGGGGGGGGGGGGCTGACAGAGGGTCAAAATAGCCCGGCCCTTTTATAGGGCTAATGAAAAACATTGAAACAAACTTAAATGAAATATATAGGTGCATTTTGTAAACTTACGCTAATCGAAACATAAACATAATTCTAAATTAAAATATATAGTTCCATTATGTAAACGTAAATGAAACATGAAGGTATATAGAAAGGAATCCAATCCATTCATAATTATCAATAGGTGGACTTGACAGACTCGATGAACTTGGCGATCCCACCGTCTTTAATTGTTGCCATAAGCCGCCCAATAGCGTTCTGGACAGCATCCTTGTTGATAAACTCGGTGAAGGTGGCAATCTCCTCCTCCTGCTTGGCCCGTACTTTCTCCACGAGCGGACCCCGGCACATCCCCTTGGTGATGACTCTCGCACCATCTGAACATAGACAGAACGATTATATTAATTGACGAAGATGCAGTCGACCCTGATACAAAGGGAACTGTTAATACAACATCCTGCTTATAACAAGGACAATTTTAGGTCCCAAGTCTTTGTTTTTCTTCGTTTCCGTTACTTATAATAGAAGGTAACTGTTATAACAAGGTAATTTGTAAAGTCCCAACTCGGACTTCGTTATCAATGTGTTCCACTGTATACCTTTTGGAGACCAAGAAGTTACTTTGGCTGGCCAAGGCTAAAAGAAGCAATGGACAACAACTTAAGGAATGCCTTAAAACTGTCAAAGATTATGGCTACCCTTTGGGCTGGTTTGGGACTTGAGGAATTGTGATGGACTTGCAGAGATTGTGTTTGACCGTCCCTGATATTCCGTGAAATGAGGTAACACATTTTTGACTGACCTGGTACCATCAGCCATTTCACCAGTTCTTCCCGAGCCTTGTTGACGACATCTTCCACGGGTACGACCTCATCCACCATACCGATCTTCAACGCCTGCTCTGGTGTGAAGAGGTTGGCTGCAAGACAAGACAAGACAAGACGAGACAAAGACGAGACAAAGACGAAACAAAGATTGTTACCGAATATATAGGCGATGACACTGAAGTTTACAAAAGTATTGACCCATTGTGGTAACACAATACCGACTTTCAGTAGACTGTTCCATTTTGCACTAGTAAATGTCACTGATTTTACTGTTTAATATGGACACAATGGACCGATCCAGTAAGCACCGCCCCATGGTATTCTGACGAATCACGGACATGCGTGCACGCGCGTATGGTGCGCGCGGCAGTAAAATGCAGTGTGGCATTGGAGAGGAGCACGTGTTAATTTTGCCCACGTGCGCAGTGGGCGGGGCTTACTGGATCGGTCCATTATACAAGAAAGGAGCCCAGGTGTTTATTTTTGCCTGTGCGTGCATGGGTTGCCTGTCATTATGACGTCGGCCCAGAGGTCACGTGGTCACAGCACTGCTGGGTGGCACTGAACGACATGGCCCAATTTCATAGCGCTGCTTAACAACCAACTTTGTGCTTACCGAGCCTCCATCTATTTCATAGGGACTGTTAAGCAGTAAGCACAGCAAAAGCACGCTTAACCCAAGAAGAAAACTTTGCTTAAATCAGTGACGTAACAATAGGAATATCTATGCGCAGGCAACCGTTAGCATGAAATAGTGCTTAAGCAGCAGCATGATTTTCTGCTATAGTAAGCACAACTTTTCTGTTTACTGCTAAGCAGTGCTATGAAATTGGGCCCTGGACGGTATATCGAACGAAGTGATGCTTCACATTTTTCACCGTTTCACGCTTCCTTGGCCCGTGTTTGAATTCCATGGTTTTCCTTGTAATATCATTCTATGGTTTTCCTTTCAAATTTGCATTGAAACCCGAGGCTCTTAGAACTACACCATTGTATGAGATTGAGGACATTTCCTGTTTTAATCATCTCAACAAAAGACAACGTACACTAACAGCCTCGGTTTCAGTGTCAATTTGAAATTCGTCAATATGGGACTTTCCCCACATGTAGTCAGTTGAATATTTTGCATTACCCTGATTTGAAGAAGAAAAAAACAAATGGCAAGTTTCTAGAAAATTCCGAGTCATTTGGCAAACCGCAAAAGCATCTTAAACTCTATAATTATTATATTTGCAATTCGTACCGAGTTGTAATATCATCTCCGCTTGTCTCTCGCCGCAGGTTTTAACCAACAACTCTTTGAACCAGAATGGAGAGACTATACCCTGCACAAAAGATTGAACACGGACACACAGGTTGATAATCTTACATAAGATAATTATGATAGGGGTCACTGTTTAATTGGCGACTAAAAACAAACGAGTTAATTTAAAAATTGTGCTTAAGGCTTCAAGGCACCGTTAAGCACGCATGACGTTTTCAAAGAGAGTACGGGGTGAGTTAAAAAAGGAAACCCAAATGTCGGGACCATTGTTTTAGTGAAGTCAAAATATAGGATTTGAAAGCCCAAATTCATAAGCTTTCTTTTAGAACAAGAATCCGCAGTCATATCACTCATGTAATTTCCAAGAATTTTAAACACAACCACCGTTTTATAGTTCTGTCCACGGATCACAAAAAGGATAGTTTTCTTTCAGCAAAACGAAAACAAATCACATAGAGATGTGTGTGAATTGTTTTCGTTTTGCTGAAAGAACGCACACCTTATGCTTATGAATTGGGCTTTCCCTAGTCCTAGATATTGAAAGTGCTACATGCAGAACTTGACTAAAACAATGGTCCCGACATTTGGATTTAGTTTGTTTTGACTCACCCTGTATAGCAGAACTAATTGCAACAAAGACTACACTTCCGTAGCTCGTTTCACCGTTTTCTGTTAGACTCTATACATCGGTCCCCGGCTAAGCCACTGATTTACTTATCAAAATCAGCACATTTATGTCATAAAAAATACTTATATACGGGTTACAACTTTCACGGTTTACTTATTGTGCAGTAATGTTAAGCCAGTTTGATGCCGAGGCAATCAGCAACTAATCAGTTTTCAAACAAAATCAGTGATAGAGAGAAATGGCTTTAAAAAGTCAGCGAGTCAGAGCTGCTTACCAGGTTTACAGCATAGAGACCTATTTTGACGTTGCCCGCAGCCAAGACTCTGTAGTCACAACTCAATGCCATCATCAACGCCCCGGCAGCGCAATAGCCCTGAGGAAGTCACACATATTGAAAACATATTTAATGCACATGGTAGCGGCTCGGTCGGTCGGTCGGTCGGTCGGTCGGTCAGTCAGTGCGACAAGTGCAAAGAATACGGTAAGCTGGCCCTCTGTGACCAGTACGAACGTTTAAGGCAACGCAAGCCGTTCGACTGGCAATGTAGTTTGTTCTTACATTGATGGCAGCTACAGTCACCAACCGAGATCCGTACAGTCTCATCCAGAGATCCTGGACAGACCTCCAGAAGGCACTGATGTACTCCGGTGACTTCTGGTACATCTCAGGGGCATCGAGACCCGACGAGAAAAAACCGTGAATGGACTGAAAAAAAAGAAAGAAAAGAAATGCAAGCAACTGATATTTCAGCAAAACAAAAACAATTCACATATAAAAAAAAAAATCCACCAGCACCCTCTCATAATCATGATAACTAGCACTTATCACTGATAACATTTTGTTTGAAATCTTCTGCTTCCAATGTCAAAACAACATGCTTTATGATGTCAAGAGTTTATAGTCTTGCCCTGCCTTCTACTTGGCTACCCCAGTGACTTATGGAAGTCAAATTTAATTGCTTTTTTTGGTACAGTCTCGCAGTTGCTACGTCCGATTTGGCCTCTTACGTAATACTTCGTTTTGAACGAAACAAGCTCAACCTTACCGTTCACAGACATTTTGATGTTCACGGGCAAAATCTTTGAACATCAATTTCTCCCGTTTTGAAGACCTTATAATTATTCATGCCACTTTTAGAATTTGTTTCCCTTATAATTATCCAACTATGCGCTAAAATCGTTTCGATGTGTTCAGTATTTTTTATTAAAATTGGAAACACAGAATTGGGTTATTGCTACGTCCATTTTTCAAAGCTGCAAATGGTGTTTGCAACATCTGTCAATCTTTTCAAGCCTCACGTAAAGTAATAAGGTTCCTATCCATAATGGTGTGGAGTAAAAATGTGTACGACCCCCTCCTTCACGCGTTATTCATTGATAAACATCAACCTCTTTGGCGGGCTTCCATTGGTCGATGGCGAGACCCATGCGAAGTGACGCCGAGTCACGCTAATGAATATAACGCGCTGTATACGACACCGTTACGGCCAATTTTACCAAATCATTTCCGCTAAATCGGCCATGGTAATTAACGTACCGGAAATCCACGTGTTGTTTTGCTCGGCAAAATTCCAAGTAAAAAATTATCTTGGAAATAGCTGAAGGTGCAAGTGTTTGCAACAACAGATGACGCTGAAATTCGAAATATACCTAGTTGATATTAGTGTTCAACTACTCGTGAAATAGAAGTTGAAGGATTCGAATCTTTCAAATCGATTCCCTGAAATTGAGAAAGATTCGGGGACCTTTTCGAACGATTTTTCCCAAGACTTTTAGGAAAGCTTTATCAGTGACCAGTATTGACATTTTTGGCATCAATTATGGGGATTTAGTTTTGACTGACACAAAGTTTAGGATATGATACTATTATACTTAACATTTAAATCATACCAAGCATGATGTTTTCAAAAACAGAACATTCAAAAAGCACGATGCATATCCCTGGCAACTGCAAGACTGTTCAAGGGACAAAATATTAATCCAGGTCACTTTCTGACACACCCTGTATAATGCTATAACCCGTAAATACTGCAGAATCCTTAGTTACAGGATCTTTTTGCTTCTGCACGAAATTTGGGCAGCCATTTTCCCCTTTACTGGAATACGGCACATTAATGTTGAGGTGATCCCAGCTTCGGCAGGATTTCCCCCAATTTAAGTGTACTATAACTAGACTTGACTTGGTCATGTTTTTTTTTTTAACTTGAAGGGGTATTCGAATATCCGCCGGTTTGTAAGACCGGGTAGCTGGTCTTCAAATTCCTGTATCAATACAAATTCCTATACTGAACACAATTCCCGTATAAACACAACCCTAACTCGTTGACGTACTGATGTCAGGATAACGCCACGGCAGCTGCTGTCATTCTCCAGTTTCTCCAACGTGGTGTTCATCTCCGTCATGAAATCTTTAGTCATGCTGTTCCGTGGATTCTTCATCATCGTCACAACAGCAATTTCTACACACAGAATTAATAATGAATGAAAAACTACACCACTCTAATGTCACTTTCCAGGTCAAAATCACACTTTCTGGTCAAAATGACAATTTTCAAGGTCAAAGTGACACTTTTCCGGGTCAAAATGACACTTTCCTGGTCAAAATGACACTTGCCCGGGTCAAAATGATACTTTTCCGATAAACATGACATTTTTTCTGTCCAAAATGACACTTTTCCGGGTCAAAATGACACTTTCCAAGTCACAATGACACTTTTCCGGGTCAAAATGGCAGTTGTGAGGCTTACCCGGAAAAGTGTCACTTTGACCCGGAAAAGTGCCATTTTGATCCCAATCTAAAATATTTTCCAGTTAAAAGTAACAGCTGAACTGTTGAACATTGTTAGAAATAAACTACATTTAAAATACAGTACAGATATAATAAGCTTCAAAACGATATACATGTTTCGCTTGTGGCATTTGAATTTTTTTGAAGAATTTTGGCATTGAGGTTTATAAATCGGTGGAAGTGTCAATGCCTCAGATTTCTCCCCCCCCCCCTTTTCTCCATCAGTAAATATGCACCTTCATGGTCAGTGTCTCTCTCAACTTGGATGTATTTCCCAGGGTCAGCGTAGTTGCGTTTCTGCTGAGTTAACAAGAGAGGCGTGGCACTAGACATCTTGTATCGTTGCGTCAGAGATCTCGACAGTAGGCATGCTATAAGAATATATTTTAAGGAGGAAAACAAGGTGAGTTTAAAGTTTTCAAAGAATTGACTGAAGTCAGGAGTAAATTCGCTATCTGCGAGGGCAGAGATGGTTATTATGATTGATTTGCGTCGAAGTGGCAGCAACGAGCTGTATACTCCCCAGGGAGCTGAGATGGTATTTGGAATGTTTCATTGGCCCAATGAGCAGGGTAATAATGATGTGTAGCGCCTTGAGCACCAATACTTTTGGATACTTGCGCTTTATAAAATAGGCCTACGCACTTTTTAAAATTATTTTTGCATTTAGGCAGAACCCTGCGTAATGGTGAATCAGATAAATGTCACGGCAAGTACATGTACACATTAGTTGGCGAAGTCCCTAGTATGCCTTAGAAAGGTCGGGCCATAAAGGGTAAGAATGCAGTATCCTGGTGTGACTGTTGCAAATAGTCATTGTTGAAAAAGAAATACTGAAGTTGCGACTGGGAAACATTTCCACTATTGCAAGAAAATACTTTATTTTAAAAGAAATCACGGGTCACAGCTGGCATTATCTTTGTAGAACAACAAAGTGTTGTCAGGTCTCAGGATAGATCAACTAGTACTGGGCCCACTCTAGCCCCATAAATGTGGCCAATTTACTGGACTACCTCCGTAAATAAAGGCCACACTTCCACCATGTACAAAAACAGGTCGAACTTTGTCAAATTTCGATTTTCACATTTAGGCTTAGTTTGTAGTTTATTTTTGCTTTAGAAGCATACTCACCCTCTTTATAGGCTAATCAGAAAGTGCTGCCTTTTTCACATGTCTATTTTTTCGTGAAAATTCGTTTGCACACGTTTGCGTATCAAAATTTCAACATGAAATTTCACGAAAATAACATTTATTTACGGAGGTAGTCCAGTAATCGGCCACTTTATGGGGCTAGGCCCACTCCGATTAGAACTAGAAGAAACCCCTTGCGCATGCTGTATCGTTATAATGGCAGTCGACCATCTGGTTCCCGGACTCGGCAATATTCAACCTCAGGTTCTTTGGCTCTTGGAACCAAACTATCAACCGAACGGTTCTCAGACTTTATTTTCCTAAAAAAAAAACTCTTGCAAAGCCACGGATCACAAAACAAATGGGTTTTTTTTGCTTACCGTAAACTAAAGCAGTGGAAAATCACATTACAGCTGCCGTATAAGATAGCCACTAATGGTGGTTTTACTTTAAACTTCAAGAATACAACTATTAATATGCCCAAAACATGCAAAATGCACGTTCTTTTCAAAAACCAATACTTACTAGTCCTACAGCAGTTGCATGATAATTAGGAAAGAAAGTAGCTCTACTGAGTGGAACGTTGAATTACGGGTACCCCTCCATACCAACGCTCCACCGATTTGCCATACTTTGGTAGCACCATCACAGTAGCATAGTCACAAACCCACGCGAGGACAAAAAGACCCAAAAAAACCGGTAAAGAGATTACAAATGAGAGAGACAGTTATCCTGGATTGATCTATACATTCTTGACATTCCATGAGACCCCTTATATTGTTCCCAAACAGCGAACATTTTGGAAAAAAAACAGCAAAATAGTCTGAAAACTTACAGTTCAATGTGTTTGCATGGAGGCTCAGTTCTTGAATTAGCTTGTCAACGAGGTCGAGGACGTCTGACGTGACGTCACCGTCGTTGCTCGATCGCGAAGAAAAACAAGTCGCGCTTTATCAACGACTGTTTCGTGTAATGATACGTGCTCCGATCCGCGCCGTACGACAGTATGGGCTTTGCACACACCCAAGGTGGAGACGGCTGAAACGTACACGTTCTAAACAAATTAATGACGTCTCCACCCCGGGTGTCTTCAAAGCCCATACTGTCGTACGGCGCGGATCGGAGCACGTATCACTACATGAAACAGTCGTTGATAAAGCGCGACTTGTTTTTCTTCGCTGTTTGGGAACAATATAGGGGTCTCATGGAATGTCAAGAATGTAAAGATCAATCCAGGATATCGATAACTGTCTCTCTCATTTGTAATCTCTTTACCGATTTTTGGGGGTCTTTTTGTCCTCGCGTGGGTTTGTGACTATGCTACTGTGATGGTGCTGCCAAAGTATGGCGAATCGGTGGAGCGTTGGTATGGAGGGGTACCCGTAATTCAATGCTCCACTCAGTAGAGCTAGAAAGAAAGGTGCACCACGACCATGCTGACGCCACTTTTATCATTCATTATTATCTCAGTGAAGGTCAGTCATTGCAAAAATGTTGAAAATACATGAATCTTGAACTGAAAAACATTTTCAAATTTGTTAAAAAATACTTTGAAAATGCACTGAACTCTCCATAGATAGACTTAATTGTACACAACCAAAAGGCGACGGTCTGGATACTACATTAATTCTTTCCTGGATGTTATTTACTCCAAAATCGCTCTAGGCCTAGAGTTTACGTCCACACATGCAAAGCGTTTGATACACATGAAATTCATCTTGTTTTTAAGAGGCCTAGGCTAGCTACCTCCACTTTTTCCGATTAGGCGCAGTTTTTCCATGATCGTGTTACTCTAGTAGTAGTACTAGCAACTGCAATGGAAGTGCAAGGTACCGGTTATTATTTGCACAGTATGTATGGTATAACCATGGCATCAGGGCCACACATTCCAGATTCCTGGCCTAGCCTCATGACGTGGGCCTTGACCTCGTGTTAGGCATAACACTACCTTGTTCATTGACACAAAGGCATGCTTGCAAAGACACCGTACTCAACAACAAAGATCCGCCGTATAACGCGTAGGCGCTGCCCAAAAATGCTTTTGACGGTATTTCACGGTATTTGTTATGGGGACATACCATGCACGCGGCGCTAGCGCACTAGTATAGGATCTTCGCCAAAGAATGCAAAGATCTAGAAAGCGGGACGCCCTTCATACTTAATAATCATCAATCGAATCACTATCAGCAAAACAAGACTTTTCCTTGCCAACACGCGGGGTGTGTTGGCAGTTTTTGCCAAACACTATTGTCAAAAATAAAGAACGGTTATCGATGTTTCCAAGCATTATCACTGTGTTGCTAAAAATATAAAATAACCAAGAAACGCTACTTAATAAGGGAATAAATACTGTCTTAGGTATTTATGAATAAGTCTTCATAAATACCTAAGAAAGTTTACGCATTCCTATTGGTCGAGAGCCCGTCACGTGGCCGGTCTTAAACGGATGATAAAGACATGCCTAGCTGGTCTTAAACACTTTTCCAGTGTCACAATAAAATGTGGACTCCTAAAAATCCAGTGCCTCTTATCGTTTAATTGGTTGAACGTTCACAATCCTCACGTAGGCATGCGCAACACTACCAGGGAGTCAGAATTTTATAGTTCTAAATACAAAATGCAACGCGCCAGGTGCGTTCTGCGCGACATCGCGCAGAAAATGATAGTGCGCGCGTCAATCTCCATAAAAGGGTTGTTTACATCTTACTCGCCAGCTGAACACTCCATTATTTTGCAAGAGGGGTGTTTCAAAAAGCATAAAGTGAATTTGTTGAACAAAATCGGGATGTTTTGAACGAATTATATGATTTTTTTTTTACCGAAAAGGTATTTATGAATGGGAATAAATATGTGCTCCGTCGGTATTTATCACTCTGTTTAAGACCACTTAGAGTCTGGGTGCTGATAATTACCCTCGCCTCCGGCTCGGGTAATTATCAGCACCCAGACTCTAAGTGGTCTTAAACAGAGTGATAAAAACCTCTGGAGCACACATTTATTCCCTTAATAAAGATTACTCTTACATAATAAGTAGGCCTACCGGTAACTGGTGAAACGAGTAACTGACATGCTAATCCGGAATTCATGTGAATACCTGATGAGCATCATTGTCAGCTGAAATTACTCAAGCTAGCCCATATCGTGGCTGACGGAAAATTGCAAATGGGCAGCCCTAAAATGGCGCTCAATGATGTTTACAAACGCAAATTGGCAATAGCGGGTCAGGTGTTGAGTATGCAAAGGTGTATTAATCATTGTAATAAATGCCCATAAAATAACATTTCGGATCGGCAATTGTTCTTAATTGGGTTGTGGAGTATTGATGTACAAGAGCATCTGAATCCGGCACTGGCAGTGCGGAAACGTGGGGTGGTAAAATCAAATAGGGAGGGGGGGGGGGGGGATCGCATATTGTCTGACAATGACCCTGAATTTGGATTTCAACAGCGCCCCCATTGAAAGATGGTGTCCCCCCCCCCCCTCCCTATTTGATTTTACGGAGGCCGGGTGTCCGGTGAAAAAAACACCCTGTTTACCTTTGCCAGCACGGATGAAATCCACTGTAACATCAAGCACCCCGCTCCACCAATATCCTTATGTGATTTATTTTCGTTTTGTGAAACTGGAACACTGAACATTTTTTTGTGATCCGTGGACAGAACCTTAAAACGGCAGTTGTGTTTAAAACTCCGCAAGTTGAAGAGGTACATGAGTGGTTTGAATGATTCTTGTACTAAAAACAAGCTTATGAATTTGGCTTTCATATCCTAGATTTTGAAAGTGCTACATGCAGAACTTCACTGAAACAATGGTCCCTACATTTGGGTTTGGTTTTTTTTTTTACTCGTCCTGTATTTTGTGGGTGTTTTTTTTGTTGGCTTTTTAATGGTGATTCACTATATAGTATGCATGATTTGCCTTCGGTGGATTTTTTCCCCGATCGATTTTCTAATTTGAAGGCCTATGTGTTGCTAGAGAAAGGCTACTTTGTCCATTTTGGTTTTCTGCAACCGTTTGAAAAAGAACTAAATATTTTTAGCATTTCAGGAAAACTTTTAAATAAAATTTCTCTAGGTGATACTCAAAAATAGCATAGACAATCCTCTTTAAAAGTAAAGCAATATATTGCGAGATTACCGCGATAGTAATAAACTCCATTATGAAAGTATTTAAAATACATGTATTTTTAAAAAAAATATAAGAATATATAATTTAAACCCATGAAACCTTACATTGTGCCTAGCAGTAAATTACAAAGTGAAGTAACATGGAAAGAACTATAAGAACATATATGGAAGACATGTCAAGCCCACTGTCTTTTAGAAAAGTGACCGAAAGTTAGTACAAAAATATTCCTTAATCTACCCCTACTTTATACTTATAATAACCACACCGTATTTTGGTCTCTAAGTTCTAAAGACTTGATTATGAACTGGTGATAATTCAGGTACAGATTTAATAAACTAAACGTCAAATGTCAGTGATCTAGGATTATTAGGGCCCGTCTCAATTCACCTTCGGGACGAGTTCTGGGACGAGTTGCGGGCATTGCATCGGGTATAAGTTGCAGGATTCTGAACAACTTCCCCGCAATCTTCCCAAGGTTTACAAGGTGCTGCGGCGCATACTGCAGCCACTGCCAGAAACACCGGGGCGAACCCCTTCTCTTAGCGATAAGTGTTTATACTGGTTTCTTAAACGTGCATTATACCACACATACGGCTTTACGTCCCATCCGAAGGGCGGAGCAATAATGGTAAAGTGCCTTGTTCAAGAGCACTTGTAATATGTTCCCATGGTCAGGATTCGAACCCATGTACCACGCACGGCACACAAGACGAACAACGTAACCATTGGACCACAGCACCCCACATGATGGAGCTTGAGGTACATTTGTTTTTTAATTGAGAGGTCATGAATTGGCTTGTCTAAACTTCTAAAGTTTCCCCCATCTCCTACTTCTTCCGGCTCTCCAGAGACATCCCAAAGGATTCCTGGACAGACTTCTCATGGATGTACTCGTTAAAGGTGGCGATGTCCTCCTCTTGCTGGGCTCGTAGTTTCTCCAGGAGCGGACCCCGGCGCATGTCTTTGGTCATGGCTCTTGGACGATCTGTGCAATTTCGAAAAGGGCCACAAATTACCATTAAAAAAAAATCTCAGAGGCCTAGAGCTGCTTGGCACAAGCATGGACTCATTCGGCAAACCAATAAGAAGTCTTTCTGGACGTGGAATCAAGCTCGAGGTAGCTCTGGGCCGGGTGCATACCTATGTTCCCCAATACTTATGTTCCCCAATACCTATGTTCCCCAATACCGATGTTCCCCAAAATCCTTACTCTAACTCTAAACCTAACTCTAAACCTAACCCTAACCCTTACCCTAAGGATTTCGGGAACATCAGTATTGGGGAACATAGGTATTGGGGAACATCGGGTAGACCCCCTCTGGGCCTGGGTATCAATGAAGGGGATTTCCCTAGCGGCCTATCCCCCCCCCCCCCATATGGACCTCTAACCCACTCAGGTTATGCAGGTTTACTTGCCTGGATTTTTCAACCATTTCAACAGTTGTTCCCGAGCCTTGCTGATGAGATCGCCAGGTCGTACGACCTCATCCACCAGGCCGATCTTCAGCGCTTCCTCTGGGGTGAACATCGTGCCTGCAAGACAAGGTTTCAATGTAAAAGTCTTTGCCCATCCCAAGTTTCACAGTTGGGGGTGACCGACCGACGCCATCTTGCCCGACTGCAATTTTGCCACAACGTGCGGCCGTACCACTGCGTGTACATATAGTACAAATCCCCTGGGGTACGTGCGACAGACACAAGGAACGGTGCGCGTCAACCAGCTAAATGTCCCGCCCATGGGACGTCGTTGCTAGGTAAAAGGGCGCCCTCTTTCGTTGGTGTACTGAGTCCATATATTTACTCCAAGTGAACTTCCCAAAACAATTTGGTAGGTCTTTTTGGGGTCGGGGGGGGGGGGGGGGGCTATTACATCTAAGGATGAACGATAAAGCTAAAGAACTGTTAGGAATATAAATTCAACGACAGAAATAAATGACTCATTTGTTAATTAAAGGTGGTACAAATACTTCTAAGATGAAGGTTATACCGAGTCCAACTGCCATCTCCGTTTGTCGCTCACCGCAAGTTTTGACCATCACTTCTTGGAACCAGAATGGGGCAACTAAACCCTGCGAAAAAGATGAGAAAACACACGTGATCTTTGATAACATTAGATCGGATCGGTAAACGAAGTTTAACAAACAGCCAAAATTTGTACGACGCTGATTTTGGCCCAATTTTATGATACTGCCAAACACATAATTTTCTGCCAATTGAAAAGTTTGTTCAGGTTACAGAGACTGTTAGCAATAAGCACCAAGTCTGTATTTTGTTAGCTTTTACCAATTCATCTGGATGGGAAAACTGAAACACTTTTAACAAATGACCAGCTTTCACCATTTTGGGAATGTCAACGATGCATGGAAATAGATTTACACACACAAAAAGACGTCCACAAATTGGGAAACTGCCAACATAGGGCTGGATATAGCTCAGTTGGTAGAGCCCTGGAACGCCAATTTGGAGGTTGTAGGTTCAAGCCCTGCTCTAGTCAATTTCTTTGTCCAACTTGGAAAAATTATGAAATACACCTACCTTGTCGGTTTCCATATTTGGTATATTTGAAAATTTGAAATAAAAAGCCGTATCCGCTCCGAGTGATCCCCGTTTGCTATTGCCCAGGTTTGCAGCATTGCTAATGTTGCTAGCATCGTGACTTTGGGCGTGATCCCTGGCTACACGGCATATACGGCTCCTGACTAATGCCCTTGAACAAAGGCTTTGACAAATTGGGGAGCCGCCAACATAGGGCTGGTTAGCTCAAGTTGGTAGAGCACCAGACCAGCAATCTGGAGGTTGCAGGTTCAAACCCCGCTCCGGTCAATTTTTTTGTTTACATGTGAAAAAAAGGAAAACGTTTAAGATGGCTTACCACAGTGACTTCAGGGAGGCCAATGCCGAAAGGTCCCTCCGACATAACCCTGTAATCACAACTCATTGCCATCTGGCACCCTGTGGCAGGAGAATGGCCCTGAGGAACGAAATACATTGAAACACACTGGTGTTATATAAAGGCTGTTCCCTTTCCAGTTCTCATACAGCCTCAGGCTCAGTCTGTGTCGGGCTTTCTGGTGACAACAAAAGACAGACGTGAAATTGAATTGAGATTTGGTTATTTGAAAATGATTGAGTCCATCATGATATATAAACACTGCAAAAAAAAGAAAGTTCATAATTTTGAATCTGATCGTCTTATGATGACGTCATTTATATAGACCTTTGGGGAATTTTGCTATATTTTGATACCCCGTTTGCTACCAAAGCTTGTTAATCGTCCAAGATTGACAACGGTTTATAAAAAATAATGCGGTTTGAAAAGTTTCAAATTGAAAGATTACGCAAGGAGAAATTGCCAAGCGCAAACACACATGTCCGAGATTGGCCCCTATCAACTGCACAGTGCCCAAACAAAGCATCAGTATTTCAATTTTACAATTGCATACAAGCACTGTGCGATCGATATGCCCTGCACTTCGTTTCGGGCAGTCATTGTCGTGCAGCAATTTCTACTCGCATACTCTTTAAATTTGCAACTTTCTTTTTTTTTGGGGGGGGGGGGTGTTTATAATATACATCCTTCTACTCTGTACAAGACCTCTTATATTAATCAAACGTCTCTACAGAGTTGTTGAAAAAAAGTTTTTAGTATAATAACTTAGTAAATGCGTGGTTACAATTAATAACAAAAATACACGGTGAGAATTCTTAGAAGAATGAGTGCGTTCGATTACTTCCCCATGCTTACTCGTGCAAGCGCGACAGCGTTCGATTTATACCTCTTACGTGATTTCTCGCGCTTACTCGAGCCTGGCCCAAGTGACCGACTCGCCGAGCCGGTTAGTTGGGTAACTATCCCATCTGGCCGTGCAATAAACATGGCTGCCAACGTGATGTCCGGCCGGCGCCTCAGGCCGTGTGCTTCCAGAGCTACATCTACGTCTATTGTCAGCCCGTCCCCATGTATTTTCAATGGGCGCGGACCTAGACCTAGCTCTAGACCGTTGATTTTCGGATGCAGCCTCAGTGTCATGTCAAAGTTCAACTTTCCAGCTCTTGCACAAAATTTTACCCGAAACCGTTTGTTTATTTAGCTCCACTGCGCATGTCTGTCATCACGCGAGGAGCAGGCGCGAGTAAGCTGGGGGAAGTAATTGAGCGCACTCAATCTTGGTTACACTCATTGGACTGCATTAATCAGTGAATGTTCAGACAGCTGGAGAGTTCATTTGGATACAGCATGCACAGTCTTACATTGATGGCAGCCACGGTCGCTAGCTTGGACCCGTACAGCCTCATCCAGAAATCCTGGAGAGACCTCCAGAAGGCACTGGTGGATTCAAGTGACTTCTGGTACATCTCAGTGCCGTCCAGCCCCAAAGAAAAGATACCTGCAATGGCCTGAAAAAGATGCACAGAATTCGTTTTTATTGGGCAATAAAAAAAAAAAATTGCCTAAAAAACATGGACAATTCCTGGGCAAAGGTTTACAGTCAGCACTGTGTACCAGCAGAATTATTTTTTTCGCTCCAACCGTATGAGCACAGAATCTCTTTATAGGTTGTTTGCATATGCACAATAACCAATAACTTCTGGTACATCTCAGTGACGTCCAGCCCCTCGGAAAAGATACCTGCAATGGCCTGAAAAAAGATGCACAGAATTCGTTTTCATTTGGCAATGGAAAAAAAAAAGGAAATGCCTAAAAAACATGGACAATTCCTGGGCAAAGGTTTACAGTCAACATTGTGTACCGGCAGATTTTTTTTTTCTTGCTTCAACAATATAAGCACCGAATCTCTTTATAGGTTTTTTGCATATGCACAATAACCAGAATTCCTTGTCTACCCGTGAATACACTTTCAGACTGCAACATTTTCTGCCAAGCCTCTAGCAGATCCAGGTGTTAAGAGGGGGGGGGGGGGGCACCCCCCCCCCCCACATCGACCAGAGATCAGGAATGCAACTGGGAAATAATTTAGGAAAACAACGAGGACATTCCAAAGCACATAAGACTTTGTACAGTGTTTCAATTTGTAATGGCATTCATGAGAACTAAAAAACGAGGAAATCAGTAAATCCGAGGAAAAGTTGCATGCCTGATAAATGCACAGTCCTAGACCAGTGTTGTTGGCAATTCCATCACAAGTCCTCACAAGTCCTCACAAATCCTCACAGGTCCTCACAAGTCCTCCCAAGTCCTCACAAATCCTCACAAGTACTTCTTCACAAGTCTTCACAAGTCCTCCCAAGTCCTCCCAAGTCCTCACAAGTCTTCACAAGTCCTTACAAGTCCTCACAAGTCCTTACAAGTCCTCACAAGTCCTCACAAGTCCTCACAAGTCCTCACAAGTCCTCACAAGTCATCACAAGTCCTTACAAGTCCTCACAAGTCATCACAGATCCTCACAGGTCTTCCTAAGTCCTCACAACTCATATACAACTCCTCACAAATACTACAAAATCCTCACAAGTCCTCACAATTAAGTCCTCACAAATCGTCAAAAGTCCTCCCAAATCCTACACAAGTCCTCACAGAAGTCCATCACAAGTCATCCAGTTTCGAATTTTGGAGGAATGCTCATATCAATTAAGTCACAACCTTTTCAAATGAACCATGCCCCTGTTTCTTATTGTGACTGGACTTGGGATAGCCTTGACTACGACACCACTGAAAAACAAATAATGATTTCAGGAATACATACTGATGTCAGGATAATGCCGCGGCAACTGTCGTCGTTTTCCAATTTTTCCAACGTGGTGTTCAACTCCGTCATGAAGTCTGTGCTCAATTTGTTCCCTGTTGCCCTGTTCATCTTCACAATAGCAATTTCTACAAAAAGCAAAATTTGAAAGATTTGAAATGAACCCATAGAGCCATTTGGTGTGGCGAATTGAGTTCGGCACGACACCATCTTTTGGCTCAACAGGGCTGCCATGCTATCGTTGCTCCGAAATCCCAAGTGAGGTCACAAAATAACAAAGAGCGAACAATCTCAAAGGAATGCCATGTAACAGTTCATTTGAATATAACTGCTCTTTGCATGACTCAAGACTGCAGGACTTTGAGACTGACTTGACTCAAACTCGGTTGACAACATTTAAAGGGAAGATACAACATTTGCAAACAACAAAAAACGAAATGATCAAATTATCACGAAATATCTCACTGGATTGTTAGGGAATGACAGTCTAAAGCATCCTGTAAAGTTGTGGCTCCTGGTGTGCTGACATTTTCAAGAAAACTGTATTTTTCCAACGCTGTTCGGCTGACCAGTGTTGGAGAAAACTGGCTTTTTTTCAAAAAGTGCTCCTTATTTTTCATATTTAGTTCGTCTTTATTTTCTTTGCAATTGATTACACACCTGTGAAGACTACAAGCCTGCTAGACTGATTCTCTGATCTTACAATTCCTCAAAATCTATCAAATGCTCCGTTTCATCTTAGGTGGGTCAGGGAACCAGACTACGAAAAGATGATTGGTTTTCTTGGTTTATCCAGCATCTACAAACCCAAAACGTCAAACAAGTCAGTGTAACAATATTTGCTATAAAATACTAATCTTCCAAATCCATTTATTTCTGAAAATTGCAGCAAAAGCAAAATGTTGTACAGTCCCTTTAATGTTGTCACACAGTCACAAGACATAGTCCACACTTTTAGTTGCAGTCTGTACGTACAACGGTAAATAACATCGATCACATGTACCTTTGTGAACACTGTCGCGTTCCACCTCCACATTGTTGCCTGTCTCTGCATAGTGGTATACAAAAGGAAAAAGAATGTTGCAACCTGACATCAGTTTTTTCTTGTATTAATTATCAGCTCAATGAAAGTCAGTCATTTCAAAAAGTTGAAAAGATATGAATCTGGGACTGAGAAACTTTTCCAATTTTGTAAGGGAACCTTCAAAAATGTTCTTGACTCTCCACAGATTTTGTGTCTGGATACTTGATTCTTTCCTAAAAAAAAGGTTGAATGGTTGGTAAAATGGATTTTTGCCGATTGAAGGAGCAACAACACAATAAATTTGAAGTAGGTTATTAACAAACAAACTTGTCAACCTGTCAGCTCAGTAGATATCCTACTTTTTGAGAAAACCGTGAAAAGGCATCGATTATTTCTTGACAATAAACCTTAGGTTTCTGTAAAAAGCGTGATGATTTGGTCCTATAACCACTGCGAGGACATGATAGGTAATTCCGCTTTTCTTGAAAATGGCAATGTAACTTTTGATCAACTTGGCGTAGAGCCAAAAAAATTTAAAAATTAGGTACTATAGGAACTAAGGAAGGGTCATGGAGTACAACTACAAGGACCCCAAAATAGGTGAGAAAACCCATGAAACAAAATGAGCAAAATACTGCTAACACACCAATTGATGCATGCTCAAAATCCTGAAAAGAATTTGAAATCCAGACTGTTTTTTTTTTTCACTTGATATTTTCTATGGAAACTGCAGCCATTCAGAATAGTCAATGTATAAAAATTTAGATATATTTTTTCGATATTGTTTTGACCCACCACCCACCCCAAATTAAGATTTTTAAATGTTGAATGACATGACTATTCAATACCTATAGTACACTGAAGAACAAAGTAATGCTTCAAATGAAGCAGATATTTTTTAGGTCAATGCTCTCCCTGCTTTGGAGTTTTCAATGGCTTTTCCAGGCGTCCAGCATGCAACTTTGTAGTTGAAATACAATGTAGAACAGGAAATTATAGCACACCCTAGTCCCACTAACTTGGGCGCTAGTAGAACTCCTTTTTTGACCTTTGGGATGTTGGTCTGTTGGACAGACCAACATGGGATGTTGGTCTGTCGGACAGACCAACATCCCAAATGTCAAAAAAAGGAGTTCTGGCGCCCAGTTTGGAGATCGGAGTTGACTTACCTCCCCTTTTTTCGATTTCCTGAGTCGCCATATTTTATTCTGTTGTGATCACCGGCGCGGTACGATGCAGAAAAAGGCACAGGCCTAGCTAGCTATAGCATGCATGCGGTACCGCCCCGGTCATTGTGCTGGTACAAAACATCATTACACCGTGGCTGGCCGGCTGCGCGTTGAATCGGATCGGAACGACCCGACCTTGGCTGGTCAACCATGGGTCAACCAACTCCATGGGTCAACCAACTAAAAGTAAACCAACTTGGACTTGTGTAAGACTCATCCGGCCAACTCGATCGTAGTGGGTCAAGACCATTGATCTCTGTGTACCGGTATATGGAGATCAATGGTCAAGACTCAAAAAACGTTGTTCATGGCAGACACAATAGGATTAGGAGGGCGCTGTTTGATTTAGATAAAGTTGATAAACCATTTAGGCCTAGCTGCTTCGATTGGTCAGCTGGAGTAAAACTAGCCTCAGGCTAGATCCACTTACTCCAAAAATCCCAACTGTCAAAAAAAGGAGTTCTAGCGCCCCAGTTAGTGGGTCTAGCCTCAGGCCTATAGCTCCCGGTGATCCATGGAGCATTTTCCCAACTGCCGAAGCCGCTGGTGAAAAAAATGCCACATGGATGCGAGGGAGGGTAGTTTTACTACACCACGACGTGACATATCAAGCAGTCAATATTTGTTTTACAATTCACCTCTCCCACGGATTCTTGCTTGATTTTAAGCGATAACTGATTAATTTAATCAAAATCCAATTCAATTAAAGTGTACTTCTATTTGAATACGAAATTAGTTGGACATCTACTGTACTTGCCTCCAATTGTGCCATTTCATAAACCAACCGGGGTCTGCCGGATGTTCCCCAATACCTATGTTCCCCAAAACCTTACAATATGTAAATGCTTCATCCATGTCCCTTGAATGTTCTTGGATTTAAACACCCTATAGCTAGCCACACCTCCCCCCCCCCCCTTCACACGAAGAAAATTGCACAACAAAAATATTGTCATAATTTAAAAAGCACAAACGGGATACCAAAACACTGACAAAGGGTGGTAAAAGTCTGAAAAGATCAAAACTGAATGACAAAAAAACCCATTCCATTCAAAACTTGAGTTTCAGCAATTTGTTCTTCCATAGCATAAAGGTTACGGAAGTTTTTCTTTTATAATGATTTCAAGTCGTTAACGACATAGCTATGTTATAGTTTTTTTTTACCTTGCCATGCAGCAATACGCTTCCGTATGAACATGTACTAGGCGGCCTATACTTTTCAATCAACCCTGATATGTTACTATTTATTGGCGATGTTGGTAGGCCTATTCCTTTCCCCCCGCCTTTTTGATATTTAATAACTGATTGCTAGGTTTGCATTAGAAATGTTTTTAGTTCTCTTTTCCAACGGCGGAACCCATTTTTTGTTTAAAGTGACATCGCAAAAAAGGCAGCCACTGCGTAAACCACCATATTTTGCTAAAACAAATTGTTAAAGTGGTCAGAAATTGCCTCAGATCGCACAACATTAACAGAGCATCTAGAATCCAAATATTTTCCAGGGCCCCTAAGCGGGCCCCGAACCCCACGCCGTAATTTTTTGAATAAACTTTTGGGGAACAACTTTTTACTGCCCTCCCCACCCAAAAAAAAAATTGTGTTCTGAATCCGTCTCTTCCGGGTTTGGGGATATCTCTGTACTTGCGGTTATAAATTTAAATGGATTTTTACATTTGGTGTAATTCATTTTAAAGGCATTATAGGATCATTTGCATTTCTCCAAAACGTAACCTGTCGAATTATAATCAAAAAGCTGACTTGGAATAAAGATCGTACTGGCACTAATACACAACCCGTGAAATTATCCATGGCTTGCTGTCATTTAACAGGCATGCAACTGGGAAGTCGCAAAAAAAGAGGAAATTCAACTCTTTTTCAGACTTTGAACAGTGTTTTTTTATTTTAACGGCACACATGGGAAGTTACAAAAGAGGAAATCAGCGGATCCAAGGAAAAGTTGCATGCCTCAATTTAGAAGAAATCAAGAAATGTAGGTGATTTCCAACGGTCAGGGAAGTGACTACTTTTTGGAAATAAAAGAGTTTTACGGACGAAATTGTGTTCCATGATTCAATGTGTGCAGTTTTTCACAAATTTTCGAAAAGTGCTGAAACTTCTAAGTTCTTCAACGGGTTAGGTTTTGAACATTTTTCTTTCGATTTAGAGTGGTTTTAATACTGGAACTGAACAAAATGCATGAAATGCAAGTGATCATATATGCCTTTCATGTAATTGTTGATTGTTAATTCATCTGCAATTTAGCCTTTCGGCCGTAAGATTATGGCGAAAAACAAAGTAGTTTCCAGACTCCAGATACTGCATGCTACCCCAAACGTACAAAAAGTTAAAAATTTCCCAGGAAACCTCCCCCCCCCCAAAAAAAAATTAAAATAGAAAACTAACCACCATCACCACAATGTCTTGAGTTCACAAACTCTGTCTATTCAACTTCTTTAATGCCATTTTCATGACACATATTGAAGAAACATTCGGCTGAATTATGCAAATGCCATATTTATAAAACTCTTCACAAGATGTTATTTACAAAAACAAAAACATTCTTCAAAAATAAATCGATTTTCATTCAACATACAAACTCAACAGTTGTTTCTCAGAGATGAGTTTGCTGAGAGTTTTTTAAAAATCAGTAAAGCTGTACCAAATCATATTTTTTTTTTTGAGGGGGGGTTGGTCAAAAGTGGGGATTTATTCATGAAAAGAATTTGAGCGATAGTAATAACTAAGCACACTAAGCATATTAAACAACTTTCAAACCTGCACGTGAAAATTGTTTGTTAGTATTTTGAAGGGCGGAAAAAGGTTAGCATCTTCACTGAATTATCATGTATAAGTGCAAGCATCACCAGACCAATTTGAAGGGGGGGGGGGCAACAAAGATGCTGAAAAAGATCTCCAAGCTAGAAGATAGCCAGGCATTTTCCCCTGTAAACGGCTGCAAAAATCAAATCCATCTGATCAATGCTCAAAGTGGACGAAACGAGACATTATCAGACAAGCAATAGGAGGCACAATTGAATGATTATGTCCACAAAAACAAAACAAATGCGAAGCTGGATAAAGAAATTGACCTGCAACATCCAAATTGCCGTTCCGGTGCTCTACCGACTGAGCTATCCAGCCCGATGTTGGCAGTTCTCTAATTTGTCAGTGTCTTTGTTCAAGAGGCGCTAGTCAGAAGCCATAAACCCGTATGTGTCAAAAAGTCAGGGATCACGCCCAAAGTCACGTTGCTAGCAATATTGGCAATACATGCAGACATGTATGCTGCAAACACGTTAGGAGGGGGAGGGGAGGTTGAGGTGGTGTCAACTTCACCTAAAAAAAAATGGCAGGGGGGGGGGGAAATTGTGGCGAAAATTTTTAAATTTCATTAAATTAGAGGCAGTTTTCAATTCACTGCCTTAAAATGGCTCAACTCGACTCGAGTCACAAAATTTAGTGACTTGTTACAACTCTGCTCAACCACTCCCATTGTTGAAACAACCATTCTTAAAGCATACGAAACGTTTTATGCGTATTGTTCCTCTTTTAATTTGTTGAATACAAAAAAACAACACGTTGAGTAAAAAAGAAAGTGAACATATATCTTTCTTTACAAATGTATCGTTCTTGGAGTAGTAATGGCGATTGGTGAGTTCAAAATGGGTTTCAAATGTTGCTTTTTGGCGTTAAAAATGTTTCTACTTCTGTTTTTACAGTCTTATCTATTTCTTCTTCAAGCTCTCCAGGTACCTCCCTAAGGATTTCTGGATAGCATCCTTGTTGATGAACTCACTGAAGAAAGCAATGTCCTCCTCCTGCTTGGCCCGTAGTTTCTCCAGGAGCAGACCCCGGCACATGCCCTTGGTGATGACTCGCGCGTGATCTGAGCATTTTACAGAAAGAGCAACATGTGCGATCAAAAACGGGGCCCAATTGCATGGCTCTGTTTACCGTCAGCTAAAATTCTGTGCTTAGGTAAAACTCTGGTATTATTATTATTTCATGGTTAATAGCGAGGAATTTTGTATTTTGTGCATGCCCACATCCTGTAACTAAGCATTCTGTGCTTACAGGTTAGCTCAGAATTTTTCTTTTAGCGCAGTTAGCACAGAATGGTGATCCTAAGCGCAGAATGCTGCGGTAAGCAGAGACCCGAAATTGGGCCCAGGTGTAGATCTCATCATTGTTTCCGGTGTCTAAATCGATTCAACTTCGTTCTTGACGATAGACCATGGAAGGGAATACTGGTTTCTAGAGTTTATGTGGACAGTCCATTGCCTCAGTAAGGGCTTCAAATGGTCGATGAAAAGGAGGACGTGCCCTATTTAAATAAATTTAGGGGCTAATCGTCCTTACTCGCAGCAGAAGATGAATTGTGAAGGACGCAGCTACAAAATAGTCGAGCCAACGGCATGTAAAGGTGCCTTATAGACTGCCACCATACGACCCATGTCCGACCATGGAGCACATCCAGATCGAAAGTGGTAATATTTGCAGAGGCAGGAAAATCGGAGAACCCGGAGAAAAACCCTCATGGCACAGGAGAGAATCAACAAACAATTCTACTCACAGAGGAAAATCGGAGAACCTTGAGAAAACCCTCATGGCCCAGGAGAGAAACAACAAACAGTTCTACTCAAATACGACCCGAGACGGGAATCAAACCCGGGCCACAGTGGCGAGAGGCGAGTGCTTTACTGACTGCGTCATCCATGCCCCCCATTTTCAACCCCCCCCCCCCACAAAGCTAAACAAATAGACCTGTAACACCCCCCTCTCCCTGTAACTTTACTTGCCTGGTATTTTCAGCCATTTCGCCAGATGTTCCCGTGCCTTGTTGATGACATCGTCCAATGGTGCGATCTCATCCACCATACCGATCCTCAAAGCCTGCTCTGGTTTGAAGAGCGTGCCTGACAAGATAAGGTTTAAGGCCCATTAACACATATGCGACTTTATCGCACACCAATTTCGTGCGTTTTTACAAATATGCACAAATCAATGAACATGTTTACATTAAGGCGACAAAGTGTGTGAGTTACCACGCGATTTTTTTTTAAAACGAATGCGAGGTGATTTTATCACGCGACACAAAAATTTTGCATACGTATTTCACCTGAAACCTTTGACTGAACTGATTGGTTGTAAATGATGGACGAAAAAATTGTGCAACATATAACGTTATTTGTGGACACACACACACATCAGAGACACACATACGGAAATTTGTATCCTTGTGGAGACATTTCTTTGTTCTCGTGTACTGAAGTTTTCGAGTTTGAAAGTACAATTTCAAAATGCTCTTATTTTAACCAGAATTAATTTCCTTGGCTGAAATTCGGACTTAATATCCCTTTTCTAAAACTCTACCATTTGCGACTGATCAACATACCTTGGAAATTCCTAGTTTTTGAGTAAAATCCACATATCTGTTTCGTGAAAACCTTGTGGAGACGTATTCATCTATAGAAATTGCCCTGTGGAGACGTATACAATCTTTTGTTCCCTATTGTGTGCATGTCTCCAGAGGGCACGGTGTATCAGATCATTGCCGTGTACAACACTGTACTCGACTCGACTACGACACTGGCTGGCACAGGTAATCTAGAATTTGTGTAATTTATACACCGTACCTAGTTGTAATGCCATCTCCGCTTGTCTCTCGCCGCAGGTTTTCACCATCAGCTCTTGGAACCAAAACGGGGCTACTATACCCTGAAAAACACCAAAACAAGTACATATTTAGTAATCCCATGAGCGTGAGTTCGTCTGTGTCCCACACGCCACTCGGCCGAAATATGGGACACAGACGCACGACATGCATTCCACGAATGCGAGTGAGATAACGAAATTATATTCCAGCAATTTTGATCATTGCACAGTAAGGATGAAAAATGCACGCCATGCACAAACTTTTCAGCGGTTATCCTATAACACGTGCGTGCAGCACGAATGGCGTGCGCATCTTTGAATAGCTGAATACGCGGAGTGCAGTGTGGACCGTGGTGTATGGGATAAAACCACACTGTTGTTGCCATGGATCGACCAATCAGGATCGAGGATGCAAGTTTGCTTGAAGACAAAATGTCATAACTGATATACAAGGTAAACAGTGACTAAAACATGCATGCAAGACTTTTTCAAAAACCTGGGCCCAATTTTATAGCACTGCCTACATGTACCTAGTAGTGCTGGTAAAACGTGCAATTTTCTGCTCATAAAACCTAAGTTACTCAGTGTAGGCTTATATTAAGCACAACGACTTCCAAAGTAGATTCTTCTAAATCTCCAAGTCGGCCGAGTGACAGATAGTCTAAGTATCACCGGCCGTTATCCAAGGAGCCCAGACTCCTGTCTAACGTCTGATATATCAAAGCATGCAGATTTATGCCATCTCGCACCTCAGCCAATCAGAGTCGACTTTACTCAATCGTGACCTCATTTCATTCCCAAATCAGGACTAAACATTTGATTGGTCAATTCGAATGCAGTGGTTTGTAATGCAACAACAGCCGGGCGCGTTATCGCGTAAGCGCGTGACGCGGGGCTTTTTAATCCATTGTCTAAAACGTGCAACGGATGAATGACCGAAGACCCGATATAGAAAGCGCCTGCTGATTGGTCAAAATCTAGGAGGTCAAGAGGCGGGGTCTTGCCTAATCAATCAGCGAATCTGCTCACATATCATAGACCATGGTGTACGCCATGGTCTATTACATAGAACAGGTGACAGAGTCTATCATTCCTGAAATACCCAGGTAGAATTTTCGTGCTTAAGTCAGCCTGGTTATTTTCTTTACTACATGCCATGAAATCGGGCCGTTATTGTTCAATTTCTAAAATTGTCTGTTATTCTTCAACTTGGGATAGTCAACTTGCAGAAGTTAACTAAGCTATTTCTCAGAATACCAGGTTTCACAATTTGGGGAAATATCTGTACTGAGGAAATTATTTCAAATAAACTAAACAAAAACAACACAAAATCAAGACTGCTTACAAGGTGAACTTCATTCAGACCCATAGTGAATTTGCCCTCTGCCATGATCCTGTAGTCACAACTCATTGCCATCAGACACCCACCGGCAGGAGAATGGCCCTGGGAAAGAAAACCATTGCAAAACAATTGGGTTTATTGGCTCTTCCATTTCCAGTTGTGTTTATTTTGAGGATTCATGCTTAAATTGAGCAGATCTAGAGTATTGGAAATGATTTAATTAATTTAACTCTGGTGTTAGTGTGGCATTATCCATGCACGATCCAGGACCATACAGCATCTTGCAGTACATATTACAATAGTCACCAAATGCACATAACTATTTGCTATCTATCAAATTTAGCGTGTATAGCAGTCAGACGACTGCAAACAGCCGTCACTTGAGCTAGCTGACTAGTCTTGTTGATAGAATGATTAATTATCCACGCCCTAAGCAAAGGCTGCTAGACTCACTATAAGGATTTTCAATACCAAAAAATGTGGTTCTTGTCAGAGGGCTGGTGTTTGGCTATGAATTTCATGGCCAATAGGTCAAAACTGGTTAAAGGGGCCCTCGCCACGTTATTTTGCTACGTTTGAAAGAAGAACTGTTTGACCAACGAACGTTGGAGTAATTAAAAATGGGTAGTCTTACATTTACGGCGGCCACAGTGGCCAAGTTGGAGCCGTAGAGTCTCATCCAGAAATCTTGGAGTGACCTCCAGAAGGCACTGGTGTAGTCTGACGATTTCTGGTACATCTCCGTGATGTCCAACCCGGCCGAGAAAATCCCGGGATTGGCCTGAAAATAGAAATGTGCAAACGCGAGTGTACAACAGTGTTGTAGTCAAATCCATCACAAAGTCCAGGCGTAAGTAAACCACAAGTTTGGTCACAAAAGAGTTCTCATAAACAAGTCACTGAAAGTGACGGAAGCCAGGAAAGGAAACCAAGCTCTGAGAATGACCTCAACTTAACTTAAACCGTTGGATTCGCTCAAGCAACGTAGGCAAACTCAGGACCTGACTTTTCTCTATAAATGTGTCAACTCGCATTTTACTTGCAATATGATTTCTTGTTTCTCTTTGACGATTTCTCGTTCCGGAAAGATTTCCATATACGAAGTTCACTCAACACCCTGTGTACAAACCCTATGAGATTGGACTGAAAAATTCTAAGTGTTTTCTAAGAAAATGCTTGTATTTTCTCACTGCTCAAATTGACTTTGATGACATGAAATTGCTATCTGGGGGCTTGTTAGTCAATACAGAGGAAAATTAGTGAACTTCGTATATGGAAATCTTTCCCTCGTTCCAATCTCCGACATCCCAATGTGTTCCATGTTCCACGTAACAGGGTCAGTGCTACAAAATATGGGTTTATTCACCGGTTGTCTGCATTATACAATTCCATTTCGAACACCAATCCTAGCATTGATGTTTTTAGTCAGTCCCTCTTTAGTTTCAAATCTTCTGTCATGCAAACTTTACAGCCGCCCATGTCTTGCCCTTAATGTGGGACTGCCATCGTAGATTGAAAAGTCAGGCCCAGAGTGAGCGTATTTTACATGAAATAAAACACATTACGCAGGGCTGCCATGCTCTGAAGATGCGATTTCAGATTTGGAATAACCCTAACTCCCTAGGCCTTTTTGCTAGGATGTAGCCTCAATCCTGCAAAATCCTCCAATTGGCCTCATAGCAAAATAGCATATAGCCTCAATCCTGCAAAATCCTCAAATTGGCCTCATGGAAAAATAGCATATAGCCTCAATCCTGCAAATTCCTCCAATATTTCTTGAAAATCAGAGGGGTGACCACGACCTGAATCCAGCAAAATCCTGCAGCAGTGACTGTCAACATGTTGAGGCTTGGCCAGTGACATCCTGGAGCAGTACGGAGGATTTCAAGCATAATCCAGGTGTCACTGCAGCAGCTGTGCAGTGAGTTTGTCTTAAGTTTATTAATTTTCTTAACAAGTTTTTCTTAGTTTAAATTTAGAATTCCATTTTTAGAGTATTACTTCATATTTAGTGAAAGAGCCTACAGTTAACTTTCACCTCATAAAAGTGAAAGAGCCTACTTATGTGTTGCATTAAGTAGCCTCCTTCCCACCACCAGAGTGACCTTGTGCACTTCCTATGTGCATACAGAGACCCTGTGTGGGTACAAGTACCACATAATCTTGCCACATAAACAATGGGCAGCCATATTTACTGACCATGTGATTTCAGAGACAAGTGTTTTCATACTCATTGCGATTTAGTTCTTCAAGTTTCATCACTTTATTCACTCTTTGTGGACCTTGAAAGACCCCATTTTGGTAAGAAGCATTTTCCTTGATTTATGAGTTACTTTTAATAAGTTTAGAGACAGAATTCAGTGGATTTTCTGAGATTTTACAGTTGATTATTCATTCAGCAAAAACAGATTGAACTGCAAATAGTGTTTAGATTTGACAAATCAGACTTCACATTTTTGGACTCAACTTGCCATGTTTAATAGATTAGACTTTTCCATGTACATTTATTATAGTTTTCTTATTAGTGTTTTTTCTGCTTTATTAAATTGCAGATTGTTATCTCAATCTCAATCTACTCAATCTACAATCAGCAATCACCACCATGTTGTCAAGTGGCTTCATTGTGTTTTGTGTGTGGTTCCTGGATTGATTGCGAATACCAGTCACTTGGGAGTCCTTTTCTCATAAGTTTGAGAACTAGTAGTCCGAAACTCCTCTGGGCACAAGTGAGCCCCGAGGCAGCCACAATAACAATCAAAGGACAATCAAAGTCACAACCAAAGTCCAGTCGTTCCAGAGCATGCCGAGTGAATAAACCCACGTCATGTCGTTACCAATCCAGTCGTCTTCTAGTCATAAGTTTGACAAGTCAAAGAAGAGTAACGCCGGTCAAGCAGCAAGTCACGCTGGTCATGTGTCGTCTTACAAGTCAAGTAAGAGTTCCAGTCGAGCCAGTCATGCCGTGTCCGTTACATCATCATATGCACGGCATCAGGAAGAAAAGCTGGAACTAGCGAAAACAGCGGCTGCTCTGCAGGTCCAGCTAGACTATGCAGAGAAAGAAAAACAGCTGAAACTCCTGGAGTTGGAGGCGGCAAAGAAAGTGGAGGAAATGAAGATCGAGAGAGACAAAAAGTTAGAACAACTTGAGATAGAGAGGAAATTGGCCGAAACCCGAGCTGTGATGGAGGTGTACTCATCGCTGGAGCAGGATGACAACAGTTCAATATCATCAGAGCTGTCCGGCATCCCCGCCGACAAACATGAACATATGCAGAGATTCCTCAACTCGCATCAAAGTGATCACCCCCCTCCATTGTGTCCATCTGTGCCCCAAAGTGAAAGCGCATATGTGGACAATGGGTCACTCCAACCAGTTGCCATGGTTACATCAGCCAGTCAGAACAGACCTGATGAACAGTCCAGTGCACATCAGTCTCATCACCAAAGTGAAGGAGGACGGATGACGATGTCGTCGGCACTTGAGAAGTGCATTACACAGTTGGCCGAGTCCAGTAGACAACAGCATGATGTAAACAAACGCCTTGTTGCATCTAGCCAGCTACCAAAGATAGCCGTCCCCCATTTCAACGGTGATCCACTCCAGTACCCCCTGTGGCGGAACTCCTTCAATTCCCTTATCGACAGCCAACCCCTTGACGCCGACACCAAGCTTAACTACCTCAATCAATATGTGACGGGAAAACCAAAGCACCTAGTGGAGCACTACATGCTCATCGGCACTGAAGAGGCCTACACGCAGGCAAGAAAAGTATTGAACGAGAGGTACGGAAACAGTAGTGTAGTGAGCACTGCTTTCATAAGCAAACTCCGTCAGTGGCCGAGGTTAACGCCGAGGGATGCAGCAGGCTTGAGAGATTTCTCTGATTTTCTGGGGAAAGTAGAGGCAGCACGAGCAACCACAGCAAGCCTTGGAGTGCTGGACTACGCCAGTGAGAATGCTCGTCTAGTCGAGAAACTGCCATTCAACCTTGAGACAAAGTGGCGAGACAAGATTGACTATTGGAGACAGATCCGTGGTCAGGATTCCTTCCCCCCATTCAGCGAGTTTGTCAAACTCGTGAAGATTGCAGCAGACAGGGCAAACATTCCTGAGTTGCAGAGCGTGGTTCGAAGTCAGGACAAACAACGTTCAAATGCAGGAAGTGCTCCGAAAAAGAACACCAGTGTTTTTGCGACTAGTACCAGTCGAGGTGAACCAACAAGCAGAGTGCAGTTGTCCAGTGACAAGAGTTGTCTCTTCTGCAATAAGCGTCATCTCCTGGACGACTGTGAGCGCTTTCTGCGCAAGCCTTTCGCTGAGCGAAAGGATTTCTTCTTCAAGAAGAGACTGTGCATGGGCTGTGCACGTTCTAGTGATCATCAAGTGAGAGAGTGTAACGACAAAAAAGTTTGTCGGATCTGCGCCGGTGCCCATTTGACCTGTCTCCATCGCAACTTCCAACAGAGACGGCCAGAAGAAACTGCTTCAAGTAACCCCCAGTCAGCAGCAGCAAGTAAACAACCAGCTGACAAAGTCCCAAACAATTCATCCCCACCCAAAGAAGTCATTGCTGTGCACCCAAAACGAGATGAGGGAATGTCCAACTGTATCCAAGTGTGTTCCCAACCAGACCAAGAAGGAGAAGGTGACCACTCCATGATTATACCAGTGTTGGTTCGTAGTGAGAGTGATCCAGCGAGGGAGTTCCTCGAATATGCCATCTTGGACGAACAATCTAACAGTTGCTTCGTGTCAAAGAGTTTGTGTGAAAGGATGAACCTGCAGGGACCAGAGACGCAGTTACTACTCAGTACAATGCAAGAGCAAAATGTGCAAATCACCAGCAGTCGCATATCCGGGCTTGAAGTGCTTGATGTCAATAGAGAGCACACTGTTAAACTTCCAGTCTGCTTCAAGCGGGACAGCGTTCCAGCCAAGAAATCCCAGATACCGAAACCTGCGGTTGTGCATCAATGGCCCCACCTGAAGTCTCTGGCAGATAAACTCATGCCCTATGATCCAACCCTGCACATCTCTCTTCTCATCGGAAGCAATTGCCCAAGAGTGGTTAGACCCAGAGAAATCATCGCCGGTGGAGAGGATGACCCCTACGGCCAGAGGTCACTACTAGGCTGGGGAGTAATTGGGAACGTTTGCAAGGCTGCACGACAAACCGATGACCAACCTGCAGTATGCAACAAAGTGGTTGCTGCTGAACCACAAAGCTACCAACACTTCGTCTATGGTACGAGGGTGAAAGAAGTCTTAAACCCAGAGAAAGTTCTCAAGGTGTTGGAATCCGACTTTGTCGAGAATCATCAGAGGAAGCCATACTCAGTAGAAGACGAGAAGTTCCTGAGTGTGATGGAAAAAGGAATAAAGAAAGCATCCGATGGCCACTACGAAATGCCACTACCACTGAAGTCTGACGCTGCGACCCTGCCTAACAACCGCCAACTTGCAGTCAAGAGATGGAATCAGCTGTCCGCCAGATTCCGAAAGAATGTGAAGTTTCGTGAAGACTACAGGGAGTTCATGAAAGATGTTATCCCAAAGTGTGCAGAGAGAGTCCCCCTAGACCAACTGGAAGTTGATGAGGGAAAGGTAAACTATGTGCCGCACACCGGAGTCTATCACCCCAAAAAGCCGGACAAGATAAGAGTGGTGTTCGACTGTTCAGCCAAATATGGAGGCGTTTCACTCAACGACCATCTCCTTCAAGGTCCTGACTTGACTAATGGTCTTCTCGGTGTTCTGTGTAGATTCAGGAAAGAGGAAGTGGCCTTTATGGTTGACGTGAAGAGCATGTTCCATCAGTTCTATGTAGAAGAGAAGTACCGTGACCTGCTGCGATTCCTATGGTGGGAAAATGGTGATCCAGAGAAGCCAGTGGTCGAATACAGAATGAAAGTTCACGTGTTTGGGGCCGCTAGCTCACCAGGCTGTGCCAACTTCGGGCTGAAGAGAGCAGCAGATGACGGAGAGGATGAGTTTGGAGCAGAGGCAGCAAACTTCATTCGTAATGATTTCTACGTAGACGATGGACTGAAGTCACTACCCACAGTGGAAAGAGCATCATTACTGATCAAAGCCAGTCAGAATCTGTGTGGAAAAGCTGGGTTGAAACTGCACAAAATCATCTCCAACAAAAGAGAGCTGTTGGAAAAATTCCCAGCAGAAGAGCGAGCCAGTGGTACAAGGGAACTAGATCTGAAGGTTGATGTACTACCAATGGAAAGAGCCCTGGGCGTCACTTGGTGTGTCGAGAGTGACACCTTTCAGTTCCATATTGAGTTGAAAGATAGACCATTCACAAGACGAGGCATACTTTCAACTGTAAGTTCGATCTATGATCCAAATGGCTATGTGGCTCCAGTAACCCTCAGAGGGAAGAGAATTTTGCAGCAGATGTGTCGCGACAAGCTTGATTGGGACAGTCCAGTGCCAGAGATGCTACAACCTGAGTGGGAGAAATGGCGTTCAGAGGTTCTCGGCTTAGAGAAGATCCAAATCCAGCGATGTTTTAAGCCCAAGGATTTTGGAACTGTGACAGCAGTTGAATTGCATCATTTTTCCGATGCAAGCCAAGATGGTTATGGTCAGTGTTCCTACCTGCGACTAGTCGATGAGAACAATAAGGCACATTGTTCCTTTGTAGTCGGTAAGTCCAGAGTGGCCCCTCTGAAGCTCGTCACCATCCCCCGGCTAGAACTTGCAGCAGCAACTGTCTCAGCAACTGTGAGTGAATTCCTGCGACGAGAGCTATGTTACGAGATGCTCCACGAATATTACTGGACAGACAGCAAGATTGTTTTGGGATACATAAACAATGAAGCAAGACGATTCCATGTCTATGTTGCTAACAGAGTGCAGCAAATCAGAAGTCTGACTAACCCAGAGAGATGGATGTACGTAGACACCAAAGAAAATCCTGCTGACGAAGCATCACGTGGTCTGACAGTAAAGGAACTTATAGAGAAGTCCTGCTGGTTATCCGGTCCAGATTTCTTGCAGAAGGATGGCCCCTTTCAACCCCAGCCAGCCGTAGTTGCACCACTGAGTGAATCAGACCCAGATGTGAAAAGAGTCTCAGCTTTCGTGACAACAGCTGAGAACAACGCACGACATCATCACTTCGAAGTGAGCCGACTTGATTGCTTTTCATCCTGGAATAGAGCTTGCAGGGCAGTCGCTCTTTGTCTGAGGTTGAAGACAAAGTTGAGGAACAGAGTAGTGAAGAAACCTTGTGAAGGGAAAGTTTGTTCCACTCCTGCGAAGCAAGCAATCACTGTGGCAGAACTACAGAATGGAGAGATGGAAATCATCAAAAATGTTCAGCATGAACATTTCAGTGTCGAGTTACAGGCCCTACAAGAACTTGGTGTAATCGGGCAAGTCACCGATGGAAAGACTGCAAGGGTGAGAAATGACTACCTGAAGAAGACGAGTTGTCTGTACCGGCTAGATCCCTTTCTAGATGTCGATGGCATCATCCGAGTGGGTGGCCGTATTGCCAGATCTGATCTTCCAATTGAAGCTAAACATCCAGCCGTTCTCCCTTACAAAGGTCATGTCACCCAGTTGTTGATTCGCCATATTCATGAGAAGGTGAATCACATGGGCAGAGGAATGACACACAACGAGCTACGTCAGAGAGGGTACTGGGTAATTGGTGGTTCATCAGCTGTGTCCAACTACATCTCAAGATGTGTGACCTGCCGCAAACTGCGTGGATCGCTGCAGCGACAGAAGATGTCTGACCTACCCGTAGATCGACTAGAGCCAGCGCCCCCATTTTCCTATTGCGCTGTGGACTACTTCGGTCCATTTTTGGTGAAAGAGCGTAGGAGTCAAGTGAAACGTTATGGTGTCCTGTTCACATGTATGGCGTCTAGAGGTGTTCATCTAGAGACAGCAAATTCCCTAACGGCAAGTTCTTTCATCAATGCCCTTACAAGATTCCAGAGCAGGAGAGGACCTGTACGTCAACTGCGTTCAGACCAAGGTACAACATTCATCGGTGCTCGGAGTGAGCTGAGAGAAGCGCTAGCTGAGATGGAGCAGGACAGAGTCCACCAGTACCTGTTAGAGAGCAACTGTGACTGGATTCCCTTCAAGCTGAACACACCGCATGCCAGTCACATGGGAGGCGTGTGGGAGAGACAGATAGGTACAGTACGCCGTGCACTAGAGGGTCTTCTTCTTAAAACCACGACACAACTGGATGATGAATGTTTCAGGACCTTCATGACTGAGGTAGAAGGCATCATCAATTCACGACCTCTCACGACAGACTATCTCTGCTCATCAGACGCACCAGAGCCATTGACACCCAATCATCTGTTCACCATGAAACCCAATGTGGTTCTGCCTCCGCCTGGAAAGTTCCAGAAGGAAGATGTCTATGCCCGCAAATGGTGGAGACGTGTCCAGTTCTTGACCAATGAGTTTTGGGTGAGATGGAGAAAAGAGTTTCTGCACCGTCTTCAAGAGCGCAAAAAGTGGGTCAATCCAGTAAGAGATCTACAAGTAGGTGATGTCGTGATCTCCAAGGAAGGTGAGCAGACCAGGAACCAGTGGCCACTGGGACGCGTAGTGGAGACGTACCCGAGCAATGACGGAAGAGTCAGGTCAGTGAAGCTCTTGATGGCTGATGGCACACGAGACAACCTTGGCAGACGGCAACACTCTCCATCACTCCTTGACAGACCAGTACACAAGCTTGTCCTGTTGGTACCCGCAGAGAAGCCTGAAGCTCAAGAGACCAGAGAAGTCCCCGCCGAAGAGCCAAACTGAAGATCCTGCCAGAAGAGACCCACTGCTGACGACAATCTATTTAGTTTATGAACTTTACATTTTAACTGTTCTTGTTACTCATTAGTAGGTAGATACCAATTTAACGAGCCAACACTAGTCTGCATCTGAGGAGCAGGGTGTGCGAGACAAGATGACCACCAAGATGAAGGAACATTTTCATGGACATTAATCTTTGAAGTTCAGGTTTGATTTTAGTTTGTTAACTGCGAGATGCAGTTAGAGGAGCCATGTCACTGCAGCAGCTGTGCAGTGAGTTTGTCTTAAGTTTATTAATTTTCTTAACAAGTTTTTCTTAGTTTAAATTTAGAATTCCATTTTTAGAGTATTACTTCATATTTAGTGAAAGAGCCTACAGTTAACTTTCACCTCATAAAAGTGAAAGAGCCTACTTATGTGTTGCATTAAGTAGCCTCCTTCCCACCACCAGAGTGACCTTGTGCACTTCCTATGTGCATACAGAGACCCTGTGTGGGTACAAGTACCACATAATCTTGCCACATAAACAATGGGCAGCCATATTTACTGACCATGTGATTTCAGAGACAAGTGTTTTCATACTCATTGCGATTTAGTTCTTCAAGTTTCATCACTTTATTCACTCTTTGTGGACCTTGAAAGACCCCATTTTGGTAAGAAGCATTTTCCTTGATTTATGAGTTACTTTTAATAAGTTTAGAGACAGAATTCAGTGGATTTTCTGAGATTTTACAGTTGATTATTCATTCAGCAAAAACAGATTGAACTGCAAATAGTGTTTAGATTTGACAAATCAGACTTCACATTTTTGGACTCAACTTGCCATGTTTAATAGATTAGACTTTTCCATGTACATTTATTATAGTTTTCTTATTAGTGTTTTTTCTGCTTTATTAAATTGCAGATTGTTATCTCAATCTCAATCTACTCAATCTACAATCAGCAATCACCACCATGTTGTCAAGTGGCTTCATTGTGTTTTGTGTGTGGTTCCTGGATTGATTGCGAATACCAGTCACTTGGGAGTCCTTTTCTCATAAGTTTGAGAACTAGTAGTCCGAAACTCCTCTGGGCACAAGTGAGCCCCGAGGCAGCCACACCAGGCCTACATTTATGCCTGGCTGAGCAAAAACAACACAAGGTCCAGCCCAAGACCTTGACAAAGTGCATCCTACGAAATCATTAACGCACTTTTGCCATGTAACCTCAATCCTCCAAATTCCTCCACTTTGGCAAAGAGGATTTTGAAGGATTCAGGGCGGTTATAGGGTTAAAACAGAATAGAACAAATGTAAGCTGACGTACTGATGTCAGGATAACGCCCCGGCAGCTGCTGTCATTCTCCAGTTTTTCGAGCGTGATGTTCATCTCCATCATGAAGTCTTTACTCAGACTATTGACTGGCTTCTTGTTCATCTTCACAACAGCAATGCCTACACATGGGACATTAAAATATTCACCGTTAAACTCCCTTTAAAATCACCAAAAAACAACCACATTATGGCCAGTTTGCAGTGTCATCAACTCACTTGGAAAACTAACAATACTTAAATATATTCCCTGGCTACATGGCATCATCGGTTTTGGGCTTCTGACAAGCGCCCCTTGAAGTTGAACAAAGACATTGACCAACATAGGGCTGGACGGCTCAGTTGTGAGAGCGCCGGAACGGCAATCCGGAGGTCGCAGGTTCAAGCCCTGCTCCAGTCAATTTCTAGTCAACTTTAAATTTTAAATGAAAAAACATAGTGATTTTAAGAAAAATTTAAATAATCAAAATCTTGCATTAATTTTTTTTTTTCGTTTAATAATAGGCAGTGTATATTTTGCCGGAGACGGCAAACCTTTAGTAAACGTTAGTTTGCCGGATATGCACTGAACATGCGCAGTTACTGTTTTTTTGTACTTAAACATTTTCCGGTGACAAGTTTTAGTCTGGCTCCATGCCAAAATTATCGTTGTTACCTCGTATTCACAAGATGGGATTCAGACCATCTTATAATGTTGGACTTTATTTCCCTTTTAAAAAAAATCCTCCAGAGCCACAAATTTGAAAAAGAAAATGTAATACTCTGCAAAATTTTTTTGAGACATGTTAAAATAATAAAAGAAGAATATTCTTATTTATTTATTTGGGGATGAGAAAAAAAAAACTTTAAAATGTGGTGCGGTCGGAATCGAACGCGAGTCATCCCGCTTACTAGAGCCTTTGCTTAACCATTACACCAAACGTGCTACACAACTTTTGGTGGGAATTAAATACATCTTATAATTCAGCCCTATTTTAAAGAGTACAGCGCCCTCTGTTGATATGGATTGCCGCCGGCAAACCTTTAGTAATCGTTAGTTTGCCGTCATTACCTCCGGCAAAATATCCACTATCTTAATAATATCATCTATTAACCCTTACTCTCTGAGGGTAGTTTACTGCATGTCAGTTGGTTATGCCAATGCCCTCCAGCTGCAGTTATTTGGCAGATAACAAGTCTTAACAGTGAAGGCTCCAATTGGCAGGAGTTGGAGGCCCTGGAGGGTGCCTGATACTGACCAGCTGGGGGCACTCACTTTGTTATCAGAGGACTCTCATTGTTCTCTGTGGCATGTATTGGAGTGCCTGTCCAGTTACCCTTGAAATGACATGGCAGATATTGGAGGGCCATGCAAAAAACATAGGAGATTTTCTTGAGGCACAATTGGCATGCATTGGAGGGTCAAGTAGGGTAAGGGTTAAGGGAATCCGGCTCGGGTAATTATCAGCACCAAGACTCTAAGCAGTCTTAAACAGAGTGATTAAAACCTCTCGAGCACACATTTATTCCCATTCATAAATACCTTTTTGGTACAAAAAAAATCAAGTAATTCGTTCAAAAAATCCCGATTTTGATCAACAAGTTCACTCCAGCTTTTTGAAACATCCCTCTAGCAAAATAATGGAGTGTTCAGCTGGGGAGGTAGATGTAAACAACCCTTTTATGGAGATTGACGCGCGCGTAGCACGTTCTTCGCGATGTCGCGCAGAACGCACCTGGGGCGTTGCGTTTTGAATTTAGAACTATAAAATTCGGACTCACTGGTAGTGTTGCGCATGCCTACGTGAGGATTGTGAACGTTCAACCAATGAAACGGTAAGAGGCACTGGATTTTTAGGAGTCCACATTTTTATGTGACACTGGAAAAGTGTTTAAGACCAGCTAGCCATGTCTTTATCATCCGTTTAAGACCGGCCACGTGACGGGCTCTCGACCAATAGGAATGGCTAAACTGTCTGAGGTATTTATGAATTGTCACTCATAAAGTGGAAAAATTAAATGAAAAAACTTTTCTAAAGGAAATGGTTCATTTAATGAAACTTTGAATGACAGAAGTGTATTGTGCTCTCCAATGTTAATACCTTGAGGAAGAAGTATAGCTTTTACTTAGCAAAACAAAAGAATGGTTTTAATACCTTCGTTATTACTGTCTCTTTCCACCATGATGTGGTTCCCTGACTCGGCGTAGTGGCGTTTCTGCTGCAATAGCGACAGTGGAGTGGGACCAGTCTGTCTTCTGCATGCTGATGCACTGCGAGCTCGTGACAGAATGCAAGCTGTAAGCCAGAACAGACTTCAATATTAATGTTGTTGTTGATGTAGGTTAGACTGGTGCCTAGAGCACTCTCCATTATTAAGGCATTAGAAAGGGAATTATACGTCTAAGCTCTGATTGGTGCACTCTTTGGCAGATCCCCGAATGCTACTTTTTTCCCGCAACCTGACACCACTTCTGTGATTGTGTACTAAGTCTTTAGGAGAGTCAAGAAAAGTATTTCCTAACATTTAAAAAAGTAACAAAATTGGAAATGTTTCTCAGTCCATGATTCATGTCTTATGATTTATCATCATTTTTGCAATGAATGACCTTCATTGAGATGATATATGAAGAAAAAAAGTGGCGTCAGGTTGCAACATTTTTTCCAAAATGATTTATCCCCCCCCCCAAAAAAAATTGTGTTTTGGATCCGCCCTTGCAAGTTGCAATGGCAATGGCAATAAACCAAACACTGTCCGGAAACTGGACAACAAACTTTGAACAGGGGCCATCAATCAAGGCTGATTTACCTCCACTTTTTCCGATTAACCGCAATACTTCCATAGTCGTGCCTGCTGCGAAGCTCTAGATTCAGAGTAAAAAAAAGGCCGAATCAAACACTAAATAAAACTTTATTAAGCCCACCGATCAAACTCAGAGCAAAGTCGACCATAGCCCCATAAATGTGGCCTATTTACTGGACTGCCTCCGTAAACATAGGCCACACATCCACATGTACAAAAATCGTGTCGACTGAGCCAAATTTTGATTTTCACATTAAGGCTTAGTTTGTAGGGTTTTTTTGCTTTAGAAGCATACTCACCCTCTTTACAGGCTAATCAGAAAGTGCTGCCTTTTTCAGATGTATATTTTTTTGTGAAATTTCCAGATTCATTTTTACACGTTTGCGTATCAAAATTTCAACATGAAATTTCACAAAAAATTAGACATCTGAAAAAGGCAGCACTTTCTGATTAGCCTGTAAAGAGGGTGAGTATGCTTCTTAAGCAAAAAAAACCTACAAACTAAGCCTAAATGTGAAAATCAAAATTTCGCTCCGTCGACACGATTTTTGTACATGTGGATGTGTGGCCTATGTTTACGGAGGCAGTCCAGTAAATAGGCCACATTTATGGGGCTAAGTCGACCAGAGCTGCTAGAGCCAGAAAGCCGAAAGTTAGGACGCCCTCTATAATTTTTTGGGCAAAATAAAAATAAAAACCAAGTTTCTAGAAACCATCTACTGTATTCAACTCGTAATCATTGTTCCCCTTTCGGGTTATTTTGCAGAAACTGTTAATGTTTGCAAAATACTTTCGAAATCCATGCCCCCTTCCCCATTTCAATTACGAACTAGTTTCAAGCCGATGTTTATACATTTATTAATTTCATCCTTAACTTTCTCCCAGTGCTGGCCGTCTTACTAAACAAAAAGATATATCTATAAAATTATCACTGTGTCATCCGGTTTTTTTCGGGGGGGGGGGGAGGTGTCTGTAACCCCCTGTAAAAGTTGGCTATTGTATTCTTTTTGCACCTAAAAAATAAGGGTATTGCCGGGTCACAGATAATTCCTGAGAAAATAATTTATTGAAGAACTATACTATTGGCGAATTAAGCTGGATGTCACATTAAACTCCACAAATTTTGTATTGCTAAACAAACATAGGTTAATTTTTTTAAGGGATGAAACTCGAAAAAAAACACAGAAGAAAGATTAATTTTGTTTGACTGCATGACCAAAACAACTATACAGCACCGGGCAGTGGGCACAAAAACTAATAAACAACCGATCCCGTTAGCTCGGTGGTCGAGTGGTAAAGACATCTGCACTAGAAAGCAGGAGGTTGTGGGTTTGAGTCTCACCCGAGTGATTTTTTTCCAACTTTCACTCGGGAGGTAACACACCGAGTATACATTGTTTATACGTCGGTGAAGGGCAAAACCTAATATTCATTTACATCATCCCGACGCAAAGTTCGATCTGATGAAGGTGAAAATAAAACTACATTATTGTAATTCCCAAAGTGGAAATGATATAAGAATTAAGAACTTTATCTGAAATATACATCGCAACGCACCTAAAAATAAATCAGTCAATAGAAAGGGTATGGATTTTCAATTTTCATCTTGCTTAGAGTTTAATTATCAGTTTCTGTGAAGTGACATTGCTTCAATGTAGTTGGCATTATCGGTGAGAATAACGATTCATAATCAAAGATTACAAAACTAGACATACTGAAATTTATACTTTTAAGCTCTACAAAAAACTATTATTTACCAGCTTTCTCAAAAAAATAAATACATCTTTTGGCCATGGATAAGAATTAATTAAATAATTAAACCTATCCAGGAAGTACATGTACATGTTTCCTCTGAATTTTTTCCAGAATTTTCAGATTCATAATTTTGCTTACTGACTAAACTTCACCAAAACAAATAAAATGTATTAGTGTTATCCACTTTTTTTTCTGGGTAATAAACAGGCATAAAATTATCCGTACCAAACTTAATGTACCCGGCTGTGGTATCAGTTAAGTGCTTTTCAAAAACAAACTTCGGCTAAAAGCCTCTCTCATTCGCTTCAAATTCTGCTCAAATTACCAAATAATCACTAAAAATTAAATTAAAAAAAAAAATACAACCTTTCAGGTTATATAGAGAATTATACACTAAGCAACTATACAAGCAAGCAAGTATAAATGGCAGTTTTAAAATGAGTGTTCACTTAAAAGAGGAAGTCAGTAGTCTGTCAGTCACCATAAATTGTCTGTGATAGAGAGAGTACCAGACAAAAAATTTTTAAAGGCACATAAATCATTGGCTCAAATTGTATGCATTTTGTTCATTTCAAATAAAAACACCACTCAAAATCCAAAGATGAATGTTCAAATCCGGGGATTTCTCGAGAAAACCATGCACTTTTTGATCATGAAACACGATTTTGTCAGTAGCACTCTTTTATTTCCAAAAATCTGTCAATTGACTGATCGTTGGAAGTCACCTATATCGGTTGATTTCTTTGAAATGTCAGCAACCCAGACGGAATAATTTCACAAGGTTCTTAGTACTGGTACGATCTTTAATTTTAAGATCCAACTTTTTGAAAATAATTCCCTAGGTCACTTTTGGGACAATTGCAAATGATCCTACATGGTTTAAAGATGGCGCGCATCTTGAGCTAATTATAATGAAAGTAAAATGTTCATTTTATCCTACCAATCCTGCCACCCAACAAAATAACTGGCTAAATCCGCAGTGGATGGTGCCATCAAAGAGAACTGTGCAAAGAACCAGACTTTGCAAATTGCAATAATATATGACAGATAATTATTGCTTTAAATCTTTGTATTTATTTACAACATAAAAGCCTCGATTCAAAGGATAGAGAAAAAACCACTGAAGTCACATTTGGCACGAAAATTATTTAATGAAATACATAAATGAGGTGTTTTGGGGAAACCCAGATAAACAATTTCACTGTTGTTCGTCTGGCATGTGCCATTAGTGAGTGTGGCATGTTCCATTATCATTCAAGAGGTATGTCGTCGACGTTGTAGAACCAATGCGTGATGGAATCCTCCGTAACCTTGACAACGCGCAGGCAAGATTTGTCCTCTGGCATGCTCCATTATCATTCAAGAGGTATGTCGTCGACGTTGTAGAAACGATGGGTTATGGAATCCTCGGTAACCGTGACAACGCGCAGGCCAGATTTGTCCTCTCCTAGGGGCTTGCCCCAAGCTGACGTCACCACTTCCTCCATGCCCTTGTAGAATCCCCCCGCATTGCGATGGTAGTGCCCGCAGAAAATGATGCGCACCCCTGTTGCGAGAAATGGTTAAATCCAGATGACTCATTGCAACAACAGCTGGGCCATTTTCCAAACTTTGTTTAAGTTTTGAATTCATCTCAAACTACAGCAGCCAATGTCACAAAAAATTACGCAATGGCATAAGTCCACCTGCGCCACAATTTATTGCGCAAGTTGCGCAACACGTTGCGCAACACTTCACGCTGCGCAACACTTCAGTTATGACAATTTCATGAAAGTTGCATAGTGCATAAGTCTGCGACTTGCGCAACAAATAATGGCATAACTTGTGCAATCATTTTAGGTGGCATATTTGGCATAGCGACTGAAAATGACTTATTTTACCAGCAAATCGTGATCGTCGTGGAGCCTGTTATTGCACAACTTATCAAGGTTGATACAAGACACTCACAGCTTTGTGTTGGAAGTAAAGGAATTGCTATTTTACTTGTGACGACGCTTTTTGAGTTCAAGTTCCCGCATGATTCCGAAGAAAGTTGGACACAATTATTATCAAAATAGCGGGCTGAGCTGATTTAACGACTGTTTCGTGATTGAACAAAATCATACACAAACAGCTGTTGCAAATGCTGTTATTATCCTCGTCCAAGATATTTATATTATTTGAAATGTTGCACAGCTATGCCAAGTTTCGTTAAATCCATCAAAACTTTATTGCTGACCAACAAGATCACAACTTTTGCTCGGTCTCAAACCAAAGGTGGGCGGGGCTTATGACACAATATGGAACAGTCCATTTCAAGTTGTATATATTTGCATAATTACCAGCTTTGTGCAGTTTCTCCAACATTGGCAACCTCAGCCTGATGTCTGTGTTGAAATAATCATTCTCCTCATTGGGACTTTTTAGGAACCACGGTATGTGCTGGAAAACTACGACGTGTTTACATTCTGTAGCTTGGACATCTGCCAAGAGAGACGAAAATCATAAAATTTAAGTAGTGGTATTTTTTATTGGTGTCTGCCTAGTTTTGCTCTGTCTGTGTTTTTTATTGTTGTGTGTCTGCTCTGCATAGTGTTGATCTGATACACCGTGCCCTCTCTGGAGACGTGCACACAATAGGGAACAAAAGATTGTATACGTCTCCACAGGGCAATTTCTATAGATGAATACGTCTCCACAAGATTTTCACAAAATAGATATATGGATTTTACTCAAAAACTAGGAATTTCCCAGGTGGGTTGATCCGTCGCAAATGGAAGAGTTTTAGAAAAGGAATATTAAGTCCGAATTTCAGCCAAGGAAATTAATTCTGGTTAAAATAAGAGCTTTTTGAAACTTCGCTTTCAAACTCGAAAACTTTACTACACGAGAACAAAGAAATGTCTCCACAAGGATACAATTTTAGTATACACGTGTGTCCTATGGTGCATTTGTGTGTGTGTGTGTCTGCATTATGTTGTCCTGCACAAGCATTACATTCACTGTGTGGACTTCCAAACAAAAGATGTCCACATAAACCAGGTAGCAGCAACGTTGTGTGGACTTGGGCCACGTCCACACAATGTTTTCCCCTCTCTGGAAAACAGGTTTAGAGGCATTTTGGGTTTAAGGTTTATCAGTGGCAAAATTTAAAAAAAAAATAAAGAGAATCATAGGAACAAATTGGATTGAAAGAGTTTTCACAGGTTTTTCTTAACTACACGAAAACAAAAGAAAGTCCACACTAGGTGTGTAACGTAAACATGGGTGTCTGTGCGGTTTTTTTTCTTATTGTGTCTGTGTGGTATGCCGTCTCTTTTTGGCAACCTTGTGCCCAGGGTGTCCAGCAGTACGTGCCCACCACTACCTGCTCTCTCACTCTGGTATTGGATCACTTGCATGTGCAAAAATTCTGAACACGTATGCAAATGAGGAATAGTCTGGTACCTGCCAGTGCGTTACACCAGACAACCCTTAGACAACTCTATGGAATATTGTACGTTCAGTTTTTAGTTTGTCTCAGATTTTGCGCGTTCTGCGCCAATTTGAATATCATGTAATTGAACAATATTTCACAAGCTGCGTTGACGCGATTTTACCGCGATTTCATTAACAGATAGCTATAGGGGAAATCCATGTACCTTCTAGCTGCTTGTTCAACCATGCGTCGTGCTCCTCCCTTGCCTTCTGGCATTTACTCGGATCGGCGTAGACCTGGGAGTTGAGAACGATGAACCGCACCCCTCCGACCCAGAACGAGTAGAAATCATCACCGAAAGTATCGTGGTACAGCTGGATGTCCTCCATGGACGGACTGTCCCCGATGTCGTGGTTTCCCGGTAAATAGACAAGGGGGATTTCGGGGTCCAGCTTGTTGAATTCTTCCGTGAAGGAATTCTTCTGGCCTTCACGGCTCGGGCGGCCTGTCAGATGAGAGAACAAATCGATGAAGGAATACAGCTTTTTACTGGAAGGTTTGAGCCGGGCGACAAGGGAAATTTGAACCAAATATCACTGTATACTCTGGGATCCGGAAATCAGATGGGGTGGGGGCTGAACTATCAATAAATATATCAAGACATCAGCTCGATCAACTGCAAGCCAGCACACAATAGGAGGTGCCACAAGAAGAGCAAAAATATTGTGATCAATGGACAATTGTGTAGTGATGCGTGACTGAAATTAAATGAAACTCATAGGGGTTGAGGCCAAGGCTTAGGAGTATCTGCAGAACCAAACATTTTCAAAATTGACCTCATGGTTTTGTAGTTATTTCAAAAACAGTCAGACAGACACATTTTTTTTGGGGGGGGGGAGAGACATACTGTAGACCCTGCAGTGGTAGAGGGCACTATATCAACCAGATGCATCAAATCAGATCTTGGGAACTTTGGCACAGTGAGCCATGAAACATCCGAACATACCTCAGGGCTACCCATTAGCTTGAATACAGCACGAGCGAGGTATGAGAAATGCATGGGGTTGAGCTGCAAAAGTTGATTTGAAGCACGGGTGATTTGACTGGGTTTGCAGGGTGTCGGGACGGTCGCATTAGGGAGGGCAACAAATAATCCACTACTACCCACTACCGACCTGGCATGGCGTCCAGCATATCCCCGAGGATGACCACAAATCTCGGGCGTGGCTTCATCTTATTGATCCTCTCCACCCCCCTCTGCGTCAGCTCCACCTCCTCTTGCCAGTCCTGCGCAGAGGGGTCTTCCCAGCACGCAAACATGCCGTACTGCGTATCGGCCGAGGCGATGAACGTGAACGGACCGCGCCATGCGCCCTCGTTCTCTGAAGGGATTCAAACAGAAGAATACTGTTATTTTACGGCATACAGGATCGTTTGCTTCTGATGCATTTTGTTCATAACACCACTCAAAATCCGAAGAAGAATGTTCAAAAACCTAACCTGTTGAACTTTCAGCACAGTGGATCTTTTTCGAGAAAATGATGACAAACCATGCACAACCTATCGATCACGAAACACCATTTTGTCAACAGCACTCTGTATTCCAAAAATCAGTCGACTGACAGATCGTTGGAAAGCGCCTACATTTTCTTTTTTTATTTCTTCAAAATGACAGCAAGCCATATGGAATAATTTAATGGGGGGGGGGGGGGGGAGGTGGGGGTTAGTCCCGGTACGATCTTTACTGCAAGTAAGCTTTCTGTTAACAGTTTGGTATTTGGGATAAATGCACATGATGCCTATAATCCTCCCTCTCTAAATGACAATCTAGAGAGAGTTACCCTATACGTCAAAATCTGTGACAGGTTTTAATAGTTCTGTAAACTGGCCTCATATTGGTACAATTGACAGGCTGTGGTAGGTATGTTAACTGAGGGTACCATGCCTTGACTGACATTGACAGATGTGGTGGGACAGCACTGGTGAGTGCCTGTCAGTGATGGATTGAGTACGTCCAACACCACACTTTTGCTTACTCCACAAGCCATGCATTGTGCACTGAACAAAATTACTGACGCAAAGGTTATCAACCTATCAGAATACATACAGGAGTTGTGTCTCTACATGTATCTCTCCACAGAACACTGTTCAACACATCAACTTCTGTGTGCACTTACAATGGGCTAACCCTTGAACCTTAATGGTCATTTGTGCATTTTTCTTTAAGGAACAAAAAAGTGCCCAAAATCTCCAGACGTGTTCTTAACAACTTAAACCTGAAGAGGTTTAGCTCTGTGAATGCTGTATATTTTGAGAAAACACAATTATCTGGATCTCGATTCAATGTGTTCAAAAGTTGCTGAGTGAATTGCGCCCTCTTGTGACACAATCCTGAAATCAGCATTGGGGACATGGTTCTCATTCTGCCGATGTCTATGTGATGTCACGCACTGAACCGACGAATAAGAGCAGCCTCCTGGCCTGTGCGTCTTGTCAACACTTGCACCCATTCACAGATTCGCCCAATTACAAACAAACTACAAACAGAAATGTCCAAAAATGTGTCACTTGACACATAATTAGAAATGACCTTCTTGTTTTCTTCAAAATGACAGCATGCCAGAAGGAATAATTTCACAGGACATTTATTTAGAGTCATTGCAATCTTTAAATCAAGTACGCTTTTTAACAATAATTTGGTCGGTTATTTTTGAGATAGCTGCAAATAGCCCCCTTTAAATTATACACAAAACAAACTGTCGTCACATCTGGCTAGATTTCGATGCTTGCTATTCCAACACACTCTATAAAACAATATAGGCCTAAAACTGCCACATTGAGGAATTTGTTTTTGATGCTGGTATCATTTAGAAAATATTTCAGATGATGTTTCAAGACAACCTTTGCCTCACATCACATGACATGATCACATGACCAATATGATTGCGTATAATACTGAATGGGAACCATCAATGATGATTTCATTCCACATCAACTTATTCTTGTTTCACTAAAGCCGAAAAAAATGTGTAAACAATCCCGATCCCCGCCACATTTCTAAAGGTTTTTTTCCCATCCCCAAATAAATAAGAATATTCTTCTTTTATTATTTTAACCTGTCTCAAACATTTTATTGCAGAGTAGACCCTATTTCTTTGTTCAGATTTGTATCTCTGGAGGGTTTTTCTTTTAAAGGGAAATAAAGTCCGAAATTATAAAATGGTCTGATTCCCATGTTGTGAATACGAAGTTACAACGATTATATTTGCATGGAGCCAGACTAAAATTTGTCACCGGAAAATGTTTAAGTAAAAAAAAAACCCAGTAACTGCGCATGTTCAGTGCATATCCGGCAAACTAACGTTTACTAAACTAGGTTTGCCGTCTCCGGCCAAATATCCACTGCCCAATTTTTAACAAAACTGGAAATGTTTCTAAACTCTCAGTCCCAGATTTTATATTCATGTCTTTTCAATATTTTTTTTCAATGGCTGACCTTTATTGAGATGATGTATGAAGAAAAAAAGTGGCGTCAAGTTGCAGCATTATTTCCCTGCATCCTTTTTAGTAGGTTAACTAGGCGATAAAAAGGCAACACAAGTGAGTTTCCGAACAGAAAACCGGACGTACACAACTTACCTTTGTCGAAACCCTCATACTGGTGGTTTCTGGCTCGAATTCTTAGCTTTTCAGCACCACTGTTCCCCGCCATTCTTAACTGTCGGATGGCTACTCCCTCAGTCAGCGAACCTCGGCTAGCAAACCTCCATTTTGTAGAAAAGTTGATGCAAAATTTCAACCGCACTAGCTTTGTGAAGGATGTCATCGACCATTTATTTCCAGACTAGACTTGTTACTGTTGTGCCCATTCTTGAAAATCACGCATTCTCGAGAATGGGCATGCACATTCTCGAGAATGGGCGCGCATTCTTAAGAATGAGCGCTCATTCTTAAGAACGAGCACGCGTTCTTAAGAATGAGCGCTCATTCTTAAGATTGGGTGGGAATATCACGTGCACAATTTATGAATTTTGCCCAATCTTAACAAACATTGCACGACATAATTATGTTAAATGAATTGTATAGCGGTTAAAAGGGAAACAATTCATATAAAGAGGAAAGAAAATGTGCTATGCTTCTGTACTCGTATAACTACGATAATTTGAATCAAATTAAACCTGTTATTATTGTTTTTTTTCTGCCCACTATGGGAAGTTTTGTAATAACGGAGGACTGTGAACTTGTCTGGGAAGTGCTTTATTTAGGCTAGACAAGTTACAAGTCCCTGCATGTATCATATGCGTGCCACGAAAAAAAACGATGTCCAGAAGCTGCCAAAATTGCTCTTTTGACTAGATAGAATCCAGCTCTGCGACGTTATGGTGGGATGTGAACAATAAATTGGTGGCAATTTAAATGGGAAATAGCATTAGCACTATGGGATGTCGCAGTATTCATTCTCATTCTTCACATTCTTCATTCTTACGTCCCCCCCCCCCCGCTTTTATTGTCCCAAAAATCAGAATTCTTTGCACTAGTATTATTATGTCTCTTATATTTTCCCGGTCCCCCCCCCCCATATTAATACGCCTTTACTTATCATATCCACTCTACTTTTCAGCGCCTTGCGTTGCAACAGTATAATTATTGAGAATCCGTGAACGAGGATTCAGCTAGACTTGCCAAGCGCAGCCGGTGCTCGGCATCGACAAGACCGTTATCTTGTCGCGCATTCTCGAGAATGTGCGCTCAATCTGGAAGAGTTATTTTTTTGCCAAGATTGAGCAAGGATCCAGTTGCACATTCTCAAGAATGTGCCTGCCCATTCTCGAGAATGCGTGATTTTCAAGAATGGGCACAACATTACCAAGCACCAGTCCTTCCTTCCTCGTGTGTCTTACCGTTTCGGCGCGAGATCTAAAAACAGAACAGCTCCCCCTCGCGAGACTATTCTCTGATTTTTTTGGGAGGAAATGTTCGTATGTCTCCCTTTGAAAATAAAATGGAACAAAAAAAATGAAAATCGGAAAACTTGGAGAAACTCAGCATAATAACTACAATGCGGATCCTATTATCCTGTATTTTCAAAACGGGACGGGCTACGATATTTTTTTTACACAACTATCTGGGGTACTTTGTGCGCTTTCCTATGGGGCTTGGTTGATATAAAAACAGTTTTTGGCCGCAGAAAAAAAAGTGTTTTTTTTCGGGGGGCGGACTATTTTGACGTTGGTGGCGCCACTTACACCCCTCTTATACTACTCGGAAAGAGGCCACATACATGTCACCAAGGTCAAATCGTGGGACCCCCCAAAAAAATTACCCCCCCACCACGTTTTATATAAGAGAACGTTGATGTCCCATTATGTGATAGAGCTTCTCTGATCTTTCTATAATTTAATTATCTTTTATTAAATTACAATTTACTTTGTTCTTTCTTTACGCAATACTTATACTGTCTGTCCGTTCGTGTCCGTCTCTTTGTTGTGCTGTCGTCTGTTTGTTTTCCCGTCATGTTTGTGTTGACCAGCAAGTTTCTCACCCAGTATCGGCTTTCCTTGTAGTTTCCCCGATGTTTACTGAGGCATTTCTATACAAACTCCGGCTTCCTGAAGATGCCCCCCGTGCTTTCTAATTTTGAGGGTTTTTTTTTTGCATAAAAAATAACTTTTGCTCACTGCTAATTGTTTATAAATTGAATTTAATATTAAAAGTTGTAATTATCACAACTTGAAAGTATGGAAATAAATGTATACTTGAATCGTGAATAAACAAAACCAAGAAGGTAGGTGGATTGATTTGAACATACACTTTGCGTAACAAACTTCAACTGTTACTAAAAAGCGAAAACAATAGTCCATGCTGGCAAGGGGCCTAGCCTGGTGCATATTGAACCTATTTTTAAAAACACAAATGTGCAAGATTTCAAAAAGTCGAAAATTGATAACTTTAAGCTAACTGTTATTATTACAATTTTTTTAAACGCGACAAAACACTGGAGTACTGTTGTATTAATTATTTGTATTTTCACAAATACATCATTAATTATACATTTATAATAATTAAGGCGATATATAGCTGCTGTCTACTTTCAATTTTAATTGCCGCACATAACTGGTTAAAACAATGTTGCACAAGGATGTCCAAAAAGGTTTCACTGTTTTCAGCGATTCAAAATGGACGAAAGCGACGAAACACGAACTTTACTTATACATTACCATATAACACGTACGTTGACGTGACCACATTAGTTAAAATTAAGGTAAGTTTTCTTCATCCAATGATATCAGACCGATCATCCATTAAGCCCCGCCCACAACACACGTGGGCAACACAACAGGTGCACCTATCCAATGCCTTGCATGTTCTATACGCGCTCGTCATGATAATGTACATGCGCGCATGTCGGACACGGCTAGGCTGTGATTGGTCTAAACATCATGGGGCGGAGCTTAGTGGATCGGTCCATTGTCCTTCCAAGTTAAGGTTGTACCAGGGGCATGTTTTTGAGATCATATAAAAAACTGGTTCAGTTGTATTGGTTGATACATAGTTGGTTAAAAACTTGGTTGTGAAGTAAAAACGAGTGAATTTACTAAACCACCGAGAAACAATCGAGCCTGTTTTTGGTTACGACCGCGAAAACATGCCCTGGATATCCCCATGCTTCATTGCCTACAACCATTCGAAAGGGTGACTCCAGCCAGCTGCAGACAAAGAAAGAAAATAATAAATACACATTCAGTAGTAGTACTCAACCTTAAATTAATGAACCACAGTTTAGCCAAAGCAAAGAATTTGCAATCGACAAATCTCAAAAATATTCGCTGAAACAATTCAAAGCTCCATTGTTTTCCATTGCTGATGCAAGAAAGGGACATTCTTGTAATTTGTGCACATGTTTCATTAGTCACATATTTATATCAGGAATATACATTTTGAGCATGTTGTGCTCAATGCCAATGATACATGTACCTATACTGTAAAAACCAATAACCGAATCTTACAGTTACATTAATATGCCCATGCTTCATTTACATGCCAAAGCTTCATGCACGTATCAATTACATGTTTTATCCTGTTTATACCATTAACTGACAACATTTGATATTACGCCCGCCGAGAAAATACATGAAACTTCAACTTTCAATAACACCTGATTTTTTGTATTTACCTCTACATCCCAGCAATTCAAAGCGCAGGCAGATGTATCTCGTCCAGGCGAGAGGTCGTATTTGTATGAAACGCGTGTTCAAAACCGCGGGAAAGTAGTTGGTTACTGGTGTATCATAGTCCACGTTACCCTGAAACTGCAAGGCAAGTTTCAAAAAGAATATTATACGTGTGTTTCTAGTATTAAAGACATCGATCCTTTTGAAAGCCATTCACCCCACCTTTTTTTTATAACCTTGGTCGATCGCTCAATACCTGCATCGATATCCCGTCAGTACCAGTCACATCACTCCAGTTAGTCCCGTCGTCGCTGTGCTGTACTTTGTATGACGTCACCCAGACGTCACTATAGTGTCTTCCTTGGGTGATCAGGCCAGTTACCGTGGTCGGAGCTTGCAGGTCGACACGAATCCATTGGTTCTGATCTTCTGCGACTGGGCACCAAGCCGCTGCAAAATAGAAAAAAAAATCATGAATATGTGGACGTACATAATATTGTAGCACGACTGTGTTTGAAGACATCACAATACATACCCTGAAAATATGTCAAAATTAAAAAAAAAAACTCAAAGCTGGGAACGTTTTAAAAGTTACCTTCGACATTGAGCCGAGATTTTCCGGCGGAAAAGTCAGCGTGACCAACATCTGATACCGACAGACTGCTATCTGGTATGGCACCGCTCTCCATCCCTAGCGGGTCACGGCAAGCTGAAAGGTATGAATACAGAACAGATTTAATTGCTAAAATATACCAAAGAGCATATAGGAGCATTATTCAATAGTCTGTTTATAAATTTAATATGATAAAGTCGTCTGAATATCCGGTTTGTAAGTCTGACGTCACTTCCGTTTAAACCACGCTTTTTCAACACTGGCTTAATCAAGAAGAGAACAGACAGGTCTTTTGTATTACTAATAAATTAACAGTTCTTACTGGTACAGTTCAACCAGGTCCAAATCTCCTCTGGATCCTTGGTCAGCAGAAACACGTCGTAATACTTCACTCTGATGGGCGGGCGGCGCGATGTCAAGATGTTAACTCCTCCGAGCTTCACCTCCGTACATCCGCAGGGATCCTCAATTGGGATCACCCAGCGGTACGAATCATACGATTCCGGGTCTGGTGCTTGGCCGATGTAGCAAACCATTGCTAAAGGAGAAGTTTTGGGAACATGACAGGTATATTCCTGGTTTAATAAAGGTAAGTCTATACAGTTGCGCATGGAATTTTGCGTCGGGGTGATGTAAATCAAATTAGGTTTTTCCCTTCACCCACGTAAAAACACAAAGTCCGAATCGTAGTTTCCCCCAGTTCTTTTCAGGGACTCACAAACTCACAAAAGATATTCGAACCAGCCTGTTAGCTCGATCGTCGAGTGGCAGGCGTCTGCACTAGAAAGCAGGAGGTCGTGGGTTCAAGTCCCGACCGAGTGATTTTTTTCTCCAACTTTCACTCGGGAGGTCACACACTAAGCATGCAGTGCTCTGACCGTCGTTGAGTCTCCTGACGTCAACATAATCTTATTGCACTCTTCATCGTTGAAACCTTGAAATCCTATCGTGTTGTCTTTGCAAAACAGGACCACAATTCTTTTAATTCTGTCGTGTACGATGAGACAAGACAATCGTTTTATGAGAACGATTTTAGGTCAAACACTAATGCAAACTGGTCAACTTACAGTTCAACATATATTTAGAGCCTGCATCCTCCATGTTCTGTATGCAGTGAGTAAGTAGCTGTAGGCCCTAATTGAACAGGAATTCGTTCTATTTAATTATTTTGTAAAATAAAGCTTTCCCTTATTGTACTTTTGGTAAAAAGCGAACTTACCAGCAGAGGTTGCCGCAGCTATTCCAATCACAATCCACAAGACACCACACCCGCCTACTATACGGTCACGCATGTCCGATTCTTGCGATCTAACACCAGTGTATAGAGTGTAAAATTCCACATAAAGCCAAACTTCAGCGTTGGAGATATAGTGGGGCAGATAGGGGAAATAATAATTTTGGGGGAATTGTGCCTTTGATGATACAAGCCTGGCATTTGGCACACAGAGTATGTCTTAAGAAAGATATTTGGCTACAGGGCCATCGCAGATTTGTCCTTTGAAAAAAAATAGGTAGATTAACAAGCAATTTTCAAATTGTTCAAAATGGCTGCCATTGCTTGTTATTCCACCTATATTTTTTTCTTCAGGACAAATCTTTGATGGCCCTATAGCCAAATATCTTTCTCATGGCACACCCTGACTGTGTGCCAAATGTCATGCTTGGATCATCAAAGGCGCAATTTCATCACCTATCTGCCGTACTAATAGGGGGAACAACTAATATCCTATACCGAGTTGTACTAAACTTGATGCGCTGTTTGGTGCGGTGTTGGTTTTTTTTTTAGAGAGAGAGTCGTTTTTCTGCTTCGAATGGCCCAGGGAAAAAAGCTGCGAATGTACAAGATAATGAAGTAGGGCCTATATATATGCTTTCAATACCGCGCACTATAAGCGAACACCAGTATCAGACAACGCAGCGACTTTCATTTTGGATCACAGCAGCTTACGTCGGTGGTATACAATAGCTGTTGTTTTCTGGTTACCATAGAAATAAATTTTCGCCATTTTCTGTAAATCTGGTTGCCGTAGTGACAGTCAACCACGTTACCTGCCGCCCGCGTCTCAATAAAGGCGATCACGTGCTTTATGGAAATACCAATACCGCACAATCATACCCAATTTTGAAAAAAATGCCAATGAATTTTATTTATTTATTTATTTTTTTTGTGTAGTTTTGCAGGCAAAAAAAAAAAACACAAACGAAAAGCCGCAAATAAATAGTACATTGAGCTTTTATAATGATGCAAATTGCCATTTTGCATTACAGTGGGAAAAGCCCAAAATTTGATGGGGGTGGTCCAATTTTTTCCCTTCTGTCACGAGAACGTTTCTCTGTAAGTCCTGTTTTTAATTAGTTTTTCACAACTTTAATCGTTCTGTCGAACATATTTAAAACCTATCACATCCCGTGTTATTACATCGTCGTTCATTTACTGTAACACAACTGCTGGATTTCAAAATGCAATTTTTCTAACGAATCAGTTTTACCACTTCAAGTAAGTTGCCGGTCTGTATTTCCTGTACTGAACTCAGTATCCCTAAATGTTGTATATCATTAGAAAGCTCTTGTTCTGCAGAATTTAGATAGACCTACGTGTATATAAATATCTCAATTCTTAAAAAAAAAAATCCGACTTTTCACTCACTTTGTTGTGACAAGTCACATATTAATTTCTTCGAGAGCGTTATTGTAATTAATAACGCTCTATCAGTCAGCGTAGCATATCTCAAATAGGATCCCTTAGGCCAAAAAAATAATTCTCCGGTGTCTGGTATGGAGCTTGCTCAAAAAGTGGTGCGGCGACGCGGCTTTTTTTTTTTTACGGCTGACGACTGCAAATGGTGCCGACTAAACTTCTTGCAAATACATGGGAGTCCAGAGAGGCCACATAAAGCTTATTCTCGATCGTAACCCCATCTAAAAACACGTTTAAATTGTGCAGCAGCAGGATTCCAGTCAAACCAGTGAGTTTTGCGGTTTGAGACATCATCTTTCATTGAAAAAAAAAACACTTTTTCATTTTGCCGATGTGCATGACTTCGGCAACGCGCGCGCATACCAGAAACCGGAGACTTTTTTTGTTTGGCCTTATACTCAGTACGTCGTTATTTACTGGTTACCACAGAAATTGATTTCTGCAGTTTGTTGTTCGTCTGGTTACCGTAGTAACTGTCCACCACATTTCCTGTCTGCCGTAGCTCAATATTATTAGCCTAAATAAGAGGAAATGCTGATGCACATATAATATAATATAATACCGAGACTTAGCGCACGTATCTACCAACTACTCAAGGTGCTGGTAATTATGTCTATTTTTAAAGACAGGTGAATGAAGTTTATGAGAAATATGAGACCCATTATGTAGCATCTTTATAAGGGGTTTACAAGATGCTGCGGCGCATATTGCAGCCACATGCTTTATGTTAATACAATAGACCTTTATCACGCTGCAACCATTTCAGTCACATTCCCTGTATCCAATAACAGTACTGAATTAAAATGTTTTTCCTGCAAAAAGGAACCAGACTAGTTTTCCTTCCAGCTTCGCTTTGGTTACGTTGATTTGAATGGAAAAAAATCAAGATGGCTGCAACATGATAATGGTCTATAGTTTGAGATCATAAAAACATGATGAGTTTCTAAATCGTCGGACAGTTTGGCAAAAGGGATCTAAATCAGAAATTTCATGTATAGACATTAATTTCCTCAATTGTTTTGCTTTGACAAAAAATGATACATCAATCTGCAATGTCAGTTTCACATACTATGGTTTTTAAAACGAGAACATCTCTGTTTAATTAACCATAACTAATGCAAAATACAAGACATTACAAAGATAATGTGAAATATAATCTTTAACTTGCGTGAGAAATGTTCTATTTTGTATATATTTTTCTGCCATAACAAGTATTTACATCAACTACATATTGATAATAGTCTATACCAGTGACCCATTTACAGCCAGGTACACCTACTTAGAGTAAGCCTATTTAGAGTACGTCCATGCGAATGAGGGTCGAGTTTTGGCCAAACTATAAATAATTTGTAAATAGGCCTAAACCACTTAGGGAATAACTATAACTAGGCATAATATAAAAAGCACACATCTCTAGACTGCAGTACGAGCAATTACCAATAACATCTGACTTATGATACAGCATTCTCTCAAAACAATTCCAACACCGTTCATACTTACCAACTAAATCTACAATGTAAATAAAGACATAAAAGTATAGAAGTATTACCTTTCAAGAAATGTATGCTGAAATTGTTCGATTTCTTCAATTTAGCATATAAGGGTTACGCAGAATAGTTTAATCTATCTTACTCCAACTTAAAACTTTTCGTTTTTATATTTTTTGATATTAAACTTCCAATTTTCCAGGCTTTTTTACAGATATTTTTTATGCACTAGCTATAGCATATCAAAAAAGATAATTTAGTGTATTTCAATTTGTTTTGTATTTGTGTTGTTTTATATTTTTTTTCATGCTGTCTCTCTCAATCGGATCATTTTATTACCACCTACTAAAATCAACTACAGAGTCATTATTTTTTGCCAGCATGTCGGTGTGCAACTGAATAGCTATCTTGTGGCGTGGTTTGTGTAAATATAATTCACTAGCAAAGTCCTAATACACGGTGAATAGAAAAACAATACATGTTATGTACCATTCACTTGAAAGCAAAAGGTTTTAAGTGCACTTTCATTATTTTAAACCATATTTCTATCCCACTTTGTGTTCAAAAACGTTCAAACACCATCAAACGCGAATATGTTTATTATTATTGCCTGTCAACACGTCTATGTGTAATTGAAAAAGCGGGTAAATGGCTAGAGCGCCCTCTAGAGGGAGAACTCCGCATCTCTTAACTTCATCGAAAATTGATTCATTACAAAGAGAAAACCAATTTTTATCGAAGGCCCATAAACTGTACAGCGAAATATGTACAGAGATGGCAAAAATTCTTAAATTCATAACTGTTGAAGCTGGTGCAACACACAAAATTGCCATAAATTAAAGGCATATTGGATCATTTTTCTTTCATGCACTTTGTTCGGTTCCATAAGACCACACTCACAATCCAAAGAAGAATGTTCAAAACTTAACCGTTGAAGTTTCAGCTTCGTGGTTACTACATTTTTCGAGAAAACAGTGGAAATCATGCACAACCTTTCGATCACCGCACACGATTACGTCAATAGCGCTCTTTATTCTAAAAATCAGTAAATGGACTGATCGTTGGAAATCATCACTGAATTTCTTCTGAATGACACTTTAAGCCAGACGGAATAATTTCACAGGGTGTTTAGTAATCCAAGTATGCTAGTTGATAAAAATTCGGTAGGTTACTTAAATTAGCATAAATGCACATGATCCCACATGCCTATAAAGCACGGTACAAGTTACAGGTGTTTTAAGCCAAACTTCTTATTACAGTGTGCAATGTCTTTATTAATAAACCCTATTTCTAATTCGTTTCTAAAAAGTTTCAAAAGCGTCGCCACTTTGAACATTATGTACTTATCTATCACCAACACCACGAACAGTAAACATAGGCATATCAGATTTTTTTCTTCATTTGTTAATTATCTTGCACTTCTTGAGAAAGATGCACAGGGATGTTCCGATGCTCCAAGAGATTTCAACAATTCACGCGAACCACTCAAGCAGCTTAGGAAATAAGAAAGGGGGAAACGTAGATTGACTTTACATCAATTGGTTAAATTCGAGGTGTCTAAAAGAGGCAATTTAAAGGTGACATTGATTTCAAACACATTATTTGATTCCTTTTATTTACCTCTGCATCCCAGCAATTCAAAGCGCAGGCAAACGGAAATGTACGACTCGAGAGGTCGTATTTGAATGAAACGCGTGTTCACAGCCGCGGGGAAGTAGCTGGTTACTGGGGTAACGCCGTCCACGTTGCCCTGAAACTGAACGAGAAAACGTGAATAATAAGGTTATACAAATAACACAAGCATGTAAAGATGGGTAAATAAAAGCTGGTAGTGAGTACAAATCGGAAGGGAGTTAGTCATTACAAGCATATGGGGAAAACTGATATGATTGGAAATATTTTTCCAATATTCAGTTAAACTATCCAGGCCTATACACGTTCATTTTACCTGTATCGCTAACCCGTTGGCACCGATGACGTCACTCCAGTTAGTCTCATCGTTGCTGTACTGTACCCTGAATGGCGTGAATAACCACTCGTATTTCTGTATGTCTCCCTGGGTGATCAGACCAGTAACGGTAGTCACTGCTCCCAGATCTACGCGAATCCATAGGTCCTCGTCATAGACGAACGCACACCATGCCTCTACAGAAATAACAATGAAATCATAATGTTAAACAAATTAGGACGCCGGTATCTGAAGACATGTCTGAAAATATAAACCAACAAACTATAATAAAAATCTGCCGTAGGAACATGTAAAACTTACCGTGAGCATTGAGCCGAAATTTACCGGGGGAATTGTTTTCATATGACGCTGACAGACTACTACCGGGTATGATGCCACTCTCCATCCCTAGCGGGTCACGGCAAGCTGAAACTGAAAGGCAAAAAGAACATCAATTCAAAACTCTCAATACAAATCCTTTAATAAGGTTAAATCTAAAAAAAAATCGCTCTTGCAGAAAAGAAAGTGATAATTTCATTCAATAATAGTTAAAACTTAAGTTTAAGTTAATAATAATTAAAATCAAGTTCATTTACATAATAGGCAAATATATTAGCATTTATTTACGTCTGCATCCCAGCAATTCAAAGCGCAGGCAGATGTATCTCGTCCAGGCGAGAGGTCGTATTTGTATGAAACGCGTGTTCAACACCGCGGGAAAGTAGTTGGTTACCGGGGTTTCATTGTCCACGTTTCCCTGAAACTGAAAGGCAAAAACTAGGTAATGAAAATTTGAGTGGACGAATCAATTTACGGGAATTAGACTTGAAGTCGAAAGAAGAATTTGAACGAATCCGTCAACGTTTTGAAGCGTATGTCAAATTACCTTCACTGGCAACCCGTCAGTACCAGTAACATCACTCCAGTTAGTCCCATCGTCGCTGTGCTGTACTTTGTATGACGTCACCCAGACGTTACTCCGGTGTCTTCCTTGGGTGATCAGGCCAGTAACCGTAGTCGGAGATTGCAGGTCGACACGAATCCATTGGTTCTGATCTTCTGCGACTGGACACCAAGCCGCTGCAAAATAGAAAAAAAAAATCTGGAATATGTGGACGTACATAATATTGTAGCACGACTGTGTTTGAAGACATCACAATACATACCCTGAAAATATGTCAAAATTAAAAAAAAAAACCTCAAAGCTGGGAACGTTTTAAAAGTTACCTGTGACATTGAGCCGAGATTTTTCGGCGGAAAAGCCAGCGTAACCAACATCTGATACCGACAGACTGCTATCTGGTATGGCACCGCTCTCCATCCCTAGCGGGTCACGGCAAGCTGAAATTTCAAAAGGAATACACAAATCAGTTTGTTAAGAAATAAATATTTACAATAGGATAAATCTCTGAATATTCCATACACAGACGATTCCCCCCGTTCAATGTTTAGTCTTGGAAGTTTTGTTATTCGCGATGTGCGCTTACACTCACGGGAAGCGACACTGGAAGCGAGTACCGTAAGTACCGTAAACTGGGGTTACTTTGGCGGAAACCTTACCCCGTACTGCACTATACTGCACGGTTACAGATTTAATGATTTTATGATAAAATTGATGACATAAAAGTCATTATTTTCCTAAACAGAATATGTCAGTTCTTCAAAGGTTATACATATCATTATTGGTATATTTGTACAGGTTTGTGAATAATATCAATTTCATTTGATTCCTATATCCTGCCAATAAAGTAAGTGTTACCCCCAATATACAGGGAATTTTTGGCAGCACACTATAGGAGGCTATAAATCCTTTTCAAAGAAACGAAATAGGTTACAGATTAGGGTCTAGGTGCCAAATAAGGGAAGAGGGAATATGTGCAGCTTTTCAGTTTTAGAGGAGAAGAACCTGTCAATGTTTACCCAGGTTGACTAGTAGTGTAGCGCCTAGGTAAAGTCCAGGACACGTAATCACAAGTCAGATCATTAATCAATATCAAGTAAAATACAGTCAAGTCACGTGTGAGAGGGGATGACCAATGACAAAGGAATTAATGCTTCAGTGGAAGTCCATTTTTATTAGGCTTTAATTTGACCAGCAATTTTACAGGGGGGCATTACCAAAAAGGGGCATTACCAAAAAGGGGCACTTGCCCAGTAAAAGGCATCTTCCGTCGGTGCAGCAGCGTATCTAGCATTTTTTTGGGGGGGGGGGGGGGGGGGGGCTCATCCGTGCTGAATTGGGGGTGGGGGGTGGGGGGCAAGTGCCCCCAGCCCCCCCCCCTTCCCCCCCCCCGGTTCCGCACATGAAGTACTTGTTGCTCGCGATTGTCTTATGATCGATCGACTTGTGAGGTCTTGACGAGTACAACTGTTTATTTTTTATGATTTTACTTTCTATAAGAAAATCAATATCTCTTACTACAATTCAGCCAGGCTTGAATCTCATCCGAATTGCGGCTTTGCAGAAAGGTGTCGTAATATTTCACTTTGAAGGGGAGGCGAGATGTGAAAGTGTTCACTCCTCCGAGCTTGACTTCCGTACATCGGCAGGGATCTTCAATTGGGATCACCCAGCGGTAGGAATCATTCGATTCCGGGTCTGGTGCCTGGCCGAAGTAGCAGACCGTTTCTACGAAGAAAAAAAACCGGAAATGGACTCACAGTACTTCATATCATTGGTACCTGTTAAAGGCATACAGGATCACATTTGCTTTTCATGTACTTTGTTCGTTTATTAAAATAATATTACTAAATAATAACGCCACTCAAAATGCAAAGAACACTGTTCAAATCCTAACCTGTTGAAGTTTCAGCTCAGTGGATATTACACTTTTCAAGAAAACAGTGACAAACCATGCACAACGTTCTGGTCACGAAACACCACTTCGTCGATAGCTTTCTTTATTTCCAAAAATCAGTCAGCTGACTGATCATTGGAAATCACGTACATTTCTTGATTTCTTCGAAATGACAGCAAGCCAGACGGAATAATTTCACAGTTCGTTTAGTACCAGTACGATCTTTAATCCAAGTAAACTTTTAAAGTTTAATTCGGTTAGTTACTTTTGGGAAAAACTCAATGATCCTATATGATTTTGGGTTTCAAGATGGATCACCTAATGCAGAAATCACTCATCGCACATTACAAAAAAAACAATTTAAACAAAGAGGAAAATGCTTACCTGCGGTTGTTACAGTAGTTCCGAGCACAACGCATACGACAGCAAGTCCGACATTTATGTTCCGTATGAACATTGTGCTTGGTTTTTCAGAACAACGTCAAAACTTCTCCTTGTCAGCGATATGTTCTGCAACTCGGTGCAAGTTGTGTTAATAAACCAGCAGCGCAAACGCGTCAAAAGACCACAGACAAAAACTGAGCTGCAAAGGGAATTTTCACTTTTCTCGTAATATTTTTAACTACACACTCTTCGAATCATAATATGCCAAAACTCAAGGATGCAAAATCTATAAACAGCGGCTGCCTTAATACTGATTCGCTGCCAAGCGGGCGCCTTCGCTTCAACCGTAACCAATAAAAAAAATATAGGTGGACATAAGAAATTCACGCCTAATTGCGGTGCTTGTTATGGTAGCACATCACGTCTTTCAGTTTGTAACCTTCACAATTTCTCCCTCACAATATCGCTCGTTCTGTATTTTCTGGTTGTCATGGGAATAGTTTCATAATGGACGACTCCATTTTCTGATTGTGGGAGGAAAGGGGTTTACTCCGAATTGTTGGTATGTCTAAGAGAGGAAAAGAAAAAAATAAAACCACTCTTAGATGATTCTTGAAGTAAAATAACATCCGAGGAAAGCTGGTCGCAAACCAGTTTGGTATTAGGTGTCAATGTAGTCATCCGAGTCAACTTGATGGCCGAGACGAGGATAAAGCAAGTCTTATTCAGAAGTGACAGCCAGTCAGTGCGTCATGAGTCAGTGAGATATGTACAAACGGGGGTCTGTGGGCTCTTTGAGATCAGCAAAAACAATGACATGCAACGGAACACAATCAAAACTTAGGCAAAGTACTGTTTCTTCTTAGAAGGTTCCATAAATTTCACCCTTTTTCATTTAATTTCCCTTTTTTCAGAGTGGAGTGGGTCTTCGGTCTGCCTATGGTGTCTCATTCTGAAAACACGTCGTTTGAACACAGCGCAGTGGTTTACTCGGGTCGATATTTTGGATAATTTCTGCGTTTCCGCTCGTACTCGAGCAGTTCCTCCACTTCACAAAATACTCGCTTGCTCCGAAGCAATAGCCCACGCATTGGCGTCGGTACGGTTTAAGTGTTTTTTTTTTTTGCAATATATTAAAATGTCTGAATTTGGTAATGGCTCTGGTAAACAATTATGTGACAAATGAACTCATCACTGGCGCCAAGTAGCACGCTACAGTGATGGTATACACGAAACCCAACAGCAAGGCGGCAGTCTGGCTCCAAGTTCATGCATTGCTGACGAATTGGTAGGACCGTCGTTACGTCAAAAAACCAGACCAGGGAAAGCGCACCCCTTTGTTGCCAATGAACCATGCGATTCAGAGGGCGAAAATGAAGGAGGCGTGGCAATTAAGTAGCAGAAAAAGTACTAGACTACAAACGAAATGCTACACAGTGCTATATACACGCTTGATTCAGAGGGCGAAAAGGAAGGCCATTGACTTGTGCACAAACTAAGTGCAACATTATGCGACACCCGATTCAGAGGGCGAAAGGGAAAGGGGCAAAAAAGTGCTACACTATAGACTTGTGCACAAACGAAATTTAATGCTACACGCTTGATTCAGGGGGCGAAAAGGAAGGGGGCGTGGCAACTAGCAAAACAAGTGCTACACTATAGACTTGTGCACAAACTAATTTTTGGTAATTCTTTACATGGGCATGGCTTGAAAAGTAAAGCGCCCTCATGTGCTGGCTACTGAGTACAACTAAGAGAGTCGTTTAATCTGAATGGGGAAAAACTTACAAATTTACAAAATAATGAAGTATAATAACGCACACACTAAGCGCACACAAAATACCAGACAACGCAGCGAATTGCATTTGGAACCATCGCGTAGACAATAGCTGTTATTTTCTGGTAACCGTGGAAACTAATTTTCGCCATAATCTGTAAATCTGGTTGCCGTAGTGACAGTCAACCACATTTCCTGTCGCCCGCGTCTCAATATCATTTTAGTAAAGGCATTCAGATGATTTATGTTAATACCAATTCTGCACAATCATACCAAATAAAAAAAGTTACAGATGAATTTCTATATCTTCTTTCAGTTTTGACAAAAACAGTGGTGTGTTTTTTTTAGCCGAAAGTAATAATTACAGTAATTAATTTCTCCATACATCTTTTTGTTATGTCCGCAAATGAACAATATCAAACTGTAGTGTATACAAACATTGTATTATTATGAGAACAACTGTTACATTCACCGCTATATAAGCCATTGTCAACAAAAATTATATACAAAGATAATATTTTTTTTATTTAGCATGTTCCTCTCCTCGATTTTAGGAGGACGGTAACGACAATGATTCCCCATATACAACTTCCGAAATTACGAAAAAAAATGCTACGCGCATTATCACAAATATATTCATGCACATTATCAAGAATAATTCCATGCACATTATCATGAATATTCATGCAGATTATCATAAATATTCATCCGAATGATGCTCATCCAATGCTCATTTTGTCCAGAGATGCGGTTTTTCATAATTTGCATTTTATACATTTCCAAATTGTAATGCATAATAGTTTTAAGGGAAAATGTAAATCACATCTTGTGATTGTCACAGTTTGGCGAAAAGGGTTTAAATTGAATTGTTTTGCTACGGCCGTAAATCAATCAATCAATCTGCAAAGCCAGTTTCACACACACACTGTGTTGTTTAGGACGAGAACATCGCTGTTTTATTAAATATAACTACTGCAAAATACATAAAATAACATTTGCTGTTAAGCGTGAGAAATGTTTCTATTCTGTATGGTTCGATAAATATTTACAGAATAAGATATTGACAATAGTAATTTTTATAATTTAGGTAAACCTAGTACATGTACACCTATTTAGAGTAGGCCTATTTACAGTAAGTCCATTTAGAGTAAGTCCATGCGAATGAGGGTCGAGTTTTGACTAAATATACATACTTTTTAACTAAACCACAAAATGGAAAAAATATAAATAAGCCCAATATACCGAATCATAAATGCCTAATTGGTATGAAAAATCACTAATAACATCTTACTATAACACAGCGTTCTCTCACAACAATTACAACACCATTATATCAGTTTATACTCACCGACTACACTAACAGCTAATAAAAACCGATAATTACAGACGTTCATTTAAAGAAAATATTATATGCTTAGGCCTAAACCGTCCAATGACCTTTCTTCAACATTCACATGTCATTAGTTTTGTAGTAGAATAGTCTGTTGAATCCATCTTACACCGAGCTTGAAACTTTTTCAATATTGAATTCACACAATTCGTTTTACTGTTAAATTTTTCCAGTTTTTAGTGGTTTTTCACCTTTTCTTACAAATAATGGTGCATGCAACGGCTTACAGTGTACCTAAATATGTAATTTAATAGTGTATTTTATTTTTGGTTTCTATTTTTTTCTTTTCATTTTTTCCCTGCTGTCTCCTTCAACAAGATCATTTTATTACCATATTCTAAAACTACCGAAGAGTCATATTGTTTGTCCTTGTCATCGTTCACGCCGGTGTAACGAACAGCCCTCTTGTGACGTGCATGTATCTAATTTTCATCAGTACCTTTTTTTTAGGAAGATGAATTTAAAAAAAAAGTTACATGTTAGGACCCACAGGCCAACTCTCTAAATTCTCTGAAATTCACTCCATTCGAGTGAAGATTCACTCCCACAGTCGGAAAGCAGGCACTGGAAGTTTTGGAGTAAAATTTCTTCAATCGTAAAGATCGAGTTTTCACTCGAGCTTCAACTGAGGTGGTTCTATTTTCAGACTATTTCAATCGAAAATAAGAGTGATTTTCACTCTAAAACGTCTGGTCCCTAATTGCACTCTTTGGAATTAAGAGAGTACACTCGAAAGCAAAAGGTATTAAGTCACTTTAATTGTTTTAAAACCGTTTTTTTCTATTCCCATATATATGTGTTCATATTGCGTCAAAACACTATAGTCATACTTTTTATCCTTCAATTTATCACGAATATAATGCACATCACTATTTGTGCCTTGGAACGAGTCAAAAATAGAGGCGATGGCTAAAGCGCCCTCTACCGGGAGTAGTCAATGCCCCTTATATTCATAACAGTTTTAAACTACGACAAATAGAGAAAATCTTTATATTTCATAAATTGAATAGAAAAGGTTAACGCTTCGCCTAATCAAACATATACGAAAATGACAAAATATCAAATTCGCGTGCAACAATTCGAAGCTACACAAGTTATCGGTATTTTGTGCCAAACTTCATAGTATGATGTGCAATTTCTTAATCAATATAAAACCCTTTCGAATATGTTTCCTTTTTCTTTTATAAGCATCTAAACTCGGTATGCATAATTATTACACAGTGTTTATCTATCACCAATACCATCTACAGCAAACATATTAATAGGCCTATCATATTTGTTCTCTTTATCGTCAGTTATTACTCGTACTTTTTGTTATAGTTGCTCAAGGTTATCCGGATATTTCGATATATTAGTGTTTTCAACAATTCACGTGAGTAACTCAAGCGGTTTATGATATAAGAGGGAAAATAGATTTGACTTAATGATCAGCTTAGTCCCTACACAGATTGGTTACTTTAAAGCTATAGTCAATCATTTGCAGCCATCCGAAAAGTACTGGCGTAATTATTGTTGAAAAACATACTTGGTTGAAAGATAGTAAGTGGACTAAACTCCCTGTGAAATTATTCTTTCTGGCAAGCTGTCATTTTGAAGTAATCAACGAAAGAAGGCCTTTCCAATTCAAAACATGATTCAGCAACTTTTGATTTGAAATCGAGATCTTAGAATGCTGTTTTTCTCGGAATATACAGCTGAAGCTGAGCTGACACTTCATCAGGTTAGTTGTTCAGTATCCTTCATTAGATTTTGAACACTTTGGTTGCTTCAAACGAACAAAATGCACAAACTACAAATGATGAACTATATCTTTAAGGTGCACTGTAAAAACTGTGTTTAGCAATTAAACACTTTTCTAAACACTTTCTTGCTATCAGTTTGTAAACATGTTTAAATACTAAACATGTTTAGAGTAAGGATGGATAGTGTTTAGCCATTGAACATTAATGTTTAGAAATTTGAACACGTAATGTTTAGCGTCTAAACATGTTTACAAAGTGATAGCAAAATTGTGTTTAATTGCTAAACACAGTTTTTAGAGTGTGTTTATCAGATGCTAATTACAGCTGGCATTTATTTCCAACAAAATATTTAGAGGCATATGGAATCATTTTGCTTTGATCCTAAAAGTAACCCATACGAAATTATTACCCAAAACCCTATTTGGATTCAAGATCATATTCTAGTCTGGTACCAAACACCCCCTCCCTGATGTATTCTGTCGGGCTTGCATGCTAGGTTTTGAACATTCTTCTTTAGATGTTTACTGGTGTTATTATTGCAAACACCAAAATACATGAAAAGTCAAATAATGATCCTATTTGCCTCCGTCAATTCCGTTTATTTACCTCTGCATCCCAGCAATTCAAAGCGCAGGCAGACGTGTTTCTTCCAAGTGAGAGGTCGTATTTCAATGAAACGCGTGTTCAAGACCGCGGGAAAGTAGTTGGTCACTGGGGTTTCATTGTCCACGTTACCCTGGAACTGAATGTTTAAAAGCATAAATAGCAGAATAAATAAGTGCGTAAAAAATAGATACAGCTTTGAAATCATTGCTGAGTACATTAAAGAGGTTGTGGAATGGAATGCTCGAAGACATTTCCGTCATTTTTCGGGTATATGTAGCCTAAGGTGTGATGAAATAAAAACGACTATTGTGTCTGTCATGAAATGAGTACAAAAGGTACTTTTGAGAGCTGTTTTTCAGGTCCTGTTTCGACCCGAACGTGCAATTTGTGTAAAAGTCGTCGTTGAGGGCAGCAAACAAAACATAGTAAATCGTGACGTAATAAACCGGACTCCCGATGCAGCGTAGTATAAACGAGTCCTGTTAATTACGTCACGATTTACTATGTTTTGTTTGCTGCCCCCAACGACGACTTTTACACAAATTGCACGTTCGGGTCGAAACAGGACATGAAAAACAGCTCTCAAAAGTACCTTTTGTACTCATTTCATGACAGACACAATAGTCGTTTTCATTTCATCACACCTTAGGCTACATATACCCCAAAAATGACGTAAATGTCGTCGAGCATTCCACAACCTCTTTAAAGCAAACGGAAGTTAGTTGTTACCAGCGGAAAATAAGACTTGAATAACATAACATGCATTAAACTAAACGTCCACTAACCAGAATTGCTGACCCGTTGGTACCAGTCACATCACTCCAGTTAGTCGCATCGTCGCTATACTGTACTTTGTATGACGTCACCCAGACGTCACTATCGTGTCTTCCTTGGGTGATCAGGCCAGTAACCGTAGTCGGAGCACGCAGATCGACGCGAATCCATTGGTTCTGGTCAAGCACGGTCGGACACCAAGCCGCTGCAAAAAAATCATCATGAATATGTTGTATTGTATATAGCACGCCCGTGATTGAAGACATATCACAAATATGTCAAACAAACTTTTTAAAAAATTCTAAGTTTCGAACGTTTTATAAGTTACCATTGACATTGAGCCGAGATCTTCGGGCGGAAAAGCCAGCGTGACCAACATCTGATACCGACAGACTGCTATCTGGTATGGCACCGCTCTCCATCCCTAGCGGGTCACGGCAAGCTGAAGGGATTAACAAAATAGGACTAAGCTTGAGCATGTTAACAATATGTATACCCGCACCACTGACGATTCCCGCATTCAATTTTCACTATTCAAAGTTGTGTCATTCATAATGAGCCCAGGTAAAGCACAGCACACTTAAAGTAAGTAAAATCTGTCACCCGGAGCCAATGTGGCCCATCAAGCTGGCGTTTATCTCCGTTTCCAGTAGCAAGATACGACTAGGAATATTTTTGTTCCCCCTGGATGGGATGCTAGTCCATCGCAGGTTACTCCTCAGCTAATGCCGGCACCCATTTATACTCCTGGGCCAAGAGGCAAGTGGGGGTGAAGTGGCTTGCCCAAGAACACAACATAATGGGTAGGGGCTGGATTCGAACCCGTTACCTTCTCATCATGAGCTACGAACTCTAACCACTCATGGCCACACTCCTCACCAGCACATATAAAAACGTAAAACCGGTTATTCAATATCAAGTAAACACACTCACTTATAAGAGTGGATGAAAAATGACAAAGGAATGCTTCTGTCAAAGTTCATTATTTATAATAGCTTCAGCTTCACCCAAATTGCATGACTTGTGATGGTCTTGTGATCCACCTATATGAGTTCTCGATTGGCTAAAGAAATACATATTCCAAATCGTGTTGAGAATGTTCTTACCTAGTTTTACATTGAAAGTACACTCTTGCGTGGCCACATTTCCAGCAGCATCGCTTGCCCGGCAAGTGACCATCGTGTGGTTCTGAGTGACATTCATCGCTGGACTCGGACTGCAAGACACGGTGAGTGGTACACCGGTGTCTGCGTCCTTGGCAGTCGGAGTGGTGTAGGTAACGGATGGGTCGGCAACGTTGATATCGTCAGCAGGACAGTCTGAAAACACGGGCCTGGGAGAACTTGCATCTGAAATGACCGTGGAAAAATCCATCATTGGGAATATGTTCCAACGTTGGCATTACTCACAGTAATACAATTTAATTAGAAAGAAGTAAAAACAATTTACAAGATGTAATTTCCTATCTTTCAAGTCATGAAAATTTCTATCTACGGTGAGATGGGATGTAGTCAAGAAGAAACTCAGCTTTGGCATTCGTACCCACTAGATTTGTTTGTCACTGTTTTCTCGAAGTATAGAAATCAGTCACTATTTAAAAAAATGTATTTTTTAAAAGGTTAATGGTTTTGCTTTTACAACTTTATTTGAATCAAATTTGGTTCTGCCCTTCACCGACGTTTAAACACTGTATACTAAGTGTGTTACCTCCCGAGTGAAAGTTGGAAAAAAATCACTCGGGTGAGACTCGAACCTACGACCTCCTGCTTTCTAGTGCAGATGTCTTAAAAATTCCGTCTTATAATTCCTTTATTTGAAGAAAATATCTCAACGAATGAACTGATGATGGTTAATTTGTCTAAAAAAAGGTACAACATATACACTTACTACAATTCAGCCAGGCTTGAATCTCATCCGAATTGCGGCTTCGCAGAAAGGTGTCGTAATATTTCACTTTGAAGGGGAGGCGAGATGTGCGAGTGTTCACTCCTCCGAGCTTGACTTCCGTACATCGGCAGGGATCCTCAATTGGGATCATCCAGCGGAGAGCGTCGTTTGATTCCGGGTCTGGTGCCTGGCCAAAGTAGCAGACCATTGCTATACAAAGGGGAAATGGATTCACAGTACTTCATTGTTGCCTCTTAAAATCCATTCGCTTGGGGAGGGTGTGATTTGAATAGGGTCCCAATCTACGTTACCGTATGCTTTCTGTTAATATGGGATGTTATAGGCCTATTGGTCAGACGACTGCAAGCAGCCGTCACTTGAGCTTGTTGACTAGGCAAGCTATTCCATAGGAATTCAAATCAGCTCAGGGGTCACAGTCACAAATTGTTCAAGCCGGCACTAAAGAAGGGACTGAACGGCAGGAAGAATTTTTTCTCTCTCCGAATAGTCAACGAGTGGAACAGTCTCCCAGCACATGTAGTGGATGCCAAGTCAATCAACCTATTCAAGAATAAGCTAGATTCCCGGCTCGAGCCAAAAAGGATATGGGGTCTTAAAGGCTTAAGCCTATTCTATTCCCATCATACCTTAAGTGTAAGTGTATAGCCCTGCGGCGAGCTGGCTATAGACCCACTGGGATTATTACAAACACAAAATGTGGTTCTTGTCCGGAGGGGGTGGTTTTTTCAGGGTCAATAGTTCAACCCAGGCTAAAAAGGCAGTCACTACGTTATTTGGCTATGTTTGAAGGAGCACATTGTGAAATATGTATTAACTTTTTTAAAAGAAAAAAGTCGGAATACTCAACAACAAAAAATAATAAGCAAAACGGACTTTATTTTTAAGTACAATCCCTCAGCGGAGGGAAATGCGCCCTGTGTTATGTGGGGCTCTTAATAGGGTTCTCATAATCTCGGAATATATCTAACAAGTAAGAATTTTAACAATTCACACAATATCTCGAGAAAAAAATACGGTTTATAAAACCACCCAGATGACATTCACGTGGATTGCAATGCACATCATACAATGTTCACGTCTCAACACTTGTTTTTTTTTATAGCCCACTTAGTAGTTATTACGTACTCAATATATTATCATTATTATTTTTATATAGTAAACAGAAAAAAATCTTACCTGCGGTTGTTACAGTAGCTCCGAGCATAATGCATACGACCAGGAGTCCGACATTGATGTTTCTCATGAACATTGTACTTGGTTTTTCAGAACAACGCCAAACGTGAACAGTCTGCGTTATGTACTGCAAGTTTCGTTAACGACCAGCTGCAGTTTGCACGTGCAAAGACTAAAACTTGAAACTTGTGTTTCGAAGTGGTTTTTTTCCCTTTTCGTGTTAAGATTGTAACTATACAGACTTCGGATCACAGTTGGCCTATGCTAAAACTGCATTGGAGGACGCGAACTCGATGCGCATTAAACGTCCGCTGCCCAAATTGGCGCCTTCTTCCAACCGTAACAAACAGTTCGAGATTGGAAATTCACGCCTGTAGCCCAATTGCGGCGCTTGTTAGCACGTCTTTCAAACAGTAACCTTCAGAATTTCTCCCCTACAATATTGGTAGTTCTGTATTTTTCCTGGTTGTCATGGGAATCGTTTCAGGATGGAAGACTCCATTTTTTTTTATTGTACGAGAAAAGGGGTTTAAATCAGAATTGTTGGTATTTCTTTTTTTTTTCTAAACCCACTCTTAGAAAAGTCTTGAAGTAAAACAATCCTAGCAAAACTGGTCGCAAACCAGTTTGGTCTTAGATGTCTATGTAAAGTCAACTTAATTTTTGGCCAAAATAAGGATTGAGCAAGTCTAATTCGAAAAGTGACAGTCAGTCACTGAGTCAGTGAGATAGGTTCAAACTTCAGTCAGGGGACTATAAAGGCTGACCCTCGGAGATCAACAAAAACAATGACATAAAACGGAACACAATCAAAACGTTAGCAAATGGGTTTCTTGGATTATAAATTTCACCCTCTCTCAGTTTTTCTCTCTCTTTCAGAGTGGAGTGGGTCTTCAATCTGCCTGCTTGGTGTCTCGCCCGAAAATACACCGTTAGAATATAGCATATTGGTACAATGGTATTGGTTGCTATTTTGAATACCGCGTTTCCATGCGTACTGGAGCGACTTTTCCGGTCCATAACAGCAATAGCAATTATCCGTCAGCATGGTCGATATGGTGAAACTCTGCGATCTCTTCATTTCTGCATACAGAATATTGATTTCAAAATTCAAGCCTAAAATAAAATCTGTTGAGTCTTTGAAGATTTTTTTTACCAGCATCACATTTTTTTCAGCATTAACCTGGCGATCTAAATTCATCATTCGCATAAGCCGTTCTTAACTTCAAAGCACTAAAATAATATCCAATGGGATTTTTTCACAGTAATGAAGTAAGAATAACACCATTATAATCAAACATCATCATCATTATCATCATCATTGGGAGGCCGCAGCCGAGATAAAACAAAATAAATAAATGAATAATACAACATTTCATATCCTAGATTATGGAAGTGCTACATGCAGAACTTCACTAAAACAATGGTCCCGACATTTGGGTTTCGTTTTTTTTACACACCCTATACAGGTTTATACACTGGATATTTTGCTGCAAAAGCCTTGAGAATCCCACGTTGGTTGTTGGTAGTCGTTTTTGCATAATCAGCACAACAGACATCACTAAATGTAGATGCAATTTGGCATTTGCCAGAAATAGCTGCAATTTCACCACTTTGAAACAAAGGCCATAAAAAGAACTAATAAAACCGGCAGCGGTGTATCGAAGCTGTTACTATGGCAATGCCTTAGACACACTGATTAAAATGCAAACACGCTTGACTATTTGGGTAACGTTTCCAGGGCAACGTTTTACTGTAGGATCATAACATTATGAAGTTCTTTTCAAATTGCCTCGAAGGCACGAGAAACCATCGTACAGTCCAAACATTTTCCGGAAGCCTTCACTAAACGCCATCCTTAATTCATATCACTCGATCTGCGCCCCGTATTTGAGTGTTTCACAGTGATCTTCATCCGTCCCATCAACGAATTTAAAAACGGAAAACGTGGGGAAAATCGTCACCCTTATTACGACATGACAAAACATATATGCTAATTTCGAAATGTCTTTGTCGTAACAAACTGATAGTACATTAGCACGGGGCTATGCGATGTGTCACGTCGTGAAAGGGGTATCGAATTGGTATATCTTGTGAACAAATATAAGACATATTTCTCCTTTAGCAATGGTCTGCCAATGTGGTAAGGCACCAGACCCAGAATCACAAGACACTTACCGCTGGATGATCCCAATTGAGGATCCCTGCCGATGTACAAAAGTTGAGCTTGGAGGAGTGAACATCCTTTACGTCTCGCCGCCCTTCACCGTGAAGTATTACGACACCTTTCTGCAAAGCAAGGATCCTCAGGAGATTGAAACAGGGCTGGACTGTAAAGATACGTTCATGAAGACATAATTGATAGATTCGTCCAAAATTGAACACAGAAATGTACCTCAGAGCGGTTGAGAATATTATACATCTTACATTTAAACTTATATACAGGGTGCATCGGAAAAAAAGAAAGAAAACCCAGATGTTAATCTAAATTATAAAAAATATAACACATATTTTCAAATAAGTAAACCTTAAAGGGGCCGGGGGATTCCCCCCCCCTCAACTTTTTCCGCGATAGCCTTGAAAAATATTTTTTTTCCGCGACCCGAGCTGTTCTGACTTTTTAGCTTCGAGCCTTGCCCATCTTTTGATACCAAAAACATGGTGTAGTTTGAAATAGAACAAATTCCATACATTCCCATGAAAAGGCCCATATTCCCGAATTCGTCAATGATCTTTATTGTCTGTGCGAATAAAACAAGGAATTCGTCTTCTACCGGCAAGTCTATGTGAACCAACGTTAAAAAAATAGTAACCATTTTAAAATGCACAATCAAAAAAGGACAAAACATGAGTATAGGCCTACGCGAATATTAAGCATATATCACTCAAGGTACACTAACTTGAAAAGGTGTGCAATAAGCTAGAGAAAAAAATAAAAAAATATAATCGAATTCAGCAAATATATATACTCACACAATCAATCCGTTCTTGCATGGCCTTCGATATCAAGTTGAACTTACATTGAACCCTGAAAGTATAAACACAATTGATTAGGTTTACTATACTATTATTAGCGAGACATCGGCACGTGGAAATTACGAATGGATAAACCTTGACCTCGAGAGTAAACAGAGCTAGGTACAAAGGGCGCTCCATGCAATTCACGTACAATATAGGCCTATATTGTGTGCAACTTCAGCCAAAACAGCGTGTCAATAAAATTGTAGCAGTCATCCATAAATATTGAAAAAAAATACTAGGCTGGCACTCTCATTCTGCTAACGTATTTATACAGTCTGAAGGTGTATAATCTTACTTGGACATCGCAGTCTAGACTCAGATGCAGCTAATTCAATGAAATGACTTGAATTCCACTTGAAGTTGGGCTACTTTGCAGATTATCAGGCATCTATAAAAATGAAAGACATTCACAAACTAAGAAGGTGTTGCGAACAGTAAGAAAGTGGCCCAAGCTGATTTTGACAGTCTTTTCAAGTTTCGCCGTAATTTGTAAAACAAAAGGTCAAGATCACACAGAACAAAAGTCCTGTCAACGGTAGAGAAACACTTTTTAATCTCCAGTGGTATATTTTTTTAGAATTTATTTAAAATGTGTGTTAAAAAAAACCCGGAAAATTGCCTGGACGTTTCATAAACGAAATACAATGCCCGTATATAACCGGTTTTTTTAGGGGGTAATTTAGGCTCATATCATATCAAGCTTTGTGGAACCGCCAATCACACGTTTAGGAACGCCTGAATGGGATGACGTATTTGCTATAAATGTAACTGGTTGTCTCATAGTCACGTCGTCAACTCAGCGCGTCGTCTCGCGGCCTGGTGAAACTGATGTCATTGTAAACAAACACTGAACCGTCGCGTGCATGCAGTGAAGTTCAAATGCGTCAGGGAACCGCACAACACACAAAAGGTACATGCTCCGGTTCTTCCGCTACATTAACAACACGGTGAAATACAAGGCCCTATATAAAGATGATGCGAGCTGTCAAATGCACATTTTAGATTTCACGAGCCTGGGGGAGGTTAAGTTCATCCTGTCCGGTAGATGGTGAGTGTTAGGCTGTTGTACCATTTTACTTAACAATCAGCGAACAGTCAGCAAAATTAACTGACAACAGAGCATTCCGTATATCTGTAAGCCGTGATATTCGGAATATGCTTCTACGTGGTCTTGACTAAAAAAACACCCTTTTATTTCGCATTCACTTTAAGACTAAGAGATCTTTGTTTCATTTCATTCTGTAAGCTACTACACTGTTTGGCATAAATGATCCTTTTGTTAGACATAGCCTATGATACGACGTATGTTATTTACTCAATGTTGTCAGAGGACTCGCGAGAATTCACAAGTCTAGTCTCTCTCCTCGAATGCTGTCGTCCCAAATGTTGAACGGACAAGCCTTCAACATCAGAGTTGAAGGATTCGGAGAGAGACGGGCAATATCTTGGAAGAAGAGCCGGAGGTGAATGTGTGGAGCTTAGCAGATCATTAGTATAACATAGCTAGGGTACTACCCACGAGGAGTGCGGCGAGACCGCTGATCCATTTAGGCCACTCCACACAAGCTAGGTGGGACTCGAACCCGCGACCTCCTGCTTTGCCAGTTGCAGACGACTAACCATTCGACCGCCAAGCTTGCCGGAGCTGGCTGCCTGGTTCGAGTCTGATTGCAGTAAAGTAAAAATATTAAGGCCACAAAATAAAATAGTTCTGCTTCCGGTTTCCCTACCTACCCTATTCTGACAGCCCCTACCCTAATTGTTTTTATTGGAAAAATGAGAAAACAACACCCAAAACCATCAAGTTTTACCTTTTACCCTTGACTAAACGCAGAAGCCTCCATTATAATCGTACACACACAAATTGGCAAAGAATCCCTACCTATCTACCCTATTTTCGAATGAAATATAATCGGAAGCAGAACTATTTGTGTTTGGCTTAAACATTGTTAGGTCTAGTGTTAATGTCAATGTCACAACTTGTTTGTTTCACTCTTTAGAAGGCCGGTGAGTTGGAGGCACATTAATATTAACTTCATCTATAATTCCCGGCATAGTTTCAGCCACATTTTATGCGATATTCATCCATTTTCCTCAGCAAAGTTTACTCTTCATCCGTCTCACCAAGCCGTCATCATGACGTCATTCTGGCGTCAGACGTATTGTTTGTTTCGCCGCAACCTGTTGCTGAAGAGACGAAACATCAAACAACTTCTGTTGGTAAGAATTCAAGTGACACCCACTTTTCTTTCATAGAAAACCTGAAGACCAATAGAAAAACGGCATATCTTGTTTCATTAACAATAAGAAGATCGAGGACACCCTTCCGTTTTTTGAGCTTAGTTTTTGGGTCAAGATTGCCGACATTTTCTTCATTTATCACTAACTTTTTAACCAGTAGTATAACGATGAACATTCTGAACTTTTTTGATGGAACGAACAATCTCCTGATCTTTTGCATTTGGCTAATACCACAATTATCATAAATATACTTTGCCATAGTGGTTAGGATAATGTATCCCATCAAAAGTAACTTCCAGCCAATTTATCGTGTCAAAAAGCATCGTTCGGATAATCTGTCGTGACAATGGAGCGTAGTGATACATGGCCAGACTCATTACAAAAGAATGCTCACTACACCAGACTTTATGAAAAAGACTGTTTTATAATAATGGTCATAGTAAAGTTTGGTCACATTATCCTATTTGGGAGGGGCACACCCCGTATGTTTCCAACAATTGTGCAACTTCCCTTGCAGGAATTGGTGGTCCCCTGCTTATTTATTGCCGCCCTTGCGGTCATCCAGAGCATGACAGCAACTTTAACATTCGATCCTGAAAAGTACGATACCTTCCACGACTACCAGCTGCTGGAATCTAATGCCACGACCCACCGCTCGTTCTTCCCCGACGCCAGCAAACCCTGGGCCTACACCCCCAACACCACCGACACCAGCCGTGTCATGGGCGAGGTCCAGGCGACCTTCGGGGACCACGCACCGCCGGAGATGCTCCCTTTCAGCAGCGAGGCCGACATGGTGGCGGCGTTCAACCGCTCGCACTTCAGCGAGATCGACATCGGGGTTGTCTTCAGCCACAACTTCCCGGACGATCTGACACTTGTCATACGCATGCCGTACGGGAGTGTAGCCAGCAAAGCACTAGGACCATTCCCGGACTCAGGTAACGTACTGGCTAAGACGATTGAGGTCGATTGTGTGTCGCAAAGTATAACGTTCCTTTCCAAAAGCTCTGCCTACCTACAAATGGTTATATTGATCGAACTTGAAAACCTATCTTTGAGAACATCATTATTCTGACGTGCAATCCAGTTATTGTTGCCATCCGCTGTACATTCGGTTTTTAAGTGAAGTAGGCTATTGAAGTCTTGTAACATAATTATGACGGTTAACATTCACTTTCTCATGTCTTGTTTGTTAACAGAACTTTGTTTCAGTTTTGATTCGTCCGACGGTTCGCCCGGTCTTGTCTCTTCTGATGCCAACTCGTATCTGTACTCTGGTTTCGCCGCTCTTCAAGTCGTCTTGCAAAATGCTGTTGCAAAGGTTGGTATCATTCAAAGGGCCTGTGGCCAAGGCTACTGCATTAAAGTAGCACGGAGATTTTGCTGCTTGCGGAATCATTTTTAATTGATTCAACATTAATTCAACAATGGTTTCTGCTCATCCGCCCGATTAAAACGATCGATGCATTAAAATGGCCATTCCATTTGCTGCTTTTCTTGGTTATGTGGATTGACACAGTGGTATCACGCTGTAAAGTTGTGACGTACAGGGTGAGTCAAAGTAAACGAAACCCAAGTGTCGGGACCATTGTTTTAGTGGAGTTCTGCATGTAGCACTCTCAAAATCTAGGATATGAAAGCCGAATTCATAAGTTTTCTTTCAGTACAAGAATCATTTAAATCACTCATGTGCTTTTCAAGATACGGAATTTAAAACGCAACCACCGTTTTAAAGTTCTGTCCCCGGATCACGAGAAGGTAAGTGTTCTTTCATCAAAACGCCAGAAAACAAATCACATAGAGATGTGTGTGAATTGTTTTCGTTTTGCTGAAAGTACACACACCTTTTTTTTTTGTAATCCGTGGACAGAACTTTTAAACAGTGGTTGTGTTTCTAACTCCGCCAACTTAAAAAGTACAAAAGAGATTTGAATTATTTTTGCGTTAAAAGAAAGCTTATGAATTGGGCTTTCATATCCTAGATTTTGAAAGTGCTACTTGTAGAACTTAATTACTAAAACAATAGTCACGACAGTTTGGTTTCTTTTTTTTTTACTCTGCCTGTATAATGTTTTGGCTCCTTGCAGGTAGTAACGGGACAATCTATTCCAGTGCCTGACATGTGGGTTCGGATGTTTCCTTTGGGAGAATACTTCGGTTCATACCAGCAGTCATTACTCTTATGTGTTGTGGCCTACGTTCTAATGTACGGCTTTTTCGTCAGCATACTGCTGACCAATCTCGTGTATGAGAAAGAGAAGAAGATCAAGGAGAACATGCTGATGATGGGAATGTCCAACGCAGCCTTCTGGTGAGAACATTCATAACTATAAGGGTTTGTCCCTCACAAGCGAATTGCTTGCGAGCATATTGTGCCCTTGTGTTTCCTGAAAGCATGTAAGAAATAACCTATAAAAAAATTCCTTGGGCTGGGCTAAAAGCCTTGGCCACAGAAATAACTGGGATACATGACCGGTGCTATTTGGCACATCGGCGGATACCGCGATCAGCGATATTCGATTGTATTTGGACCGTAGTTTCTTTATCTCTATGCTAGTTTGTGACATCACGGCAAGTTTATAGCTGCGAATTCACCAAAAAAATTGAGCGTATTGTTTCAAATCCGGCGAATGTCGAAGCGAATGCTGCATTGAATCGCTTCGTATTTGCCTTCGCGCGAAGTACGACTCGGCCTTACAGTATAAAGTATAGACGCAAACACTTGTGCAAATCGGGCAAATTGGACCCTATTTGTCTGGTTATAAGACTATAGTGACAATATGATAATTTAACAAGTACTTTTTGTTCGGTCCTTGAAATACGCAGGCTTGCCTGGTTCATGGTCTATGGGATCGTGCTCATAGTGGTTTCTCTGATCATTACACTGCTGAGTAAATACGCCATCAATACCACAGCGACGGGAGATTTCTTCCTTGTCTTCCTAATTCTCTTCCTCTACGGAATGTCACGTAAGTCAATGTTTTTGTTTTTTATAGTTGAATACAGTGTAGTTTGGAATGTCACTAAACTTCACATGTTGGGCCTATTCCGCAGAATTGAGTGAAGTCGATCACTCTGATATACAAGAACAAAAGACCGTAGACTAATAAATGCAGTTTATCGACCAACAGATGCCTGATATGTGATTTTGCTCGGTGTCATTTGAAAACTAAGGGCAGCCCCAGGACGACCTTTGAGTTCATTGCGCAGGGAAGGAACCGTCGGCGTCCAGCAGATAGGTAATGTTCAGGTCAGCAAACTAAGAAATCGTGTGATTCCTGAATGCGTCTTTTATTTCTTGTTGTTCTCAGTTATCAGTCTTGCGTTTATGCTGACGCCGTTTTTCAACAAGGCCGTGGCCGCTGGGGTGTTTGCGACGGTGCTTACCTTGATTCTGACCGTGGTGTACGTGGCCATCACTTTAAGTTCTGGCGTCGACATTTCCATCAAGTGGCTGCTGTCTTTCTTTTCACCAACAGCTGCCGGTCTAGCCATGGACCAGGTATGCCTATCATATACAAAGACAAAACAAACACATGTGGGTGGACTTGATTTGAAACGAGGACGTCGCCATTGTTGCTTGACATGGTACGTGTCCACGAAAGGGGGAGGATACTAGTGGAATATCAGTCTGTCACCAAGAATGACACATTGTTCAGTTGGGATCATAGAATTTGCGAACAGACAATACATATTGGAAACACGATATTTTTGACGTGATGTGCGTGTCGCCCTAAAGTTTCATTTCGATAAATTGATGGGACATTGGATCCGTTGCTCTTCATGTATTTTGTTTGTTTCCAATAATGACACCACTCAGAAGCCATAGTAGAATATTCCAAACCTAACCTGTTGAAGTTTCAGCTCAGTGGATACTACACTTTCGAGAAAACTGTAAAACACACCGTGTACAACCTTTGATCACGAAACACAATTTCATCTATAACACTGTTATTTTTCTCTACAAAATTATGTTAAGTGACTGATCGCTGGAAATCAGCGGAGCATTACAGAAGTACGATCTTTAGTCCAAGTCCGCATTTGTATATTATTAATAATTCGCTTGGATAACTTTGGGGGGGGGGGAATGCAAATGATCGTATATGCCTACAAAGGAAATACACCAAATTAGTGAGTTAAATTATAGCCTGAGCCTTGCCGAACTGACTTTGCTTTGCCTGAATTTAAAATGTGGTCCTCTATTGGTTCAGGCCTTGCTGTATGAGACGCTTGGACCTGGGATCCATTTTGACAACATCGGGCTGGATGGTTACCCGCCGTACGTGGCCATGCTGGCTATCGACACCGCGCTGTACTTCCTACTTGCCGTATATTTTGACAACGTCATACCTGGTGAGACCTATACAGATAATACCGATAATATGGTTTATAGTGTGTGAAAGTACGCAGCACTTGGGAATATTTAATATAATGCTAGAATTTGAAACATTAGATCACCTGGCAAGAGCAATTAGCTCCTTGACTGGCTAATATTAAGATTAATGCCTTTTCCAACCTGCTACCAAGAGCTACTTACCCCTGTTTTAAAAGGTCATTAAGCACGATATTTGCAATGCCTCTTACGGTTTCCATTAAAAAAAAACACCGCGGTTGTGTACGTGTGTTAAACAACATGATATACAACTTTGGCTTTTCCAAAACTGTTCATATACAGGGAACTACGGTCAGCACAAGCCGCCGTGGTTCTGCTTCATGCCTTCGTACTGGCGCAAAGGTTCAAACACTGGTGTCAGCAGCCCTCTGGATTTTGACAGATTTGATGCAAGGAAAGATGTGGAGAAGGTATCCCCGGAAATGAGAGCCACTACTGGTATCAGGTATTGGAAGGATTTTGCATTTTTTTTTTAAAGTTCAGTATAGATATCTCTTCAAACTCTTCCCCAAAGCACCATAAATAAACAAACTTTTCGGTGTTGGTATAAGGATCTGACTACAAAAATTCAGGTATTGGAAGGATTTTGCATTTTTTTGGTTTTAGTTCAGTGTAGATATCTCTTCAAATTCTTTCCCAAAGCACCATAAATAAACAAACTTTTCGGTGTTGGTATAAGGATCGGACTAAAACATTTTATTTAACGAACTCTAATCTTAAATATTTAAATAAGAAAAATACCGTTTTCTTCTCGTAGGATTTGTAATTTGTCCAAGACGTTTAAGGGAGGTTGGGGTGAACCAGATGTTCTTGCTGTGAAAGGTAAGACAAATACGTGGGAACAAAAAAAAATTAACCGCAAACATAGCAGCGTCAAAATCGTAGGCTTTCAAATCTGTTGTCTGACCTGCTTTCATGTTTCTGCTTGAAAAGATATGACACTGGACGTCTACGAGGGCCAGATCACCTGCCTCCTGGGTCACAACGGGGCCGGTAAGACCACTCTGATCAACACCCTGACTGGCCTGATAACAGCCGACAGCGGCCAGGCCACCATATGTGGCTACAGCATCCGGGATCCCATACAGATGCAGAAGATTCGGTCCATGATGGGGGTGTGTCCTCAGGAGGACACGCTCTTTGACACCCTGTCGCCTCGGGAACACCTCAAGGTGTACGCCGGACTGAAAGGGGTACCTTCAAGTGAAACCAATTCAGAGGTAGGTGACACATTTTGCGAAGTCTCAATTCCTGTAATCAATAACCTCTTCGTCTCCCTGTAACTAAAGTCCCTCTGATCTTTCTACACCTACTGACAGGTGGAGAAGATGTTGAGGCAAATCCAGCTAATAGATTCGGCCAACACCAAGTCTAAGAACCTTAGTGGTGGGCAGAAACGCAAACTGTGCGTCGGAATTGCTCTGATCGGAGACCCAAAGGTAACAATTCAGCTTACGAGCGCCAGTCCATGCTGTGACTGTTTGTCCATCTTGTCCCCCATGTTATTCCTCCTTGTGTTTCCATTTGACATCAATATGTTTGGTAGTGGCTGGCCATGATTCAGACATCGCGAGACGACACACGGCGATAGAGGTCGTGACCACCCCTGTTCGTTCCACCTTTATTGACACCCTCAGGAAAGATGTAGATGTGGCACACCGATCGGAGCTTGTGGCCTGCCTTCTGGACAGGAAAGGTCTGCGGTCTGACGTAGAGCTCGGTAGAGGCCGTCGTGATTGATGGTCATCTGTCAATTACGGTGACCAGTCAACTACCAATAAGTTGTTGCGACTTGCTGAATGGTGGCCACCGTTATATTTTACCACCTCTTATCGCCAGGTGCTGCAGCATTGTCAACTTCGTAACCATTTGTGTCCCTTTTCAAACTATAGACCTTGCAGCTAAATCATGTAGACATTGACTTGTTCATCCTGCTAAAATTGTGGTTAATCGACCTGTCTATTGTTTCCACAAGATGTGAAGCATCTGATGTTTGCCCTCTCGCAGGTTCTGTTTCTCGATGAGCCGAGTAGCGGCATGGACCCGTACTCTCGCCGGCAGATGTGGTCACTCCTGAAGAACCAGCGACAGGGACGGATCATGGTGCTCACTACTCACTTCATGGAGGAAGCTGACATCTTGGCAGGTCAGAGGTCATGTGGTATTTTGTTCCCACACAATTGCCAACATTTCATGAGAGATGTTGTCCAGCAATTAAAGCCTATCGCTGAATAGAATTTATGAGAGTCTCGGAAGTATTTGTAGCCTTAACTCCCTACGGGGTGTGTAAAATCATACTGAAATTGGAGGATTCGGGACTGTTAGGGTTAAAGGTGTTGTGGTCCAATGGTTTAATTGTTGGACTCATGTACTGTGATACATGGTACACGAGTTCGAACCCCACAGGGAACATGGTGCTTGTGTTCTTGAAAAAGACGCTTTACAACAACTCCACCAAGGATAATGAATTGGTATCTGGGAAGAGATAGGTAGAGGCCATATTGCGCAGATGTGCAGCAGCTACAGAAAATGGTCTCATTGCCTGACGAACAGGGATAATTATTGCGAAGCGATTTGATACTGCTATAAACACCAAACATTATTATTTTGCGATCGCAAATATCAGATGCCAGCCTGTGGAAGCTAGCAAATGGAAGCCATGGAAACTCTGTCAATTCTTCTCATGGTTTAATACCTCTAAGCTGCTATTAATGTAGCGGAAGTGCTTGCACGCCGGCTGTGGGGCGGGCCTGGGCCTCCGTAAGTAAGGACTGAATTGACAAATCCATATAAAAACATGAATCCTAATTATTTACATGCATACTTCATTTTATGCAATAATCATAATTTTATGTAATAAGAACCTCATTAACCACGCGCCAGCATCGCACGTGTATATCCAGTGAACGTGCGAGTGTTCAGCGAGGGCGTATTTAGCGAGTATCCTCGCAATCATATAGGGTTATTACTTTTATAGGCGCCACTGTACCAAGTGTACCGTACAGCGTGCACACAGACAGTGTTACGTGCATAGAAAATTTACAAACAACTTCAGCGTCGAAAAATGCAGAATATCGTTGCAAGGATAAAACAAACACTCTAAAAACATACTCACTCGGACACCAAGGGGTGGGTGGACACTCCTAGTGGTGAACAGAACCACGCTTGAGCCACAGAACCCAAGGTTTTCTGATGTGTTTCCCATCCGAATTGTGTGTGAGTTCCGCATGAGAGGGATGCAGCCATGGATATAATAGCGCCCCCTCGGAACCAAATAACACGGTAAACTAGGTTGGGTATTGGTGCGCGGTAAAAATACAATTATCATACAATTATTGCTCGTATCATTAATAAATCACTATCCAAAAGATTCACGATAATTTACGAAGCAATGCTAGACAGGAATCCCAACTCAATGTGTCTCAATCAAATGATGATTGTGAAAGTGGCTAGAACTACTTTCCATACAGGTGCGGGCATACGAAAGTGAACCTGTCCAACTTCTCGTTGCTGCGCAACAAAGTAAAGGCGAAATTAAAGGGAATGGACCGATCCAGTAAGCTCCGCCCAGTGTGCACGTGGGCAAATTAACACGTGCTCCTCTCCAATGCCACGCTGCATTTTTTCTTCCGCGCGCATCATACGCGCGTGCACATGTCAGACTTTTGTGCACGCACGTCGGACATAAATCACGGCTGTGATTGGTCAGAACACCATGGGGCGGTGCTTACTGGATCGGTCCATTACGGCTTGGAATGAGCCCAATGGGGCTGCAAAACGCGTTTTAAACAAAATATGATATTTAAGAGAAAGAGCTTTTATACATCAACGTCCACAGAACCATCCCCTTAAAGGCTGGGCGTTTTGTTTTACTCTTGCGAGGACCATGACGAATTTCGGGGGTCACGAAAAATCCAGCTGTTCAGTGCTAGTTGTGATCTAACCGCACAGTGCAGTGGTTCGCAACCTGCGGACGTGTACGAACAAAAGCATTCTTAGCACTTTTTCTCACAGTTTATACAATGTACGTGGCCAATGCCTATATGGTTGTCAACTTAGAGTGTTATTATGGCACATGCTCTTCAGCTCCGGAATTTTCTGTACACGTAGCTGAGTTAGCTAATGAACGAACTTTATTGTACCAAGACAAAGTAATACCAAAATTTTTGTCCGCAGAAAACCCAACATTTCTGGTATTTTTTTGATGCTGAACCAGCTTTTACATTGAAGCTGTGTTCAGATGACATTACTCTTTTTTTGCTAATAAATATGGAAATTTGTATTCACATAATAACGCAGTCGCTACCAAATATGAAAATTAACTCTGCATTAGACACATAAGAAACATAATCAATAGAGATTTCTTTCGCATAAGCCCTTTAATGTACAGCTTAAATACTGAAAGTAAGGGTGATATACTTATTTGTAGATCGTAAAGCTGTGATGTCAAGAGGAAGTCTCCGTTGCTATGGTTCCTCCCTCTTTTTGAAGAATCGATTCGGCATTGGATACCATCTTGGGTAAGAAAAGTGTGTTATTAAGATAAAAATATTGGATAGTTTTATGAAGAAGGCCTAACTGCATTGCGCCTTACCGAACTGTGCTATATTTAAAATAAAATTCCTGATATTGCTTCAGAAAACCAAGTTTTACCATGGACATGCTGAGAAAGGAATACTGGTAAAGCCTATCCTTAATACATTAAGTATACAAATAATGAAAGTTTATGAGTGCAATGGTAAGAATAATTTCATGGGAAGACAAATGGATGTTCCATTCCATGAGGCGAAGCATGCAATTCCATCTGTCACCGAATGAAATTGTTTTATTTTTTTCAATTGCACGCATGTAGCTCATTATTTATGGTATACAACACCTGACTAAATCCTCGTCATCTGATTGGTCAGAGCCACCAGTGTGACCGTGCAATGGAAATTCTATTTGCCGTGGAGTAGAACTTCCATTTTTGCGGCGCAGTCGGGCCGTGGCCTGGACGAATAATTCAATTACATGTTATCAAGGACCCACCAATCAGATGGCAGGATTCATTCAGGTGTTGTATAATAAACATCAGTCATCACTCTCAATTTATAAACTACATGTAAGCTCAATTCTGTAATCAGAAATGTTGGCATGTCTTTTATTTTTTTAGCATGGTTGTGGAGCAGGATGTAAATGTTCAACAAATCAACCAACTGGTGACAAGACATATTCCTGAGGGTAAGGTCTCTCGAAGTCACGGCATGGAATTGTCTTATACACTACCACTTCAGGAATCGGACAAATTCCCAGGTAAAATTTTACATTGCAGTTTGGTAGACCTCATTTAAAAAAAAAGATTAAATTTAATGAACGTATTTTCTCGGCATGCACCGATGTAAAATGTAATCAAAATGTATTCGTTAAATGTTAATTTTAAAAAAATCACATATTTGCACCTTAAAAGGTCTGTTTCAAGCTTTGGAGGAAACCACTGAGAGCGGTCAAACGGTTGCCAAGCAACTTGGGATCCAGTCGTATGGTGTCTCCATGACAACGCTGGAGGAAGTCTTCCTGAAACTCAGCGAAGAAGAGGAAGCAGATGAGCAAGATTTGCAGAAGAATTCATCGGGTATTTTACTGCAACCAAAGCTAGGATGGATGAGCTCAAGTTGGCTACAATTAAAGTGTATAACAAACTTATTATGGAAAACAAAATGCCACTGAGAACCCATGCAGTCACATTATGTTTATGGTAAAATCATGATTTCAAAACTCCAAGAAAGTTCACTTTGTTGTCTTATTAATTTTTCCGCATAGTACTCCCCACAGACGATTCTGAGACAACGCCACTCCTTCAGGCGAGAGAAGATTCTCGTGAGAACACTCTCGTTGATGCTGATCCCATGTCGTTGGATGTTGAGCATTACATCACACAACCTCTTCGGCCGGGCAAGTACCAGATAAGGACGCTCTGCAAAGCCCAGCTGCAACAGATCCTACGCAGTCCCAAGGTGATTTGACAAAAGTTAATTATAAAACTTAGAATCTGAACTGAGTCGTCGAGGTGATGAAATCCAGAAAAGAAGAAGCTTGTTCCCAAATCCCAATGTCTAAATACCGTCGCAGGGCCAGCTGAGAGCTAGCCCTCACAGCTAGGCATTTTGAAGTTTGTCTATATTTGTTTTCAGGTATCCATTAGCGAGAGGAAGGACAATCCATTTGACAATCAAACGGACATTTTTATGATTCTAGAAATGTCTTTGGTTTATAAACATATTGAAGCACATTTTGTAGTGGTGTCAAAAGGGTACAAATTGAAGAATGACCAACTATTTGTCTTTCCACAATAGACGTATTTCTTCCGACTCGTATTCCCATGCTTGATCATGGTTCTGGCCGCCATCTTGACGGCAACCGTCACACTGGACACCACTTATGGCCTTGACGAAGGTCCCCTGATCCTTGACCCTAAGATGTACGTGGAGACCACTTCTCATAGCTCGAGACTACAGACGCCTCTCCTGTACGAAAACAACCTCACAATGGGTGAGCAGGGTAAGTACTAGAGATATCGGCACGCTGAAGTCGGAGTGGGAGACTCTTGGGCAATTGGTGGCAGCAAACACACTGGTGCTTTTATGTCGTTATTATATGTCAAATGAATTTAATGTAAACTTGACCATTCAGTTGTATCTTGATCTAGAGCATATGAGCATTATGAATGGCAAAAAAGTCTTTGAGACAGTACATACTTTGAGTCCATTAATTTGTTGTTAGTGGTTATCACATCTCATTCGGTGCTGGTGTATTGTGAATTACCGCAGACATCAAGTTGCTGACCGACCAGTTTCATCGCATGGGGCTGGTCAACAGAGGCATTGACGACGTGAGCCAAGTGATGTCAGTTGCCCCACACAATCTGGCCATAGTCGCCGACAGTTTGGGTGAAGGAACCGTAAGTCGATCAGATCATTAGCAGACAATATGGGAGACCACAAGGAAGTAACAATTACTTGTACTGTGCGGACTTTCAGGTCAAAATACCAGTGACGCGGTATAAAGTGTTCAAACAAAAACGGACTTTGGTGCACCGTTGAACCGACCACATTCACGTTTGCTTCCCATACCTTTAGAACGAGACTCCGAAGGCCGTGGCAATGTACAACTGCTCGGCGGTCCACTCTCTTCCGATCACACTCAACATTCTCAGCAACGCCTTCCTGCCTCTTCAGACCAGAGATAAGAGAGTCTTGGACATGACCATCGCCAGCCACCCGTTCCAGGTGCAAATCTCTACCTTTCGTGAGGCGAATCCTGGGATTTTCATGATGGTTGGCATCGGACTGGCTATGGTCATCCCACCCATGGGCTTCATGATCAACGTTGTCAAGGAACGACAGGTTGGTCGAGCAATGGACCGATCCAGAAAGCTCCGCCCAGTGCGCACGTGGTCAAATTAACACGTGCTCCTCTCCAATGCCACGGTGCATTTTCCTTTCGCGCGCATCATACGCACGTGCACGCATGTCGGACTTTAGTGCACGCACGTCAGACATAAATCACGGCTGTGATTGGTCAGAATACCATGGGGCGGTGCTTACTATACTGGATCAGTCCATTAACACAGATAATGAGATTCGATCACAGGCATCGGATCATTTTCAATGTTCATTATTTAATTTGGTCTTTCTGGCAATGAATCCAAGGGATTGCTCAAAAGCGCCCTAGGCACTGTAGCTCGCAAGCCTGAGGAAACCTGTGGATAGAAGACAGTGAGAAGAAGTTACAGTTTTAGAGGTGGGAGGAAAAGCCTAGATGAATATTCTGGGGAGCACCCATGGGATCAGGAAGAGGTTTAAAACCCAATCTACATCGGGATTTGAACCTGGGTCAAAGCCGTGGAAGGCGAGGAAAGTACCGCTATAAGGCCAACCTGATTCCCCATTGACACAAGTGACAGAAAACTAAGAAAATTGGCTTCTTCTGGCTGTCATCGGTTTATTTGGTTGATGTTCTTTCCACTAGTCCCCTCCATCACTCAGAATCACTATTACAAATTTGCTATAATAACTGATCTTTTCTTTAATCGGACAATCACAGGATCAAGTGCTCGCCCAGCTGCGAGTATCAGGGGTCTCAATGGCCAATTACTGGGTGTCGCATTTCCTGATAGACGCCGCTCAGATGTTCTTGATTGTCATCGTCGCTGTCATCCTCAGCTTGGCTTCTGGATTCTCCATCCATGGGACGTCGCTGACTACGGCAGGAGGGATGTTCGTTTTTGCCGTCTTTATGATCATCTTCACACCGTTGTCCGTTTTGTTCTCCTACTGCCTGAGTTTCCTCCTCAGAGAGTACAAGATGAGTCTGTGGGTCGCTCAGTTGTTATACATATATGTGAGTGTCCATAGGGATAATAGCAAATCAGATTTCTTTCTTTATCACGTTTTATCAATGGTCACTACCTGTGCCGTGTATGGTTGTCATAATCATGCCGACCCAGCACTGAGTGTTGGCCCAGTGCTTTTTTCCCCTCATTTTTTGCCATCATTCACAGCTTTGAAGGCTACAGCCTAATGCCAATGTGCTTGGCGCTACTGATTTTTTGCCTACTACAATGGCGACACTGATTCCCATGCACCCAGACTTAGAGCGCTTTCGAAACGACTGGCTTTGGCTTCGTCTTCGGCTTAATGACATTTTAGGCCCCGACTTCGGGGACTCCAGCCACATTTTGGTGCCTGTTATGCTTCAGGAACATTCAATCGGTTGATATGAAGACAAAAGTTGGAATACTTTCGTTTAGTTTGCCTCTCAGTGATTCAGAAGTAGGAGGCGAAGCCGAAGCCGAAGCCGAAGCCGAAGCAAAGGTTTCGAAAAACCCCTTAGGCAGTGTCACGTGGATCAGTGAGCGCGCCCCCTACAGGAGAAGGAACACTCATGGGTCTGAGGTGTATTACACCCCGTCAATTAGAAAGAATATATTGAGTTTTGTAACCCCTAGGTTAACCTTTTCTTCTTTTTTCTCCAATGTGTCTATTGCAGCTGCCTGTCTTCATTGCAGTGATGACCATTGTTCTTCATCATTATGTACTCGGGGCATTAATGCCGATGTTATTGGAACTGACCCGCGATCTTGGTCTGGTCTTTAGCTTTCTCTATCCTCCATTCTCTGTCTTCATGATGCTGTACCATATCGAATCGGTAAGTCACAATCTGGAGGTGAGAACGGTGAGGGGGGGGGGGGTCGATGTAGCCAGAACATAGACCCAAAGGCTGCATAGACCCAAAGGCTTCTTTTGCAAATCACATACGCGACGCCGGGAAAATGGCAATGCTGGTAGTCCAGTAGAGTCGAGACCGAGTCTCGAGGCACTTGACTCTGGCGTCGAGTCCGAATCTTGAGTCATTTTGGTCCTAGTCCGAACCCGAGTCCGAGTGTTTTGCCGATGTGAGTCCAAATCACCGAAATTGCCACTCGAGGTCTCGGGTCCGAGTCCTGGATCCGAGTCATATATCACGTCGGGTATGATGGGCTTGACCCTACCCTCAGGCGCGGTTCTAGAACCAATATTGGGGGGGGGGGGGGGGCGCTAGCAGGGTGCATCCAGATTTTTTTTCAGGGAGGCGTGCTGAAATGTAGACCGGTTATTTTCTCCAGACACTTAGGCCTCCGAAAATCAATAGGTGGGGCGGGGGGGGGGGGGGGGGGGGTCATGCCATATTTTCGGAGCGCCAATAAAATCCTAAAATCATTCACACTATATTAACTATACAAATGCACCCTTGTCACGACTATTTCTTTAGGGGGAGACCGTTCGCAAGTACATGTACATCACAATCCTTCTTTTTGCTAATGCAATTTCTTTTTACGGAATTGATTTTGGGGGGGGGGGGCCTGGACACAATTTTGGGGGGGCTAAAGCCCCCCTAGCCCCCTCGTAGAACCGCGCCTGCCTACCCTACAACTCTACTTATACCCTAAGCTTGGTATACAGATTACTAATAACATGTAAGTACATCAGGCTCTAAACGCGGGCCTACTTTGTTATATATCTTTCTATGTATCGTTTCAGTTCTATCAACAATTATACCGATTTGAACAATTGGACACGCTTACATTCCAAGCGTACATGACGTTCGACGCATTAATGCTACCAATCATCATATGTGTAAGTATATAGGACCACCAACACAAGTATCTGATATTTACATGTCGTTATCGAATACAAGACTCTTATATTGTAGACAGTCACTTTCAAATGTGACACGTCATTAATAATTTATGTAATCATCTCAATATGCTGTAATTGTTTTGACTTGAATAACGTATCCATCTCGAGAAAATATAGGCATAAAACAGAATTAATTATACATGACGCATTATTTCATATATTCCACCATATTGGTCTTTGTTTTCTTGTTTAAAGTGTGTTTTGTTTTACTTATGCGACAGGTCCTACTATCACTTGTGGTGGTGGTGTTCTTATTGTACTTCTTGGATACCTTTTCTTCTGGAGGCAATCTGCGGGATGTGTTCAGGTTGAGGTAACACGAAAGAATGCTCACTTAATCTTAGGCAAGTCCAACTACCTTTAAAACGACTTAGCCCACTGATTACAGATTGAAAACCATGGCCGGGTGATGGCCGCAACCTAGCTTGATCTGCATCAATGTTTAACGACGTGCACAGCTTCGAAGTTGTAAACTTTTGACGCCAGGAATTTATCAAAACTCTTCAATTTCAGTTACCGCTTCAATTATCTTTATGGAAGCGACCTACCGAAGCTCAGTGGACAAATAGTAACGTGTTACGAGATAGATTAGTATTTTGACTTTATTTCAAAGGAAAAGGACCAATCCAGCTCTCCCAAACGATGACATAATTGAGGATGAAGATAGTGACGTGCGTCTGGAGCGACAGAAAGTGGAAGCCGTGTTACGTAAAGGCAGTCGCCATGATGAGGTTTGTAGATTTCACCCAGCTGAAATTTGCGATTTCGTGTCCTTTTATCGTCATGTGTAATCTTTGAGACCTGCAAATCACAGTTTGATAAGTCATGCTTTTAACAGAGCTGTTTTTTCTTCATTGAAGTTGCCCATTTCAAGCCTGTAGGCGTGTTTTGAGTTTTGAAATGGCACTATGCTAATTAAGTTGAGAGTCTCGTATAAAATTTGCATAAACTATCTGATTATAACCCAACACACTACTTATAATGTCACCGGTATGGGATATGTCGAAGAGACATGTGGAAATGGCAATCCCAAAGTTAACTTTCATTTCAACTTTATCTTCCGTGCACTAATAAGAAGTGTATCATGGCTGCCTCCGGCATACGGAAAGTATACAATGAAACGAGTTGGTGTTGCTACTGTTGCCGTAAGAAGAAGTACAAAGCAGCAGTTCGCAACCTGTCGCTCAGCGTGAATGAAGGGGAAGTGTTCGGCCTACTCGGACCCAACGGAGCCGGCAAAACGACCTCCATGAACGTCATGACGGCCGAGACAAAGCCTGCCAGAGGACAGGTGGGTATAAGAAAACAAAAGTCCCCTTTTAAAAAAGACTTGGTGATGTTATCATTAGAGAGCATGGTAACCTAACTCTATCGTTTTGGCTTAGGTCATGATGTTTGTACAAAAATGAACGCAGTAATTTATCTTGAAGCTATCTTTGTCATTTCCAAGGTTCGTTAGCGTTGCTTCCAAAATGACAATGGACTTATACAGGTCGTAAAGCCCTTGAAGATGGCATCCTGAGAATGAAAACGCAACACAGGGAAAGTTGACAACAAAATAGTGCAGTTGGAAAGTGAAGGCTTCGTAGTTCAGATTAGGTCACCACCGGAGGTCTTATGTTCGGCATGTTCGGTCTTATGTTCGGCATGGGTGTTAAATCTGTACTCATGCCATTATATTGATCACAGGTACAAGTTGCTGGCTATAACATCACGTCATCTCGGAGCGACGCGTTCTGTGTCATGGGTTACTGCCCTCAGAACAACCCACTGTATGCCAACCTGACGATGCGGGAGCATCTTGAGGCGTACGGGAAGATCAACGGCGTTCACCCGGATGACGCCAAGACAATTGCCCAACAGTGAGTATACAGATGTTTCTCCTGAACTGTTGTGCCTCTACTTTATTGGTAAATTTCTTGACGGTTTTAAATACGCCCGTGTACGCGTGCATGTAATTCGTTTGTTTCTGTGCACCGATTCGGCTGATATTGCGATTGGAAGAAAAAACACTCCATTGGAAGTGGGCTTGGGGTTTGTATCAATATATGTTTGGGTGAGATCATCCGACTCTTGGTGAAGAGAATAGACAGATAACATTATTACTGGTGTGATTACCTAACATCTTTCATTTTTGTTAACTGGACTTCCTTGAGGGAATTGTGGCTATTATGAAACATCAGTCTGTATCAATAGATCATTCGTTTTAATGGTAAACATTCTGGTTTAGTTTCATGAGTGTCCTCAACATCAGTGAGCATGCCAACAAAAAGGCACAGCAACTGTCGGGAGGAACTAAGAGAAAGGTGCGTATAGTCAGACTATCCGCTCCGTACCCCCTCACCAGCAAAGAGAGTACAGTTGGGGGTGACCGACCGACGCCATCTTGCCTGCAGTGTGACCGAAGCGCCAAAACGGCCGCGAACTCGAAACATGTTTACGGTCACTGCGCCAAAACGTGCCCCTGACTGCAATTCATTTGCTGCGAAGCGCGGCCACTGCGTGTACATAGTACAAATCCCCTGGTGTACTGGCGTCACACACAAGAAACAGTGCGCGTCAACCAGCGAAATGTCCCGCCCATGGGACGTCGTTGCTAGGTAAAAGGGCGCCCTCTTTCATCGGTGCACGCTGCCCATAGAGGATTACGCATGGGACCATGTTTAAAACTGAATACGATTAAATATTGCTTCACAAGTTTACAACTAAAATCATAGGAGGTGCCCTCTAAAATGGCCGCTACGCATGAGATATGTTGTCCTATATATTTTCCATGTTGTGTTAGTGAGCATATTGTTGTAGTTGCATACTCTTGTTCTTTGTCTTTCTCTTCAACAGCTCTGCTTTGCTATAAGCATGATAGGAAAACCCAAAATTGTGTTTTTGGACGAACCATCAACTGGTATGGATCCAACCTCCAAGAGGTTCCTCTGGTAAGTCACTTAAAGTTTAACACTGAAGTTGTTTCACATATTTTTACGCTCGCAATGAAGCAATAAAACATATTTCGAGTAGAAAGTAAGTAAAGTCTTTCACGAACCAAGGTGGCAAATCAGGCTGGCGTTTATCTCTGGTTTCTTTGGCATGAAACGACTGAGAGTATTTCTATTTCCCCTCGGATGGGATGCCAGTCCATCACAGGCTACTCCCAGCTTATGCCGGTATCCATATACTCCTGGGTGGAGATAGGAAGTGAAGTGGCTTGCCCAAGGACACAATATATGGCCAGCAGCTGGGCTTGCACACTCCCCAATTAAAGCATATTTAAAGATACGTCCTGAAAGATGTTGTCACTGGATTTGTTTTCTTTTGTAGGAACACAATCATCTCTAGTTTCCGGGGTGACCGGGGAGCTGTCTTGACCACGCATTCCATGGAGGAGGCAGACGCGGTGTGCTCTCGTGTTGGAATCATGGTGTCGGGAAAGTTGATGTAAGTCTCATTTTCTTGAGATCGTACAGGGATACAGGGTTCATTTTGTGCGCGAGGATTGCGGGACTGTAATATTTGTGTATAAAGATTGATCACGTGTCTTAATAAAGATGGCGTCGTCCACATCAAATCATAGCGTGAGGATGTGTGGTTAGGCTGCAGTATTACGTCGCATTCGCACCACGATTGAACTTCATTTACCACACAGATTTAGTCTATATTTCTAAATTGTCCAAGAAAACACAGGTGCATGGGTGAAATTAGGTATAAAAACAAAACAATGAAACAACAGCAAAGATGGTGGTCGTCAAACGCCATTGGAATACAGACGGGAACCTCATGGTGCCTCCGCTACATTGTGGCAGTATTTTGACCCAGCAACCATCAGAGTTTCCAGGTTCCTTACAGAACCTCACAAACCCTCAAAAGAGAAAAGTTATCTGGCGCAACCGTAAGCCTCATCTTACAACCATCTTCGTCCTCTCGCCAGGTGTCTTGGAACGACCCAACATCTGAAGGGCAAGTACGGCCGTGGCTACAGCCTGGAAGTCAAGCTCAACCCGGGCCCAGCTTACTACTCCATGGACCACACCAGCGGCCAGGCCGTCCAGCTACTGGAGGGACTCATGGCTGCTTTAGATACTAGAATCAAAGAGGTCTTCCCTAGCGCAGAGGTTGCAGAGAAGTTTGGGGAGCGCGTCGTGTACAAGGTTCCCAGCGAGGATGTGAGGTCTTTATCGACAGTCTTTGCTTCACTTGAAGAAGGTTTGTAGGGGCTGTTTCTGCTATGTACTCATAAACCGAAATCGATCAAGAGATAATTATGCAGGAGTGAATAGTTTTAGATGAGAATTGGAAATTGGAAATTTTATTTTCATGAAGTATTTGCCGACAGTCTTTGCTGTCGGTGTTTTCCTGTATGATCTTTTGCAAAGCATCAGTGTTGAATTGATTCAGTTTATATTTGATTTCACAATCTGTGCTATACGCAATATATTATTGTTTCAGGTAAAGAGACTCTTCACATTGAGGAATACAGCTTCAGTCAACCCACCCTAGAACAGGTATGAAACCACACTCATACTACTTGTATTTTTTACTGGAAATGATAGTTTCGGAGTTCGCCAATTTCATTCAGATGGGTTTGTCTCTTCCTCAGGTGTTTCTGGAGTTTGCCAGCATGCAGCGTAAAGAAGAGGATGAATCTAGCAAGACTTCCGACCATTGCCCCTCCAGAGTAAACCTGTCTGTCATTAACGAGGAGGTCTAGGCTGAATATGACGTCACTGCTGCTACGCACAGGATTAGGTGTTGGATAAGGCTTCCCGATCCATCTTTCAATCGACTCATGTGCTCTCCGTTCGAATCCGACTATATAAGGAGTGGGGTTGGAGCAATGGCGTAAAAAGTTACGAGTAGAACAGCGAGTAGCAAGTACTCGCAAGTACTTGGGTTACTTGCCCAGCACTAATCATGCATATTAAACATGAATAACAGTACAGCAGGTATCATTGATCGTCTGATTTAAAAACAAATTCATAGATCGGGAAATAAAATGACTTTCAAGCAGATTAACCACACAAAAACACCTCAAGACTGATGAGAGTTTCACAGCAACGGCAGAAGCAGTTCGTGTTGAAGCTCAAAGATGTAAACTAAAACACTGTGGTTACGATGTTCGTTATACTGGATGTAATAGACCTATATCATGCTTCCATCATTGCAGTCATGTTCCCTGTGTCCAATAACAGTACCGAATGATAATATTTTGTGCAAAAAGGAACCAGACTATCTTTCCCTCCAGCCTCGCTTTGGTTACATTGATTTGAATGGGAAAAAATCAAATTACTGCAACATGATAATGGTCTAAAGGGCCTTTAGCAAGGGTATCTAGATCTACCAAGTCATGTTTGTCCATGGGCTTGTAAACACTGTTGATACATGACGTGTGTTTATATTGTATCTGGCCGGGCAAAGGCCTTTTAAGACTATAATAACGCGCTTGGAAAAATTAATACAATATGTACTACATTGTTATTGTTTGGGGGGGGGGTTGGGAGGGGGCGGGGAGGGTATTTCATGCAACATTGGAGGAAAAAATGAAATTCATTGGGTTTTTTTATTGGGTATGATTATGCAGTATTGGTATTTACATTAGGCACGCGATCGCCTTTACTAACATAATATTGAGACGCGGCAAATGACGTAGTATATGGTTTTGCTAATAAAATATAAATGTCCTTCTGTAAAACTGTTTGGTCTCCAAACTTGTAATTTGTTGCGTGTTGTTTCTATAGCTATCCAGCAATTGAATATTACGTTTGTTGGGAAATTCTCATTCTGACATTCCTTACATTTGCGATTTAATCAGTCGAAACAGCTTGAGCTATAGGAATGTAAAAACATTGTTGCGAGCGAATTCTAAGATACATGTCCCCGAAATCCATGATTTGCTTATAAAGATCAGCTCAGCTGTAATAAAATTGCAGATTGAATTGGTTTAATCTTTGTTAAAGGCATGCAGAAGCCCTGTTTTGTAGGGGTACTTCGCGTTGAAGCAGCTGATGGTAAAATGAGAACAAGCAAACCCTAAATCTATATTTTTTTTCAGGGTACTGTTCACGTACGTTTCAGCCATTTTAAACCATTTGGGAGCTGCTGCATAATTATTGTATCGCTATGTACTTCATTCACGGTATATTAATGTCGAAGAAATGTTCAAAAAATATTGTATGAGAACGTAGAAACAGTGGTTTCACATCTTAAGCGTAAAAGTGACACAAACGGTCGAAACTCAGAATTTGTTGGCACCTTATTGCAACCACTTTACAAGGGAGAAATCACCTCATGGATTTTTCTCCGAAATAAATTCTAGCCCAGGGCCGAGTTGTGCTATGACGGCGCACGGGAAGTTGTACACAATACTCAGTGTTCTAATTTCAGTTTAGTTCTAAGAAGTAAATACGTGTTACGTATGGACACACCCAACTAAAAACTTAATGTCACAGACGGCAAAAACAAAATAACATTGAGAGACCAAACAGCAAGTCTTTCAAAATCAGAGCGAGACTGAGAGTAATAAGCAAGTAAATGAATATAATACGAATTGTATACAATGATAAATTAAGAAATCTGCCGATTCTTACCTCACTTCATGAATGAATGCCCGGTGAACTAAGGAGAGAGGAGCCCGGGTTGCTCGTAGCCCTAGCCTATGGCATCGTGTCCTACATACACCGCAGCGTGGGATCCCGAGGACCGGTCCAACGAGGGAGGTTGCTGGCTGACTGGAGCAACAGCAGGGGTTCGCGAAGAGGTGTTTGCACGGATAGGTGGGGGCGAGCTGACGTCGTCCGATGAAAACTTCTATTCATTTGCACACCAGTTTTCATCGGTTGGTATGTGTTACCATTCAGCACTCCAGACTCAAGAACCATTGAGTTGCAAGAACATAGGTCTGGTGGGAGCTGTAAGCCACATGTCGAAACATCCCGGATGATCCGCGCACACCTTTGTGTCGTATCCGCACTTAATTTATGCTGGGGTGTTGGTGAGCTGAACGGTCCAAGGCTTGCACGAACATGCCTTGCGAAGAACCAAATAGTGGGTAGAATGGCCACACCGCCCCATGTGGCCAATTTACTGGACTACCTCCGTAAATAACGACCATAATGGCATGATCCGGAGTGACAGGATTTGCTGCTAGTGTATTTACGTTTTGTGAGAAAACTCACCTTCTTAAATACTTGCAATGAAAGCACATAGGCAGTCCCTCAGACGTCCACTTTTCATGTTATTTGTGAAGATCGCTGTTGTACACGTGTGAGTGTAACCATGGGCGTCGCGAGGGGGGGGGGGCAAGGGGGGCACTTGCCCCCCCCCCCCGGAAAAAGCAAAAAAAAAAAAAAAAAAAAGGAAGAAAAAAAAAAAAAAAAAAAGAGGCGCGAAGACAAAGTGGTGTAAATTTAATGTGTGGGGGGGGGGGGGAATGTCCCTTCCCCCCTCTAAAACTGATAAATTGAGAATGTGTTGAGAAATACAAGCATTTTTTTGCCAAAAATTTTTTTTGCCCCCCTCTAGAAAAAATCCTGGCGATGCCCATGAGTGTAACTAATTGAATTCCAACATGGACGCTAACGCGCGCAATGCATGTTGGTAGTGTAAGCTGTCAGTCACACTATGCGTACAATACAAAGGAAATATTTTAGAGGATTCGGGCCCCGAGGATTAAGCGATGATCCTTCATCGGCTGGCCGGTTCAAAAAATATGGCATTTAATCCCCGACTGTAATAGCACTTCGCCATAAAAAATAAACAACTTACGAACAATAAAAAGCCCGCATCTTATCACACAATAATTGAGGTTAATGGGCCGATCAATTCGACATGCATACCAGATTCTGGACAAAAACATCGATGTTAACACCTGTTACAACCACGTCCGCATACTTTGCACCTCGTGCAAGCGGACTGTGTGCAGACAGCACAAGAGCGTGTACATCATTATTATGCGCGGCTAACCCTTTTCCTTCCCCGCCCCCCCCCCCCCCCCCCCGCGACCGAATGCCTCGAGGTATTTACTCTGTAAAGGATTCATTTGTATTTTTAATAAAAAATGATATTGTTTTTAATATTTTTCAAGTAGTCATCGGTCTGATTATATTTCTCTCCATTTTGTTATAAAAATAGCTTCTCTACCTTTTCAGAGTGAGAGAAGCTATTTTTTTTATCCCCGCGTTTCAAGGTCGCGTTTTTGACTCCAGATATCTATTGTGTTTCAAGGTCGCGTTGTTGACGTCAGATTTTCTAGCAATTTGGCGCTGGGTATTGCCCTTTATTTTTTCCTAACTATTTTTAGAAACGAGAGCGGCGTGCCCAGGCTTGCAACAGATTTTTTCCATTTTGGTCCAGAACCCCCACATTCTATACTACTCAGGCCTACAATGACCCGACATATTCAAAATAATCCATTAGTTGATTCATTTTAATACACACATTGTACCACAATAATGCCGAGTTTTCAATATATTTCGCAATTTTTTGGACCTGCAGATTGGGCAGAATGGGTGCGTTCGAGCGGGACACGCTTGTAACTTTGAGTGTAGGAAGGTGACGGTGGGCGTAAGGTAGAAAGGTGTGGGCGTAACATATACTGTAGCTGAAGCGGTTTCGCCATTATGAATGGAGTTAGTTATGGAGGTCAATGAGGTTACCCGCGAGCTTATACAGTTGACCTTATAATGGTTAAAAAATACTGCAAAAACGGACTCAAATACGATTTTACGGACTGCTCGAACACAGCCAGAAATAATGTTCAACTGTTACGTATGGCCACATGAGAACATCAACGACCCGAGGCGGGACACCGGGCGATCTGTGAAGATTCTCTCCAGTATGCGTAGCAACCATTTTTGAGGGCAATGACTTTGTTTTGCTGTGGTACGTTTGAATGAACCATTTGTATATTGATTGTTACTCAATTAAAATATACAAAACGGTCCCTCTAATATGGCCGCTACGCATGAGGTCTTAACATCACCAGAGGCAGTTTCCTTCCTGAAATGTTTGCGTCCTGTGTATCACCACTGAGTGGGAAATAATGGCGACGGCTAGTCCAGGTTACCGGGAAGGAGGTTGGGGCTGGGCGGTCGTTCTGGCCTGCTTCGTGACTGAGTTCATCGTCTACGCCAATTTGAAAGCTCTGGGAGTTCTAATCACTTCTATGAAGGAGGATTTCGGCACGGAGTTGTGGGTCGTCGGCACCATAGTCTCGCTACATTATGCAGTACAGTTTACCCTGTGTAAGGAAACTTTTCATAATATTCTTCTCTTGAAACTAGAATTTAGAGCATTTTAAGGAGGTCAGACATATGTCGTACAGTGGCGCCTGACAGGTGTAATTCTTCTTCCGTCTATATTTATATAACAACTGTTGAATGCTCATATGGAAAAGTTTCATGGTTAAAAGTCTCAACAAATCAGTTGTGTGTTTATGTGACCTTCGGGACACGCCGCGTGTGTACTGAATGGGTCAATGCCCAATCATGCATATCTCCTATGTGTAGCAAGTATGCGTGTGGCCAGTACCGAAGAGTCCATTGTGACAAATGGGTAAACCGCAACGCGTAACTCCAATAAACAACAGGTGTTTACACAGGCCTACACATTGGAAACATCATCTTTCTCTATGGCAAAATACAGGACATAGTGAAAAACACAACAAAGAAAATAAAGCAACCTGAAAGAAGATCTCACATGAATTTTAGCCATACGAAAATCCCCAATAAATTACGGACACTGCTGGGCTTGCAATCATGCACTTGAATTGACCACGCTGCGCGCGTGCCGAATGGTATTCCCTATATAGTAATGGTACGGACCACCTTCACTGCACTTAACTTCTTCGACGAATTCCTTCAATTTCCTGTGGAAAAACCGTATAAGTTCATGTAGGATGAACACTGCATGTGGCAAAAACATAGTAAGTGCCAATTTCATTTCATACATTACATATTTTTTCCGTTCAGAGAGCATAAAATACAGCAAATCCAGTCACATCCACCGCGCGGCTAGCTAGAAGCTAGTCAGTGGACATGACGTCACGCGAATGTTATGCTAATCCCAGCGCTAGGTCACGACGAATACAATTGGATAGCAGAACGATGGGCTTCAAGTCTTCTTTCATTCCGACGACATTTCTTAGCCAATCAAAACGAGTTTTACATATGATATAGGGAGGTAACTAACGCAGAGAAAAACCGCTGTCATTGCGTAATGCATTGCCGCTTGCCGAGTTACTGCTTGCCCCAGCTGATGCGTGAGGGTAAAACTGCGTGTGATTACAGTGAAAAAGGGCGCTCTGGTCTCTCGTAAAAGCGTTTTTAGAAAGCTGGTCCAACGACATTGAATGCTCTATTCGAGTGAAATTTTGGAATTTCGTAGGAAAATATATAGAGATTGGAATGCCGGGCGACCCCGGTTTATATGTTTTTTCGTTTGGCGACTAAAACCATTTTTTCACCGGTGCATGGACCGGATTCGGAGACTGCGTGGGATATGACGTTAATAATAACCCCTAAGGGGCGCGTAGCACGCCTGGGCAATATCGTTTGCATATTACAAACGTCTGTGGTACGGAGGGTTTCAAAATCAAATCAAAATAATCTTTATTATATCCCACTGGGGTAATTTAAAATGCTCGCATACAATAACAACATCGACACATTATAAAACACAGTTACATATACAATTGCACGAACAATAAAAACGAACAAATGATAAAAATGTCCTTATATAATATCATTAACGCTGGAACATAAGATTGTGATGTTTTATTGCACGAGGAATGAAGGAGGATGGATGTCGGTTTGTCGCAGCATATGGCACCCGCATACGACCAGACCTTGGGATCAGCTGTTCACCGTGAAGCCTGTCCGTGAAGTGGGTGATTTTTTTCATTCAGTAACATAGTGAGCTTGCCGATCACCAGATCCTCATATGCTGTGTCCACTAACGGCCGCGACTCCCCAAGAATCCTTCCTGCTTGTTTTATAATTCTATCTATGCGGTCTTTTTCACATTTCCCAACATTTCACCCAACATATCAGACAGTAGCCCCAAACACTAGCAACCACAGTGTCCGTAAAAAGTTGCCAGAATTCTACGATCAACATAGAACGAATCTAGTTTCCTGAGGCAAAACATGCGATAATTAATTTTTTTCACAATAAAATCAGTCCACATGTTCATGCCAACTCAATTCATTGTCAATTACGACACCCAGATATTTGTAACATGTGACACGTTCTACAACACTGCCTTTCAAGTTCTGGTAGGCGACGCCACAGCCAATCACCGGTTGAAGATTAGAGAACTGCACATACTTGAATGCTGACTTACAAGGATCAAACGTTGGTTAGCCTTTCTGTCTAGAGTAATAATTAACTTCGGTAAAGACTTTGGTTGGTATCTTATTATACATGTATTTAAACAAGTAGATAAAACGATATGTATCTAACCTGTGACGTTGATACATATCACTGCAGGTATCAGTTTAATATCTTCCGTTGTACCATCATTTAGACGTGTACATTAATATCATGTTCCCTTTTGTTTCCCTGTTTTGCATCCAGCACCCCTTGCGGCTGCTCTGGCACGCATATTTGGCGTTCGCTCCTTGATTCTTGTTGGCGGTGCACTCTACGGAGTTGGTCTGGTGGTGTCTGCTTTGACGCACAGTGTCACCATCATGGCTCTTGCTCTTGTGGTTATCGCTGGTAAGACTGGTACAATTAAAACACTTAAAACAAAATTAAAAAAGCATATCAATTAACTATCCAGAATGAGAAGTCCGACACCAGAAGCGATAAAGAGTAGGTTCGTTGCAGTAGGCATGTCAGTCCCAAAAGAATTACATATCTCTCGCCAAGATTCGTTTTTCATGGGAGGGATTTCGAAGCTTCGGATTCCATCCAGCAACTTTTCTAGAAAGGAAGTTCAGTAGTCCCTATAGGCTTTAGCCTAGCCTTCATCTGGAGCTCAGCGTGTCTTAAAACGTATTACTGTATTATCTGAGTTTTTTTTTTATACACAACAGGAGCAGGGGGAGCGTCTGCGGAGGAGACGACCTTCGCCGAACTTGCTTTTTACTTCCGTGAGAAGTATCCTTTAGCATGTTTCATCGCGCTTACCGGGGCTCCATTCGGTATGATGTTGTTCGGCCCAATAACCCAAGTTCTCGTGGACACGTATGGATGGCGAGGGGCAATGCTTCTGCTAGGAGGGTTTGGTTTCCATCTTGTTGTAGGAGGCATGTTGGTACGTAGGCCGGCAGCTTTGTACCAAGAAGTCCCCGACCGCGACGAGCAACTCGCAATTGACGGCACCGACTGTCCTGGTAAATCTACGGAGGAAGTCAAACCAACTAAGTCCAAGATATCCAACCTATGGAATTCAGTTGTCTCAGCGCTGTTTCTCAATGTCTTCGTGAGTGCTGAATTCATGATTGTAGCAACTGTACGAATGATGTACAGTATTGCATACGGTGGTATAGTTGTCTACATAGTACCTAATAGCCTGGCGCTTGGTCTGAGCACCAGAGAGGCATCATTCCTGCCTACAGCGTGGGGGGTTGGGAACCTGGCTGGACTGGTTCTGTCGGCTTTGGCTTTGCATGTTAAATTGGTTTCGGTCCGTAGCGCTGAAGGAATAGCTGCAGGCGTAGCCGCAGTAGGATTAGCCCTGGAACCCTTCGTCTCTCCATTCGTGGGTCAGATTCTCACTACGTTCATCGTGGGAGCTGGAATGGGTGGCGCTATCGAGGGGATACTTGTCATGACGAGGTGTCTACCTTTTGGTGACGACAAACTTTTCAGTGTGTTTGGCTGGCAAACATTTCTGAGTGGAGTAGCTTCTTCCATTGGAGATACTCTATCAGGTAAGCCATTTCAATCGTTTGAGTGAAGTCCGTCCATGCAATGAAATGCACTTGAAACTTTGCGCAAATTGTCATCAAACACATTACCTTCTCACATCGTTGAAATCAATGGTATGTACATAGACAACTCATTCTGCGTACCCCAAAGCCAGATGAATTACAAGACGTCTGGACTGTAATCAAAGACATTCTTCGTGCGGCGCAATCTTGCAAATTAGCTCTGGAGTCAAATTGGAGTATTCTATCACAATTACGAGTAGACTACCCTTCATTTGTACAAGTAATACAAGAATTATGGAAAGATTGGATGCAGTTTCTTAAAGATATGACATTTTCGGTTTTGTCTGATTCCTTGTCAGGTTGGCTTTCTGATGCGACTGGGAGTTTCCACGCAACATTCTTCTTATACAGTACTGCCATGGCAGCGATATTACTGTGTCTTCTTGTAGATGTCATTCGCATCATTGCCACTACCGGATCTTCCAAGCAACGTGGGCTTATGGTTCTAATGCCTTCACTCTTTAAGAGAGACTCAAGTAGAGGCTTCGAAAGAATGCCGATTCAACCGAATACTAATTCAGCACAATGATTACACAATTATAATCCTAAAAGTTAAATTGTATAGTCCAGTTAGCGTTACACAATTACACTTTTGAGGATACACTATAGAAAATGCACACTAATTTTAGATGTTTGCATCAATACAAATATTTAATCAACTATTTAAAAAACTGTTAGCTACCATCTTTTAAAACTTGTGATGTTACTATATTTTTGTATCTGTTTTAGGGTGCATGGTTTGTTGGGTGATTGGGTCTATTAAAGGCATAGTCTATCAGATCACCAAGTATATGAACATGATTCTACGTTTCGTTCATGAGCTATTATTAGGGAGGTTTCGCAAGCGAACGGATACGCTTACACTTACGCTTAGCTATCCGTATCCGTTTTTTACTTACGTGTAGCGAGCGAGATATGCGTGTCGTCTGCACGTTTAGCGGATAGTGAGTGGCGTATGACGTCATACGTGCAGACGACACGCATATCTCGCTCGCTACACGTAAGTAAAAAACGGATACGGATAGCTAAACGTAAGTGTAAGCGTATCCGTTCGCTTGCGAAACCTCCCTATTGAAACAAAACGGTCACTTTTTGAACTAAAATCGCTCGTAATTTGCTACCCGATGACGTCATTATGACGTCACTCTTGTATGCACACCTTTGTCTCAGGGTTGATGTTCGTACCAATTCTGCAGTTCATGCGTTGTTTCGTTCGAGAAAAAAAAAGCCTCACAGAATTATTGTCCAGAAGAAAAAAACCCAAACCAAACACGAACACTAAAGAAGAACGAAGACCCAAATAGGACATAATCCCAGGCGTTTTATTTCCTTTCTCCACGATCTACAGCCCGTGTCAGGCCTACAATGACGCGAGCTGTATACAATAAATCCATAAGGTGATTCATTTTAATGCACGCATTGTACCACAATAATACCGAGTTTTCAACATATTTCACAACTTTTCGGAACTGCAGAATGGGTGCGTTCGAGCGTGACACGCTTAATGTCACTTTGAGTGTATAGATGGGGGCAGCACTGTCGCTGAAACGGTTTCGCCATTACGAATACCCTGTTGAATGTGCATACCCGGTTAAGGTTACCCGCAAGTTTTACACTTGAGTTTTACACGAGTTTGTGCGCTCATGAAAAATTTCGCTCATGAATAACTCGAATTAATCCAAGTAGGCCTACAGCCGGCTTTCCTTGAATGTCTTTCAGTCTTTTTGCGTCCGTTGTGTAGTAAGGTCTGTATTGTGTTATAATGGTTGAAAAAATACTGCTACAAAACGGAATAAAATGCGATTTTACGGACTGCTCGAACACAGCCAGAAATAACTGTTACGCATGGCTACATGAAGACAGCGAGACCAGGCGGGACACTGAGCGATCTGTGACACTGAGCGATCTTTCCAATAGGCGTAGCAGCCATCCCTAATGTTTGCGTCCTGTGTATCATCACTGAGTGGGAAATGATGGCGACGGCTAGTCCGGGTTACCGGGAAGGAGGTTGGGGCTGGGCGGTCGTTCTGGCCTGCTTCGTGACTGAGTTCATCGTCTACGCCAATTTGAAAGCTCTGGGAGTTCTAATCACTTCTATGAAGGAGGATTTCGGTACGGAGTTGTGGGTCGTCGGCTCCATAGTCTCGCTACATTATGCAGCACAGTACACCCTGTGTAAGGCAACTTTGCATAATTTCCTTCTGTTGAAAGTACTTTTTGTTACAGAATTTAGAGCATTAGTTTAAGGAGGTCAGACATGTCGTGGTTTATAATTTGACAGGGAAATTCTTCTTCCGTCTATATTGACACACTTTGACTGCTTTGATGTGGGATATGACATTGATAATTTAAAAACTTCTGTGGTACGGAGGGTTTATGCCATAACAGCCAGTCACCGGTTGAAGATTAAAAATACATGCACAAACATGAACACTGACTAACAATGATCGAACGTTGATAAAAAAAAATTTGTTTCAGTAATAATTACGTTTGGTAAAGACTATAGTAAATATCTTACTATACATGCGTTTAAAAGAGTACTTATAAAGAAATTGAACTCATTAAAAATGCCTTTATGCTTGTGAATTTGATACCATATCATTGCAGGTATCAGTTTAATCTTCCGATGCATAATTTTGTAGACGTACATTAATATCATGTTCCTTTTTGTTTCCCTGTTTTGCATCCAGCACCTTTTGCTGCTGCTCTGGCACGCCACTTTAGCGTTCGCTCCTTGATTCTTGTTGGCGGTGCACTCTACGGAGTTGGTCTGGTGGTGTCTGCTTTGACACACAGTGTCACCATCATGGCTCTTGCACTTGTGGTTATCGCTGGTAAGACTGGTACAATTAAAACACTTAAACAATATTAAAAAGCATATCAATCAACTATCAAGAATGAGAAGTCCGACAGCAGAAAATGGCGATGAAAAGTAGGTTCGTTGCAGTAGCCATGTCAGTCCCAAAACAATTTGCCAAGATTCGTTTTTCATGGGAGGGATTTCGAAGCTCTTCTAGAAGGAAGTTTGGCCTATTGGCTTTAATTGAGCCTACCCTCCTTCTGTAGCTTAAGGTGTCTTAAAACATATTACTGTATTTAGGCGAAAAAAAATATTTGGTCTCTGGTCAAACCAAAGTTCCGGAATTGACGCGGCGACGCGGCTTTTTCCCCCCCTTTTTTTCCCCTTCAAGCTTGGTTTGTACAGACAAGGTGGGTTACTATTTTGCTTTTTTGGTGTCCATATGTACATTGGTGGCCTTCATAATTTGCCTTGGTGCTCTCGATCATTTGCCGTGGTGCAATTTCTCATTCCTTGGTGCTCTTTGGTAAAAAAAAAATTGAGGAGGTGCGGCAATAGAGGTCGCTGTTGGAGCTACTGCGGAACATTTTTGGAAAAAAAAGATTGACGCGCATGATTAAAATCGACGCGCGCGCTGACCAGAGACCGACATTACTTTTTGGGCCTTATCGGGTTTTTTTTTTATACACAACAGGGGCAGGGGCAGCGACTACGGAGGAGATGACCCTTGCCGAACTTGCTTTTTACTTCCGTGAGAAGTATCCTTTAGCAGGTTTCATCGCGCTTACCGGGGCTCCTGTTGGTATGATGTTGTTCGGCCCAATAACCCAAGTTCTCGTGGACACGTATGGATGGCGAGGGGCAATGCTTCTGCTAGGAGGGTTTGGTTTCCATCTTGTTGTAGGAGGCATGTTGGTACGTAGGCCGGCAGCTTTGTATCAAGAAGTCCCCGACCGCGAGGAGCAACTCGCAATAGACAGTACTGACTGTCCTGGTAAATCTACGGAGGAAGTCAAACCAACTAAGTCCAAGATATCCAACCTATGGAATTCAGTTGTCTCAGCGCTGTTTCTCAATGTCTTCGTGAGTGCTGAATTCATGATTGTAGCAACTGTACGAATGATGTACAGTATTGCATACGGTGGTATGGTTGTCTACATAGTACCTAATGGCCTGGCGCTTGGTCTGAGCACCAGAGAGGCATCATTCCTGCCTACAGCGTGGGGGGTTGGGAACCTGGCTGGACTGGTTCTGTCGGCTTTGGCTTTGCATGTTAAATTGGTTTCGGTCCGTAGCGCTGAAGGAATAGCTGCAGGCGTAGCCGCAGTAGGATTAGCCCTGGAACCCTTCGTCTCTCCATTCGTGGGTCAGATTCTCACTACGTTCATCGTGGGAGCTGGAATGGGTGGCGCTATCGAGGGGATACTTGTCATGACGAGGTGTCTACCTTTTGGTGACGACAAACTTTTCAGTGTGTTTGGCTGGCAAACATTTCTGAGTGGAGTAGCTTCTTCCATTGGAGATACTCTATCAGGTAAGTCATTTCAATCGTTTGAGTGAAGTCCGTCCATGCAATGAAATGCACTTGAAACTTTGCGCAAATTGTCATCAAACACATTACCTTCTCACATCGTTGAAATCAATGGTATGTACATAGACAACTCATTCTGTGTATCCCAAAGCCAGATGAATTACAAGACGTCTGGACTGTAATCAAAGACCTTCTTCGTGCGGCGCAATCTTGAAAATCAGCTCTGGAGTCAAATTGGAGTATTCTATCACAATTACGAGTAGACTACCCTTCATTTGTACAAGTAATACAAGAATTATGGAAAGATTGGATGCAGTTTCTTAAAGATATGACATTTTCGGTTTTGTGTTATTCCTTGTCAGGTTGGCTTTCTGATGCGACTGGGAGTTTGCACGCAGCATTCTTCTTTTACAGTACTGCCATGGCAGCGATATTACTGTGTCTTCTTGTAGATGTCATTCGCATCATTGCCACTACCGGATCTTCCAAGAAACGTGGGCTTATGGTTCTAATGCCTTCACTCTTTAAGAGAGACTCAAGTACAGGCTTCGAAAGAATGCCGATTCAACTGAATACAAATTCAAGACAATGATTATATAGTTTAAATCCTTAAAGTTAAATTGTAGTCCAGTTGGAGTTAAAGAATTAAACTTTTGGGATGACACCAGGACAATGCACACTCATGTTTATGTACGCATGCACTAATGTTCAGATGTTACACAACATAAATTTGTAGCCTACTTTAGAAAAAACCTGTAAGCTACCATATATTAAAACTTGTAATGTTTACTATTTTCCGTTTTAGGGTGGCTTGGTTTTCTTCTTACACTGATATCAAATATTTCTTTGGTCTTAAGGCTGTATGCAACATTTGCAAATATCGGAACCCGAACTACCGTAAAGTATAAGGAAAACCGTACTTGGCTATAGTATAAGTGTATATAGTTTAAAGCATCGTGGGAATTTAGTTAGTCCACATTTTGTTTGCAATCGATTACACATCCATACTGTACGGGTGCAAGTCAGCTAGTCTGGTTCCCTGACCTGACAATTCCCCGATACCCGCTCCGTTTCGTCTGAAGTAGGATCAAGGAACCAGCCTACAAGAACATCATTTTTTTTTCACTGTTTTGAAATTGTACAAATTAATCTTTATTTTTTTTCTTGACGATAATTCTCCGCGGGTTTTCTCTTGAACTATTTATGGTATGAACTGGTAACTTTCAATAAAGGCCCATACAGCCCACTGATCTCTATATAAAGACTGGATAGCGGATATCCATACACCAACCTTGTTCCCATGGCTGCTGCGCCATGTTGTTTCCCATATGCCTTGCGCAATCTCAACCCCTGGAATTGTGTAATTTAAATGTGGCACATTATAATTAGGCTGTAGTTTATCTGTTTTACGCGCCGACGCCATCTTTAAAATGTTGAAAGTTGTCAGTTTTTTGAAGAATCAAATTCTTTCAAACATAAGGTTTGGACGTTGCGTTATTTAAGATTTGTATTAAAGGTACGTACCCCTTTCTTCCCTTTACAACCGCAGATACAGGGTGTTTAGCGAGGCCGGCTGCCATAATCCATATCGTACAGGCATCGCGCAATTGTGAATATTCGTACGCGACGTGACGTGCAAAGCACGCGATCGAGCGCATTATGGCCGCGCCCGGCGTGCAATCTTCGAAGTGCCCGCGCAGTACGCTCTGAATAGCCAGTCAGCATCGTTTACGTGTACATCACGGCCAGGGGTTAGTGAAGGAACGCGCACGCGCCCATGGAGTCGAGGCTGTCCATACACCATTCACACAGTAGACTTTGCATATTGACCAATTCGCCCCCGGTCTCACGAAGATGGCCGCGTATAATACGAACGTTCTACGCGTATTTTTACAGCGCGCATAATGATGTTCTAAAAAGGACACATTTCCGTAGTGATTATTATAATTTCCAAAACGCCTAAAAAGTGAACTGCGGCATTAAAAAAAAGGAAACCCTGACGTTAGAAAAATTGTAAACCTTGATCAGTGGTGGTGGTCAAAATATAAGTGCAGTGAACCGCGATGTTACAAAAAAAAATCATCCAAGGGCGGAACCAGAACACACAAAAAAAAAATCAATGGGGGGGGGGGGGCGGGGGGGGCATGGCCCCGTCCCCCCCCCCCCCATTCGCCCTTGGCGCTATCACAATATCTTATCTCACATATCCAGTGGTGGATCTAGCTCTCATGAAACAGTAGGGGCGGGGTGGGGTTGATATGGGGAAGGGGATGAGGGGGTTTGAGGTTGAGTGAACGTTTTTTGTTAAAATCACGGGTTTGGGGGCATGCTCCCCGAAACATTTTGAAATCTACGATGCTTTCGTAGTGCATTCCATCCAAGGCAAGTTAAGGATAAATTCAGGAACATTCCATTCATTTTGCCCCAATTTACTAGTATCATAAATTTAGTCGGTTTTGCGTTCCCCTACATCTGCAACTAATATCATACCATGTATGAAACGGCCTTTAACAAGACTGTCTCACACCGGCGGTTCGGACTGACCTATAGGTACTACAACATTAGAAACTTGTAAGCTAAAAGATACATAAACTGACATGAATTTATTGTACACGATTTATAATCTCGTTGTTGAACAATCGCCCTTCGAGTCCCGAGGTAGGTACAATGCTGTCATATACATAATAGAATAATATAATACCCCTTTCTACCGAAATACATTTATTTATATCATCACACAAAGGAATGTGTGTATAAACAAACTGGACTTATTTTTTTTAGAATGCACAACTCCAATTCTTCAGTGAAAATCGAGAGCTACAGGTTTGGCTTTTTGGTTGTTACAATATTCTCTATACATTATCTGGAAATAAAACTTCAAATCGTAATTTGAAGTGTGGGTGCTAACTCTATGGTACAGGTAGTATTGCAAAACTTGAAGGGTTATGTAGAGCAGGGTTAAAATAATATTAATAAGTGTGATGTGCTGTGTCAAAACAGACATGAAAAAATACCTTTATTAATGTGGTTTGCCGTTATTTTGAACCATGGGGTTGAAGTCTGGACGCTGATAATTATCTTAAACATGGTGTTTAATAACGACAAACCACATATTTATTCCCATTCATAAATACCTTTTTTGGTAAAAAAAATCAACACCGGAGAATTGACAAAACGTTTCATAAAAAGTAGAGCATTGACAACTTTACGACGTCGTTTTGTTGGCGAATTTCAGGTTAGTTTGCTATCCATGTTCTGGGGCCATTTCTATGAACGGAGCACGTGATTGCATTCTCCCTCCAAGGCTCCAAATAAGGCCCCCCAAAAAGTCTCCGGTTTCTGGTATGCGCACGCGTCGCCGTAGCCATGCGCGTCGGCAAAATGAAAAACCGCCAAACTCACTGGTTTGACTGGAATCGTGCTGCTGCACAATTTTAACGTGTTTTTGGATGGGGTTATGATCGAGAATAAGCTTTATGTGGCCTCTCTGGACTCCCATATTATTTGCACTAAGTTTAGTCGGGCACCATTTGCAGTCATCGGCCGAAATTTGAGGCAAAACAAATCAGGTAAAAAAAACAAAAAATGCCGCGTCGCCGCACCACTTTTTGGGCAAGCTCCATACCAGAAACCGGAGACTTTTTTTGGGGGGGGGGGGCCTAAACAACCCAAGATAACACCCTGAAAGAAGCTATTTTGGGGATCTTTCTCACATTGTTTTCAGGCATGCTTTTACCATGAAACGGGGTGAGAAATAAGACAGCCAAAGCCAATCGTTTGACACTTTCGTGATACGCTAAGCTACCGGGCCGAGTGCGTAGCCCTATGATTTTGTGAGCAACTTTGCGAAACGTAAAACCATGAAAACGGTATCATAAAAAAATGTCACATTTTCAAGCTCATGTACATACCAATGGCCTACTTCTCGGACAGTACGAGGCAAGAAAAGTTCGTCAATACGTCTGGATGTGTTGTTTTGGAGAAAGGTTCGATACAAATCTCGCTAAAGCTGCGATTGTCGCGGTGTATTTTGCCAACAAGACTGACGGTTGCGTGGGTGTGTGTACACGTACGTACTGTGCGAGTTTCGATGGTTACGCGCGCTGTACTAGTCGGTGAATTGTGTGTACTTGGGCTTAGCTGGTACTTGGTAGCTGCACACGTTCACGTGCAATGAGCAGGCAAGCGGAATTTAGGCGGGCGCGAGCAGACGATATTCCCTTTCAACTTTTTATTCTCTTTATTCAGACATGTTCTCTTTCCTATCAGACGAATTTAATTGAAAATTATGTAAAATAATTTTCTTAATCAAAATTTATAGGTTTTTTTCGAACTTCAAAACCAACCAATTTACCAGAATTGTATTGTCCCTGTTCAGGGGCCACCTTTGTTGCTTGCCGTCTTGCTGGTGCTTTATCATCCTTTTAAGACCGGCCACGTGACAGACTCCCGACCAATAGGAATGGGTTAACCGTCTTAGGTATTTATAAATATTGCATAAATATAGATCTTCCCTTCACAATGACAGTTTAATGTTTGTAAAGCCATTTTTCTTTGGTAAAATTGTGATCATTTGAATGTTCTGAAATCACAAAGTTGTAATGTGAGATACTGTGCGTTAAGGTTTTTGGGTGTGCACTTCTGGAATAGATCACCTCTAAAAACCATCCATGCCCTTTATGACAAAATTACTGGCTTCGATTTTTACAGTATATTTTAGGATTAAAACTTTGAAAAGCTAAAGAAAAAATCTTCCAAAAACCACCTATTCCCCCAAACCCAGATGAACTTTATTTTTTGGTTAAACCTTAACCCTAACAGTCCTGAATCCTCCAATTTTAATATGATTTTGCCCCCCCCCATGCTCTGCCTAAAAGCATCTGGTTTTGACAGAACACATTCTTTGGGTTCCTTATCATTTTAATACCCTAAAATCTCAAAAGTGTTTCCGAGGGTGTGTGTCAAGATACTTCGGAGGGGATTGCTTCGGGTGAGTCTGATGGTACACTGGATGAAATTGGTTTGGCATCCACACCATTGTCGGTGCAAACGTCTCTGGATGTCCCCTGCCGCAGTTCAGTTTTGACGTCATCTTTCCGCGACACTTCAGAGGTGCCTTCGGGTAGGTCCAACAGATCTACGTTCATTGGTGTACCCCCTGGTACCTCCAAGGGTGTGTCCGTGGGTGTGTCTTTGGGTGTGTCCGTGGGTGTGTCCGTGGGCGTGCCTGAAGTCGCCAGCGAGGCTTTGGCAGCTTGCTCGGCCTCCCAGTGTTTCCGGCGCTCTATCTTGCTCTTGAAGAGGAAGCGATGACCTGAAAGAGGTTGACGAAAAATAGAAATTCTTCAAACTCCCAAGAAAATCATCTTTAGATACTAAATGTTATCCATCGAGTGCTCTACAGCAAGCCTTTTGGAGGCCAAAGCAGTGGGATTTGAAACGCCACACTCTGATCTGAAATACAGTAGACGCTCTCTGCACTGTGCTTAAAGGGAATATACATCATTTGCTTTTGCTGTAATTTTCAGAAATGGATGGAATTGGGGGGTTGGAAATATATAGCAAATATAGTTACACTGACTTTTTTGAGGTTCTGGGTTCGAAAATGCTATAAAAACCAAGAAAAACAATCATTTTCCTATAGTCTGGTTCCCTGACTCCATATAAGAAGAAACAGAGCAGTTTACATACATTGGGGAATTGTAAGGTCAGGGAACCAGTCTAGCTGGCTTGTACCCGTTCATAGGTGTGTAATCGATTGCAAACAAGTGCGATGGTCAATTTGGGCCAGTATTTGAAAAAAAGCCAGTTTTTTCCAATGCTGGTCGGCCGACCAGCGTTGGAAATTGATACAAAAATACCACTTTTCTTGAAAATGACAGTATACCAGGTGCCATGATTTTACAGGATGCTTTACACTGTCATTCACTAACAGTCCAGCAAGGTATTTCAAAATGATTTGGTAGTTTTATTTTTTGATGTTTGCAAATGTTGTATTTTCCCTTTAATACAATGCTGTGCATAATACTTTATGAAATCAAAATTCCCGAGTTATTTCCTGATATTTCCCTGAGAAATTCCCAAAACAATGAACACTTAAAAGCCATCGTAGCTCTTTAGTCAATGGACACAACTGGGACACATGGCACAAGACGATCAAACGCCAAACTGGCAAAAACCTTTCCCATCTGGGTCACTGCCAACTTCCCTGAGTTGTCCCTGATATTTGGTGTTTTTCCAAAATTTCCTGCTTTTTGGAATGGAAATTTTTTTTAACCCATTTTCAAGATTTCCCTGAGTGGCTGAGAAGCCTGTTCTTTTACACACAACGAGGCCCTTTTGTGGCAGCAGTAACGGATAGGTTCTCACACATACTGGCCCAAATGGAAAACCCGGACCCTTTCTGTTGTCCTTAATTCAATTATTAGCTATACATGATCAAGTTATTTACTTGGGCAGTCTTCCACAGCATGGCGGGCTTTCTCCTTGCAGCAGGCTCGACACAGCTTGAACACACATCTCAGTCCTCGTGGGTTGCTGCAGGTTGAGCAGGGATCAAACTTCCTTCCTAGAAACAAAAATTGATATTGCCAAAAAAAAATAAATAAATCTTTCAAACCTTAGTGATACAAACTGCACTTAAATTAAGCACAGAATGGAAGGAAGAGGGTCTCTTAATGACAGCGTTGGTCTCGGAAGCTTTCTTAACCCTTTTTCTTGGGGGGGGGGGGGGGGGGAGTGGGGGGCAGGTGCCATTCTACACACATGGTTTCAGGTCATACAGCAGTTTGTAGAACACATTTGAATAATGTCCCAATCAATGCTACTGTGTGCTTTCTATCAGCTTGGGGTATTATGAGCTCCGTGCGCCGACAAAAGAGGGCGCCCTTTAACCTACCAACGACGTCCATTGGGCGGGACAGTTCGCTGGTTGACGCGCATCGTTCCTTGTGTGTGACGCACACGTTTGAACTATGTACACGCAGTGGCCGCGCTTCGCGGCAAATTAATTGCAGTCAGGCAAGATGGCGTCAGTCGGTCACCCCCAACTGTACTCTCTTTGCTGGTGAGGGGGTACTTGTGAACGGAGCGGATAGAAGTAAGACCAATGCAAACAGCCATCACTTGAGCTTGTTCACATGATGATTGATTATCCATGCCCCGCGGTGACACCAGCTAGACTCCCTATAAGCATTTTATTACGCCGACATGTGGTTCTTGTCAGAGGTGCTGGTGTTTGGCTAGGATTTTTCAGGGTCAATAGTTCAACCCAGGCTAAAGGGGCAATTACCATGCTATTTAGCTATATTTGAATGAAGAACTTGCGAAATATGAATTTTTTTTACTGAAAAATATCGAAATAATTAAAAAGAAACTTAAGCAAAATGGACTTTATTTTAAGACACAATCCCTTAGTGGAGGGTTTTAATTCAGACCCAACTCGCGTACCTATTTTGACGAGTGGTTTTCCACGCTGGTGTTTCTTGAGGGCTCTCTTGGACAGATGAGGCTCTTGGTTTTCTTGTTCGTTCTCGGTCAGCGGTCGCTTGAGACTCTTCTCCAACATCCTTTTCTGTGTCTCTTCGGGCCTGTCAGGAATAAAAAGATGCTGGTGCTCGGTTGTACATTTTGTTTGTATTGTGTTTGATCTGAAATAATATCAGTATTGTTCCAGGGCTGGAAATGTTCGACACAATCGTAATACACTGTGCATAATCATGTAGCAATGCCACACATGTGTTACGTTACAAATGTCGACAATGAAAGTGCAAACACTTGAATTCGTGTATCGCAATAGCATGGGGATCATCATGGAGCAGCACATACACAATGTTCCGAGACTCGCACACCAGTACACTTACCTTTTAAATTATCATTCGCCTTACAATCTGAATGTGCTGAGTCTATGCAGATACGCTACGTTTGATCAAGCATACTCGGTAGGAGTCTAGCACCCTGACAATACCTAGCGCACAACAAAGTTTCCAATTAGCTGAATGACGACCTGTACCCGGATTTTTTATTTCTCCGTGCACGCAATGCGAGTATTTCTTTAAAGGAATGGAATGCCAAATTTTGGAAATGCCAGATTTTTTTGGATGGAATACCGGACTCTACTTACGTTGGTCTAACATACGGCTGGCACAGCCAGTGAGGGGTCCTCCCATTGGCCTCTTGGCCTGATGCCTGCATCATTTCCGCCTCGCAAACACGTCTTAGATCTTGGCTGACGGAGACGAAATCCTCCAGTGTCTTGGCGTTGGCCATTTTGGTGCGCAGGTCCTGGTGGATGGTGACACTAGAGTGAAAAAGAACAAACCCCAAACCAGGGGTGAGATTTGGGTAAAATGAAAAAAAAACCTATGAAATAATCGGCTGAGGGTTTGAGGGTCACCACGGGCCTCAGAGCAACGTAGGGCCTACAGTTTACGTTTGTATTTTCCTAAAGGCACACCTTTAAATACCCATCTCGTTTTGTTCAATATGAAGAAAATCAATACTTGTAATATACCAATATGGTAGACAGTTGCAGCACTCCTGCGCCCAAGCCCTTCATTGGGTGATTTACATATGACAGTGTGTAACTTCGTTATGAAAAATATTCAATGAGATTTCATTTTTCGGAGTTGTGGGACAAAGAAGTAGGAAAAAGTAGGAATTTCAAGAAAAAAAGTAGGAAAAATAGTACCAAAGAAAACGTAGGAATATTTGAAAGCCTACAGTGCTAGTTACATATTTCTATGCCTAAGGGACCATTCAAAATTTTCGATGTTTTTAAATTAAATTTTTTTTTTTCCAAAATGTGGGTGAGTGGGTCAAATTAATTTATTGACTCTTTTTGTTAATCAAAATTCACTTTTTTTCATTTAAAAAGATAGAAAACAGAAAATAAAAGCTCTTTGGACTTGCCAATTCAACTCTCTGCGTTCCGATTCATAAAGCGTGCCCGTACCGTACCGTACGGGTACAGTATGCATCCAGTACATGTACAATGTACCGTGTATTATGTATACGTCCATCGGAGCACCATATGAAGGGGACCAGTGAAGTTATACTTAAAGCATGCGTAAAATCAGTGCGCCATGCAAATGGAGCGGGATACCGGGTTCATTTTGTCTTAATACACGCCACAAGATAATCTGATAAACCACATTGAAACAAAACAACTACCTGTGATGCCAGATTTTGAAGAGGTGTCCCCTGACAAACGCCATGGGACACGGATACTGCTTGACAAGCTCCAGATACTCCTCGGCCATCTCCCAGGCAGGGGGCTGCACTCCCTCAAAAATAGCGGGATTGTGAAGGTTTCCCTCTGTGCAAAAATTTTCAAAAGCAAAAATATGCGGTTATATTTACATTCCTATTGGTCGGGAGCCCGTCACTTGGCGGGTCTTAAACGTTAAACGGATGATAAAGCACCATCCAGAAGTGTTCGATATTTGTACCATACCTGCAGTCATGACCCCATCCACCCCCGTTTCCCTCATGCAGCGTTCCACATCACTCTTGTATTGGACGTTACCATTAGCAAAAACGGGGATTCTCAAGCTTTCCCTGGAAAAAGCACCATCCAGAAGTGTTCAATATTTGTAACATACCTGCAGTCATGACTCCATCCACCCCCGTTTCCCTCATGCAGCGTTCCACATCACTCTTGTACTGGATGTTACCATTAGCAAAAACGGGGATGCTCAAGCTTTCCCTGGAAAACAAATTGCAAAAACAAAGTTATCAGAATTAAAAAGCAAAAGAGACAAATTTGGATAACACCTATTGTTATTTGGACATCTGAAGTCAGCTCTTTATTTTAAACGACGTCAAATTCAGGCGTTTATGAAAACAAAATTCCCTGATTTTTCACTGCAAAACTTTCAAAATTCCATGAGGAAGCTTCCCATTTAAGGTCCAACACTCACTTGATGGCTTTGATGACGTCCCAGTTAGCCAGGCCCGTCTTGGGTCCCTTCATGTCCCTGGTGCGTCCGTGGACAGTCAGCATCTGGCAGCCGGCTTGCTCCAGCATCTTGGCATACTGCACCGTCTTCTCAACATCCTGGTAGACGCGGATCTTACATGTCACCGGCACCGCCAGACGCTGATGGGCGAGATTCACTAAAAGACAGGAAAAGCAGCAACGGAACATAATGGTACCTTTTAGGGGAGATCGATACTTTAACAATGACATACTTGGAAGCCATTTTATCATGAGAACAATTTTCAGAGAAGAGGCCATGGAAATTTCCCCCCCCCCAAAAAAAATAAACAACAATATATTCATGCAACTGAGAATGAAGGGAAAGCAAGATATGACTGTATTTTTCAAGGGGCCATCACTAAAAGTGCCGTGAGCTGGAATTTGGGCGATTGTGTAGTGTAGGCCCCCTGTTTAGTTTCGATCAAATTAGAGTCGAGAGTGTTTTTTATAACTCAAAAATGACCTTTTCAACCTAAAGCAGACTTCTCTCAATATAATGACACCTTTTTGGAATTTTTGAACAGTTTCTTGGGTAGAAATTACAATTCTCCTACGCAGTTTACAGTTGGTGCCGTGCGATTCAGCGCGCCTTGCGCGTTCACGGTACATCGCGCGGTGATCGCCATCTTTATTTTAGTGCTGATAATTACCCATGCAGACTCCAACCGGTCTTAAACAGAGTTTTAATAGCTCCCAAACACACATTTATTCCCTTGTTAAAGACACTGAAGGATCTAAGAAGGAATTCAGAGGCATGATTGACCAGTCATGAAAGGCTTGAGAGATGGGGTCTCACCGATCTTGAAGATGGTGTCCCAGTCCTCCTGCAGAAATGCTCCGTACCTTCCTACATGGTAACAGAAAGAAAAGTCAACATTATTATTAAGTTACAATCGATCCACACAAATGGCGGTGCTACGTGGAGGGGAGGGGGGGGGGGGATTTGCCTCCAAAGTTTTCCTTGCCCCCCCCCCCCAGTTTATATTTATTTTCTGCACTGTTAAGATTCATAAAATGTTGACACATTTGGGCCAATGAAAGCATTATAAACATTGGTTTGGTAGACAAAACACGCCACACATGCACTTAAGCCCGGTTTATACTTCATGCGAAAGCTTGTGCGAAGCGAAATTCATGTTGTCAACAATGGTGGACGCGCTTGAATGTATTGTTGACGTCACAAATTTCGCTTTGCTTTCGCTTTCGCGTGAAGTATGAACCGGGCTTTACACAGCCGTAGATAGTGTTCAGCCAATGTCTCTGTACATTTGTTATACATTTCTTATCCACCATTGTGCGGTTTGATACATTTTTCATTCATAAAACCGACTACACTTCTAAGTTGCTCTAGACGCTTATTTCCGGACCATTGACAAAGGGCATGTGCGTGCGTACACAGGCTTAAGGTTTTAGCAGTGGAGAGCAGTGAAGCATGACCATTTTTTGGGAAAAAAAACCTGTTCTCCTAAACACTGGGCCAAGCAATTAGCACACTATGTTTTACCTCTCTTGGCGTTTGCTTGCGGGCATCCAAGATTCAGGTCAACAGCATCGCAGTGGTCTTGGGCCAGTAACGCAGCACGCAGAAAGTCCTCCGGATCGTTGGCACTAAACTACATGTGCATGATTAACAGATGCAAAAAAGAAATCAAAATATCAGCTGGTTAGTAATATTTGGACATTCTGTTTATGATTTCTGTACAGCGTGCCTCATGACACTTTTGTACCATCTATAATGAAAAAAACCCTGAGAAATCAAAATTTTCTAGAAAAACAAATCTTTGTAGACTTGTTTTGCAAATATTTTTGTTAAAAATTTCATCCGCCTTCCCATTACAGCTTAGCTCCGCCTAGCCCAGGTTGGACGATGTCTTCATTGCATTACGACTGACGTCCAGGGTATAAATTGTACCACCATAGCGAAAAAAATTATAACACATTTTTTTCATATTTTTACCCGACAGAGGAAGCTGAAATTTCGCTTACATATTCCTTGTGTCCAGAATTGTGCATGCACTGGGTTTAGAAAATGCAAATATGTCCATGGGCGGCGTGTTTACCGAAAATAAACCACAAGTTCTATGCTTTCGTTAAAACATTTTCAGTACGAACTCCCGCGTACGTTTGCTGCCGTGGCGGCAGCGTGCTAGGTGTGCAGGCACGCACGCGCATAATCTTCACACGGGTTTTCTGAAAACGTTCTGAAAATGTGGAAAGTGTAGAATTGCGGTTTATTTTAGGTAAACACGCCACCCGTGGACATATTTGCCTTTTCTAAACCCAGTGCATGCACAATTCTGGACACAAGGAATATGTAAACAAAATTTCAGCTTCCTCCATCAGGTAAAAATATGAGAAAAAAAATAGTGTTTTTCGCCATGGCAGCAGACGTTCATACCCTGGACTCCGTTGCGTACACAACAGAGTCCAACCAGGGCCCAATTTCACGGCGCTGCTAAGCACAAAACTTTGCTTAGCACAAAAAAAGTCTGGCTTATAGAAGCAGGTTATCAGCCAAAATGTCCATGTTATTTTCATGCTAAGCAAACAAAAGCTGAATACTAATCACTAGCAATATACATCACGTGGAGTTTTAGCTGGTAACCTGCTTTTATAAGCCAGACTTTTTTTGTGCTAAGCAAATTTTTGTGCTTAGCAGCACCGTGAAATTGGCCCCTGGGCTAAGCTCCGCCTAGCCTATGGGTTACCTGTACAATCAGGGGTCTGTCCTCTTGGCAGGATGCCAACGCCTCGGACCTGTAGTGGGGATCACGGGCGAACACAGCCGCGTGATACATGGGCGTGTAGCACAGCTGGGCTCCATGACGACGACTCAACAGTCGCCACGGCAACTCGCTCTGATCCACCATGGGCGCCACCAAGAGGCGAGGTTTGCCCAGGGTCTTCTCCCAGAACTCAAAACCCTCACGCTTTGGCGAGGCTGGCATGGTCAATTCTCTTGTGTATCTGTCAGAAGAAGAAACAGGCCAAATCAGTGAGTTTAATTTCATGGGCAAATTGTGACTTGATATACTATACACTGTATAGTATATATATCAAGCAGGGTGAGTAAAAAAAATCGAAACCCACATGTCAGGACCACAGTTTCAGTGGTCGAGGATATCGAGGATATGAAAGCCCAATTCATAAGCTTTCTTTTAGTACAAGAATCATTCAAATCACTCATGCACTTTTCAAGTTACGGAGTTTTGAACACAACCGCCATTTTACGGCTCTTTCCACAGATCACAAACAAATTCAGTGTTCTTTCAGCAAAACGGAAACAAATCACATAGGGATGTGTGTGAATAGTTTTCGTTTTGCTAAAACTAAAGAACGCACACCTTTTTTGTGATCCGTGGACAGAACTTTAAAACGGTGGTTGTGTTTAAAACCCCGTAATGTAAAAAGCGTTCCCTAACGTGGCGCACTTGAATAAAATATCGGAAAATTCACATTGACAAATTGACATTTTAAGAATTCCTGTGAAGTTGATAGATTCTGATAAACCATTATTAGGGGCCTATCTCTACTTACATACCCAACCAGAAGTTTGTCAGAATTTCATGAATTTGTTTCCGTATTTTTCGGGGCATTTTAAAGGGTTAACTTTGCACTTCAAAATAAAATCGGAATGCCAAAAAAAGCCCAAAATGAATTTTTCTTCTACATTTGTAACGGGCCGCGCCACGTGCACGTTAGGGTAACCTACATCAACAATACTGAAAAGGTTTCTTGCAATTCAGTTGCATCATCATCATTCACCACACTGCCACAACACGTCTTCTGATCGGTTCCTTCTGATCTGCTGATCAACAAATGACGATCTCATGAGACTCAATATTGAATAATGTTTTCAAAATTGAAATCTCATCTTATGCCTTAATATATAAATTCCACTTCTCCAATAACTCAAGTTGAATATAGTTCCTATAGTATTTAACTAAGAACTGAACGCGGAATTTAGGGGAAATTTGTGAAATATATCGATACCTGTTACGCCGGTAAACACAGCAATCGAACTCGACGAAAGGTGGAAGAAAAGAGCGCCCTCTAGCCAGCTGGACGCACTCGCTACAATTTTCAAGTTCGAGTAGCTCCCTTGGGTCCACTCGGGTTGGCTCCGTGCCGTTCGATTAATAGCTCTCTGAAGTGACGTCATTCACATGGAGAAGTGTCAGTGGGGAAATAAGTCATACATCTTTTCCGAAGGAATATTTGAAATAATAGATTATTTTGGTACGTGAAAATTTCTAAGAGCTAAAAAAATTAATCAATATCCATTCATAAAACGCCAGAAGTCAAGTTCAAATGGAAACCAAATTTAATGAGCTCTAGCTTCCCCAGGCCTAGTTTGAAAATTGACACCAAAATAATGGGTTTGGTACCAAATGTTACGATGCAATAACCAAAGACCTCTTGCTGAAACTTTAAAAGAGTTACTGATTCATTGGTTCGTGAGGGATGCACATGAATAATGCCGTGAGTCTGGTGTTTTGGTTAATGTCGGAGTCATTAAATTTGGATAGCACCTCTTCCAAATTGAATTGACCGTTTGTGCTAATCGAAGGCCATGGCTTCGAATGGATGGCACAGGCTTCCATTATCTCGTTCATCTTAGACCTCGCATCAAGAAAGAAAATACGCTAATGCATGAATCAATTTTCATTTATTTTCCATATCATCATATCTGACATTACCCCCTTAAAAAGTGAAAGAAGGAATGTTTTTACTTAATTGTCAATTGTTTTCAAATTCTTCTAAAATGTTATGCCAAACCTATCCTCCAAATTTCCTTATTGTTCTGTGTAGCCCCCCCTTACAAAAATAACAGACAAAAGAAAATAACACAATGAATTGAAGAACTTCACTTGATATTCTATGAATTCAATCATTTTTTATTTTTCAAACATTTAACAGTGACCAAATTTGACTTTCAAAAGATTTTGGTCTTCGTTTGGATCGCTGTGTATTTTCGGCATGTGATAAATACAATGAAAGTGCATATAAATAAAATATCTGGATTTTTTCCCCCCTTAAAATAGGCAAATTACGAGTAAGTTATTCATAAAAATATATAATTATAGTTTAAACAATTTTTAACAATGGTTTTAAGAAACTTCAAGATTGCATGTTTTCAACATGTTCAATCCCAATAATGCATGATCCCTTTCACTCTTTGTTTAACTTTAGCATCGCAGATATGTACAACTAAGACCATTCAAACCACAAAAATCTTTAAGGAAAAAAAATAGAAGTGACATTGATATTAAACACATGTGCCCTGCAACTGTCTTTACCGCTTCAAAGTAGTTGCAATAATTTAAAAAGATATATATATACTACTTTCAAATAATGAAATTTCAAATCCTTTCCACCACTTAAACATTCATACTTATGGTCCATCAAAAAATGTACATTTCTCTGAAAAAAATGTAATTTTTGCCCAAACCTTCAAATTTTTGATGTTCGAATATTGATTAATGAACCTTTCGCCTCCAAAGGAATTTCCGCATTGTTTGAAAAAAAAGATAATTTTGGGGCAAAACTTGATTAAAAACGTAAGGTTAACCCCTTGCATTTCTTTTTCAATTTTGGCCGAAAAATGAAAATGCTTGAAAGTTGCAGGGAAGACACCTTAAAGGGAATATACATCATCTGCTTTTGCAGTAATATTCAGAAATGGATGGAATTGGGGGGTTGGAAATATATAGCAAATATAGTTACACTGACTTTTTTGAGGTTTTGGGTTCGAAAATGCTATAAAAACCAAGAAAAACAATCATTTTCGTGTAGTCTGGTTCCCTGACTCCATATAAGAAGAAACAGAGCAGTTTACATACATTGGGGAATTGTAAGGTCAGGGAACCAGTCTAGCTGGCTTGTACCCATTCATAGGTGTGTAATCGATTGCAAACAAATGCGATGGTCAATTGGGGCCAGTATTTGAAAAAAACCAAGTTTTTTCCAACGCTGATCGGCCGACCAGCGTTAGAAATTGATACAACAATACCACTTTCCTTGAAAATGACAGTATACCAGGTGCCATGATTTTACAGGATCCTTTACACTGTCATTCACTAACAGTCCAGCAAGGTATTTCAAAATGATTTGGTAGTTTATTTTTGCAAATGTTGTATTTTCCCTTTAAAAGCTAAAATTTGAAGAACTTTTTGAAAGTGTACATCTGAAGCAACTTTAATATATAAATATTACAATTAAGATCTCAATACAAAGTGGATGTTATAACAGCACTGAGTTTAGTTACTTAGTCATTTTGTAAATATCTATTGATTCATTTTCATTATTAATCATAATATTCATACACAATGACATCATTGCACAAAGGCAGCAAAATTAACGATTATTATTATTAACTTGTTATTAATTTTAACCCCAAACAAAAGCAAACATTGCTTAAAAAGCTCTCTGCACTGGCCAAAAAACTAAAAAGGAAAAGCACAATCATATACAATATGAGGCACTTTAAAAAACCAGCACACTTCTTGTGTTTCTTGTGACATTGTAGATTTGCCATACAGTTTGTGTAAATTGCCTTATTTTACAAGTCGGCTCTTTAAAAAAAATTTTGTTGTGAGCTTACTGGTTTGTTTCTAAGGCCCCCCCCCCCCCCCCCCCCAGGCTCCAGTTTCAGGTCTGCGCGTGTCGCCGTAGTCATGCGAGTCGGCAAAATTTAAAAAAAAAAAACACTTTCAATGTAAAATGATGTCTCAAAATTGCCAAACTCACTGGTTTGACTGGAATCCTGCTGCTGCACTATTTTAACATGTTTCTAGATGGGGTTATGATCGAGTAGAAGCTTTATGTGGCCTCTCTGGGCTCCCATATATTTTGCAGTAAATTTAGTCGGGCATCATTTCCAGACGGTATTGTAATTTTGTTATTGTGTGTCTGGAAGCCAGACTGAGGGAGCGATGGTCGTGTATCTGGAACCCGTCAATGCTTTTTAATTAGCGCAATATGTAAGGGAGCAGACTAATGACCAGCCTGGCAGCACATGCAAGATGTCGATGTCGCTGTACGGTCTGACGTTAATACCATCTTCTCTGATTTTTGTCTGGACTTTCCAAATTTCCCAAAGAATGTTCGTGTCGGTTGAGATCGTAAGTGGGTGCAGAATTCTCACGCCTTATGGTCTTACTGAGGTCACCTCAAGCTCCACTCAGAAGGAAATTTTAAGGGGATCAAAGCTTTATCTGCAACATCAGCCAACATTCCAAGAAAAAAAAAGTAGGGTAAAAAAAAAACACCCTGCTCGCCGCACCACTTTTGGGGCAAGCTCCATACCAGAAACCAGAGACTTTTTTTTTTGGCCTAACAAAATCTCCTCTTTTCATCTAAAACAAATGAATATTATTTGTTGTGTTTAATCAACTTTTTTCCGTCAATTAATTAATTGATTGTTGTTACTTTTATCTTCATTTTGAAGACAACATATATTATAATTTTCAAAATATGGACGTTAATACCAACTTGCTGAAGCATTATATTAGTAATGTCGCATGCTGAAGCACAAACTTGATGATATTTGGTAGATTGAGCTTGGCGGACTGAGGGAACTGGAGGCTCTGTTCCTTGTGTCCGGCGGGGAAGAGCAGCAGGGTGGGATAGGATGATGGGGTCAGATGCCACGGAAGGTCGTTGGCGTCACCGTCAATTCTGAAATAAACACAGAAGAAATAGCAATGTACATTTGCCTGTCTCTTTTTATTTCTATGGTTCTCATATTTGTTTCGCTCTGAAGTAAGATCGGTTGGTCGGCGAAAATGAGTCTTAAAACAATTGCAGTTGCACCTATATAGATGGCTAAATAAAAAGATGCCAATTGTGTTTTGTCTCTAGTTTTTTTTATTGCCGTGAGATTATCGTTAGACGATAACACTGAAATAAATAATACAGCCATCTTTGGAAAATGTAGTAGACTTACATCGCATCTGCACCATGCGAGTAAGGATGTGACTTTGCGTTTAATTTGGTAAACGTTTTTAGCAAAAAAAATTAAGGAACCGTTAAAACGTTTATTCATTTCACAAAGGCTGACACCTCCCTTTATCAATGATTGACATAATAAAAAGTGGGCAGTCAATAACAAAGTAAAAACTTAACTACCTCCTTAACTTACCCCAAATTTAATAAAAACTGTCGTGCTTCTAAGATTTTGTGAATTGAATAGGTTTGAAAAAATCAACAAGTTTTGCTGCGTGTGTTTAACTCAAAGGAAGATAACGTGAATGAAGGTCCCTTTTTTATAATTCAAGGTTCGCTGGAACATTTTTGACAATTTGGATTCAGATTTTTTTTATTTAAACATTTAAACGTGTTAATGTTTAAATATTTAAATGTGTTAAAATTGCACCACATGTGCAGTTTAGTAATGTTTTTGCTGTAGTGGCAGCCATGCCATAACAGTAAAGCTAAACTATAGACCCCCGAGATTGCACTCGTTGCTATATGCCGTTCTTCAACAAAATTCGGCTTTTCCTTTCAAAAGCTTTTTAAATAACACAGTGCCCGATTGCCTGATTTTTATCCCTTAATCTTTGTTTTTACTAAAAGCCGGGGTTTCATACAGGGTCAGCAGTAATGACATTTTTTTTTCTTGGGTCAGGACTCTAAAATAGGGTCAGTCGGAAATGAGAACAAAATAATTTAAAAACAAATGGATGCCCTTACCTTGCAATAAGAAGATTGGATGAATTCTGGAAGACTCTTGCTAAACTGAGGTATATATGATGCATCCTGGCACAGAAACCACACCAAGGTGCATAGTACAGTAACAATACATCCTGCAAAAAAAAAAACAGAACAAAAAAGCCAAAAATAACTAACAGTAAAACGCAGCTCCGACAAACCCTGATATTCTGAACATTTGCTGACTATTATAATAGCAATTAATGTACCAATATCTCCTGAGTATAACTCAATGACAAACTCACTTTGTTGCTATCTAAGACCAGCTCCTCAAATGTTGACGACACCACTTCCTGTACGCAGACGCTCGACGTCTGGCTGCAGCGACTGGGAGTCGTGTGGTTAGCAGATCGGAGGTGTCGCGTCAAATTTGACGTCGTATAATTGAATACAAAATTTATAATTGCGGTTTCGGAGACCTCTTGAAGTAGTGCGTGCTGCTGTTCAGCCTGAAAAGGGAATTGAAAGAAATCAAAAGTAGTGTTCAATTCGATGGTTGGATCCCATGTGGACTGAGTGGTCTGGCTGCAGACACTGGGAGTTGTGTGGTCATCAGCAGAACGGAGGTGTAGCGTCACATTTCGATACTGGCTCTTGCAAGAGCTTGCACATACTTGTATAGCCTCATAAATACACTCAACCAAAAAATAAAGTCCCCCCTTGACACTTTTTTGTTTAACTCAAAAACCACTGGGCACACCTTGCTCAAATTATGACTGATCAGTACAGAAATTCCTTAGCAATCCAGCCATACTCTTTGTTTGGTCCAAAACAGTTATAATGTGTACGAACTTATGCAATTTATGACATATGGTACCGAACATAAAGTTGCACTTTTGTATACATGCAAGGTGAGTGTCAACCAAAATTTGCACGTATACAAAAGTGCAACTGTTTTCGGTATCGTTTGTCATAAACTGCATAAATTCGTACACATTATCAATGTTTTGGGCCAAATACAGAGTATGGCTGGATTGCTAAGGAATTTCTGTAGTGATTAGTCGTTATTTGAGTGAGAGGTGCTCAGTAATCTTGGAGTTAGGCAAACAGGTATTGTTAGGGGGGGGGGGACTTTCTTTTTTTGGTTGAGTGTATGACTTAAATACTGGACTTCCTCTGCATCAGTAAGCCACACATAACTCTTCATGTTTGGAACAAGTCTGTTGCTACGGTTTCGGGAAAAAAATTGGGACTATTTTTTTCACTTGTTAATCATCCATGGTAGATACTTACTTGGTTATTTGCCAAAACAAATGGAATTCTGTATCTTTGGACGTCTAGTTATCCTGTAATTTCGGGGGAAACGTGTCCAGAACGAACACGTGCGTTGCGGCGCGTGAAGTCGCTAGACCAAAAAATAATTTCAGTCAAGTGTGCACACATGCGGGCGCACTTCAGACCAATGATAACTGAATGACAGGCAACAGCCGTTGATACACTTTGGCAAAGTTGACGTATGCGCAGTGGGTATCATACGTAGTGAGCATCATGCGAAATCGGTGTCATACGTAGTGAGCATCATGCGCAGTGGGTATCATGCGTAGTGAGCATCATGCGCAGTGGGTATCATGGCAGCCACATTTTGTTTCTGCATAAACCCTGTCCGAATTTCCCCTGAAATTACAGGAAAACTACACGTCTGAAGGTACAGAATTCCATTTCAACAGCACAAATTGCCAAAGCTTCGTGGTCCAATTGGAGTTAGTCCACAACAACATTAAGGACTTTATAAGCACCCCGTACCTCAATATCAAGCAAAACCACAGCAGTCCTTCTTTGCTGCGTCTGGAAGCCACTTGTATCTGAAACTCCTAGCTGCTTTGCAAATAACCAAAAGTATTCCGACCTCATGGCGAAGAAGTTCACCGTTCTATTGGTCCTACATCCCAGCCCTGTGAACTGTCCCAAGAATGGGTGGAAGACACCCTTCAGCGACTCTGGCGTCCTTTGGCAGGGATTTTTCTGTTTTGTTTTGGTGCTGGAAGCTCTAGTCCTTTGAAAGGGCTCTTGGCAACGACTGCTGCAATCAGTTCTTCCAGGTGCTCCGTAACACGCCGAATCAGTTGACGGCCTTCCAAAGTAGGAATCTCTGAAGGCACAACGTTCACTCTGTTCATTCAGGTGACAAGGCGTGGCGTCGCACTGTCTGCAGCAGAGCTGCAACTGACTGTAGGGGCTGTAGTTGTAATTCATACGTAGGCAGCTGTTCGGGGCAAGGGAGGCCTTTCCCTGGAATATCATGTTCATCCACGTCGCTTGGCTGCGAGGAAGCACGGGGTTACACGAAAAAGATGGGCGGTGCGCGGTCGACTGCTCGCAGACTTGGCAGACATTTCGGCCGTGGGTTGCGGTTGTGGTTATGGGTGTATCGGCGAGGGTCTGGCAACACTCGCACGCATTAGGCACGTCGTCGCTGGGATGGTCTGCATCATGGCAGTCTTCGGGATTTAGATTTGGATTTCTAGCATCATCGATTGCACTGATTATCTTGCCGACTAGCCTAGAGTTGTTGCAATTGTAGTAGTCCAGAGCAATTTTTTTGAACTGTTGAAAAAACATAAACAGGAATAAATGTATATTAAAGTTATTTACATTTACAAACTGAGTATTGCATTCATTATACACATATCTGCTCCTACCTATTAGCACTCAATGCACTACATGAATATCATTAAAACCCTAACCCTGCCAAATGCAACAGAAGGCAACCAAGGTAAAAACTTGTTGCATAATGTTGCATTTAGCAGCCAACTCCTGCTTTGTTGCATCTTGTTGCATTTAGCAGGGTAACTGCTCATAGGTCCAAGGCAATACAACAGAATCTACTGTTGCATTTGGTTGCATTTAGCAGGGTAACTGCTTGGTGACAAGGCTGGTATGCACTGGACCTATGAGCAGTTACCCTGCTAAAAGTCAGGTTGGCACGGGGAGTCAGGTTGGCGCAGCGGTACTTTCCTCGCCTTCCACCGCTGTGACCCGGGTTCGAATCCCGCCTGGGCCAATATGTGGATTGGGTTTTCAGTCCCTGCCTGATTCCGTGGGTTTTCCCCAGAATATTCTTCTGGGTTTTTCCTCCCACCTCTGAAACTGTAATTTCTTCTCATTGTCTTCTCTCCACAGGTATCTTCAGGCTTGCGAGCTACAGTGCCAAAGGCACTTTTGAGGAATCCTTGGTTTCATTACCAGAAATGATTAATAATAATAATAATAATAATAATAATAACAACTGCACAATGCAACAGAATCCACTGCAATTTGTTGCATTTAGCAGGGTTCTCATTTCAGTCAAGTTGCATTTTGTTGCATTTGGCAGACTACCTAGAGAAAACCAGTTGGGGGATTTGGTTAAGGTGAGTGAATGATAGTTTATTGAAACTTCCCATGTCAGTATCAATCCACCAATGAATGCAAAAAATAAAACAGCCATTTGATTAATTGAAACCATGACCAAAAATGGGATTGATAAACTGATCGACAAAATAGTCATATGCCAGTGGGCCTAGTTTTCAACTGTCTGTCTTCAAACTCACCATATAAAAATCATTCAGGAGTCCCTGCCGCGGATGATGCCGTGTGAAGAGAACCACAGCGGGGCTGTTGTTCAACTGACTAGCCATGATGGTGCTCTTGACTCCCGCCGGGGCAAGCCACTGCACCACCTAGAGAGAGAGAGAAAAAAATCCAGTAAGATAACTTCTGTCAAATTGTGTCATTTAGAAGGGAATGCAACAAATATGTGAAGCATTCTGGAAAAATGAGACAGAACTGGGCACAAGCCATAGGGGAGAAAAATGCCCCCCCCCCCCAAAAAAAAAGATGAGGTGATTTTTTTATTTTCAGATTTATTGATATTTATAATCTCTAAACTGTTAACTACAAAGATTTTAAAGAAATCGTACACAAATTGTAGAATAAAAGTGTATTTTAGGAAAACCATTGGCCTCTTTTTTTTCCATGAATGCAAAGCTCAAAACTTTAAAGGCCTTTTTCTCAGTATTTTCCTTGTTAAGACAAGATATGTTTGCGGCGTGACACCATGTGAATAAATCTCTTTTGTGAGTATGTGTGGTTCTGAAAAGGGAGTCAACGTTTCGAACAGTATGCTCTGCCCGTCGTCAGGAGAATGAGGGATTCCAACGATGATGCGATGTTATAAGGATGGGTGCGGTGAGGCGTGAGAAGGATGCAAGTTTGATCTGAAGGATGCTGGATGATCAGCTGAGTCCCTCCGGTTCTTTTCAGAACCACACACACCCACAAAAGAGATTTATTCACATGGTGTCACCACCAACTTATCTTGTCTTAGTATCTTCCCACCATGCAAACCTTCAAATCTCATTTTCCTCGTTGATAAATGCAAAATTTAAACAGCCATACCTTGCCAATGGAATGTCTGACTGAAGTGCAACAAACAGTAATTTAAGGAGAATATTCTTTTCTTTCCCAATACCCGCAAACCTTATTTTGACCTCATTTTTGTCCAAATTCTGTCTCATTTTGCCAAAAATGCCTCACATATACATGTATGTATGACTAAACGTCTGTGGTGGGGGCCACAGTGGGACTTCACTTGCGGTGATCAGAGTGAAAATTGCAGGATTCTAAGAGAAAGAGAATTGTTAGAAAGGGTACTTAATATTTTATCCTAAAGTTTAACAATACTCACAGATTCCCGATGTTTGTAAGCCCACTCCGTTATCATCTTTGCTTGGAATCTGGCATCTCTCGGGTATAACTAAAGAGTTAAGAAAAACAAACACATTTGAGTTGATCAATAACTGTTTGTAAATTAAAAAAAAAACAAGACAGACACAAAAGTAGCCATTATTAGTTTTATGTAGATAGCCTGGGATATCTATTTTATGGAAAAATTTGTCCTTTTTAAAATGTTTATGATTAAAAAATGTCGTTTTTTTGTAGTCAACTTAATTTTATATAGATTACCTGTGATCTCTATTTTATGGAAAGATTTGTCCTTTTTCAAATTTGTTTAATTATAAAAAAAAGGTCCTTTTTCAGCAAAAAAAGAAGTAATCTTCCTATTAAAAACAGTTTCTCCTCGAATATATTTGGAATGTTATGCTGACCGCTTTTTATATTCGCTGGGTTGTTTTATTCATTTTTCTGGTATTGAAAATGAGGGTTCCTAAAAAGAAATGCGCGAGACTCACTGTAGCAAGAAAGCATGATGAAACCTGGAGAGAAAAATCCACATGTTGGCCTTGGTTGAAATCAAACCTCGGTCACATTTATAGACGGTAAGGGAAGTACAGGGTGAGTAAAAAAAATGAAACCCAAATGTCGGGACCATTGTTTTATTGAAGCTCTGCATGTTGCACTTTCATGATCTAGGATATGAAAGCCCAATTCATAAGCTTTCTTTTAGTACAAGAATCATTCAAATCACTCATGTACTTTTCAAGTTACGGAATTTTAAACACAACCACCGTTTTAAAGTTCTGTCCACGGATCACAAAAAAGTTCAGTGTTCTTTCAGCAAAACAAAAACAATTCACACACATCCCTATGTGATTTGTTTTTGTTTTGCTGAAAGAACACTGAACTTTTTTGTGATCCGTGGACAGAACCTTAAAATGGTGGTTGTGTTTAAATTCCGTAATTTGAAAGGTACATGAGTGATTTGAATGATTCTTGTACTAAAAGAAAGCTTATGAATTGGGCTTTCATATCCTAGATTTTGAAAGTGCTACATGCAGAACTTCACTAAAACAATGGTCCCAACATTTGGGTTTCGTTTTTTTTTTACTCACCCTGTACCTCAGTTCTTAAATTCTTCGTTTTTTTTTCACTACTTACTAAAGTCGAATTCAACGCTCTTATTATGGCTACACTTTTGGGCTGCTGCAGTCCTAATCTCTTCGCCAGCCTGATATTGGTTACTACAGCAAATGCCACAGGCTCTATGACATCTTTCTCCAATGCCAGCCAGGCTGCCTTCTGGAAAGAGGCTAGACCCGGCGGAAGAGGAAAGTTGCTCCAGTCAAAGTAGCCCACGACCACCGTCTGTTTAGAAATAAAACATGAATTCGTGTTACTTGTTACTTAATTTTTGCTTTTTCATTTAAGTTTATTTCATGGGTTAGTTCTTGTGTCTTACTGTTCTTGTGCAATTATTCTTGGTCCTTATTTAAACCCTAACCTTTCCAAGTCATCCGAAATCATCTTTGCAAAATGGAGAATTTTAGAGGATGCACTGTGTCAAGGTCTTGGGCCGGACCTTGTATTGTTTATTCTCAGCCGTACATAAATTTAGGCCTAGATTAAACTTGAAATCCTCCACACTGCTCCAGGATGTCACCGGCTCTGCCTCAACATGGTGAGGCAGTGGTCACCCTCCAAGGACCACAATCAAGAAAAAATGGAGGATTTTGCAGGATTGAGGTTGCATTCTTGCAAAACCGCCTAGGGAGTTAGGGTTAATCAGTCATTTTAATCTCCTCTGTGGATTTTGTAATTTTCAGCGAAAAAAAAAGCAATAGGTGTTTCTATAAATAAATTGATACATATTCATAAGCCAGTGCTTTTATCTCATTGGTCAATATCCTATTGCATCTGACATGCAAAAAATGGTCAACTCCCACTCATGTTTAATTCAGCAGTTTCTTTGTACATAAAAAGGAACAGCAAATCATCAACTATCTGTGCAAAAATACACCTCCTCACCCCTTGAAGCGCATGTAGTTTGTACAAGGCCTCCATATCGGTAACGTAAGTGAATGGCCTGCAGAGCTGGTGTAGGAAGGACACCATCTCCGGGGCTTGCAGGATACCGGTGTACTGCAGTCCACTTGGGATGGAAGGGGCAGTGGCGAGCAGCGCAGGGTACATCGTTGTCTTCACTCGGCTTCGACATGAGCCGTGCAACCACCAACAGTTGACCGCGACGAATGTGACCTACAGAGAAGGGTAAATACTAGACATTACATCAATTGAAGGCATATAGGATCATTTGTTTTTCATGCATTTTGTTTGCTTACAATAATAATACACAACTCAAAATCTGACGAGGAATGTTCAAACCTAACGTGTTGAAGTACGATCTTTAATCCAAATGAGCTTTTTGATAATTTGGTAGGTTACTTTTGGGGTAAATGCAAATGTTCCTATAGGTGCCTTTAAAACAATGTTTCTTCAAAATGCCACTATGACAAAATAACTTTGATTAAAGTGTGCTCGCGGCACACTTTTTTTACGTGCATTAGCAACAGAATCCAGTTAGGACACCCCCAAAATATCCACATTTCTCTGTGTTCTCAAAAAGTATAGTATCCACTGAGCCAAACTTCAACGGGTTAGTTGCTATGCACTCTAATTAAGGTTTTTGGGCAATTTTGTTGAGTCAAACATAAACAATGCACAAAAACATGGCGCTACAAAGTAGTTCTTGGCAACATTCCAATTGTCAAAATTGTGTATTACAAAACAGAAATGCAGGCTACTTGCCCAACGAGAAAACTGCCTAGCTGCCTTGTCAAACTCAACAGCGATATCCCGGGAGTTCCCATCCCAGTGGGCGTAGTACATCACAAATGAAAACTCGTTTTCCTCCCTCTGGATACGGGACATCGCACTCTGCATGTCGCCATTATTGAATTCAAAGACGGGCGAGTCTTTTGGGAAGATCGGCGGTGGGACAGCTGGGGACTGAGAAGCTCCACTGAAAAAAAAAAAACCCAAAAAATAATACATTTTAAAAACTGATTTAAAAGTTTAGAATCTTGACGACAGATGTCATTTCACGTGGTCAATTTATGCCCCTCCCCCCCCCCAAGTCGATACTCAAGAGCAGTTGTTACAATACCTTACCCAGATTCCAGATATTTCTTGATTGATTAGCTAGAGCGAGTTGCATAGTATTAGCCTTTTCACAATTTCAACTGTGCGTGTCAGTGCACAAATTTTTGCAAGTTTTCATCTAATAAAAAAGATGGAAAAAGTTGCAGCATACTAAACATCAACCATAAAAAAAAATAACAAAATTTTGCTTAGTTATTTAAAAACAAGAACTTTTTTTTACGATTTTATTGGAACTCTGCTTTGATTTTGCATGTGTGTGTCAATTTGTTTATATTTGAAACTAAACTGTGAATCACAATGGGCACACGCGCAGTGATTCCCAGTGAAATTGCGAAAGGGAGGCTCAATACTAGACTCTAGGTTGGCACAGGAATAACAAAGAAACGTTTACTAAATGAAAACCTGGGCAGCCAATGGCAATATGACAATTATATATGCCTATTTTTAATAATAAACCACTCAAATTCAAAGAAATAGTATAATAACTGATAGTGATACACTTTATTGGTCATGACTGGTAATGGTATACAGATTTTAAACTCAAAGAGCTGAATAAACTGACTATTTTACAGTTGAGTTACAATAAAACTGGCCTAAATAATCATGTCATAAAAAAGTCAAACAAAATCACCTATTTTGTGCATACTTCGAGACCACAACAAATAGGAATGCAACGAACAGAAGACTGAGAAATTCAGGATTTTTCCGGAGAGCTTTGGCCATCGCTCGGAGCAACACGGCGGCGACGTTCACGTGCTGCAGAGACGGGTAGGTGGGGGCTGGCGCGCCGCTAGCAGGGCGGCCAGGATCGGTAGCGCGAGCTGCAGCAATCGCCGATGACAATCTTTCCTCGTAGTCGTAGTTCGTGGCCTCTGACGGGACATCTGCCAGCATAGCGACAGCTTGCAGCCGGCCGACATCCACGCGTGGGAGAACCAGGAAATGCCCACGTCAGGGACAAGGTTTTTGAGTTAATCAATTCATCTATTCAACACGGTTAAATCCACGATGAATGGGAATGAGCCACGTATGTTTTGTGTCGATTTTTTTTCGTGGAAAAACTCTCGCCAATATGGCCGGCGATTGAGGGCGTTGTTGCAACAAAATTAGACTTGTACAAGTCTTTGGGTCACCGGTGATGCATACGACGCAACCGTACCCAATGATCCGCCACCAAAAACTTCATCGAGAGTACGGTAGTCTGGCTCCCACGAGTACGATTAATTACTACGTTCTAATGCACTGCATGGAGCAGGGAATTAGGTGAACCATAAACTTGTAAAAGGTTGCAACTGTATCTTATTTTGTTAATAGCGTCCAATCTCCGTGGCGACTGCATTATTTATGCTCCAGCGCAAAATGTGTGCAGGGTAGATTCAGTGCATATTTTCTTCGGGCAGATTTTGTTTGACTTACGCTATATGACTATGAGTATATCCTTCTAGAATAACGAGGAAAACAATCACATGTAAGTAGCTTTAACTTATTATGTCTACTGAGAACAATTCTTCAGCTTCTTCGCTTTTTTCTTTGTCGGATTTATTGAATGGATCGGAGTTAAAAAAGTAAGGGAAATCAAATGTGGACTTTTTTAATACGGCATGTTTACGTTCAATGCGGACTGTAAGTGTAACTTTGTAATTCCAGAAGTGGGGGGGGGGGACCTCACATTGTTTAAAACAGGTTCTTATTCTTAATCCTATATTTATTTGTTAAGTAACACTACAGAAAAGCTAGGGGAAAAAAAGTAGCATCCTGATGCCACTTCTTCGGTGGAGTGTTGCGCATGTTGAGTTGGAGAGTTGAGCGTAATTTCAAAGTATTTTCTAAAATTCTATTGAATTGGAAATGTTTCTCACTCAAGTCACAGTCCCAGATTCATGTCTTTTTAACAATTTTGCAACTTTGACCTTCAAAAAGGCTTCATTGAGATAATATATGAGGAAAAAAAGAGGCGTCAGGATGCAAAATTATTTCCAAAACGAGTAATGATGATCACTATCGAAGAGGCTTACAACTTCGTTATGGAATTCAGAAATGTATGATCCATTTTATTAACAGAGAAAATGGTCATTGAAAATTTAAAGGGTAGTCAACATGGTGAATTTAAAGGGTGGATGTGGGTTTTCTGTTCAGGATTTTCTTTGGTATGTTTGACATCTTTTCCTATTGTAAATATTTTAGAAAACAGTATTATAAACAACATTAATAATTTCAGTTTTTTGTTTTTTTGTTGACAGATGCCAGTCTCAGTCAGAGTTTGCTGAATCTATACAGAATGGATATTGAACAGATCATGATTCACTACTGAACCATCATGATGACAAAATGTGCATCTGTTATTCATCATAGCTAAAAAGTTGTCCTTCGCCCCACAATGAAACATCCGTCGGAAAATGTGGAGCACTTCGAGTACAATCTCGGCAAAGCGCCAGAGCTTCGCTGCGAGTACGGCACGGTGACCACCACCTGCGACCGTTGCGAGAGCTGCCGGATCCGCCACCGTCTAGCCCGGACTCGACAGTGGTTCCTCCGGGCCGGCGAAAAGACCAGGAAGACATTCATGCTGGGCCTGGTCCGACAATTCAACAGCCTGACCTTGCTCCGCTATGCGGTCAATCTCCTGAACCCCCTCATTGGCAAAGACTTCACCTACGCCCGCTCACGGACCCATCCCAGCGTCGGCGGCGATGGGGCAAGCACAGGGGACGACAGGGCACTGTGGACGTCGAAGACCGAGCAGACAGTGACCGAAGCCTGGCAGTGGTTCAAGGAGGCTAAATACTGGAGCAAGGCAAATTATCTACTCGGGGTGCTACAGATGTGCAATGGAGAGTTGCTATACAGCATTGGGACACTGGCCAGAACGATGCTGGCTTCGGAAGAAAGGGCCAGGGAGGGTGTTTGTAACGAAGGTACAAATGAGTGCTGTGCTGAGTGCCCCCCTCCCCCCCCCCCCCCCCCCGCCAAAAAATAAGAAGAAAATTTGAGTGTCGTGCAGGATTATCAAAACCTTAAATTACCCACCTCCTCCCCCCCCCAAAAAAAAAACCCCACAATTGTCAAGACATACCTCCACCAAAACCTTTCTTTAAATACATGTAGGCCTTTTTCTCTTGAACTTGATTTTAAAAAAGCCAAAATCTAAAATAGTGAGTATACATTTTGACATGTATCCAAAAAGTGGTTGTCAGATATTTCTTCCTTTCTAAACAGAAATACTTGCTTTTAAACTGTCCATACTAAATTACATTTAAATATTTTTAAAGTTTGTCCCCCCCCCTCCCCAAGTAAAGAGAAAGTAGATTTTTTTATTTAAAACAATACTTTCTCAAGTTTTTTTTTAAAGAAAAAAGAACTATGGAGTTTCTCCAACAACTACACGTACGTTAATTAATTACACAAATAACAAACCCTCTTAAAACAGAAACATGTGATTGTGTATTTGAGCTCCCAACAGCTAAAGTGATTCTTTTGTAAAAGTTTAAATCACAGTTTTAAGACAATATAAGGCAAGTTTACGCCAGTTTGATCGTAGTAGCGAGACGTTTCAGTAGCTGAAAGTGTGTTTGCTTTTGTGTGCAATGTTGATCAATAGCAACAAGCCAGTGGAATCTGGCGTATTGACCCTCTGCTTCCAACCCAGACAGCCAGCCTTTGTCCGCCCCTTACCCTTCCAAGGTAGTTATATTTACCCAGGCAAACACAAGAGAATTCCGGATCTGGGCATCCATCAAAGCAAACAATCAGTCAACCACGGAGGAAAATATTTCAAATTTACTTGAGGATTAATTGTGTTTGCAGATGGATCAGCAAGTGATTGAGTCTTGTATGCTCGCTAATCCCCAGTGCATTAGCAGAGAGGCAGCAGAAAATTTGGCATCGCAATTTTTTTTTTGATCAGTGAGAAAACGGTTGAAGTTTTGTCTTCGTTTGTCGCTAAAGATGTTGTAAGACAAAAACAGGCTTTCATCGAAAGCTCCCCCCCCCCTCCCCGCCTTAAAGAAAGACATAACTTGAACAAACTTTTTTTGGATACAAGCTAATCAAAGGGTTAGTAAATTTCATTGGCTTCTGAAGTTGTACAGAATTGTTATTTCAAGCTGTTTTATCATAGTGGAGTATTTAGAATTTGGCTGAATTTTTTTGTCAAAAGTTTGCAAAAAGCATGTTTAAACTGATGTGAAAGCTTAAAATCTCAATCATTTATTCACTGAATTTCTTAATTATTTCAGATTATGAAAAGGAGTCCCTCGCGGACACAGTCTACTCCTACAGATCCGACACCTACCCCGAAAATCAACTGCTCCGCACGGCCGGCCATGAATATTCATCATCCCTGCCCCGCCCATCCCCGGACTCATTTGAATATCTGGACTCCTCCCACATTGTGGTGGAAGATGGGGAGGATGAGGACTCGGTCACGGTTAGTTCCTTCCAGATGTCATCCATCGACCCCACCCTCTGCGTCATGCCCACCTCTCGCTCTGCCCTGGGCGGGGTCTGGCACCACCGGGATTTCATCCGAGAGCTGCCCGTCCACCTGTCTAAGAACATCTTGAGTTATCTGGAGTACGGCGACCTGGTGAGCTGTATGAGCGTCAGCCGGCACTGGGCGCACATCGCTAAGGAAGTAGAAGAAGACATGAGGACGAGACAGTTGCTCTGGGAGGAAGTTATGTTGATGCAGGTAAAGAGTCAATAACCTGAGATGAGCACAGATCTCTAAGGACACTTTTTCTGAGAAAAAAAAGTTTTGTTTAGTAACTGAAACAGTATATGAAGACATCTTTCCGTGTAGCATGTTGCTGAGAAATGTTGGTTACTTATTTACCAAAATAACTGAGGTTACTCATGGTGGATTTTTGGTGTCAGAGAGTTACAGAATTTCAATTCTAAGTATGCAATACTTTTAGCACATATTGTTGAAAGAAGAAGCACAATTTTAAAGAAACAGGTTATTTATGTAATTACTGTATAAATACATGAATGAATACATAATTTATACTGGCTGTGTGTGGATTGTTCTCATCAGCTGGTTTTTCAGAGAAATTAAGCATGAATTTTCAAAGATTTTGTTGTAATTGTTAACATTTTCCATGGCTTTGTTCTGAAATGTTAATCTTTTTTTTTTCTCGAATATATTTTTTTCTGTCACTCTTTATCATGTTTATTAAAGAAAAAATTAACTTTCGTCAAAAGTTTTGACAAACTCTAACATTTACTATAATTCAGGTCATCAAAAGTCAGGGGAGAGCCTAGTACCAAGTCTAAGTAGCCTACAAAATGTACTGATGTAGGTAGGAGAATAAATTCTTATGGTTGAATTGTTATCAAACTGAAATTACTCCTTCTTTTACATTTGAAGGGTTCATCTGCCCAAGGAGGTAATCCAGTGTTTGCCAACCATCGCGCCGTTCCCGTTCCGCGATTGGTCGGCGACTGTCGCAACGTGGCGCCCTCTGACCTACCAGCCATGGAAGTGGACTTCAAGTCGGAGATCAACATCGCGAGCTCCTACAGCGGCATTGTGACCGACAACGTGAAGATGGAAGAGAGAAATGTTTACTGCGGTGCTTACAACGTCATGGTGCTCTCGGATCAGTAAGGGATTTTTTTTTTTAGATAACTGTACTGAAGTTTCATCGTCTGAAATTACCTGTCCGAAATCAAGTTTCTCATTTCTGTTTCAAAGTTAAAGGTCGAGTAGATCATTTGCAGCTATCCAAAAAGTAACTGACAAAATTATTGTTGAACAGCTTACTTGGTTTAAGTATAGTATTGGCACTAAACTCCCTGTGAAATTATTCTTCCTGGCGTGCGGTCATTTTGAAGGAAACAGTAAAAAGAAGGCCATTTCCAAAGATGCGTCAAGTGACACGTTTTTGCAAGTTTCCGTAGTTGGTTTGTAATTCGGTGAATTGGTCAATGGGTGCGCGCGAGCGTTGACACGACACACACACATGCGCGGTTGCTGTTATTCCTCATTTCAGTGCGTGACATCGCGTGGCTGCAAATCGGCTGAATGAGAACGTGTCCTGGATGCTGATTTCGGGCGCAATTCAAAACATAACTCGGCAAATTTTGAATTGAAATCGAGATCCTAGAATATTGTTTTCTCGGAATATAAAGCATTCACAGAGCTAAAACTTCATCAGGTTAGTTGTTAAGCACCCTCCTTAGATTTTGAGCATTTTTGTTGCTTCAAACGAAAAAAATTCACAATGACAAATGATCTAGCCTACTTTAATGTTAAAAGACGAACTATTAAACAGCCTTGACACTTGTGTGTGTTAGATCTCTATGTTGAAAATATTGAATGTTATATTTTACGCAGGGATGACTTCAACCGAGTTGTCTCCTACAACTACGGTTCACTGGTAGCCATAGGATCCTTTGATCGTCACGTCAGATTCCTGGACGTAACGACGGGCCATGACACTGGTCCCGTGATTACCGGCCACGCTGGATCTGTCAAATGCCTGTACATCAACGATCGCGAGGGATACGTGCTCAGCGGCAGCTTTGATACCAGTATTAGGTGAGTGAGAGTGATGCTGCATCTCCAAATTTGTGGTTAACATTCTCAAATGTTTCCTTTCTCTCTCATACTCGGAATGTGCCAGCCTCTTATTCTACCTAACCCCACCCCAACATGGGTGGCAACCTGGGGAGGGGGGTTGGGGGTCGACATGTGTAGTGTACCCCACCCCCACCCCCATCCCTGGCTCTGATTTCATCAACAAACACAACATTTGAATAAGTGTTGGAAATTTTGAAGAAAAAAAAAAGAGTTTCATTTAGGAATCTTCTACGTAGGGAATTTATCTGAATGTTTTCTAAGATATGTCATAACTATTTCTTTTTTTAAACTTTTCTTCCACTCTGCAATCCATAGTCATAAATGTACATTAGTTGTATGTGTTGATGTCTGATAAACAGAGACCTGTTCAATTTTTTCTCTTTTTTCCCTGGTAGGTGTTGGGATGTGAAGAGCGGCAAACCTCTCAAGATCTTCCATGGTCATCAGGACACCATCCTCTGCCTAGACATGTCCCACGACAGGAGAGACAGCCTGGTGGTTTCCGGCGGGAAAGATAAAGTTGTCAAAGGTAAGGAGGACATCTTCATCCAACCTCCGGTTACCTTCAGGTTCCCTGAGGTTCCGGGCCAGGTTTCCAGTGTCTGGGCATTTTCAATAGGCTGAGATACAGTCATGAATATTGGCTTATGCAGAGAGGTCACTGAGCCAAACCCACAGATAAGAACGAGTCAACAGTGGCCAGCAGATAAGAACGAGCCCAGTGGGATGTCTTAGCCTTCCCATGTCCACTATTGTTAAAGGCTTATCAGATTGAAGCATCTACAAGACTTTTGCAGAGCAGTCCTTCTGATTTGAGGCGTGCGATCACACCCCCACACCATGGCAAACCTAAAAGCTTCCCGAGAAGTGTGAATAATTGCCCGCCTGAATTTCCCTGGACCACTGATCACACATCTAGAAAACCACACACCTAGGAAAAAAACACACCTAGAAAAATCCAGGTGTGCCTTTTTCCACACGCCTGTGATTTTCAAATCAGAAGGACTAGAAGAGAGAGAACTGCATGGTTGAATTTAAGGATTAACGGCACATTTGCTACTAATGCCAGTTCAAGCCATTATGAGAAATGATAGTGAAAATGCCATTGTTGTGTAATACGGTTCCATTACAATCTATGCGTGTAATGTAATCTGTGGGTTTTTTTTTCTGTACCATTTAATAGTCTGGAATTTCAGCACGGGTAAATGTCTACGCACCTTTAAGCATATACACCAGGTGACAGCGGTGGCCATACACGGTGATACAGTGGTGAGCGGATGTGAAGGGGGACGGGTCAAACTGTGGAGCATCAAAGACGCCTGCCTCATCAAGGTAAGAAAGCATCTCAAAATATTTGATTCATAACACAAAATATATACATTTGTAGTATCCACTGAGCTGAAACTTCAACAAGTAAATAGTTATGCACCCTTCTACAGATTTTGAGCAATTTTAATTGCTACTTGAAACGAAAACAAAATGCCAAATGATGCGATGTACCTTTAGCAATAATATTTTCCTCCTGTTTTGATTTCTAGATGCTATACCAGTCTCCAAAGAACACCAACCGTTTTGGCTTCATCAACCCCCACACCCACCAGGGCCCGATCACCAGCGTGAAGCTGGATGACTGGCACGTGGTGTCAGGGAGCCGGGATGGCTACGCACTGGTCTGGAGCGCTGTAGGGGACCATAAACGATGCGTCACTGCGCTCAGGCATCCAAAGTAAGCAGCAAGTTCGATCAGATCCAGTTGCTGGCCATATTTTGTGTCTTATGAGGCCGTTTACTCACTTGCACTAAAGCAGCTGTTTTCAGATGGAGTGTGGCCTAGTGGTTAAGGTTTGTGACTCACGATCAATGGGTGAGAGGTTCGAATCAAGTTGGTGGCCATATTTTGTGTTCTTAGGCAAGCTACTTTACTCACTTGCACCAAAGCAGCCATTTTAGATGGAGCACGGCCTAGTGGTTTAAGGTTTATGACTCATGATCAAAGGTTTAGGGGTTCGAATTCAGTTGGTGGCCATAGTTTGTGTCCTTAGGCAAGCTACTTTACTCACTTGCACCAAAGCGGCCATTTTAGATGGAGCACGGCCTAGTGGTTTAAGGATCGTGACTCATGATCAGAGGGTTAGAGGTTCGAATCCAGTTGGTGGCCATATTTTTGTCCTTATAGGCAAGCCACTTTACCCACTTACCTGAGTTTTTTTCCTCTTCACAGGGAAGTTTTATGCCTTGAGCTGTCTTATCTCCGCGTCATCACGGGCTGTGAGGACGGCAAGCTACGCATATGGAACATGCTGAGCGGTGACTGCCTGCGTGTCATGAGAGGAAACAGCCGGTCTGACCCAATTGAGGATATCTACCCATGTGGGGAACGGTAAGGAGTAGTGGTCGCAGAACAAATCGTTGAAACTTCCTTCACATGCCCATTTCCTGAAAAAAAAACTCATCAGCAAGAAGCTCAATGGATTCAAAGTCCCCTTCCCCTTACCAGAAACAGTGTTGCTTTTCAACCATCAAAACCGGTTCTTGTAACTTGCCAAAGAGAATTATATCCAAGAAAACCTAACACCAATAACAAATTTCACCTAGTGTTACTAGTGTGAAAACGTTAATGGTTCACTTTTCAAGAAATCTCAAATCTTTCAATGAGCTGCATACAGTTGTTTCTTTGGAACAATAATTCATTCTATTTTCAGTACATTTTATAACCTTGTTTGTAAATTTCATGTTAACAGGTTGGTTCTACACACAGTCAACAACCTGCTGGTCCTGTGCTTTGAGGAGGTCCAGTGGGACTATGAACAAGAGGAGAAGATTGAACTCCTCCGTTACAAGAACCACTACGGTGACGCCCCACTTAGGAAGCACACCTACCCCTACATCCGGGCCCAGCGCAGCGAGCGGGCCGGAGCCAGCAATCCCAAGATCATACGGCACCACCGAGGTCCGTCGGAAGAGGGCGGGTCGTCGCAGCTAGGCCACAGCGGCCGTACCTTGCACGACCGTCATTTGCAAAGTGCCAAGAGGATCCAGAAGCAAGTCAAGGCGGTGGAGTTTGTTTCCAGTCTCAAGGGGAGCGTGTATCACAACGTCCAGGGTTCACAGCCTGACGGCGCTGCCATGCAAAGCACGAAGACCGGTTCAGTCATCTATGCGAGGTCCTGTGCAGGCTCTTCAAGACCTCCGACAGCTACAACTTACTCCAGACCACCTACAGCATCAACGAGATCAGTGACAGGGTTAGTGTCCAGAGCGACAACACCAGCCTCTCTCAGTCGTTCAGAGATTGTGAGACCCAAATCACAGCAGGATGTTAGGGTCTGTTCTCCGGTGGCATCCTCGCGACCTCCAACCGGCATCATGAAGGGCGGATCCAGACCGCAGACAGCCTTCTCCACTAAAAGTGGGATCCTCAAGCGAGCAAAGTTTGAGCTCCCGAGGCGTGGCCACAGTGCTCCCGTCCGAAGGCAGAACGTCAGTGATGCCTTGTCGCTGTCGGAGGCCAAGGCCCTGATTAGATCCCAGGAGCGGACCAAGGATGTCCCGACTCCCCGCGACAGGCTGCTACTGACCATCAACTGCATCGAGAGCTCTAAGAAAAACACAGAGCTTGTAAACAACACGACGGCCAACGCCTTGGAAATCGACTACAAACCGCATCAAGAGAGTCCAGCGCCGTTCAAAGTCAAAAGCCCTCAGATCAGGCAACTGAGAGAGAAGTTGCAACCAGGAGCTTTAACTCGTCCAGAACCGTCTGTCGTCAGTCGTTTCAGAACTGTTGAGATTGACAACAAGCCTCACATCAGCCTGCATCCCAAGATAGTACCGTCCAGCATCCCTAAGCAAACTCTAACATGTAAAGAGCCTAAGAAATCCATCCTGACCCGTCCAAGCTCTGGCCATGTCCCTTCATCAGCTGAAAAGCCGGAGATTCCGCTCAGAAGAAGCCAGAGTGCAAACGCCATCCTGACACCCAATGCAGCCAGTTCGGGTCTGTCCACGAACACGGACGCTGTCATCCGTAAGAAAACCTTCCATGGCTGGACGACATCGCACACCGAGCCCGTAATCATCAGTCCCATGCTGATGCACGGCCTGGGCAGTGGGGCGCAGTCGCCACGGAAGCAGCGCCGCAGCGTGACCAAGATCGTCATGGGTCTGCCGGTGGAGGTCAAGGATCCGCTGAAGAGCCACAAGGAGTTCCAGATACGAACGCGGGAGCAGACGCAGGGTTATCTGAATCGAGTGACCGAGATCCAGCAGAAAGACGTCAGGGAGAAGGCGGCGCAAGCCGAGGCACTGCAGAGGAAGCTGTGGTTGGCAAAAGCCAAAGGTCAAGCTCATCAGGACTTTACCAAGAAGCCAAGAGCTTTTGCACCAGAGATTCGAGAATGAACCTCATATATTCAGGAGGAGAGAAAATGAAATTTCGCACAAAAGTGAGATTTGTGACTTTCCGAGCATGGTACACATGCGCTTTGGACATGGGAAGCCGATGGCAGATCTGTACTTCCCCGTCTGAAAATCGAGAGGTTGATGTGTTTTAATTTTGTTAAAATGCACGTGATGTTCAGTCTTTAGGCCAAAAAAAGAGTCTCCGTTTCTGGTATGGAGCTTGTCCTAAAAATGGTGCGGTGACGCGGCTTTTTTTTTTTTTTTTTTTTACTTTTTTCTTCTTCAAATGTCGGCTGATGACTGCAAATGGTGCGCGACTAAATTTGGTGCAAAATATATGGGAGTCCAGAGAGGCCACATAAAGCTTATACTCGATTGTAACTCCATCTAAAAACACGTTAAAGTTGTGCAGTAGCAGGATTCCAGTCAAACCAGTGAGTTTGGCAGTTTTTGGACATCATCTTACATTTGAAAAAAAATAAATGGCATTTTGCCGATGCGCATGGCTACGGCAACGCGCGCGCAAACCAGAAACCTGGAGACTTTTTTTTTTTGGCCTTACTCTTTCCTTAACTTTCCTTCGAAACATTGTTTGCATTTTGATTTATTCTTTGTTGATTTGACTTCAGAATGACGAAAAAATGACGAATTGTATACGTGTTTATGCATGTATTATATGAGTTGTTAAAAAGAAAATTGCACTTCCATTTTACCATAAAAAGGTTAATGTACAATAGTCACGCTCGTGTCAAAATATGGTGGTCTGATTTCATGTGAACTTCCATTTGAAGGGCACGTCCCAGTGACAATTTTTCTGTGTTTGATGGCACTTCTTGCTTAGTTGACCAGCTATGTCAAATGCAGTGTTACTAGCTTGTCGGTGGAAATTATTGGCTTTCAAGAGCTGATGATCCAAATAGCCTTTGCTTTCTGTGGGTTGTAATTGTATACAAATAATGAATGTTTGTCAGTGCAATGGTAAGAATAATTTCATGCAATGACAGATGGAATGTTCCATTGCATGAGGCGAGGGGAACGGAAAATTCCATCTGTCACCGAATGAAATTATTCTTTCCATTGCACAAACGTGAAACATTCATTATTTGTTTTATACAACACCTGAATAAATCTTCGTCATCTGATTGGTCAGGGCTGCCAAAAATGTGACCATGCAATAGAACTTCCATTTACCGTGGAATAGAACTTCTATTTTTGTGCATCTGCGCTGTGCGGTGCTGCGAATAATTCAATGAGTCACGTGATCAACGACCAACCAATCAGTTAGGGATATTTAGGCGTTGTATATTACAAACTATGTATACCAAAGATTTTGTGTGAACATAATATCTAGATGCAGATGTATATTTATTCAAGGATTTGATTTGTTCCATCTTGCCAAGGTGTGATGTGTGTGGCTTAATTTTTTTTTTTTTTTCCAAAGAGTGCTTTCATTGAAATGTTGCATGAATTGTTAATAGCTGAATCGTATTGTTTGTAAAACTTAAAACGTGAAGAGTATAAGCTTCCCTTTCAGTCCATTTTTGCATGAAAAATGTTTTTGGAGATTCGTTTTAGGACTTTGTAGCTTTAAAAAACGTCTAAATGTGTGTTGCTATATGTTCAAAATTGCACCAAATTAAAAAAAATTAAATCTTGTTTGAAGTGTATCTTGAATGTCAAAGATTATTACATTCCACATAGCTGCTTATCTCGATTTTTCACTTTATATTATTCCCTTACAAAGGTTATTTCATATACTCATATTAGATTTGAAGAAAAGCTCCTTTTAAAAACTGGTCTCAAAGGTAATAAACAACATTTGCTCTAGCTGTAATTTTCAGAAATGGATGGATTTAGGGAAATTTTGAAATATTGTTACACTGACCTGTTTTTAGTTTTGTGTTCGGATGCAGGTTCTTCTGGTCCCCTGACCCTACTTCAGATGAAACGGATAATTTATAGACGTCGGAGCTTTTTCCTGTCTGGGAACCATAACTGGTTTGCTGAATTTTAAAACACAGTAAAGAACGCTTTTAAATGTACTGTTAATTTGCATTAAATACTACAGGAAACCAACTTGCAAAAAATTTGATTAATTTTTGTTTGGAAGAGAATAAAAGCAGGATTTATTTACTTGCAACATTGGAAACTGACCTACATGTATCTGGCCACATGTTGGCATTCTTCACGTCTGTCAATGTTTATTTTATATTAGGTTTTGCCTAAATTGCCGACATATTTTATAAACACTAGTCCGTGTTGTTTAAGGATTTGTAAAAAGTTTGGTTGCGGTGCCCCCTTCTACATCAGACTCGAACCTTCCAGCTGACCCCGGCAAGCTCGGTGGTCGCGTGGTAAGACGTCTGCACTAGTAAGCAGGTCGTGGGTTCGAGTCCCACCGAGTAAGCTTGTGAAATTTTTCTCACCAACACTAGAAAAACACCGAGTACATGTACACATTGTAACAGTTTTTTTTGTAATATTTAGGCAAAATGCAAAACCCAATATCAAATTTATATTATGATATTATAATCAGATTGTCAATGTTTGTTCTTGGGTGAAACATTAAGACTGTTCGTGCATACAGACATTTTTACAGCACCATATTCATGTAAAAATATATTCATATCAAAAATAAACATGTACATGTGCAGTCAAACACCTTGATAACAAGGTCCTTAGGATTACCTTGCTATAACCGGTACCTTGTATTAACAGTAATGAAAAAACCAAAGAAAAACAAAGATTTGGGACCTAAAATGTTGCTTGTTTATAACAAGCAGGACCTTGCACTAGTGCTCTTTTGCAGGGTTCAACTGTATACAGTTAATTGTGTAATGTACATACGACGTCCTGCGGAGTTCAACTACCACAACTGTGCATGTACAAAGAAGTACATTACCCAACATGATTCAGAGCAAAAAAAGTCGTTTCCAGAAACAAATTTTTAGTAGAGAAAACATCCGACTCATATTGCGAAATATATGTTTATTCTCCTAGCTGTGTACTAAAACATTTTTTTTAACAAATATTTTTGTTAATAATATATAATTTTACAATGCAAACATATCAATTTTGTCTTAGATATTAGAATACTTTATATTGCTGTTTATGAGTCATAGTACTCATAACTGAAATGGACTGCATGCTCCACATCGCCTTCAAACTACAAAATCCAACAAAGGCTAACCAGTGTTGGATTCTGTTGGATCCATGAAAATGCTACACACTCACTGGATTCTGTAAGATTCAGCATCATCTATTTCTAAGCTATATTCAGATATTAAGAAAAGATAGAGGATATTTAGGAACTTTCCAATCTAAAAACATGATTCAATTTTCTAGGAGTTGCCAAAGGTAATTATACGAATCTCATTCCTACACAAGACAGGAAGCCAACACAATTGGCAATTTCAGTGAAAAAGACAGGAGGCAACAAGTCATTTGCCAGTTAAATTTGAATAAAATCTGGAACACTGACTTAATCCAATGCTTTGCACGTTTGAATTTTGCATTCTCCCGACCAAAGAAACTGCTACTATATCACGTGATTATCATGTCAGGGCAAGCCTTATGCTAGCAACACCCAGCTCCAGCATGGTCTGGTGTCTTTGTGCCATCTCATCCATTGTAAACAATGTATTGGTGCTGAGCGTCTCTTTCGCAACTATGCAAGAGCTTGCCCTGAATCATTTGATTAGCAACGGTGTCTTTGGTCTGGAGAATTCAAAGTTAAAATGTGCCGAGCATGATGAGCAAGTCAGTGTACCAGATGTTTTTCAAATGTAAATCCCAAAGGGTATAGGTTACTCGCAAATGGCTTATTCAACATTTCAGAAACTACACACTAACTACAAGTCAAAACTTCAATAAACAACATGTACATGTAAGTGCTTAAGTTAAAGGCAATGAAAAGTGCACAAAACGTTTTACAACAACCACTTTTATAAAACTACTTTTATATCAAAGTGCGACAGAATTTTGAAACACCCTCCCACTTTACCTGTTTTCCCCTCCCATCCCACAATTGGCAGTGTGTCACAACAAAGTTGTTGACTCGAGATCTGACTGGTCCGTGTTTTTTTTTAAGAATCACATCTTTTAAAAACCTGTCAGAAAGTAACATGGGCCTTATGCACGAGTTGGCCATTTTGGTCAAGTCCCCTTAATGTATTTCAATAATTGTTAACTGTTGAATGGGGTGGCGCCAGACTATTCATGCAGGCATAACGCAGCCTTTATTTACTGCCAGATTTTTTTAATCAGGCTTTAAACATAAAGGGAATGTTTTATTCCAAATGTTTAATTATTCATTGAAGCAGACTGGAATTAATTGGCAATTAACTTGCTTGATCATTTCTAGCTCTTCGCAAGTTCCCAAAATTTAGATTTTACCTCAATTTCAATTCAAAATGGCCGACTTGTGCATAAGGCCCATTGGCACTTTATCTCATCCACACACCACATAATTTACTTTTTTTCAAATCGGTGATAAACAAGAAAGCTGTTATGAGATACATTCACATATAAAGATTAAATCTTCCTTTTTTTTTTTACAATAACACTTATATTTTTATGCAATTTCACATACATGTATTAAAATAACACAGGTAAAGTTCGTACATTTGCATTTAAATTACTACTCTACATTTGATCGGATGGAAAAAGCATGTAAAAATATCCCAAATTTAAATAGCCGATGCAACATTACAAAATACAACACTTTATTTACAACGTATACACAATCATTGGGTATACACAATCAACGTTTGCACAATTGTTTTAATACACACATAATGCCATCCTAAAATCAGGCATGCAACCAGAAAGTAACACCAAAAATAGGAGTAGACCAAGCTTTACAAGACTTTATACAGTGTTCTTCAATTTTTTTATGGCATATATAGTGAAAAACGAGAAAATCAGCTGTACATGTCCACCACACTTATCTACACATCTCCACCGATTCATCATGTATACACACGCATCCACCAATCTAACAAATATTAAAAACCTGTGTGCTTAGCTCAACACCATGAAATTGGGCCTATTTCCAAACCTGCAAAAACCAGCGCTTTACTAAACTGATTGTAACTGTATCACCAGTTTCATCATTACCGTACTAAATTCTGGGTGAGGTTTAAAAGGTAAGAAATGCCACTATTAGCATTTAATACTGCCTTGCATTGCTGTACATGTATTTACACCGCTAATATCAAAAAGAAATTTTCATGATCATGAGAATGCATCAACAAACAAGCATACATTTGTACATGTACTTAAAAATTGCATAGTCCCCTTTGTAGTATGTAAAAGTACGTAATATCTTCTATATTTTGCAAAAAAAGTTTTGTTACAAAGCTGCCGACCACGATTAATAACGAGGATCCCCAACCATTTGCAGTGCAGAAGAAATGTAACGGACGGTTAATTTTACATCAATATTAGGTGTTGCCCTTCACCGACGTTTAAACCATTGGTATGACGTTACAAAATGGTTAAAAGTGTGGATTCGGAACTACAAATCTCTTACACTGGTCACAAAGTGTGGATTCGGAACGACAAATCTTCTGCAGATGCAATGGTTTAAGTCGAAGAATACATTTGCAAGTGTGGATTCTCAATTTACGAAATTCACTTGGCGCTTCGCGCCTCGTGAATTCTTAAATTACGAATCCACACTTTCTCGTGTATTCTCCTTCACATAAAAACTGTATACTCAGTGTGTTACCTCCCGAGTGAAAGTTGGAAAAAGAATCACTGATATGCAGTGTTTATACGTCGGTGAAGGGCCAAACCTAATATTGATGTACATCACCCCGGCACAAATTCCATCTTAGGAATAGTTAATTTACAGGCAATGGGAAAATTGAGGATTTTTTTTTCATTGTGTGATTCTGTGCACATGTTTTAATAGTTACAAATGGTGTGATGAATAGGATTTCAACGTTGGCATAAATAATGGCATACCATATCCTGCATGATGATTGGGGAAACCTCCAGTTCTTGTACACGTATACAACAAAAAACCTACAAAATCTATTTCAATATATACATATACTCCAAAACACCATATAAATATTTTTGAAGTGAAACAAAACTTTGAGTATTTTTGCATAATGAAAGTGTTCAAAATAATTGGCCGGACTTAGAAAGAAGAATACTGCTTAAATTCTGGTATCAAATGTTTTAACTTCGGACCAGTGCTGGTCTCCTCAAACAGTCTGATTTCGATTGAAATCTTGCGAGAGGGGCATGCTTTCCTCTCTTGAGCCTCCTGAGAAGAATTGCCGGATTTTGGTGCCCAGCGTCAGGCTGCGCTGTGCCTGGCTCTGGAAATCAAAGTTGGCCACCTCAACGTGGCGTTGTCTGTGCCCTCGCATGTGGCTGGTGATGACGGCGGCACAGAGGATACAGCCAGCTACGCCGAAGAGAACCCCGATGACCAGACCGACGACTGTATTCGCAGCTACAATGGAATCAGAGACAGAGAGCTAATGCTCATTTCAGTTTCACAGATCAGCCAAAGTTGCATGTACTCAAGTCCTAACAATAAGGCACATCCCTCCTATGCAAACATACATTCTGCGCCAAGTTGAAAATCAATCAAATCACTGTTTTCAACGCTTAAGAATTCCCAGCCCACATAAAGCAGGATTGACTGCCTTGGACTGATTAAGTAACTTGATACAGCTATGCTTTGACTCCAGGGGTGCGTTTTGGTAGTCATAACCAAGAATTGGTTCTGTTGTTTCTCTTTGGCTAATGGTTTTTGGGGGTTTGAGTATTGCATTACCGTGAGTAATTCTCGTCCATTTAAAATTCCCGCAAAAATTCACTGACAAGAAACAACCGAACCAATTCTTGGTTATGACTGCCAAAACGCACCCCAGGTGAGTGATAAAACAGCTGTGACCACAGCTTGCCTGCTTTAATTTGACCCAGTTTGCTAGTCACAGCGCTTGCTTGAAATATGATCTGACTGCTGGTGACTAGCCTTTGTTAAAAGTATAGCAGGGGAAGTGGAAGCGAATTTTGACGGACCGTGACTGCTTAAAGAGCAGGAGAGTTAATACAGGACCATTTGTTTTTCATGCATTTTGTTCGTTTCCACTTATAACACCACTCAATAACCAGTCAACGTTTCAGCTCTGTGGATATTTCTCTTGTCGGGAAGCAATTTTTAAAAAAGAAGTATTTCAAACAGTTGACCACACATACTGAAATGTGTATCCTTGTGGAGACATTTCTTTGTTCTTGTGTACTAAAGTTTTCGAGTTTGAAAGTACAGTTTCAAAATGCTCTTATTTTAACCAGAATAAATTTGGCTGAAATTCAGACTTTTCTAAAACTCTTCCATTTGCGACAGATCAACCCACCTTGGAAATTCCTAGTTTTTGAGTGAAATCCACATATCTATTTCGTGAAAACCTTGTGGAGACATATTCATCTATAGAAATTGCGCTGTGGAGACATAAACAATCTGTTGTTCACTATTGTGTGCATGTCTCCAGAGGGCACGGTGTATCAGATCTGGAAAACATGCCAAGTACAAAGTATACTTACAGTCCTCTACATGTACATTCTTGTTGGAGTTTGCATTGCTGACGGTGTTCTGAGCACGTACCCCGATGCTGTAGCCTCCACTAGTGTTGAACCACTGATGGATTTCAAACCACGTCCTATTTGTCAGCACTTGTTGATTGCACTTTATCGTGTCTGAATAGCCTGTCAGCAACGTGTGGGTCGTAATAGGGATGACGTACCAGCAGACTTCAACGGGCAGACTGTGGGAGGCATACAGATCAAGATTAAATAGATAATTTAAGTTTGCAAATCGACAAGGATCTTAAGATTATGAGCTGCATACAATAGCGCTTTTCAAATCGACTACGTTCAAGTTCATTTTACGCCCCTTTCTCCATCTGCAACAGACCTTGTTTAAGCAATATGCTTGTACATGTATATAGAAATGCATTACAGACAATCGGTACTATAGTCACAGGCCGACTTGAGCGATTTGACGAGATGTACGATGTCCACTTGGCCTGAATTTACTGTATATACCTTGCAAGACAGGATATGTTGTAACTCTCTTTTACGCCAGCTGGAAAATTGCCTTTTCCTTTGATCGTCAGATTCCTTACCGCATCTATAATATAAAAAATTATTAATAAAGCACAAGGAAATGAAAAAAAAATCACCATTTGGTCGTAACCAACAATTTGAGGAGACTTTTCTCAAGTTTGGGATAAGTTTTCTACAAAGTTGGTTTTCAAAGAAATAGCACAGATTTAAGTAAACAAGATACATATCTCTTAATATTTTACATGTATGTCAGTAACTTGTATTTTAAGATTAACTACTGATTCCATGGTTTTCCCCAGAATTCTTCTTGGGTTTTCCTCCCACGTCTAAAACTTTCTTCTCATTGTCTCCTCTCTACAGGTTTCTTCAGGCTTGCGAGCTGCAGTGCCTGGGTCGCTGTTGGGGAATCCTTGGTTTCATTACCAGAAATAAATTTATAACAATAATATAATGATTAAAAAACTTGTCAACACAAATGTTGGCACTAATGCTATCAGCACGCCTTACCCATTGTGTGTAGGTTCTTTTTGATGTTTCCAGTCTTAGGCTGCCTTTGCTTTTCACCCTCAGCGTCATTTGGAAAGATGGCCGTCATGTTCACGGTTATCCCATAATGCCCTGGTTTCTTGTACATATGGGAAACTGCGGGCTGTGCACAAAGGGAAAAAAAATCGCACGATGTTGAGAAATGAGAAAAGGGCAATTTCTTAAACCCTTGAGGGAACTCAGGTTAAATTTACGTCTTGCTTTCAAAAATAATTAGATGTTTTCTATATATTTCAGAAACAGTTTCGAATGTTGCAATTTGGTTTGATGTTATCAGCGTATACAAATTATTTCAGACCCGAAGCCAAACCAGAGATAAAACAAAGTTCCACTTCTTATTAAATGTAGATCTGTGGTAGAAACTTCTAGCAGAAACTGTCTATTGGGTACCATGCAGCATATTATAAGTCTTTTGATCGTCATAATGAACTGGTGCCTTGTATTGTTTCTTCCAGTCTGTAATTTACAAGATGGTGTTCGAATATCAGTGACTCGAATCGACTCGAGCATAAATTGACTCGACTCGACTCCACACTGTGACTCAACTCAACTCAACCTTCTTCACCCAATGACTCGACTTGAGTCACTTTCTTGAAATGACCTGACTCAACTCCAGTCACAAAATTCATTGACTCATTTAAACTGTGGTGATTACTGATGTAGGCAAAAGTAGTTTTGCAAAACTTGAAGGATAGGAACAGACGACTCGGAGTTTTAACTGGCTATTGCGATAGCTAATTCCACACAGCAATGTGACAATTTTCACAAATGGTCTAACATATTACCTGATTAATTGTGGTATCTGCAACTCCATCTCCAAACCTCCAGTGATACAGCAAGGTGGCACCTTTGAAGAAGTTGCTGGGGTCGTGAATGTCGACCACCATGTCCACAGACTTGTTGGTTGCAACGACGTTGCAGGTTTCGGCGCCATAGGAGGAATTGCAGGATATTCCTTGCTTGACGCTTAGATTGGCGTTTATGTGCTCTGTACATGTAAAACAAAATTATACAAACAGGTTATCCACACGCAATACATGATGTATGGCCTACACAATAGCACTGCTCACACAAATGTACAAGTAATTACCGGTACAGGAAGGTCTATACATAGAGCAAAGACCTATGCTCTATGGTCTACATGACTGCCATGGATGTGGACAAAATAGTTTTTAACCATTTTTCTGTAAATGGCCGCTATTTCTTACTTTGAGCTCTATTTTCAACGCCGATTTCACCATGTACAACCAAGATCTTGTAGTTTAAGAAAATCTAAAAACAATTTCAACATGTCACTTCAAGTTTCAGAAATATGCCGCTGAAAAAGTGTAAAAAAAAAAAATTGGACCACCCTGTACATCACATGAATTTTTGGCTGGTAAAGTCTCTCTTTTTTTGCAAATAGTTTCCGGTTTGAGCAAACTGCTTAATTAGCAACTGAAACTTAGTGAAATGAAACTGAGCACTCCTGGTCCAAAAATCTTCTGTTTACAGATAATTTCTGTTCGTGTCATGATGGAGACATTTACCGGTAGATGCAAGACCAAAGAATAATTTCTGAGCTGACATTCAATGAAAACAGACTCAACAAAAGAGACCTCCACACCTTTAACATTTAAAGCAGTTTACATACATGTGCATTCATACATTGTTCAGATTCGCCTATTTTTTAACACAACTAAATGTCATGCTCATGATCCAACCTTATCAGTTTATCCTTAAATGCGTACAAAATTTTGTCAGGTAGCCCAGGTAATTCTGTAACTAGAGGTACCGTAGCTCTACATACAAGCCATTGCAAACAAACATTTGCAAATTGAAAGTTTAAACAGCATTTATAATCTCTGAGTGCAAACTAAATAAAGATAATGTAAAGATAACGGGCCTGTAACTTGCAAAACCATTCTTGGAAAAACACTCTGCATAAATATTTATAACAAAAGTCTAAACTAACTTATAAATCTAGACTTCAATGTGAAACATTTATTTTATTTTTTTTCAATTTCCAAAAACCCTAGACACAAGGTTCAACGTTAAAATAAAACTTTTTTCTCCAAATATATAAAGTTTGGGTTTGGTGGAGGTTTTACTGAGAGTTTTTTTCCCCTTTTTTTCTTGGGTATCATTACACAATTTGTCCCATTTTATGTAGAAGTTCCACCTTGGTAAAAAATGTAAAAATCAATGGCGTTTTCAAATCACAAATTTGATGGCGTTTCAGTACATATACGCACATGCTATAGGGAACACACATAAAAACCAGAATCTGTTACATCCTGTTGATTATTCTCATGTCTTGTTGCCGTACTTGAGTCAACTACGGAAATGCTGGTATTTCCGGCCACCAATCGAAACTTTTGTATCCGGATATCGCTGCTTTGAATCAAGACCACGATTGGGAAATGTATTGTTGTTTTGTGAAATCCCATACTGAGGTAGTCTGTATTTCGACATTATCATCGGTATTGTTCAGTATGAAAAAAACCTTTGCACTATGACGGTGTAATTGAAATACAGTCCAAGGCAAGCCTACTTCCTTCCAGGCGTGACGTTATTAAAAGCTGACGAACTTCCTTTCAACTGGACGTACAATTACAACTAGGCCTACATACAAGATTCACAACAAATTGAAAGCTTGGTGTTCAAATGTTGAACAAAGGTCAATATGGCCAAATCAACTCACCACAAAACTTACCGAATTGATAAGAAATATAAATAGTGCCATATATTTGAAGAGATGACATCACCATTTTCCAAGCAATTACAATATGCTTCGTGCACAATAACAGACTTTTAAGAGTCGATGTGGCAGATATTTTGAATTGCATCCTTTTTATACCATTCGACTACATTTTCAGTCCTCCTGTTGCCTATAATTTTCCACAAGAATTTGTTCATGGGTAAAGGACCATGTTTTCATCCGAGACAAAATTATTTGAAACAGCTAAAATTGGGGGTTTTGGGGCCCACTTTCAGTTCCTTGTTGCTGATTTTCTAAATTTTTCCTAAAACTTATGCATTCATGGTTATGCAAATGTATCCACAAACTTGTTAACAGTTGGCAGTACGAAAGTACTTACACAGGGGGAGAAAAGTTTTTGACAAGTGCTTGTCACTTTTTCCTATACTAAGAAAAGTAATGTTACAAAATTTCATCCAACCAAAATAATTTTTTCCCCATTTACAAACACCAAAAACAGTAGGTTTTATTTGTGAAATACTGCACTGGAACCAAATTTGTCTAAACCGGGTTTTGTTTTTATTAATTAATATTACTTAACATTTGATTTGTCGTCTTGCTCTTCTAGCATTATTTTATTCCTCTAGTTTATATGTAATTTTAAGTTCTGTGTGTACATGTAAATATTTGTTTTGCTTTTTATATTTCTTAATTTAATTTAATCTAATTTATTTTATTTAAAATGCTATTTTTTTGTTAGCCTTTTAGTCAGGAGCTCCCCTCGTCAGAGACTTTGTCTCTTTTGGGCGATCCTTGCTCTTTTCGTTTGTTGTTGTTGTCCTTTAATTTTTTGTCTGGTTTTACTGTCTATCTCGACAAATAAAGTAAATGTAAACATAAATGTTAAAGAACTCATGAATGCACTTATCAGTGCTTTGTCAAATTGGATGAAATTATCATACCAGACTAACATGTAATGTAAGTGTTCCAGTTACCATGCAGTTGAAGGTTATTTACACTTCATATGTACAAGTACTTGACCTTGTAACGGTTAAATACATATGTTCACCTCCATGCACTCACAGTGGCTCCTGAAATATAATATTTAGTTCAAATTGTTTGCTTTCTCCATCACGTTTTGAGTGAGTGGAGCTCCAAAGTCACGTATTCGAGCTAACTCCAATATGGGGTTGTTTCATCGACAGGGTTAAAGTTTCAGAGGATGTGTGTGTTGTGACGTCAATGGCACCCCGCAACAGTCACGGGACAGATGAGATAGATATGGTTTCCAGAAAAAGCCACAAATCTAGGGCAAAGGATCATCTAATTTTAGAGACTGTGGTGCGATTGTTTTGTAAACAGTATGGGAACTTATTGTACACAATGCTTCCCCTTGAAAACTTGACACAGCGCTTCTTCACCTTTATTTGGGACGATAACATTTCGTGATTTTTTCAGCTGAGCAGATAGGAAAACCCACAACTTGGTTCATCAAAATGCAGATCAAACTCTAAAACTTGTTCCATGAGAAGTACTAAACAGAAACGAAAAAAAAAAGCACTGATGTTTTTCAAAGCTGGACACAATTAATGCATCCTCCAAAATCAACAGACGTTTCTTTTTAGCCATTTAGCATCAATCCTCCAAGATACTCCCAAGAAAAAATATATAGGGTCCAACACGAATAAAACACCAGTTATCACTTCATGACTTACAATGAATAAGAATGAATTTTACCTATGCGTCTGATGAATTCATAGAAACCAAGTATTAATTTAGTTAATATGTAAAAACTACTGTTACTGGTTTTTTTTTCTTTTCATAATCACTCCGTGGCAACACTGAGTATACAGTGTTTATAAAATACATCGGTGAAGGCGAAAACCCAATATTAAATTTACATCACCCCGATGCAAATTCCATCGTATGAATACTTTCATTGTGGTACCCGCTGCTTTGTCTGATTCGCGAACCAGCCAGCCGACCCAGCAAGCTCAGTGGTCGAGTAGTAAGACGTCTGCGCTAGTAAGCAAGAGGTCGTGGGTTCGAGTCCCACCCGAGTGATTTCTTTTCTCACAATAACTCGGAGGCAACACTGAGTATAAAATACGTCAGTGGGGGGCAAAACCCACTATTGAACCTACTGTACTTGTCCAATTGCATTTAGAAATCAGCTATATTGTACAAACATCTGCATTTTTTCCTCCATATGGTGTGCACTGTGGTTGAAGCAGCATATTTGTAACTCACCTGATATCTGGAAGGCAGTGGTGTTACTTGTTACCAAAGGTTTGATGATGAAAGTGTTCTTCCTAACGTCAACAGTAACTGTGTGAGAACCAATGTCTCCGGAACATGTGTACGTCTGGGTGAAATTGCACGAAGCGTTCTGTTTAATCTCGACCACTTTGTACTCGTCACAAATCCACTGCTTCCAGTAATAGGCATACAAGTACGTGGGCTCGCCCTTTGCCGTCTTGTTGGAGGGCAACGTTTTGACAGTTTCGTTGACGAAGCTGAGCTTCGCGGTGAACGTCGTGGTTGCGCCCAGGATAGTTGGTCCGTCATTGGTTATCAAGACTTTGGATGTGAGTCCTGCATTTGAGACAAATCAATCCAATATTCGTAAAGAAAGTTTAAATAACCTGGCAGACATCACAAAATGGTTTGCTTGATTCAAAACTATTAAAAGGGCCCAACACCCAATAAAATGTTTAAAAAATCATGATAATATAAAAACAATGATGTGCACCTACACATTAAAAGGAAAACGCTAAAAAATGGTTCCTAATTTTATCATTCTTAAATGTCAAATGAATTAAGATGATGTTGCATGTACTTCAACCAAGCATTCTTAATGGTTTGTTTTTCAGAACCTTCAAGTAGGATTTTGGTTTTAGGGAGGAGAGGAAATATTTGGAAGTAACTTTTTGGACCACTTAGGAGAATATGTGTTGATGAGAATTTTTGGATCAAATGTGCTTTCTTACAACATTAGGGTCATGCTTTTAAGCGTCAACAAGCTGTAAAAGCACTCTTAAGCGTTAAAATGAAGTTCACAATATTCAGTGGGCTCCTACAATTATTTTATCTCAAAATGTGCAATTTTTAAGTGAAAAAGTACGACATCAACGGTGTCTCTTTCCAGCAAAACTGGGCGCCATCTTGTTTTTCTGGGACATGTTACAATCGCGCATGCGCAAATGAGAAAACAAAGATTGTGGCGCCCAGTCACCGTAATTTTGTCGCCATAACATTTCCATTTTTTGTGGAATTGTGAACGTGAATTAATTTCCCCAATTCCTTATTGAATACGATGATAGCTTTTTTGAAGCTTTAACATACATTTTGAGCTTGTTGACGCTGATCGTGTTTGTTGAACGCTGCGTGTTTGGCGCTTTGTTGACGCTATTTAGTACGACCGCAACATAATGTGAGAAACAATCATTCGCTGATTTCATTTTTCACTGAAGGAAATGTGGAGGTTTTTTGGCACATTCTCCACCATTTATAACACGAAACAACTCCACTTTACAATGTTTCTCCGAGTACTTTCAACTCACCGTTGGCAGTGGTATACTGGCAGGTAAACTGTACGCACACCACTACGAAGGCAAAGGTGGGGAAAATCTGCTTGTTCATCTTGCAGACGGACATCATCTTTCCGACAGTTGTCTTGGCCCGGTCAGCAGTTTGTTCTTACAAGAAACCCACTAGCTATCTGAAGAAGCAAGAAAACATTATCGTCGATTTCTCAGATGTGCAACTGTGTAGTACAAGAATGAGCATGAGTCAGGGAAAAAAACTCGACATTACATAACAAAACTATTTGGCTTGGAGATAGAGAACCAAAGGAGGTTTATTCCTCCAAGGCTTACCAAAATCAATCTCAGAATCACAATAGTCCAGACCAGACCAAAAGGAAGGCCGCATTATTTTCACAACAAAGGCATATGCTCCTACTGTGTCTATGGCTTATCCAAACAAAGGGGGGGAGGCCATGGGCACACTTGAATGGTCTTCCCTGCTCCTGTAGACAGTGGTTATGTAACAAGGCCTCACTATACAAAGGCCACAAGCAGTTAGTTCCAGTGGTTACATAACAGTGACCTCTTGTGTTGCAAATTGCAATACCAGACAATTTGAACAGCATAACAACAGCAGCTGGCTCCCTCCAGGCACCTTGTTAATAGGCAGAGTAAAAAAAAAAATCTTGTCTGGGCTTTTTGAGAAGAAGAAAAAATAAAGACAGATTTTCCAAAGTGGCGGATTGATTCTTCCATTTTCTGATACAGTGTTGAAATTTGAACAGCAGCTCAAGTACAGCTGGCTCCCTCCAGGCACCTTGTTTATAGGCAGAGTAAAAAAAAATCTTGTCTGGGCTTTTTGCGAAGAAGAAAAAATATAGACAAATTTTCCAAAGTGGTGGATTGATTCTTCCATTTTCTGATACAAAATTGTGTCCAAAGGATGGTCATTCTTTCTACATGCATCGCGCAACTCATACAATTTAGTTGCAAAATATAGCCTCATGCATATACATAAATAGATTTTTGAAAATTGACCCGGGTGTGAAAAAAGAAAGTGGGAGGGACCGAGAAACTGGGTTTTTTGGGTTTTTTTTACTTGGCATTAGGCCAAAAAGAAAAATGTTTGGTCTCTGGTCAGACCAAAGTTCCGGAATTGATGCGGTGATGCGGGTTTTTTTTTTTTTTTTGCCTTTTGTTGTGTCCTCATATATATTGGGGACCTCCATAATTTGCCTTGGTGCCCTCCATCATTTGCCTTGGTGCAAATTCCCCAATCCTTGATACAAAATTTGAGGAGGTGCGGCAATAGAGGGCGCTGCTGTAGCTACCGCAGACAATTTGAAGAAAAAAAAACGGTTGACGCGCATGATTAAAATCGACGCGTGCGCTGACCAGAGACCGACTTATATTTTTTTTTGGCCTTATATAGCATTGAAATGTTAAAGGTAATACAAAAAAATATATGCTTTTCCTGTAATTTTCAGATTTAAATGGATTTGGCGTTAGTATAATCTTTAAAGCAAACATTATTACTTACACCATGCTTACACTGACCTTTTTAAATGTTGTGTTCATGGGCGCTGGGAAAAACACAAGAAACAAAAATTATGTTCTAATGTACTCTACTTTGTAGTCTGGTTCCCTGACCCTACTTCAGACAAAACAGGGGAATTTATAAATGTCGGGCAATTGTCGGGTCAGAGAACCAGTCTGCTGGCTTGCACCCGTTCACAGAGATCGACGTGTAACCGATTGCAAACCGTTTTGTGGACTAACTATTAATTTGATGAATTCGGGGGCAGTATTTGAAAAAAAAGTCTTTTTTTTTCTTCAAATGATGGAAATTGATACAATTCCACTTTTCTTGAAAATGCCAGCACACCAGGTGCCAAGATTTCACATGATGCTCGTTAGCCATCTACTTCTAGCATTTTGATTTTTCGAGGGGTCAGAATGGATCAACCAGGGCAACTTTCTTGGTGGATTTGTGTTTCAGAAATTGGAATTCCAGACAAAGGTATTTCGTCTATCAAAGCCATAGGCCTATAGCGTATTGACCCCCTGTAAAATCACAATGCTAGAAAACTTAAAGGGAATATACATCATTGGCTTTTGCTGTAATTTTCAGAAATGAAATATTTGAGGGGTTAGTATAATAGATCAAATATTGTTACACTCACATGTTTGAAGTTTTGTGTTCGAAAATGCTGGAAAAACCAAGAAAAACAAAACTGTTCAAGTAGTCTGGTTCCCTGACTCCACTAAATATAAAATGGATCAATTTACAGATGCCAGAAAATTGTAAGGTAAGGGTACCAGTCTAGCTGGCCTGCACCCGTTCATGAACATGTAACCAATAGCAAACACAATTTGGACTGAATTAATGGTAAATTTGGAGCAGTAGTTGAAAAATAGTTAGGTTTTTCCAACGGTGGTCGGCCGACCACCGCTGGAAGTTTTTACAAAAATACCATTTTCTTGAAAATGACTTCACACCAGGTGCCATAATTTTACAGGATGCTTTAGACTGTCCTTTACCAACATCCTATTAAGGTATTTCGCAAAAACTTGGTAGTTTTATTTTTCGATGTTTGCAAATGTTGTATATTCCCTTTAAGGCTAACGAAAGGTGCCTTCTAATTCTAGAAGTACTTTTTATTCACTTACACCATGGAGGTAGCAGCATATGGAGGAAGGAACAGAGTCAAGTGAAGTATTTTCATAAGTTAGTGCACAGTGAACACGTAGATTACAAATACAAGATGTGTGCTTTCAGTCTCATTGGGCATATGTTGGGGGCATTACTGACTTAAGTTAAAGGGAATATACAACATTTGCAAACATCGAAAAATAACACTACCAATTTTTACAAAATACCTTACTAGGATGTTGGTAAATGACAGTCTAAAGCATCCTGTAAAATTATGGCACCTGGTGTGAAGTCATTTTCAAGAAAATGGTATTTTTGTATACATTTCCAACGGTGGTCGGCCGACCACCGTTGGAAAAACCTAACTATTTTTCAACTAGTGCTCCAACTTTACACTTTTTTCAGTCCAAATTTTGTTTGCTACATGTTCATGAACGGGTGCAGGCCAGCTAGACTGGTTCCCTTACCTTACAATTTTCCGGCATCTATGAATTGATCCATTTTATCTTTAGTTGAGTCAAGCCTCAACATGACAGCGCTCAAGGAACCAGACTACTTGAACATTTTTGTTTTTCTTGGTTTTTCCAGCATTTTCGAACACAAAACTTCAAACATGTTGTCAGTGTAACAATATTTGATCTATTATACTAACCTCTCAAATATTTCATTTCTGAAAATTACAGCAAAAGCCAATGATGTACATTCCTTTTACGAGAAATCTACTGAAGTTGGTCATATTGGAATGATAAAAAACACTCTCAAGAGAGGACGCTACACTACACATGTCAAGTGTTCAAGTTAGAATGGTTAGGCCTAGCTGGAGTTACCCAGCCCTGAGTTTTATCATTGGGTTGTCATCTGACAACCCAATGATAAAACTCAGGGCTGGGTAACTCTAGCCCCATAAATGTGGCCTATTTACTGGACTGCCTCCGTAAACATAGGCCACACATCCACATGTACAAAAATCGTGTCGACGGAGCCAAATTTTGATTTTCACATTTAGGCTTAGTTTGTAGGGTTTTTTTGCTTTAGAAGCATACTCACCCTCTTTACAGGCTAATCAGAAAGTGCTGCCTTTTTCAGATGTCTAATTTTTGTGAAATTTCATGTTGAAATTTTGATACGCAAACGTGTAAAAATGAATCTGGAAATTTCACGAAAAATATACATCTGAAAAAGGCAGCACTTTCTGATTAGCCTATAAAGAGGGTGAGTATGCTTCTAAAGCAAAAAAACCCTACAAACTAAGCCTAAATGTGAAAATCAAAATTTGGCTCCGTCGACACGATTTTTGTACATGTGGATGTGTGGCCTATGTTTACGGAGGCAGTCCAGTAAATAGGCCACATTTATGGGGCTAGGGTAACTCCAGCTAGGTTAGGCCTACATGTAATTTCATTTTCAATGAAAATTTCTATACATTAAAATCATTCATCATATCACCTTTGATTTGAACTTGAGTTGAAGCTTTCCCATCATCATCATCATCATCGACCTCGAGGGATGATGTTTTCAATCCACCCCATCATTGGTGTTTTTCCACAAACCACAACCTTACACATTAGTGCCAGCAGAAGAATGTAAACATAGGGGGCGAGCAAAGCTTATTCATCTCACACTCGCAGTCGCCATGTTTACGTTTGCACGTTCGCCGCGTAGAGGTACAGGTTTGACCGCATGCGACAAGCATGTGACTTGCTTTGCACCTGTTCTTGAAACCATGGCTTCGTTTACCGTCCGGCTTTATCTCCGACTTCTGAAACCCTGTGAAGAAAACAAAAATCAAATTAATTTAACTTGTGGCCTCATATCATACGAAAGAATGTTTCTGATGCAGAATATAGGGCTTACACCAAAATGTAGCTGTAGTACTTGAAATCGGGGCCTAGAATCTCCTGAAAACAAGTACGAAACGAAGCCGAAATTTCGAAAAAGTCCCTGGACTCCGCGCGGTATCTCTAGAGAGGGCGCCCCGACGTACCGACCTGGTTGGTAAAAAATAAACGCAGTGGCTATTGTTACGGCAGCCGTAACGCATTTCCTATCGTTACGGTAGACTGCAACCTGGCAACTTTTATAAAAAAAACATGACAAGAAAATATAAAATTAGAAGGAAAAAAGTGAATTTGAACTTTATGAAATTCGGACTTTATTTCCCTTTTAAAAAAAATCCTCCAAAGCCTCAGGTTAGAAAAGGAAAAAAATTCGAGTGCAAAACTGAGATTCGAACCCGCAACCTCACGGTGCAAAATCCTACCCCCTATCGGCTGAGCTGGCGCACTGCTCGATAAAACGTGGGGAAACAAATAATTATATACCTGCGTGCGTATCAAAAAAATATCGTAGAGGGCGCTAAACAACGAGTGCCGTAACGATAGCCACTTCGAAAAATAAAAGGTAGGCCAACATTTATTTTTTCCCGGTAAATATCGAAGAAAAAAATGTTGCAACCTGACGTCACTTCAGCGGTTGTGTACACAAAGTCTATGGAGAGTCAAGAACATTTTTTAAGTAGGCCTATTTCCTAACAAAATTGGAAACGTTTCTCAGTCCCAAATTCATGTAGGCCTACATATGGCCTGCCCTACAGACAAAAATGACAGAATGTATCAATTTTCATGAATTTTGTATTGACTGACCTTGAGATGATAGGCCCCTAGGCTATGTAAAAAAAAAAAGCAGTGTCAGGTTGCAACATTCTTTCCCGTGATGTTTCCTTGTCAACTATAAATACTAGTCGGAAATCCTACACTTCACTCAGTGCCTAGGCCCTTCGGGGAAGACGCAAAATGGCTGTACAACAATTAGTCTGTACTGTCAATTTACAGTTACACGTAATATTTCCAATAACAAATTTAAGTTGCGTTGAAAAGCAAATAAATAGAAGACCAATCAAAGAAAAAGCTTTTCAAGATTTTCTATGAACTTTGTTCAAATAAGGTCCATGCGTATGACATCATCAGTCTTATATCATGTATATGGAGATGCTCAACTTTTAACCTAACTGAGGTCAAATCTCGCATATAAGTTTACGGCTGTGCATATATACCCTCTATTTGTTGAAATTTGTTGTTTTATTTTATTGTAATCTTTTACGAGGATCGGCTAGTCCATTTCAGTTAAAAACAGCTTTCTAACTAATCTAAGTCAAGTGAAAGCTGACGCCAATTTGAACCAGCGTTGTATCCTCCAAGTTTGGTTCTATAATGAGCCTTGTCAGACATTGGTGTTTATAATCTATTGATGATCAATAATGCATTACTGATGATCAATAATGAATTTAGTGAACTGTTGATTTTTTTTCTCACAGAAAATGTACTGAGAAGTTGGCCCACAATGTAGCACATTCCGTGTGGTCGCACACACGCCTTCACATTCACAACAATCATGTTCAACTTTGACATACTCTACGGTGCCAGCACGGCAGCTACTAGGATGTTTGGGCCCCGCGATGGCGTCCCTTCGCTCCTGGATCGCTGCGCAAGCTTCATAGTCACTTCCTGGCACGTCACGCGGGCCTCACTGAACGTCCTACCCCACGACCTGTACGAAGTGCTCCTGGGCGAGGCCTGCCAGGCCCTGCTGTCCTACAGGTCAGGAACGCCAGGCCTGTTTCTGACGTACATCGTTCAGAGGTGGCCCAGCGTGGTCTTGAAGCCGGGAAGTTTGATTTGGAGATACAGACTGGACGTGAAAAACAACAAGAAGACTAGCGAGCTGGTCATGCACATTGTGAATGGCATCTGCCAGCCGGAGAGTCAATGCAAACTTACAATGGTGGATCTTTCAGATATACCAATGAGTGAGTTTATTATAGAAATACATGTACTTCAAAGAACCTGTACCCTAACTCCCTAGGCATGTTTGCTAGGATGTAACCTCAATCCTGCAAAATCCTCCAACTGCCTCCATGTAAAAATAGCATACAGCCTCAATCCTGCAAAATCCTCCGTTAGTTCTTCAATGTGGTCCTTGGAGGGGTGACCACTGCCTCAATCCTGCAAAATAATCGGGCAATCACTGTAAATACCGATATGTTGAGGCAGAGCCAGTGACATCCTGGAGCAGTGCGGAGGATTTCAAGTATAGGCCTCAATTTATGCACGGCAGAGCATAAACAACACAAGGTCCGGCCCAAGACCTTGACACAGTGCATCCTCGAAAAACAGCATCACACTTTTGCCATGTAGCCTCAATCCTGCAAAATCCTCCATTTTGCAAAGAGGATTTTGGAGGATTTGGGAAGGTTAGGATTAACCCTAACCTTGCCAGATGCAACACAGTACATAGGGTGTATTGTTGATGTACCCTAACGTGGCGCGGCCCCTAACGTGGCGCACTTTGATGAAGAAAAAAATTCAAATTGAGTGCATTGTAGGGTGCTTTGGTTCAGTGGTTACGGTGTTCGACTTGTGTGCCGTGGTTCATGGGTTCGAATCTTGACGGGGAACATGGTGCTTGTGCCCTTGGGCAAGGCACTTTATTACGATTGCCTCTCTCCACCCAGGCGTAGTAAATGGGTACCTGGTAGGAAGAAATTCCTTCAATGCTTGAGCGCCGCAATGGCAGCCGTGCTAAAGCCAGGGTAATTATAGAGCGCCAGGGAGCGTCACTTCGTGACTGACATGAGCGCTATAAAAGAAGCCATTATTATTATTTATTCAAAACATGCATATGTTGAACAAAAGAAATTGACCGACGAGGGTTTTGAACCTACAAGTTATTTGAAAATTGGATTAAAGTTTGGGGTTGGGGTTGGGGGGGGGGATTGGATTGTAAATTTCAAGATAAGGACTCTACCAAACTTAACTAAATTCATTTGTGTACTTCACATTTTCATTTTCAATGATAACTTTGCTGCCTTCTGCTTATTTTATGATCCAAATCCAGATGGCAGCACTTGCCTTATTCTTCTACAAAAGGTCTTCGCGTCACTCAACGGCAGGAGCCTGACTGTTGTTTTGGACTTGGCCTTAGACGCTGAAAACTACCACCCGATCAGACGCTTGCTCAGGGACGTGCGACATTGTAAAAATGGCAGCCTGAAGGTGCAGTGTCGCAGGCTGACCGTAAACTCCTTGGGGAAGGACAAGCTGTTGAAGGTGACCGGTCTCGTAGAGCCTGATGTAAGTCGAATATAGAGTTTCAGTGGTCTTATATGGGCTAGTTATGCCCCTAGGCCCTTTGGCTAGGATCCATCCTCAATCCTACAAAATCCTACAAAATCCTCTGCTACTTCTTGCATTTATTCTGTGGAGGGATGACCACTGCCTCACTCCTTCAAAATCCTCCACTAATTATTGTAATACAATGAGGAATTGCCAATGATATCCAGAAACAGTGGCGATGATGTCTACTATTATCTAGGCATAATTTATGCATGGCTTAGCATAATAAACAACACAAGATGCAGCTTAAGACCTTGGAACAGTGCGTACTCCAAAATCAACTGGTACAAAAATAGAACAGAGCCTCAATCCTTTAAAATCCCGCCAAAGAGCCTGGTTTATTTTGGAGGATTGAGGAGGTAAGGGTTCTGACCTATTTATACAAACATGGAAATTGTCGCAACGACTTTGTGGACGGCGCAGCAATGTGGCTTTTGTATTAGGGACCAGTGTAAAGAAATTGGTTGCTTTTTTTGTTGGGATGGTAGTGTTCCAGTGCACTATTAGTAATGGGCACTTATTTGGTTCTTGTTTTCAGGCCAAAATGGTTATGTGCTGAGTATAGAGGTGATATCTTGAATATATATGTAGGAAGTGAGTCTCTAACCATTTCTTTTTTATGTTTCTTTTCTTCAGATCATTGTTGCCTTGAACTTGGACTGGAATAATCTGGAGGAGCAGGGGCTCTCGGCTGTTCTACCATCCATGGTCAAGTTCCTGAACCTTCAAGCCTTGAGTTTATCATACAATCTGATCAGCACGATCAAGGACCAGACTGTCGTTCCGATGGCTGCAGAGGCGTTCTCCAACTTGAAGCATCTACGAAGACTCAGTCTCAGCCATAACGCTCTAACCGGATCTCTCAGGACGCTTCTAGAGTCGCTTCACCAACCCCTGCAGGCTCTCTACCTTTGCGAGTGCAAGCTGTCCTCCCCGGATCTCTCCTACCTGGCCAACTCGCGCCACGCGAAGACCCTGCAGGAACTGGACCTGGGCTTCAACAGCCTCAAGCACGAAGCCTTGAGCTTGGAGAAGCTTCTCAACGAGGCAGGGCACACGCTGCAGTACCTCAGCCTGGACAACACCCGTCTGAACCTCACCGGTTGCCCGGTCAAGCTCTGGAAACGTCTGAGTCACCGACTCCCTACACTGATCGCCTTGTCGATGCGGGGCAACGATTTCTCCCCCGAGAACCAAGTGACCATTTTGAAAGACCTGGCCGAGAATGCCCACTCCATGGTGTACATTGGGGTGTGCATGGTGTACGAACCTGTGATTGAGGACGATTTCTTCATGGACGAGTGGGACGATGTCAGCAATGATAGGGTGACTCAGTTCTTCGACTTGTACAATGAGTGCAAGGAACAAGAGGAACCAGAGGAACCAACAACAAGCAACAACAAGACACGATCAGTCATTGTTCATGATCTTGATGTTATCAACAAGAGAGATGCCTTAATATTCATTCACAATCTTTATGAGGAGCAAAGTCCTTGAAACAATTCGTGCTTTTGACATTTTGTTTGTCTTAATTACCCCCTTCAATTTTATTTTGTGAAAATAAATCTGTTTGAAAGTTTAACTTTTTTATTATTTATGTATGTTAAAGCAAACTTTTACAAAATCCAGACATCAAGAATTTAAAGTAATTATTTTGTCAAGGGCACTTGATTTTACCTTCCTGTTGGTGATTTCAACCCAAAATCTATACTGACAAGCGAGCATGTCTTTCCGTCTGTATCGCTGTCTGTTCGGCTATGCATTTGGCCGTGTGATCACCTAGAGTTGAAACTTCCGTCACACTGATCATGTACAGATTTGCTCGCAGAAAAGGGTGTGCGCACATCTCGTGGTTACAAGATGTTTCCATTTCCTCCCGAATGACCTTTGACCTGTACTTCTTCATTGAGATGCCAAACTGGCTTATTATTTCATCCCCTTTTATTTTGATTAGATTAAGACATTGCTTTATAAAGAAAAGCTGCTGTTTTCTCACTTATCAATAAGCAAAAAACTTGCTTTATAGGGTTGATAATTACATGAACAATCTGATGGCACTCCTGCTAAGCGCAGAAACTGTCATGCAGCACTTTGGAATTGGGCCCTGCTTAGCCGATATTTTGCAAGATGGATCTGACGAACACATGGTGTCCTCTACTTCTAGAAATTTGTGGGATTTTATAATTAATTGACATTTTCTTTTTACAGATAAATACACAAATAGACCAGGATTTTACTTATTTTTTAGTTCATTCCCTGGACAGGATTTTAATTTCTTATCACAGATAAATGGGACAGAACCATGTTATTTAAAACATGTTAAGTTATGCAAGAAAAAAACAAAAGCTCCTTGGGTTGATCTCCTGCAAAGATTGCAAAAACAAAAAGAAAGAAAGCAAATTTGCATTATTCTTTGTTAAAATGACGATTGTTGCATGCGTTTTTGATACCATTGTGGTTGACATATACATGTAGTAAGTAATAGCAACTAATAAAAGTCTGATATTCCATTCATGCAGTCATGTGATGGTAAAAATGATACAATAATGAGCACAATTATTCTTGAGATTTCTTTTTTGTTACTCTCAAAATATAATGGGAAAAACATATGTATAAACAGCACAGCATTTAATAAAACAAACAAAAAGATCGTCTCCAAAGCAACACTCCTCTGTTAATCCCTTAAACATTTTAAGAAAATATGTACAAACAAATGTAAAAAAAATGATCAAAATTCTGTACACAATATAATCTGTTTTGTGAGGAAGATCAATTGGAGTATACATTGTAGTTTGGTCAGTTGTACTATTCTAAATCACACGTTCTATCATCCTAAACGCCAAGTACATATAAGTTTTGAACTAAGCTTGTAGAAGATGCAGCTTAAATGTGCATATCAAAATTAAGCCCCCCCCCCCCCTTCCCACTGAATAATGTCAGACAGTACTGAAATAGCCGAACACCTTTATACAGACAAACATTTTGGCAAACAATACTAGACATTACAAGAAAGCACTACATGGGATTAAAAAAAAGCTCAGTAGGAATGCGATCTGCTTTGTTTTGGAACAATAAAGCTTCACAAGATTTGAAGTACAAGTGCTAGACACAGTACGTACAGGGGGCTTAGCCTAAAAACGCCCGTTTCTGGTGGTCGGTCCTCAATGTGAAATAATGACTCCAAACTGTTTTATCACCTTACATTTCATGAAAATAAATGATTTGAATTCATATTGGGAAGGGGGAAGGAATTTCATCTCGTACTCCCAAGGCATGGTTAGTTTGAGCTATCCTGAATTTAACAATATGTTGAAAAACTCGTCACATTTTCGAGCAAAGATGAAATATCAAGGCCCCCATCAAAACCAGGTGAAGTATTTTGGAATATTTGTCATGGCACATGTAAAGAGATTATAGATGTATTCTTTTTTTCTCTGTATACATGTATCTTTAAAGTAATCACTAACAATTTTACATTAAGTGAAAGTTTATGAATTTTTTTAAAAGATATACAAGAAATCCAAGGAGTTAAATTATTCAGATATCAACTTTGCGAATCCGAGTTCCTGCCGCCTCCAATTAACACTGGAAATATCACGTGTATAAAAATGGAACTTTTGCGCCAGTTAACCACTCGTCCAAGCAACACCAAATGCTTTGATTTGCAAGCGATAACCTTTCATTCTCCAAGTTGACAAAACATTTCTGGGGGGGGGGGGGGCTGTGGTCCAATGGTTACGGTTCCAATGTTCGACTTGTGTGCCGCGGTACACGGGTTCAAATCCTGACGGGGAACATGGTGCTTGTGCTCTTGAGCAAGTCACTTTACCACTATTGCTTCGTCCTTCGGATGGGACATAAAGCCGTAGGTCCCGTGTGTTGTGTACTGCACGTTAAAGAACCCAGTAACACTAATCACTAAGAGAAGGGGTTTGCCCCGGTATTTCTGGCAGTGGCTGCAATATGTGCCACAGCACCTTGTAAACCATTATAAAAGTGCTACATAATGGGTCTCATACTTCTCATAAACTTCACTTACCTGTCTTTAAAAGTAGACATATTTTTCAGCGCCTTGAGTACCTAATTGTTGGTAGATCAGTGCGTTTATAAGACTCTGGTATTATTATTATTATAGGGCCTACATCCCAACTGGCGTACATGCACCCAAAAACCAACAACAACAATTGTAACAATCAACAGACAGTTTACCAATTTTATTTAATTAATAAATATGAACACACTGTCTCGCTACGTTTTGACAAACACGTACAATGAATACCGAGTAGTTATGAGCACTTCCACACAGTCACTGCCATATTGCCGCCGAAGAATAAATAGAGGATGTTTCTGGTTTCGTGGGTGATTTCGAAGCCGTAGCCTTCCCCGACGATGGCGTGCCAGGAAGACCCAAACTTCTTGTCCATCGCTTCCTTGATCATTTTGGCGGCCGTCTGCGAAATTAAAAACAAAATTCATATCAAAAGTTAAAAGGCATACTGGAATAGGATCATTATCAAAAGGCTTACTTGGATTCAAGATCAAACTGGTACTAAATACTCCGTGAAATTATTCCGTCTGGCTTGCTGTCATTTAGAAAAAAATCAAGAAATGTAGGTGATTTCCAGCGATCAGTCAATTGACTGATTTTTGGAAATAATGAGTGCTATTGACAAAATCTTGTTTCGTGATCAAAAGGTTGTGCATGGTTTTTCACTGCTTTCTCCAAAAAGTGTAAATAATATCCACTGAACAATCCTCATTGGAACAATCTTCATTGGAACAATCTTCATTGGAACAATCTTCATTGGATTTTGAGTGGTGTTATTATTGGAAATGAATCAAATGCATGAAACGCAAATGATCCTATATGCCTTTAAAGTTATCTGAATCACAAAATCATCTTAACATTTTAGAGTGCATTATGAAAATGAGCAAAGAAGTTGAAGATGTTATTGTCAATTTCTCAAAAACTTGAGACCGTCCTTAACTTAAGAGGGTAAGAAATTAACAACTGAACAGCAGAGGTGGCAGCAAGTCATTTTTTGCAAGTCCAAGTCAAGTCACAAGTCATTGTTTGCAAGTCCAAGTCAAGTCACAAGTCATTAGGTCCAGTCACAAGTCAAGTCACAAGTCATTAGGTCCAGTCACAAGTCAAGTCACAAGTCATTAGGTCCAGTCACAAGTCAAGTCACAAGTCATTTGGTCTAAACACAAGTCAAGTCACAAGTGTCTTTGTCCAAGAACACGTCAAGTCGCACATTATTTTGTCCAGCTGTAATAAGCTAAAAGAACCTGGTATCAACTTACGAGTTATTTTGAACATGCCTCCTTAATTCCCATTTTTCAATGTGTTGCAATTACTATTCTTGTAGTTTATCACATATCTGTCGGATATTAGCCCTTTGTATACTTTAATAAATTTACTTTACATTGTAGAAATAAATGTTGGGATGACATGAAAAAAAGACTTCACTCACTCGATTACATGTAGTATACTAACACTTTATTGTTCAATTTTCATGTATACTAAACGCCTACCAATGGGTTAGGCTATCCGGTATTTTACATGCAATTGACAAAGGCCTGCTTTCTTTTCATGAAAGGTTCCTTTCAAAGTTTGTTCAACCATTACGTCTGACTTGGGTTGGTAACAAGTCATTTTTTGCAATCCCAAGTCAAGTCACAAGTCATTGTTTGCAAGTCCAAGTCAAGTCACAAGTCAAAGCTGGTATTTACAAGTCAAGTCACAAGTCACAAAAGTAGCGACTCGAGTCCGACTCGAATCCAAGTCACATGACTCGAGTCAGGAACTCTGCTGAACAGTATATCAGTACACTGAAACAGTTGCAGAATTTTTTTTTTACTAGGCCTTATGACAAGGTGTAACACCCCAACTATGGCATTGTCCTGTTGTCTTGACTGTCCCAACTATAGTTTGGGCCACTGCCATAGTTTGGGCCTAACAAGGCACTTTAACAAAAAGAATTACCCAATGTGTCATACTAGCATGTCACATACGACCTACAGCCTGCTTACCTCATTGTTGCTGGAGAATTTTTCACAAGCCGTGACACACAACTCTACTGCCTCAGTGCGCATCTCTTCATTCATGTCAGAATGCTGTTAAAAAGACAAAAAAGATTAAGTTGAGTTTTAATACTTTGTGTTTTCTTTGCTGCTTATCAACATGACCAATACCTTATCGAACAGCAAATCCTTCACGAAGTGACTTGGAACAATTCTTGAAGTATTTTTGGAAAGAATGTTGCAACCTGGCATTGCTTTTTCATATATCATCTCAATAAAGGTCATTCGTTGCAAAAATGATGATAAGACATGAATCTTAAACTGAGAAACATTTCAAATTTTGTTAGGAAATACTTAGAAAGTTTTCTTGACTCTCCATAGACTTCGTACACAACGGCTGAAGTAGCGTCAGGTTGCAACATTCTTTCCGTATTTTGTTGGGCCAAAGGACATGAAGGAGTGATTAAGAAAAATAACAAAACAAAAAACACAAATACTTAAGATTTTCAACCCCTAAACCTGGTTGATTTTCAATCCAAAAATAAGGTATTTTTGGTAAGTCTTTGCGTGATTTTGGTAACTTTTTGAGCTGGATGATCGCCACTATTCACTGGGGCGCTAGTACGACTGACCAAGTCAAAAAATTGAAGAAAACAAAGGAGTTCTAACGGCCCAGTTACTGGATCGAACGTTACATGATTAGCATCAATAAGCACTTTCACATGGCGCCATCTTGTTCACAGTGCAAAAGGAACACGTGTTGCTAGACGCGGGAGCATTTTGCCTTTTTTGGAATGAATGCATGATGACTTGGAAGCACAAAAGTTTTCGATTGACAATGCGCACACTGACTGAGCAATGTGTGTAAATTTGCCCCGAACTGATGAAAGTGCTTCATCATGCTTAGGCCTATTTGATGATGAATACGTACCTATGACGTCAATCAATGAATCATTAAATGCATCATTTCCATGCTAACCTATGATTTCAAGTCAGCTTCTTTTTAAAAACATATTGGCAACATTTTCACATGCTTATGCATGATGATGATACGCACTGCATGCATTGAAAACACTATTAAATGAAAATGTGACTTTTTTCATTACCCGAATGAGTGGATAGCTCTGCAATCGTCTAAAATCAGTCTCCTTCTCTTCTTTCTTTCCTTCCTGGGGTTCGTCCATTCTTAAAAACAAACAATTTTGTCGACGATCACAACTGTCAAGTTATTTCTATAAAAAAATTCCCAAAAAGAGTCAAATTTTAAGGAACCCAAAAACGACCATCAGCGCAAGGTCGGCATAAATTTTGTTGTGGTTACCGATGCAAGTGCGCAGGCGCAGAAGTACGTTTGCTCATCAAAGATGGCGGCGCCCAGTGGACTCACGTTGGTGAAGTGTTCCGAGATTTTCCTGGCTATAAACCTACTTTCGTGATAACTAATGAGTTCTGTATTATGAATTCTTTTAGACGAAACTCTGTCAGATATTTTTTCTACTAAAATAGAAGTTTTGGTAATTTTTAACTTGTGAAAAACATCTTTGAAGTTAACGTCTGTGTGGCAGACGTAAACGTTGGTAGCATTATGACCATAGAGGGCGCTACAGCAGCACAACGGTGGGCCGGCGACCGAGTTTTGCGAAGAGGAGGACTTTTTCTTCAGTCCATTTTACTATTTTAGTGTGGGACTAAACAACTAAAACTTAGATGAACAAGTTCACCTGGCGAGATGTCAAATTTATCACGGCAAACTGACAAAGTTTTTGAAGAATTTCACCAAAAGTGGGAAAGGTAATTTTCAACATGTTCAGAAATTCCTCAACCCACCAGACCAATTTGTTTTCACATTTGTTATTGCCCTAAAAAGTAAAAATTAAAAAAAGGCTTTAGTTTAACTTTAAGCAGGCCTCAAATCAGAGCCTTAATTTTTGATCCATTTTGACTTTAAGTTTATTGGAAGTTATAGACAAAAATTTAAAATTGTAACATTTTAAAAGTAACTTTGGGAAGAATTCCTATCACTAATTTTTCCCTGCAGTGAGTATCACTCGGGCTCAGCCATCAGCCTGATCAGGAATTAGCGATAATTAACATGTCCTAAAAAGTCAATTAAAAGGGAAAAAGGGAAAATAGTTAAGCATTTACTGAGAAAACACTTAGAATTTTCCAGACCAGTCATAGGGTTTGTGCACAGGGTGTCAAGTGATGTCCAGGTATGAAACTCTTTCTGTAGCATGTGCTAACGTTAAATTGAGATCTCAAGTTCATGTTGAAAAGTTCCAAGTTTCAACCAACTCAACGTTACGTTAGAGGCCTAGTTGGGACTAATGCTAGTGTAACATTATTAGTTACTTCGGGAGTTAGCATATTTTTAGGGGGTCCTTGCAATTTTAGTACTTATGATAATGAGGTCATTGAGGTTGTTAAAAAATGGTGTTGGATACATAAACAATAATATTCCTATACTAGGTTGATAGTAACAATAGCCTAGCTTGTTTACAATTATGACTTTGACAACATTGTAGGCTTAATTGCAAACATTTTGTTTCACAGCTACTGAGCTAGGCCCTATCTTGGTGGGGAATAGGCCTATGTTCTGCATATCATAAAGTGTTTTTATTTTGGAGAGTAGCTTATATCGTCAGATTTAATAATTACAAATTCATTTCACGCTAAGTTCTGGTGCATTTTTTGTACATTATTATCACTTTTCTATTTTTTCCATAAAGGGAACAACAGGAATTGAAGAAGAAATTGGTGTTGGAGGACACAGAATCCTGGCGGCAAGACTTTGGCAGCCTACGGTACATCGGCGGTGTGGATGTGTCGTTTGTCAAAACAAGTACCACGCTTGCCTGTGCGTCATTGGTTGTGTGTGATTATCCAGACCTCAAGGTAAAAGCAAGTTTCACAGTTTGTGAATTAATTAGCCTTCCTACTGATATCAGAAAATCTATCCATATCCTCTCCCATAGCTTTTGTACAAGCTGGTCACCAACTACCAGAAAAGGTATGCGTTCTTTCAGCAAAACGAAAACAATTCACTCACATCCCTATGTGATTTGCTTTCGTTTTGCTGAGAGAACACAGATTTTTTTTTGTGATCCGTGGTAAGAACCTTAAAATGGTGGTTGTGTTTATAATTCTGTAACTTAAGTACATAAGTGATTTGAATGATTCTTGTACTAAAAAAACCCTTATGAATTGGGCTTTCATATCCTAGATTTTGAAAGTGCTACATGCAGAACTTCACTAAAACAATGGTCCCAACATTTGGGTTTCGTTTTTTTTTACCTACCCTGTACAGCTTTTTTCCATTGAACTTTTCCATTCTTAAATTTCCCTCAATATTTCTAGTATTTCTGTGTCTTGAAACTTCGTACCTTTTTGTCTACAGGTCGTGTACTCTGACTGTGAGCTGGTGCACCTTGACATGCCTTACATTCCTGGCTTCCTAGCATTCAGAGAAGTGGGATTCTTCCTCAACCTCCTTGACAAATTGAAAGACACCAACCATGGCCTAACACCTCAAGTAAATGTCACAGTTGCAAGGATTTGAAAGTTTCTTACTCCTTCCATAATCCTTGGAGTACACTTAGGCCAAAAAAAAGTCTCCGGTTTCTGGTATCATCCGCGCGCGCCGCCATAGCCATGCGCGTCGGCAAAATTAAAAAGTTTTTTTTCAATGCAGGATGATGTCTCAAAACAGCCAAACTCACTGGTTTGACTGGAATCCTGGTGCTGCACAATTTTAATGTGTTTTTAGATGGGGTTACGATCGAGTAGAAGCTTTATGTGGCCTCTCTGGGCTCCGATACATTTTGCACTAAATTTAGTCGGGCACCATTTGCAGTCATTAGCCAACATTTGAAGAAAAAACAAGGGAAAAAAAAAAACACGTCCCGCACCACTTTTGGGGCAAGCTCCATACCAGAAACTGGAGACTTTGTTTTTTTGGCCTTGGCCCACATTTTTTTAAAAAAAAAACTAGCTTCTCGTCTCGGCTTTTTGGAAAAAAGGAAGAAAGTGACCTCTTTGTGTGTTTTTTTTTTCTAGGATGGTGGATTTTCCAAGATGTTCGATGGATCTTTCCCTTTTCTTGACTCTCAAATTGCTGATACTTCTGATGCTATTGTGTCTAAAGGAATAATCAACCTTTCTAGCTACAATTTTACTTGAAGCAAAAAAGACAAATATTGCAAATGAATGATTTTAAAAAAAAAGGACTTGGATTGGAAAAAGGAAGCAGGCTGAGACGAGAAATTTGTTAATTTTTTTAACCGGCCGTAGATTGTACATTTTGAAATTTTCCTTTTTAGGTCTGGCACTTTGAATATACACTCTCTGTGTAATGCAGGGTTCGACCTTAAGTTTTTTGTTCACTAGCCAGCCGGGCTACTGAAACAGACTCTTAACTAGCCCGCGGGCATTTCACTAGCCCGTATTTATTTTAGCTCAAATAAAAAATGGCGTATTTTCAGACTCAATTCTGAGGCAATTTTGTCAGTGTTTTGATAAACAGATCTAATAATTTAGGCCCTACACCTTAATTAGACACAAATTGATGAAGTTTTCTTTCTGAATTTAATGATTTATTTCTTCCTGTCCGTTCATCTTTGCCGTATCCCATTAATTAGTTGTCTCGCCAGCCGGGCTACTTAAGGAATAGTTTGATTAGTTCGCCGCTGTTTTGACTAGCATTTGGCTAACGGGCTTCCGCTAATTTCGAACCCTGGTGTAATGTATGCCCTCTGGCAATGTTATCACTATCATGATGCAGATTCATGTATGCACTGGTAATTATGGCATACTAGTGATCAAGTATCACCCATGGTATTTGTTGGCAGGTTTCTAGGGAACCTTGAATATGATGTATTGAGACACTATAAATGATAATGGGCAACTGCAGGGAACAAAAGTTAATTGTGTTTGCCAGGTTTTTTTTCAGGATTGGTGTGTCATTTTAGGCAGTGTAAATTGGTTTATTCACTATTTTTTTCCGAAGGGAAAATGCTGCTTATTAGCCCTGGTTATTTACTGTCTGTTTGTAACGTGGATTTATGTGTGTGACTTTATTTTGCCTGTTTAATATTCAGTTTTATCATTTTGCCAGTGTTTCTAGAAGGGTGCAATCTAATTCCTGGCAGTCTTTCTGACTGCAGGGGGAAAATTATTCTTTCCGGCTAAATATTTGGTTTTTGTTATGCTCTCAGGTCATACTTGTGGATGGTAATGGCATTCTACATCCTAGAGGTACGAAAAACCTGAGTCCATGTCAATTAGTAAATTCATTTTAATTCAGCAATATAGCAAAGTATGTAGTCCATATCAAATAACGAACCAGAGTTTCAACAAAATCTCATCCTGCTTAAAGGTAGAGTATATCATTTGTCATTTGTGCAATTTGTTTTTTCGTTTGAAGCAACAAAAGTGCTCAAAATCTAAAGTGGGGTGCTTAACAACTAACCTGATGACGTTTTAGCTCAGTGAATGCTGTATATTGCGAGAAAACAATATTTTAGGAACTAGATTTGAATTCAAAGTTGCCGAGTCATGTTTTTGAATTGCGCCCGAAATCAGTGTCCGGGACACATTCTCATTCAGCCGATTAATTTGTCAGTTACTTTTTGGATAGCTGCAAATGATATACTCTATCTTTAACCTCCAAAAAAATAACAAATAACGGTTAAGGCCAACCAAAAAAGGTTGCGGTTTCTGGTCTGCGCGCGCGTTGCCGTAGCCATGCGCGTTGGCAAAATTAAAAAGTTTTTTCTTAATGTAAGATGATGTCTCAAATCCGCCAAACTCACTCGTTTGACTGGAATCCTACTACTGCACAATTTGAACGTGTTTTTAGATGGGGTTAGGATCAAGTATTACCTTTGTGGCCTCTCTGGGCTCCCATACATTTTGCACTAAATTTAGTCGGGCACTAAATTTAGTCGGGCACCATTTGCAGTCATCAGCAAAATTTGAAGAAAAAACAGTAAGAAAAAATATTTCTCATGGAATTTTAGAAATTTCTCAGGGAAAACATTTTCAAGTTTGATTAAGGCATTCCTGGTTGTTTTTCATCCCATGACTCTTGTGATCTGACTTGTGATTTGACGTGTGATTGACTTGCGATTGATTCATTAACAAGCCTAATTTTGTTTTTCAATCCTCTCATCAGGTTTTGGCATAGCCAGTCATCTGGGTGTGCTGAGCGGCATACCGTGTGTGGGCGTGGCTAAGACACTGATGCAGGTGGACGGTATCGCTAAAGATGAAAAGTTTGCGGCAAAGGTAACTCTTGATTGACAATCTTGTTATTTCGGTCGATGGAGGATTTGATGGGTAAAACTGTACATCAGGACCCCTTTCCTGTAAGACAACTAAATCCACTTTGATGTTTTTGGAGACTCACCAAATTACCTGACGATGCTGAAAAGCAACGGGAACATCATTGAATGAGGGCAGCATGGGCGTAAATCCTGGGGGGGGGGGGGGGATGGGGGTATATATCCCCCCCACTTTTATACCAGGGAGAGATGGGCTATTGAATCATCCCCCCCCCCACCCAATTTTTCGTGATGAGAAAAGAAAAATGCGGATTTTGAGGTATTTTTCAAACATTCCACAACCAAAATGTATTCAATAGCACTGAAAGTGAAAAAAAACAAAGTACAAAAGCTTTTAAAATGCTCCGTTTTGATGTAAGCGCGAGTATACATATTGATATTTATCTATACCCTGAAGAGCGCCCCCTAGTGTAATGTGGTGTCCAGCACCCAGCCCCCCCCCCCCCCCCCCCCCCACTTTTCGAATTGCCACAGCAGGGCAATTCTTGGATTTTAGTCATCCCCCATGCCACCCTACTCGCCGGCACAGATTTACGCAACTGGAGGGTAGGGTTATGGATTTAGAGCGAATTGCATGTATGGGGTAAAATGATGTCAAAACACAACACGGGAATAAAGATGGAGTATGTGCCAGCTCATGCGTGATGCGAAGAGAGTACAAAAACTGCATCGATTTTCAGACTTTACTTTTTGTACTATTGGGTTAAATATCTTGAGTAGTGTGGAATGGATATCATGCCCTCGTTTCAGATATGATAAGAATCCGACTAGTTTAAGCTGAGTGATTGACTTGGCAATCTTGCATTGGATGACAAGTCAAGAGGACGGCAAGATGACATTTTGTGCCCTGTTGTAAAGAACACGAAGGTGCGACATGTACTTCATCGCATCTAATTCTAAATTCTCAAATGCATTCTTTAATTTCTACGCAGAAACCCTTTCAATATTTTCACAGAACTTTATCTTTCTGACATGATTTTCAGTAATTGTCAATAACTGTTGCTAATGAAAAGAACTTTCTGACAAAATTAGCAACCTGCCACAAATAGTCACAATGGCTCTTATGCAGGAGTTGGCCATTTTGTTGAGTTTCCCGAATCACGGTATTTCATTAATTGTTAACTGTTAAATGGGATGGCGCCAGACTATTTATGCAGGCACAACGCAGCCTTATTTTACCGTCATTTTTTTTAATCAGGCTTTAAACATTAGGAAATGTTTAATTACAAATTTGAAATTATTAGTTGAGCAGACTGCAATTAAATAGCAATTAAGTTGCTTTCATTTCTCTTCATACGTTCCAAAATTAAGATTTTACCTAACTTGCAATTCAATATGGCCAACTCATGTATGGCCCATGGATTCCTATCAAAACACAATTGACCTTTCATGATGTGTGTGATAAACTTACTTAGTGCAATCCACCTACGTTAGCTTAATTCTGGCGACAATTTACCGGAGTGATAATCCCAAAAGGGCTCAGTAGTATTAGCCAAGTGGGGCACTGTTGATGTGTCGAAGACATACTGTCTTGTGGAGATGTTCAATTCTTTATATTTACCTCAACCTCCTTAAGTCCTCCAAATCCAGTGTCTGGTTTTTGCTGATTTTGAAGGATTGAGTTTTGTATGACCAAAACACTATGAGTTGAACTTGGTGTCCTACTTTCTGGCAAATACTCTGTCTAGTCAGTTGTTGAGGTGGAAAACGCACGTTTACAGCCAAGAGGCATGGGGATTACGGTCATATATAGAAGGCATGTATACCTATACATGTAGGATCATTTGCTATTCTTGCATTTTGTTCGTCTCCAATAATAACACCACTCCAAATCCAAAGACGAATATTCAAACCTAACCTGTTGAAGTTTCAGCTAAGTGGATTTTACACTTTTCAAGAAAACAGTTAAAAACAAAAACCTTTGCGAAAATGTTCACGAAGCACATTTTCGTCTGTATCGTTTTCGTCTAATCCCGATTTCCTTATCTGTCACCATCACAGTACTTTATTTAGACTACACCTACCATAAACAGGCTTTATGCCCATGCTTGCCAATAACACTGCAAGTATTAGAAAAATTGTTTCAGTACCACTGTACAATCGGTGTACTGTTATGATTATTCAACCGACACAAACTGTTTGTAAAAACTTGTCAAAGCAATGTGGGACCGGAAATGTTGTTGCACCTGCATTCTCTTTTTAGAACTACACTTAACTTTGTTGGTTAGTTGCCTTCATCTGTGCATGAAGTTTATTCACATTGGCTTTGGTGCCTGTAATGTAACCAGAGAAGCTGACATTAATGGAGCCCACTCAATTTGTGATAGACTGAAATGTTTTGGGACATCTGAAGCTCTTGAAAAAAACAGCCACCCGATCCTGCTGAAAAACGATCTCGGAGCAAGTTGCCGGACGGACTCTCCGAGCAGAAAAACAGCCTAGCAAAAAAAAAGTCCCGTCTAATACAATTTCTTCTGAAATCCAAGCCTTGATTTTGAGCATATAAGAAGTTCATGTTTACAGATGCTGACAGCCGTGAACTTTATGCCCCACTTCACACCATTCTGGCAAGATTTCTTTTATTTCCAAGTAAAAACTACGTGTAAGAGAAGAGACTGATGACAGGAAGATGATAAGATGTTAGTCCTTCAGGCTTGGGCACCTATTTTTTTCTGTTTCGTTTTCCAGGGTACGCACTGCATGCCTCTGTACATACTAAAATCAAACGCCCGAAGGGTGTAAGTTTAACATGCATCTGGGCTGTACCCATGCGTGGATTGAATAATAAATCATCCCAGTTGAAACTACTGCATGCATTGCCTCATTTGAAAGTACAACCTTGGTCAATTTCCAAGTATGGTCAGCTGACCATCGTTTGGAAAAAAAATACTGCCCCCACTTCACCAAATTTGGTCCACATTTCTTTGCAATCGGTTACACATCCGTGAATGGGTGCAAGCCATCTAGTCTGGTTCCCTGACCTGACAATTTTCTGAAGTCTATAAATTGCTCCGACGTTTGGTCTGAAGTAGGGTCACGGAACCAGACTACAAGAACAGCATTTTTTCTTGGTTTTTCCAGCATCCATGAACACAAAACTTTAAACAGGTCAGTGTAACAATATTTGCTATATAAAGACAAACCCCAAATCCATCCATTTCTGGAAATTACAGCAGAAGCAAATGTTGTATTATTAAACAGGCTCAACACCTGTTCGGTTTGCATGAAATTGGACAGTTATTGATGTTGATACACTGATGAAGACACTTTTAAAGAACCTCATCACAGATTGAACGAATTCAGTCTTGTTTTATAGATCTCTTTTTTTCACACCTGCTTGCTTCTCATTGCGATCAAATAAGACAAAGTAATAAAGCAGGCCACTAACACTGGAAGTGTTCCCCAATATGACTATAATTTTACCATTTCTGGGACACCACATACAGCCTTTTCTACTTGAAAATCAGCTAGACTAGAATAAAGAAAGAAAACAAAGGTAAATAAACGAATACAGATGGTAGGTGTTAAAAGTTTTTATCCAATGTTTGACTGAAGAAAAATAATAAAACCTTGGGATTGATCCAAAGCTTGCGTGCTGATGGGTTCTCAAGTATATAATAGTGGTTATAAGGCCAAAAAAAAAAATAATAAGTCGGTCTCTGGTCAGCGCGCGCGTCGATTTTAATCATGCGCGCCAATTTTTTTTTCCAAAATGTTCCGCAGTAGCTCCAACAGCGCCCTCTATTTCCGCACCTCCTTAATTCTTTTTAACCAAAGAGCACCAAGGAATGGGAAATTGCACCAAGGCAAATGATCGAAAGCACCAAGGCAAATTATGGAGGACACCAATGTACATGAGGACACCAAAAAAGCAAAATAGTACCCACCTTGTCTGTACAATCCAAGCTTGGAAAAAAAAAGAAAAAAAAAGGCGTGGCCGCGTCAATTCCGGAACTTTGGTCTGACCAGAGACCGAATATTTTTTTGGGCCTAATATGAGGAAAATATTTGAGTTTCAGCTTTGTACCTGTCATTTTTGTTGTTGTTGCAGAGCATTATAGTGTATCATCAATATTCTGTGCACGTTATGGCACTGTATAGCTGAGACACATTTTCACACCACCTAGTCTCCCCTCATGTTGATATACTGTGACCTCCCCAGTGCCCTCTTCAGGGTGTTATGATGTGAAACACAAAACGATGCGTGGCAACCAGTAATATTCGCTCATCCACAAGCTACATACATGTACCTGAAGTGGTGTACTGCCCTCAATGGTTCTTGCACAAAGCAAAAGGGCATTTACAAACCTAAAACAATCCAATGCCTGTATCTCATTTTGAAGCTGATTATCTTCATTTTATAAAAAAAAAATGAAATATAGTTTATTTCTAACAATGTTCAACAGTTCAGCTGTTGCCTTTTACTGATTGTTTTTAATAACTGTAGTACACCAAAAATCAGGTTGAGTACGTCCGACACCACTGGTGTTAATTTAGCCAATTTTTACCACAGCAAAAAAAAAGTTGGACTTTTTGAAATCATTGCAGTGACTAAATGATACATTTGATAAGAATTAAAGTCCTCTTTATAGATATAACTTTCCTCAGGCACACTATTGAATTGCCCAAAATGTACCTACTGTACGTCCAATACTAGCTGTGCCGTGGAACTGCCCTTAACAGAGCTGCCATCTCTCCCTGATTCTGCAGAAAGTTTCCTGAAAATAAACCAGTCTTTCCATTATCTGACGAACAAAATTTGAAAATGTTATGGAAACTGATTATGGAAACTTTTCCCTATTATGTTACATGTAATTCTAATTATGGCCTATCTCCTTGATTGTTGATCAAATCTCCCCGCTGATTGCAAGATGCAAATTGGCAGCTCTTTCATAAGCATATTGCTCCTGAGAGGATCACTAGTGCCTGTTACTTACAGCAGGC